CTCATGCAGAGTACAGAAGTCCTACCTAGTATTTCTGTTCCCCCCTTTTCCGATAGATAGATAGTCTACATACAGCTTTCTGGTTTTATGTCTTTTTTCCGAATGAGACCTCCGAAATATTAATGCCTGCTCATAGATAGTTGCTGGTGCTGTATCACTTCAATTGGGTCCAACTGTCATAGTAACACAGCACTAGCAGCCGGCTCATCCCGCCACGAATAAGGGCGATGCGATGGTGGTCACGGGGCCCCTAGAGAATAGATGGGCTATTTACCCTCAGCCTTTCAGATCGTTAAGTCGTATCATGCCTGCCTACTTAGAGTAGAATTCATCCAGTTGAGAATACTCCGAAACAGAACTTGCTTTGATAAACCCAATCACGCCAGTCATCGATTCCAATCATCATCAACACTTGGATTGCAGCAAGAATGCATGTCGCTATCTGTGGACTTTCGTGGCACGTCAGAGCACCGCTGAATGATGTCCATGAGGGCCGTGACTCTCCGATCAGCATGATTATCAGCATACAAGATGCTTTGGAACTTTGAACATCGACATCATTGATTCTGGCTGGGGTTGACGGGCTCATGTGGCTTGACTGGCCAACTACATAGTTATCTCGCACGTTGTAGAAGTAGTTAGTAGTAATAAGACACGAAAAGCAGTTTTAGCGGCTGAGAAAGAAAAAAAAAAATCACTAAGAAAAGAAAAAGAAACCAGAGGGTGTTTTTTTTTTTTTTTGGCATCGTCATTGTTCATCGCATTCTTTGGGAGGGGTAAATTTGGTAACAGTACGGAGTAGGATGGGTTACACTCCTAGTCTTCATCCTGGTATCTCATCCCTTGAAGCAAGTCTCTTCATGTACATGCATATGCAATATGCAACAGGTAAGGTTGGGATGGAAGCACTGTGTCTGTGTGGTGTTATTTGTTGGCTTAGCATCCTGATTACCCCGGGGAGGTAACAATTTGATAACATGATCATTGCTTGCAGTTGAAGCGGAATTACACAGTCTGTCTCTGACCACCAGAACAATAGGGTTCTTCATGATGATCTCGCTGATGATATTGATAATCTCTGGTACCTAGATACACGGTAGAGGCTGCCAGTTGTCTGCTCCGACGACTATACCTGAACAGTTTGGACTTGCAGCCATTTTTCTTGTTGATCTTGAGCAGCATCATTAAGTATGTAGATATCAATATCCCTTGCGTCATAGGATTCAGACATGAGGCATTAACTTGAAACAAGTAGGTTCCTCCATTTGATGCTCCTCTAGAGTCCCGCTATAGCCGCGATATCGATTGATCATTAGACGGGTAAGCCGGCAAAGGAAGAAAAAAAAAAAGGAGGGAGGGAGCAGTAGGTAATCTAACAGTCACGATATTGAGGGTGAAAAACGACTGCCTGCTTCGCTCTTCTACATACTCCCGGGAGACCATTACAGAGTACAGGTCCAATCCGTCCAATCCTCTGTGGCCATTTAAATTGCGGTGATCTGAAGCCAAGACCGGGACTGTTAGCCTGCTGCCTCCCACCTGATCATTCGCATCGAGGCTAGCCGTCCATTGGAGGATATGCTGCCAACTAGTTCACGCCGGAGAGGCTGACCACTGTACTGTGTATGATTGTGAGACATCTCAGGAAGATAAATTCCACAGAGCAATCTAATCAGAACCTGCTCCATGGAAGCGTGAAAGAATTCTCGAAGACTAGAGTAGACTAAATGAAAGTTGTTGAGGGTTCCATGAGACTAAAACGTCGCGGGCCTGTCAGAGCCCGATAGCCGACCGGCCGGCCGGTCAGGAGGGGGCGAATGTCGTGCTTTGAGCAATGACACACCGAGTGAGTAGTGACACCTTCAGTCTGGTCTGCTCATTGATAGGGTTGGAAGATAAGATGCAATCTCCGTAGTGATGAAACGTCATCCCTTAATGGACCGGAGTAACCGATCAGTCGGTCGCGTCAGGCCCTTGATTGCATGAATTTCCTCGAACCACGTAGGTCGACTAAACCCACGCGCGACGAGGCAAGTGTAGATAGAGTTCGTCGACGCGAACCTTGAATTCAGGATATTTCCCTCTGGAGGGATGCCGTTCATGACATAAGCTGGGTATGGTAGGACGACGATGGACATCTCATTTTCTGGGCACTGGGCACGGTGGGCAGTAGTCATGGAGATAAGAAGAAATGAGCATCGTTGATTCAATTCAACGGGCAGAATCACCCATGTGTGCGGGGTTGGGAAAAGGCCGCCCCGCAAGAGTCATGTTGCTAGGTAGTCTACCTATGTATCTGGTCAGTAGTATTACTCTCACAGTAACAATGTCGAAGTCGGTGATCAGACCAGGTGCATTCGCGATGTTTGAGACTTTTGAGGATCGTTATCCAGGTAGTAATAGATCATTCTTGATGACGCTGTCACCAAGATAAATGATGAACGATCGTCAACAACCTAGCAGTGATGATAGCAGCTTGGTTGCTCTCGAGACAGCCACACAGGAACTCATACAAGTTTACAGGAATACCTCTAGCTGGACGAAAACAGGAACGATGCTCCGGTATCGATATTTGACCGCTATTCTGATGCGTCAACATTAATATTCTTCCTTTGAAAGTAATGGAAGGCAAGAAGAAATCGGATACACAATGTTAGGTACCTAGATAGTTTTAGGTATCTACATTACTTGTCTACGGAGTAAATAGTGTTCAACAAACTTCTGGAGAAACAGTTCCCCAGAGATCGGCCAGCTAGCGTTTGTAAATCACGGTTTCATCTTTCTTCATTACCTGACGGGATCACGGGAGATGATGATCTCTTTGATTATCTGTCGGAGTTTCCAACCTCTTTGCCCTGCGCTGCACCGCCTCTTGGCCGCTGTTTCACCGCCACTTAATACATCCATCCAGCCTCAGCCGTATGACTAAGAAACCTTATCCGTCAGTATCTTACCTGTTTTCATGACACTTACCACAGAGACAGAAATTACAGAAATACTGTAATTCAGAGCTTACCCCTCCCCCCCCCCCGCGTTTGACAGACAGATCCTGACCTGTAGTTTGCGATGACTCAGAATTCAGAAAGCTCGAAAAATTTTCTTTTCTTGAGATTTGAGAGGTCCACCTCAGTACGGAGTAGAACGAGCTGCATTATTGGAAAATTCCGCCTGAAAATCTCCCGCCTGAATTTCCACTGCCAACCAGTTGCCCGGGCTGCAGTTCTGATAACCCGGCCCTATTGATTTTTATCTCGATACGGTCAACATGGATAGCCATCAGGTGACTGACTCTACGCTTTGCTTTGCAAACGTATCAAAGCAACCAAGTAAGCGCTGGATGAGTCGGTAGGGATCCCTAGAGTTCGCCTGCATTTGTATGTACTCCATTGCAGCAAATTTCGTGATCAGTCTCATTGTGGTCATGGGGTTTTCTTGTCAGAGACCATCGTGTTGGTGCCATCCGGATGCACGCTTTCCGTAACGATAGTCATGGCAGCCAGGTATCAATTCTGGATCGACATGTAGGGCTTGTCATATCGTGTGGGCTGTATGGAAGTATGGGGGTATTCTACCACTTGGTTGTCCGGCATAATGCCAGACAGAGGAGACGAAACCATACCATGGTACACATACCTACCACGGCAACCTCTTGTGTCATGATTATGATCACAGCCTACGGATCTGTGACGGAAGCATTATCTACTGATTCATCTTGTTGACTGGAGCATGTGGATAGAAAGGATATCCCGATGCCATCCCCCAAACTCTTACCTATTTCTGACAGCGTATGGAGACTGGATGGAACGAAATCTGAAACATTCTATATGGGTCTATCACCAACCTATCTGTGAGATTGACATAGAGAATCGTCGAGGCATGCTGATCCAATCAAACCGTCGAACCCAGGTTCCTAGGAGATTGCATGATTGCTACCTAGATACCTCGTAGTAGTCGTGGACTTGTGGTAATATTGCTTTCCTCTAACCCAGGCTCCGACAGGAAGTAGATAGATATCTTGGTTGGTTGACGGGATACATCCATCATACCTGTTGAAGAAAATGCTTAGCCTATTGGCTGCTCTTTCTTTATTGCATTGATCCAATCACATTGCTTACCTCCGTTTCTCCATCTCTCGGAACGCAGGCGGGAAATGAGAATCAAAGAGAAAAAGAAAAGGATTCATTTTGGGCCGCTGTTATGCTGTGCTGTCCGAATGCCCACCCCCATAGTTGCGATGCCCTAGTGACAATCAATCAGTAATGGGCCATCACCCCCTTTCTTAACCCTTTGAGCCCCAGTATTTATATAGAAGGTTGCACTCCTCCCAGTGTCCATGATTGTCTCCATCATTGGAATCTTTTGACCCGATTTCTTCATACCAACAAGAACCTGCGATCGATAAGCCATCGCATAGGTCATCATTACTTGTGTCTCATCAGTCATACTATTTCTTTCCGTCCTCTCGTTTTATCAACCCAGCAAATAATACCTGCAATCTGCATGGAAAGTAGTGCAAAGGGCGACGAAATACCAAAATAACAGAGAACCAAGAATCGCATTACAACGTCAATTTCCATACATTTCGATACCACGGGAGCTGGTCTGTACGCGTATCAGCGTTTGTGACGATACATCAATACCGCCAGTGTACGTAGGTACCCACTCCAGCTTTCTTTCACCTGGTTGAAACATCCATTGGGTTTTTTCTTCGAATTCGATTCGAGCCTTCCAAAATCCTTCTTCCCAAACCAGCCCTGTGCCGTTCGGCCCTAAAACCATCATCCTCTTCCATCTTGTTCGGCAAACAGAGGTATTCAAGAAGACAAGAATAAAATCAATTGTTATTTTTGCCCCCTCCCTTTTTTCATCATCACCACCTTTTTTTTTTTTATATTTTACATATATCTCTTTTCTTTCTGTCTTTCTTTTTTATTTTTATTTTATTTTTATTATTTATCTATCCTCTTTCCAGCCTCTTCCCAATTTCTCCAATTCTATCCCTACAAGTACCTTGTATCAGCCGTCCTATCCTTTGCGTACCCGAATACCTGGACGAAGGATTAACACGCTGCCACACTTCTCCTCCGTCGCATGATCACCATCACTTCTTATCTTCATTAAGAAAAAAAGGAAAAAAAAAAGTGTCGGACTGCTTACTTCCCTGGACGGTATCGCTGCAGGTCCTCTTTCTCGCACCACGTAACTGTGCAGGAGGAACTTGGATAGCTTTGACATCGCGAAAGTGCACACCACCTCCACGACTCTTACCCTCCTCGGTCCAATCTCCGATTGCTCATCCTCGATTTCTCTTCCCTTTTTGGACCACCTGCATCCATCTGCGTTGGCAGGCATCTCCAGCGACTGGCATTGCAGTCGCTCCCGATCCTCGTCGCCGAAGTCCTTATCCGTCGTCCCGCGCCGTCTTGTCATTTTGTCAGAAGTGACGCCAGCCGACGCAGAGTCCATTTTTCCCTGTTCTCGCATACCAATTACCAATTACCAATTACCTCCTTGCCGTCGCGAAGAGGGAAAAAGCTGCCTGGTTTGCGGAGGGGGCTCTGCTAGCATCAAAGCACATGCGCAGTGCAGACGGCTTCTCGACTTGCATTCTGCTATCCCCTTAGGATCGAGCGGGAAAAAGAAAATTCATTCTTCTTTCCTTTTTTTTTTCTTTCTTTTTTTTTTTTTTTTCGACCATCCTGCGCCTTGTCTCACATCCTTGCGCAGAGGACATTGCACCACCTACCTACCTATATCGCAGACAACTCTAGACGATCCTGTGTCCGCAAGCCCCCCTCTCATATTTCCTGCAGCTATTATAGCTTTCCCCGCGTGCTGGAAGATCGGCAGGCTGAAGAGGGGCTTTATACCATAGATGACTGTGAGGATTGGATAGAAACGTCAAAAAAGGGATTATTATAAAGCAAAAAAGAAAAGGGAAGTTCCGGGAGATCGAAAATCAGGGCACAGGTCAGCTCATTTTTTTTTTTTTTTTTTTTTTTTTTTTTTTTTTCTCTCTTCCAAACAACCGAAGCCGACGCCAAAAAAGCAGACAAAGCACACACACACACAGCCTATTTTCCGGTCATACTTTACAAACGGGAATTGCACGATTGAACCACTCATTGCGAGCTGAGCACCTGTCAGATTAGTGGCACGGCCTTTGTGTTGTTACACAGCGGAATCAGTACCTGTCTCAATTCCTGTCAAGCACCTAAATCGACGCCCCGGTCCTTCTTTTTCTCCTTCTCCGTTTTCTTTTTCTCGCGAGCGCTCTCGGGCAGGGCTCTCCGCATTGCATCCAAGGCCGGCCAAGATGCAGATATCAAAACAGGAGCATTCCCGCTAAGGACGTGGCTTGTGCATTTCTCACTCAGACACGTTCCCTATTAGGGCTCGTATTGCATCCCAGCTAGCTTAGAGACCGCTCGCCGAAGCCGATTTGATCCCTTGGTCACTGCCTTGACGTTCATTCGTCCTTTGAAGAGTCCAGGTGACTCCAGGCATTGACACCGTTCGCATCACTGTTCTATATCCCACGCTTTTTACAGCTAAGCGGTACGTTTGACAGCCGCAATGGCGTATGCTACCACCTCGTCGCCTGCAACATTGAATGGTGAAGCTCCTCCTTCTCTTCCTCCTCCTCCTCCTCCTTCCAGTTTAAAACTCACGACCTCTCTCCCCAAACCTCAAACACTACATCATGCCATCGCTTCTATCCCGCCCGCCTCCAATTCCTCCTCCGCTTCCTCTTACGTTTCATCTTCTTTCACAAATACACCTGCCTCTCTATTTCCGCCCTACAACAATTCGAATGTGTCTAGTCCCTCCGGTACCCCCTTACAAATTGCTACAGACGCCCTTCGAGGACGTCTATCCTCCTACCCTCCCGTGTCTCTTTCTTCAGTCGAGCTTGGTGAATCTGCGATGGCTGTGCCAGGCAACTCGGCTGTCTCGACTTCCGGGGATTCGGTTGGTCCGAATTCCAACAAAGGTGCTGGGTTGATGCGCCGGATCTCCCGGGGCGCCGCCAGCAAACTCGCGCGAAGGAGACAATCCACGACTCACAGCGACAAGCGAGACCGCAGCTCGGGTCCCGTCATCATGCGCAGACGCAGCGACAGCAAGACCAACGCTCAGCCCAGCCGAGAGAGTGCGCTGGAATCAAGCAATGAGGAAGATAGCAACGATGCCTTGGAGTCTCTCGGAATCTGGTGCGGCTCCGAAGCGACCGGTCTTCCCAATGACCTCAATGCGATGGTCTCGCGGAACGCGGGCGCTGTTGCGCCCAAGGTTGATTCGGTGATCCAGCGCGGGACCGTGTTGACCAAAGTGACCAAAAAGCGCAAGAAGCAAGTGCGCTTCTTTCTGGATCTCGATGCGGGTAAGGTCTATTGGGACGTTTCGAATCCCGCGAAACGCTTCTACATCGACGACATCAAGGAGATTCGCGTCGGAGCGGATGCGCGCAATTACCGCGAGGAACACCTGGTTCCACAAGATGTTGAAAGTCGCTGGTTTACGATCGTCATTGCCGATGCAGAACGGCTCAAGGGTCGGTCTGTCAAGACTCTGCACCTGATTGCGCCCAACGACATGATCCTCGATTTGTGGACGACGACACTCGAGAATATCTCCCAGTATCGGATTAACCTCATGGCTGGCTTGGCTGGATCCGGCCAGAGTGAGGCTGTCCTGAAAGCCCACTGGCAACGCGAGATGTCGAGGTTGTTCCCTCAGGGCTTGAAACCCGGCGAAGTCGAGAGTCTCGACTTCAGTGCAGTTGAAACCGTGTGTCGGAGCTTGCATATCAATTGTTCGAAGAATATGCTGCGGGCTCAGTTCTCCAGGGCCGACCTTGGCTGCAAGGGCCGACTGAGCTTCCCCGAGTTCCAGAACTTTGTTGCTCGTCTGAAAGAGCGAACAGATGTGAAAGACCTCTACAGAGCCTCGGCTGCGAACGCCCACGAGGGCCTCACTCTGGACGATTTTTTAGCTTTTCTCCGTGATTCACAGCGGGAAGACGTGGACGGTGACCGTACCTATTGGGTTTCGGTGTTCGACAAATATGTTCGAAGATCCAAATCGCGTGCCCCTAGTCTTCCGGAAATCCCGGATGGCCAGGTTTCCCGGATGTCCCTCGAAGCCTTTTCTGCATTCCTCTCCTCTAACTGGAATGGGATCTACGCGTCTCACCCCCCTCAATCGCGATTTGACCGGCCGCTCAATGAGTATTTCATCTCGAGCTCTCATAACACGTACCTCCTGGGGCGCCAGGTGGCCGGTGCATCTAGCACGGAAGCGTACATCAGTGCTTTATCCCAGGGCTGCCGCTGCGTGGAGATCGATTGCTGGGATGGCGCCGATGGCCGGCCGATCGTTTCCCACGGGCGGACAATGACAACCAGTGTCCTTTTTGCGGATTGCATCACTGTCATTAATCGATATGCGTTCATCACCTGCGACTTCCCCTTGATCTTGTCTCTTGAAGTGCACTGCAATCCCGAGCAGCAGCTGGCCATGGTCAAAATCATGAAAGATACTTTCAAGGAGCGTCTTGTCCTAGAACCACTCTTGACCAACAGCTCTGTCCTTCCGTCGCCTGAAGAGCTGAAGGGTCGCATTCTGGTTAAAGTCAAAACGTGTGATGAGACGCTCGAGGAGATGCGACAGGATCCGTCGAGTTCTCTTTCCAGCGCCGGTCGCAAGCGGAGCTCGAGCTCTCCCTGGATGCGACCGACCGTGCCTGAGTACCCTCTGATCACGAGCCTTCCTGCCCTCTCCAGCTCCTCGACCACTGCTCAAGAGAGCGTTGGGCCTTTTATCTCACAGGATAGACGATCATTCACTACGACAAGTATCAGCAGTGCTACTGAGGACAGTGATAGCGCGCTGGTATCTGCCAAGAGGGAGCGGAGACGCCGTCAGAAGAGCAAGATTACCAAACCACTGTCCGATCTCGGTGTCTACACTCGTGGTTACAAATGGCAGAGTTTTGCATCTCCCGAGAGCCAGCGCTACAATCATGTTTACTCCTTTGCGGAACGTGCTTTTGAGAGCATCTGCCGTGATGCAGAGAACAAAATCGTTTTCGAGAAACATAACCGACGATATCTCACACGGGTCTATCCATCGGGTTTTCGTCTGCGATCGTCCAACTTCGACCCTCTGAAGTTCTGGCGCCGCGGTGTGCAGATGGCAGCTCTCAATTGGCAGACATACGACATCGGTATGCAGTTGAATCAAGCCATGTTTGCTGCAGGGAGTGACCGCACTGGCTATGTTCTGAAGCCCAAATCTCTCCGGTCTTCCACAAATTCATCGGATGAAGAGGGCAAATCCTCCACTGGGCGGAAATTGGTTCGGTTCTCAGTGGATGTCATCTCAGCGCAGCAACTCCCGCGGCCCCGCAGCATTGGACCCGAAGACAACATCAATCCTTACGTGGAGATAGAAATGTTCAGCGCAGACGACCGTGGCCAGAGTTTTGTCGTCGGCGAAGGAGGCATGAACGCCTCTGCGCGCAATGGCGTGTCAGGCATCGGCTATCCTCATCGCAGACGCACGAAGATCGAGCAGAGCAACGGGTATAGCCCGAATTTCAACGATCGCTTTAAGCTGTCACTTGAGACCAAGTATCCTGATCTGGTCTTCGTTCGCTGGACTGTCTGGAGCTCTCAGGATGGGCGCAGTACCGGGAATAACAACAGTATCCAGTTGGCCACCTTCACGGCTAAGCTCAGCAGTCTCTCGCAGGGCTACCGCTACCTGCCGCTGTACGATCTCGGCGGTGACCAATATCTCTTTTCGACTCTGTTCTGCAAGATCACCAAAGAAGAGCCGGTGCCTGTACAAAGGCTGGCTGCCGAGGAGCTTCGCGCTGAGCGCATGGGTATCTTTCGACAAATCGGCCAGACGGTTTTCAAGCGCGGTTCATCCACTGAGAGATCCGATAAAGGCAGCGAGACGCCTGTAAGTCCTGACGAGAAGGACAGCTCTCCAGCTCTGACGCCGACTGTTTCTGCCGCATCTACTTTATCACTGTTTTCTTAACATAATGTGTGTGTTGCACACGCAGGCCCCTGGGATCCCCATACCACCTGGTTCATTTACTTCCTTTCCCACTGGGCTTCCACCTCCCCGGAATCATCCACAATCTCATCATCTATTTTCGTTGATCATTACCCCTGTGCAAATAACGGAGCGGCGTTCTTCCGATTAGGATTATATGTGTGTTTATTTTGCTGTTGTTCTGTTCGACAATGAGGCGCTTCGCTTTGGGGAACCCTGGCGTACCACTGGTCGCTCGCATCACCACTGGATGGCTTGAGGGAATCCACGATATCATGTGTTTGCTTAATTTCGATCTTATTTGCTGCATCTGGGGCGTTGCATGGCATGCCTGTGCGTGCACAATGCACACCACAGACGCCCATTGTTTGATGGCGGTGTATCTGTTATGTCGATTTTCCTTTCCATTATACTGACTGTTATACCTGTGGCGATACCCAATGTGTTTTTTTTTTTCTTTCTTTCTGTCCGGTTGCGTGCATTGCGGCTTGTTTCAACTGGTTTACTTCTGCCTTTTGAGATCATTTATTCTCTGATCAGGATCCGATTCTGGGTCCTCAGCCATCGAGGCGGCGTTCCTTATGTGTTTTCTTTTTGTACCGGACGGCATGGTAGCATTCGAGGAGTTCCCAGCGAAAATGATTGTTGCTTCTGCTGAGCTGGCGAAGCATTGCGTCTGATGCATCGCTCTCATAGCCAGAACTCCCCAGGGGAGTTATGGATACTCATGCTTGGAGCCAACCCGATTGATCGAGAATCGGATTTCCTGAGGGTTCTGGATGACTTCCTCAGGGCCATCAAGGCCTATCTATCCTTTAGTTCTTCTTTTGAGTTAATATGAAGATGCGGCTGGGACGCTCATTTGACCAACTGAGGACAACAGCGATATTCCTTGTAGTTTCGTAGCACCCTCCAGCCGATGAAGCTGGCAGTACTCTAGAGCCAGAAATCATTCAAATCTTTCAAAAAACAGTCTGCGTTGAATACAGGCAGTTGTGCTCTGGAGATATGCAGCCTTTCGGATATGCCTCAGGAAAGCTTCGGCTCACCTGCTCTCACCGCCCTCGGAATTAAAGACACCGTGACGACTTGGGGGCAGTCTGAGAACCGGCGTCTACTTACTTGTCCTACTCGCTAATTCGGCATTGATTCCCTTCAATTGAACGAATCCAGGTTGCCTTTCTATTGCCTTTCACTCAAAATGGACCCGTTTTCCGCAGAAGGGGGTGCGTCCTAGCCCCTACCCCTGCCAAATTCGAGCTGAACTGACCCCCCTCTTCTCCGCGCAGAGCTCATCAACATCCACAATGCCTTCCACCAAGGCCAATACCAGAACGTAGTCGACTTCGACACCTCGGCGCTATCACCGGAGAACCAGCTGCCGGCGCGCGTCCTGCAGCTGCGCGCCCGCCTCGCCCTCGGCCAGACCGACGAGGTCCTCGCCACCGTCGACGGTGAGGATGAGACGCCCGACCTCGCGGCCGTGAAGGCGCTGGCGCTGCACGCGGCGGGGAACGGCGAGGCGGCGCTGACGCTCGCGCAGGAGCTCGCGGACAATTACCCGGATAATGCGGCGGTGCAGGTGCTCGGGGCGACGGTGCTGCAGGGTCAGGGCCGCAGCGAGGAGGCGTTGGCGGTGCTGGCGAAGCATCAGGGGGGTTTGGAGGCGTGGGTTTTTTTTCCCCTCCCCGTTTTTCCTTGGGTTATTTTCTTTCTTTGGAGGGGGTTGGAAAGTGGTATTGGAGTGGAGTTGGGGGGGAAAACAACGCTAATTGGGTTGCGGTTGCGGTTGTAGGGTTGCGTTGATCGTTCAGATCCATCTGCAGCAGAACAGGGCCGATCTGGCGCTGAAGGAGGTGCAGGCTGCGAAGCGCTGGGCGCAGGATTCGCTGCTTGTCAACCTGGCTGAGTCGTGGGTGGGCATGAGGGTGGTATGTCTTTCCCACTCCCACTCCCCGTCCCCCGTTTCTTTTGCGCTTCCAAGATGGCGGGCTACGGACGTGATTGCTAACCAGTCATCCTCTACTGTTCTCCCAGGGCGGCGAGAAATACCAATCCGCGTTCTACGTGTACGAAGAACTTGCCTCCGCGCCTGGCACGTCTGCTCCCCTTTCCATCGTCGGGCAGGCCGTTGCGGAAATCCATCTGGGCCGGTTGCCCGAGGCCGAGGCCGCGCTGTCTGCTGCGCTGAAGACTTACCCCGATGACGCGGAGTTGATTGCCAATACCATTGTGTTGAATGTATTGGCGGGAAAACCTACGGAGGATTTGGAGGCGTATGTTTTGTTCCGCTCCTCGCCTTGCATGGTGGTGTGATCGATCGATCGATTGATTGATTGATTCATTACGTCGACTAACCTTTATTGTTTCCAGCCATCTTGAACAGGTCCAGCCGTCGCATGCGCTACTCACCGACCTCCAGGAGAAGAGCGATTTGTTCGATACTGCCGCGGCCAAGTATGCGGCGAGGGTGACTGCTTAGAATGGGGCTGGTGCTTTTCCCTTGTTTTTGTGTATGTCGTCTTCGATTGGGGCCTTCTATGGGTGGATCGGTATGACGGCTAAGCTATTGTGTTACCCAGCGATGACTTTTTTTTCCCCCTCTGTTAATCATCATTACTGTGATTGTAACAAAATGAACCACTTAGAGATGATCATCAAGTGTGCAGTTGACATTGTGTGAAATTTGCATCTGATATAAGCAGAGCAGTACCGTCGCTGGTTGGACATGACTATGATTTCATCATATACCCCCCCCCCCCCAACAAGCTAAGCTGCGGGTTCTACCAACAGATTATAAACGAGCACTCAACCATCTCTTCAACTCTTTCCCCTGCTGGCTCTCCGTGCTCTTCAGCGAGCTACTGTAGACGGCATCAACATGCGTCTCGCCATATCCCACGACATAGGTAGTTTCCGGCACCACCGTCTGTCATCCCATTAGACTACAAGCTCCGAGGGAGGGAGGGGGGAGGTATGCAAAAGGAAATGCAAAGACCATACCTTGAACCGCGCCACAAACTCATCAATCATCGAAAACAGAAGCTCATCCCGTCCCGCCAGGATAAGCACCCGCGCCGTCTTCTCCGCAGCACCCGCCCACCACTCCACAGGCGCCAGCGCCGGCTCGCTCCACGCATCGCTCAGCTTCAGGTTCCCGCCCAGATACGCCGACGCCCACATCGTCAGCGCCTCCTTGGGGATCAGGTCCTTGTACCTGTTGAATTCCGTCGAGGCCCCGTCGGCGGCGAAGCTGACCCACGGCGCGAACCCGAAGACCCCCGCCAGCGGGGCCGAGAGCTCAAGGGGTTTGATCTCGGGATGCGGGTGGAGCAGGTGCAGCAGCGTTGCGAGGGCAAGGTTCCCGCCTGCGGAGTCGCCGCCGATGATCACGTTCGACGGGGAGCGGTGGGTTTGCGTGAGGATGTATCGCAGGGCTGCGATGGCTTGCTGCAGCTGCGTGGGGTATACTGCGTGGGGGGTGAGCGTGTATGCGAGGAAGAAGAAGGCTACATCGTGGCCGTTGGCGTTGAGGTCTGCGATGAGCTGGGTGAAGAGGTCGAAGTGCGCGGGGGTGCCGGCGAGTGCGAAGCCGCCGCCTGGGGATTGAAATGAGCATGGCTTGGTTAGTGATGTGATTTTTGGAGATGTGTTTGAGAAGCATTGCTCGAGCTTACCGTGGTAATAGATGACTACATTCTTCGCATTCGGGTTTCCGATCCAGTGGCCGCGCGCGCCGTGGTCGAGCGTCACGGTCTGTGGTCGGAGACCCTGCTTGCTCATGCTGTCGTCGTATGCTTTGCTGGTGGGCAATGCTATGGCCCTGGTGTATGTGGTGTTAGCGACTTTGACTCGAACCTAGACGGGTGTCATGCACACGTACTGCATTTGCCGCGACGAGAACCGCATCACCATCTTCCTCACGATCGCGTGTCCGACATGGACGCCGTACTCTTTGGCGCCGGTTCTCCCCCGAAAAAGCCCCGTCACTGCGCCGTACAGAGCACTCCCCAGAACAGACAGAAAGCCGGGGACCAGGTCGGCTTTCTCTAGGAGAGTGAGACGGACATTATCCGGGCTGTCTGTCATACTGAGCAAGGTGACGGCAATCTACGTATCCCAAAGACGGGTTCAAGACCATGAAGCTGCCCGGTAGAGATGCGTGATTGTACGAAGGAATGCATTCTGGGTCACTGTTGGAAATAGGATCAACCAGCAAATTTTGGGAATTTGGGATGGGAGCTGTTTCCCCGCACTCGCATACTGCAGAGTCGGGTGATAAGCTATTGACTAGCTGCAGTCGAAAGTGTGAATAGTCATGCAGAAGACTAGCTCAGAAAGATCGGTGATAGTGGTGTGTCATTGACTCCGATCACTAACCTCGGCTATTCTGCGAAGCGCTGTTGGCTGAACCTACTGGGCAAGTTCAAAACACAGCCTTTTGGAGTCTAAGAATTCAGCGAATCATAACAGAACGAGTTATGGAACCAGATTGCATCAATGAGAAAGGAAAAGAAAAAAAAACATTATCAATTAAAGGATAAGGATGGCATAAATGCGCCACAACTTTTATTGGCAATCTAGTTCCCATTCACCATGTCCTCCTTACCCGTCAAGTCGCAGAAGGCCTTGAAAGTGGTGAAGACATCATCTCCTGTGCTCTCAAGAATGCATTCCGCATTGGCTCCAACAAAGAACACATAGCCCTCTTTGACCTCCTCGGTCTTAGGACCGACTGTAATCTTCCCCGTGCCAGCGGTGCAGATCATAATGCTAGGACCTGAGATCCCGTCAAATGTGGTCTTGGCTCCTGTGCGCTTGAGATCCGTCTTGACCACGCTGAACTCCTCAATCGGGGGATCGTACAGGGTGCAGGAAGAACCACTGGAGTAAGCCGGGGCGTTAAGTACCGCATACGGATAGTCGGTAGGCTCCAGTTTCTGCTCCGAGATGGGCGCATAGGAGTATGTCAGCATGTCGACGAGTGTGTCAACATCTTTGAACTTGGGCGTGAAGCCTGCGCGCACGACATTGTCCGACGAGGCCATGCATTCGATGATGTCGCCAGAGATGTATGCGTGGATATCATCAGCCTTGAGGAACATGGCCTCACCGGGTTCCAGCTTGACAAAGTTGAGAAGGAAGAACACAAAGGAACCGATGTCGTTGGGGAATTGCTCATTCAGGCGCACGGTAATGGCTGCCAACTCCGCGGGATTGCTGGGGTTGGTTTCCGGTGCGCTATCCAATGTCGCAAACGTTTCTGGGGAGTTCTGCGCGGCGGCAACAAGGCCTTTCGTCGCGGCCTCAATGCTCTCGGGGGAGGATTTCATCAATGAGGCGAAGAGCGAGCGAAGCGCCTGCTTATTCTTCTCTGTAGCCGCCGGATCTTCCGAGTTCTCCGCGCCTTGGACTGTGTTCTCGAATTCGCTGGCAGCCTGTTCGCCGACCAGTTGACGGAGGGATGCTACCGCTTTGAGAAAATGGGAGATCTCGGCCAGAGGTCGGAAGCCACACAGGCCTTCGAAGGGGGTGATGGCGAGGGTCATCTCCGGTTTGTGGTTGTCATCTGAAGTTTCCTCACCACATGTTAGCACTCAAAAGCATTCGTGGTAGCTCTGTAGGTTTTGCTTTGCTGACCAGGGTAGTTTCGAGAATCTCTAGCATGAAGCTTCTCCGCAAGCTTCTTGTTCGGATGAGCTTGGATGCTAAGCGCTTTTCTGATCGAAAGCACCTTGAACAAGAAGGGGAGCTTTCCGCCATACCGCTGGCTGACCTCCGGAGAGATCAATGCTTGGTTGTCTTGTACCATATCGAGCAGGGTCCGCTGAGTCTCGAGGTCTTTCGAAGGAAGCGAAGGATGCGTGCCCATCCATAACTACGTCATAGGGTCAGCTCGTCCGTTATCCTCGGTCACCCCGAGAAAAAAAGGAATTGTCGCACCTCTGCATAAGGCTTGTCGGACTGTATTGAGAAATCAGAAGATGCTGTGGTTGCTGCGTATTTCGCAGCAGCCGACTCGTGGCCGACCTTGCCTATGACGATATCTCAGCTTCCGCTTCATGGTGTTGAACGATAAGGAGCTTACCCCAATCATAACTATTGACTCCTATTTGAAGGACATGAAACGTCAGCTTCTGGCCAGTTCTATTCAGGATGTCACTATGTTGATAATCAATAGCTTACCGCACTGGAGTCGAAGCAATGGTACCTGAGGCATTTTGATGGGGAGGGGTGATATGATTCCTGGAAGTGTAGTAGAGTGTAGAACAACAAGTAAACAGCAGAGGAAGCAGGGAAAATGAAGAGCGCTAGTCGATAGAGATTCACTTAGAATGCTGTGAATCTTCTCTCCAACATTCACTCAGCAGCAAACTGTGGATTGTATAAAAAGAAAAGCTCTGTCACCACCTTTTTGTACGTCTTCTTTCTTCCTCTCTCTCTGTCTGCCCCTCCACCTTATTGATTGCTACCTTACTCCAGAGGACACGGACTAAATCCCGATTTGGCTGACCGCATCCGTTCCTAAGGTATCCAAGGCATCCACAGCACTATCCTCAGGCACCCACATGGCATCTACCAATCAGAAGCCGCCGCGCAGCTCCAAACGCTTGGCCTCTTCGGGCAAAGCTAAACGCGATGCCAGTAAGAAGAACGCCAAGCCATCCCCGGCCACCGCGCTTGACAGGAAGAATAGCCGCCACGCTGCCCCCGGAGTGCTTATCGGTGTCAAAGTACCTCCTGCGGCTCTTTCTTCTGCTCAGGATCAGAAATTATCCATCAAGGGGTCGGTGTATACTCCGAGCCAGCCGGTTGCCGCGGAGTCCAAACAGTTAGAATCACCTCCTTCTACCGGGTCCGGAGGTCTTCCGCATCAACTACGAGTGGGTGCGGCTCGGGGCACACGCAGTTCCTGCCAGGACATCGTCTCTGCCTTTGAATGGGAGGCTTTGAAGCTTGAGAAGCTCAGACCCAAGCAGCCTGGCGCTGTTGAAGCTCTCAACACTGTTCATGTCAAAGAGGAACAGCTGACTGTCACGGTTAACCTTCGCAAGCCGGCACCAGACGAGATGTCCCGGAACCGGCCTAGAGGCCCTCCTATGCCTAGGGACAATGGTCTCGCGGCGAATGAGGAGACGGATATGTGGAACAAGATTCTGCAGGATCTCCGCAAGGCCAAGGAGAAGAATGACAAGCAGAAAGTGCTGGCTGAGCAGATTGCCGCCTTGAATGAGAAGATTGGCAGAGAGGGTGGAAGTAAGTCTTGTTCCTATTTTCATTGACTACGGTCTTATATTACTCGTCTTGCGATGCAACTTCGCTTTTCTTGTATCTGTTGCTTTCGGGGCCTGTAATTGAGATTCGGTGGACGCGCCTTGCTCTTTACCCCCCACCCCCTTCATCATTATGCCTCAAGCTAACTTACGGAACAGGACCAACTCTAAGCGAGCACAACCAGCTGGATAGTCTTTACCGTCAGATGCTGAAGCTCTGCGAGGACGAAAGAGCCATCCTGCAAGACGAACCCAGCGATGTAGTCAAGAACCTGGGCCTTTTGACCGCACTTCGCCAAGCATCCGAGGCTGAAGCACCATTCAGTCGCTCTGCTTCTCTGGTGAAATCCCGAAAGAAGCGCAATGACTTTGACGGATCGGCCACTGATTCGCCGGGCCCCTCGGGTCCCTCGGTCTCTGATAAAGTGAGCCGCGTCAAAAGTGCCCAGCGAAGCGCCAGTGCGTCCAGTTCTCAGCCCCGTGATCGGGAGATCCGTGATAATGTCATGGTGAAGATTGAAGAGACAGCGGAGAGCATCCGGGGTACTATCGCCGAACGCAATGGGCAACTGGCCGTCGGGGCGGAAGTGGTTTTCAAGCATAACAAGAACAAACAAGGTGTCGAAGGCGAGGGCATACAATGTATCATCAAGGGCATTTCTGGCGATGGTCCCAAGAAAAGGTAGGAAATTGTCTTCTATGCTTCTCGTTTTCTCTGGGAAATTGACCCGGTGGCGTATAGATACGACGTACAAGACCCTGAACCCAACGAGAATGGCGAACAGGGAGCCGTTTACAAGACTACCGCTGCATCGCTAATCCCAATCCCTCAAGTTGGTGCGACCCTGCCGGTGTTTGCTGTCGGAAAGCAAGTTCTTGCACGATACCCCGATACCACCACCTTCTACCGCGCCGAAGTGATGGGGACGAAGAAGGACACCTACCGCCTCAAATTCGAGGGCGAAGAAGACGACAAGGAAATGGAAGTAGACAGGCGGTTTGTCCTCGACATCCCCGGCAAGTGACTCGGCGAATGACCGGGGGAGGATGACGGCCAAAGCGAGGGGATAAAGAAAGACGAGGTCAATTATGGACCGTGGATGACTCCGTTACGATGATACCCTTGAATTGAGTTGTTTTTTTTTTTTTTTCTAAATTGTCACTGGGAAGAATAGGGTCGTTCGGGAGTCTGGCTTCTTCGATTGCGTGGTCTTCATTTCCTTCAAGAGTTCGGTGTTGACAGGGTATGTGTTCAGGATGAGAAGTTTATGCAGGCTTGTGATATTTCTACGGGATTCATCAACATTGTATCATCTCAGCCAATATAGGAGTAAGACTTTGCCTGATATTCTGCCTACCCAGAGTACAAGAATTGTTAATCCTTTTCCTTCTGCTTTCATCAATCTGCCTGAGCCCTGAGGATGGATTATGTGATAACTCCGCGTCAGACCTGACTAATGGGCCCTCTGAGATGAGTCAGCGGCAGTCCCCCACCAAACTTGAGCCTACAAGTACAAGATGTCCCGAGGAGCCGAGAGATCGGAGGCTGATGCGGATGGCGAGATGATCCAACTTCCATCTTTTCTCTTCTGTGGCTCAGAATAATAAAGAACATCATGAACTAAGCGATACTTCCATTTCTGTCCAGCTGTCTTTGATACCCCATTGTTTGTGAACAAAGCTCGCTTTTCCCTTTCTGTGCATTACATTTCAGACTCAGTCATTGCAATGGCGAATCTACCCTCCCACGCTTCCCCGTCTTTCGGAGCGCAATCGCCTGCGACGTCGCACAATGTCGACGAGCTATCATTGACACTCAATCCCACATCAACCCCTGCCTTACACTCTAGATTAGATGATATTCGTGACGATGCCGCCAGTGACCGCGGGGACATGACTCCTGCGGTGCCCGCGTCGCTCCTCTCCCCCTCCTTCACCCCTCCAGCAACCCCCGGGGGCACAATCAATACCGCCCAGCTGCTTCAACAGGCCCAATTAGCGGGCGTACGAACAGACACCACACACACAAAGCGTCCGAAACTGCTGTCCTGCTTGCCTGATGTCGAGTGTATTGTTCGAGCTCGGATACCCACCACAACGGGGGCGGAGATGTTTCTCCACCTGTACCACAATGATCTGGACAACAAGGAGCATTTGGCGATCGTGTTTGGAAATACCATCCGGAGCAGGAGTTTGGACAAGGTCCGACCGGGCGAGACGGAAATGGATCGCATGATCCGGGGTGCCTACATGGGAAAGCTGCGTCCAGGTCGGGTAAGCAGCTGGACTGATGACGAGAAGAACGGGGAGAGCAGCAATGCAGAAGTCGGCGGCGCCGTATCGGGCTCACAGACTCCGTTGCAGAGTAACCTCAACGAGGCGCCTCTGGTGAGAATCCATTCGGAATGCTACACGGGTGAGACCGCGTGGTCCGCGCGGTGTGATTGTGGTGAGCAGCTGGACGAAGCGGCCAGGCTTATGTCGCTGCCCATGGAGACACTCAACGAGGTTGCCTCGCAGCAGTCCATGCCGGTGCCGTCGAATGCTGCTGGCGGTGTGATTGTGTATCTTCGCCAAGAAGGCCGGGGCATTGGCCTGGGAGAGAAGCTGAAGGCATACAATCTTCAGGATCTGGGGTCGGACACGGTGGAAGCTAATCTCCTGCTACGCCACCCCGCGGATGCAAGGAGTTACGGTTTGGCTACGGCCATTCTGGTCGATCTGGGCCTGGGAGCGGATTCCAACCCGCACGGTATCAGGCTCCTCACCAACAACCCGGACAAGATTCAAGCAGTTGAAGGACCGAATCGGGAGGTTGTCGTAAAGGAACGGGTACCGATGGTGCCACTAGCTTGGAGATCCGGGGGCAAGATGGGCATCAAGAGTTCTGAAGTGGAAGGCTATTTGCAAACTAAGGTATTGTGGCCATTCCTGCCAACTGCGCTATTTGGCTGCAATCTCACTAACCTTTGGGGTTTAGATATCCAAGATGGGCCATCTCCTGCAATAACTCGGCTCTAACTTTCACTGATTCTGACATTCTGTACATTTTGAGGCCTTTCTAAGGGCAAGACAACCTGAACCATTTCCCCGACTATTTTCCCCCGTGGTGTTGCAGCGCATTCCCTGTGCCCCCTTTTTACCTTTTTTTTTATTATTTTTTCCCCCCCTCTCTCTCTCCCCTTCTCGTATACAACTTTGGTGTGTAGCACACTATACACAGATACCCGGCGGGTCTTTCGTGTCTCCATTATTCTGAGCAGACATTTGGAAGCATGAATCGGGTCGATAGGTGGCCACTAATCACTATTATGAGAGCGAGTCATGTACTTCTACTATTATTATCATGTGTGTGTATTCACGGGTTCCGTCTTGATCCACCAAGATATGGATATGGTCCTGGCATCAAATCTAACACTCTCAGCCCATTTGAGTCAATTGCGTCAAGTGGCAATTCTTCATGGTGTTCTGCTTCGTATCAACCCTGGTTCACTGTGTTTGTTGAGATGGAGAGTGCTTTTTGTTTTTTTGCCTCCCGTGGCTGGCGACACAGTGTGCCACAAAGGGAGCCTGCAATTGGGGAGTTTGGGAATTAGACGGGATCATTCATCTGGTCGCATCGGAACCATTCTGTAAAGAATCCTGTCGATTTGTCGCAATGAAGCTGGGGGGATGTTCAAACGTTCATAAGATCCAACCAAGGATGACTTGGCGACTTGGAAAGATTTGGCTGGAACTCCACTTGGTTCCCTCACAGTCCATGTCCTTTTGTCTTAGATCAGTCAATGAGCTGAAAAAACATTGCGCTTCCCATGTAAATCCGTACGAGTGTTAAGTCGCAGCAGCAGCAGCAGCAGCAGCAGCAGAAAAGACGCAGCACTTCCAGACTAAAAGACCAAGGGAAAAGAACATATTATACAAATAGCGAATACCCCGCCCCAACTATCCTCTGCCGGATGTTGATTCCTTTTGTCTCGTGCTTCCCGCTGTCCTAGCTCGCTCTCTCTCTCTCTCTCTCTCTCTCCTTTCCCCCCGGGGGTGTTCGGTCCCTCTTCATCTCCCTTCTCCATCGTCATCGTCGTGGATTCGAATTTCTCTCAAACCTTTTGAATGGCCGTTGGCGGTTAGCTGAACGCGCGACTGAGGGCCATGGCCAGTCGCCTGCCTCCTCTGAACGATGTGGCGCCCTCGTCGATCCTGGAGCCACCGACATCCGTGACCAGCACTCCAGCATCAGGACCACCACCGCTGCTCACGACGACCCCGTCCTCCTCCATCCTCCTGACCCCGATTCCCGAGGCAGACTGTGTGAAGCAGGAAGACTCGCCGACCCCGTCCGGGTTCACCTCCGCCGATGCCGAGACTCCCTTGGCGGACTACATTGGCGGGCCCGCAACGGCCGCCGGACGCAAGCGCAAGCTGAATAGCACCTCGTCGCGCGGCGTAGCCAACCTGACCCCCGAGCAGCTGGCGAAGAAACGAGCCAACGATCGCCAGGCCCAGCGGGCTATCCGGGAACGCACCAAGTCGCATATCGAGTCGCTGGAGCAGCGCGTGCGCGAGCTGTCGTCTCAGAAACCGTTTCTGGATCTCCAAGCGGCTCTCAAGCAGAATGAAGCGATTCAGGCGGAGAATTGCGAGCTGAAGCAGGGGCTGAAGGCTGTCATGGATATCATACAACCGTTGCTTGCGAAGCACGATGCGACGGGTGAGTTTGTCAATCGCGCTTCGGTTGCTCGTTTTTCTTTTGCTCTTTCTTCCCTATATTCCGGTGTGCTCATCTCGGTCATTTTCTAGCTTTCCCACCACCACCACCACCACCACCTCCTCCTCCTCCTTCTCATACCGCTACTGCTCATTCTCTCCCGCCTTTGAATCCTCTGTCGAATCCCCCACACTTCTCCGAGACGCATCACTTCACATCGACTACCCATAGATACGAACAGTCCTACTCAACTTCCACTCCCGGCGCGGGAACACCTACATCAACACACTCGGCACCGGTGGTCAGTATGCGGCGGGATAGCGGCAACGGCATGGCATCCTTTCGCATCGCGTTCGACTATCAGCGCGACAATCTGGCGCACGGGTTAGATTTCGGCGCCGACGAAAGGCTGGGATTCAATTTCTTGCTTGATGCGTCCCAACAGGTTCCCAAAATGGAAGGTTTCCGGCGATCAACTGAGAGTCTTAGGCCATCTCAGTCGTCTCAGATGAACACACCTCTAGCATATACGCCGTCACCGAGCGCCGCGGGGCCAGAGCAACCATTACCCGCATACATGACGCCGATTCGGAATATCGCTCCGACATGCACACTAGACGCCATCTTACTGGATTTCCTCCATCACCGACAGCGTGAAGCTGCCCAAGGGGTGCCCACACAGAGACTCGTTGGGCCTCCGTATCCAAGTGTTTCATCTCTGCTGAATCCGGAGAAAGGCGCTTATTCCCACCCTCTCTCCAAGGTCTTTACGGATATTCTGCGCACATTCCCGGACATTTCCTCCTTGCCCGAGCAAGTGGCGGTGCTCTACTCGATGTTTGTGCTCATGAGGTGGCAGATCTATCCCACGGCCGAAAACTACGATCGGCTGCCTGACTGGCTCACCCCCCGCCCTTCTCAGCTCCTCTCTCCTCATCCTGCCTGGATCGACTACCTGCCTTGGCCACGGATGCGCGATCGGCTTGTTATGTCTTACCAGGACTACCCATTCGACAGCTGGTTCATCCCGTTCACCCGGACCCTGTCGGTCAACTGGCCGTATGAGGCCACGGACTGCCTCCTGTCCACCAATGACAATGAGGACCTCATTATCAACCCGGTCTTTGAACGCCATTTCAGAAAGCTTAGCAATTGGTCTCTGGGGCCAGCCTTCGCCGAGGCGTTTCCGCAGTTGGTCGAGACCGCGCGAATCAAAACCAACTGACTTCCTCGGACTCTTTTTTTTTTTTTTATTTTCTAAAGTCCTACCAGACTTTCGTTTGCATACGTCTTCTTCTTTCTTCTCCCAAGTGTCTTTGATATCTTCCCTCTCTGTCTTGTTTGTTTCCAAAAGGAAATGGGCGTCCTTGCTAGGAACGGGGGCTGCCACTCTGTGATCGGCGTACGGTCAACCGGGTTTGTATAGGCTTTGGTGCATTCGTTTCAACAAGTGCTGCTCTCAGGGAGTAAGTGGCCTTTCTCTTTCTGTTGATCTATACGGCCTTGTTACCCCTGTTGTGAAACAGTGGTATATAGTATATATATTAAACAGTGTTGAATAACATTGACATCAACGATGAACAAACGAAAATTAGCCAGTATTTAGACCGTTGAGCCCCTGATTGATAGTCAGCCAGCTGTGTAGTGCCTGAGCCTGAAGGGGCTTATGCCTTTCTGTACCTCTATTTCCCTCCCTTCCTACTCTTCTCATTCCAGAACTCCAAGCCCGCCTGTTGGCGCAGGACTCCATACATGGAGCTACTATCCAGGCATTCGCCCGCATACTCTCGCGCCGCCACCATGTTCTCCCGGGCGATCTGCAATCCAGGCAGCTGGACATCATGCTCCTCGGCGATGGCAAGCGCATGGTTGGCGTCCTTGATGGCCAGCGATACCCCGAATCCCGGCCGGGAGTCGAGAGACGGAGCATAGGCGCCGGTTGTCAGGCTATCGAGGGATATGAGAATTGAGCGACGTTCCCGGATATCATGGGTGGAGTGTATATATATGTATATGTATATACCCATACGCATACGCACCGTTTGGAGTAACCACCCGCCACCGCACCGAACGCCTCCCCGATTAGCTCCTCCATCGGCCCCGTCCCCAGCCCCGTGCGCTCCGCGAAGACCTGCGCCTCGCCCACGGCCTCCATCAAGTTCACCGTGACGATATTACTGCACAAAAACGGAATCAGCCGACGTCGCCAAGATCCCTTACGAGATCTGGACAGAGAAAAAAAAAATCTCACCCTGCGATCTTCAACAGCGATGACTTGCTCGCATCCTCGCCGCAGTCAATTACCTTCCGCCCCATGACGTCCTGGATCAGCGGCTTCACCGTCTCCTTCGCCGCGTGGGGCCCCGCAATCGCAAACACCAGCTTCCCGTCCACGGCGATCGGGTTGCCGCCGAACACGGGCGCGGCTAGGAACGTCGCCTGCTGCTCCCGCAGCTTGGAGACGGTCAGCCCGACGGTCGCCGGGTGCACGGTCGAGCAGTCGACGAAGATCTTGTCCTTGAGCGGGTGGCCGGAGCGGAGGGCGGAGGAGATGAGGTGTTGCAGGACGGAGTCGTTGGAGACCTGATGCTGTTAGTTGAGGATGTGCGGACTATAGAGGGGCATAGAGGGAACAAGGCCTGGAAGTGAGAGGAAAGACGGAGACTGAGACGGTGACGGACCATGGTGAAGATGATCCCGCACTGCGCGACGACCTTCTCGAAGCTGGACTCGGGCACGGCGCCGAGGGTCTTGAGTGTGTCGCCGCGGGCCATTGTGCGGTTGGAGTAGACCAGGTTCAGCGATTTTTTGGCCAGATGGCGTTGCAGGTTGGTGGCCATGGCCAGGCCCATGGAGCCGAGGCCGTACTGTTGACGGTGTTAGCAAGTTGTTACATTTCAGTTCAGATGGGGTGGAGTGTGTCATATGTTGTGATTGCCGTACCCAACCGATTCGAGTCATCGTGGATGTATGGTTTTTAAGAGAGTATGTGGAGGAATCAGAAAGTAGTAAAGAAGGAAAGTGAAGCTATACTCGTAGGCTTAAACGATGTATCCATAGCACCGGGCGGTCCCGATCTCGGGGTGGGCATCGGCCGATACAGCGCGCGGAGAGGGTATTGGAACAGAGCAATTGATGGTTCTTGAGGTGTTGATGAATATTGCTATAATATTAATTGTCTAATTCTTCCCTAAATTTCAAGTCCAGTTCGTGTTCTGTGCATACTTCCGAAGTGTTGACTTGCAGTTCTGTTTACATTATTGCCGGGGTACACCCATTATTGATGGGATGAGCTGACCACCTTCACAATGATACGGTTTAAATACTTCAAAAGGAGAGTGATTAGGAGGGAGAAGTAGATATAGATCTCTCCAGATATCTTCTACCACTCTACTTTGCTTGTCTCCAGAGTCATGAAGCACCAGCCACTGGTGGAATGCGGCTCGGCACGCCAATGACGACTCTTCCTGTGTGCTCTTTCTATGGGGAAGCACTTGGCCAGGACTAAACTACTCCTATCACTACGTTGGCTCCAGCCCAAACTCCCTTTCCTTCCCCTCATATCCACGCTCCATAAACATCCTCCATCTCCAACGACATTCTTTGAGATTGAAAACTCCCCTTTTATTCGACAGAGGAATTGACTGGATCAGAAAGAGCCTCGTCCTCATCCATCACCATGGCGGAAATGCCCATTGGTGAGCATCTCCTGCTCCAGGCAGCTTCCTCCCCGTTCCGCCAGCTAATGAATCTCCCCGTTTAGTCCTCGACGGAGGAACTGGTTTCCTCAAGGTCGGATATGCTGCGCAGGTATGTCCATCTGATCTCAACAGTCCCTCAATACTCCCTGCTAACATGCTCTTCGCCCCTCGATAGAACTTCCCAGAGCACCAGTTCCCCTCGATAGTGGGGCGGCCCATCCTGCGAACCGAAGAGCAGGCCGGCGACATTGTTGTCAAGGATATCATGTGCGGAGATGAAGCAGCCGCCGCCAGATCAATGCTTCAGATCAGCTATCCTGTACGTTCACCTGCCAGTTGGGTTTCGCTGCGTCGTCGCAAGGATGCGCGTGCTTCCCTCCCGACATCCCCCTCAATCCTCCCAGTCCTCCTCCATCCGACAGACATGTTAATACGAGGGACCATTGGCTGTTTCCCGCCGCAATAACAGATGGAAAACGGTATCGTGAAGAAATGGGATGACATGCAACACCTATGGAACTACACTTTCTACGAGAAGATGAAGATCGATCCTACAGGGCGCAAGATCCTCCTCACCGAACCCCCCATGAACCCCCTGAAGAACCGCGAGAAGATGTGCGAGGTCATGCTGGAGGACTACGGGTTTGGGGGTGTCTATGTGGCTATCCAGGCTGTGCTGGCTCTGTACGCTCAGGGTAAGTGCGGAAAGGCGTGCCACCCCGATCGGCATGCGATAACTGACTCCGGCTCCATTCGTCGTTCGCATTAGGTCTCAGCAGCGGTGTGGTCGTCGACTCCGGTGACGGTGTCACGCATATTATCCCCGTCTATGAATCCACCGTTCTCAAACACCACATTCGCCGGCTGGACGTCGCCGGTCGCGACGTCACCCGGAATCTGATCGCTCTTCTCCTGCGTCGCGGCTACGCGCTCAACCGTACCGCTGATTTCGAAACCGTCCGCCAGATCAAGGAGAAGCTCTGCTACGTCTCTTACGACCTGGAGCTCGACAAAAAGCTCTCCGAGGATACCACGGTCCTGGTCGAATCATACACACTCCCCGACGGTCGAGTCATCCGAGTAGGAAGCGAGCGCTTCGAAGCCCCCGAGTGTCTCTTCCAACCGCACCTGGTGGACGTGGATCAGCCCGGTATGGCCGAGCTGCTGTTCAACACCATCCAGGGAGCCGACGTCGACGTCCGCTCAAGCTTGTACAAGGCCATTGTTCTCAGCGGTGGAAGCAGCATGTACCCCGGTCTGCCATCGCGGTTGGAGAAGGAATTGAAGCAGTTGTGGTTGACCCGGGTACTCCACGGAGACCCCGAGCGGTTGGGTGTACGCGGTCCATCCCAAAGCACTAATGCAAAGGTTTCGGGCGAGACTAACTCTACTCTTCTGCAGAAATTCAAGGTCCGCATTGAGGACCCGCCTCGACGACGACACATGGTCTTCCTGGGTGGTGCCGTGCTCGCCAACCTGGTAAGTTCCACCCATGTCTCCCTCCCGTCCATAACCGACATCTCTAACCCTTTGCCAGATCGCCGACAAGGAGGATATGTGGGTGTCCAAGCAAGAATGGGAGGAACAAGGGGTCCGTGCCTTGGCCAAACTCGGCACCAGCTAGTTTGCTCTTTCATTACTCCGCAATCCTCATCAAACACTCTTGTCGATATCTAGCCTCCTTTACACTTACCCCCTTCGAGAACCTTTCTGAGAATCATGCCATATATGGTTTCCAGGACGTCAACCTCCTCCCCTTTCGATTCTTTGTAGCTAGTATAGAAGTAACCAAAGCGAGCCTGGTTGGAATAAGCAGTGCACTGTCAAGTTCTCTCTTCCCTCCCTGCTCCGATGTGAATCCGTATATCTCTTCTAGGTGTTCTAGTTCTCTAACCTCCTGGTCTTTAAGCAAACCTCTATCGATTCCTCCCGCATCGCTCCGGATGCAAAGCCAAACCCCACAAACCCGGAACGTGTAGATTGTACAGTCCCAAGCACAAAAAGAAAAGCAAAAAGCAAAGAGATCAATCCCTCCATCAAGGAGATTCGGTCTATTGGATAGCAAACGCAATTGAGGCAAAACGATAAAGAAAGAAAGAAAGAAAGAAAGAAAGAAAGAAAGAAAGAAAGAAAGAAAGAAAGAAAGAAAGAAAGTTGTCTAAAATATAAGACAGGTTATGATAGTCTAGTATCATTCATCAGGATCGGATTCCATCTCCTCTGCTTCGATGGACTTCTTCCGCTCCTCGTTCATTTCGCGGTACGTGCTCCAGCTGAGGAGGAAAAAGGCGAGGATGATGAGGATGCCGCCCATGACGGACGAGGCGGGGAGAGGTTGACCCGTGCGCAGCCAGTCGACGATGGCGACGAGGAAGATGGTGAGGAGGGCGGCAACGGAAGAAAGAACCGGGGAGGTCAAGGAGATGAGGACGAGGAAGGAGCCGGAGAATGCTAGGGAATGGTCAGTATTCGTTTGATATGCGGAAGAGGGTGGGTAGACAGAAGGATTGGGGTTGACTGACTGGCATTGGCGAGAACGGAGATGAGGAGCATCCACGCGGCCTCGCCGGTGGGCCATCGGAATTCCTCCCAGCCCAGGACATGAAGGATGGGCAGGGGGATCCAGAGGACCAGTAGGGTGAAAGTCCCGATGAGACTGCCGAAGGTGTTGGCGAAGATCATGCTCCGGCCGGCGCTGGTGCCCTCCGGGGGACAGGCGAATCGCTTGTATAGCACCTCGTACAGACCGTAGAGCACGCTTCCGACGCCGATGATGATATTCCCCACGAGTCTGCGTGATGCATCGCGCTTGTGTTGGCCAGGTGTGCCATCTGGAGCGGTGGTTGACTCGTGCCGATCTCCGTACGCAACCACCAGTACTCCGACGATGGCAACGACCACCGAAAACACTTTGTCAAATCGCAATTTATCCTTCAGCAGCGGGATAGAGAAGGCGTAGGCGAAGAAGGCCGAGCAGTTGTAGATCGCGGTGAGGTCGCTAGCCGTCGTCAGATTGACGGCCACATACCACGATCCACCAGCAACCGTCAGAGCAACCGTAACGAAGGCCGTCGTTCTGAGCATGTAGGGAATCGGTGACCGGTGATAGTCGCGCGACGTAAGATGTAAATCTCTCGACTCGACCATCTGTGCCGTAGTTCGCAGTAAATAAACATGACGTCGCCAAAAAGCATCCCAGGACAGCTTTCTTTTCTGTAACCGCAGGATAAGAAGCTGGACGGGCCATAGAAGAGCCCAAGAACCGTGGGTGAGATAGCTATGAGGAAGCACAGAATAGTTAGACGGTATCCGATACAGATGGACCCTCATGGGATTCCTTTCTGACTTACAGCATACAATATGGCTTATCCCAATGGAGCTCATGCTGGATGTACACCGCCGTCTCGGTCTGAACCACAAAGCTGGCCAAGCTCAGAAGCAGAAACCCTGATGCAAGCATATACTTCCGTCGAGTCGCTATCTCCGCAGCATACTCCGGGGTCCTGATGGTCGGCCGCCGGGTATGGTGCAGCATCGGCCTGCCTTCCGCGTCACCATTGCCGAAGCTCGTGGTCGATAACCGCCGTCGCTCATCCTGCAGTAACGGTTGATGGGAGCGGCCGTCTAACGGACGATGTACAGCTGGACGATTTGGCGACATCTCGTCATCCGATTCGTGGGAGTCGAGGACCGGCGCGAGTTCCCTACCTTCCTCCGAATTTCCCGCGGCTGGTGTACTGGATAAAGCCACAATGAATTAATCGTCTGTATTATGGTCCTGCACGGGAGATGACAAAGGCGAACGGAGAAGAGTCTCCCAGCTTTCCTGTGGCGGATTCCAGAGGTTAAGCGTCTAGAAATCGCTGGGATGGAGGATCGGCAGCGTCTTGCAACGATGCGAAGGTGAAAGAAGGAGATATCGGCGCAGTGTATGGCTCATCCATGCAGAAATGCTCGGACATACGGCCGTGTCTATTGAATTCAGCCTGCCTCAGGACGAAACGGTCGCTGAGATCGTGGGGACATGCAGCTCTTTAAAGAATGCGCTTCCTTGGCCGATGAGGTCGTTTTGCTGCGGCCACGTTTGCCAAGTAGTATACTGAGTGATGTCCGCGGATCTGAGACTAGGGGATTGGGTCCGCAAGCCTCTTCAAGAAAATAACCCTAGCGCAACTATGTGGAATTCATACAATCAGAGAATGTCTGCTAAGACGGAGGATATCTGGCCATACTAATAGGAATAGGGACATGGAGAGCGTCGCATCCAAACGCAGTCGCAGCCTTACGTTGTAGGCCACACTCTTTACCGCTTTGGGACCGTGACGCTGACCCTGACACGTGATGATAGCCTTATCACCTGAACCTAGGCTCTTGGCGTCTTGTGCCTGAGGCAGCCCTACTCAGTAGATCTTGATTCTATTGCTAAGAGCGAGTCACAATGCACGACGGCTTTCTGAGGCCAAGATCCATTACGTATGCATGCAGTCCTGAGTTAATGTGCAAATCTGAAGTCCAGCCTCTTGTTTCCCTCGACTTTGGTGGTCGCAACATAGTCGACTCTTTGGTCCTCCGTCATGGCCATCCATTGCCTGTCTCGCCGGCGGTTCCGCAGCACATAGTATACCTTCGTCAATCCATACAGGAGGATGTTCGTGCAAACGATGATCAGTAGCGTTCTGTTTCCGACGACATAGCGCGGTGCATCCCCTACAAGATCGAAAGTGGATGCCTAATTAGCCAAGAAACAATGGGCGGTCACAGATGGATTTGGCCAGACTTACAGCCATGGTACACGTTTGAAGCGATGATTGAAGACATCTGCATGCACATGTTGTACAGTGCTGCTGCGACTGCTCGCGTTCGTACGCTGTTTGAATTGCGGGAGTTCCATCCAGCGTGCATTGCATGCGCTGAGGTGTTATCAGTATCAATCTCGAAAGCAGAGATAGCGAAAGAGCTTACGGTTTGGGAAAGCGAGTAGCAATGTGAGGACTGTCCATGCAGCCCACTTGTTGATCTGACTAAAATTGACTACATTCATGTACAGGAGCATTGGTAGCATCCAAACTTGGGCTAGAATGCCCATGTATGCAAGGGACCCGAAAGCCTCGGCTCCGAATGTGATGAAAAGTCGTGTTACGGCGCCCAGGGCCTTGTTATCAGTCAGTAAACATCAGGTATCAAAGTTTGGTCTTGAAATGACATACATTGTATGGGATGGACAAAAGGATGACTTTGAAAGTGCTAAATCCAAAGTCTTTCATGAGGAGAGTGAAGTACTGAGATATTGTTGCTATTCAAATTAGCTTATTTCAGTTGAGTCAAGGGATACGAGACAATACTCACAGTTGGGTATAACAAATAACAGACCAATGATATACAGTGGCCACAGATCGAAGTCCGTGACACTGCTCCAGATGAGTTTGAGAGTTAATGGCTGGCGATTATGCATGGTGCCCTTGCTCGGATCCTCTCGAATGATCCGATTGACCATGATGACCTCCTCTCTGCCTTTCATGTCAGCATGTCTTTCTTTTTACGCAGCAGAAAGCAGGCCAGGGAACGAACCTCTCTGTGAACCATCCGTCTTTGCCTCGCGCCCAGTTCGCCGTCTGTGTTGGAGATGCGGGCATCAGGGCAAATGCGAGTAAGCCAAGCGTCAGAGTGAGCAAGCCCTGTATCCGATTAGGAGTGAGATACCATAAATAAAACTGTTTGGTCACCGACCTCAATCAGAAAGAGCCAACGCCAACCAGCAAGGCCGCCGACTCCTCGGAGATGCAGAATGCCATAGGCCAAGAGCCCGGCGAAAATATCAGCAACAGAAGACGCTGTGTACCAAAATCCAAGTCGGATGGAAAGCTCATGGTGCTTGAAGAAGTATGATAGATAGAGGATCATCTACCCAGGCATGAGCACAGAACATCCCGTGATCTTCAGGAACGACATCACTCACCGTTGGCGTGAATCCTCCCGAGAGCAGCCCCAGAAGGGCTCGGGTGCACAAGAACGACGTCCTGCCGGAGAGCCAGAATTGGCATAGAGCAATGGTCGACCACGATGTCATCTGAATGGGGACCCATCTGTCGGCACCGACCCATTTCGCAATGACCTGTGCAGGCAGTTCGGCGAGTAGATAGCATAACTTATGAATCGTATTTCCTAGATTATAATCTAGAGGAAAGGCAGAGCCCGTATCAGCCTGATTGAAACGGTACTTCTGCCCTATGTAGACTGACCGTCTCGGGATAGATTCAAGTCGCGCAAGAAGTTATCCGCATTGGCTTGCTCTGAACACCACGTCAGTTTTTGGACCGGGCTTTTGTTTTTTTTTTGTTTTTTTTTTTTTGGCCATGGGTATACCCACGGATATTAGACCGGTCAAGCTCCAGAGCCATCAACATTATGCAGGCCCACACGGTGATACGAAGGTCGATCTTCCTGACAACTTTCTAGATCGCCGTCAGCTTCGATGCACAAGGAATTCGCAAGAGGCGGCTGACCTTCTCTTCGCCCCATGTCCATCTCGCTGAAGGATCGAATCGGTGGATATTCTCCCAATCTGTTCGTGGCCTATATTCCTCTGCCAGTTCCGGGTCGTCATATACAGACGGCTGAGTAGCGATGGCATTCAGGTCCTGGCCCTTTGACCACCGGAACCAGGACCGACGGTCTTTGCGTTGGTCACCTAAGTCTGACTTCTGTGTACATGATAGCACTCGCGTGATAGCAATGGGGGTCTTTTCAAAATCAGAGTCCAAAGGCGAGATAGGCTCGATGTCCGAGATAACCTCTTTCTTCACAGGGCGAGCAACGACAACGGACATCGTGGCGAGGATCGAGGGAACGTAAATCGACTACAAATATATTTACACGCTATATCCTATTCTCCGGTTGGAGGGGGCCATGGTGCTCAATTTAAGCGCTTATCCTTCCCATATGACAGTGTTATCATTATCAGAAGAACCACTCCCATAGCAAACAAGGGGCGCCATGGTGTCTAACCGCCATGATCCTGTTATCAATCCAAGTCCCACAGTATATCACACGACTAGAGCTTGTCCATGGCTGGGGTTGAACAAAGGTGCAGCCGTTTCAGCTCCGATAACTTAAGCAAGAACCCTCCAAAGACACCCTGCGGAGGCATGGAACCCCTTGATTCAGAGTCCAACCGCCACTGAGTCTGTGGTAGTGTGTGGTTCTAACAGCAGCAACTGTCAGAATGCTGAAGGGCTGCCAATGAATGGGACCTGGGTAGAAGAAACCATTGTTTGGCGAAAAGGGTATTGATATCATCTGGATTTTCTCGCCGCTGACTTCCTACATTTCTTGTTATTCCGAGTGATTCTTCAGACCGTTGTAGTCTGCGGAATTCCTTCCTAATTCCTTTGTTTGATCGCTCGCCGATCTCATAGCTTGCTTTCCTGCTATCGCTACGCAGGGAATGGATGTCCACATCGAGAAAGCATAATCGTTGATTGAGGCTAACGAGAAGTTCTGGAATGCTAGCATATCGGCAGTATGTAACAAAGCTAAGGGCCTCTGCCGGAAGCTTCTGATCCCATGTTCCAATCAAATACCGGTCCAGACCCGGAAGCAAGGGCGTCATATACTAGGCTACCATGGTGTCTTTCAGTTATGTGGCAAACTGCTGCATCGTGGAAGCGATACCTGCAGCATACTGTCTGGGTTCTTCACGCGCAGATTGGTGTATAGACGTAGGCCACGACCAGAATTGGGAGACTGGAGGGTTGTTAGAAAATGCAAAAAAAAAAAAAAAAAAAATCGCAGTTCAATCCTACCCTCTTCCCCATCTGGAATTCGGATGCAACGGTAAACTCGGTCGCAAGAGTCATTCAGCAAGGCATCGACATCGAGGTATGAAGATGCAATCTTTCATGTGGGAGTAATGCCAGCGTCTCCGGCACTGACGGACTTGTCGAACAGAAGCGTCTGTGTTGCCCTCTTGTGATACATGTTCCCTCTCACTTCTCATTGCAGAGCTGCACGGCTTGAATAAGACTGCCGGGCTTCTGTACATTCCGAGTCTCGAAGCAGATGTGTGTTATGTTCAAATCCACAAGGTTTGTGGAAAAAGTTGAATGTGACAGCCGCCTGCTGTGTACCAGTTCACGAATGACATTCTCGCATTCTTTGCAATTTGGGAGGGCGCATCACTGCATCCGAATATTGGATTCCGAGTTCCGTTCAGAAAATACTAATGAAGGCAAATGTCTTTTTCATTATGCAATGTCTTCGGGGTCATTCCCCCCTTCTTGTTTCTGATTTATCTTGTCAGGGCCGGGTGTAATGAAGAAATTCCCGGTGATAACCTCTCCTAATGTGCCAACGGAGACGACTGCCCAGTGAATCACGACCACCAGAGAGAGAATCTAGAACGAGCACCTTAGCGTCCATTTGCCTCGTCAAATGCTTGGAGTTACTTACAGTTCCCAAGACTCTGAAAAATGCAGAAGGGAGCTCCTTTCCCAACTGACATGTTGCCATCGCATACGCCCCTACCGGGAAGGTGAACGCCCACCAGCCGATGTTGAATGGGAACCGTCCGGATTTCAGGATGGATGCAAAAGCAAAGAAAAGCCAGGGAAGCCCGAACGCCCAAAGAATGAGAGCAGTCATAGCCCCAAACACATACACTATCGAGGCGGCAGAACTATCGCGGAATGTATAAGTTATCGAAAAGACAGCCTTGGCAGATTCGGCTAATTTCATTGCGCTGAGAGGAGGAAAGTCAGGATATCGTGCTTTGAAAACTCGGTGGACGTCTTACCCGAAAGATCCGGACCCCAAAGGTCCCATAGGGAGGAACACACTCATTATGACTCCCTTGTGCGGCAGCTTATGCATAGTGAGTCGCTGGAAATATATGACATAGACCATCATGGCAAGGCATATGCCGACGCCCCATAGGACGTAGCTCGCAACAATTGTCCACAATGCATGCTGGGTATTCGAGAGTATACCTGCAACAATCGCTCCAGTTCCCGATGTGACAACGCAGGTGACAATCGGCAAAAGCCAGATGGCGGTCATCGACGAGAGTTGGGCGTCGACATCTTGAGACATGCTGTTTTTGATCAGTAGAGTCCATTGATTGATTACCAGATAATATGGGAGCCAACGCACAGCGAAAATGGTAGACATAATGCTGACAATATCGAAAGAGAAGCATCCACTATCCACAGGGCCCAGGCGAGATCCTCGACCCAATACCCCCATACTGGGACACACACGTAACAGATCATGTTGACAATGGTCGCCAGTCCCAGTGGAATCGTACTTAGAAACATGGACTGAGCTGGTTGAGTCAACATGATCTTGAATGTCTCCGGGTACATGGTGTAGCGGAGGAAGCTCAGCAAGCAGCATGCTGCGAAGATGCCAATATTGACGGCGAAGATCACGATCGATATCCAATACAGCCAACGGCCGTTATATGGAAGGGTATATAGAATAGTGGAGACCATCCCCGTTCCCATCACCACAGAGAACCATCTGCGTTTCTTGCATTAGAGAGAGGCTCAAAAGTAACTGGCAACGGGTGTGTTGAAAACCAAAGACGTACGCTGGTGTGAAGTTATAGACGACCCGTCGCCAGCCCATATGATGCTTTGCAGGCAAGTCCTCGTTGAGAGAAGAGCGGCATTCATGCATATCTGGAGTTGCCTCCCCCTGATCTGATGGAGATTCATATACATCTTGTTCTTCCTTGTCCAGTCGGCTACTACTGGGCAAACTCGAAAGCGAGATTCGACACGACTTGATGATCTTGTCCATCGTCAATAGATGTACCCTTCTCATCACAGACACATACTGCGATAAGCCCTTCTCAACCCAGAACCCTCAACTCTCGACTCCGCGTGAAAGGACAAGCTTCAGTAGTTAAGGGCGATTTCCATAAAAATTCATCATTGGTCCTGCTTGGCAACTCTGCCCTCTCAAAGCAACTCGTCACCGCTGTGGTCATTAGCAATCGGGATCTGGGTCTCAGGCCAGAAAATGGAGCCTGTTGCCGAAATTCTCTGGTCAAGAAAGCGTGGAGATCCACAACGGACCGGTCTTCCATCCATAGTTCCATACTAATCACGACTCACGAGTGTGATGCTCGGGCTCCGGTGTTTGCTGAAAATCCATAACTATAGTAAAGGTGGACAATGAAGGCTAGCTGCCGAGAATCCCGATATACTTCAGAATAAGATAATTCCATCATCCTGTCTCCCCATCTTTGTGTGAAGATTCTTGCTGGTTCTTTTTTTTTCGATTTTGAGTTGCCTCTCTCTTTCGTGACATTTGTAGTCTTCCCTGGTTCTTAGCCAAAGCGGGTCTGAACAGATTGACGCTAGAAAATCATCCGTCATCTCAAGGATTTTGTTCGGCTCATTTTCGGCAAGTGGCGTAGCCGTGGAAGCCGTGGAGATAGAATATAGATATACGGAGTAGATAGATAGTGATATAGTGAGATCGCCGGCATATCAATTGCTAACAGTTCCTATCTACTATGTATATCTTCGATTCTTTATCTTCAATACAGACATGACATCTACAAGCTTCACATTGCAGAAAAGGCTTCAAGCCCCCGCGAGGTATCAAGGTTCTTGTGTCGTTCAAGCTGAGCATATGATATCGATCTAGGCCTTCGATTTGGGCTTGAACAATGCCTCCTTGGTATCATACGTATACTTCAGATCAAGATGCCAGTAGTTGGGTGCGGTTGGTTTGGCCACCAGCCAAGCTTGGTCAAGCGCATCGACAACTTCCTGGGGCAAGGGACCCTTCTTGACATCTTTGAGGTTGCTCTCCAGCTGCGCGAAGCTGCTGACCCCGATGATTATACCATCGCGGCCATTTTCCTCCATGTTGAGCCCGGAGTGGTGGTGGACCCAGCGGAATGCAATCTCAGGCATGGTCAAGCCATGCTTCTCAGCGACCGGCTCGATCAAGCGCAGAGCGTCAAACGTCGCATCCTTGAAGTAACGCTGGCGGTAAAGCAGTCCAGATGATGTCTGGTCACTATACCTTCCTTCCGTGGGGATGTCGTGCGTCTTGTACTTGCCAGAAAACAGACCACCAGCAAGCGGGTTGTAGATCACGATGTCAATCCCGTAGCGTTTGCAGGCAGGGATCAATTCGGTTTCGATGTTGCGCGCTGTGTGATTTAAGGTCAGTTGAAATTATTGATACGAGCAATGCTTAGAGAGGACAGGACTCACTGATCGCATTGTACATTGCCTGGTAGATGGTGGGTCGCACCCACCCTCTTTCGTTGCAGAGAGTGACAATCTCCGCAACTTCAAAGGCAGTGTAGTTGCTGAGGCCCAGCTCCACAAACTTCCCTTCCTTATGCAGCTCATTGACGGCCTCGAATGTTTCGGCAAAGGGCACGGATCGGTCCGGTGCATGAAGGTAGAAGATATCCACTTGGTTGGTCCCCAGTTCCTTCAAGGACAGCTCGAGATTCTCGCGGATAACATCAGGTTTATGCGTACCAGGACTATGGGGGTACCATTTCGTCGCCAGGGTTAATCCACGCTCCTTCCACTTGGCTTGTGCCGTGAAAGCCTCTTGTTGTCCTCCGATATAGACTCGCGCCGTGTCGACCTCATTATAGCCCTGCGACTGGAGATAATCCAGGCACTTGTTGAATTCGTCAAGGGATGTAATTCGAGCACCTTTGGACTCGTCCGGTCCAAAGGTCATCAATCCAAGGATAACCCTTGGTGTATTGATTGGTACAACTAGCGGCATATTGGCGATCGATGGGATATGTGGTGGTCAACCTGAGGTGATCTCAACTGCCGGTCTCTTAAAAGAAGAGTGGGAATTGACGGAAGAGCAAGGTTAGAGTCGACGCTCGTGGAATGACGAATTCGTGGGATCATTTCGCTCTCTTTATACGAATTTTGGCCTTTCTTGAATTATATTATTAATACGGCTTTAGGACTTAAGCAAGGAGATATCGGGATATTTCATGGCCGTCACAGGGATGGGAACCTGTTCATGTTCATGGGTTGATGCTTTACGGAGTACGGAGTAAGCTTACGAAGTAAGCATCATCAAAGTGGGATGACGATGATAATTATCTTCCCCGCATTGACCTGCCTGTTGGGACTTGGGATGGCTTCACACATAGGAAGACAGCCCTTTATCACTATGGGATGCTATAATACATACACGAAATCATTTTGCTGTTGCCATTATTAATTGCTATTACTCCAGCTTTAGCCCTCTCAAGCGATGCCGAAGTTCCACTCCATCTACTAGTGTAGAGCTGGCGGAGAAAAAGCAGGGGAATAGCTTTTGACTCCGCGAATCGCTCTCCATCCCCTACATGACCCATGAATCTAGCATAAAGCTATAATCGGAAGTGACCTGGCCGGAATCAGATCAGTAACGAAGTAAAATCATCAAGATCGCTGTTCATTTATTGCAACGAACTACAGCGAAATGGCTGCATCAAGAGCCAACCGCCGGTTCTCGGTGCTCATCGTCAACCCGAACACATCGACGCACATGACGGATGCACTCAAGCCCATTGTTGAGAGCTTAAACTATACAGACGTGCAATTCCATTACTTCACGGCCCCGACTGAGCCCGTCACACTTCCAGATGGGCGTGTTATTGACGGAGTGCCGAGTATCAACTCGGGGGAAGACTCGGTCACATCAGCCTTACACTGCAAACCCTTCGTCGAGCCGCTCCTCCCAAAATACGATGCGTTTCTTATTGCCTGCTACTCGGCTCATCCGCTCGTCGGCATGTTGAAAGATGCAATTGCGAAATTGGATCAGGAGACCAAGAAATATGCCACTGGCATCTTCGAAGCTAGCGTCTTGATGTCCCTCTCTTTGACCAGTTCCTTCAACCTATCAGGTGGACCAGGCCTAGAAAAGGAACAAGCAAAAGACACATTCGGCATAGTCACTACGGGGAGCATCTGGAAAGACGAGCTGACCAAATCCGTCACAGAATTGCTTGTCAATTCTGGTGATAGTCACAATTCGTCTACTCGTTTTGCGGGAGTGGAAACCACTGGGTTGACGGCCGTTCAACTACATACCACTGCACCTGAGGAAGTGAGAAAGAGAATCAGCGATGCGACAGAGAGGCTTATCAAGAGCACACCGCATCCTCTGAGTGCGATTTGCATGGGCTGCGCGGGAATGGCAGGCATGGAGGAAGCAGTGAGAGATGGCTGCATCAGAGTGTATGGCGAACGCCAAGGCCGTCGAGTGAGGATAGTCGATGGCGTGGTTGCTGGTGCTGGAATGCTTGTGACAGCTTGCAAAGCAGGATTCTGACGACCACTTGGGCTACTTTTGCTATCTTTGAAGAGCAAGTTGGTCGTACTGTGGTTAGCAACAGCTGAGCCCTGTCGAGCCTGAGTGATATCACCAGGATACATCTTTTGCATAGATGACTTTGTGATCTCGGCATAATGGGATTCAAGGGATTATTGATGTTTGCCTGCGTTTAGCGGATATGAGCAGAGGACATTGCAATTGTACAAAAGAAAAGGAAAATATATGATCTAAATCAAACAAATTTTACTATCGACTCTGAAAATAGATCACTATCAATGTAAATCCAGTCTATTTCATTTGTTGATGTTGCTACCAGCAGGTCATTTTTATTATCAGTCGATCTCAAAGTTGCATACCTCAGGCAGGCCCCCACCTACCTTCTCCAAAGCAAGATTCCCCGCGCAAACGCGCTACGCGTAAGGCTATAACCTCGACTTCTTCTGGTCAAGGGAAAGAAGATGCCCAGGTATGTGCACCACCCAGAGAGTTTTCTGCGATTTGTTTGATCTCTCGACTACATGCGACAGATATTAATGATGAACTAGAGAAATAATAACACTTCAAGCCGGCCAGTGCGGCAACAATGGTATGAAGTCCGCCGCAACCCAACCTCCGCCGTCGTGGGAGTTATCACGACTCGGATACGCGCTTTCTATGGGCATCAAGGCTTCGTTCGCTAACTGATTCAATGTGCAGTGGGAAGTCAGTTTTGGCAGCAGCTATGCCTTGAGCACGGAATAAGTCAGGATGGGAATCTGGAGGAGTTTGCGACAGAGGGCGGAGACCGCAAGGATGTGTTTTTCTACCAGGTACGACTTCTTCGCTTTCCAGTGGAAGACAGAGTGTATGAATTAGCAATGAGCTGACTGCGATGATTACAGAGTGATGATACCCGATATATCCCCCGAGCGATCCTGCTGGACCTAGAACCCAGAGTACGAAAACACCCACCCTTGACCCGATGATAGTTCGCACAATTCTGGATTTGGATTGATTTTTTGTGTGAAATAGGTACTCCATTCTATACAGAGCGGGCCATACAAGAATATCTACAACCCGGAGAACTTCTTCATCGGTCAACAAGGAATCGGCGCAGGAAACAACTGGGGTGCCGGTTATGCTGCGGGTGAAGTGGTACAGGAAGAGGTCTTTGACATGATCGATCGAGAAGCGGATGGCAGTGATTCTCTGGAGGTAAGTCTGGCTATATCAGACGGCCGCACTTGCGCATGGCTGATCTTGATGTCTTGTAACAGGGCTTCATGTTCCTACATTCGATTGCAGGCGGAACCGGTTCGGGACTCGGGAGTTTCATTCTGGAGCGGATGAACGATCGTTTCCCAAAAAAGCTGATCCAGACGTACTCTGTCTTTCCTGATACCCAATCCGCGGATGTCGTGGTCAACCCGTACAACAGTTTGCTAGCCATGAGAAGATTGACACAAAATGCCGACTCAGTGGTAAGTTCTTCGGCTTCAAGGATAATATTGTGTATGACATGGCTAAATCGGTATAGGTTGTTCTGGACAACGGCGCCCTTTCGAGAATCGTTGCAGACAGACTCCATGTGCAAGAACCTTCGTTCCAACAGACTAATCAACTTGTGAGTTCTGCTGAACCGTACAACCTCCTTATCGTACCGGTGACTAACTGTCGGAAGGTTTCCACCGTCATGTCAGCCTCTACCACCACCCTCCGCTACCCCGGTTATATGCACAATGACCTCGTTGGGATCATCGCCTCCCTTATTCCTACGCCCCGCAGTCACTTCCTGATCACATCGTACACGCCTTTCACCGGTGATAATGTGGAACAAGCCAAGACGGTCCGAAAGACAACCGTTCTGGATGTGATGCGTCGCCTACTGCAGCCGAAGAACCGCATGGTTTCGATCAACCCCAGCAAATCCAGCTGCTACATGAGCATCCTCAACATCATCCAGGGTGAAGCCGATCCGACCGACGTACACAAGTCTCTGCTGCGGATCCGCGAGCGACGCTTGGCATCCTTCATCCCCTGGGGCCCGGCCAGTATCCAAGTGGCGCTCACCAAGAAGTCTCCCTACATACAGAACACGCACCGTGTCAGCGGGCTGATGCTAGCGAATCACACGTCTGTTGCGACTCTCTTCAAGCGGATCGTTTCACAGTACGACCGCCTGCGCAAGCGCAATGCCTTCCTGGAGCAGTATAAGAAGGAGAGCCCCTTTACGGACGGACTGGGGGAGTTTGACGAAGCGCGATCCGTGGTGATGGACCTTGTTAATGAGTACGAGGCGGCCGAGAAGGAAGACTACTTGGATCCAGGCGCCGGCCAGGAGAAGGAGATGGGGCTGTAATGAGAGTGTGGTATTGCGAACCTGGCGTTAGTCGTTGCTCGTTGGGATTCCCTTGCGCTATTGCTACTGCTCTTTTTCCGATGGGGGGTTTCATTGTTCGGCAAAAGGCGTTTGTTGTATTACTTTTTTTTTTGTTTACATGATATCTTTGCTATTTCGTTACAAATAGTCTGGTTGCCACCGTGAAACCGAGAAATGAAAGTATTCTCAGGTCAGACCTGAGGAGATAGAAGTCAAGACGAATGAGACGACTTGGAGTTACAAACTCCGCCACCCTAGTCAGTCCAATCTCAACCTGAGCAACTCGAATAACTAGCTACTTGGCTTAAATACTAAGTAGACAGAGGACACTACTGCAGTGGAACTATGCATGTGCCTATCAGTGCACGGACAGGGATGATCTGAGCTCTCAGTCTCCCCGATGCTCCATCAGCCTACCTACGGCCTACATAAGTAGATATCTACCTGCTGCAGTCTGCAGAAGCGTTGGCGATGGATTTACGGTACTTCGTAGACCATTCCTCTTTCCGACGCTCTAACCGCAACAACGCATTGTCCACGAAGCAGAACCAGGGTGGGTTTTCCTGTATCTACATAGTACATACATATCTAGTACCTACTACCCAGGCACTGCACATCCTTCCCACCCTTGTACAGAGGGACACAGAAGCCGATCAACCCGCTCCATCTCGCCCTCAACATCCACATGACAAGTCAGATATGTGTGCAGAACTGTGGAGCATTTTATACTTATTCGCACTCATCTTGGCTGCCTACAGGAGGCAAGTAGATCAAATTACAGTAGATCGTATCTACAAGTTTAACAACCGTACTCTCTCTGCGGCAAGGAAATCCATTTCCAGGTATGCCTTTCACTAAAGGAAGCATAATCTGGAAGATCCCGAGATATGTGTGTTATTTGTTCATCCCAGTGGGCATGGTGGTGTGCTGGTCACCGCTATGACTGTGGATCCCAGCAGGTTGACTGATGCGCCCAAGTGGTTTCTCCCAAGGAGGGGTTGGGTTGGGTTGAGTTGAGTTGGGTTAACCGCCTCACCTGTAACTCGGAGGTAGAGAGATAGATGGATGGATGGATTATTTTACTTTTTGGTGCTTATCGAGTGGCTTAGCTTGTGCGGAGACGAAGACGGAGATGGAGATGGAGATGGACTATCGGGTATGGGAATGGGGAGCTAGGCTGTTATACAGTACTCCGTATACTCCAGGAGGGGATCTCTTGTATGTATGTAGTTAGTTGTACTTCGTAGGTACCGAGTACCGAGAATCTGTCCTCCATAAGCTATCTACCTTGCATGGTACAGAGGACGCTGTTACACTGTACACTGTAGGATCCGAGCTCATTGCCGGGTATGGAATATGGAGTACGGACTACGGAGTACATATTTTGGTTACAGGATAAGATGCTGGGGTGCCTGATGTCCTGTTAACGGTACGCATAGTCCATCCAAGTGATTTTGATGGAACCACGGCGGTGTCCCCCGCCAACTCAACGCATGCTGTGCTGTATCTGTGAGGTGGAAAGGCACTGGTGCAGGTAGTGGCGTTTCCCGGGTTGACTGTGGACTAACTATCTATCTAGCATATACAGTAGTGAGTGATTAAGTTCGTACTAAGGACATACATAGGGTCTGGAAATTAAGACCCAGCTTATCACGATTCACGATGCTTTGAGAATTGTTCCTTCGTAGACAGGCTGTCCACCACTGTACTTGGTCTTCAGATAACGGCTTCTACTCCGCACTCCAAGTGCAAGCTCCCCCTCGGAAGCGATTCCCCGAGCGAATTCGGACGCACTCTTCATCCCTGTCTGTCAAGGGATGGATTCTGAATCGATCGTGTACGGTGTACCTGTAGAGATAGATAGATAGATATATATAATATATATACGTGGGATTCTCTGTGAGACTGTTCGACTCCAATGCTTGCTTTTACCCTGGGCTACTGATCTGAAATGCAAAGAGCCTGGTTGGGGAAGAGACGGGTTCACGTGACGCTCTGTTCCTGGTGCGGAGAAGCCTCAGAAATAGCGCCATCGGGAGGCTTGAAGTTGAAGGTCACTTGGACAGAGAGGAATAGGATGGAGGATTAACTATTGAGTCAGTAGTAAGAGCAGATTAGAGCGCCTTGTTTTTGCGTGATCCCACCCCAACAGATCCCAGTTTCTGATTATCGAGCAAGGCATCCTCTTCATGCGAACCTTCAATGCCAGCAGATCACAATCAGGCGGATGGATTGCGATTTGCGGCCAATGTCCTCCCGTCATCTATCTGCTCCGGCGGTTATGACCTGCATTGCTGAGGACTGAGGTTGTTGAGGTGACGATCCCAGGGAGAAGACCAGACCCATCATGTATCTTGCCTCTTTCGTAGAGGACGATCAATTTAACTTGAATTATGGATAATTTGAATCATTGCTGGATTCTTTTCATAGCTCAATGATCAAGTCGATAGATAATAATAATAATAATTATTATTATTATTTGACGGTCGGTGCGTCCAAACTCCAAAGGGGTCAGAGGCACTGATAGGAGTCGTCATCTCACCACCAGAAAGGGGAACAGATGTCGTGGTCATCGGGAGGACAGGACACTTGTACAGTCTCATCTTGCTGATTCCATGATTGAGCTCGTCTGGTGATCTGTCTGGCCATCTCCTTGTTGGTCCATCAACCCATATGAAACCGCCATGTCGACTACAGCGCTAATCTCGCCAACAGCTAGCTACCTAGCTAGGTACTGTACAATGTTGCTTGTACCAACCTATGACTATTATTTAACCATCAATGGATACAATATGAATTGACACTCGACACGGCGGTTGAAAATCGTCAAATTTATGAGACGGGCTGTGTACCAATCACCGCAGAACCCGTAGTCGCTATTAGGTAGTAGGTCTTTACGGTCTCGTCACCCAAAGAACGCCAAAGTTGGTACCGAAGGCAAACCAAATCAACACCAGACAGACCTCGTGTGCATCCGAACAAGTCTTCAGTTGGAACTCGAAGCTTCCTTCATCGCTCCATTGAATGTAAAATAATCCGTCATTTCCTTTTATTTTATTTCCTATTATTTTTTTTTTTTTAATTTTTTTTTGGGCTCCACCCCCGATTTTGCCTCCATGGTAAGGACGGGAGTCGGGACACTACTTAACTAAGTAGGTAGCAATTCCATTTACAGTAGTCAAATCAAGTTGGCCAAAGTCTAGTTTGAAATATGTACAGAGTACTAATAGCAGTCTAGCAATCCAAATGTATTAAATGAATCCCCCCCCCTGTTGGATCGGCGGCGACACTAGTACCTCTATCGGCATTGGGACGTACTATCATGCTACGTACTATGTGACCACTTAAACCTCCTCCTACGTAGATGGTTCTACTACTATTGCTCCATCGCCTTGGACTTATTGTAATTGTAAAGTACTGCTGCTGTGACTCAGCGCGTGCCATTCTTCTACTCCTTCTTTCAGTTTCCTTTCCTTCCCCTTTGCAATAATACATAAGTATTATAAGTATTATTCATCAGTGTCGTCTGGCCCTCTCCTCATCCCTTCTCCCCCCCCCCCCCCCAATTTCCCTTCCGTTCTTATTAAGGGTCGTCTTTCGCCTCCTTTGTCTCTGTCTCTCTGGTTCTCTCCTCCATCCGTTTGTCTAAATTGACTTTTCCTATTTTTTTCGCCTCACTGCCACCTTCAGTCTCAAGAAACAAACCAGACATTTCAATTTCCCTTTCCTCTTTCTTCCACTCCCGTGCTTTCCGATTATCGGTCTGCTCTCCGATCCTCCGTTGACGGACAAGACCTCTATATATAGCCAACCCACCAGGGAACGATTGACCACCTTATCTTCCTTCCTCCTTATCTGCTTGGCTTCTTGACCGTCTCGTCTGCTTGCTTCTCTTCCTTATCCTCTTCGCAACTCCTTCTCTCACACACCGCACCCTCGCCACCGCCAACTCGTCCCTCTACTACTGTCAGCCTCGCCATCTCTGCCATCTCTCCGCCACGACAACAACCTTTCTCACCGTCCTCATTAATTCGAATTCGTGCAGCTTCAAGCTCATTAAGCGAACGTGACGACCAGTCCGAGAACGAACTGAAATACATTTCCTCTTCTCCAAAACCCTCAAACCCCCGTCACATCGTCAACATGGCTCCCCGCAAGCCTCGCTGCAACTTTAAGGAATGCAAGGAAGCCGCTCAGCGGATCGTCGGAGACTGCAGCTTCTGCAGTGGACACTACTGCTCGAAACACAGAATGCTGGAGGCCCACTCCTGCACGGGGCTGGAGGATTGCAAGAAGGAGTCCCATGCTCGCAACGCCGATAAGCTCAACAGCGAGCGGACACAGGTCATCAAGGGCGTATGAGCCACCTGGGGGACGACTTTCTTTTTTCGCCGCTTGTGGACCGTTTTCACATCTCCTATTATCATTCGACTCATCCTTCGTCGCGATCGATTAAGCGCGTTGGAATTTAGCGCGGTGTTGTGACTCAATTTGAAGCGTTGGGCCGGTTTGGGGAATCTCTATCGATTCGTTCTCTATGGGTGGCAGTTCGCCGCTCATCTTCTATTTTCACTAGGCTCTTGGATTGGGGAAAGCTCGTTTTTGGTTCTCGATTTTACTTGGTTCTTGACTATCTCAGTATCATACGCCTGGCGTTCATGCATTGGAGTTCAATGATTTCTTATCTGTCATCCTCAATTTGTTGCACGGGATCGAATTGTGACCATAAGACTATTGTCTAGTTAGCCATTGAGACGATCAAATTCTCCTATCTCTATTTCTCTTTTGTTTCTGACGGATGGGATCTATCGGGAGCTTCCGCCATCTATGGACATATCATAATGGCACGATCGTATAGCTTCCGCAAAATGTGACTCTCATAAGCAATAGTGAGGCGACGACAGGGATGCGGTATCCCACGTTTCATAGTTCAGGCCGCGTAGCTCGCCAGCAATCCCGGGTTGCGAACGATACCATGTCATATGATGTACAACAACAGCATGCAAGCACTATTGTCTTGGACATTGGCCTATCCTAGTCCGAGAAACATTGAAACCAGATATTGGAAACTCTACCCCATAGTCGTAGGAGAAATTACATTAATTTGAAGCCATGGATAAATAGTAGAAGAATATATGCATAAAATGAATAGGGGAAAAAAAACAAAACAAAAAAGACTATGTCTATCCTGGTCCAATCTTCGGCCTATACCATATCACGTCAGTCTCTTGCTCCAATGCATCACAACATCCAAAACCCAAAGGGCAGAAAAACAGGACATACATATCATGATGCTCACTCAACCTACTGAGATACTTATTCAACTCCTCCACCCGCTCCTTGTGAGTCTTGACGCCCTCGCGCTTCAAACGTTCCAGGAGCTATGAAACAATCACCCCATCAGCGTCCCATCCTTTAAAAAAAGTAGATGTAGATTATACATACCCGCTTCTTCCTCGCCTCCTCGTACTTCCGCTCCGCCTCCGTCTTCCCTACCCCGGCGGCGTCATACTCACCGCTGTGCTGCTCCTCGCTGCGACTGCGGCTGCGCTGCTCAGCGTCCTCGGACGTAGCCGCTGCCGCCGGTGACGCGAGAGCCTCCGTGTCGACGTTCTTGGCCTTCTTCTTCTTCTTTTTCTTGTCTACTCGGCCATCGCTCGTTTTGAGGCCCTTGAGTTTGAGTTTGCCGCCCCCGCCGGCGGCGTATTCGTCGCCAGGGGCCATTTGAGTGGGTGGGGTGCCGTAGTGTGAGGACCTTGCTTTTTTTTTTTTTTTCTCTTTCTTTTTGTTTCCCCCTTTTTTTTTCCTGCCTGTTTAGTCTGAAGGTGTTTGGGGGGGAGGGTCTGATCTGTTTGGTTTTACGGAGTACTTCGTGGGGTTTTGGCTGGGTGATGGGCGTTGTATGGGTGGGTGTAGATGGGAGGTCATGTGATTTGGATTGTTTTGAGTTTAGCGTATTTTGGGCTGTAGTATACAATAGTGATGGTCTTTTCGAAGCTCTCTAATAGGTAATGGGGTTGAAGAGGTTGCAATGTTCCTGAAAAGTAGGGTCTGAGACTGTCAGGCTTGAGCAGGAATGGGTATGGGAGTATACTCTGTAGATTATTTCGAATACACATGTATCCATATTTGCCATCCCTTTGTTCTCTGAGAAGGACTCCACGCTGCGGTTATGTGTCATGTCTGGACTCTGGAGCCTCTGCCTTGTCGACATCCATATCAACATGACGGATAAAAATACCTAGGCTTTGTTTCCATGCTGACTTTTTCCAGGCACGCATCTCATTGTTTGTTCCAAATTAGGGTAAAAGGAACCCCCCCCACCCACCATCCCCTTTCTCCTTTCATACCACCTTGATAGTCCTTTGAAACCAAAAGATGCATCCAAGCATGTCTCTAATACTTACATATGTATATGCCCCTTATTTATGAATAATCTTCATCTCCAACCCATTCTACCATTCCCAAATACACCATGTCACAATCTCCCTCCAACAGCAGCAGCAACAGCAACGGCGAAGACAACTCTCTCCCCCAAACCAGCCCATCGACATGGTACGTCCACATCCCTCTATCCCCCAGCTACGCACACTGCAACATCATCCTCTTCGACGCCCTCTGCGCCGCCCTGCAGGCGGGCCGGTACCAGATCTCCTCGTCGCCGGAGACTACGCGCGGTTTCGTGATTGAGGTTCGGGGGCGGTATACGCGGCCCGAGGCGATCTGGAGGGCAGCGTATGGGATTGCGCAACGGCGGTTGGAGTTTTGGCGGATGGCGAGGGAGATGAGCGGTGGTGTTAGGGTTGGGGTTGGGGTGGAGAGGGGGTTGGGGAGGTTGAAGATTGGGAATGGAGGAGAGGTTTAGGAAAGGGTGAGCTTGTGTGTGGGGTGGTGGTTTGCTGGAGGGGAAGGGGAGGAGTGGTTGTTTATTTGATTCTTTTTTTTTGGTGTGATTGAGGTGATATCCGGTCTGGGGGGAGATGGGGGTTGGGGGTTGAGATAGGCAGAGAAGAAGGCTTGGATATGTATGATGCCATTGTCTGGTGTGCTTTTGTCTAGTTGATGTCTTATACTGCGATAAAGCAGTTATTGAGGACAAGAGCATTGCCACCTTTCAAAAGTCTAGAACATGCATGCTCTTCTTCCAAGGTCTCTCACCTTCTCTCTGAATATTAACGATGAAAGCCCGTTGTACACTTTCAAGCTCTCCCACTCAGAGCCTCTCTCACTGCTGGCAGACACCATTTCCAACCATCAGATGGATGTCTCACTTCCAGACTATAAGACTCAGCATGAAGTCCTCTGTACCCCAGCATCACCAGCATCATCAACCAAAATGGGCCTCATCGAATTCCTCCAATGCCTCCGGGGCCCCAAACCCACCGGACACACCTGGTACGTCTACTTCCCCCTGCACGGAAACCCCGTAACCAAAAGCGAGATTTTCGAGACTGCGCGCCAGGAGCTGCGCGACAAACAGATCACACTGCGGGCGTCGAGACTTGGAGCCCCCGAGGACGGGATGCTGATGCAGGTCGTCGTGACGGAGAATACAGAAGAGGAGGTGCTCACGGCCGTGAGCGCGGTGATTGACCGTCAGTTGCAGGATGCGCGATTGTCACTTGAGCGGATCTTGCAGGTTGATAATGACAGGAGGGCCTATAATCGGGTTGCTAATCTGGAGAGGGAGGCGAGGGAGGCGAGGGAGTTGGGGAAGGGCGATAAGAAAGAGCGAATTAGTGTTCTCATTGTTGGACTATTCTGTGGGTAGGTTTCTTGAACCCTGAGAACCTTTTTTTTTAATGATTTTATTGATTATATTAACACGCTTGATCATTTCAGTCGTGCCAACAACTCATTGTAGAATAAGTTCTTTGGCTAATCGAATGGGATGGGTCGCAGACCTGATCCCCCGATTCGTTTCCGCATCTCAGCTCCCGCAGCCACAGTACTCGGCACTTTGATGCCGCAGCAGTCTCCAAAATAATCCGTGTGTCGAGCATGGGGATTTCCATCCCCATGGTCGTGAAGCTCCTCCGCCTCGGTGTCACCCGTGCGCTCTCCCATACTGGGATCCGCCAGGAGCAAGCTGCCAAAGAGAAAATGCTGCATGATGGGCAGTTTGCCCAGAACCTCTTTGATGAACATCTTCTTCATTCCTCCTTCGATCTTCAGCCAGTTCTTGGCGCCGGAGATGTCATCCAGCATGGGACTGTGCCACCGGAGGCCCTTGACTGTCTTCACACTGTCCACCCACCGCACTTGATCGAGGTAGATATATCTGTCCCCTTCTTCATCCAATATCGCCGTGTTGTGGATGCCCAGCGGTGTGATATATGGGTGGTCCACCAGCTGAGCTGCTCCAAACAGGAACGGCAGAAAATGGTAATCGTCCAGGCCCCACACGCCGTGGGAGCCAGCGGGTTCTAGATAATAAGTAGCTTGAACATCGCGCATGAGATGCATATAGCTCAGATAGACCCTGAAGACAATCATGCGAAAATCTGCAGTCGATAACATCTGCATCTGGCGAAGACACAATAGCCACATCATGAAATTCAGCTCATGTCCTGAGCCATAGTCTAAACGGTCTCTTGATCCCAGGGAGTGAATCAGATATGAAGATATCTCAGCTATCGCATCTTCATTTTGTAACCCAAGAATGTCTTTATGCCATGATGTGCTCTGCGCAGCCACATCGTCAAACAGATCCCGAAAAGCAGGATTGCCGAACCTTGAACCGCCCTGGTCAATCGACGGATGTTTGTCAAGAAGCTCTCGAATCCGATCTACCACGGAAAGAATTTTCGAGACATTGGCAGAGGCAGGCTGATCCTTGCAGTCTGTGACCGCATGCCCTCGCACGGAATCAGAAAGACCAAAGATGAAACCAACGATCAGCGTATAGGTCGGCGATGCGAGAAACGTCTCGTGGTCTTTGCGCGAGAGAATGCGCCGAACAGGTCGCATGTATTGATGGGATGATAGGTTTGGCGGGTTAGGAAGACGAGGGGTCACAGGAGCAGGCTCTCGTGACGAGAGACCAGATTGAGACTTGCGACTCACTCGGAGCTCGGACAGCTTCTTGGACAAATCGACCTTCGGTCCTGAGCCTGCAGGAGAGGTAGTCACGGGAGAAGTCATCTTACAATAAGATTCAGAGTAGGGGCCTCGTCGTTTGATCCGATGCTGAACCTATGTGTGCTGCAAGTGATATGGCTTGAATCAGTTGACGGCCCGACAACGAAATAGAGTGGTATCTTCGGGCGGCAGATCGACGCTCCAGATACCCACCGCCTACCCCTCGTAGTAATATGACGACATGGATACTCACAGTTTAGCGCCATCCCGTATCACCATGTGATTAGCCAAGGCGCTAACCTAAAACGGCTAGGAAGGTCTGTCGGCTGGCGCGTGATGTTTCTCTGGGTGAGACAAGACGAGCAGAAAGAGGCAGATGGAAGAACGAGGTTAGCAGTGGGAAGTCTCAGAAATTGCAGAGACCGACTACGAACTATCTACAGAACGCTAATCCAACTCTCTCTACAGTCTACATACAATCTTCATCTTATCGTTTCCCCACCAGCCGTGGTTGATGTGAAACTCAAAAGGACAATCTCGCCAGAATTAACATCAGGCAACTGACGGAGTACTTAGCACTTCAGAAGCGGAAGAAGCAAAAAAAGAAACGCGTTGGGTCAGACTGGTCTACTGCTGAGTGCTGACCCTGACGATTTAGCGAGCACGCCATCTCCAACACTTCTGATTTGATTGAATCCCACGCCAAAGTGGCCACCGACAGAGGACTCGCACACAACCCGTCGTCCATCTTCCCGATCCGAACATGTCTCTTTTGAACTCACAGGATCGGACTACCACGACCCCCGACCGTGGTCAGCCTCAGTTGACGAACAGGACTGGCTTGGTTGTAAACAATGGAGATGCAACACGGCAACATCCCGATCAGACGGAGGGCATGAGAGCCGGGGACTCGGCACCTGGCAACGGCCATCCGAAGAATCCGATACAGCAAAATCCAGGGAATGAAAGTCAGCAGAATAACCAGTCTGGCCCACAAGAGCCTCATTCAACGTGGTATAGTCGACTTGCGGAGAAGTATGGTAGTTTAGAACTAGAAAACAAGGGAAGCGTTGCACGAGATCATCTTGCATTAGGTGTGCCCCCTCCCACGTCCAAACCGCTTTCTTCATCGAGTTTGTATCAGTCATTGACAATGTGCATGGATGTAATGTATAGAGCGTACATTTCTCGCCTGGCTGAGGACGTCGTTAGCCTTCGCTTCCGTTGGTATTGCAGTGACACAGCTCTTCCGTCTCAACGCCGGCTCCACGCAAACGACCGAAATCACCTCCCAGGCCTTTCCTCCGCTTCTATCTCCTCCATTTTATGATCCTGCACAATTAGGAGTAACGTCCGCATCACAACGACTGCGAAATGTCGGCAAACCGCTCGGTACCACGTTCATAGGCATTGCTATCCTCATTCTGCTGATTGGGTTTCATCGCTACTTCGAGAGTCAGCACTGGATTTTGCAGGGTAAATTTGCAGCCAGCCGTGGGAGTATTGCTCTTATTTCGCTTGTTGCTGGCGCTTTGATCGTAACGTCTTTGGTTGTTATACTTGCTGTTTCTCCGGGTGCTGTTGAGACGTAACGGGGGAAGAGTCCACGAAACGTGCCGCATTCTTTCTTCCGCGGCGGGAGTTCTATTGTACATGGAATTTGCCCACGGGTTGCATTTACGACTGTCATCATGATCTGCTTTTTTCTTCCTCTCTCTTCCTTTTTTCTTGTACCCTATCCCTCATTAGAGACAGCGCTGATCTCAGAGGTGGAAGATTCGCTTGAATATAGATGAGAAAGATCTAGCCTAAGTCAGGCCCTTGAGAAGTTACAATTTTATGGCTTAGAGTACCGAATGAAGTAAGACGCCCTCGTATCTGGGAGGATGCTATCCCCTATCTGAGCATGGACCAGATGTGGGGTTCTGACTGAACTATGTTTGTTTTAAAACCACGATACATGCTCATATTGGACCTGGACGAATACAATGACCGACTTGATGATTGTCCTCGTATAGCCCACCCCCCAAGATCTTTGCCCAGGTGGTATGGTCCATTTTTTTACCTGCAAATCGAAGGAGTTGAATAGTCAACTTCCTCTCCGGCCACGATGGCTGGACGGGCTGAGCTATCGAGCATCCTCCTATACCAACTTGCTTGCAAAGATCCAGCAAGAATCGTATTCCTTGAATGACGATGGTGGTCCACCGTCAGAAATGATCACCATGTACACCTGAGTTGGTCCGTAGTAAAGGGGGAAATATGCCTCTCGCCTCTCGTCATTTCAATCCGTTATCTCCAGTAGAAAGACGGCTAATAGGGTCCTCCACTATAGAGAGGCAACACAATCCCCAGCTGATTATTTGGGGGGTATGCGTCGGGTCCGATTTCTTTTGGGTATCTAGCCCTGGGTTCCATGACAGTGCCATCACTGTATGTGCTTTAGGAAGCAGAGCAATGTAGCTCAGAACACTTTGTGTGTTCAGCGTGAGGGCCTGCCATTCACAGCACGCTCTAGCCATCATAGAGCGTGTTCTACGGGACGTCTGTTTAAAACTGTTTTATTTTTCTTATACCTTAGTGATGACTGTGGCATTACGAGCACATGATTGCATTGTGGATTTGAACTTTGTCGCGTGACCAGCAGTCTATCTTCGTCCGGTGCCCACTAGGCTCGGACGGACGGGTATATAGATACCTGTGGCACCGTCATAGCCATCGGCATACCAGCATCGCTTTTCTGCGAATCGATCCAGCGACTGATGGGCACTGGAGTCCATGGTGGCGCCCGATGCCTCTCAGTAATCCGGAACATGTACAACCCTCTCGAAGTCGGACATATAGACCGTCACCAAGAACGTCAAGGGCCCCATCTGTAGCATATCTGTGGCATACGCAGCTGGCCACCCATTCGTTGCAGATTGCCCAGGCGCACCCATCGTCTACCAACATCGAAATCCAGGTGGCCAATTTTTGCGAACACGCCCTAGTCACTGGGGAAGAGAACGGACCGGGTCATGAAGCGGATCTAGATCAGTGCCATTCAACCAGCCCAACGAGGACATCGTCGTCTACGGAGGTGTGGTGCAAAAGTATAGGTCAGTCACGTGATATTGTACATATCATTTCTGAATGCTAATTGGCTGTAGGTATGTGGGTCTACCGGATACTTTTGCACCACACCTCTGTAGATAGTCTAGCATTAGTTTTGGACGACACATAGCCCCGCATGAAGGGACAACCAAGAACCCGACATGCCGGCGGGCGAAATGACTGGCTCGATGCATCCGGCGTCTCCCTGGCGGAACCTGCGTTGGGTGTCCGTCAGCTCGCAGGAGAACAGGACTGCCCTGGGCTCCTGGCGCAGAGGCATGGGGCTGGCTGGCAAGACAGATGCATGTTGCAAACTTTAAGTACCTGATAAGCAAAATCTGTACGGAGTACAGACCGCAAAGAGTCAGGTAGCAGCCTTCGTATCCCAGGGAGAGCCGAGGAACAATCCCAACCAACGGCTGCAGTGAACCGAGACTGTAGGGCTGACATCACGATCGGATTTCGCCGGTTCGGGCGTCAGCTGTGGTTGTCCAGCTCTGACTGGATCACTGGACGTTGTCTGGATGAGCCACTTTCCATGATTTTCGGTAGAACCGGAAAATCGTTTTTATCTCGATCACCGAGTGGATCGAAATCAACCACATCCATGATCCAAGTTCCAACTCCACGAACAGGCAGCGATGTCCCGTTAACGTTAACCATGGTTCGGCCATTCAATGTCTCTGATTCCTTGGTCAGCCGAATCCAACAATAGCTTTGACAGTGATACTTCCATGATAGTTGTTCGGGACATTGTTCTCAACTTCTCGATGTTCCAGGTTTTTTTTCTTCTCTCGCGAAGACAGTTCAAGTGAGACAGTGATGATCTATCAAGACCCTTGCATGAACGTGGCTGGTGGTGATATCCCCATCCACTATTGTATTGTATTGTAAGAATGCATACAGAATGGAATACAGAAATAGCATTGGATCATTCGGAGGTGGAAAATAGGTACGGAGTACTACCTACTAGGTACCTAGTATTCTACCTACTGTGTACTCCATAAATTGTCTCAATATGCGAGTTAAGCGCCGATACTACCCAGGGGGGGGGGAGGAGTGAACTGGACTGCCTGTACTTACTTACTGTAGTCTACTACTTACCGAAGAGAACAAACCAGGATCTGATGCAAGAGAACAGAACAGGTACACCTGTGAACAGTCAATCTGCATCGAAATCAGTACTCCGGAACCAACTTCGAGAATATCCATATTTTGCTTTGTTCCTGAAATAGAGCTGGGTAGTTCAATAATCCGTTCATCCAATAACGATCTGACAGCGCTATCTGGAAATGAAACACATGGGCAACTCGAACTAATAATCCCCTCCTAGCGTCAGGAGAGTTCGTTGCTCAACATTATTATTCTATGGTGGATTATCACTCAACAAAATGGATCCATGCTTCATACGGTGTACTGTGTAGATACTCACTAAAGACTAGACAGCACTAACCTAGATAGATAGTGTCAGCACTCAGCATTCAGCAGTGAGCCTGGAAATAGCAGCAACCAATCGACCTGGTCCGTGTCTCAAACCATGCGCCATTGCTGACAGGGGGGTTCGAATTGGTGCGGTCTATCCGTGCTCCGTAGATACTCCGTAGTCCATCCGGAGAAGCTGAAAGTCTGAAACAAAGACAGACAACGCAAAAGAATCGTCCGAGGAATGTGTCAAACTGTCAATTGTCCATGGTCGACTCCATACTCCGTAGGCGCTCATAGCCTCACACTCCACTTGCCAATGCCAACAACAACGAAGGACGTGAAAGCTGGAGGCTGACTGAAGGAGTCCATGCCTATGTTGGTAACCTGGTATCTTTGACGATTGATGTTGGGGGCCTTGGAGCTTTTTTAGGGAATGCTGGTCCATGATCCATCCGGTATTTCAGGTTTAATTTGCCGACAGAGGCCTGCTCATTGATAAGCGACTCAAGCAGTGGCTAAGAGCTTTAGCCTTGAGATTGATATTCTTGAGATGCAGAAAAAGGAAAAGTTGAAACTCAAGAGAGAGGATGTTGAAATCCTTCTCTATGATCTATGAGAATGTTGTGCTCTGTTACTATTCTATGTCTTCATGGCTGGCCTCCAAAACAGGCATCCTTCTATCAGGATTTACTTTGGTGTTATATCTTGTAAAATACACTTAAGCCACGCAAGTTTACTGCTAGGCTACTTTCGCTTAGTAAATCCTGGCTAGCGGTGGCACTTGGCCGATTTTGCGAAAGACAGCAAGATTTCCATCATTTGCAGAATCTGCAATTCTGATTGGGTGCCATATTCAGGAACGGGCATTTAATTCTGCTGATGCCTGGAGACTTTTCTCCGAATGGAGCCGGGCTGGGAAATCAATATTAATCAACCTGATTGTCATTGAACATCCAAATTTACACTGACTATCATGAGATGAGTAGGTTGCATTCTTTTGAGTTTATTCGGACTAGTGATCTTATTTCAAATGAGATCTGTTATATGATGATTACTTCATGAGAGATACAGAGTCACATAGGGTATTTGTTTTATTATCTTATCCCTTTCACTAGGTTTCCAGTCCGTATTTCCCCAGTGGCAAGTGGCAAGGTGGCAGGGCAGGGTCCATGACGCTTTTATTCTCTAACCTTCCAGTGAGAATGAAGAACAGTTCTTGGATGACACTTACATCTCGCTATCTTATTTCTCCCATCTTTTTTCTTTCTTTCTTTGTTTTTTTTTCCCCCATTGTCTGGACTTGGGCCTTGGAGCTCATGCATCTTCTATTCCATGAGACTAGGAACGTAACTCCATGCTCCAAACAGCAACATGGATCGAGATATTCAGCGTACCTGAATGGATTAATGCGTCAATATCGATAATTAGTTAGGCTAAGTACTATTAATCAATCAACTATCCATGTTGTTGAAGAATTAGGACCAGGTACCTCGTAGTACCTAAATCAATTAATACCACAGAATTATTAAATTAACCTGTTCGGTACTGTAATATAGTAGTTCGTCCCTTTCATGGCACGCCGTCATTGGCTGGGTGAGGCGGGTAATACCGCGTACTGGGCCGGTCTGGTCAGGTACCATCGCGCTAAGGTAACTTACTAACCGTCCTTGGGCCCCCTCGGCTCCACTGTCATCAGCACGTTGACCAATCAGCCCCTGTTGCCCTCCACACTTTTGCTTTTTCTGAGTTTCTCCTCCTCTGGGCTGTCTTGCTTGCTCAATAATGCCCTGGGCTGCTCTCTTCTCGCTCTCCCCGTCATTATTATTCCACTTGCAAATCAGCCTTTCCTCCCTCTTTCCTGGGTTAACTTCGACTTCTTTACTCCTCTTCTTCTTCTTCTTCTTCTTCTCTTCCTTCTTACTGACCTTTCTTCGCCAACTAACCTTTTTTTTTTTTTTTGCTTCACATCCTTCTCCTCTCTCTCTTTCTTTCGCTCTTCTCTTTCCTTCTCCTCCTCCCCCTCGACCTCTCTACTCTTCGTTTCGAGACTCGCTCTGGCCCGTTCTTGTGGCCGTCCGCTCCTTATCCAACCAACATTTCCAGATTCGCGCTGCAAATTGGAAACTCCAGTCCAGTCAACGTCGAACGATTCATTCATATTGCCTCAACACTGCCATCAACTGTTGGATATCCTAGTGCAGCGTCGGGCATATTTCTCGATCTCAATTCTCCGCCTTCTTCTCCACCTGTTTTAATTCTCCTTATCCCGCAATTGTCCCAGCGTCGTATTTGGTTCGCCTCTAAGAATTCGGCTCAACGCTTTCGATGGTCTCGTTGCAAAGGTGAAGGCCTCCAGACATCGTCGGGCTTTCCAATTACTGTAGGAAAGTCACTTTGGTCTGGAGGTCCCTGTGCGTCTGGATCAACATCAACTGTCGATTTCATTTCTTCCTTGGAGTTGGTCGTGTAATCAGCTTTGAACGGGCAGGTCATATTTGCCCTCTGCTAATCATGGCGTCCATCTCTCTGCCCTTGCCGCCTCACGCCCCTACCGCATTTCCTCAACACATTGATTCACCTGGCCAATCTTACAGCCGACATAGCCGGCGCAATCTAACCATGTCGACTCCCCTTCCCAATCCGCCATTTGTCTTCCCCGCTCGTGAGCCAGACGATACGAGTGCTCAGCCTTCAGTAGTTCCTGAAACACATCACAGGGCCCCTCTACCACTACCAGCTTTTTCCTTCAACCCCGGATCTACCAGTACCACACAACCTCCGGTACCAGCAATTCCTCCGAATCGGGCGGGCGGGCACCGTCGACGATGCAGTGAGTTGATTGGGGGAGATAAGCTCGTCACCTCGGGGGCAGCGGAGGGCGTTCAGACTAGTGACGAAAGTCCGCTGCCAGCTCCTGCCAACCTTCCTACCCCCGGGCCTGGCTTCAGTGCTGGAGGACATGGACGGCGCCATCATGCTCACCGACGATCGGCAGCTATCTCTGGCGTAGATCTTGCTGCTATCACGAAAGCGCTTGAGTCAAAACCAGTGGGAAGTGCTCCACCGACACCGGCTGACTCGAAGCGTGAAAATGGTGTGCATGAGCTGGCCCGCCCTGTTTCTTACTCTGCAACCGCCTTGAACCGACCTACACCCCCTGCCTCTCCTCGAATCTCTATAACAGGAAGCTCACCGCTTCGAGCCAAGTCTGAGTCTCCGGACCGTCTTTCTGCAACTGGACTTCCGTATTCACCTGTCATAAGGCAAGGCTCTTCTGGAAGCATACCGATCTCCGAACCGCAGATAACCACCAGAAATATCGAAAAGACTGGTACGGCCGGGTTTCTTTACAACAATGAGCAGGCCTCTACTGCAAACGGAAGTATCACACCGAGACCGAAGACTGCCGACGCCCTCTTAATGTTCGACCTAAATGCAACTGCTGTCAATCATGATATTTCATCGTTGAAGCGGCCCACATCTGCGGCAGGACACACTCGTTTCCACAAAAGCCTGTCGTCTGGAATTCTTGATGCGACCACGGGCCGGAAGAACCGGGTTAGCGATGACTATCATCTTACAGACTCGTCTAGGCGCTCATCCTCTGATGACTTGAATTCAAGCTCGTCTGATGATGAACATCCCGGGTCAGACGAAGCCCATGCTTCAAAGAAGAGTCGATTAAAGGCCAAAAAGAGACAGAAGAAGGTCCGGTCCTGGGCGGGGGCCATTCTGACTCGAGGCAAGGGTAAGCGGCATCAGTCGAAGAAGGAAACTTTAGAAGCAGATTCTGCCGTTGTGCCACCGGTCATTACCCGCACCAATTCGGATCTTGGTTCTGGCTTGGATGTTGACTTTGACGACGATACTATTGTTGTTATCCGTACCCCAACCAATCCAAACGCCCCGGATTCGGGTCGTTTCCCCTCCGAGGTCGAAGCACAACCGTCGTTCGAAAATTCCTGGAAACCAAGGAGTTTCTACGAGCAAGGCTCACAGGACGATGCCCTCAGCCCTGTCATCGACTTGGATGCAGCTCTCGGTCCCTTCAACACTCCTGATATGCGCGCCGGAAAGGGTGCCGGCAATGGATTTTCCGCGGTGTCTAGACGGATGTACAGTGGTGGGCGACGGGGTGAATTTGTCGGCCCCGAAATGCGCTATCATCGTCGTGCTGAAAGCGCGCCTGAGATGCCTCCCTTTGATCGGAGTTTTCTGAACAATCGGCTGGCTAATTCCTCTTCTCTGGAAGTTCCCGATGTGTTCTACGAAGAAGAAGAAGATGCGTTCTTAGCAGCCACAACTGAATCGCCCCAGGATGGCCGTGAAACAGTGTCTGATATGTTGCTCAACTCATCAAATGACAACTCTGACCAGCAAACTGTTGGCAGTCGGGACACCGACGATACCATGATTCGACCTACTGCAAATGTTGAACCCAAGTCACAGCAAGCTGGGCTTGGAATTTCCAGCAACGAGTTGTGCGAAGGAACGATTGCCAACACCTCTTTTGACCGCCAGGAGATGCAGAACAAACCTGAAATGGTTGCGCAAGAAATAGCTGTGGACCACCTTCGCAATGCGAACAATCCTTTTGGCAGTCCTGGAAATCCAGTGGAAAGCCTTCAGCAGGAGAGCTGGCCGAACAAAGCACCAATCCCACTTAGCCCCGAAATCTCCCCTCGATTCCTGCCCGCTGACAGCCGGCCGGCGACATCGCCACTCGAACTCACCGGCAATATCCCCCAATTCTCTTTACAAAGCACCTGCTTTCTGTCAAACTCCTCTTTTCCATCTCCCGATTTCACCCTTTCTTCATCTGATGCTCCACGCTCAATAACAACATCGTCGACGACCGACCGGAACTTCTCCAACCCATCATATAATCCCTCTGTGGACCTACCTCATGCGTCTATGGAAGATGTGCCGTCATTGACCAGCAGTGCGTCGACCACGACCAACACTCTCGGCCGGTTCTCGGGGACATTCTTCCATCGGTCCCGCCCTTCCACTGACCGCTCCGCTTCTTTTTCTGCTGCGGTTCACCGTCGCAGCAGCCATGCTCGTAGCCAGAAAAGGTCGAGCCTGGCTAGTTTGTCCAAGCTGGTCGGCGGTCCCAACGGTGAGAGGAGCAAGCTCAGCATTGAAGAAAAGCCACCAAGTGATGCTCCCGAGAAGACCAAGAAGAAGGGCCGCCGGCTCAGTCGTCTCATGCACTTCTGGAGGACCAACGAGAAGGAAAAGCTGACCGAGGATGTTGTTCGAGAAGAACAGCGGTCATGAACATCCAGGTCACTTTCAACGATTCCCCTTTATTCTTGTACATATTCATCCGCATTATGAACGATTCGATCGGCATGGTCTCTGCAGGTCTATCCATTGCTGGCCTCTTTTGCTTGTTTCCCCCTTGTTTGTTCCTTCTTATTCTTTCGAGATCACTGACGAATCTCTTTTCTCGACATGTTATTTTCAGCGTAAGAGTGTGATGCTCTGGTTTTACTTCTTGTCTCTCGTTGATGTTTGATTGCTGTCCGCTTGTTCCCGAGTGTGGTCAATCTTGTTGCATTTACTTCACCTACTTCTTGACAGTCCTTTTCAGCCTCCATTTCTCTTCTCTTCCTTTTCCTTCTTGCTCCCCATCTCTAATCTTCTGGCGGTCATATGTGAATTTGCCAACATAGCTGCTTTTATTGCGGTGGCCGGTTTGAACAGGTGTTACTGGCTTTCATCTTCATTTCTTATCCGATGACGGATCTGCCTGGTCGGCTTTTTTCGATGTCTTTGGTGTTTAGTTTACATGTGTGAGGCGACATGTCCATGAGACTACCATAGATGTTAGTATCAAATTGATACGATTCAATGTCGAAAGTTTTAAGATAAATATGAGTGTCGTCGTCCGAGGACAGTCTACACTGCACCACTTTGTATGATGGTCTCCAGCATTAGATGGAAACTTGTCGTTGTGCTAGCTATGTATTTAGATGTCGAATCCATATCGTCCTTCATCGGCATTGTCAAGTTTAACACTGATTTCCTCATAGTCTTTTCTTTCCTCGAAACTTTGCTTGGATGTAGCTTATCGTTCAGCGGGTGGAGTCCCCAGAAAAAATATACTACGTATGTATGGAGAAAAACCAAAAAAACCTCAAACCACCAACAGAGAAAGCTCTATAACCCAACAAACCAAAAAATAAAAAATAAAAATGGCACCACCAAGATTAGGGGCCGGTAAAAAGCCCACCGCAAAGAGCCAGCAGGGCCGCGACGACAACAAGAAGCGACAGGCCCCGAACAAACAACCCCAGCGCAACCAAGCAGACACCAACACCGACACCAACCCAGACGCCAGTAACAAGATCGACCTCTCCGCCACCATCCCGCTTCCCCTCCAACAGCTCCTCCTCAACGTCTTCAAGTCCGCCCTACTAACAACAGAGGCACAAGACCGGAGAAATGACACTGAGAACGCCAGCAACGAGCCAAGCCAGGACACCGCACCCGCGCAGCTAGATATCAAGACCCTCGTGCAGACCATCAAGTCGCATCTGTACAACCGCGACTTCGACTCGGCGTTCACGGACGCGAGCGATGATCTGCTGCGCGCGTATGCCCTGCGCTGGAGCGCGTCCAGGGCCCTCGGGTACGCCGGCGTCTTCAAGTCGGTGCTAAGGGTGCTTTTTCCGGACTTGAGTTCGGCAACGGCTGCGGGCGCGGCCGCAGGCACAGGCACGGACCATGTCGTTTGTATAGGCGGCGGGGCTGGCGCCGAGATCACGGCGCTGGCGGCTGTCTGGCGCGATCTGAATGCGGGGAGCGAGGGGGATGCGACGGGGCTTGCGGGTGCTGTCGCTGGGGTCTCGCTAGAGGGTGAGGGGATGGGCGTGGAGGGTGCTTCTTCCGGTGTGTCTGCGCCGCGGCTTAAGGTTACGACTGTCGATATTGCGGACTGGTCGAGCGTGGTGGATCGGCTGGCGCGAACGTTTCGGTCGGCTGCGGTGCCGGCTTCGAAGGCGTGTCCGGCGCCGTTGCAGCGGGATGAGGCGGGCGATTTCGTTGTTGGCTTCAGGCGCGCCGATGTGCTTTCGTTATCGGAGGGGGAGCTAGGGGAGATCTTGCACCCTGATGCAGAGAGAGGAGGGAGTGGGAGTGGGAGTGAGGCACCTGTCCAAACGGTCATGGTCACGCTCATGTTCACCTTGAACGAGCTCTTCTCGACTTCCATGGCGAAGACTACGGCGTTCTTACTCCGCATGACGGATCTGCTGCGACCCGGCACCGTACTCCTGGTTGTGGATAGTCCCGGGAGCTATTCGACGCTGACGCTGGGGAAGGCTGCGAAGAAGGATGCGGACACTGCGGGAGATGCGACAGGCGCACAGGAGCGGCGCTATCCCATGAAGTTTCTGCTGGATCATACGCTGCTTTCGGTTGCGGTGGGCAGATGGGAGAAGATTTATTCGCAGGATTCGCGGTGGTGGAGGAGGGATGCGGCACGGCTGCGGTATTACGTTGGTGAAGGGGCGGGTCTGGAGGATATGCGATTCCAGGTTCATGTGTATCGTAGGTTAGGTGACTGAATGGGAGAGAGACGGGAGACGTTAGGATGAGATCGGAAGGGAGCTAGGCTAGGAAAGATACCACTTTGCGATATACTGTTGGGGAAATCCAGCAGGACAGAGGATAGAGAGGAATGGATATACTATTGCTACAGATAAATTATGAGAAAAGAGAATTCAGGTACAACCATACAACATCAGTTCGCCGGGAGATCATGCAAGCCTAAATCCCCATCCCGTTGGAATAAATGAGATTGAAATTCAAACGAAAGCCACATCCAGTGACAGCCCTTCTTGCTCTGTTTTCTTCATTGGTGCAAGTTTTCTCTTCCCTTGCCCTAGTTTCTCAAACCCAGCAGAAGGCTCGTGCCCTTGCCGCCCTCCTTGCCATCGCTGCCTGGCAGGTACGTGACGTTGGGGTTGCTCGCCAGCGTCTGGGCGATTTCCTTGGTGGCATCGATCCGACGGATCTCAATGAGACCGCTGCCCGCCCGAGCGACGGCCTTGCTGATGATATCGGCACTCTCAGCTTCACCCTCGGCACGGATAACGTTGGCCTGACGCTCCTGCTCGGCTCTCTCGACGATGAACCGGGCCCGCTCGGCGTCCTGCTGTGCGATCTGCTTCTGCTCGACGGCCCGCGTGAACTCCTTTCCGAAGGTCATGTGTGTAATGGAGACGTCTTCCAGAGCGATGTTGAACTGTGCGGCGCGCTTCAGCAGGTCGGTGCGGATGCGGTTCGATACAGCCTCTCGTTGTGTGATGAGCTCGGCGGCGTCAAACTGGGCGACGATGGCTTTGAGGACTTCGTTGCCGATCGAGGGGAGGACACGCTCATCGTAGTCGGTACCGTATTTCTTGACGATTAGCATTAGCATACATCGAATTACACATCCTTCTGGACAAGGATCAGCTTACCTGATAGATAACCGGCAGCTTCGGGACATCTGGACGATGAAGCACTCGCAGGGTCAAGCTGACCATCTGCAAGTCCTTACTGCCCGTAGTGGTGGAGATGTTGCGAGGCTTGGTGCGGACATCGTAGACAATAGCCTTCTGCAACCAGGGAATAAGGAAATGCGTGCCCTCGTTGATCACCTTCTCCTGGACACCAGACAGTCGGTCGAAGATGACCGCCCGTGTACCACCGCGGACATCGTAGATGGAGGCGTTGAAGATCATGGCGCCGGTGGCCACGGGGATGGCGAGCCGGTAGAGATTGTACAGTCCGTTAGCCGCCATGATGGATGAGAATAGATGTGATGGATGAGGTGGAAGCGGTTCGTTCTGGCGTCGATTAACTGCTCTCTGGACTGTCCTTGTCATTTGATGATGTCGGGCTTTTCGCATGCTGTCCCGATGCGGCCTAGCGCCGGACGCAGGGCCAAACCTCCAACTTCGCCGTTTTGGCCCGACTCGACCTCGTCTCTCTTTCTGCTGCTACTCTCGCCCTGTGCTGCTCGTCCACGCATTCTCTTTTACGTTTGTTTTTCGATCGTCTTGACTACAGTCACAATGGGTGGTCATCTGAATCCTAAGACCGGAGTGTGAGTTTCCCTCAATCGCGGCGTCAGGCGGCTCTGATATCCCTGGTATCCGTGGGCGGTTATATCCATCCTCATACCGGGGACAAAGCAGCCCTGTGCTCGCTGCCTCCCGATTCTTCATGCAATTGAGGATCTGCTATATGGCCGCATGTGCTGACACTATGGTTTTTTGTAGTTACATCGGCGACTGGGGTGACCTTGGTAGGTCTATGAACCCAATATGATTATATGAACGCTTTACCTGGATCGCGCATCGAAGATGACCTACTGGTTATTTGAGTTCAATGCATACTCGAGCCCCTGGAAAATTGATTTACACTATTTCCCTGATCATAGGGAAGCGATAGGCTCGTTATTTGCGGATGCTGATATTGTAATTTTGCGCTGTCTCTAGGCTGCCCGACTCCCCAGCGCATTACCACCTACTCTCTGTCTGCCAACCGTCAGCGCCCCCTGGCCGGTGCCTTCAACGCTGCCATCTTCAACACCTTCCGTAGATTCAGACACCAGGTCCTCTACGTCGTTCCTCCTTTTGTTGCCGCTTACGCCGCTATGAACTGGGCCATTGAGAGGTATGCGTCTTCTTCAGCCTACATCCCTCCCCAAAAAACCACTCGATCGATCGTGGCTCATCTGCTAATGCGTTGTTTTTGTCTAGAAACGAGTACCTCAACTCCAAGCCTGGTCGTCTCACCGAGGGTGGTGGTGATGAATAAATGGATCGCATTCCCAGCTAATTACGAAAAGTGACATGTGCGGGTATGGCTCTTGAGCTAATGGCGGGTGTGATTCTTGTGATTGCAATGTACAGTAACTAGAAAGCAATCAATTGTTCTTGTCTGTCTGAATTCAGTTCTGTTGCCGAAAGTGGTTGTAGGCTCAGCTTCTTCGGCGATGTCTACCTATATTCTGAGTAACACCTACACCAATCAAAGGCCTTGATTCTATGGAATCGACCTCTATTAAGTATAGTTCTAGATGTAGATGATGTTGAGAGCAACAGATGATGCTCAACTATCTCCCTAGTCCCTACACGCTACATGGCAGTACCTGAAGAACACCAGACAGATTTGATATGGCCTTTAGAAGATCTCCTATTGGTTGAACGGGTTCTGCTTCCTTATGTAATCTTTTTGTCTACTCCCGCTACTACTAGTACTGGGGTATCTACACAGTACGAGCAAGCTCAAGATACACTTCCCAAGTTCCCGTTTATCCTCTGAGAGTGACAGCATCCCAGGTGAACAAGAGAGTATGGATAGGCATGATACAAGGCAGTGAGGGCCACTATCTGGCTTCCAGCAACGCTATCTAGTACTAGATACGGTGGTGGTCAACAAATCGCACTTCGTAGATACTACACAATAGACAAAGACCCCACAATGCCCAGGGATTTCTCACTTTCTCTTCTACTACTGGACTAGCACGGAGTTGTATCTATTACCTAGATCACCTTGAGGTCATACAGCCCGAAAAATTAGCAGAATCGGGCAAAAGAAGTGAGAAGAAAAAAAAAAAAAAATCCCACACCACCAATATCAGGCAGTCAGGCATCCAGGCACCCAGGCCAGCTCCCCCACTTCCGCATGCGCTTCTTCTGCTTTTCTTCGCTTTTCTCATCGCCGTCTTCTCTTCCTTCTCCTCTACGTTCATCGTCTTCTCTGCTTCGTCTCCGTGCTCTTCCTCCTCGTCGACGTCCTTTTCACTCCATCACCATGTCCGAGATCACTCACCCCACTATCAAGGGTATGTACAGTCTTTCCTCCGTCTTCATGTCTCTATCAACATCAGCATCAAGCCCCTCCCATCAGTTTTTCCAACTACCCCGCTCCGCTCTACATCGCATGTATTTCATCAACGATATGCTCTTGGTACTCAATGAGCTCTAAACAAGCATTAATTGTGCTGTCATACTGTTTTTCTGTGGCTCTGGTGATTTCTTTCTTATAAGGTTACCCTGCTAACATCACTTCCTCGCCCCTCAGATGGCTGGTTCTCCGAGCAGTCGGGCATGTGGCCCGGCCAGGCCATGAACCTCAAGGTGAACCAGATCCTGCACCACGAGAAGTCCAAGTACCAGGATGTCCTCGTCTTCGAGAGCACCGACTATGGTACCGTTCTCGTTCTCGACAACGTCATCCAGTGCACCGAGCGTGATGAGTTCTCGTATGTTTACACGCCCCTCATGATCTTCTCCCAATGGATTCTGATGATGCGCTTTCGAATGACCACAGGTACCAGGAGATGATCACCCACCTGGCCATGAACTCCCACCCCAACCCCAAGAAGGTTCTGGTTATCGGTGGTGGTGACGGTGGTGTCCTCCGTGAGGTCGTCAAGCACGAGACCGTCGAGGAGGCCATCCTCTGCGATATCGATGAGGTATATAACACCATACTTTTAATTCCTCCCTTGCATCCCGCTTCAGAACTAACACTCTCCAGGCTGTCATCCGTGTCTCCAAGAAGTACCTCCCCGGCATGAGCATCGGCTTCCAGCACCCCAACGTCAAGGTCCACGTCGGCGATGGTTTCCAGTTCCTCAAGGAGCGCCGCAACGAGTTCGACGTCATCATCACCGACAGCTCTGACCCCGAGGGTCCCGCCGAGAGCCTCTTCCAGAAGCCCTACTTCGAGCTTCTCCGTGACGCTCTTCGCGAAGGAGGTGTCATCACCACACAAGGTTGTTCGTCGCCTTTCCTTTATCCCTTTTGCCCTCTATCATAATCTCCTCTCCCACCCGAATTTCTCTTCCCCCTTCGTTCCCTCCCTCCCTCCCCCTCTCTCTCTTAAATAATTTTTTTGTTCTTTTGCTTGTTAAGATCATGAAGCTAACCAGTATGCGTCCCAAATCACCGACCCCCCGCACGGGATCGGTTTGGGTTCGTGTTTCCCTCGCTATAGCCGAGAACCAATGGCTTCACCTTCCTCTCATCACCGACCTCAAGAAGTCGTGCAAGGAGGTCTTCCCCGTCGCCGAATACGCCTACACCACCATCCCTACCTACCCCTCCGGCCAGATCGGCTTCATGGTCTGCTGCAAGGATGCCACCCGCAACGTCCGCGAGCCCGTCCGCTCTTGGTCCCGCGAGGAGGAGGAGCGTCTCTGCCGCTACTACAACCAGGACATCCACCGTGCCAGCTTCGTCCTGCCCAACTTTGCCCGCAAGGCTCTGGATGCGTAAATTCCAAAAAATCATGAATCGCATATAAACTAATCTGAAATGAAAATGATATCAATTCACGTGCACTTTGATGTTTATATTTTTAGAGCCTTCCTTGGTGGCCTGTATGGACTGTATTCTGAGTAAATTGGTCTCACATAGATCGCTGGTACGAATTCGCGATATCGATTCCTATGGCAGGTACCACTACTGTACCGCACATTAATCAAACGGAAAGAACATATTGAACAATTTTGATCATCTCATTTTGATCCCTCTAAATCTAGCAGATATTCACTAACAACCAAAGGGGGGGGGATAGGACAGATAAGGACCATTTTCACAAAAAATTCGTCGAGCCGTTAAACCATTAACTTATAGAAAAAAAAAGGAAACAAGAAAAACATCCATCATGACGCGAAGACGGGTCGTCTACAGAATCTGCTCGAAGGCGCGGTTAATGGGCGAGCGCACGGTGTGGCCCTTGTAGAAGTCGATAGTGGCCAGAGCACGCTTGCTGATGCCCTCAGGGGTGAACTCGAATTTCTGATCATGGTTGTTAGTATACGTAGGATTCCGAAGAATAGGGTGGACATTAGTAGTAGTCTTACCTTGTAGACTTCCTTGTAAGGGCCAGAGGCACCGAAGCGGTTGAGACCGAACTGCTCGTGCGAGTAGCGCTCCCAGCCCATGGTGGTGAGGGCCTCGACGGAGAGGACGGGGATGCCGTCGGGGAGGACCTTGAGTCTGTAGTCCTTGGGCTGAGCATCGAAGACCTCGAAGCAGGGAACGGAGACGACGCGGGCGACGACGTTGTGCTTCTCCTTGAGGTAGGTGGCGGCCTCGATACAGATGCTGACTTCAGAACCGGTGGAAATGAGGGTGACGGCGGCGTTGGGGGCCTCGACGGCGGGGTAGGCACCCTTGAGGGCGACCTCGATGGTCGAGTTCTCGAGCTGAGGCAGGTTCTGGCGGGTGAGGGCGAGGACACTGGGAGTGTGCTTGGCGGTGAGGGCGGAGTAGTAGGCGGCGCTGGTCTCGTTGCCGTCGGCGGGACGCCAGACCATGCAGTTGGGGAGGGCACGGAAGTGGGCCAGGGTCTCGATAGGCTGGTGGGTAGGGCCGTCCTCACCCAGACCGATGGAGTCGTGGGTAGCGACGTGGATGACGCGGACGCGGGAGAGGGCGGAGAGACGGAGAGCACCGGCGGCGTAGGAGACGAAGTTGAGGAAAGTACCGCCGGCGGGGATGATGGTGCCGTAGGCGGCGAGACCGTTCATGATGGCAGCCATGGCGTGCTCACGCACACCGTAGCGGATGTAGCGGCCGGACCACTCACCGATACCATAGACGGGGGGCTGGAAGTCGACGGCGTTCTTCCAGCGGGTGTTGTTGGAGCCAGTCAAATCGGCGGAACCGGAGATGAGCTCGGGGAGGACATCGTGGACCTTCTCGAGGACGGTCTCGGACAGCTTACGGGAGGCAATGGCAGCGTCGCTGGGGTTGTAGGTGGGGAGGCGCTTCTCCCAACCCTCGGGCAGCTTGCCGGAGAGACGACGGACGAGATCGGCATGCTCGGTCTTGTACTCGGAAGCGTACTTCTCGAGGAGCTGGTTCCAGGCCTGCTCCTTGGCGGCACCCTCGGCGGCGTGCTTGTTGTAGAGGTCATAGACCTGCTGGGGAACGACGAAGCTCTGGTTGGGGTCGAAGCCGAACTTGGCCTTGACGCTCTGGGCATCATCGGCCTTGAGGGGGTTGCCGTGGACACCACCGGTGCCCTGCAGCTTGGAACCATAACCGATGGTGGTGGTCAGGCGGATAACGGTGGGCTTGTCGGTGACCGACTGGGCCTCCTTGATGGCGGCCTCGATCGCATCCAGGTCGTTATCACCGTCCTTGACCCAGACGTGGTGCCAGCCATAGGCCTCGAAACGCTTCATGACATCCTCGGTGAAGGCACACTTGGTGTCACCGTCTGATGGGGAAGAGGGATTATAGATTAGCCTTCTGGAGGGTAATTTTTGTTTTTTTTTTTTGTTGGAAACTCTAAAAAAAAGGGGGGGGAAGAGTGGATTAACTTACCGATGGAAATGTGGTTGTCGTCATAGATGGCAATCAGGTTGCCGAGCTTCAAGTGGCCAGCCAGAGAAGCAGCCTCGCTAGCGATACCCTCCATCGCGCAGCCATCACCGAAGAAGCAGTATGTGTAGTTGTTGACCAGGTCATAGCCGGGCTTGTTGAAGACAGCGCCGGTGTGAGCCTGAGCGATGGCCAAACCAACAGCATTGGCGAAACCCTGGCCGAGAGGGCCGGTGGTGACCTCGATACCGGGGGTGTCGTGGGCCTCGGGGTGACCGGGGGTGATGCTGTCAAGTTGCTAAAAACAGGCGGGTTAGGATAATTTTCTACCCCCTAAAAAAAAGATGTCCATTTTTTTCAATGGGGGTCAACCTACTCTGAAGTTCTTGAGATCATCGAGGGTCAGGGCATAGCCGAAAAGGTGCAGAAGAGCATACTGGAGCATGCATCCGTGACCGTTCCTGATGACGTAAACCGAATTAGAATCCTGAAATTCAGAATCAGAGCGTTGCAGGGAGCAGCTTACGAGAGAACGAAACGATCGCGGTTCAGCCAGTCGGGGTTCTTGGGGTTGAAGTTCATGAACCGGTTGAAGAGGACGTGGGCCACAGGGGCCATGCCCATAGGGGCACCGGGGTGACCGGAGTTGGCCTTGGAGGTGGCATCGATCTGGAGGAGCCTATTAGCACTGCCGTTGGGATAATACAAAGCTGTATAAATAGCATGCTGGGGAATTCTTTTTGAGGGTTTGCTAGAGCTGGTGCCCCGCAAAGATTACGATGATAGCATCATGATCAATCACCACTGGGAGACAGGATAACAGTGAGGAAGAAGGGAAATTGGATGAAGCTTACCGCGAGGATACGGATCGTATTGATAGCCAATTGATCAACGTCGGTGAAACCCATGATTGCAACTTTTGGAAAGAAAAGAGAGAGGTTAGATGGAGAGAGCGGAGGGAAGAGGGATGGAGAGGAGGGGAGGACATACTTATTTCACAACCTTTTTTTCTTCCTGATTAAATTAAGTTTGGATGGGAGGCGGGGGGGGGGTTCAGGAGAGAAGAAAAAGAAGAAGAAAGAGAAGAGAAGAGAAGAGAAGAGAGAGAAGAGAAAAGGAAGAAGAAGAAGAAGAAGAGTTGAACGAAGACAAGAGAGGACGGACAGAGAGACAAGGATTACTACTACTCCTACCTGGAGGAGGGGCTGTTGAGGTGGTGGGGGACAAATGATGTCGGCAGTGGGGCGCTCCCAAGTCCCAGTATAACTACTACTGTTAGCAACGATCACTAACGAGTGGGAGCTTCACCGAGTGCTCAATTGACTTGCCCAGGACGAATGCTTTCAATTTGCCTCGTGTTCTCCATGATGGCCATCTCATCAGTCAGACACGACTAATTATTTGTTCCAATTCTGTCTATTCTACGGGGTACATTGTCGATACTGGCGTACAGACGGGACAGTACTACTTCTGTCGTGTTCAGCCCAGTTTGAAGAAGGTCCGTGTATATACAGGGTACATTCCTCAGGCAGTCAGGCATCCACCCAGCAACTTCTCCCGCGGAAATTTGCCCGATTCTCTTAGTATTAATAATAATAATAATAATAATATTATTATTATTATTACTTCTCCCACGCAAAAAAGAAGAAGAAGAAGAAGAAGAAGAAGAAGAATGAGCATTTAGCATAATCTCTCAAAACATTACCATATCCTTATCCTGCTGATTATTCTTCCAAGACAGGCTAGACTAGGCTTTTGATTCCCGACCTGATACTCAGCAAGAACAACAGCAACAGCAACCGCAACGATGTAGCCAACTAGCCATGAGTATGACATTAGCCGATGCCGATCTCGGCCAGTATTCCCAATTTCCCATGCTACAAATAACCCCTAATCGACCTCCTCCGTAGTTAGTGACTTGCAGACTGAGCTCATCACCCAAATCACAGACACCTAGCATACGGGGTGAACCTCCCCCTCCCTCCCCAGACATTATAGATAATAGTACGGAGTACTACAGAGTATTTCCCCCTCCTAACCCCAATCCCATTGCAGCCATTCGACCACGAAGTATTGTAATTCATCACATATCATGACTAAAATATACTAAACCATCAGCTCCCAGATCCCCCAATGCTGGGTCCGGAGGACGCTCCTCCGACTCTTCCTTAGTCCAAACTACATACACTTGGAACTCCATAGTTAACTCAGTGTAGATGCGACTAGATAGATAGATAGCCGTTACACATGAAATAACTGTGTAGTGTGTACGGCAAAGCAAACCCCATAATTCTTCCCATGGCTATTTTAACTATTTCGGAATCAAATTGAAATCACGGATAAATAGTTCCTACCCATGAAGAGTTTTTTTCCTTCCCCCCCCCCCCACCCTCTGGATTTGTGATTAGTTTTGCTGATCTTATTATTATCCAGAAGACTACCCCTCGAGACTCTAGACTCTAGACTCCAGACTCCAGAGGCTAGATAGTAGATACGATATATTGTAGCCACTTAATGCCTGAGGTACAACACACTGATGCATGAAGTAGAATAATCAGCCTTCGTAAATATCAGATCCAACTACACTCCACTTCACAGACGCATGTGATCAATCTCACAAGACTCTTTCCCCCTAGGTCGAGAAAACGCTGGGCAATTGTTCGCGATTCCTCTGTTGGCGTATCGCGAACGGCTTTGCCGATTTCGTTCGTTCCGGGGACTATAGACATTAGAACATATCGTATATACCCCCACGGCATGCTGTTTGCGGAGGATATCAATCAGTCTTCTCCGTACTTCCTCCGTACGCCACCCCCCCCCCATATAAATATATAGATGTGTGGTGGAAGGGCTGGATTGGATTGAAAATGATAGGCACTGATTGACCATGTCTCATTCGGATGAGAGCTATTGTCGACAAATAGAATATGAAGTCCAATGCGTAAGGTTCATGGCTTGATCAAGTTCTCATTCAAAATTGGCTCCATATACACGACAGGGAGAGCTCCCCAAAGTCAAAACGAGAGACATATATATATACGATGGAAAAAAAAAGCACCAAGAAAATCAACGACAAAACCATCACAATAATGGCTGCACAAAAACCACACATCGTCAAACCCCCCAAAGACTCCAGAGACATTAGGTATCATGGCAAAAGAAAGGAAAAGAAAAGAAAACCAAAAGATCGCCCCCTAGACCCCCTAAATAAATCCATTGGCCTCCCCAAGGCAAACTCCTGAAAATATCAGAGAACTCAATTAGAGAGATCCCTCAGACGGCCAGCCGTCGGTTCCATCCGTGACTCATTCCAAATTCATCAATTTCGTCTTCCACCGCCGGGATCAGAATCCCCCGAAACGGATCCAGTTCATCCAGGGGGAGCTGCAGATCATGATACGGCAGGGCGTCCTCCGCACTGCCCATGCTCTCATCCGAGAAGCTGATGACACTCTGCGGCGCCGCACTCACTTCGTGATGAGCCAGGACCTCGCTGCTGCTGCTGGCCGACCACGCCTCGGGGGACAGTCCGGGGACATCATGTTTCGGTCCAGGTGTCAGCATCGGTGTCGGCTCCGGTTTGTGGGTGCACTCTGCAGTTAGCGACGCAAATGGACCGCTGTCTTCGCCGCAATCCTTGCCCCCGTAGATCCCCGTAAAGATGTTCGAGTAGCCGCGATCCATATCACTCAAGACAAACTCCCAATCCGCCATGGTCATCGTACCGGCGGCGGCGTTCGAGGGAGCCGAGCTGGACAGATTCTGGATAGAGTCCTGTCCCAGGTGGGGCGAAGTGTAGAACGCCTTGTTCATGTCATTCTGTTGGGTGGGATAGTGTTCGGATGGCAGGCTAGACCGGCTAGAGGACCGGATATGACGCTGACTGATTGGCGGGCTGGCACCTGAGATGGTCGCCCTTCGGGAGAGTGATTTGGCTGGCTGGCTGGACTCGGCATGGCCAGCAATGCGCGATTTAAGAGTTTGCAAGTGCTTCTTGGGCGACTTGAGCGGCTTCTGAGCGGGAGGTGACATGGCTTGGGGATTGGCGGAGCTCCCACGCTTGCCGGTGTCGAGCGAGACCAACACACTGGCCACCGAGCTAAACTCGGCGGCCGCGGGGGCGCACTCAGCCTCGAGCTGGTCAATGACAGCAGTGAGTAGTTTCTGACTCTCTTTGACGAGCTTGCTTTCGCGCTTCAGGCCAAGGCTCTGCCACAAAAGACCCAGACCAGAAGAGTAAACCAGCTCTTTCCGGTTCACACTGATCGAAAGGCAAAGGCGCCGCTCATCAAGCAGCTGCAGAATCTGGATAATATGTTTGCACGAGTCAGAAGTAGCGAGGATAGACTGTGACCGAAGATGCTCTTCGCCAAAGCAAACAGCAGGGCGATGAACGAGACAACGGATATAATAGTAAGCAAGCGACTAGATTATTTGGTTCTTGAATTAGCTTGACTGTATCGAACCGGCAGGCAAGATGCAGAGATTGCTTACCAAAAGAGGCGATCGACTGCTTGTAATATTTGTGCTCGGCTTATCTTGGGAGAACTCAAGCCGCAGATGAGCAGGGAGGTTCTTCACCCACGCATCCAGTTGTTCGGCCACGGTACGCATCTTCGACACCGAGATCTTATAACCGCCATCGGAAGGATACAGGCTCTCTAAGGCCTTATTCAAGATTCTGGATGCAGCGAACAACGCGAGGGCACTGGAAATACGAGTGGACTCGCCAGGAAGAGTGGGCAGAAAGCCAGTCTCGGTGACATTCTCATCATCGACATCCTCGGGGTACTCTGTGCGGATGTCCTCTTCGCGCATAAGCACGGGGAGTCCGGTCAAAGCAGCGGTGAAACTTTTGAGGGGGTCAGCTACTGAAGAGTCTGAAGGGGACTAGTGAGATGGGTGCCACTAACCGATCGAGAAGATACTGGCACCAGAACACCTTCTTGCGTGTTTCAGCAACAAGTGGGTTGGAGGAGAAACGCTTCTGACTCTGGTGGAGTCTCAATTGATGGCAGAGACCAACGGCAAGACCCCGGTAGCGAACCAGACCAGTGTAATCTCCCTTGGTCATGCAGTACATCTGAGCGAGCACATAGCATTGCAGCGTCGAAACTGAGATATCGTTCGAGAGCGACTCAAGGATCGGCGACCAGTTGTCCTCAAAGAATGTAGGATCCTGGTTGGTTCGTGACTTTTCAACAGTCAGTATACGGGTAACGACACTGTTTCATAGTCTAGAATCTTACAGTAGAGGCAAGGGCAGCAATGCCGAAAATCAAATTCAATTGTGCCATGTCGTGTGTGCTGCCCTGCAGAAAGTCCGAGTTTGAGAGATACTTCTCGTAAGCTTTGAGTATGGTCGGACGGTGGACAACAGGGTATAATGGCGCCCATTCCTGGAAGAAAATGTTGATGAGCTGGTCCGACACCAGCCGTGGCGCGGTTTTGATGGCTTGATCAACGCGAGCATGCGAAATTGGCGCAGGCGACGCTGTCAGAGCCTGGGTTGAGAGACTCGAGGAAAGTCGTCCTTGTTCAGTAAGTCTGTTGGTGAAGACATCTGCACTGCGTCAGCGGGACATTCCCCATCGCAAATATCATCAAGATTTGCCGCCTACCTGAGAATCCACGCGTACTAGAAAGGCCACCACACTGCGCGTCGACCGATTCCGACAAGACATCCGGAATCTGAATGACACCCTCCCCAGAATCAGAAGCTTTCGAGCGCACCGACTCAGCAGCTGGCGACGCCCGCGAAGCAGCCTGAGCCCTCTGTTGCACAGAGGGCGAAAAAGAATGAATACGCGACAGCACATCGATCTTCTCATCCTTCTCATCCAACAGAGTCTTAAGATCTCTCACTTCCGCCTCCAAGGACCGGACCCGTTCCTCCAACGATTCCGTGTAACCACGAGGAAACGCGCGACGGCTCAGCTTGTCGCTTGTTTTGCACTCGAAACCAACATTAGCGCATTGGGTGCAGCATGGACGGACGCCGTCGCAGCGGATCTTCTTGCTTCGGCACCGATCACAGGCCTGGGCGATACGGCTTTGCGAGCCGTTGCCGACCTTGATCACTTTCATAGGTAGAATTCCAGGCATTTTGGCTGGATGCTCTTACGCATCTGCCGCCGAGTCGATGGGTGGTCTCTCAAACTGGAGACTTTGGTAGATGACGGGCGAGACGGATTAAGGTCGTGTGTGCCGTGTAGTGTAGTCTACTGGAGTATCTCCCGCAACGGATCGAGGAACGATCGATGGTATGTTTGGGGGCCGGAAATAGAACACGAATGGCAGAGATGGAAGAGTGGAGATTTCGATAACGAGTGTTTTTGACGATCGGGCGGGATGAGCAGGAAGAAAGCGAGGAGAAGGGGCGGCAAGAGGAGTGATAGCTACGATCTGGTAGTGTTGAGATAGCAATATACGGAGGAAGATAGGGAGCGAGGAACAAAAGGAGAGAAGAGAAGAGAGGAGAGGAGAGTGAGAGGAGAGATGGAGGATCAAGCCTGTTTGGGACAAGAATTATGTGGGAAGAGAGACCATATTAGGAGTTTGAAAGTCAGGTACTCCGTAAGGTACTCCGTAAGGTACAGCGTACAGGTTTAGATACCAGATACAAGAACCCGAATCGACCGAGATTCCTCCCCAAGAGGAATCATAATACAAGAGTCACCGAGTGTATCACGCATTCTCTAAACTAGAGTATGGGAGAGTGTCAGGGGAGGGGCGGTGGGGCGCGAGCCATGTGGGGGCCCCATGCTGGGGTGTCTCACCAATGGAATGGCAGATAATACCGTGTGCTGCCTATTCAGCAGACACTGGAACAGTAACCGTGGCTCAGATCGTTACGGTAATACGCGTACAGTTACCGAATGGGGTTCTATCCTGAACCTACACAGTACTATGTACTAATGATCGCTGAGGTTAATCATTTTAGGAGTCGGTTTGTCGGGACCTCGCTTCATGATAGACAATGAGGTCGCCGTCATAGGATGATCATAGGTTTATCTAGACTTTGGGATGATGAAACCAAAGGAGTTCATGAAGACTTGAAGAGCCACGGGGTTTTGCGGAGGCGAAACCTGGAGAAACAAAACCATTATATGACTATTTGGCTGGGCACTTTGTCTGCCGTGCACCATTCGCAGGATTGTCCTCCCACTCTGTTGCCAACAAGACGGCACCTTATGATGCGATCTGAAACTCAATAGGTACTCTTCTATGAGTGATTAATCCTTCGATATGACATCCCTAAGCCTTGAGAGAGGATAAGTACTCTAGGTTATATCTGAGAATGAAGCAGGTGCAAGAGTCCTTAACAGCTCAGACCAACACTAGACAGGCATGATGAGACAAGTTCGGTTAGAAAGCGAGAAGGATGCATAGCTCGACAGCAGCCTGCTTCTCAAGAGCACTGATAGATGCTCGATAATCAATGAAAGCTCATCGTTTCTCCTCCCTCTGCAATGTACTCCTAAAATGACAGACAAGCCCGAATTAGATCTCTCAAGACAGCGATCCTGTCGTCAACGGCACGTCCATCAAGGCATCAACAAGTCAACTCTCCTCCCTTCAGAAATGATTTGTATCGAATGTACCCATGATCGGAGCCTCTGAAACAACTCAATACACAGATGTATCAAAACTCATCATCGTGGACCTCTTGGGGATACCGTGATGATCATGTCTTCCCCAGTCTCACGGCTAAACCCGCCGAATTATTCTCTACCGCTTTCAAGCTTTCACGAGAATCATTCTCTCCCACCCACAGGCAGGAGTCCTATTCCTGCATAAATCCTTGCATTATTGTCTTGGAATTTTCCGCAATAATATCACGATACACAGTAGTCTAGTCTAGTCATGAACAGACTAAACAGCAGCCCTGAGGGTACCCAAAATACCCTAACAGGGGAACCGAGTCTTGGCCGAGATTTTCATTACTGGTAGGAAAGACTCGGAACCACTTTTCCATTAAAGTTAGCTTGCCACTTTCAAAAAGCCCCGTCCGTTCGCAGCTGGAGAAAATCGCGGGGGATCCTCGTGGACTGGACTGGACTGGACTCGATTCTTCGATAGGTTGTCCTGGCCTGAAGGGCTAATGAGATCAGAAGACGACTCAGCCATTGTGACACTGGTCATGGGATGATGCCGCTGTGGCCACCGACCAGAGAATCATCCAAAAAGTAGAGTTTTTGGCGAGCACTGGGAATGTGATCAGCATATGATTGTCGCTTGACAACCCTGATTTCCGCCGAAACAAGAAAAGAGTTTGTTTCTCTTCAGCGCCGAGTGTTGACCGAGAAAATCGCGAGCATGGCCCTGAGCGTCCTTGTCAATATTTGGGTATGATGGATCCGCCAGCATCCGGGTTCCACCAGCCATGCGCTACTAGACTCTCAACGGGAACCAATTTAACCAACTTGATCAAAAATTCTGGTAGACTGTTGAAGACCAGCTCTGAAGTTTCTATACACAGCAGGTCTGTGTATTGGTAGTTGGTACTGTGTTGTGGGGGAGCACGCAACTACTGCAGTCATCATGACTCCTTTAAAGGTGCGACGCCGGGTTGCGCACTTGCGAGCCATTTTTACGGTGCAGTGCGGGATACTAGATGTCTGGGCACTCCTCCAGAGTCCAATGCCCACACGAGAGGGGCGTTTTGGAAGGCGAAATCTGCAATGGCCAGCAGTTCATTGGAGTTGATTGCGACATGGCGTGACTCCCTCGTGGCTGGCAAGGATGTTGTAGGCTTGTAGCTGAGCTTTGAGTCGTTGATTCTTGAACACCCCAGATAACCTTCTAGTTAAAGTTCTGGAAGGATGCACGCGATACGCGTGTATCAGGCCACACTCCATCTCTATCTAGAATTCTAGGACCTAGAATCTAGGTAGTCCATTCTGGGCTCATCAGTCATCATAGAAAAGTCTTCCAGTCCGTATGGAGTGGAGAACAGCCAGTTAGGCAACGTCATTTATCTCTTTCGGGCTTGTTTTCGCGTGGACTAGTAATCGTAATACCTTATCGAGTCTAGAAAGGAAAACGAAACAGAGTTTTTTTGCTCGTAAATGTTGACGTTAGACCAGAGAATCTCCAAGAGCCTCGAGGATTATGGTCCAGATCCCCAGTTTCTGCCCCCGTCGTTTTACCCCAGACCCTCAGAGACCATGCCCCGCCATCCACGATTTTTCGCTAATCGTAGGAATGAACCGGGTACCATTAGCGTGATCCTCCCAGGTTGTTCCTATTTGTTTCAGTTTGACCTATGGCATAGTGCATACTGTATCCTCATCCCGCTGTGGGGTGGCCTTGTGAGTTGATAAGTCAAAGTCCAGAGCTCAGAGAACCATGGAGATGACCCTTAGAGCATGGGACTCTGCGGTACAGTTAATGACTGAAATGAGCCACATTTCTTGAATCGAAAGTATCGTGATGGAGTACGGTACGCCCATAGTTGAATTATCGGGAGGCAAAATTGGAAACCAAGAGGCCAAGTGCACTTGATCTGCTCTCACGAAAAGTCTTCTTCTACGTCTTCGGCCGGTTGATTGAGATACAGTGTGACCGCCTCGGAGGCTATCAATTCCTGTCTCTATCGATTGATGATGATTAGCACTTCTGGATAGAATTGCACATATCTCCAAGAGATCTCTTACCCTTTTCATGAGGTCCTCGATGCCCGTATCCAGCAAATCAGCCTCTAATTTTCGTAACTTTGATACTGTGGCCAGGACATCGGGTCTGAACAGGGCTCGCATATCCTCATTACTGTTAATTTCGGAAACCAGCTTCTCAGTCTCGCGTAGAACAACGAGCTGGGTTTCCAGTCGCTCGAGTATAAGTACCACCGCACGAAGCTGGTAGATATCCCACAAAGGATCTGCTGACAGGAGACCTTTGAGGCGACTCGGAACATCCATGTCTTCCCCTTTCCAGCTAGCTCGTAGTTCTCGGCCTCCATCGGTGGTTTGCGCTACCGTGAAGTTGAGACCATCTTCCTCATTGACACAGGCCCACCAAACAAAGGGACTGTCCCAAGTAATCTGCCCCGAATCTGGCGATGTCGAAGTACTCCTGCACACTCGTACCCCCGGTGCCTCTTTACAGAACATCTGCTTTGCCATCCTCAAGGGATCATCGTCAGGAATTTCCAGGTCAAGGAAAATCTGTTTTGCATCGGTTCTCTCGTTTTCAACGAACCCGTACGAGAACACCATCTCTGATGCTGGTTTCTCACTGCCATACCTACCAAACCACCCCTGTCAGTAAAAGTTCCTGCACCGTATCACAGGTCCTAGGCCCTATAGACTTACGAAATTGTGACTTCCTCACCAGAACATATTCTCCTTCCTTGTCGAAGCTGAAGTAACGCATCTTCTGTTGAACTTTCGTCATACCGTGCTTTCACTGAGTCCTCTGAAGCATGATTCGCCATATCAACGCACGGGACGATTGCATGCCCGCTCTCAGGCAGCTCCACCACCCGCGACCGATACACAGCATCAACGTACTTCCAGTCATCGAATGTCAAGCGGCCCGTGTCCTCGTCCCACCAATACTTTTGACACCAGGGTATACCCTCTGTGGACTGGCGAAGGCGCTCGAATTCTTTCTCAAGGGAGGCGAGTTTCGCGAAAACTGCGGTCCGCAATGACGTACCTCGCAGTAGCTCGAGTTCTGCCTCCGTGTAGAAGGTCGGTAGACGTATGGAGGGGGGCATAAATCTGATATACTCCGTCCAAGGATTGGAGATGCCGATCGTCTGGTGCTCATCGGCAAAGTCTGGGCTGCAATGTGTTATTTGGAGAATTAGGAAGATTATGATGGCTCCTCTAGCTGTCTGTATATATTAGCTCAGAGTCGTCTACACGCCGTTGCCGAGATCCCATAAATTTTAGGACTTGCGGGGAGTGCAACATACCCTACTAAAATCGCCAACAGCATCCAGGACCTCTCGAAGGTAGTGATCCGTCTTCGCATGTTGATGAACCAATTCAAGAGAAAGAACTAAATCTGATGGAACTCTGAGAAGCGTTGTCGCTTCAGCCTCAGCTTCATCTGTATCCAACCCGTTTCCTTTCTGCTCGGTCGCTATGATGGCAGACCCCTTGTCTGTCCCGTCGTCTGCGTGAAGCTTCTGGAAAGTGACCCCGTCAATAGAGACGCTATTGAGCTTCGCCCACGATGGCAGAGACTCAACTGGTAGATAGTCCCGTCTCATCTCGTGCTATATTCCGCGATTATTGATGGTTGATTATGAAGTAGTACCATGGAGTCCTGGGCAGCTCCATCAACTCCCCAGTCCCCACCCCTCTTATCGATAAGCAACAGCAGGCCTCGAACCCTAAGCCCTACTACCCAGATCAGTGCAATCTCCCATTGCAGCATAAGGACGTCATACAGAGTCGCATCACGGGCTCGACACTTGGACAAGGCCCTCGATGGCGGCTCTCAGAGCCCAGGACTCTACTTATATAAACTCATTGTACTGCAAGGATTCGTAGTTCTCAAAGTCTTGAAGTTTCATCCTATCATCCTTGTTCACCTACAGAAAGAAACACTTATACCCGCAGCTCATCATGCCCAGCAACGCTCGCATTCCGTCTACAACCACCAAGCTCAAAAATATGCTCACTCCACGCCCTCCACGCGTCTGCATCCTGCCTCTCCAATCCGTATGGCAACCCGCCGGGTTCCCCACCCCTGCCAATGTGAGAGCCCGCCTCAATAGCTCGCTGGGCAAGGAGTGGAAGGGTTGTTCGCCCGATGAGCACGCCGTAAGGCGGACGGAAAAGAACCGGGATACAACCGACCCGGAGGCAGAGGCTTCTGCTTCGGGCATGAAGGAGAGAGCGGAAGACTATGGCATTGCAGATGATTCCAAGCAGCAGGGGGCAACGGAAAGGGAAGGGCGGAAGTTTCAGCGCCAGGCTAAGGAGGATCATCCAAAGGCGCCGGAGCCAGTAATCGGAATGAATGATGAGAGAGCCCGGGTAAGTGGTGCCATGAAATTGGAGGCAATACCAGCCAGCAGCTGGTTGCACTGTGTAAGAGTTCACTCGGCTAACCTGAGAGTGGTATATAGAAGGGCCCTTGAACTCGGATCTGCTGAGGTTATCTTTGCCCGACTTGATATGCGCCAGAAATCCATGAAACCAATTGAATGGTGAGATGCTTTATATTTGCATGACGATTTCGTTACAACTTTGTCCTTGCATCAACTGTACATAGATGAAATGATGATGTTGGTCTATCGGCCAGGCTTGAATGAGAGTACCTGTGATATCGTCGTTAGGGAAATTGTCATATGGCACAGTGGTTGAAACTTACATCGTGCTTCCCAACTCCGACTATCTCGTCTTCCGACACTCGGGTTCCACCGACACCCTCGATATATGAGATGGGTACGTCACCCATCACCTTGTGAGCCACGTCGCCCACCGTACTACCTCTGTTGGGAGTCAGATAGGATTTCCTGGTTCTCAGAGGACGAGATACTTACTTCTTCACTAATACACAATCTCTAAAAGCGGCAGATCCTGCACCAGATGAGAATGTGTGTACGTTCCTGACGGGGAAGACAGGAACAAGACCGAGAACCTCGGCTGCTCGCGAGAGACACTGCACGACTCCCGTGGACCCAAAGCGGTAGAGGACCATGTCTTTCAAATTTTCAACGCGACTAGAATATTGTTAGTCGAAACATTTATCCTTGATGAAATCACACATACCTTCTCAGTTTCTCATCCATCTCTTTCAGGCCACCCCCATCAGGATCACCCATTTCGATAAGGTCTTCTCGAGTGTCTACGAATTCACTGCCTTCTGTGTACTTGATATAGCCTTGTTTTGCCAATCTGCGGAGGAAGACCTCTGATATAGCAGAACAGAGAACTATAGATTTCGGATCCTGCATTTTCGCGATCTTGCTGATATTCTGCATCCTTTTAGTCAGTACGCAAGCCAGCAAGTTCCAGGAAGATCAGTGGTAGGGCCAACCTTGTCCGCGTCAGGATGATCAATCTTATTCAAGGCGAATACTGTAGGAAATTTTTCATCGATGAAGGCCTGAACGACCCGTTCAATGGTCTCATCAGACCAATCTTCGAGAGGTTCTTTCAAGCCTAATCGATCCAAGCAGCGTGCAACCGTTGTGGATGTGCTTCCGTAACCAGAGAATTGACCTTGCAAGGTATCCACGGCCGTCGATTCTGTGTTCAACGGTCAATATATGATGAGCAACACTGGGAGTTACGTCTGACTAACTGATTGCGATATGCCTTCTCTTGACAGAACCCCTGTAGAAGATAATAAGTCATGGAATTTACGGTGGATATCCCCAGATGTGCATACCATTTTTGCATCAGGTTACCCAACACCCATCGCACGATTTCGGACCGCAGCCACTCAATGTCTTGCGATGGGTCGTATCCTCGCGTTGCCTTACCTGTAATCACAGAGCTCTGTTAGCAGATATTTCTTAAAGAAAAGTGCCGAGCCTGGGCCAACAACGGCTACTAACCTTCCGCGTCTGTAGTCCCGCTGACATCAACAACATGAATCAGGGCGTCTGCATGGCGCAGATCGTCCAAGAATTTATTTCCCAGACCGCGCCCCTGGTGTGCTCCTGGAACAAGACCTGCGACGTCAAGAAGCTCGATGGGAACGGATCGGCGTCCTTCAACGCAGCTTCCGTAATTCGGCTTACATTTATCGGCAACATTATATCGTTGGCATGCGCATTCTATCTGGAGGTAGCCAATGGCGCGCTGAGGATCAATGGTCGTGAACCTGCATTATATCCGTCAATATCGCAATGCACACATGGACGGAGAAGACGAGAGCGGGTGTGTCGGAGGCTGACTCACGGGAAGTTGCCTGTACCGAGATAAACAGTTAGAGTCGGTATCTCACACGAAAGTAAGAAGTGATAGTTCATAGACTAACCAACTTTAGAGCTAGCATCGGTCAAACTATTCAAAGTCGTGGATTTTCCGCTGGATGGCTATATGCCCCTCCTCAATCAGCGGCGTGGTGCTTGTCCAAAACAACAGGAGATACAGACCTTTCCAACCAGCCCAATCAATGGATCTCGAGGCATTCTAGTAGTTTGGCAGGCGCCCTAGCTGTACACAACAAGAAAGAATACAAAAATCACGGTCTAAGTCGTTCACTTCTTTCCTGATCAAAAAATATCACTTTTGATGCAGCAGGGAAATGGTCAAATTCTGCCTACTATCTCAGGAAGGCGGTAGAAGCCGCCGGGCTGTATCCGATATGGCACGATCGCAACCAGAAGATTATCAGGAACAAACAACCAGAGAGATCGATTGAAAACCAATGCAATACTCATTTACATAATGTAGAGCAAGATCCAAACGGTCTCAAAACTGTGCAATAGGCCAGCCTAGAATGTTACTCCTACTAGAACACAATCTGCAGCAGAAGCTCATAAGAACCGATCAAGGACAATGCTAACACGTGCAGTTGTTTCCGCATCTATCTACAATGGCAGCTCACTTAAGTGGAAATCATCCCCGATTCTGCCTTATTGGATGCGACATATCCTGGGGTATTGCCTGGGTACCTACCTAGTCTCAGGTCACGACGGTTTCGAGTTGTCTTGCGTGGCTCAGGATTCCAAGAACTCCAGATGCTACTTACTCAATCACTGCTATGTTACCCTTGGATCCACGATGACGACTGTTGAGTCTTTGCGAGCATTCCGAGAACAGCAGAGAATCAGAGGGAATCTGAGCTGTGATGGCTCCCAGATGCAATCTCTGTACTATGACATCTTTTCGTGGTCGATTACTTACTGATATGGCAGTGCCCCTGTATGAGTGGAGAGGATGAGACCTAAAGACTGGAGGTACAACCGTACAAACAGTATCATTCAAAGCAATATTCGACAAAGATTCTCCTCCTTATGATGCATTGAAGCCCACTTCAACCGTTAATCTTGCCCTCCTTGTGCAGTGAATCCCCGCTGGAGTCATTCTGATCCAAAGGCGAACCAAGGCCTGCCCGAGCCTTATGGCGTCATTGCGGCCAACGTCACTGACCTTGCTTCGACGATGACGGGCAGCCGTTAACAACAGCTCAACATATATGAACCTCCATCTTCTTCATGCATTTGGTGAGAAACATACACATTTGACAACTCCTGACTCAAACAAAGAAAGCTATCTCATCAGCCTCGACAACCTCAAAAGAAGAACTTCTCCCCATTTTATTACACCGCAAATCAACGAAATCTCTCTACAAAATGTCTGAACAAACCTTCCACACCACTGCTCAAGACATCCGCAAGGCTGAGTCTCACGCCTCTCACGCTCGCTCCGGAAACACGCCTAAGGACTCGAACATCTCCGCCATGAAGGTAAAACATACCCACATTCCAAATGCAAACAAGCGAACGAGTTCTTGCCAAGATAGATACTAACCCTCGAACTTCAGTCCATCATCGATCAGAACACAGATAAGGCTAAGGAGATTGAAGAGCGCAAGGCTAACCTGCCTTTGCCTGACCAGCCTCCCGTCGCCAGTGACTGGCAGTCGGCTGATCAGCGGACCGTCAACGTCGGCTCGGGCAGATTTGAAGCCCCTGTTTCTGGCGAAGGTAACAGCGCTCTTAGAGGGCCTGCGACGGCAGGAAGCAGTGTCCGTATCTCGGGAGACGAGCTGCACAAGGAAACCCAACCCACAGGCAAGGTTGGCCGCCAGGCTGTTGAAGGCCTGTCCGACCTGCCCAAGGATGCTCTGGCTCGGTAAATTTTTTTCTTTTTCTTCGAGATGAATGTATTATTACAAACTTCATGATAAGCGACTTGATTTTAATGACGGCTCTCAAATTAATACTCGATTGAGTCTGGTAATTTTGGGTCAAATTCACCTTGTATTCCTGATCACGTCCTCTATGAATTCCGTAGCATTTGTAATTCCACCCGATACTCTGGAAGCTGGAAACTCCTGGTACAAAGAAAATAATCTGATTCTTTAGTTGCATCAAGACCCTGTCAACGAAACTGTGTAAGTACAGGTGTAGCCTTAGTCTGCCCTAACAAGCATAGACATGTCACATGACCTCTATACAAGAGGTTAAATCAACGTCCGCCTTGTTTTCTGCACGGTCGCAATCTCAAAATAGGTGGAATCAAGCGGCAGAATATCTCTCAATGCCATCAACTTGTTCACCATTGCGAACATCACTCAGTCTCCATGCATTGAGCTCATTGACCGACCAGACAAATAGTTGGAAAGTCAACATGCCTTGACGGTCTGACTGCCTGAGGCCCATGACGTCAAAGCGTCTGCCCGGGTCGCCGAACCTCTGCAGCAACACTCCATGGCGCAATCAGGGTTGCTTTCCGGGCTGGACAATAATGCTGCTATGTGGAGAGCTCGAGAGGGGCTGTCTACTCCAGTACAGAACTACGGATCGACCCAATAAGCCCTGGGTATGGATAGACGATCATCCGTGTCTTTATCTGATATGAACAAGAATGGGGATCAGGGGGGAAGGCCCGCCTGGATACCTCGGAAGATGATTGCTTGTGTTGCCGGTCACAGGAAATACCTAGAACAGAAAAGAAGGGATGGGAATGGAGGAAAGGCATCATGTCTATTACCTTTTTTTCCCATCTCCACCGGGTCTTCTGTTGCGCGTGCCACTCACAAGGCAATGAATGATGCACGTACCAGATGTTGCTTGCTGGCACACTGACTGCCTCGCTGTGGTGGATAGCCACCGTCAGGATGATATCACCTTGCTGATATGGCTGTCAATCAGCAGTCGTTCCTATATAGCTTTCCTGTTGACGCAGTGGACTGTATTTGGACAATAATCAGTTGAATATCAGAGCAGAATCACATAATTTCTCATTTTCGTTCGAGCTATCTACTCTTTCATCTTCATCTAGGACAACCTCAACATCATGGATCTGCAAGGCAACGCCATCCCCCCAGGCCACAGAAGCACCAAGGTAGGTGACATAAAACATCGTCTTCCCTTCTCCCCAACTTCCGAGAACTATGGCTAAGCGTTGGTATAGGTGACCCAAGACCCTGCCGCCAGAAACCCCATCCAAGAATCCACCGGAGCAGTCGCCAACGACTCTCTCGCCGCTGAATCGACCAAGTCCGGCGGAGGATTCTCTCAGAATCGCGGAGCCGCGCCTCTCGGAGTCTCCGGCAACCAGTCCACCTTGAACAACACAAACACCTCCGGCGCCAGCAAGCTGCCGCCGGCCTCTAGCGGCGCTGCCCGTGAGGACCCCAACAGAATGGAACGATACCCCGAAGCCATGGGTGGCCAAGGGAGCTTCCCCGGCACTCACGTCCCCGAGACCGGCTACACGGGCGGCTCCACCGCCGCCAAGCAGGAACTGGGGATCAACCAGGGCGCGTACCCCGCCTCGCAAAAGGTTTCGCAGGCCGCCCAAGCCAGCGGAAGCGGCTACGACAGTCAGGACAACGGCGGCCAGGCGCCTTCCTACGTCGAGGATGTGACCGGCCACCTCGGCAACGCCAAGCCCAAGGGCAAGAACCTGAAGGAAGGTGGCTTCGACGACGACCCGAAGAACAACGCCAGCTTCACCTCCGAGATTGGCAGCGACCAGGATCCTGGTCGGTACGCTGAGAAGGTGTTCGAGCGCAAGGTCGCCGAGACTGCCGCGGATACTGCCCGCGGTCCAACAGAGAAGGGCATCAGTGACCGAACCTGGTATCAGCCGCTGGAAAGCGACCAGAGAGCTTGAGTGGATTCATCTAGAAAATGATCCCGACGAGTTACGGTGGACGTATCAGCGAAAGACCTTGTTGAATTCCTTTTTTTTTTTTTTTTTTTTTTGAAAAAAGCGGACTGTGTCTGCAGATTGCATCTCTTATGTACGATAGAAACATGACATGAATGACTACTTTGTTTATGATTAAGGTCCATTTTGTCCTGTATCAGTATTGGAATCATCATGAGCTGATATTGTCTTCCTCACCGATTCGTTTCTACAGGGACTGGTCATTAGAGCCAACATTACTATCCAATTCGTAGTCAGCATAGACTCCCAACACCATACCAGTCTTTTCTCCCCGTTCCGAAACGGACTGCTTGTCTTGGTCGCCTATCCTCTAAGGGGGTCAAACATTCCCATGGAACTCAAAGGGACATCTTATACATTTACCCATTCTCGATTCAATTGGTCTACTATTAACCCGAATCTTCACTACATCGTGCGTTACAGACCATTTACACTAAAATGCCCATTGATCTATCCAATTGGCCATCAATTCAGGCGAAATGGGACCCAGGGAGGTCATGGTTGCGCTCGCCTCTTTCGTTCGGCTCACCTCAATCGGCGCCAACGATGCCCCCTCGCTCTTTACTAAGCAGCGATAGAAGCCAAGTAGCTTCAGAGCGGGCTTCTCTTCAATCTCCTCAGCTGACGGGTTCTCGATTCTTTCAAGATCCATGATCCAATCGGACAGCTCGACCGGTTGGACACCGTACCGTTCCACGATTGCTGGAAGGAGAGATTTCCACGATGTGCTGGCCGGATTCACCAGATGGAACACCGAGCAGCGTGTGTCTGACTGTGTACGGCGACGAGTGGCAATAAGATCGAGCACAATAGTAGCAAGTGTATCCTTAGCACATTAATGTTAGCCAGGGTTGTCTTAAGACTTTTTAAGAAAATTTTGGGATCCTTGGTACTCACCACTGGTATCCAGTCCACCGGCATCGATCCTAGAGAATTGGGAACCTTGCCAATAGCTTTAGAGGTTGTAACAATGGTAGGCAGCCATTCTTGCCGAGCCCACATTCCCTTCTTCGTAGTTGGACCGGCTATCTGTCCCACGCGCAGAACCGTTGTCGGTACCCCCGACTGTCGAGATGCCGCCAGGCAGATCCGTTCCGCGATATGCTTGGACTCTCCGTAGCCCTGAGCCATCGTCACCTCGCCGTCCTCCAAGGGAATTTCAGGTACAGTGGGTCCATGTCTCGAGTCCCAACCTCTGATTGTTGATACGGAAGATACAAAGATAATGTGTGCGTTGTGGGTGCTTTCTAGACTGAAGTCAACCAACCGACGCACTCCGCGGATATGAACATCCTCGAAAGATGCAACTGAGATGTTGAAGTCCACTCTCCATGCGTTGTGAATCACGGTGTCCACGGAGCGCACCATCTCCTCATACTTTGCCCTGTCAAGGCCAAACAGGGGCTCCCTCAAAGCCACCTGGAGGAACTCTATCTTAGCCCACGCGGCAGAGTCACAGTTGAGTCCCTTATCTTCGAAGCTCTTTGCCTGTCTAGCTTTGGCCTCGGATCGGTTCAAGCAGTACACTTTGGACACACTGGGATCTCCTAAGAGGGCGTTCAGAATGTAGTTTCCGAGCGAGCCTGTCGATCCAGTCAAGATGACAGTATGTTGGTCGTTAGCGCCAGAACCATCCGCGTGTTGTTCGGGAAGATCTTGGGTGTATTTTTCAACGAGCGCATCCAATCTTTCAATCCTCGAGGTAATACTCTCCGTCATCCCTGTCAGGATGCCGTAGAGGAGGCTTGTCAATTGTTCCACAGTGGGATTGGCGTAGATCTTTTGAGCAGTGACGCTGCCAGGCGACTGACGAGCGCGCAATGCACTCTGCAAAACCTTGCTGAGATGCATTGTCTGCAATGAATCAAGACCTGCGGCATAGAGATTGGTTTGGTTCGTGAATGCCGACGATGGCAGAATGTGCGAGACAACGTTACGAACCAATGTCTTGATCTCTGAAGGACTGGCTTCCACCGGCAGCTCAAACTCCAATTCATCCGCATCTGACTTGCTGTAAATACCGTCAATTTCGTCTTTGTAATCCTCGACAACGAGCCAACGACGGGTGCTGCCTTTGGGTGTGGTACGGAAGGGTTTGCTCTGAGATGCGACTCCAATTTTGTACTTCATGATCCGTCCATGCGCTTGGCCTACATTATTTGCTCGTTGAATGGTCGGCCATATATGCTCGATGAAACCCTGGACCGGCACATCTTCATTCCAAAGCTTCCAATTAGGCTCCACGAGAAGCGCCGATTGGAATCTACCTTGGCCTACAACAACCGCGCGGGAGACCAAGGGATGGCCCTCAATGACCTTTTCCATTGTGATGGGGTTGAATTTCTCTCCATTGCTCAACACAATGACATCATCTAATCGGCCATGATAGCGCCAAAGAGCGGGTTTGGTTGGGTGCGGGGTGAAGATATCCCTCGTGTGGTATTCTTGCAATCCGGGGTAGGTGTGGAAGACCGATTGGATATCTCGATCGACCTTCCTCAAGACAAGCTCATACAAGCCGTGGCCTGCAGATTGCATCTCAATACCGCAGTGCGGGTTCCATTCGAAATAAGACCAATCCTCCTCATCCCTGGGAAGCAATGATGGGATAAGGCCAGCCTCGCTGCTGCCCATGACATTGATGACCGTGATACGCCTACTGATGAAGTTGCCAACATCAGTTGAGAGAGGTGCACCTGCGTAACAGACACATCTAAGCCGGGAAAGGGCGTCCATAGCTGTGCTGGACTCGGACATGTCTTCCAAAAGAGATGGTGAAAATACAGCCGCAGTAGGCTTTGTCTCATTCAGAACTTCAATCACAAGAGCAGTAGACGGAGGTTTGTTTGGGGCTATCACGCAGGGAATGCCGTGAAGCACTGCCACGGCCAACATGATGATGCCCGTAATATGAAAAAACGGGTGAGTCACAAAGACAAGATCGTTGGCACTGAAGATGCTAGTTGGTGTTCCGGCCACTCGCCCTTCTGGAACAGGAACATGTGCACAGTTCTCGAGAGCACCTAAATAGCCGTGAGTGATGGTAACAGGTTTTGGGGTTCCTGTCATGATTTATGTCAGTATTTTCCTTCTCTTGATGGTAGGTGCCCATCGGTGCTCACCAGTTGTCCCAGAACTGTGGATGATCAATACAGGCTCATCCCGGACTTCTTCAAACGTCTTGGAGAACATATATGGCTTGGCCGAGCCTTCCAACATCTCGGTAAAAGATGGAATTTGGACGGTCTGAAGATCCGAACGAAGGGTTCTAATCTCCATCGCTCGTTGTTTGTGCTCTGCAGTGTAGGCGAGTCTCGAGCAATCAGTCACATCGAGGAGATAAAGATGAGCGTCATCCGAATTTCGCGGCGAGAGAAGAAGTGGCTGCAAGCCTTTTAGTTAGTCGAGGTTCAATCGCAGTAAACTCGAGGCCAGTAGGTCACCTTATAGCCAGTTTTGTTGCATGCCATGACCATCACAAGATAGCGTATATCATGGGTTCCGATATAGGCCAGAGTTTCCAGCCTGGAACTGGGACCCAGGGTATTCTCAATCCACCATGATGTGTAGTTGATCATTTGAGCGACTTGTTGGAAGGTCAAGTCAGAGAACCCATCTGATGGAGAGATGCCCTTGGGTAATGTGCAAACTTTCCTCCTCGGGTTCTGAACGGCCAAGTCGTCAATGACCTGAGCCATGATCCTCTTGCCGACATTGGTGGTATCTCCAGCCATGAGCAAGTATATTGATAGAATATGGATGTGTGAATGGAAGAAAGTTGAGGTAGACAACAAGTTCTCAAGAAGATGAGAAGAGACGTTTTAAAACAAGGCTATCAACCCAGAATGTAGGCCGCCACTTCCTGCTTTTCTAAGAGGACCATGCAAGTGTAGATGCATAGAATGATCGAGTTCGTCAATTCATCAGGGTCTAAACCCAATCCAAATGGATTTAGTTAAATCTATCTAGGTCTACCTATAGGATGCCTTGATGGTAGTAGAAGGATGATCTATCAGATGATGATCTCTATGCTAGAGATCATTAGCAGTGGCAGAAGGTATGACCTTTCTATCGTATATAATAGAGAGTAAGACTAGATCATTGTAATATCCCCCTTACATAAAGATAGAGTCAGTGAAAGAAAAGGTGTAATAATAAACAGAGATTTCTGAGTGAGGCATGGCATCTGACAGGTTAGGCAGAGTTCTTGAAGATGGACACAGAGAAGGAATGTCTCGAGACCAGAAACAGATCGACGGTCCAGTGTCAGCAGATCAACCCCAGCTTGTGTCCCGGTAGTCATGGCCACCTGGTCTGTAGAATACTGGAAAAGCATATATTGAGTTGATAGCAGGTTCCAGAGAGACCCATCAAGTAAGAGAGCCTCACAAGGGACAATGCCTCATGCCAGTAGGTTGCATGTTATCCTGCAAGTAGGTATGTATACTGCCTATTTGATCCATTAGTCTTGTGCCAACTTTGCTGGATGGTACACCTACCCAGTGATCCACCATGATCGATCTACTAGCAACATGACCTCGAGTAAGCAGGCATAAACGGCTGGGAAGCCCCGAGAAGTGAAAGAAAACAACAGACCAACAGAGGGCAGTCGAGAAAATACCATGCCGTCTGTCCCGCTTGTAGTCAACGATAGTAAAAATCAGATATCAACGTCATGTTGACTTTCATTTGAGACTTCCTGCCTTTTCATACACCAATTTACAAACGCCAGATTTTGCAACGGACATATCATCAAAGATCAACCCAAATGAACACGTCCCAAAGGCCAGACCCCAAAGACATGCACGGCCTTGTCAAACAAAAACGTGGAACTGTACAGCCATAGCAATTGACAAGACAGCAGGAAAAGAGAACAGCAGCCCTGACATTAAGATAAAACAAGGAAAGAAAAGCAAGCATAAGAGAAGTGGGAAAAAGGAAACAAGACGTCAGACCCTCACAGGTTCACCTTCTTGGCCTCCTTCTGAACGAGCTTAGCCAGCTCCTCAAATACCTCGCTGAAATCCTCTCCGTCTGACTCGCCGTCCTTCTTCTTGTTCTTCGAGGCTGACTTGGGCACAACCATGACGACACTGGTAGGACGCTTGGTAGCAGCCGAGTTGCCCAGCTCGGCTCGCGATGTGACGAAAATGTAGGGGATACCGTGATCTTCGCACAGTACGGGGATATGTGAGATGACATCCATGGGCGAGATATCCGCGGCGAGGACGACAATTCCGTTAGGGATAGAGATGGTAGCGTTGGCAGCGGGGGTGGGCGACTTGCGAAGGGCCTTGACGACTTCCTTGACACCACGCTTGAGGCACTTGTTCACAGCAGCTAAGATTGAGAATAGTCAGTACGAGATAGATAACCAAGGGGTTCAGCGAATAATCGTAGAACGACATACCCTTCTTGACGCTCTTGAGAACCTTCTTGGCCTGCTTGTCCTCGGCCAGAGGATTGGCGAAAGGCACCAGAGCGCCGACAGGGCGGCCGTCGACCTCCATCAGCTCGACCTCAACGGTTCCATCGACAGTGGCCTCGGCGGCGACAGCCTTTTCAATGCCATCAAGAACCTTGCTGGTGAGCTCCTGCTCTACTGCCTCGGCGAGAACAGTCTTGTCCTTCTTTTCCTTCTTGTCCTTGCTCTTGTGGACGCCATCCTTCTCCGAGCGCTTCTCCTTCTTCTCGCGCTTGTCCTTCTTCTCAGACTTGTCCTTGCCCATGTTGACTGAGTTGCGCCTCGCTAAGGGATATCTATCAAAAGAAATCAAAAAAGAGAAGCGAAAATTGGTGGGATTGGGCGTGAACGTGGGGAGGAGCAAATCACAGTATGGTCGTTTTGGTGTCTTGAAAATCCGCAAAAAAATCGAAATCCATCTGGAAAATTTTGACGCTAGTCCGATTCGGGAACACCAGCTTCCTGCACTAGGCTGCTGACTCATCACTTGCCCAATCGGGGTGATCAACCATTCATCGAAAACAAGCCCGATAACTGCGCAACGTTGAAGACTGGCACAAGCATCTCTTTGTTATTGTTATTGTTATTGTTGCGACTTTCTAGCAGGAAGGCCGTGGCATGCGGTGCGGCCTGTTGACTGTATGACCAGAAGACCAATTGAGGTCTGTTGCGCCTCGTCAATTATCTATTTTTAGAGGTCAGTCGCATTCAAACGGCGCGATATTAAGGGTGCTAGGACATCAGACCTGAGAGATACTGATGCTTTCTAGATGGATTCAAGTAGGAACTCGCGACCATCTTGGGGGTCACCACCCGGAAATGCCTCTCCCTTATCCATATCCGGAACCCAAAGCGTCCTCCGCCAATCTATCCGCCCTTCACAGCCTGCGAGGCCTGGTCAGCGCATACTACACTTCTTAGGAATTATAATGCCAAAACTGACTTGCTACATACAGATACGGAGAAGGAGGAGCTCCGCATACAAGTTAGCGCATTACGATATGAACTGGAGAACTTCAAGCAAGAACGGGATCTGATGGTCTTGCGTCATGAGAAAGAGCTTCGGGATTTACAACTGAAGGCCGACGGGGACTTCAAAAGGGCACAGGTCTGTCCTCAGTTGATCCGTCTATTGTTAACCTGCGGCAGTTGTTGACAGTCTGTCACAGGCTGCGGAATCCGCTAGCAATCGCGCTGCCCATAAAAGCGAGACACTTGCGAAGGAATTGAAGGAGACCCAGGAACAAACATTAACTGAGAAAGTCGGACTCGAGCGGAAAATCCGAGGTCTTCAGGATGAGAAGCAGAATCTACAAGAGGAGATGAATGAGACCCAGGCTCAGCTACTCGACCAGGAAAGGCAACATAAGCACCAGATCAACGAACTAGAGACTATCCGCTCGTCACTCCAAAAGACGCTCGAAGAATTGCAGAATGACCTACAAAGTGTGCGGAGTAACCTACAATCGACTCAGGAGAAGCTGACTCAGCGAGAAATGGATATCGGGACTCTTGAAACAGAGAATATTCGCTTGAAAACAGAGGGGGCTGATGGGGAAACATTAACGGTACTGAAAAGAGAGCTTTCCGACCAAGTGAGTCACATCAGAAATCTGGAAACAGCGAACCGCGACCAGACCGCGGAATTGCGCCACCTGCGGAAGGTTCAGAAGAATGTCGAGGTTGTGGAGGAACAAAAGAAGTCGCTAGAGAATCAACTGCAACTCATGAAAGACGTGGAGTCGGAGCTGGGAACCCTCCAGATACAGAAGCAAATTCTCGAGGACGAGCGAAGCTCGTGGACCAGCCTCTTGCAGGAGAATGATCAACCTGCCGAATTTGACTCACCGGAGGCAGTTGTCAAAGCTCTGCTGCAGGAGCGGATCGAAAAAGTGGCTTTGGTTGATAAGATGGGCAGCATCGAGGCACAATTTCTGGAGAAAGACGAAACAATTCAAAGCTTAGAGAAGGAAAGAGTCAATCTTCGTCAAGAGCTGGAGAAATTGTGTCCTGCAGGTGCTGCAGCTGGAGGAGCGATGGCCGAGAGCCGGATTAGAGCCCGCCTCGAACGTCAGCGGGCTCTTTCGGTCAAAGAGGTCGAATATCTTCGCGCTCAGTTGAAGACGTTCGACACGGAAGAGGTCACGATGAATGCGGAACAGAGCCAGTTCGACGAACACAAGTCGGAACAGATTGCCAACTTGGAGAAGCTCGTCGATGAGTACCGTGCGGAAGTTCAAAAGGCCCATGAGGAACTTGCGAAGCGCGAGGCCCCTCAGCAGAACGATGCCGAGCCTCGCGGGCTCAAGCGACCACTATCTCCTGCAGAGAGCGACGCAGAGAGTGAGCGACTATCCGTTTTATCCCGGAAAAATCGGACGCTGCAGGATTCGCTCTCCAAATCCGAACAGGCCGCAACCCTCCTTCGTCGCGAGCTTGACGCCACCAAGTCTCAGCTCAAATCGCTAAAGGCCAAGTCTCGCACGCGTATCCTAGAACTACGTGACAATCCCACCGCAGAGGCAGAGAATATCAAAATGTCCACGCTCACGACCCTCCGCGAAGAAAACCGCGATCTCCTAGCCCAGTTACAGGGCAATCATGCAGATGTCAAAGTCGTCCCAGTCAGCACGCTCGAGAGCATGAAACTAGACATCGTTGAGATGGAAAAGGTAGTCGCCGACAAGGAAAAGCGCATGCGCCGCCTCAAGGAGATCTGGACCGCCAAATCCTCCGAGTTCCGCGAAGCAGTCGCCTCACTCCTGGGGTACAAGCTCGATTTCCTCCCCAACGGACGCGTCCGTGTTACCTCAATGTTTCACCTCTCTGCAGCCTACCGCCATGGTGATCAGGATGCCTCGTCCGACTCCCGCGGCCCAGGAAGCATGGGTAACGGTGAGGAGAATTCGATTATCTTTGATGGTGAGAACGGGACAATGAAGATCTCCGGCGGGCCCAACAGTCTCTTCGCGATGGAAATAAAGCACCTGATCAAGTTTTGGGTCGAGGAGCGGAAAGATATACCCTGTTTCCTTGCGGCGATGACACTCGATTTCTATGATAAGACTACACGGGCGGCGAGGATGTAGAAGAATATGTTTTGAGTGATTTAACCAGAGAGTTATGATATCGGAGATGAAAGTTATCATGTATTGGCCTGCACCAACAGTCCCCGTCTATCAAAATGTGACTTGACTCGACAAGAGCAGTATGATTACGACTGAATAGAGCTCGATTATTACTTGTTTCCGCCATCAAACTGTTCAAATGGTTCGTTGCAGTGTTATTAACAGAGTCTTATTTACAGACCAGGTGGCATCCATGGATGACTGCTGTATCCTAGGTATGACGGTTGACAAAGGAATTAGATAAAGGAACAAATGAAAAATGGTAAAGTGTAAAAGGTCAAGAAAGTTATGAGACATCCAACACAAGCGGCTAGGAGAATAAAAAAGGGTCGATCACATGAATGCAGTATCGCCGTGATCAAGAGAAGGTATTTCCATCATAGGACATTAGTGTGAGGTTTTCCAGAGAGACGAGAGGATGCGTCAGCCTTAATGTGACACATATTTCCCAGCTACCAATTTCCGCGTGGTTGGAAGTCCCTTCCATACAGCCAACGGCTGGGACTCGGGAGCGTGTGTGGCTGCACCCTCGTCGGCGAAGGGGTCCGAATCATTTTGCGATGCGTATTCCGATGGGGACACCGTACTGATTCCCAACCGTGAGCCTGCGTCGGCTGTGTGAAGCTCGAACTTGGCATCAACCTTGCCCTTCCGCGGCCAGCTGGCCGAGGTTGCGAACCGGACGAGTAACTTTCCATCCGTTCCAGCCTGTACGTCAAGCTCGGGGATCTTCCAGGTCACTGCTGATTGCTTGCGACGGAACGCAGCCCCGGCATTGGGATACATGACGGCGCTAGTGGCATGAGCTACTTGACGACCGTCTTCGGGAGAAGTATCCAAGTTCACCGTCAATGTTAGGTTCTTGAGGGTTATTGATTGTCTCGGAACTGAGGAGGCGAATGATGGGTTCATGGAGTAGAAGATAATCACGCTTGCCTGGAACTCCTCGAGGTTCCAGGCAGGTTTGAAAATGACAGGACAATAGGCTGATAGATCTAACGGGTCGATATGAACTTGGTACTTGAACGCTACAGTCGGCGAAGGACGAGCAATATTCGCAAGAAGGACGTCGTATTCGCCTCTGTTCTCGTCTCCCTGTTCTCTCTCTTCCTTCACAAAATGCGGGTTCGCAGCGACTTTCTCCAGCTCTTGGAAGTTGTCAAGCCGCACCCGCATATGATCAATGCTTGGTCCAGTTGATGCATTGTAAGCTAGCGCAAGCTCTCCAACAACAAAGGACTTGGTTACCGCGCCCTCTGTAAACCATGCGCTGACTGTTTCAATGATGGATGCGTTGAGACCGGGTTGATGGAGATCAGGGTGGGCGACTGGACCCGAGATGCTGTGCAAGGTATGCGATGATCGGATAGACGTTGTGTCCGATAGAGTATGGTCGTCTGTGGCGGCACTGGGAGAGGTAATATGCCTGGTAGGCAGCCCTGGAGAAGTTGGGGCAGAGATATCCGACCCGGACGCCAAAGTAGGGGGTCCATGGCTCGACCCTGGGGGGTTTGGGATGAAAACTGTGTTGCGCACGTCGCGCCGGCCACGCAAGGTACTTGCAGTTCGCCTAACTCCACTATGTTGGGCTTGCTGCATGGAAGGTTAGTCATGAGAACAGAAAGATGGTGTATGTCTGGTAATCTCACCAGTCTTAGTTGGCTAGCCATCTCGTCCATGGCTTGCTTGGCCTGATTTTCATCTTCAAGAATCGGTTGATCTCTGATGGTGAGATTCATGCCTTGTTCGTCCAGTCTATAGGAATTAGCGCTCGGTAATTGTAATGAATGATAGTGGATCAATGTACCCAGCTGCTTCTCTCTGTAGTCGGGTGATTTCATCAATGGTTTGCGGTCTTTCCGAGAAACCCTCAGAATCGACTTGCGGCTCCTTTTTTTGGGGTCAGCAGTCTGATTTACAAAAATCTATTGGTCCAAGCATACCTCGTTTGCGGACGGGATAGGTGGGAGAGCTGGCTCATTCTGAATTTCTGGGTGTGGTGCTCCATTTGTGGCTGCTGGTGTCTGCTGGGGTCCAGGTTCTGGACTCATTGGCGGCGAAGCAGGCAGCTCGCGCTCGTGAATATCATTTGGAATATGTGCAGTTTCACCACGGCTCTCCTGGGTAGTTAGAGCAGTAGCGGGGCGATCTGCTTCAGTAGGAGATTCAGGTATGGGCATATCACGCGAGTCACCTCGCTTGAATGAGGCGAACGGACTGCGGTGTTTTTTATCTGAGGAGAATGGCGCACCACCTCCAGTGTGCACAATACTCTTTCTTCTGCCCATGACCGTCCCCAACCGCTTAAGGCCACCAAGAGGAGTGTTTCGGGGCTCGGGAACTATAGTAAGGATGTCAGGGAAACGCTGGGAAGCATATCGAAGTAAAGTCTTCGAGAAACTCACCTGGAGGGGGTCTAACGGCCCCTGAGCTTCCTGACCGTTGACTTGCAGCATCGTCTTGGAGCCGCGGCGGGGGAGCAAGAGGCGGCGCGCTGACGGGCATCGATTCTTGTCGTCTAGGAGCAATAGGTCTGCCCCCATTGACCTTTGCGGCAAATGTCTTGATCTCATCCGCAGTCTCGGCATTGAGAAGGACGTTTAGGCAGCTCTCAGCGGCTTGGCGAGATCGTTCCACATGATCCGACTCGTGAGTTTGTAATTGAGTCAACACATCACGAAGATGGTTCAGTCGACCTTCATCTGCGGCTTGCAATTGTTCGAAGACAAACGGCGCCCTTGATTCCCACTGTTCCCTTACCTCCTCAGCAGCAGAGATAGCACTGGCCAATCTGTCCGCTCCCTTTGGGCCCTTGTCGCGAGCCTTATCCACTTTCTTCTGGGCTACATCGAAGCTCTTTACCAGCGCAGCAAGGTCCCTCTCCACCCCGGGCATCGAGGATAGTTCTCGGTTTTTGCTGCTGTACTCCCGTAATGGGCGTTCAACATCCTCCTCAATTTTCTGCGCGAAAATCTCGTGGGACGACGCAACGGTCTCGGTGGCATTGATAATGCGCTGCCATGGTAACTGGAAGATCCTAGGTTGTCGCAAAAACACACCGAGCTTAGCAAGGCATTTTACTTGCGTATGATACTGATGAGATCGCTCTCAATGTCCGAGCTTACCCAAGCGCTGCCCCGTTATCCAGCTGCGGTCGATGCGCCAGCTTCCTTAGTCCTTGAGCGTATGCTTCCTCGACACGGCGGCGTTCCTGTCGCATGGATAGCAGAGTTAGGTCGACGGTATCCATGGCGAGTGCAGCCCAGAAGATCACAATCATACCTGAAGCCAATCCGCGATATCCGCGTTGATTTTGTTGATGACACGAATGCGATCATTGAGTACATTAATGGCTTGACTCGGTTGCAAGGAGGCCTATGCAACAAGCGAGAGCGAGGCATTAGCATTAATGGTAGGTTTTGTAGTAGAGAGGGCAAGCAGAACGCTCGCAGACAGGGAAACCCTACCAGCAAGGCTGGATACTCCTGCCGTGAGAGATCCATTTCGAAGATTCATAGATCGCTAAGACTAGAAGGGAGCGATCGGAATGCGCATAATAGGAATACGGAAGTAAGAATACAGTGGGCGGGGGCAATAGTGAGCGAGCGATTGAGCCACTTTCCACAAACAAATCACATCAATAAGAGAATAGGGATGGAATGGCGGAGGAGAGGACAGGTAAGGCCGGGTTGATGGGGATGAATGTGATGACGATGGGGTTGCAACACCGGAAGAATCACGGGAGAGGGAGGATTACTACTACTACACGGAGCCCCAAACGAAACAAGGTGATTGGCCAATTAGCACGGGGAGACAGGAGGCTAGCCGGATTGGGCTAGCAGAGTAAGTGGCGGGATGATACCTCAGGCATCGTAAGGCATGAATTTCCTTTGCCTATTCCAAACGGTCACATGTTCTCTTGCTGTCCATGCTGCTAGAGTAGCAAGTAAAAGAGGCACCGGAGAATATGCTCCTGCATCGGTAGTGCTGGATCCTGCTTTCCTTGAGAGAACTGTCGCTTGACGAGCTCATCCTTATCTATCCGTCATCTCCAGATTCATTCCGTCATTGCTGCCCCACGTGTCTGATCCTAAACATCGATCATCCGCGATGGCTGCTTCCGACTGGAAGAAAGCTCTGGGCTTCACAGATCGATTGACGGCAATCCAGTCACTGTGAGTAAGGTCAGAGAAAGCTCCTAAGTCGTACGTTCTGATACCTTCCAGCACCACCGCTTATCAACGAGCTTCATCTTCCGCTGCATTTGCAGAGGCTCAGTCTCAGGCAAAGCGATTCGAGAATGAGGCCTATAATCAAGCTACTTCAAAGGTCGGATTCGAACCATTAGGAAACAGGCTTCTGCTAATGCCAGATGTGCAGGAAGAATATGAACGAATGTGTCAGGATGCAATTGATGCCGCAGAAACTACCAATTCGGTGGCTCCAATGATCGGTAGTCCCCATCAACTGCACAACGAGCCCGAAGAGGCGGCTTGGACGGCAGGTGATACTATCGGTCCGTTCAAGGGATGTCTTCACCTGTTTGACGGACTACATTCCACCATTTATAAATCCAAACGCGAGGATGGATCTGTGGTCGCAGTGAAAGTCACCATACCACATCTCTTGTCGGCACCCCATGATGCTGAACGCGAGGCCCGGCTGCTGAAAGAGGCTGCCAGCCCTCATGTGATTGGACTGTTGGAAACGCTCAAGATCGACGGGGGAAGGCTGATCCTGGTTTTCCCCTATACGAAGTATAACTTGGAACATCTGTTTCGTCGCGACATGGTCACTGGAACGCAGACAAAATCTTACCTGCGCGACATGTTCAGTGCATTATCACATCTGCATAAGCTGGGGATCATTCACCGGGATGTGAAGCCGTCGAACATCTTGCTAAACTCACCTGCAGGTCCGGCTTATCTGGCGGACTTTGGCATTGCATGGAAAGAAGGGGACAAGGGTTCTGAGCCGGCTGATCAGAAGATTACTGACGTAGGGACTACATGCTATCGGGCTCCCGAGGTGTTGTTCGGATACAAGGGATACGGAACCGCTCTGGATCTCTGGGCCGCCGGTTGTGTTGTCGCAGAAGCTATTGCTGTCGGGCATAAGCAACTGTTCGATTCTGGGCCTGTCGGAAGCGACTTGTCGCTTGTCCAGTCCATTTTCCACACCTTGGGAACTCCGGATGCCACCGTCTGGCCGGTGAGTCAATACCCTCAGATGATATCCTGCTCTCTTGCGACTCCAGCCATGCTAAATTCCTGAATAGGAGACCGCCAAACTTCCCGACTGGGGAAAAATCGAGTTTTACAAATACCCTCCCAAGCCGTGGGACGAAGTTCTCAGGGGAGCCTCCTCTCGGGGCCGCGATCTCGTGAGCAAATTGGTTCGATATGAGGGCAGTGAGCGCCTATCTGCTGCAGAGGTAGGCACTCCACACCCAGGGGACTCAGAGGCCCAGAGCTCCTAGTTGCCGAGAAGAATCAGCCTGTCAAATCTGGTACTGACTGTCGCATAGGTCCTGGACCACCCGTACTTTTCTGCGACGTGAAGCTAGTGCAGCTCCGAGGTTTTCTATGCTCGAAAATGCACCTTGCCTCACATGACTCAAGAATCACGTCGTCTTGATTTCCGTGATTTAATTGACCAAGCTTCTAGTGGCCCACCGTTCTGCAGCGGGTGTTTCAGCCTTGGATTGGCTCAGAGCAGTGCCACTGCTAACCTGCCACAGGCTCACAGCGCTGGTCATGACTGGAGCTGCGCCCCAGTTGTTGGATCCCCCTCAAATTTGCTGGAATCCCGCGCGCTTCCTCCTTATTCGACGGCCACCGAGGCATCGTCGCTGCATCATTTTAGCGGGGGGTGATTTCAGTCCCATGGTACCATCATTACAGAACGCAGCGCAGAACAGTAAATCTTCTGCTGGCCTGCCTGAAAGGGTCCATACTCCATACTCCATAGGATGTGATGTAAAGGGTGGAGGAATCAATCATAAGATGTTAAGGTGGAACGTGTTCTCACCATTTGTTTCGATACCGTAGTGGTCGATTCGCTTGTCGATATCTAGGTTGCATATCTTCGGATTTATGCCAGGGGTACGTGACAGGTCAACGGGAGCGCAAATGTATTTATTGTTCAGATATCAGGCTCTCAGGGAGCCGAGAATTCTTCTTTCAAAATCTGAGAGGCCAAAATCCACTACAAGTCTCAATATGTTCAACCATTCAATACAGATGCCTCAGACAAATAGACTGATTATTCAATGACTGAAATTACTCCAATCCTTCAGATGGATGACGCTAGGAAGGGCCGGAGAAAAGAGGGGCTTGGCTAACCAAACTGACAGGGAACAACAGTGAACAGGGCAGTTAAGTGAGACAAAATGATCTGTGTATCTAATAGTTAACCAACCATCTATCTATGTATCTATCCTAATCAGACAGCAGGCAATTGATCTTCTTGAGCCTCGAGGTGCGAGTAATCCAGCTATATGCGTCTGTCTAAAGGCGCATTCCTCGCTTGAAGCCCCGAAAGAACTTGGTAAATATGGCGCGGGTGGGAAAAAGGGGCTAATCTTATGACAGTGACGGTGACAGTGACAGTGGAAGGGGACATCATCCAATATCCAATATCCAATGATTCACTTTGGGTGCAGCCGAGGATTCCTTCGGTATTTTGATTACAGATCTACTCCGATATCCATCTTTTTTTTAGTAGTAGGTATTTTCCTCGAGGTGAACCCTTGCTTAATATTAATACCAATGGAGGATCAAGGGTAGGTATTCACCAGCCTCATAACTCAATCAATTATCGATCTCCAATAGATTCCACACGCATCAATGAAGGCTGACAATAACAAGAGAATGACGTGCCTTGCTGCCTTGCTGTCTACCCCTGTCACTCATAGTATCTACTCCGGGGTGGTATCTAATCCTCCTTGTTGTACTGTGTAGGTACTAGGTACTCGTCTAGATTTGGGACATGAGCGGCACGTTCCTCGTGTTTGGAACCAATACTGTCATAAAACCAGGCACCGTAATCACGGATGGCCAATCACCACTTTCTAGTGCCTGCCGATAGTGGGTCAGAGACAGAGATCTTCACCCCAGTCGGTTAGCGTGGTCAGACCCAAATCATCTCTTGGGTGTTTTTGATTGGCCAGTCCCCCTCCTTGGAGTTCTGATCTCATTTCGTTTACTTTTCGACCCGTTTACGGTAAATGATTTACGGAGTACAGTTACACTTGACCAGACTCCAGTACACTAACTATAGGTACCTACCTAGTACCTACAGAGAGCGAGAGAACTACAGCCTCAATGATCCCATCCCTAGTGATTAGGAGGAATAAGAATAATAGTGACATGGAAGTGACGGTCTCGTAAATCCCTCCTAAGTGGAGGATCATAAATCATAATAATAGTTAGTACCAGCGACGAAGGAACTACTGAGTACAGCGCTACTACGACCGAGGTATCCAGCCTCTACACTTACAGAGTACCTAGTCACTCCCACCTCCAGGTCTTACTTCGCTTCCTGTGATTTCTCCCCAGAAACCCTTTCTCCTTCTCTCAACCTTCTTCTCCTCTTCCATCGTCCCATCCTTTCGTTCTTCTTCTTCCATTTCGTGGGGGTTTTCTCACGTCTTGGTCTGTCATTCTTTTGATTTGATCATCTTTCGCGGCCTGGAAGCTCGTCGTCCTTTCTTTTATCGAGCGGCTTGTCCTCTCCAGCCCCTCCATAGCACTCCAGTCCAGCCCGTCCATTCTTTTGCCTCCCACATTCCTCGACGCGCTTGCGCTCCTTCGCTTCGAAACGCGGTCTGTTCCATCAGGCCTGGACTGAAGTGAAGTCTAGACAGACCTCTCTGGTTTTAACGTGGTTCGATCTCTGTTTTTAACGAGCAAGATCCCCCCATCCGCTCCCTACTATCAGCGATCTTAGTGAGGTCCATCTTACCAGAACAATATCACATCTTATCATCTCTGAAACCAGGGTGAACCAACAATCATACGTCCCTTGCTTCAATCGTCATCTCTACCAACTGACTACGAAACATCGGTCAACAACAATCGCTCACTCTAACCACACCGCAATCATGGTGCACGCGCATGCACATCATGATCATAATGTCGTTCTCGAGCAACGAAACGTCGAAGAACGCGACCTCGAGAAACGTGAACCCCAGGGTCATGTGGTGACGATCATCTATGTCACGGCGCCTGCCACCTTCGACGGCCCTATCGGCGGCTATGTGACAGGCTCGGATCCAGCAACACAGCAAACTCAGGGTGTTGGCGCTCCTGTTGCACATACGCGACCTTCGGAAACTACAGAGGAGGAAGCGACAACGACTGCGGACCCAAAGACCAAGCCCACCGTGAAGACACAAGCCAGTGTCACCAAGGAGACCGAACCGACGACCAAGGAAACTGAGTCCAAAACGACTGATCGTGCCACCAAAGCCACGCACGAGATCACCACTGACAAGAATGCAAAAACCACTCCAACCACCTTCTCCACTGCCACATCGGACTCGACTTCATCGTTGGCCATTCCGGGTCTGGATGACAGCTCTACCACTCGGGGATCGTCCTCTTCGGGTCATTCAGCTTCCGCGTCCGCCAGTCCAATTTCTTCAGGTTCGGATTCTGGGCTCACAGGTGGCGCGAAGGCGGGAATCGCCATCGGAGTCATTCTGGGTATCGGATTGATCGCAGGCTTCATCTTCTTCTTCATGCGCAAGAGGAAGCAAGGGAGACAAATGGCTGAGGCGGAAGCCACGAACGAGAAGTCATTTGCCGCTGCAAACATGCCTCCGCCAGGTCCACCACCGAAACACGAACCCATGACCCCGTCGGAGCCTCCCCAACTCAATGTTCGCCCCATCACTCAGTTTGCTCCCGATTTGACTCCAACCAGCAGTGGCATGGCCGGGCTTTCCGCTGCAAACGCCGGTGCTGGTGCTGGTGCCGGTGCCGGTGCCGGTGCTACTCTCGCCGTCGCCGCAGCTGGATCGCGCAATCTTACCGGCAATCCTTCGCCTCCGCATACTCCCCAATCGAGTGTGAGTCAATCCGATCCTTTCAGTGATCCTGTCAATCCATTCGGTAATCAGGCCGAAGCACCTTCACCTATTGCACCAGCGGGTCCCATCAGTCCTTCCATCGCCTCTGGTCCGCAAATCCCCCAGATTACCATTGCGCAAGCGCCAAGTGAGCATGTCGTAGAATCTGCTGTGGATTCAGCCGCTACTACCGGTGCTGTCGTGGCTGGTTCTGCTGCTATTGGTGCCGCCGCCGCTATCGTTGCCAAATCCTTGGACGCCAAAGACCTGCCGAACCTCCCAGAGAGCTTATCCTCACAAGCATCGTCAGTTCCTGAAGGTTCCACTCAAAGCCCAGTCGGTGCTACCGATGCGGATGTGGCATCTCTTACCTCTGCCGGTGCAGTTGCTGCTGTTCCAGCTTTCGGACCCGGTGGAGCTGGCCCAGCCCCGATGCCATCCAATGTCCATCGTGTCCAGATGGATTTCAAGCCATCAATGGAGGATGAGTTGGAGCTCCACGCCGGTCAACTTATTCGACTCTTGCATGAGTATGACGATGGCTGGGCCCTTTGCGCCAGACTTGATCGCTCGCAGCAGGGTGTGGCTCCACGCTCTTGCCTTTCTGCCCGTCCCGTGAAGCCGCGAGCCCGTCCGCCACCAGGACCTGGTGCCGGTCCCGGTCCTGGTCCTGGTTCTCGCGGGCCCCCACCGACCATGATGGGACCGAATGGCCCTCGCGGACCCCCTGGACCCCCTGGACCTCCTGGTCTTGGGCCCATGGGACCGCCGCCCCCTCGCTTCTATCCTCAAGATCTCCGCCCACAATCGCCATCTCGTCCAATGTCACCAGCTCGCCCTCCGCATGGCGGCCCTCCACCACCACGCCCATACCCACAGCGCTCTATGTCGCCAGCTCAGTTTCCACCCGGTCCGCGATCCTTCTCTCCGGGCCCTGGAGGTCGGCCAATGCCACCCAGGTCCATGAGTCCCGGCCCCTATGGACCTCCCGGGTTACGGAGACCCGAAATGCCAGCGGCGAACCAGCGGAAACGTAGCAACAGCGCCAGTGGGGCGATGGGACCAATCTCCCGATCAGGAGGATCACCTGGTCCGAGCCCTCTAGCAGGACCCACGATGCCACCCCCATCAGGTGCCCTGCCGGCGATTCCTACTCCGCCGCTAGTTCCGCCGCCACACACCATCTCAGACGATTTCGCGTGAAGTAAATAGGCTTATGACCGTTCATATGGAGAACAGAGAAGACACTGCAAAATGCATTTGATTGATATGAGGGGGGCACACTTGATTGTCATGTCCGCTGGACGGAACGAGCCTGGGTATGAGTATCACTTGCGTCTGGGACGAAAGGATTTTCCCCCTGACCCTTTGTGCAATATGTTTCCAATGTCACTTTTTTATCTCTCGCCTTTTTGCTTCATTGAACCATGTCTCGTGCTTACACTCTTCTTCTCTTTTTTTTCTCTCTTCTATATGTCTTCTTCTATGATGCTGGCACTGCCCTGTCTTCTACAACTGGATCTTGTCTTCTGTGGACCAGCGGTGCCCATGTCTTGATTAACGGGAATACCCATTTCTTTTGAGTTAGCTTTTTCTTTTCTCCAGGGAGGTCGATTATAGGATTCATATATGGTCCCTAATCATTTACCCCCATACAATCTCTTTTTTTTTTATTATTATTCCCCCAGCCATTTCTTTCTCCCTTCTGCCTTCTTGCCCATGGAAGATGAGCAGAGAAAGGAAGCAACATGGTGCAACAATAATTCTGTCTGTGTTAAGTGTGCTTCATCACTCGTCGTTTCATGTACAGTCCGTAAATACTTGTGGAGAGAGTGGTAGATAGAGCCAAAATCAAGTACTACGCACCGACACCCGTGCATTGGCGATATCATTTTGAGTCACCAATAACCAATAGGTAGTTTATAACTTTGTCTGTCCCGGCGTAATCCAATAATCGTCTGTATCTATTTATACATTATACATGAATCGTACGCAGATTCTAGAGGTGCGGAACGCTCGCGCTCGCGAGCAGAAGATTGACAATGCTGATAATCCCTTCACCGAGGATCAGACCAGACGCCAGGACTACCAAGGACGAGGACGCGGCGTCTGCCTCCCTGGCAATCTGTTCGGCTGGTTTCCCGCCTGCGGGTGTTGTACTTTCTAGGATCTGCGGTGTTCCCGATACCACTGGAGCCTGGGGCGTAGAAGGCCGCTCGGGGCTAGAATTGGCGGGGTGTTTGCGGGACCACCACCAGGCAATCAGGCCGCCGATCGCTCTCGCAAGCGTAAAGGAGGGGACATTGAAGATGCCCACGGCCACGGCGATGCCGCCGGGGATCCATGCTCTCCAGGGTGCGGTGGCGTCGCGGCGGCCGCCGTTCGCCAGCGGCGAAGCGCCGAAGATGCGCAGGATGGTTATGCCGACGAAGACAATGCCTGCGGTTAGGGAGGCCTGCCAGGCCATTGGGGGTAGGCCTTGGCCTGTGACGAGACGGGCGGTGAAGATCCAAACGTAGGCGGTCGGGGTCTGGAACATGGGGCCGGGGACCTCGTAGACGCTTACGTACATTTTGTACACGGCGGTGGAGAGCACGGCGCCGACGAGGCTACCGATCATTTGGCCGTAAAATTGAGCCTTCGGGCTGGCGCCGAGCAGGTGGCCCGTTTTCAGGTCTTGCATCATGTCGCCAGCCTGGAGAGCGCCGGACTCAGAAACTGCGCCGGCAAGGAGATTGGTGATTAGTGCGGTTCGTCGGGAGAAGTGGGAGGCGGGTGTCGCCAGAGAGAAAAGGAGCTGGGTTAGTTTACTGATCCCGGAGACGGGATTGAGATCTGTCTCGCCTAGTGCACGAACGCCCATAATCGACAGCAGGACGGCCAGCAGTGTGGCGAGGCTGGAGAGCATAGGCGACATCACGTCGCCAAATACAATGTGCATGCAGACCACATTCAAAATCAAGGTCAGAGGGAGCAAAATCATCACGGTCCGAGTAGAGATGAGTTGGGACGGTGGAGCATCTTCTTCTTCAGGTTCTTCGTGCCTTGCGGCAAATCGGGCGGAGTAGGCTGCTGTAGATGACTCTTCCGAGATAGGACTTAGGGTAGAGTATCTGACATATTCATGTCGAGCCATGTTGCTCGATCCTTTAGAGAGAATCCACTGCCCAACCCGGCTGGACAAGAGTTTCGCTTTCAGTTTTGGAGCGTGAGTGATGAGAGGTTTCACCACAAGCCAGCCGAGACTGACAAGTGAATCGGCCAGCATGATGGCCAGAGACACCCACACAATCCAGGCTTTACTCCCGTCTTCCCAGCTGTCCACGGGGCCAGGTGCCCAGCCACGAGCCTTTGCAAGCGGGGAGAGGATGCCCCAGCCCAATATAGCACCGAGGAGCATGTGCATGCAAGTGGATGGTCCCATGATAATACCTTGACCGATATATGCGGGGGAAGGATTGAGAGTCCACAGCCAATTCTGCGCCAGGGTGAGACCGAGAATGGGTACATCGCGAACTTGAGGGACAAAGTAAGAGAAGAGCGTCTACGACAGTCAGTTATCACTGGACTTTTTCGATGTAGGAAGTGATAAGATGTCTTACATAAACACCAGACACCACGAAAGCACCAACTAGTAAGCGCATCTTTGATCTCCAATCCCGCTTATCGGCTGAGTGGCACTCGCTAGCATCCTTTTGTAGAAGGGTGCCTGTCTCTCCTCGTTCAGACGCCAATGCAACTGCTTCGCCTTCCTCTTGACGGTGAATAGAGGCGGAACCCACTGCGGTCTTTGCTTTCTCGCTACTGGATCCACTTCCATGTAGGACTTTCAGCATGAGCGCTGAAGCCGTTCCACTAGGGAATCTCAGTTTCTCCCTTACTATCACCTCCTTTCTCAATGGCACGGCAAAAACAACGCCAAAGAGACATACTCCCAAGCTCCAGAGGACCAGCTTCCAGAAATTGAGCTTTAGCGGCCCTCCTTCACCCACACCACCGTCACCAGAAGGTCCATCTTCCCCATCTCGGATGAGAAATTCCAGTGCGGGAATGACCCCCACAAAACCACATCCCAAAGGCATTGTTCCCACGGCTCCTGCTACCGTTTGAATGAGGACATTTTCGATCGGCGTAAACGGGTACGAGAGATATTTCGAGAAGACCTTGAAGACTGAAAAGCCGATAAGCGCCGATGGCATCGCCATCGTGCTGATCCAGCCTGTCTGTAAGCCGAAGTAGGTGTTGGAGAAGGTTATCAAGGCACCAATGACGATTCCGACAAAGAGTGACCGAGGCGTGAAGCTCTGGGGGGACGTTCGCGATGAACCCTCCGTTGCCAGCATTGTTCCGAAATGAGGATCCCCATCGTCAGCTCTTCGCTCCCCGTTATCGTCTGATGGCCGTGATGCCAATAAACCATCTGCCGAGCGGCGGCCATTGTTTGTGGCATTGTCCGCCATGGTGATGGATTGGTAATTCATCGATTTAGCTGCCCACAATGCATCTCTGAGAGCTATGGCTAAAGATACCTTCGACAGACTCCAAGGGAAGTACCCCACAAGATGGCTACCGAAGGTTGAAGAATAAGAGATTATTTGAGGAAGATTGACAGAAAGTCGGAGCTACAAGTGAGGCGTGACTCAGCCGATAAGATAAGTGATTGATAAGCAACAGTGATGTCAATTCTGGATGACACAAAACTCAGGCTGTTTTCTGAAGAATCATCAATTGTCTATCCTACAATCGTAATTCCATCACTAGTCTATGAGATTCAAACGCTAGGCTATTTCTATTGACCGTCAGAGACCGAGCTTCGTTTCATACTCAAGCCACAACGTTGCAGGGCTGCCCAGCGCTCCATCCCTCAATCGCCTTCTTCACCATCTGAGAATAGTTGGCCAAGGTCTTCCTCGACAGCCATGCTAGATGAGGGGTGACGATTAAGTTGAGGCTTTTTGTTTCTTCTGCTAGTAGAGGAGAGTTATGTGGAGCAGCAGGCTCCTCTCGAAAGACATCTGTTGCCGCACCCGCGATGTAATTCTCTTTCAAAGCGTCGAGTAGTGCCTCTTCGTCAACGATACCTCCACGAGACACGTTAACTAAGATAGCATGCGGTGACATTGCCCTCATCTCTGGAGTTGATATGAGGTTCCGCGTTGAGTTGCTCAAAGGCACTGCCACGAAAATGACTGTGCTTTGTTTGATGACGGAATCGAATGGAACTCGCTCGTCATCATTCACCATGCTCGACGAGTCTGTAGGGTCTTTCCGCGCAGAGATGAGCACCTTCATTCCCAAATTACGTGCAAGCTGGGCGATCTTTTGACCTAGGAGTTTCTGTCAGCTCTCAATCGACTGTTTGGGCACAGCTTGCTCTGGACGATAAAAACAGTCCACAGATCCTAACTCACCAACGATCCCATTTCCAACAATACCAGCTACTTCTTCTTGACAACTAAGAGGTGGCTGACCGTCCTTGTCGAGGACTTGAAACATGACAGTTCCCTTCCGGTGCCACTCGCCCTCTCTCGTCAGCGTGTGCATGTCGAGTAATCTTCGTCGTGCAGCGAAATACAGCCCGATCGCATGCTCGGACACTGCATCCACATTTGCACCGACGGATCTGCTCACGATGATGCCTCTTCTCCTGCATGTTTCTAAGTCAATGCAGTCGGTCCCCACCGCCGCAACAGCAATGAGTTTGAGGTGCGGCGTGATTTCTGGTGAAAGGGTATGCGCATCAAAGGGAATATAGGAGAACACAACAATAGAGGCATCACGAACTCGTGAATGCAGCTCTGAGACTGAGGTCTGCTGGTAGACCGTTGTAGAGAATGTATGACCGGGCGGGAAGTGAAATTCTGGCAACGGGCAGTAATCTGCCTGGAGGAAAACAATATGATGATGTGTAGGAGATGGGATGAGAGTCATTTTCGTCTTGGGAAAAAATCTTCTATCCAGCAATGCTAGATGAATCCGATATACAGGTACGTTCGTTGGGCTTTGGAGGTTTGAAGGCTTACCCATTTCTCACTGCATCCCCGCATTATATATCTTCGCTTTGTCCACGGACTACCACGCCCTGCAAGTGACAGTCAGCTAGTGGGTCTGATAACGCTTCGGCAAGACAGTTTCCAACAGTTCTGAACTAAGCAATAATGGCAAATTTGCTGTTTGCGTCCAATTTATCTCATGGTTAGAGAACAACTCGGCAACAGATTTGGGTGGTTGTTTCAGTCAACACGATACTATTGCGCTTAGGCCACCATCCAGGAGAAATTGCTGGCGAGATCCTCACAGACATCCTCTGGAAGTGCATTGAGTCGTTCATTCTTTTACATTCTCATTGGTACCTTGGAATGCTGCTTCAATTCTACTATCAAAGGACTAAAGGAGCTATTTCTGCACATGGTTTGCGGTCTTCGCGACGTCGTTGGGTTGATGGAGGACTCCCTCAAAGTATCCGGCCAACTCCTTGACATCCTCAATGTTTCCAACCCAACCAACATGTTGATCCGGCCTCAGGATAACGAGAGCTCCTCGCATCCTATCGACACCCCAGGCGTCGTATGCTTTCCCTTGACAGTGTCTATCCCAGGCGCACTCACTGTCACTCCAAATTTGGTCATAGGCCCAGCCCTTCTGCTCATCATATGGTCTCAGCATCTCGGGAAATTCGAAAAACTCCAATGCTTCCAGCGGATTGCTATGAATGGTGACAACATCGATGATACTGTTGTTTTGCTCCCCCTTGGGCGTGAAGCGTCGAAGGACCGAACCTGATGAAGCCAAGTACGCACTGAAGGTAGAAACTCGGTGTCTCTGCTCGTCGTGACGCATGTCTCCTGCCAGAAGCACGATACGGAACCTCCCGTCGCTCTCAAACAGCCGTGTTGTCCACCAGGCCCGGCCGTCTACCTGATTGCGAACCTTGGCCGGTAAGAACCTCTCTCCCGGGATCAGACTCGCACTAAAATCTTCACTCGATTTGTGAACTAAGGGGCTGGCTCCGTAATAACAGATGTATCCGTTGGCGAAAGACATGGTCAGTTCCATTACCTTCACCAGCGTTTCGTCAGGTGATATTGCTCCGGGGCCATTCTCTTGCTGCTTCGTGAACAATGGCTGCAGACGACGATCGAGATCGATGAGCATCTGGGCGGTCTTCTTTCGCTCTAGCTCGTAGGTATCGAGGATACAACTGCGAGCGACTCCTTTTGCGACAAGCGCAAGTTTCCAACCAAGGTTGAATCCGTCTTGCATACTCATGTTCATGCCTAGGCCTGCCTTGGGAGAATGGGTGTGGATGGCATCCCCGGCTAGATGGATGCGGCCTTTACTGAAAGTCGGCGCAAGCCGTTGGCCAATCTATTATCGTCAACGCTTAGATTATTCAAACCTGCATACTCAGTCTCTCGGGAATGATCATACCTGATAGACTGTCCACCAGTCGCACACCTTGAAGTCGAAGCTGAAGGAGCCAAACATCTTCTTGGCTTTCTCACGAATCATTTCCAATGTAACAGACGACCTGTCGAAAGATGATGATGTGTTATTGACATCGTGCAGTGGGAGGTATAGGCGAACAAGCTGCTTCTCCCTGGGAATGACCAGCATGGTGCCGTATTCACTTGCCACAGTGCTCACGCACCGGATATCAGCTATAGAGAAGTCAGCTATGATTTCACTGTTTGGAGCAAGGTCATGGACTGACGGAAATCCGTGATGGGAATCATATCAACAACGCCCCTACAACAAAGAGTCAGCTGATTTCGCACGCTGGATGAGGATGAACAATTACCATATGTGCTCGGTTGTAGACCCTTCAAAGGGTATTCCCAACTGCTTTCTGGTCCAACTGTGTGCCCCATCGCACCCGATGAGATACTTGGCTTTCACAGTCTCGATATTTCCTGGTCTTTCTTTGCTCTTCTTGATAAGATCATCCCAGTCATCCGGTGTTGTGTTACTCCGGAACAAGCCATTTCGGACACCTTCGGCACCTCCATACGCCACAGATGGATTCGCCTCTTCCTCGCTGAGGGTCCTCAGAGTAACCGTAATGGGATACTCGTCGTCATTCTTCTCGAGATTACTATCATAATTTAGAGAATCGGCAATGACGCCTCTTTCGACCTCGAGATCAGAATGTTCTTTGATGGCATCCAGCATGAAACGCTCAATTCTCCCTTGGTTTAAAAGGGCATTGCCATAGGGCGAGCATGAAATATCGTTAATTGGATTCCGGTCTTGTCGCTTGAGTTTGCCAGTCTCGTCTGGTCCCTATTTGTGACTGTGTCAGTCAACCTCCTCAAGAGATTCGTGATGTTATCCGAGCCAAGGAACCCGAACTGACCCAGAATGCGAATTCTGATGCTTCACAAGCCTCATGAAGGACGCGGTGCACAAAGCCCATGCTGTCAAACAGCTCAAGCGTCCTGGGCCTCAGCCCATCAGCTTGGCCGGTGAATACTTTCGTGCCGCGCTTATCGATGATCCGAGCCTTGACGCCACAGCGTGCCATCCAGTAGGCCGCCATCAGGCCGGATGGCCCCGCGCCGATAATCAGCCTAGCTTAAGGTGAGCATCTAGAAAGGGAGGAAGGTAGCATGAGACTTACACATCAGTATAGGATGCAGATGGGTCCGACATGATGATCACGTGAAGCCCGGGCAGAGATCTGTCCTTATAATTATTGTCACATTGAGGGTACGAGCGAGCACCTCCGCTTTATACATGGCTTCTTGAGCCTCAGTTTTGTCACTTCAGCTCCGATTCGGACATTCATCAAGCTGACATCAGAGTCTCCTCTCGCGCGGAGATTATCGGCAAGCGAGATTTCCTATGCATGGCACGAGACCTGAATGGTTGACATCAAGCCTGGCCAGGTCGATGCATGAGTCGCATCGTATCAGACCACAGAGCACAAAGATCAGCCCAACTGCCAAGATAGTAGGCGCTTGGCATGGGTTCCCTGGGGGAAGCTCGATGTACTTCATCATCTCGTCGCGGTCAGACCATTCACTGTCGGCGAGAGGTCCCGTTCCGAATGTCCGTGATCTCGTACAATCACTGAGCATACGCGTCTGTGCCTTGATCTTAACTCCTCAGTTTACTATGGGATACCCTTGCAGAATGCAGTCAGAAAGATGGAAGTCTTCTGATCCAGTTGTCAAGTATACAAATGGGTGGCTGCACTATACTTGTCATCGAATAAGATGACAACGAAAGCATCCAACACCCAGAGCTGAAACAAGTCTACAGATCAAGGCAGCAGCCATTAATTTGGGCAACGGTCATGGTATTCCTCAGGCGGACAGGATGTGCTGCGCGGAATATGCCTGTGGACTCAGCTGACGTCAGGAATAACATCCGCAACAGCGCTGATCATTTAGCTAAATCTGATCCGAGAGGAGGCTTTTTCGCGAAGCAGTATCCTAATCGCTAATGATGGAGGCTTTTCAGTTTCGGATTGGCTAGTTTTCCCTACTACTACATGCTTATTCCCAGACTTGATTGATCACTTTTGCATCACTGCATCATGTCCAAGGGTGTCAGTACGATCAACCACAAGAATGAGAAATACTTCTGAGAGATGATACAGGATTGACAACCCGCCTGGAGGGGAAGACACGAGACAAAAGCTGTGCAACATATCTTGTGGTGCTGCACATGAGGCATGAATTTGTCCGCCTTCCTTACCACATGAAGACACATCAGCAAAACTTCAGAGCGACTCAATACGCAGAACCACTCAAACGACTATCAAGAGATCGCTGGACTTGTCGTTGAACAAGAATCTTGGAGAAATGTTGAGAAACGTACGCGCTTTCGGGGATACTCATGGGACACTCGGGTTCAAGCTTTGGGAAAACAAGCGATGACTCCTGTGTGAGCCCTTGGTATGCCTGGAATCTCCCCAGGTGCATTCTCAGGCGTCAACATGGGGCTTGAAATTCATCAAGGGAACACTTTTCTCCCCTGACTTAGCAGCACGGCCAGCCATTGGTCCCAGCTGCATGGATGGATATGGCCCCTTGCAGAGGAGCTGCAACAGCTTCCCCAGGACAACCTGAGGTTATAGGGGAGAGAGCTGTTGGCAATGATTAACAGGTGCAGTTTCCAAGGACTAACTACGATGGGATGCTCCTAGGGATGATCGCGTTCCCACCCGGCCTCGTCTCTTCCATCGCCCTTCATGAACCAGATACAATACATTCCACATTCAACACTCATTATTTGGATATTTTAGTCTATCGCTCTGTAGTAGTGTTGTTTATACAAGCTCATCAGACTCCTACATTCCACAGGAGGACACTACGCATCCTGGTTGAGACAAGGATGATTCTTGCAGGATAATGGAGATGATTGGCACGCTGTAACGCGTTTAAGGAATCTTCTCATGCGGCGCACATAAATACGCGATGGATCGTCCGCAAGTGCCTTTTTGCAAATTCCATTCTCCTCAGATTTCGCCATTGAAGAGGCTACTGAAGAAAATCGTCAAGGACAGACACCCCGTGTCTCCAACGTGACAGTCAAGAAGATCCGCTGTAAAGACCTCAAAATGCATTTCTCTCAGGTAAGACTCCGCTGGTTTGTCTATCGAGGTGATAATGTCAAGGAGTCAATCTGATCGCTCGCATCCTGACAGCTTTTTGCCGTGGCCTTGGCCCCCGCAGCCGTCGTTGCCCGTTCGGCAGGTTCTGCTATGGTCTCTCTCAGCTCGCTGGACGAGTGCAAGAATGGCTTCCCAGACGAACAGGGTCAGGTGCACCAACCCTCGCCCGTGGTCGCCAGTCCGTATACTTGTGAAAGAGTCGCGCTCAACCACGACGAGCTGTTCTTTGCCTTCCATGCGAAGCTGATCGGCTCTGATACCGCTTCCTACTGTAGGGGTATCAAGGTTTACGACAATGACCACTGCGATGGCTCCCCTCGGTATTTCGTTCCCTTCCATGGGGACAAGTTGGATGTGCAGGATCGCTGTGTCCACGAGGACTACTTCGATAATGATGTGAAATGGTTGGGGATCCAGCTGGATTGTGAGGACGAAGGAGAACCGAAGACTGCCAAGAAGAAGGAGGAGGAGGTAGCTCAGCCAGTTGCACCCAAGCCTGTTGCATCTCAGCCGGCTGCCCCTGCCCCTGCGCAGGCAGCACCTCAACCCGCTGCGGGTCCCCTTGGCATCATCCCGGGTATTCTGTGAAGGACATGTGATTTTCAGGGAGGATATAGGTCCAAAGGGCTGCGAAGATAACGCTGCACAGATGTTGCATGTATTCTATAATTCTGACGGAATTCTTCCTCTTCATTCGTGTTATTGAAGACCTTAATGATAATCACTTTTCGAATAGTCTATATCAGCGGCTCGTAGTTTCCCATGGCCATTGCTGTTCAGCAGCTAATGTAAAGCTTCATTATTCCGACGGAAAGACCTCGCTCCTGGTCCAAAGCGCTTCCTTGAAGTGATCGAAACCCGCTACAACTCGAACCCTGAACGCCAAACCGCCGCAATACCTGAATCTTCTCAAAGTAAAGTACGAATTCAATATGTCGATCTATTCCTCTCGGCTAGAGCTCGCCGTGATTCCAGTATCCATTGCTTGCATAACAACCCATGCTTACATCGCATCCTTCAAGACCAGGAATGGAATGCCAGCCCTCAAGCCACTTGCCGACTTGCCGTCTGCCACCATGAGCTTGGCATGCACTTGATACTGGTGTACGTACTCTGGAATGCTCGACCTGAAGGACTTCTTTAATTGTGAGGAAATATGCGGAAGGTGTTTCAAACACGTTCAAGGTTTGATGGAGGTGTCGAATGTCAAGCATGAATGCTTCAGCCAGCCATCCGAATAAATGAAATAACAGGTGTAATTGAGTAGTGTCGAGGTGATGAGATGGGGCATATAAAGCGGATACGGTATTCGTCGCTGTAGACAACTGCTCATAATCATAGCCATACTCAACGAGAAAGTCCACGATCAATAGCCCCAACCCAGCGCAGGCCGCAAAAGACATACATACACACGCCTCTATACAACAACCACCCAAACATCCACAACCATGCATCCCACAAGCGTAAGACGCCGTTCATCCAGCCATCTATCCACGTCCAACAAATCTAACATCACCCAGTTCCTCGCCCTTCTTCCCCTCCTCACACATACACCACTCGTCTCGGCCCTGACAACCGCCCGCCTCTGGGCCCAATTCTACCCCCGGTGCCCGTCCACCCCATCCTACCCCTTCGACGGCCACAAGCTACACGAGGAATACATTTCCGCCGTGAACATCTACCCGGATACCTGCGCCAGCGTCTTCGTCCCGCTCTCCTACGCCCCGGAAGTAACGCACCTCTCCATCGCCGCAGAGCTCGCCGAGCCCGGGACCAAATGCACCATTGCCGTGCATGAGGTGCCGGGGTGCGTGGACCAGCCGCTGATCGAGGAGGAGGTGCGTCGGGGCGTCGGACTCAGCGCGTGCAAGGCGCGGAACTTCATCTCGTATAACCAGGTCTGGGTGAAGATGGAGTGTGTGGAGGACAACGACGAGGAGGAGAGTGAGAGTGATAGTCAGGAGCAGCCGGTGCCGTCGCGGAGACCGGTGCATCACGATGGGTTGCACCTGCTTGCTAACAAGACGATGGCGGTGGCGAACCAGACGGCTCCTTCTGCGAATCAGACGATTGCGGGTTACGGTGGTCGTGGGAACCTGCTGCGAAGGGTTTTGCGGAACCGGTCATAAGTGCTGCAAAGTGTTGATGAATGGGCCTGGATTTATTCTGATTGCATAACCTGTTTGTTGGGGAAGCTGAGAGGCAGAGGGTTATGTGTGTGATTTACATCTTGAAATTCACGAATTCACGTCCTCATTGACTTGGTATCAAGAAAGAAGCCCGTATCGAACCATATTATACAGGCAAATTGGAGGCCAGTCCAAATGTTGCTCAATCTGCGCGCGGGTAAAAGTAGTTGACACAAACAAACGCCATATATACATACACCAGGGACGCCTCCTCGCTAAAATGGACAGGTAGAAAACCGCAAGCGCTCAAAACCCAAAGCTGTCAAGCAGAGAGTTGGCATCCGGCTCGTGGAACATCGTAGGCGGGGGTTGAGGTTTCTTTGGCTCGGTGGATGGCTCTGTCTCCTGCTGTGCAAGCTCAGTCTTGGTCGGCAAATCCGCTACCACAAGACTGCTTCTTCGTCGCAGCATCTTCCGGTAGTCGACACCGTTCTCCTGCAATCTGGCCGAGACGTCTTTGATTGTCTTGGGAAGAGGTACGCTCAGGAACTCCCAATGGCGTACCAGGTCGAGAGCCAGAAGATCGCAACCCATTCGATCATACAATCGAGCATTACGAGTGATAAAATCCCATTCGGCTCGCGCCGATACTTGGGAGGCCCCTTTCAATGTCTGCAAAGTCTTCTCCCGAAGTTGCTTGTACAACACGACCAACGCAGGGTCATTCGATAGATATGATCTCGCTTGAAGCGAGATTGAGCCGGGGCTCCCAGGTGATAAAGGTGTAGAAGGGATCAGTGTCTCGATTGGCGACTGCAATGGCCCATTTGTTAGCACCTTGGAACCAGGTATAATAGAAAAGTACTCACAATCAGAGAGCGCACAGCCATGTCGCGGCGGCCCAGCATCCAAAAGGCCCACGATGCCATCCATCTGTTTCCGTCGGACGTTGCTTCTGGCAAAACTCTTTCTTCCAAAATCTCCCTTAGGACTGGTCCACTGTCGCCTTCGTAGGCACGCGTGATCGCGATGGCAAGCTGCAGATCACCAACCTGGTTCAAGCAGACATTGGCGGCATCGCGTAAATGGTCGGCAAGAAGAAAGAAGGCTGCCGCATATTCTAGAACAGAATGTTAGAGTCGATCTAGATAATTGGATTGTACACAAAAGACTCACCAAACCTCCGTTTCCCAAGTAAAGCATAAGCATTTTTCAGAGCTGCAGTCTTCCATCGCTCTTCTTGGAAGTTATTCGCCAGTAAACGTTGGGTAGCAGCTTGTTCCCGATGCCAGGTCGCCATTCGCCAGAGACCCTGGAGGATGTTCTTTTTCCGTAGTGCTATGTAGAGTAAGGAGCAGTCGAGAGGGTTCTTTTCCTCCGTCTTGGTATATTCATTCCGTGCGACAACTTCCAATTGTGCTCGCTGTTCAATGTCAGCAGATTGAATCTTTCACGCGATGTTTTATGAGGGCACAGGCATGCTTACTATAGCATAGGTATCGGCGAGCCACATAAAAATACCGCTCTCTCTCGCAGACGTCCATTGCAATTTGCCACCAAACTGTTTGGACACGAGATCAGAAAGGATATCCTGGCTATCACTATGGTAAGCCCAAACAATCTCTCGCCAAGACACTGTATCTTTGTTCGCAACTCCCTGACTCCTCCTTAGCATATGCTGCCGGAAGAACAAAAGATAGCGAGCGGCGTTATCATCCATTGACCTTCGGTGCTTCTCGACTGTCGCCACGCACTCGACCGTATCGGCGAGGCGAAATTGTTCATGGCTGGAGAGCTGCGGTAGTGCGAACCGAGACAGATTCTCATTCAGTGCCGTGGCCGTGGTTTCATCGATGACAGTGGAAGATTCATCCAGGTCAAGGTCAGCGAACGAGGCTTGAAGTTGTTTCGAGGACGCTTGTTGTGAGATCTGCTCATGTCAGCTTGGCCTCCATATAGTCCGCATACCACTACTTACATCGTGTTCCTCATAGAAATTCTCGAGAGGCATTTCCAAAAATCCATCGATATCATCGCCTTCGGTGTAGAATTTCAGCTTGCGGTAAAGAGTTGTCAAAATCGTATGCACCAGATTAGTCTTTCCGCTCAGAATGCACTGCGCAAGGAACTGTGGATGAAAGACGGGTAGCGGACCGTTCAGGCGGCCGACAACCTCAAATAAATCAACTGAAGAAAAACCCCGAGAAGGAATTCGAAGTTGCGAGACCAAACGATCGCTGGTCGCAATCTCGTTATCGTATACGAAAAGCTGATTTCCAGCACCAATCCCGAGGTGGCCATTGCTGAGCCAGCAAGAGTCTCCAATGGGATGGGGTGTCAAATCCCGGATCCAAATCTCCCTGACCTGCGTCCAGGACGGACCAGCGTCGAGGTAGTCATAGCGCAACTGAGATAACAGAATAACTTTGTGGGGGAAGCCGACCGCCAGTACTGACTGTTTATCTGGTGTGGATGTCCAATCGAGATCGCGAATCACGTCGTGCTGCGCGAAATGCTCCTCGAACTCCAGCTGTGCACCGTTTGTATCCCAGATCGTCAGGTGGGTTCGGTCTTGATCCACCAGGGCTGCTTTCCTAGTAGAACTGCCGCTGGCAAGAGTTGGGTTTTCAATACCCGTATTCACAGTCGAAGTCAGCAAGAATTCCACTTGGCTATTCTGCTGATCAACCTTGGCCGTCCAAGTATGGAGGACACCGTGACTCGTATATGACAGTGCAATGTCTGGAGAGAAGAGGTCGAAAAAACCGGAGACGGTTGTCTGAGGGCCCGCAGGGTCAACAGGCAATATGTATGACATGTCCTCGTCAAGTCCTAAATTGAAAGTACAAAACTTTCGTAGGGAGCACTGAGTTGATTCAGTATCACCATTTGTCTGGTGGGATGCAGTTGGCAACCGAATTTCCCATGCTATGCCATTCATATCGGCGCCTATTGTTGCGATATAGACAACGTTGCCGTTCCTATCTGCCGTGGGTATCGGAAGGACGCACAGTGGTTTGCTTGAGAGTTCAAATACGGAGAAGGCAACCTGCTGAGCATGGAATGATCGGATATCCCAGACAGAGATACCGTAATGATGAAGATTGACCAAGAAGTCGCCGCTTTCGATCACGCAGCTGCGATGGATGTGCTCGTCCGAATAGAGCCAACTCTTGCGGACTAGTATTGATCGGCCATGTCGCCATTTTTGCTTCCAGATCGTGGCTTTGTTCTCGTTGGTACGAGACACAAGCGTATCACCAGCTGCATTACGGACAATCTTTTTGATCGGGTCCGTGTGTCCGGTCCAAGACGCCTTGAGGGCTATGCGATTCTTGCGCGCCATCGGGTCGAATAAAACATCAACTTGCGAGTCAAACCATTCAATTCTGCCGTCAAAATGATGAACAAGGATAGACAGCGAGTCTGCCGATGGTGTGCTCTGAAACGCACAGAGCTGAGCATAATCTTCCTCAGCAGGAAGCCCGGGGATGAACGAGAAATCCAAGCCTTCCACATGCAGGATGTTGAAGACGTTCATATTCGATTTGACTTTAGAGCCTACATCCTCCAAAGCCCAAGCAGACATGTGACCTTGCCCATCCAGCACAACGCAAATCTCCGGATTTTTGTTCGCGACTTCAATTATATGTTCCAGCGCATGGTTCTCTTTGTCCCCAGCGCTTCGCTGTACCGCCCGTTCCGTAGCAATGCAGAAGTCCCGGCTGTCGACAATGAAGCCGTACCGACGAGTCTGCTCCCTCTCATCCGTAGTCTCTCTTGGCTGTACAGAGACACCCATGTCGATTTCCGTCCACAACTGGAGGGCCGGGGGACCATGATGATCTATTGTTGCCCATACCCTGATCTTGTTATCCGCGCAAAGTGTATAGAATACATTCTCCATTGACTGCTCACGGTGATACAGCTTGCGCCAGTGCATCCCAGTCACAATGGCCGGGTGTGGAAGGTACGAGACCTCGAACCGCACATCGTCCGCGCCAAAGGAGAGCCTTCGCCAGACCTTGACCATGCGGTCGTAGTGTCCTGTTGTTACCACGAGGGTCGAATCGGGCGAAAACTGCGCGAATTTTACCGGGTTGGCAAGCTTCCGCTTCCATACAATCCGCGGCACGTCGTTCAGAAACCAGAGTCTAAGGTGTGAATTGCCCAGGAGCAGCTCGTCGGAGGAGCCCCAGCACAAGGTGCGGATTGTTTCATCATCATCTCCGCTGCGAAAGGTATGTAGGAGGGACCACTGTATGTGGGATACATCAGCGACATCCGAAGAACCCAGTCACGTAGCTCCAGAGTACACCGTCCAGAACCACTGACCTTTAACGTTTCGTGTTTGATGCCGTACGGTTGGTAGATGAAGACATCTGGCCCCCCGCATACCGCGATCCGGCCCGATGCCTCATCGATCGTCACAGCTTCAAGGGTCTTGGTATCGTCCACGTAGATGGTCTGGAGGAGCGTATGCGGACCGCCGAGGATAACCAGCGCATTCCCGGAGATGTACACCTACGTAACAACGCGCAAAGGGCCGGAGTTAGCGGGCTCTGTACTCAAGTATTGCGCCCATCTTCCAGGAGCTTGTGGATGGAATGTGCTTACCACAACGCGGAGACCATCCCACAGCGCCGTGCTGAAAGATTGGAGCTTCGCTGGGGGTCTCCCTGGCAGCACCGCCCGCATAGAGGCGGTCGTTTGTAGAGGTCGGAGTTGGACGCTGGTTGCGCTCAGAGTGGTACTACACCATTGCCAGAAAAGCGCGCAGTGTCCTCAGCGTTGGACTTTGGATGGTGTTAAATTTTCAAAAGAGTTTCGAAATAAATATGTGAGAAGTCTGGAATATGTCTGTGGTAGTGCATTCAAGAGGTGAGGAAATACGGGGGAAGCTCGAGAGTTGTTGATGTCGATTACGCTGTTTCCGCTGTTGCTCCACCACACTCCCGTGTGACCAGACAGCATACGATCAACCTTCCACGGCTCGCGGTCACCCACGACTTGGAGGATATGTATGAAATTCTGATACAATGGAATGAGGCCAGATTCTCAGAGATATGGTCTAAGATGGTGCTCGAATTCTTAGAAGGCATGCAGATGCTCGAAATCTAGATGAACACAATAATTCCATGGCGTCACTCATTATCTCTGGATAGAATCGCCTGATCATCTATCATTCATGATACATACTTCTATCCAAAATCCAACATTGTTTAACGTCAATATAAATAAATGTCCAAGAGAGCCCCAATGCACTCAATCGCACGCCGCAGATCATGCAACGAGGTATCAACAGTTTTTCTTCCCAGGCACCAGACCCAAGACAGAACTAACAAATGGCATGTACATGTACAAAGCTCGAAGACTTCAAGTCTCCCAAACAAGAAAGCAAAACGAAATTCTCAAGGTCGTCGATTTCCCGAGCCTCGTCCGTCCGTCGGTGACTCGGGGGGTTGATCGGCAAATCGTACACTTGTGCCCATGGAGCTCCCCCGACCACTGCGGCCCCGGAAACTGGAGCCGGTTCGCGTGCCCATGGCTTCCGCACGCAACAGTCGGCTAGCAAAGGGCGTGTACAAAGGCGTCGCAGGTGTCGTGGATATCTGTGCCAGAGCTTTCGCACGTGCCGCTCGTTTGGACGGAGAGGCCATGTAGTTCGGCGTGGCGAGGGGAGTGGCCGAGGCGACCTGGGGCTCTACCGCGAAGTCATTAAATCTAAAAGGGGTTTCATCCTGATACCAAGGATCAAACAGAGGTCGGTCCAATCCGTTGACGAGTGGGCCATCAAAGGTCCTGGCAGGAGTTTTCAAGGGACCCGGAACGTCACGAGCCTCCAGTTTTATTCTAGCTTTTTCCACCCAGTGACGGAACATGCTTCTTGAGTGTTTCCTCAGGTTGCGCTCGCGCATCGAGTCCGCAGTCTCTGAAGAGCTTCTGATCTGAAAGATACGCAGACTCAATTTGCGGGCCTGCACGTTGGCTCGGCTCAAACCATGCAGGCGATAAACATCACTCGCCTGTTGTGTTAGGTCACGATATTTGGTGGACTTCTCCGTCCAGCGTGCCAACTGGTCACGGGCAACTTGACGGGCATAGAATACCTCAGCCTCTTCGATTTCTTGTATTCTCTTGACAGCCGCCTCATGCCACGTTTGCAGGAGCTCCGCTGCAAGGACCAAAGTTTTGCTTCGGCACAAATCAACCGCTTGCTGTTCCAAGTCGGCGATATGTTGAGCCCTTGAATGCCAATGTGTCAGTGCCTTCAGGGCAAGATTGATCTTGATCATTCTCCGGACTTGAGCATAGGCCTCCTGGCGACGTCGCTTGGCGGAGTCCAATGTAGCCTTGTGCCATGATTTGATAGTTTTGGTCGCTAAGAAGTAGAAGCGGGCATCATGAGCCCATCCCTCCATCTTCACCATCTGTTGGTGCTTCGAATGCCAGGCCACAAGCGACTCATGCTGGAGGCGTGGCGTGTAGAATTCAGAAGCAGCCACTTCGCGTTCGCGTTGAAGGGCAAGGCGATCTCGCCAGATGATCAGCTTCGAGCGCAGGAGTTCTTCGTTTCGGTGATCCTCGTGCACATCTGCATGATGCAAAAGACGAGAGTAAGTCTTTCGAACATTTGTCACAAATGTAGAGAAGACATCACGCGTGATCCGCTGATCTCGAATTCTCTGCATCAAAAGATATCGCTCCGCGAGAATCCATTTGTACATGGTCTCCATCTTCAAACGCTCTTCTATCCGAGCAGTTAAAGCCTGGCATCGAAGCAAGTCGTTCCAAGCTGTCCAGGAGTTGCGCATGATCCTCATTCGGTCCACCTCCCTTGCTTGCCTGAGCATTTGAAGCCGCCTGCCCCACTGCGAGAAGGCAGCCTGAACGATATTTCGATCTATCTTTGCGGAGACGTTCAGGGCCACTGGACCTAATCGAGCTTGTACTTTCCATTCCTCGAATGTGTCTTCCAAGAGTCGCTTGCGTTGGATAGATTCAGCTTCTCGTTCAGCAGCAACAACAGCTTTCGATCTCTGGGACCAGATCTGCCATGCTGATGTTATGGCAGCCTGTTTCTCCCTGACTTCGATCTCATGGATCTGTTCTCGGTTTGTGCGAAACTTTCGCAACCAGTAGAGCAGGGAACGTCTCTTAAGTCGATGATCGTACCACTGTGGAGCTCGGCGATCACAGAAACTCCAAAACCATTGCCAATAAACCGCGTGTGTCAATTTCTTGTTCTGAATAGCCACAGCTTTCTGCTCTATCCGCTTCACTTCAAGCGCCTTTTTCCGCCAAATGCTGAAGGGTCTTTTCAGCGCAAACCTTTGAGCCTTCAGCTCATTCACGGCCGTAATTTCACGCCAGGCATTAAAATACTTGACACTGAGGACATGCCGACGCGCAGCAGACGATTTTGCAACCTCATCAGAAGCAACTTGGGCCCAATGTGTGAAAGCCTTTGTCATGAGATAAAGATCTCTGGCGCGTCCAGCACGCTCTTCGAGATGTTTGAAGAATCTTTCTGTCTGAGCTGCGCGACGTTTGTCTCGAATAATCGTATGCCATGTCTCGAAGGCTTGGCGCACGAGTGTTATTCTATCGCGATTGACTGCCACAACTTCCATACTCTGGTGAGTTTGTCGCATCTGGACCGCCTTCTTCAGCCACTGGGTCAAAATACGTCGAGATATTGCGCGCTGGCGATACATGTTAAACGTGGAGGCGTCCCGCAGCAGATCAGAGAGCGATGGTCTATACAGCATCTCCAGTGGAGCTTGCTGCTTAGAATATGGAACATTATCGTCATGTTGCGCGGATGCCTCTGACTCTTCGCTGTCTTCATCCGAGGCCATCGAGGCTGTAGAGCGAGGGCCGCGCGAAGCTGAGGCTTGCGCCATTCTCTCCGAGCGGTCTTGGTCAACGGCGGACCTAGCATGTTTCCCACTGGATGGTGGTGAATCGCCCTGTTTACTCTTTTGAGAAGCGAGCATGTCGAGTCGATTCATGAGCTTCCGCCCGACATCAACAAACTCCGCCATCAATCGAGTTCTGTCGGATGATGGAGGTTTTCTCTGTGCTGGCGCCGGTGTCAGCGGAGGCGCGGGCTCCGGAAACTCCTGTTTCCCGGTCTGTAGTCGCGACATCGAGGAGCGGGAGCTCGGACGGTTGGCGAAGCTTCTTTGAGTAATGTCATCGCCGATATCATACATCGAATTGAACGATGCGCGTCTCCGCCGCGTCGTCTGTGTGGTATCTTCCTGCACGGAGACATCACGATCATGGCTAACCCTTTGGTGACCCCGGCCCTCAACTGAAAGCTCGAAATTTTCATAAGTGTCGTTTTCTTCAGTCCGCGTATCATCGCCGCCAACCTCAAGAACGATTCCCATCTGGTCAAGCAGGTTCTCGAATTTGTCGAATAGAGAACCACCTACGACTTCTTTGCTTCCCATCTTGAAGAGGAAGCGCATACAGGCATGGCCTGGATCCACGTCCACCTCATGTTCCGCAACGACTTCATCGTACGCGTTGAACAATGCCCTGAACGGAAGTCGCTGGGCATCCGGATCCAGCTCCGCGCGGGAAACAATCTGATACAGGAGACCGACATCTTTAGATGCAAGGGACGGTTGTCAGCCGAAGTCACCAAGTCGCAGAATTGCGACGGACAAACGAGAACAAAAGCGCTTACCTTCGTCTGCGAGCGCCGGGGTTTCCAAGGACAAAGCTCTACGCTGAGGGGGATTCGGAGGCATCGATAAGTCCGCGACCTAGGGCGCGTTCTTCGCAGATCGGTCATGGAGGCGGAAACCCAACTCATTCATTGCGGGACGCAAAGATTGGGTTGGTAGGACAAGAGTCTGCAGTGTCCAAACCTGCGAGTGTTTTAAATTTCCCAAAAAAAAATGAAACAGAGAGAGAAAAAGGCAAAAGAAGCCAATCGCTATCGCAGGCGGCGCAATGGCATAGTGTACCCAATTTTGTCCCCAACTCTTGAGTTGTTTTGTTCGTGTCGCGCCGAGCCAGAGGGAATGTGTACATCAGGTGATTACGAGCTTATGTAATCCGTCGCCCTGGAATCCATTCCATATGGCACTCCGAATTGCATCACCGCCGAAGAGCTTGTCGTAGATAATAGTCGAACACAACACATAAAATGCCGTCGACAAGGACAAGACCGATTGAGAAGTTTGCAAAAGCTGCTTCCAAGTGCTCCGTGGAGGTACAGTCATGACCTATCCAAAAGAGCTCATCGCCGGTATGCATGCTGACTGTCCTCCAGGCAGCTGCTTATGGCAAATGCGTTGTTGCTGACTACAATGCGGTGCACAAGGATATGTGTGCTAAAGAGTTCATGAGATTGAAAGACTGTTTCCTGGTACGAGTATCGTGGACTTGTTTTGGTACAAGATGGCTGACTGGGGGATTGACAGGCAGCATCAAAGAAGATCTAGAAGGTTGAAGCCAGGAATTGTACTGGGTCTGGCGTCAGGGATGTTCATTTCTAGAGCAAGTTTATGGCGTGAACCGGGTATCATATGCTGAAGAGATTCGTAAACATGATTCATTTTTATAGAAATATAAAGTCTTGGCTATCTTCACGTGGCACATTTCCGTCTAATTCATCCCAAAGCTACAGCTTGAGCAACCGCAGAAGGAAGGTTGCCTTCTGAACCTCCTGCTCCTCCTCCATAATGAGAGCCTCCTTCTCTTTACCGGAGACCTTGCCATCGACAACAGTCAATTGATCGAGCGGCCGGCGCACGGCCTTCTCAATGGCCTTGGCCTGAGTTTCGAAAGCCTCACTGATACCGACGCTATCGGGGTCAGAGAGAACAGCGTACTCCATCCTCACGTCATCAGTAGGGACTAGTCCAGCCTTCTTGCGCAGACGTTGCAGACGGTTGATGATCTCACGACCCAATCCTTGTTGGGCCAATTCTGGGTAGAGGTTGGCGTCCAGGATGGTCAACAAATCAGCATCGGTGTTGGGCTCCATCCCTTCAGATGCTGCATCCTCCTTGAGACCCCGCTTGACGACAAGATCACCTTCAACAAGTTCGATACCATCGACAAGGATCTTCTTATCAGCAACAAATCTCTTAACATCATCGCTGGTGAGGGAGGGCAAGGCCTTCTTGACCTTCTGGGCGTCCTTCTTCAGCTTCTTGCCCAGGGTGGGCCAGTCGGCACTAACGCTGTACTGAACGTTGTATTTGGCCTCATCGGACGACAAGACAAGTTCCAGGACGTTCAATTCCTCAAGGATGTAGCCTTCCAATGACTTCACGTCATCCAAGTATTGCTGATCCTGGTGAATGACAACCAGCGTCTTAAGAGGAGACTTCAAGCCGATTGACCGGCGCTCACGGGAGATACGAGCCATTTCGATGACCTTCTGCATGCGTGCCACTCTCCTCTCCACAACTTCATCGAACAACTCCTCGCGCACTTCAGGGAAAGAAAGGAAGTGAACGCTACGGCTGTCTTCACCACGGAGGGACTCGGGAATGTGGGGGAGAAGCTTTTGGTAGATGGTGTCGGTGATGAAAGGCGTGAAGGGGGCGAGACCTCTAACCAGGGTATAAAGAATCTCGAAGAGAGTGTTTAGAGCATGCAAAGTATCATTAACACCGTTCTCGCCCTTCAAACGCTTTCGGTTGAATCTGATGTACCAGTTGGTTGTGTTGTCAATCAACTCAAGCAACCGAGGAACGACGGTGTACAAGCGGTAAGCCGCCATCTCCTCGTTGACAAACTTGAGAAGACTCTGGCAACTTGCCAGAATCCAGCGGTCCATGACGTTAGTGTTAGTGGCTTCCGCCTTGGGGTCGAAGGCAAAATCCTCGCCATTGTTCTTTTTGAAGAGAGCCGCCTGGCCCTCAAAGAATTTGTAGCTGTTCCACAGAGGGAGAAGAACCTTTGCAACAATCTCCTTGACGCCAGCCTCCTTGAACCTAAGAGGTTCGGCACGCACAACGGGAGAATTGATCAAATAGAGACGCAGGGCATCCGAGCCGTACCGCTCCATAATCAGCGTAGGATCCGGGTAGTTCTTCAGTCTCTTCGACATCTTCTTTCCGTCTTCAGCAAGGACAATACCATTCACGACGCAGTTCTTGAAAGGAAGCTTGCCGAAGAGATGTGTACCCAGAACAGTGAGAGTGTAAAACCAACCACGAGTCTGATCCAGACCCTCAGCGATGAAATCACCAGGGAAACTCTTCTCGAACTGTTCCTTATTTTCGAAGGGATAATGCTGGGAGGCATAGGGCATGCTACCGGACTCAAACCAGCAATCAAATACCTCACTAACACGACGAAGGACACCCTTGCCTTGCTTGCTGGGGATAGTGATCTGATCCACCTTGTCCCGGTGAAGATCAGTGATTTCTCCTTCATAGCCGCTCAATTCCTTAAGCTCCTCAATACTGCCTACAGCCACAACCTCTTTGAAGTCATCGCTGACCCACAAAGGAAGCGGTGTGCCCCAGAATCTGTTTCTCGAGATGTTCCAGTCACGAGCATTCTGGATCCAACTAGCGAATCTCTTCTCCTTGACGAACGACGGAACCCAGTGTGAACCTTCGATACCTTCCAGCATTTGAGGAATGATGGGGCCGATCTTGACAAACCAGGATGGCACGGCGCGGTAGATCAGAGGTGTGTCAGAACGCCAGCAGAATGGGTAACTGTGAGTAATCTGGCTATCGACAATCAGACGGCCATTTCCCTTCAGGTGCTTGATGATAGCCTTATCGGCAGCTTTGACATGCTGACCCTCGAAGTCACGAACTTCTGCTGTAAAGCAGCCTGTCGCGTCGACAGGGTTGGGGGGCAGACGTGTCTCGCTGATGACGCCTCCATCCATAGCAACCTTGTAATCGTCCTCACCAAAGGCAGGAGACTGGTGGACAATACCAGTACCATCCTCAGCGGAGACATATTCGGCATTTAGCACACGGAAACCGTGGTCCTTGAATTCATCGTAAAAGTAATCAAAGAGGGGTTGGTACTTCCAATCCTTCATATCAGCTCCTTTAAACCGATCCACAATCTTGAATTTGGCCTTCTTGGGGTCTTTGTAAAGTGTGCGGAGGAGAGATTCGAGAAGAACGTAGTGCTTGCCAGAAGCTTCGTCAAGAATCTTGATGTACTCGAAACCTGGGTTGACAGCGAGGGCCACGTTAGAAGGCAGGGTCCAAGGTGTGGTTGTCCATGCGAGAAGGCAGGTTTCCGGATCGTTGACGAGAGGGAACGATACAACTACGGCAGGATCTTGGACATCCTTGTAGTTCTGTTGCGCTTCGAAGTTACTGAGGGGAGTATTAAGGGCCGTCGAGTAAGGCATGACACGGTAACCACGGTAGACGAGGTCTTTCTCAAACAGCTGCTTGAAAACCCACCATACCGACTCCATGAAGCTCGCGTTCATGGTCTAATTTGTCAGTATCCAAGAATATCCAGGGATAATACACAAAATGATTGGCGGGGTGACCAACCTTGTAATCATTGTCAAAATCGATCCAGCGACCAAGTCTCTCGATGGTCTCGCGCCATTCAGAAGCAAATCTCATGACAATGGCTCTGCACTCCTCGTTGTACTTCTCAATACCGAGTTTCTCGACAGCCTCCAAGCCCGACATTCCAAGCTTCTTGTCGATTTCATACTCGATGGGGACACCGTGGGTATCCCAGCCGAATCGTCTCTCCACGTAGTATCCTTTCATCGACCAGTACCGAGGAATAATATCCTTGATAGTCGAGGCCAGCAAATGGCCATAGTGAGGAAGGCCAGTCGCGAAGGGAGGGCCATCGTAGAAAGTGTAGGGTTTGCGACCACGGGAAAGCTCGACCTGCCTCCCGAAGGCATTGATCTCCCTCCAGTTCTTGAGGATGAGTTCCTCCTCAGCCGGGAAATCAATGGACATGACGGGCGAGCGGACAGTCGTCAATCAAATGGCTGTCAGTGCAGTGCAGTCTGTGCCAGGAGCGAGGGATAGGCCGCGGGGTAGATAAAAAAAGGATAATATTGAGCGGTAAGTGAGTCAGACCCCGCGGGCCGAGTTTTTGCCAAGTTTTTGCCTGATTTTCAAGGCATAGTATCGCCTATAGATACAGAAAGTAGAAGAGGCTTGAACAAATGAGTATACAAAGGTATGGGCAATGGTTGAAGGTATCTGGCATTGTGATCAAGATGCAATAGGCTATATCGTCTAAGTCTCATCTAAGCGTAGCATGCCTGCTTGGCTTAGCGGTCTCATTCTTCGTCCTCATCCTCCTCTTCCTCTTCGTCATCCTCAGCCTCAGATACTTCCTGTCCAAGGTCTTTCAAACGTTTCTACAATATCTTAGTATTCTTCCTGAAGCTGGAATGCGGAATCACATACCTTGTCTTGGTTTCTCTTTGCCTCTAGATCTCCGAACACTATCAGAAGATCTTCGAGCTCTGACTGTGCAGCCTTGCGAGCTTCCTCTTTCTCCTTCGCCTCTGCCCTGGCCTTTTCAAGTTGCGCCTGAAGTTCCCTGAGGGCTTCTTCGGATTTGTGCGCATCTGCCTCGGCCTTCTTAACCCTGCTCTTGGCGTCCTCGGCCTGGTTTTCCAGTTTCGAGCACTTGGAAGAGTAGTCGTCATGTAAGACTTGGAGATCTTTCTTCGACTTCTCCATGGCAGATTCAAGCTCTGATTGTAGGGATTGAGCTTTTGCTTGAACGTCGCTAATCTTTGTATTATGCTCCGCTTGCAGAGTTTCATTCTTGGCTTTCAGATCAGCAACCTCAGTCTCATGTTCTTTCCTGGCTGTTGCAAGTTCAGACTGAAGATTTTCAGTCGCAGTCTTCAGATCAGAAATATGATCAGCATGCTTTGCCTTGCTTTCATCTAGTTCTGATCGCAGACTTTCAATTAAACTCTGAAGTTCCCTGACCTCAGCCGAATGCCGTTCTCTGAGCTGGTCTGCTTCCGATTTCAGAGACTGAATAGTCGTCTGAAGATTACCAACATGGCCTGAATTCTCTTCTTTGACATGAGCAAGCTGCGATTCCAGCGATCGGATTTTTTTGTGTAAATCAGCAACCTCGGCGTCATGAAGCTGTTTCATTTTCTGGCTCCGTCTCTCATATTCGGCTGACGATTCTTTTAATTGGTTGTCAATAGCTCGAAGTTGTTCGCCATGCTGTTTCAACAATTCCTTCTTGGCATGTTGGTGTTGTTCTTCTAAAGCTGACAACTCCTGCTCGTGGTGTCGCTGAAGTGATGCGTTGATCTGTTGAATCTTGGAAGCTTCCGAGCTACTCAACTCCTTGGTTTTCCTATGCTCAATCTGCTCTTGCTCAAATTTATTCCGTAAACTGAGGATGTCAGATTCGAGCTTCTGCACAAGTTCACTTCGCTCCTCCAAGTCTGCCCTTAACGAGTCGACCAATTCGCGTGAAATTCCTCGCTGGACGCCATTCGTGATGATTGATACTTCAAAGCCAGGTTCGCGATCAATAGCACGAATTAGTCGACCAAAGTTATCTTTCAAGAAATCGATGAAGGTCCTGTCGAAGAAGATTTCAGGTAAACCCGCGTCGAATAGTCCTCCAACGGTCTGTGGTAAAACTTCAAAGTCCCTGACTAGAGGCGATTCTCGGAGCCGAGTAATCTTGTCGATGAACTGCTCTCTTCCCATTTGTTCAATCAATAATTTGTACAAGGTAGCACGGGGGATAGGGGAGTCTTTTGTAGAGAACTCATAAAGAATGCCCAGCAAAATCGTGCTCAGACCAGACACGAGTACATTGGAAACGCCCCGATGCTTGGTCTCTTGCAATAGTGTCTGGATGCTGCTTCCCTCTCCGAGAAAATCATTGACAGCGTCTGGCTCCTCGAAAAGCCATCCACAAAGCAGCATCAGATATCCTATTGTGATGCGCTCATCATCGCCTCTTTGAATCCCAGTAATCAGATTTCCTACTATTGTTTGGATGCAGGTAATCACCTCTTCGCCACTTTCGGCATCGCCCTCCGTCACCTCCATGGCAACTGCTTTCGCTTCGGCATTGTCGAACACCAAGTGAAACATCAAGACAGAGGCTATCCACACCTGATACGGATCGGCATTTCCCCGAGCCTCTGGCGGCACAAGCAAAACGGACAGGATATTCGGGATCTGATCTTGACCGCTGATATGTCCGTCAATGGCTCTCCTCAACACATGAACCCGGATTCCCACGTGGTTTGCGAAAAATGCCTTGATACATTCGCAAGCAGCAAGGCGGGCGTCCAATACTTGAATCGAAGCTGGTTCAAGACTCAATTTGAGAAGAGCTTCAATGACATTGACACGCTGAACCCCATGGTGCGCTTTATCGCCGTTAGCCGCTTCATCCCGGTTAGATTGTCGACCCCATGTGACTTCAATGTCCGCGAATCTTTCCTGCAGTGACGAGTTTCCGCGGATTAAGTCGGCACACGTCGCTAACGCCTGCACGGGTCAGTCAAAGGAAACGCCATCGGAAACGGAGGTGAGCGAACCTTAGATGTGACATTGACATTGAACTTCTGACCAAAAGCTGCGCTCAAAACTTGCTCCATTACCCCATTGTTCCAGAATGCCGTCTGGTTGGCAGGAGTGTTAACCCCACCCTTCACAAGGAAGAGCTGGATAATGACCAACAAGCCCCAGATGTTTTTATCGCGCTGAGCATGCGCCCACTGGGCAGCATCCTCAGTTGAGTCCTCATCCTTGTTCACATCGGCAAGCAACTTTGCCAATCTCTTTATGCAGCCAGTTTCCCGGAAGTGGGACTGGTTCGATACATTAAGCCGTAGAAGATTGGCCAGTAGTGACAAGCAATCTTCCACAACCTCCAATCCATGTGTCAAGCCACCTTCGTTCTCGATTAGGGATAAGGTCACATCAAACGCATTTTCAAAGGCAACGAGTTTCTGGAATTCCTCGGAGGCAGGCGTCAAGGCAATGAGAAGGAGTAGCGCTTCTATAGACGGGCAAAGCATGTCAATTAGGCACACAGGTTCATACACTATACACATATCCATCTTACCGTTGCGAATCGGCTCTCTACTATCTCCCATTGCACCGACAAGCCTGGGAATACCGAGCGGAGCTGTGAGTATGCATTCTTGCGTTCTTTCTGGGCGAGCACTGGATATCTGGAACATCAATTGTAACGAGTATAGCCGGGAGTAGAAATCCCGGGTATCAAGCAGATCTAGAAGTGCGGTGATATTGTCTTGTCGCTTTCACTTCATTAGCCATAGAAGCAACGCTTCATACCACGTTAAACCAGTTCATACCTGCGTAAATTCATCCGCAAGCCAGAGAGCAATTTCGTCAGACGCTTCGGGCTATAAGCTACATTAGCAACACCCGGTGGGCAAATCGAGGTACGTAACGCACACTGCTCTCGTCCGGAGAGAATAGCATCAACAAGGTCTCCAGGACCACCTTGATTGTGTCCACATCTTCTCGATCATTTCGCAAGCTGCTGATCAACGGTCGCAGCGCTCCGGATGCAACTGAGGCGGGATAAATTTTCGAGAAGCTCCTTAGTCCTTGGATAGCTGCACGTCGGTCCTCCAATAAAGTCGCACTCTGGAGTCTACTACTGAGAGTATTGATAGTGTCCGTTGCCGTTTGTTTGGCCGGCGCCTGTGATTCGAGGATTCGGAACATCGCAACTTGTTTCTCGCTGTATCATGGTCATCGCCGGCCGGGGGCGTAGCAATATGTAGGCATTGAATAATTTGACGAAGTAAATTCACTTCTTTAGCTGAGTTGTCACCATTTCCAGCGCCCAGTGTTGGTCTGGGGGCACCAGCTGTCCTGTGGCTCAAACAATCAATGCCAAGCGGCCACTAAGACTTCCGGAACCGCGACCAAAAAAGCGCCGAAAACCCGGGTTCATCGTTATCGCAGAGACTTTCAAACAACTGCCCTTACATCTACGCGCGGTTTGCTTGATCTTTCCTTCGCACGATTGCGATTTTTATCATTTTGGAGGACCTTCGACTTGGTGTAATATAAGTGAACGAGAAAACCGTCACATATTGTACAGGGGCCTTTATCTGGCCAGCGATAGGAAGGCTGCTTAGGAGCTATTGTTTGCGAAAGCCGATGGAGCAAATCAACAACTCGTGAATCTCGACTTTTTCTCCGTTTCTGCTACCTCGAGTCTGTAATATATATCCTTCGCTGTCGCCATCATGGGTGTCCCAGCCTTGTTCCGTTGGCTGTCCAACAAATACCCCAAGATCATTTCCTCGGTCATCGAAGAGCTGCCTTACGAAGTCAACGGCGAAGAAATTCCCGTTGACACTACTAAACCGAATCCCAATGGAGAGGAGATGGATAACCTCTATCTCGACATGAATGGTATCGTCCATCCATGTACCCATCCTGAGGGCAAGCCTCCGCCGGCGAACGAGCAAGAGATGATGGTGGAAATCTTCAAGTACACCGACCGTGTGGTGAACATGGTCCGGCCCAGAAAGGTCCTTATGATTGCCGTCGGTATGTAACTCAATTCAGGCCACCGCTTCGTGATTCACGCTAATTGATGATTCCTTAATAGATGGTGTTGCGCCACGAGCGAAGATGAACCAGCAACGAGCACGTCGATTTCGTTCGGCCCAGGAGGCGAGAGAGGCGGATGAGAAGAAGGAAGAATTTCGCAAGATGCTTGCGAAACAGAATGGCAACAAAGCCGACCAAGAACTGCACGAAGAGGTCATCCAGAAGACGTGGGATAGCAACGTGATCACACCTGGCACGCCTTTTATGGACATCCTTGCTGCATCCTTGCGCTACTGGATTGCTTACAAGCTGAATACTGATCCGGCTTGGGAGAAGGTATGATATATTTACAAGGACTCCTGCTATACTCCTGAGCTCATACTAATGGCCTTAGCTCAAAATCATCATTTCCGATGCGACTGTCCCTGGAGAGGGTGAGCACAAGATCATGGAGTTTGTTCGTTCGCAGAGGGCGGCACCGGAGCACGACCCGAACACTCGCCATGTTATCTATGGATTGGTGGGTTATACTACTCACAAACCCCACTGAGACACTGCTGATCATCTATTTTGTAGGATGCCGATTTGATCATGTTGGGTCTTGCTACCCATGAGCCTCATTTCCGAGTGCTGCGTGAAGATGTCTTTTTCCAGGAATCGCGGCCACGAACTTGCAATTTGTGCGGTCAGCCAGGTCACAAGGCAGAGGAATGCAGGGGTCAGGCAAAAGAAAAGAATGGGGAGTTTGATGAAAAGCAGAAAGGTTCCTCACTCAAACCATTCATCTGGCTCCATGTGTCTGTCCTCAGAGAATATCTTGCTGCCGAGCTGTATGTGCCGCAACAGCCGTTTCCCTTCGATCTCGAACGGGCTCTGGATGATTGGGTTTTCATGTGTTTCTTTGTAGGAAACGATTTCCTGCCTCACTTGCCGTCATTAGACATCCGTGAGAATGGTATAGATACTCTGATTGCAATTTGGCGTGATAATATTCCTGTCATGGGCGGATACCTGACAGAGGACGGACATGTCGATCTGAAGCGGGCTCAGCTCATTCTACAAGGACTCGCGAAGCAAGAAGATGCTATCTTTCGGCGTCGTAGACAAGCAGAGGAAAGGAAACTCGCCAATGAGAAACGACGCAAACAAGAAGCAAAGGCCCGCGAGGAAGACCGAGCGAGCAAGCGCAGAAGAAGCTCGCCCAATTACGATGCTTTGGAGTCAACCAGTGGCCAGCGTTCCCGCGGAGGCGGAGATCTGGCACCACCGACTCCAGTGGAACTGATTACCCCCGGTCGAGGAGTGCTGTCGCGGGAGACCAGAGAATTGACACACAGCATGGTTGTGAATCGCAGCGCGGTCTACAAGGCAAACATGGCCAACAAGAGTGCAGCTGCTGTTCTCAAGAGCAAGCTGATGAAAGGCTCCCAGGATGATGAAAATGCGGGAGCGGATGCTGAAGAGCCCGACTCGAACAACGGTGAACCGGCACAGGAGTCGCAGGACCCGGCAGAGCAGACTTCGCCGTCGGTTCTGGGCAAGAGAAATGTCGAAGTCGTGGAAGAGGAGAGTGCTGATGCAGGAACGCCAGTTGTGCCCGCGGCTGCCAAGGAGGACGAGCTTCCTCCTGACACGGTTCGCCTGTGGGAGGAAGGATATGCCGATCGGTATTATGCGCAAAAGTTCGGCGTTGGCCCTGAAGATAAGGAATTCCGCCACAAAGTTGCCAGGGCGTATGCCGAGGGATTAGCGTGGGTGTTGCTGTACTATTTCCAGGGATGCCCGTCCTGGACTTGGTACTTTCCTTACCACTATGCGCCCTTTGCCGCTGACTTCGTGGACATTGGCGATATGGAGATCTCCTTTGACAAGGGTATCCCATTCAGACCATTCGAGCAGCTGATGGGTGTTCTTCCAGCCTCATCCAACCACGCCATTCCTGAAGTCTTCCACGACCTGATGAGCAACCCGAGCAGCGAGATTATCGACTTCTACCCAGAAGATTTCGCTGTGGACCTGAACGGCAAGAAGTTTGCTTGGCAGGGTGTCATTTTGCTGCCGTTCATTGATGAGCGGCGGTTACTTGCCGCCATGGAAAAGAAATATCCTCTACTTAGTGAGGATGAAAAGCTCCGTAACAGCGTGGGCCGAGACGTGCTGTTGATATCCGAAGCTCATCCATTGTATCAGGATTTGGTCGGCAATTTCTATTCGAAGAAGCAGGATGCCTCCAAGTACAAGCTGAACATGCGCATTAGCGACGGCTTGGCCGGCAGGGTCGAGCGTAATGATGCATACATCCCCCATAGCTCGCTGGTATCATCACTCGAGGAGTATGGCATGCCGAGCTTGGATGATGACCGCTCATTGATGTAAGTTCCATTTTCTTTTCTACATTTTTCGAGTTTCCTTGATATCACTAACCTTCTCTTCTAGCGTGAATTACGAGATCCCCAAATCCTCCCACGTCCACAAATCCATGCTTCTTCGAGGAGTCAAGTTCGGTCCTCCTGCACTGGATAATGCAGATATTCAAGCCGTCAAGCATAGGGCTCAACATTCAGGAAGATCATATGGCGGCGCGCCCTTCCGCGGTGGCAATCGGGGCGGACGTATCAACTATGCAAGCGATCGGCCTAATCCGTTCGCTGCGCACCTCGACCCCAGCTTCATGCAAGGTGCCCCTGGCAATGCAGGTGGTAATGGTCCTATGATGCCCTCAGGATGGGCTCCGCCAGTTCCTGGATCGGGTGGATACTCCAGAGGTCCTCCTCCCCCTCCTCGTGGAGGAATGTCAGGCTCCCATCATCGTCCTCCTTATGGGCAAGGACCCGACCAGTATCAGGGAAGCTATGGACAGAACGATTACCGTGGTCATGGTCAGCAAGGGCACTATAATCAGTCCTCGTACTCCAATCACTCCAACCAGTATAATGGCGGATCGTCAGGCCATGGTGGTGGTGGTGGTGGTGGTGGTGGAGGATACAGAGGCGGCGGCAGAGGGTATTCTCGTGGAGGAGGAGGAGGAGGAGGAGGAGGAGGAGGTTATCGCAACCAGCGACAATATAACCAGGACAACTACTCTTCTAGAAATTCGGGCGGGTATGGACGTTACTGAGCATTAATCCGGTGACGCCGGATTACTGTGCCCATCGGTGACCGCGGATATGACTACTTCCACTATTGTTACAACAAACGGAGTTCAGCTGGTTGGGGGAAAGGAACAAGTCTTGGGTTCGGCAGACCGTATACATTTAGAGATTATCTGGAAATCTGACATTTTTGGTGTGACTATCCTTCTCTATCCATGTAACTTATAAATTTCGAGAACACTGCATGATTCCTCAGAGTTCGAGCATTATTATCCGTGGCTAAAGTACACCGAAGCCTCTAAGGTACTCTTGAATAAGGCCTTGTATTACCGCCGCGACATCGGAGCGGGACACGGTGAGTCAGGTCAGGCTTGGGGATTTCCGTCGCTGGGTGGGAAAAAAAAAGAATCGTCTGCTCTAACTCCACGATACTATCATTTCCTTCTTAATTGACCCTCTTTTTTGGTTCTCTTGCGAATTAATTGAATCATACTGGTCCAATTACTCAGCGTCCCTGCTGCTTCGCTTTTTGTCCAGCGGCTCTCCAGGTACAGTCCTGATTGTTCTCCCCCGCGCCATATTTCTCCGATTCCGTGATTCTTTGCTTCTTTACTCACTTTCAGCTCCTCCGTCACTCTCTAGTATTTGGAATTAGTGGCATTGAGCGAATCTCAGGGCGGCTTGCAAACTGGCCACAGTATGCAATAAAAGAAGAAAAGGTCGAATTTCCCTCGCAATTTGAACCGCATTCGCAATTGTCATCCTTTCCTCTACAAACCCCCTCCCCCCCCGCTTTCCTCTGACGATGATCGAACCTACGAAAATCAGCATTCTGGGTCAGGAGAGTATAGTCGCTGATTTCGGGCTTTGGCGCAACTATGTCGCTAAAGACCTGATCAGCGGCTGTCCTTCGACAACCTACGTCCTGATCACCGACACAAACATCGGGTCGATCTACACACCTAGCTTCCAGAAGTCCTTCGAAGAGGCTGCCGCCGCGGTCACCCCTTCGCCCCGCTTGTTGACCTACTATGCTCCCCCTGGAGAGGTCTCGAAGTCGAGACAGACCAAGGCGGATATTGAGGACTGGATGTTGAGTCAGAGCCCGCCATGTGGTCGAGATACAGTGATCATTGCTCTCGGTGGAGGTGTCATTGGAGACCTGACGGGATTCGTTGCAGCGACCTACATGCGCGGCGTTCGCTTCGTGCAAGTGCCCACGACGCTTCTGGCTATGGTGGACTCTTCGATTGGTGGAAAGACGGCCATCGACACTCCTTTGGGCAAGAACTTGATTGGCGCAATCTGGCAGCCAGCGAGGATCTATATCGATTTGGAGTTCCTGGAGACTCTCCCCGTGAGGGAGTTTATCAACGGTATGGCCGAGGTGATCAAGACGGCAGCCATCTCCAGCGAAGAGGAATTCACCGCCCTCGAGGACAACGCGGAGACGATTCTGGCCGCTGTTCGCCGTGAGGTCAAGCCTGGTCAGCGGCGATTTGATGGTATTGAGCAAATTCTGAAGGCGAGAATCCTCGCATCGGCGCGCCACAAGGCCTTCGTTGTCTCGGAGGATGAGCGTGAAGGAGGTCTTCGTAATCTCCTGAACTGGGGTCATTCGATCGGCCATGCCATCGAAGCTATCTTGACTCCCCAGATCCTCCACGGAGAGTGCGTTGCAATCGGTATGGTCAAGGAAGCCGAATTGGCGCGTCACCTTGGTGTCTTAAAGGGCGTGGCCGTAGCTCGAATTGTCAAGTGTATTGCCGCTTATGGACTGCCGACCTCCCTCAAGGACGCTCGGATTCGCAAGCTGACCGCCGGCAAGCACTGCTCTGTCGACCAGCTCCTCTTCAATATGGCACTGGACAAGAAGAACGACGGCCCCAAGAAGAAGGTCGTCCTTCTCTCGGCTATCGGTCGCACTTATGAACCTCGCGCCAGTGTCGTGGCAAATGAAGATATTGGGGTGGTCCTTGCTCCCAGTATTGAAGTGTTCCCCGGCGTCTCGCCGAAGTCAACCGTCATCTGTGCGCCCCCGGGTTCCAAGAGTATCTCCAACCGTGCTCTGGTTCTCGCCGCTCTCGGTTCAGGTACTTGCCGCATCAAGAACTTGTTGCACTCTGACGATACCGAGGTCATGCTGAACGCCTTGGAGCGTATCGGCGCCGCTACCTTTTCCTGGGAAGAGGAAGGGGAAGTCCTCGTTGTGAATGGCAAGGGAGGAGCTCTTCAGGCCCATCCCTCAGAGCTGTATCTGGGCAATGCTGGTACCGCCTCGCGTTTCTTGACCACCGTTGCAACGCTTGCCACTCCCAGCAATGTCGACTTCAGCATTCTCACTGGCAACAACCGCATGAAGCAAAGACCTATCGGTGATTTAGTGGAAGCTTTGATCGCCAACGGTGCGCAGGTTGAATATATGGAGAGCAAAGGCAGTCTGCCCCTCAAAATCGCCGCTTCGGGTGGCTTCACTGGTGGTCAGATCAACCTCGCAGCCAAGGTGTCCTCTCAATATGTATCATCGTTGCTCATGTGCGCTCCCTACGCTAAGGAGCCCGTGACGTTGAAGCTCGTGGGCGGCAAGCCCATCTCGCAGCCCTACATCGACATGACCACGGCCATGATGAGATCCTTTGGCATTGACGTGCAAAAGTCTACGACTGAGGAGCACACCTACCACATCCCCCAAGGACGCTACACAAACCCTGCGGAGTATGTTGTGGAGAGCGACGCCAGCTCTGCCACCTATCCTTTGGCAATTGCGGCCGTCACCGGTACTACCTGTACCGTCCCGAACATTGGTTCCAAGTCGCTCCAAGGCGATGCACGCTTCGCCGTTGATGTTCTGAGGCCCATGGGCTGCACTGTGGAACAAACCGACACGTCGACCACCGTCACCGGGCCTGCAGACGGAGTCTTGCGGCCCTTGCCCAATGTGGATATGGAACCCATGACTGATGCGTTCCTGGGCGCGTCGGTTCTTGCGGCTATTGCTCGGGGCGAGGGTTCGAACCATACTACTCGCATTTACGGCATTGCCAACCAGCGTGTCAAGGAATGCAACCGGATCAAGGCTATGCATGACGAGCTTGCCAAATTTGGTGTTGTTTGTCGCGAACACGAGGATGGCCTCGAAATCGACGGCATCGATCGCGCAAACCTCCGACAGCCGGCTGGCGGTGTGTTCTGCTACGACGATCACCGTGTTGCCTTCAGCTTCAGCGTCCTCTCGCTCGTGGCGCCTAAGCCTACCCTGATTCTGGAGAAGGAGTGTGTGGGTAAGACATGGCCCGGCTGGTGGGATACCCTACGTCTGAAGTTCGCCGTCAAGCTCGAGGGCAGAGAGCTGAAAGAGGCCGAGTCTCCAGTACTCACCAGTGCTGAAAAGGCTAGCGCCTCGGTTTTCATCATTGGAATGCGTGGTGCCGGCAAGACCACCAGCGGCCATTGGGTTGCCTCTACCCTCAACCGCCCTTTCATTGACCTCGACGACGAGCTCGAACGCATCGAGGGCATGACCATTCCGGACATTATCAAGGAGCGCGGCTGGCAGGGATTCAGAGATGCCGAGCTTAGTCTCCTCCAGCGAACAATGAAGGAGCGACCCACCGGTCATGTCTTCGCATGCGGTGGTGGTGTTGTGGAGGTTCCTGAGGCCAGAAAGTTGCTCATCAACTGGCATAAGTCGAAGGGCAATGTGCTCCTCATCATGCGTGATATCAAGCAGGTGATGGATTTCTTGAACATCGACAAGACCCGCCCGGCCTACGTGGAGGACATGATGGGTGTGTGGCTGCGCCGCAAGCCCTGGTTCCAGGAGTGCAGCAACATCCAGTACTATAGCCAGCACGCGAGCTCGGGACTTACACGGGCCTCGGAAGACTTTGCGCGCTTCGTTAAGATTGTCACTGGACAAGTGGACAGTCTCGGCGCCATCAAGAAGAAGCAGCATTCATTCTTTGTGTCTCTGACACTACCTGATTTGCGTCCTGCGGGTGATATTCTGGAGCAAGCATGTGTGGGCTCGGATGCTGTGGAACTCCGTGTCGACCTGCTGAAGGACCCATCCTCCTCGAACGGCATCCCGTCCGTGGATTATGTTGCTGAGCAGATGTCTTTCCTCCGCAGCCACACCACTCTGCCGCTGATCTTCACCATCCGGACCAAGAGCCAGGGAGGTTTCTTCCCCGATGAGGCTCATGAGGAAGCAATGCAACTGTACCAGCTTGCCTTCCGGTCCGGGTGCGAATTTGTGGATCTTGAGATCGCTTTCCCCGATGAGTTGCTGCGCACCGTGAGCGAGATGAAGGGCTACTCCAAGATCATCGCCTCGCACCACGACCCCAAGGGCGAGCTCTCATGGGCGAATATGTCCTGGATGAAGTACTACAACCGGGCGCTCGAGTACGGCGACGTGATCAAGCTGGTGGGCGTGGCCACAAAGCTTGACGACAATACCGCGCTCCGCAAATTCAAGAGCTGGGCCGAAGAAGCACACGACGTGCCTCTGATTGCGATCAACATGGGCGACAACGGGCAGCTGAGCCGCATTTTGAACGGTTTCATGACGCCGGTGTCGCATCCCGCTCTTCCGTTCAAGGCTGCGCCTGGCCAGCTCTCCGCGACCGAGATCTGCAAGGGTCTGTCGCTGATGGGCCAGATCAAGAAGAAGCGGTTCGCGCTGTTCGGCACTCCCATCTCCGAGTCCCGCTCGCCAGCCCTTCACAACTCTCTTTTTGCCGAGCTGGGTCTGCCTCATGAGTACACCCGTCTTGAGACTGCCAACGCGGAGGACGTCAAGGAGTTTATCCGCGCTCCTGATTTTGGCGGAGCGTCCGTTACGATCCCCCTGAAGCTGGACATCATGCCGCTTCTCGACGAGATCGCCCCGGAGGCCGAGATCATCGGCGCCGTCAACACGATTGTCCCTGTTTCCGACGGAGAGGGCAAGCCGCAACGGCTGGTCGGCCACAACACCGACTGGCAGGGGATGGTCCAGTGCCTCCGCAATGCCGGCGCGTACGGATCCAACGGCGATGCCAGCGCTCTCGTTGTGGGCGGCGGCGGCACCTGCCGGGCGGGGATCTACGCTCTGCACCAGATGGGATACTCGCCCATCTACATCGTGGGCCGCAACCTCGGCAAGCTGCAGGCCATGGCGTCGACGTTCCCGAGCAGCTACAACATCCGCATCCTCGAGGGCAATGAGACGCTGGAGCACGTCCCGCACGTCGCGATTGGCACGATCCCCGGAGACCAACCGATCGATCCCGGGATGCGCGAGATCCTGTGCCACATGTTTGCGCGGGCGGAGGAGGCGGACGCGGACGCCGTGCGGTCGATCGAGGGCTCGCCTCGCGTGCTGCTGGAGATGGCGTACAAGCCGCCCGTAACGGCGCTGATGCAGCTGGCGACGGATGCGGGGTGGACCACGATTCCCGGATTGGAGGTACTAGTTGGGCAGGGATTCTACCAGGTGAGCCGATCGCTCTTTTGTAAATGTAATCTTTTCGTTGCTGACGATAGGGGGGGATTACACAGTTCCAACACTGGACGGGCATTCGGCCTCTCTATGAACATGCGCGGGACGCTGTCCTGGGCACCAAGGCCGACTAAAGGATGATGGAAAAGTGTTTATTGTAACTACATGAGTCGACTTTATTGGGGGTATAATACGAACGGACTAAGTGTTCCATTTCGGGGGTTTCCAGTTGGATGGTAATGATCAATGTTTGCTTTATTCCGCTTGATCTTCGCATCATTCTCTTTCGGGTTCGAGTTGAGAGCTGTGAGAGTCGGTAGAGGAGAGGCCATCATTGTTATCACGATTCTACACCATAGTTCACTCCATTTTATTCGTAAACCGAGTACTTCATCGACTCAACCTCTCGATACCATCCTAATAATAGAAACAACGCGCAACCGTTGCGCTGTGGTCAGTCAAGTTGTGAGACACAAAGCACAAAATCCAGAGTCGGATCACACAATCCCAAATCAATCGGAGTCAGAGTCAGGAATCAAGATCTTGCAAAGTAAACTACCGACAGACAGACAGACTAGGCTCGATTGAAATTCCTCCGATGAAAGGAAAAAAAAGAAAAAAATCTGCAACTCCGGAGTGTCTATCTAGTCAGTCTGGATCGTCTAGATCGATAGATAATAATATAATAATAATACTTGCATGGTCAATTCATCAATTCCATCTGGGATCTCGACTCTTGTCGAACAGGCCTCGACTCGCATGGACCCGGTCGGATCGACTTCGCTTATGGCAGTGCTGGATCCAGAACGTCGATTTTGAATGCTTTTTCGACTGTAGAGTATAGGCAGATTTTACAGAACTGTGGGGAGAAGTAACTAACTAACTAACTAACTGTCTGACTTGCGTGGTTTGTATCAAATACTCCATAATCTGGTCTATACAGTATACTCCGCAGGGTATTTGAAAGGATCTCTCTGTCTATCAGTCGATGCGGACATGTGACCTCACCCCGGGTCGGTGTCACGCGACCGTGGATGACTGTTGCGGAGCCGAGAGTGGTGTTGTCCAATTCTTCTTCCAGAGAGAGAGAGAGAGAGAGAGAGAGAGAGTATCATGATAATGTTAATGATAATAATATGATATGATATGATTAGGATTAGGATTAGAAGTAAAATACAGCCATATCAAATATCATGATATGATCCGGTTCTATAAAGGATGAGTCAAGCGGTCGGGTTGCAGTGCTCCAGAGTACTAGAGACTAAGAGTATACGTAGGATACGTAGTATATAGCCCCGTCCACGGAGTCCTGGAGTCCTATCCTAGGTCTACATAGTAGTCTCTACTCTCTACAGATAAGAGAATCTTGGTTGTTAAGAAACTGGATCAGACTACTGACGACTCGTGGTGATTCGTATCGTCGTATCTGTCTCTGATTGCTAAATCCTTATCAATTATCAATTATCAATTATCATGAGATCGGAGGGTGAACCGTGGTGTAGTGTGTACCGTATGTGCCGCCTTTCCGAGCAGGATCTGCCGGGCCGATGGGTCCCAAGTCCCAACCCAGCCTGTTTTTGACTTTGATACTTTCCTATCTTATGTACGGAATCCGGAGTTGGTGCGTTAAGGCTGTCGGTAATGGTATATTGATAATCGATGATCGATAATCGATAACAGCTCGCATTCGTATCGCTTAACATCTACGTATCCGTATACTCCATATCGATATCGATATAGACATAGACATAGACATAGACATAGACATTGTACTCGGAGAGATATCAGTCCCAACCCATACAGATCCTTAATATTATTGATTATGCAATGCGTATGTACTATAGAGTACTCTTCGTATCTTACTCGAGTATAGTTATAGTTTGATTAAAAACTCTTCACCGAGATGGATGACGACCGTTCGAAGTTCGCTGTACGCAACCCTCGGCACAATCCCAACCATGAACCAACCATCCACACCGACCACAAGCCATGGAAGGAAAAAATTTTTCTTCCTAGCGTCTTCTTCACTCCTGCAACCTGCATGCTGCAAGAAAAAATCAAAAAGAAAGGGGGGGGGGGAAAAAAGTCAGGGACAAGAACCTCCGGCCAGCATCAACCAACCCAACAGGATTCGACGCACTGACAGCGCTAATGCATGGCCAAATTTAGACGGGCTTCTAGAAGGATAATGGAAGAGTTTTCTCTCTCTCTTTCTAACGGGGGGGCCGAGCTTGGCGCTTGGCTTTGCTGGTAAGTGGTAAGCATACTGTCATTATCAATACCAATGGTTTTTTTTTTTTTTTCGCATCGGTATTCCGGGATCGCAAATTTTTTCTCTTTTTCTTTTTCGTTTTTTTTTTTTTTTTTTTTACTCTTTGCGTACTCCGTATTACCAATCCATCTTTCCCCCCACCACCCCCTTCTTTGATCCACCACATGACTGGCTCCCAATCCCAATTTTGACCCACTCTTACCACTAGGTAGGTCTTTTTTCCCTTAGTCTCTTTTTTTATGCTTTTGTTTCTAAAAATCTACCGAGGAAATGGAGATCGGTCCAACGCTGACGGATGTGGCTGTGCTCAGACTGTTTTGGCTGTCTGCGAATCAGACAGGAGGGGAAAACAATGCAGCTGGGACTCTGCAGAGTGCAGACCTTCCCAGGAAGGAAGAGTGTGGGAGGAACTACCGAACAAAGAAACATTCTGTTCAGCCGTTGCATTATGCAGCTCTGCAATCTAGGATTACTGGACATGTGGCTTTTAAAGTGCTGACTGTTCGGGTAAATCGAGGTGATCTGGGTTACAAAAAGTGAAATTCTTTGGGTATTGCATACTCTGTAGATGTACTACTATGTAGTACCCCTTCTGCCAAAGTAAGCTGTGGGAGATGGGGGAGTACTCAACGTACTCCAAGGATAGGACAATAAAATCTCCAACGTAAAGCAACCTAGCCAGACCTACAGATGTGAGTCACTCGCTGTCAGAGAAGAAATATCGCTTGTGAATAATCGTAAGCAAGATCAACGACAATCACATGGCAATCTCCCCCGGATTTCTTCTCCTACCTAAATTAATCCTCGCGGAATGGAAGATCAAGATCCAAAATTGCAAAAGTACACCAGCGGGCTGCGGGCCAGCTGATGAATCGAACTCCATTCATGGTACGCCTGGCCTACCAATAGAACCCCGAATACCGGGGGAAGCCTTGCACGTTCTGAAATCCCGAGTCTATGATCCCCACTATCGCTACCACATTGCGAGCAACCAAGACCCCGCCAGGTCCAGTCTGGCTCGACAGCTGAAGCAGCCACTGCCCACTACCCACTGTTACATTGGAATCCACTGGGGCCAGGACACCGGGCTCAGAGCTAGATTCAACCTTGCACTTTTTGAGGTGTTAGTACTTAAGTAGCTGTAGCTGATCATTCGCCCCCAGACCTTAGTGCCTCTTTCGTACAGTAGGTAGGACTAGGTAGTAGGTATCCCTCCAATCTGGACAGCCAGGTTGGCTCCTCTATGTGTCGTCTCGCCCGGCTGAACGGAGGATCTGCGGCATTGCATGCGCAATTGGACACGCATACCGGCGGGGGGATAAAATAACCCCTGGACATCTTAGGGGAGCGCCGAAGGCAGCCAGATTTTTTTTTTTTTTTTTTTTTTTTTTTGGGACTTGCAGATTCGACGTACAAATACTCTGTACAGCTTCAGTTGCCAGTTGCCACCAAGTTCAGCTGTCATGGATTGAACCCCTCTCCCGGGTCTCAAGCTTGCATGGAGTGGGGATGGAGAGCTCCATAGCATGTATCTTGGACTCTTGTCAGGGAGGGGGGAGAGTTTGGCTGGCTAGTGTTGGGATACGGGGCGAGTTGGTCTTTGCGCTGATTTGGCTTTTTAGTTGAATAGAGTAGTACTTGGTGTCACTGTCCGCAGCCATGGTTTTGGGAGGCCATAGGTCAATTGGACTGCAGTAGTCGTAGCCTCGTAGCCTCGTAGGTACGATCCTAGTAGTGAATAATACTAACTAGCTTGCTGCTGCAGGTTACCCCTGGTCCTTCTACTCTCAACAGAAGTTTGTTTGCATGTGATCGAGCAGGCGAGGCTCGGCCGGGAAGGTAAACAGAGAGTCATGATTCATTGAATCAAATAGTAGAACTATCCTATTGTGGTATGACTCTTACATAGCCTTGTCTGTTGTCTGGACCCGCGATGCTGATATCGACCGAGACCATGATGCAGGTCAGATGACCTACCGTATAACGTGACTACAGAGCTGGTGCATGGAACCATGGGAATCAAGTCATGCCATTGGGGAAACAATGCATCAGCTGACTACCTAATTGAAGGAGAAGATGGTTTCTTGCTAAATTCCCCGCTTAGAAAAAAAGGAAATGGACTTTACCAGAGCACAAACCCCATGAACATCCAGCTGCAATTATTTTCGATGTGGTAAATAGTAGTTGTGTTTTTGAAAGGCTGAGCAAAAAAAAAAAAAAAAAAAAAAAAAAAAACCAGCAGCAACGATAGGTAGATACGGATTACGGAATACTCCTCGGAAAATCATGCCGCAAAGACTGCAAGGCTCTAGGCGATCCCGAACCCGGGATCGCAGCGGATGACCGGACATGCTTGGGTATCTCCGAATCTTCTCCGCTTTGCGGTCGAAGGAGTAGTCTCGACCGCATCGCTTAGATGGACAAGTTTTACAACAGCAGCAAGGGTATAACAGTTGATAATCAAGAACCAAGACCAAGACGACAGGGGTTTCAGTGACGAGTGGAATGCAGTAGTAACTGCCAGAAGAAAAAGAAACATCCTCGGGCAACTCCGTAATCAAGGACAAGTTCCATCCTCAGGCATCAATTTATAATCATGGGCAACTGCTACGAGCGTCATCCATCCAATCATTTGCGCCTCTGAGTACTAGCCACATATATGTGGCGCAGATGTGGCTTATGCATGGTGTTTGTACTTCGTACTAGTAGTTGTGCTACTCCATAGGCATACTCTCTGTTGGGTTACGAGTACAGACTACGGTAATACGGAGTATTGAAAGCCACAAAGCACTAAGAGGCAGAGTCTTTTTAACTTTTTATGAAGGGAAAATCGCTCGTAGGTTGTTTGGTCTGATTCGTCAGCTTTACACGGCCCTACCGTTTGGTGCATGTCAGGGTTCCCCCGATCGTAACGACACGAGATCGGGATCTTCAGCAAACTGCGTGGACACAAATGCATGGCTAAGCCACTGCAGCATGTGATTGGTAGCCCTAGCCTCAAGATGTCATTCATTGATTTCTCAGTGGTCAGTCAGCAGTAGTAGACACTTTTGGTGGACTGTCTTGACTCTTGAGTCTCTGTGATGGGGGGGGGTTCTGAGTTTCTCTAGTGTCACTTTAGGTATCTACATAGTACTATCTGCTTACTGCTACGATGATAATCCATTTGCCTTTCTTGCCGTTATCCCGTATCTATATAGCTACTCCGCAGTACATATGGTAGGGAACTGCGCAGATGGTCAAGGATATTCTGAGTCATCTTGTTCATCATCATTATCGATCACTTCAATCAGTCTAAGACTTCCGCCTAGAGTTGTTTGATGACAAATAAATCCAGATCACCAAATCCATATCATTGTCAAGTGCTATGTTGCTATGTACGTATGCTACACAAACGAACAAAAGAAGCATCAAGAACCTACTTGGATAATCGGCACATATTTCGGATCGTCCGAGTCGCATTTGGTGGGATTCCATGCATAACTGCTGCACTCCATACCCGGGAAGAATGTGGCTCAGTTCACTGCAAGGGGAGGAACGATAAAATGCCAGTCGTCCTCGACAGGGCGAGTGACCTGTCAGTAAAGGCCAACGCATCGATCTCTATCTACTGCATGAAGTGTGGCTTGGGTGGGTGCTCCATTCTCTCCATGGAGTCTTGTGGTGTGTAATCTGTACCAGCCTAAGGGGCCCTACTCCGGAGTAGGCTCCTACCCGAACCCCAAAAATGGTTGGTGGGGTGCTAAAAGTGGTGACTGACTGACTAGCTGGGTGGATGATTTGAGTCGGCCGGAAGGTGGAGCGTTGGATGGAAGTCCATGCAAGCGCCAAATAATCCCATCGGTCGATCGTTTTCCAATACGCCGTATTTTTTGAATGCTGGTATTTTCTATTTGTCACACTTGGTAATTCTGAGTCAAAGATCAGCTATTGTCATAACTCCGTCGGGCATACCCGTAATCAATGCCTCTCAGTCAGTTGAAGACTAACACCGACTACACACACAGTCACTAGTTACAGTCTAGCGTCGACTCACCCTAGCAAAAAAGAAAAAAAAAAAAAAAAAAGTTATTTTTCCATTTTACTTTTGTCGTACAATTAATACCTTCCACTAATCCCGTTTGGGAACACTTGATTGCATCATAAAAAGAGACCTTTGTCCCTCCCATACAATCATCATCCTGCTCCCAGTCTCCAGATATCTTGTATATCATACTAGCAATATCCTATCACTATTCGATCTCTCTCGAGTCATTGTCACATCATTATCATTCCAACTCGAACCTAACCTCCCTCACCTACCCAATATTTAACGACTATCTGGGGTTTCCTTCTTCTTCAAGTGAGTCAATGATCTATACTACACTACACTATACTATACTATCCTATCCTATCCAGCACCAAACTCCTACCACTACCACAACCACGTCTTCTACCACACTGCAGCAAACCTTCCCATAAAACTAATTCAAGAGGAAAGCTTTGCAGATAAATCCCAAGTACCAAATTTCCTCGCTCCTCAAACCTTAAAAGAAACCACTCTCTCGTTCCATCCATTGGAAACTCTGGTCTACCCGCCGCTTCCAGACTCTTCGATATCTCATCATCAATCTTCGACTCAACAGTCCCGTACCAAGCTCGTCTCGACTTTGACTTCCGCTCGAACCATTCACTCGGTCGCAATTGATCAGGAAGACTTTTATCGGATCTGAGCCCGTCGGGATTTCTTGGGGCCATTGGTGCCAACCTATTATATAACCCTCTTCTTCTACACGACCCCCCCCCCGGTGGCAAATCCTCTTGGGTTCCCTCCACTCGGTGTCCTCCATCTCATTTTGACGTGCCATCTGCTTTTACTCAGAGACCATTATGCTTATGTACCCTTCTGTACGTAAGGGTCTCATCACCGAACCGACTTCTGCACCTTTCATCAATCAGCAAGATACCGTTTGCATACAAGACGACCAATTCATTCCAGACTTCTCTCAAGAACCTTCTCTGCAGTGCTATTACCAGCAACAGCCTCGACTGCAGTCTCCCTTCCAGTACCATCCTTCGTTCGACTTTGTCTCTCCGCCCTCTTCCGCTCCCTCATCTCCTTTCTCCTCGCCCGCCTCTTCCTTCTCCCATCTTCCGGCGACGGCAGTCGCGGACTACTCACCTGTCGCCTACGACGGCAGTTCCTTTGAGGCTCCTTCGATGACACCTGTTTCCTCCTACAACCCTTCGATTCAGATCCAGCATTCTGCTTCGCCGCCCAACTCGAATCTATACCTTCAACAGTACCAGCAACCTCAATACCTCTACAGCAATCATCACCACAACGACAGCACTTCCATGTTGGCGCAACACACTGTCACAAACAACCACGGTTGGGATGGTAATCTGCAGCTGTTGAGCCCAGCTCGCATCCCCAACGGCCTCCCCCGTCACGCATATCAAGACTCGCAATTGCACACCTCGCCGGCTTCGACAAAATCGGCCCCAGGAGGGAGCGTGCAACGGTCCAACAACGGTACTCTGTCCAAGCCTCTGCCCACACCGGTGCAGACGCCTATACAGAATTCCTTCCTGGCTACTCCCTTCCAGAACTATGATCCTTCTGCACACGATGCTCGCCAGGCCGAAGCAGAAGCGGCTATGAGGCAGGCCATGATGGAGCAACAGCAACAGCAACAACATCCCCGTCAGTCAAGTGATCACTCTCTGGCTCCTTCGGTTTCTACCGTCAGCCACAACTCGCCTGTGACCCCGCAGACGAGTTTTGACGAGATCGACGATGCATCGAAGGCGATGGCTAATGGTGAGAACCGATTTCCTGATGTTGACCGGTGGATGGATGAATACTTACGTGCCGATGCGCTTTCAGACTATGGCAACCAAAATGGGAACAACCTCACCACTGGCATTCCCAAGCTCAACCGAACCATCTCTGACATCTACCAAGACGAGCTGTACAACCCTGCCATCATACCAACACCGCAGGTTCCCAAGCAGCCCTCCAACAACAACAGCCACCAGCAGCAGCAGCATCATCTCCTAAACCCTTACCGCAATGTCTTCGCCGATCGACTTCAGGCTGCCAATCAGGGCCACCTTTCTGCGCGGTCTCAGTCTCCTGCAGTCAACCTGAACCGTGATCGATCTCCCTTCCGCCAAAACTCACCTTTGGCTGCCGAATTCAGCGGTGCTGCTCTTCAGCAACCGCAGCTGGCGACCAGCGTCCCCATGACTCAAAACGTTATGAACCTGGGCCCAGTTCAAACCGAGCCTAAGACCATGTCCCCCAAGGATGCGGTTTTGGACTTCAGTGAAGCCGAAGATGCTGCGATGCCGCCACTGTTCTCCTCGAGTCAGCCTGACTTCAATCTGAGCGACGCTCTTGGGTTGCGACGAGAGAGCTCTTCGTCCTTGCGCCAGACTCAGAACTTCCCATCAATGGATTCGTTTTCCCAATACACTACGCAGACTGGCACTGTCCCTCAACAGTACCAATTTGCACCCCAGCCGCAGAATCACCGCCAGTCGCAGCAGCAACAGCAACAGCAAGCCCAGAACACTCTGTTGCATCACACGCCCGAATTCCCCGCGTCTCTTCCTCATCTGGAGTCTACGGGCAGCGATATCATCCACAATGACATGACTTCGCCGCAGTCCAACATGACACTTCTGCCAATCAAGGACGAGATTACTCGACCTAGTGATACTTCTACGGATGGTGGCACCTACACCTGCACCTACCACGGCTGCACAATGCGCTTTGAGACACCGGCCAAACTGCAGAAGCACAAGCGAGAGGCGCACCGACAGACCACCCCTGGTGGGCACCTTGTCGGCCGCGACCACTCCGCACGCAACTCGCAGGCTGGTCCCCACAAGTGCGAGCGGATCAACCCATCCACAGGAAAGCCCTGCAATTCGGTGTTTTCGCGGCCTTACGATCTTACGCGGCATGAGGATACGATCCACAATGCCCGTAAACAGAAAGTCCGCTGTCATCTGTGCAGAGAGGAGAAGACCTTCTCGCGCAATGATGCGCTAACCCGGCACATGCGGGTGGTCCACCCTGAAGTCGATTGGCCCGGCAAGCAAAGACGCAGGGGCCGGGAGTGAAGCTAACGCGGGACCAATTGCTTCACCTCTCGAATCTTCCATTGCAAGGCTTTACGAAGCGACGAATAGGAAGCGGCCCATCGGTTTCCGCATCGATTGTCTCCTTTCAATTCACTCTTCTTCATAATCATTACACACTATGACGGGGTTTAAGCCTATGATGTCAGAGGCTTGGTCCAATCGGGAAAGGACCCACCGGGGGTTCCCGATCGCCGGCGCCAGCTTCCGTATCTGGACTATTTGCCTGAGGCCACCACCGCAGCCATATGACATCACCATCTCGGGTGTCCAACTGACGTATATTTGACACCGTTGGATGATTTGCTGGTTACGTCCTGCCCATGGTTACGAAATCCATTCCATTGCATTTCATTCTATCTATCCATTTTTTCTTTGATGTTTTTATGATTTCAGCCGGCACTGATTTGATCATCTACTGCATTGCGCGGTCTTTTTTCTTTTTCCTCCTTTTTTAGTTGGGTCTGAGCACGGGGTGCCTCAAAAGAGACTTTTTGTTTGGGATGGGATCAGGGATGTATCTCGAAAATTGAGATTGACATTACAAATGGGTTTCTTCTGTTATTTTCGGCATGCGTTACGCCCTTGTACTATATGATCATTTCTGTATGATTGTCACGTTTATGATGTGCTGCATGTCTGTGATTTTATTTGCTTTGCATTGGCCTTGGGATGGCCCGGGGAGTGTACAAAGGATGCGATGGGATTTGTATAGTATGGGGGACTTGTACACTACGATCAGTGTCAATAGAGACTGTTGATATATTACATCTCTTTTTTAAATTGGTATATTCAATAATAGTTCGAAGCCTCCAAAGATCGCCATTCCTATCCAACCCCGAGTAGTACGAGAATACCCTTCCACCACTGAAAACTCCTATGACAATGACCTACATACCCACAGACATCACCACCGCCCAAAAAAACCCCCCCTCCTCAACTAGGTCAACTCAACGACGTCGTCAAAAGCCCGTCGTACATCAGATCCCATTTGCCAATAAGCCCCCATTATCCGCGATCTACACTCGCTACTGCGCTTCAGCGTCCAATGACCAGCGGGGAGAGGGTGTTCTTTGGGTCCTCTCGGCCAGGGTTCATCAGCCTGAAGAGACAACACAAGTTCAAGCTACGAGTGAATCGAGTGGTGCTTTTGGACTTTTGGGTGCGGAGACACGCTGTGGAGCTGTGTGGAGCAGTTGTTTTGGGGAGGGGGGGAGGATGGGGATGGGGATGGGGATGGGGATTGCAATTTGGAAACTGTCAACTGTGTACTTTGCGTCTTGCGGGGAATTTTGTATACTGTACTTGGTGTAAGTAAAGGGTATGGTTGTTTTTTTTTTTTTTTTTGACTGGAATTGACTTTTGATTATACGTTATTTATTACCTGTATGTGTGGATGGTGGACTGTGGACGGTGGACTGTTGGGTATCTCTATTACCTGCAGCATGGTGTTAAATTATCTGCATTGGGCTATTGTGTCTGCGTACTCTGTGGTCATTGATCGGACATGGTTGAATAGGCAGTATAGAACTGTATCATAGATATTAGATAGTGATACCCAACGAGTCAACTACAAACAGAGTAAAATGTAGGACTAAGGGCCCAAGGGGGCATTCCGTCGGTACGGATGCAAGGTAGATCATGACGCCATGGGCGGAGCATCCGCAATCCACAAGGGATCATCCACTATCGTGCTGATCGCTGGTTCCACCACCTGTGGCTGGTGAGACGTGACACTACGTAGTACGGGGGGTCGGGGCATTTATCGAATGGGGCTTTGGGCCATGGTGGTAGACTTGTAGTAATACTATTGATTGAGTTCAAACCCACGGAATATGGCTAGCATGTCAATCACGCCCAGATGGTAGGGTAGACCATGTTCTCCTGCTAAGCGTTGAAAGGAACAATATCAATGTCTGAACTGACTCTCTCTCAATGCTCGTGTGTGGCCTTCATTGGCTTCATGCAGAATCGCCTCGTCTGCTACCGTTGCCGGCAGGGCTTGCTCATGCCGGGCCATCCAGACTGCGTTGGCGAAAATGTCCGATTTCTCCTCCTCCTCGGCCGCAGCTGCCGCCGCTCGCCTCGCACGGTCTGCTTCCACTTTCCTCTGGTACATTAGATACAGTGCTGCTGTCAGCAGAGCCGCTCCCGCCACGGAACCGACGACGATACCTGCAATGGCACCGCGAGTAAGCTGCTTTTCGATCGATTCGGGTCCGTTCGCGCTGCCATTGTTTGGTAGAGGGTTGAATAAGCCAGCGACCTGTGGCATGTCGAAGCCGTCGGCAGGTGCTTTTTTGCTTGCATTTCCTTTCGGCCTAGCACATCATGTCAGTCAGTTTGCAAGGTGCGCCGCCAGAAAGCATACATGTCGCGACTTACCCGCCGCCTATAACTCGGTAGATCGCAGCAGGCACTTCATATTCAGGAGCAAGAGCGTTGTACACGCTGCCCCATGTCAATGTCGAGAGGTCGTACATCGCCACGCCCTTATACTCCCAGTCGCAGGTCGAAAGGTTGTCCGATGACGCTCCACCCACACTCACCATCTGCCTATTGGCAACTAAGTGACATGTGTGTCCGTATCGAGGGGACGTGCCCTCGTAGATTTTCGTCCATGTGAACGATGGGATGGACAGGACGTAGATCTGATCATATGTCCCGTTCATACCGGTGCCGCCATACATGTAGATATTATGGCTGGAATTGTCCTTCGCAGAGACGGAGACTATGCAAAAGTCGGACCGTCCAGCAGGTATGTCACCGGACGCTTTCTGGGTATACCAGAGGCCGTTATCGTCGCCTTCGAACACGGACGAGATATCGAAGATGTCGATTTCCTGAAAGGGCACCTGTGCAGCAGTGTTAGCACATCCCAGTCCGGGACCATCCGAGATCTGGACTACCCACATAGCTTCCCTCACTTGATGCGCTGTCATCGCTTGTAGGTTTGGTGATGCCACCAATCGCGACTAAAATGCCTTTAGGTCCAATACCCGGAATGTAGACCATGCCGCCCTTGGCTCGAGGAAAATTCGCTAGCGAGCTGGTAGATATATTGGTCGCCATCTGGCTATGCGTATCAATGACGATCAATCCGTCCAGGTAGCGCCGGAAATTATCCCAATGCTCTAGATCATTCGACGTCCCGTTGTTGATAAAGCCGTTGAGATAAAATGCCAGTCCCTGATCTTGTGCTTCGGCATATGCTCCTCCTGCAGGACGGTACTCGGTGCCCAGCGTGACATCGTACCGGTCCCAGACCTCTTGACTGGTGTTGTAAGACCACAGCGCATACTGCGACGAAGTCGGTCGCCTAAGCCCTGGGAAGCTCGTGTTCGCGTAGGAGACAGCCCCACCATACTGGTAAATGCTCTGGTCTGAAGATGCCCCCGCGTAGAGTGCGCCACGGACTACTACAGGAGGATCCGCGCCGGTTTTGGGGTTTGATTTCTTCGGGATGGCCCTGATGGAAATATTCTGCTTCCAGTCCCATGATGAAGTCATGTCGATCTCGATCAGGTTGGTGTCTAGCTTTAGTCAGCTCGTCTGCCAGTAACCCATCAAAGCGTATTGAACGGGGTACATACTGTATCCAATGATCTGAGTGCCGTTAATTGGTCCATGGTCGTTCCTCTCCACGAAGACCTCCAACCCTCCATCAATATACAACCGCCCATTTTTTACTGTGGACTGGTGTTTCAATCGCACACAGTAATTGTCGATGGGATCAATCCCAGATGCATTTGTAGCTCCGCTCACGCGGGACACAGCGAACAGAAGTATCCAGATTAGCAACGCAGGCATCTTGCCGGGCTATATTCTACCTCTGATCGTCTGGATGGTTGAGTTGCGGCATTCGGACGAGATCTGGAACGGCAAGGGCTCCGCACGCCCTCAGAAAACTGGTAGAAGCCCTCGACTTAATAAATGCATTGGGTAACGTCTATCTCCTGCGGACCGTCAGTTTGGGATCTTCCTGACCAACCCACCGGCCAGTGATTTGGGTTCCTAAACTCACCTGTATGGTGTACGAATCCTTTTTTCACAGACACAAATCAACGATTCCACAACCCCATCAATTCGAGGGGAGGCGGTCCGGAATGACAGACGTCGACACAAGGTGACACAAGGTGACACAAGGCCTTGCAGGTAACTATTTGAAACTAGGTTCTGTTATGGCAAGTCTTTCTGTTAAAGGGTCGTCGCGTGCTTGGTGCAGACGGGCAATTTGGGATCAAATCTGTCATCAGGGATTTCCCAGTCCCCCTGTGGGCAGAGGGATCAATCTCGTCTTAGTCGTCTAACCCTCACATTGTTCTTCTGGACAAGCGCCGGCGCACATGCATAATGCTCCGTCTCATACTGGTCCGTGGCGCGATCTCTAGTATGGCTGACTTTGGCCCGCACGAGGGAGATCTTCCCATGATTGGCGTAACAAGAATGTGCCAAGACCAGAATCACCCGCGCCAAGAATGGCTGTCGCTCTTGGAGTTGTTGGAGTTGTTGGAGTTGTGGGTGTTGTGGGTGTTGTGGGTGTTCCGTCGGATAACGATGCTTGTTGTGTGTGCACTTGCCACTTTGCCAGTTGCCTCCGTTGCTCGAGTCGTGGGGATTAAAGACACGACACGTATGAGCTAGCTGAGTAGTGGAACTACCTATGGCCGTTATCCTCGATGTGAACACATCAGTCTATTTGGCTCAGAGGGTTGAAGTTCCCCTAAAGTGATACCACCTTTTTGGTGAATTATTGTGAGACTTGGGGAGTTCATGGAGTGGGGCAGCCTCCCAAGGCAGAATAGTCATCAGTCAGCCTTTCGCTAGCTGTTGCTAGCTCGCAATAATCATCAGGATCGAGATATTTGATGGATGAATCCTTTAGGGACACAAATACTGACTATGCTTCTTCTGAGGCTGAGATGTTTCATATTTGCAAGAGTTGCAACACGTTTATACTGGTCGAGTCCTGGAGGGTCCTCGACCACAGTGAGGTGAGGAACCACGGCAGATGGGACACTTTAATCCCAATGTTCTCAGTCTCTGCGTTCTAGGCTGCTTCCTCGATCGAATATGGACATCGATGGGAGAATTCGGAGAATTCGGAGATTCCTCGTGATTTCCACCCCTGGTCACTGGTGTCTTACGGCATCAGCTGCAGGCAGGGGCTGGGTCTACGGCTGAGTTGTCTGACTTTTTAATTTCTACAGTCGCCTGTCGCGTGAGACTCTGCTTCCCTGGGTCATCTTGCTGGTGTTATAGTATCTTGTCCTCGGTCACCTCGGCCTGTCCAACCTGTATATAGCATCGTTTGTGGTGTGGGCTCGGGTGTAAGTGTTGATCCGGTCGTTCAGTCGAGTTCATGCAGGGGTGCGTATACCACTCCCACTGTTCCGTAGCCAAGCCCTGTATCTGTTTGCTATCCGTATGGTTGTGACTATGTCTCCCGACCGTCCGTTTGGGGGTGTATGGGAAGGGTGGTGGTTCGGACGCGATAGGTCTTTTGATCAGGATCGCAAGCTCTTTCATGTAGATATGGTCCGTAATGCTGGATAATGGGTTGTAGGTGTCGAAGCTTCTTTTTAGTTATGCATCCGTGAATGTCGCATTTCACTTCCCTGCCGGTCTGTAGTGTGAGGGGGGAAACCCCGGTCTGTGTTAGTCCAGCATGGTTGTTATGGGTCTTCGATTTGAGACCTCCTTTGCGTGTGTGATTCCGTATGGCTCCAGTAGCGCTCGTGGTTCCAGCTTGGGGATGTCGTCTCTTTTCTATATGTTGTAGCGAAGGTACTGCGTTGAGTCTGCAGCAGGACCACTGACGCGACGGGTATGGTAAATCCCTGATCTCGAGGTGTTAGCAGGCGATATGAGTATCATTTGGATACTATGTTGGTATTTTTTGGGGGGGCTTCATCCGTGTATGTCCTAAGTTGAAGGCAAATGGATTCCAATGCCCGTTGTTGCGTTGTCTTCGTTGTCTTGGTGGGCTGTGTTTTGGTTTGGTTTGGTTTGGATTATGCAGTTGAACCCCAGTTGAACCCCCTCGAGGTTCAACTTTCGCCACCCTGGATGTCTGATCTATGACCGACTGTCTACACTGATCCTGCTTGATCCTGGGCCTCTGGGGCTTCAATGTTGGCTGAGAATATCTGCTCTGTGCCCTCCATCTTGTTTTCCTGGTCGATTTGGATATAATCCCACGGGTTGAGCGTGTTGTGGTATGGTGGTCGCCCTTGATGGCCATTCCCTACATGCCACCAATATATATACGTAACCACCATAGCTAGTTGTCAACACCCACCTCAGCATCCAGCATGATAGCACTGCAAATGAACAATATTCGATAGAAGACCAAGTAGACCACACAATTACAACACATATACGCATAGTCTAACACATTAGGAATAAAGTCCAAACAGTGTCGAACCAGACGCTCAAGAAATTGAAGCTGGACCAGCCATAGTACATGATACGACTACTACATCTGCCATCCGAGCACCACGACAAGACACAAAATCGCCACAGTATAGAATCTCAAGGAGAAGGGACCATAGAAATGTAATAATACGCAGACTGAGGCAGATACTATCCGAGTCAACAGTTCTCAATGCTCGAACATCATGATCAAGGTCAAGTTCAAGCATACTGTGACCGCCAACCATCAAAGGGACGAAACAGAAGACGCGTACGGAACTGACCCGACACGAACGTAAACAAAGCCGCGCGCAAAATTACGTCCAGAGCAAAAGGTTGAATAAATTTTTTCATGTTTGTATTCATATTAGACTGCGTTTAATGTTGCAATCTCTTCGAGCCTTGGGGCACCAGCCGGAAGCATAAAGGCCGCTATGATACAGAAATTCAAACACGAACACTAGCAGACCAGTAGTGGACGCGCAATGGTAGTAAAGTAAAATACGATAAAAAGCAAACCCAGAGACCCATGACACTTGTAGTAAAAAGATCAAGAGAACACCCCAACGTCCCAGTCATACCGTAAACCAGCCCGAAAAAGCAAACCGTCGCGTCACTGCTGCGGAAGGACAATCGACGCGCCGACCGCGCAGGAGGGCCGCAAAAAGAAAAACAGAGAAATGAAATCGTTTAACCACCGAAACCGTAGAGAGTGCCTGAAGAAGTCACGTTAGAGACGCGTCAAAAGAAGCTGAAACGCAGAAGATACTTACGTCCTTGTCTCTTAAGAGCATAGACGACATCGAGGGAGGTGACAGTCTTTCTCTTGGCGTGCTCAGTGTAGGTGACAGCGTCACGGATGACACCCTCAAGGAAGGTCTTGAGGACACCACGGGTCTCCTCGTAGATCATGGCAGAGATACGCTTGACACCACCACGACGAGCGAGACGACGGATAGCAGGCTTGGTGATACCCTGGATGTTGTCACGCAAAATCTTGCGGTGACGCTTGGCACCACCCTTTCCGAGACCCTTGCCACCCTTGCCGCCTGAAGAAAAGAGACGCGTCAGTATTGTTGACAGGAAAAGCGCGTCATCGAACAAGAGATGAATGGGCGAAGCTACTTACGTCCAGTCATTTTGATAGATGTGAATTAAAAAAGGTTTGCGTGTGTGGAATTAAGATTGATAGATGCGGAGCTGTCGATATACGACTTTGAAGTGGATGATAAGCTGGGATAGATGGATGAAGGAAGAGAGTGACGAAGAGTTTGGGACGGGAGATATTTGTATAGCGAAAGGGAGAGCGCGGGGAGAGTGCTGGAATCACACGCTAAGGCAGGGAACGACCAATCAGAATGAAGGATCCGACCGGCGGGTTTGATCTCTCGGCAACGTGACCGAAGAGACAGTGATTCCGCTGGAATGGGCCTGATCTACACGGAATGCCGTCCAGCCACTTTGATTAGGATGGAAAGATAATCAGAAGCATTCTTGATCATTACTAGAGTTATTCTAGATAATCGAAATACCCAACATTCCACACATGTGGTTGGGATCAGGATGTTCTGGGGTGGCATTCTATAGCCGTGATCCTGCACTCCTATTGGCTGATGCAGAAGCTGTCTCGCTTAGGTACTAGCGTCCCGAGCAAGGGCCGCTCGCCCGCAGGCCTTTGATTTTGCGTAGGCTAACGTTGCTGCCAGAACTGCGGCCCCGAAATCACGGCTTATGGTGTGCTGCTTTCCAAACGTTTTTTCTGATCAAAAGTAACCGCGCTAAGACCACCCAAATTTGCTGGCAACCCAACACCACCTCTCAGATCACCACCCACCCCTCGCTTACTACAAATACCTTCCCCCCACCCGCTTTCTTCATCCTTCTTCCATCTACTCATCTCATCGACCACCCAACTCGACCATCCACTTTTCATCAATACCATCACATTTTCATCAATTAAACAACTAAATCCATCAAACCTAATCATCAAAAATGGCTAGAACCAAGCAGACTGCCCGTAAGTTTTAACCTCACTGTCTTTCCTCTTGTGGGGTCACTGGCCACCGCTGTCATCGCGTCACGGTCGCGTCGGGTTGACTGCCACACCATCGCGTCTCTCCAATGAAACATATCAACTAACTACTCTCTCATTATAGGTAAGTCCACTGGTGGCAAGGCTCCCCGTAAGCAGCTCGCTTCCAAGGCCGCTCGCAAGGCCGCCCCCTCGACCGGTGGTGTCAAGAAGCCTCACCGTTATAAGCCTGGTAAGTTCTTCATGTTATGATAACACCTTGATTATGATTATGATCTAACCCCTTCAAAAGGTACCGTCGCTCTGCGTGAGATCCGTCGCTACCAGAAGTCCACTGAGCTTCTGATCCGCAAGCTGCCCTTCCAGCGTCTGGTCCGTGAAATTGCTCAGGATTTCAAGTCCGACCTCCGCTTCCAGTCCTCTGCCATCGGTGCTCTCCAGGAGTCCGTTGAGGCCTACCTCGTCTCCCTGTTCGAGGATACCAACCTTTGCGCCATCCACGCCAAGCGTGTTACCATTCAGTCGAAGGATATCCAGCTCGCCCGCCGCCTCCGTGGTGAGCGCTCTTAGATTGTTTAAAATCTATTGAGTTCTTTTTCCGGTTGGCTCTTCTGGGAAGGCGATAACGGGGTTTTGTTTTTTCATTTTCACTTATGATCACTGGCGATACATGATGGGTTTGCTTGCTTTTCAAATATCAATGGGTTCGGTACTGGGTTTCTAGTTATTACTGCACGGTGAATAGTAGGCTGCTAATACAGCGGCTGGGACTTGCTCATGTACATTATGGATTTCACCGAGTGGTTGCTTCCTTAGGAGGTACCACATGACGGCATAGACGCGAAATGCGAATCTCTATGTTTACATCAATCAACCCAGTCCGTTCTACTTTCAATTATTTGCTCTTGATCGAGATCGTACATCGCGCCGATGAGGGGTGAACACTAAATTCTCCACGGTCGCGAATCCGGTGTGCGCGTCTTTGTTCGTTGCGAGGGACATCTGGGTCATCGAAGAATCATGCTTGGCAATGACCGAATCATGACAATGAAGTGCTTTACTACTTGAACTCAGCAAGTTTGTCGTTGTCCATCCTCATGATCATTCTGGCGGTCATTTGAGGATATCTACCTAGTAGTACCTGTATGTTGCAGGTTGCCATTTGAAGGGTTGAGTCAGGACGGTGGCGAATGCGACCCTGCTTTGATGTATGTATGTACTTCCCTAGGTATGGGGATACTTGATGCTTAAACGCATCAGTAGCGTCGGGTAACAAGTCTCTGGTATCTACTATAGCATCAAAGTGACTGAGGTCCTTTGTCCCTATTTTACATCGGGAAATCCTCACTGAATAACAGTCTAATAATATATCATACCAAACACTGAGCGAAGATACTCTACCTAGCGTCCCCAGTAACCTCCGCTAAGGGACACAGGCTATAAGCATAAGATTCCAGATATATATTATATATAAAAAAAAGTACTTTAGTAATAGCACAGGACTCAGGAACGTTTGAAAATTCGCTCCCTGGCCACTCTGTCTCGAGGTCCTGCTTGTATACGTGGGCTATCCATGGTGTTCATATGTTGGCTTAGTGGGAGAGGATTACTGGTTGAGCCGTGGCCCATGGTTCGTGGTCCCTGTTCGTTTTTTGCCATCGGGAATCGTCCATAGGGGCATCAGGTGAGGGGATATAGACGCGGGCTCGGAAGTGATATATTGCCGCTACTTGCTGGGTTGATTCTGATGGTGTTTGATTGAGTACCTCTTTTTCTTTCTTTCTTTTCTTGAGGATCTGCTTGATCTTGGTGGGTAGGAGGGTAGTGGCTAACTACTGTGAGTAGATACTGCCTCTCCTCCAAAGTATGTACTTGAAAGAGTAGTCTACAGACAGAACAGACGGGGCTTTCTCGCAGTATACATGCAAGAATCTAAATTATGTTTGATGATGAAGTGCATTTGAAACCCAGAAAATGGGACCAAGAAGCTTTTAACGATAAGACAGTCTTTGGCGGTGCAAAAGCTTGATATCGCTGTCATAGTATACGGATATATAATAATGCAGTAGACAACATTGGCAGAATACAGAGTACTGACTATTGGAGTGCACCAGTCGACTTCTGTGATGATTATAATAATCTGAGATATACTGACAGTCTCATAGAATGACCGCCTGCTTTACATATCGAATGTGAGGACCTCTGAAATTGATGCCAAAAAATGACTGCTACCGAGGCCATTTACGACCGCATTTCCCTCTGTAGTTGACTCCCAGCGGCGAGCCACTGTTTTACCGTACTAACACCTGCCAAGCATTTTTTGGTTAGTCCCCAGTTCATAGTCACCATCAGCTACTATTTCTACAACAACGTGCTAAGTCTAACCAGCATGCTCGCCGCAGCGGAGTACAGCTCGTACGGTACATCGCGCAGGCCTCTCCGCGTCGTGAGACTGTTTCCTTGCCAGAATGGATGGTCGTGGGATCCGAGGTGGCCCTTGCCCACTGCAGTTTCACCTCCCAAGAAGTTCCGAAACCGTCGCTCGATAGAATGGTGAGCCTAGTCCCTAACCTCTACATTGATTATTGTGAGGGTGGGTCTACCAATCTCCAACGAAGGCCACGACCAGGAATTGGACCCTATTGTTCCGGAGCACCGGGGCGTGAGGGTAAAGGAATATACTAGAGGTCATGACTCATGATAAAGGTGGAGTTGATAAGAGGGCATATCAGGACGCCATGGCGAAAATAGCAAAACTAACCATAAAAGGAGTTCACAGGTCCTTGTTTTACAAGTTTACAGGTCCCTTATGCGCACTGCTGATGACCTGATGGTCGGTTATGCAGCCTGACCAGGCCATGAGGACATCAACTCATCTTTTTACAGCCTCCACTGAAACAGGGGCAGTAGTGGACTAGCGATAGATAGTCTAGCCCTAGACTATCTAGAGTTCTAGACTATCTATTAGGCACCGAAAAGAAAAGGAGTGGGTCGAGATTACGGAGTTAGGTGATAAAGTCTGCCGATGGGGCATGAAGTTATGAACTGGTCAATGTCTACCCGGGTAGACATTGACCCGACACTTGAACGCTTCCCCAGATTGTGCAATCATCTGGCACTGAAATTTAAGGTGGCCTCGAAGGCAGTTCCTATATTGGAGGCCGCTTTATGCAACCTATCTACAGAGCAAATCCTTTTCATCTGGAGCTATGCGGCCTAGCAATAATCTGCAGCGCATTCGCACCAACCATCAGTCATCTGAGGCTATAGAGTTAGATTGGTTCAACCGTTGAAGTCAGGAAAGAAAATAGCTGCCGAATCGCATATTGGCTACCATCGTAAGCGCCCACAACTGATCATTCCAGTCAGATATTCCAGCGCCCACCTAGAGACCACGAGGCTGTCTGGGGCATCACCAACTTTCAGCGTTTCTGGTCCTTGTTCTGGCCAATCGTTGAATCAGGACTTGACTCCTATTCGAACCTAAAGCCCTTGTTCCCTTCAGGTCGTTCAGTATCTTGCTTGCGCGAAAGGGTCGTGCAGCCCTACACAACCTCACCCAATTCCACACTATTATGCATTAATTCTCAAGCCGCTACGTTTGATAAGATTTGACAGCGTGAGGCGCGGTTAGATCTGCTCTTCGACCGACATACTGGAAAGTCTAATGATTGTGGGCCAAGCGTTTGAGACAAGTCGAACCCCTTCTAGCTTGGCAGAACTGGGAACAAGTAACAACAAACGGCTGTTGAATGGGACTGCCAGGATTATGTGCTTGAATTGCTTGATAAGCTGGAAGACGAATTCATTCTAGATGGGGCAGATGAGGATTATCGCGAGGCTAGGAAGGACTTGAAAAAGAAACGAGGAGCTATCCTTTGAATCCTGTTTGTTTCCATCCCACAGATGGTATTCTTGAATCTTCAGGTCATTATCTATACTACTCTCACTTCTCGAGCCTGCCACTCCGACGAAGGTGTCTTCGAATGTCTTTGCAGCCTTCGCCCCTAACTTCTCCAAAGGGTGTGACTGTATCATACGGCAAAGACCTCAAGTCATTCATGATTAAGGTAAGCTGTTCCTTGATTACGGTTTTTTGGACTGTATTTAGAGACGGCCATACCTCAGCCAAGGTAGTCGAATGCAAGTGGGTCATGAATATGAGCGAGATATCGTTCATTCGAATGAAACCAAGAGGTTTTGGTGCAGCTATGTTCGGTTTGTGCTGGTGAAGGTAGGCTAGTGTTGTGTATTCAGTTGTATCGTCCAGGCCTCGCACGGCCTTCAGAATGATATTATGACCACAGCTCAAGACCATTTTCTGACGGGCAAAGGGTCCCTTCCAGACAACCTTGCTTGAGCCTATGACATCGATCAGTCGCTGCGCAAGGCAATCCGACTGCGCTGCGGCTGAACTAGACATTCCAAGCAGATCCTGAACTGTGTCGGATAGAGGGAAAACGATCTCAGCCAAGTCTGATGAGCGGATTGAAGCGCGAATGTCGTCTTCTCCGTGACATTCAGTTACGGTCGCATTCTCTAAATCTCGAAAAGATATTAGAGAGTGAATTGCTTCGGTGGAGAACTACTTGCCAATCTGGGCATTCTGGCGCATATCATTCAAACGATCGGAATACCTCAAGGGCAATTTCGCTGTTAGGTCAGTCTCCGGATCCTTCTCGATGGCCGCTTGAAGCTTGGTCAAGGTGCGTGCATTGAACTTTGCAGCTTTGGATTTGCTGATACGAGCCATAATCAGATATCATTCTATTTAGGTGATCAAATTCGTGCAAACAATTGTATATGAAGGTGAGAACGTAACTCCGAGAGCTCCGATCATGTGACTTCCCTAGGTAGTAACTGATGCGCTAGTCCGAAAGCTATCATGCAATATTATCTAATCAACGAGCGGCCTTCTGGTTTAGCCCGATCAAGAAGAGCCCTTTCGGACCCTGTTCGTTCTGTGAGTGCCATGCAGAAAGACTTGGGATGTGGAGTGTTGGTTTAGTGGATAAAGGTTCAGTGGAGCAGTCATACAAATTAAAATCTTTCCCGAATCGTGGTCATCGATCGCCCTGACGAGTCAATTCCACATGGTTTTAGGAATGCACGGACTATCTAGTCACAGTGATCCCAGCTGGGTAGCCCAGGTGGGAAAGAAATGAAATCACTGAATAAAGTAAACCACTATATTCTAAGAGTTAATGATAGACGGAATCGACGATCAATGACAGAGGGATCAAACTATCCAAAGCGAATCTTTTGCGCCTTTTGTTGCCAAGATATTTTCAGAGGAGGAAGTAAGGTACTTGGTTGATAAGCAATCTGCCGATGTTAGAGTAGTAGCTAGAGTCAGCCCAGACAACTTACAACTTACAACTTACAAGAGAAAAAAAAAAGCCAAGACTGTTATGAAGGGCTTAGCTTGGTGGCGTCAAGGTATCCAGAAACATCCAGATGACCCAGGAAATTTGACGAAGAATAACTAGTTACGGAGTAGTTACCTCGGCAAAAAAAAGCCAGTCACTTACGGAGTAGACATATCTATTATCTACCCTAGATTTGTGTGCGACGTGCGTGGCGCAAGATGAGAAGGAATAGAATATAGATACGGTCCATGCTTGATAATCAATTCTACAGATGATCTTGCTTATATACTACTCACCCGGCATATTATTAGATATTCTCTAACGGAGATAAGCAGTAGATAGTACTCCGTACAGTAGTACTTAACTGCAGTCTTGCAGATTTAAAGGAGCGGCGATTGATTAGGTAGTGGGCTAATATTAGCTAACGAGTAGATATCTAACGAATAATGAGCTGGAAATGCCGGAAAGCCGAGCACAACTGGCGCGCTAGTACTTAGTCCGCAACCAAAGTCTTTATGCACTGGATTATATCTACCAAGTAGTGCATTATTAGTCTGAATGCTCAATGCTGATGATCGATGACGCGACAACCAAACTCTGTCTCTGTCTCTCTGTCTCTCTCTCTCTTCTCCAGCATTAACTAGATATACTGATTTATCAACAGCAGAGACTCAAATAAAGTACACAAACAAGGTAGATTCTCTAGACTCCAGAGTCATGGGAAATTCCCACCACAGTTTTAGACCCCGAGATCATTTCCCACCACAGTCTTACACAGTAGACCATGAGATCCATCCGATATTCATCGCCCATGGATTGTAAGCCTGAAAGTGCTGGCTGCTGCTCCACTTCGGCTAAGCCCGATGTTGGCTGATGGCATTAATGCTGCGCATAACTCTGGTTAATGCTGAGAACCCTGGCATATGGAGATTGACGATTGGTCATGGATGGATCTCTTGTCAGTTCTCTTATGCTTTTTTGGCTCTTTTCTAGAGCCCAAAAATCCCCGGCAGGGATCCGAGGCTAAAAGTGACTCCCCAGTGACGGTGCCATGAAATCAAAAAAGAAAAAAATCAAGAAGCAAAAGAAGAGACTAAAAAAAAAAGGAAAAAAAAAAGGTAGTGGAGAAAGCGATTATATAGGTAGGCTGCTGCCTCCCTCTTAATCGCGATCTTGTCTGTTACTACGGAGTATTGATTGATAGTTGACACCTTTTTCCTGGAGTCTCCTATCTGACTCTCTTTCTGTACATACTCTATACAACTTACATCACCTCCCGCTTTCGGCAGTTATACTTCACCCCCCGTCTCGTTTACTTCGGCTGAGTTCATTCATTTTCACGGCCAATTTATTCTTATATATATATATATATATATATATATATTTACCAGTCTCGCCATCGGAAATATCGATTTCGGTACATACGGGCGCCCCATAATTTATATTGATATAACGCCTCATCATGGCCACCGAGAAAGGGGGCTCCATCCCCGATAAGATCGAAGCGCCAGCAAGACAGAAGATTCCATACTGGCGATTGGTGGTGGATCAGGGCGTCGTCACACAGGAGATTATCGACTATCCCTACGCAGGCTCAGGAACCGAGGAAGATCCCTATGCTGTTACCTGGATTGAAGATGATCCTCGTAACCCCATGACCTGGACGCAGCTGCGCAAATGGTCGTTGACTATGACCGTCGCCATCGCGACTCTCGCTGTCGCGCTGGTCTCTTCGGCCTATACGGGCGGTGTCCGGGAGCTTGAACAAGAGTTCCATGTTGGCAGTGAGGTTGCCATCCTCGGTGTCTCTCTCTTCGTCCTGGGTTTCGCTATCGGTGAGTGGTGTTTATACTGTGGTTCGGCATTGCTTTGGAAGGCTAACGTGCGGAATAGGACCTCTACTCTGGGCACCCCTGAGTGAGATGTTTGGTCGGCAGATTGTTTTCACAGTCACATATTGCGCGCTTACCGCATTCAACTGTGGAACTGCAGGCTCTAAGAATATCTGGACCCTGATTATCCTCCGTTTCTTTGCTGGAGCCTTCGGAGCTTCGCCCTTAACCAATGCGGGCGGTGTCATCGCTGATATGTTCCACGCCCAGCAGAGAGGTATTGCTATGAGCTTGTTTGCTGCTGCTCCATTCTTGGGTAGGTCTTTCTGTGTCTCTGGTGATGTGATCTTTTGAGAATAGAGCTGACGAGCCATAGGTCCTGTTCTGGGTCCAATCATTGGCGGCTTTCTGGGCATGAATGCGGGCTGGAGATGGGTCATGGGTTTCTTGGGTGCCTTCTCAGGCGCTGTCTGGATTGTCTGCACTATCTTTGTGCCCGAGACGTATGCGCCGGTTCTCCTACGTCGTCGCGCCGAGAAACTGTCCAAGCTCACCGGCAAGGTGTACCACAGCAAGCTTGACATCGACCGGGGTAGGGTTACTCTCAAGGAGGCATTCAAGACCGCTCTTTCCCGGCCTTGGATTCTGCTGTTCAAGGAGCCAATCGTTTTCCTTCTGAGTCTTTACATGGCTATCATCTACGGAACTCTGTATATGCTGTTCTCCGCCTACCCAATCGTCTTCCAGGGAGTCCGCGGATGGAACTCGGGTGTCGGCAGTCTTCCTTTCCTGGGAATCATGGTTGGCATGATCTTTGCCGTCACATACAGTCTATGGGACAACAAGCGCTATGTCAAGACTGAAGAGGAGCACGGTGGATTCGCACCCCCTGAGGCACGTCTGCCCCCAACTCTGATTGCCTCTGTTGCGATTCCCATTGGGCTCTTTTGGTTTGCCTGGACCAACTACCCATCAATCCACTGGATTGTCCCCATCCTTGCTGGTGTTCCTTTCGGATTTGGAATGGTTCTGGTGTTCCTCGGCATCATGAATTACCTCATCGATGCCTATACCATTTTCGCCGCCTCAGTCCTCGCCGCCAACTCCGTCCTGCGTTCGATCTTCGGTGCTGTCTTCCCGCTATTCACCACCTACATGTATCAAGATCTTGGTACGTCTACATGATCCTTTCCATCTTCCTGCTATCATACTGACTTTTTTGTTTTTTTTTTTTTTGTTTTCAGGTATTCATTGGGCATCGTCGATCCCGGCATTTTTGGCGCTTGCTTGTGTTCCTTTCCCCTTCCTCTTCTACAAGTACGGCGCCACCATCCGGAAACGCTGCACGTATGCGGCGCAATCCGATGCCTTCATGCGGAAGATGGCCATGCAGATGAAGCAAGCTGCCGAGCCCGAGCCCGAGCCCGAGGAGGCCAGGGAGCCCGTTTTTGACCGCACTGAAGCGCCCGGCCCCGAGGTTTCGGATGTCAGCGAGGCCGAGTCCGTCGAGGAGCTCCCCAAAATCCACCAAATACGCAGCAGAGCTTCCACGAAGACGGCTACTTCGCAGCGCCGCCAGAGCATCAGCTATGAAGGCAACCCCTACGACATCGATCGCGTCAACACTCGCGAGTCTTTCAAATGAACGTGACGATGCTTCATCATCACCAGCACCCCGAGGCAATGATCTTGAGACCTATCGATTGTCTACTCGACTGATTAGTAGCATATCCAAAATGCTGCTTGCCGGCCTCGCATCCCATGCGGCGTCCTTTTTGAGGTTTTCGACCACGCTGATGGCTAACGTTGACCTTTTTATACCCCCACCTATATCGAATATCTAATCACTATTACCGAGTGGCCGCGTCACACCGGCACTCCACCAGCTCAGAAACATATGCGTCTTCAATGTGGCATACGTATCACGGCGACGAAAAAAAAGTTTGTTTAGAAGTCATTATACCCGATTGACTGATCTCGACTCAGCTCAGCTCATGTCTTGTTTTGTTTTGCATTATAGAGGGCGTCATTTGCATTGGAAGAGCAACTTGGGAGGTTTATCGTGTACACAACGAATCGCACATAAATATCTAATTCTCAGAGATCTATAACGGAATGTTGGTACTTAGTATTCGGTCATTGTAGGTTTGCTTAGTAGAGAGCACTACCCTGACCCCTGTACCCTGTACATACTCTACTCTGTATGGCGGGCTTGACGACGGATATAACTGTCCGACGAAGGATCTCGGAAAGTTGCGGTCATTCGGCAGCGGACAAGGTTGAGTTTGTGCCGATGATCGCTGATGAGTATCTCTAGTCGCGGAAATTTCTCGCTCCCTTCCCCCCAACGATGACAAATGACTCTCTCTCTTCCCCTTCCCCTTGACGGTGTCATTATTTTTCTTTCAGATTCTTGCTGCATGATGTGAAAAAGAGCATTATTTGGCTTTCTTAGTCTATTTCTTTTGTTTATCCCAGTTTAATATTGCTGGACTCAATTCTCCACGACAAGCAGATTGCGCCTTATCGTCGGTCCTCTGCGCGACTTTCCTTATCGCTGTTTTGAGTCAGTCCCGCCAACAAAGTCTACGGAGTAAGGCAGTCTGTGTGTTTTTCTCAGATAGATACCTCACCTCCCTTTGCGACTTGGCTCTCGATCGGAATGACTTCGATCCTGCAGAATGGAAGGGAAACCCTGAGACAGCTGTCCAGGCGAACGGCCCAGAGTCTCCGATCGCCACGAAGGCACCATTCGTCCGAGCCTAACACTGTGCCTGAGAAGAACACAAAACCCGCCTCACAGCCTTCGTCACTCTCGTCATCTCCGTCCTCTTCACCAAGCGTTGGTCCATCTCCGATCACCGCTTCAGCCGCGCCCACAGTCCCTGCTTTCCCCGTCCGCCGAACAGTTTTCCAGGTCATCCAGGCAGGTCCCATTGGGCGACTTGGACAATCGTACTCGAGGGCTCAGCAGAGAAGGCCCTATACGACGCAGCTGATTAGTTCAGTTGTGATATATCTGTGCGGCGACTTGAGTGCCCAGCTGCTGTTTCCCTCTGAGAGCCCGACGCCGAAATCGCAAGCGTCATCCGAGACCGAGCCTGCGCCAGCGGAGGATGGCGAGGAACAGACTACTTCTGTTTCGAGTGGAGGGTATGATCCCTTGAGGGCTTTGCGGAATTTGACGGTTGGGGTGGGATCCGCGATCCCGACGTATAAATGGTAAAGCATTCTTTCCAATGATACTGAGAGGTATTCGAGTGGCTAATGCATTTGTGCTAGGTTCATGTTCCTCCACAACAACTTCAACTTCCGGTCCAAGTTCCTATCCATCCTTACCAAAGTCTGCGTGCAGCAATCGGTTTTCACCCCGGTTTTCAATACATACTTCTTCAGCCTCCATTCGCTCCTCGCCGGGGCATCCCTGGAAGAAACCTGGGAACGCTTGAAGGTGGCTCTCCCCGTCAGCATCACGAACAGCGTCAAGCTCTGGCCCGCTGTCACGGCCTTTAGCTTTACGTACGTGTCCCCGGAATTCCGCAGCATCTTTTCCGGCGTGATTGCCGTCGGCTGGCAGACCTATCTCAGTTGGTTGAACCAGAAGGCGGCCCGGGAAGTCGAGGCGGAAATGGCCGAATCGGAACGTTTGTCTCATACGGTGGTCTCGGAGAGCATCAGTCCTTCAGCAGCGACGATCAAGGCATGAGATACCATACCATGTTCGTGCTTTTGTTCATCTTCGATACCCCCCCCTTTTGCTCGTTATACGCATGTCCCGGCGTGACCGCCAATAGATTTCCCAAACTAGACGATAGATTTTTGTTCTTGCAGCGCTGCATTCTAGCAAAATATTCAGATAGAGTATTGTTTTTATAGATCTGAACTACCAACACCTGATCTGATTCAAGAGTTGTTCTAAACCGTTGAATAAACCCCGTCTCTTATGACAAATGCCCTAGAACTTAATGTCTCGCGGGATGACCTCCGGCGGACCACTGTGACTTCACTTGAACCCAAGCAATCCTTACACCAAGGACATGATCTCATTCTACCCGCGACGGGCTTCTTCCGCCCCCCAATAAATCCAGATTGTAATGCCGGTCGATTTCGACGATAGTAGTGACTACGGATCCGATTTTACCCCGGATGAAGAAGAGCTGGTGAACGAACTGCTCGCCAAAGTCGCCACGGACCACGCGACCGTCCAGGCCGCTGCCACAACCGCGGCGCCAGCGACTCCGACGACACTGACCTCGACAGCGGCAGTCCAGAATATACTACGGACGACTGTCGCTGCGGTCGCTGATATTGAGGACTATGCGGAGGTTTCAGCGACTGCACGAGTGCCTCGGGTGCTGGGTCGAGAGAAGCCCGATCCATGGCAGAAGCGCAAGCACTGGCAGGGTTCGACGGCTGCTGGGGGCCGGGCAGTTCAGATCTCAGGCGACGTTCTCGCCGCGTCTGGTGAGACTTTTTTTCTTTTTTGTCTCTCTCTCTCTTTTCATGGGAATCTTGGTTTTGTTGGTTTGTTTAGCTGCGGTGCTTGAGTGGGAGCTGACGAGTTATTGCGAAGCGCTTAGTCGAGCATCCAAGTTCCATCGAAGGTCGTCAACGACAGCGCGAAAGAGATGTAGCTCGGGAACAAGAGTGGGTTGGTGACTCGACCACGACTCCTGCGCCGGATTCCCGGTCGCCTATTGAACGTTTCAGACAGCCGCCCAACAAGGCCTTCTCGGTCACGGACTTGATCTCGCCTGCGTGGTGTGAGCTACAATACTGGTATACCTTGACCAAGCATGGGAGGAAGAGGAGGACCGCCGCTATGAAGCAGGGGAGTACGATCCACAAGACCCTCGAGGATGAGGTGTATACTACGGTGGCCGTGGAGATCACGACCAAGGAGGATGCGCTGGCCTTGAGGCTGTGGAACATCGTGCAGGGCTTACGGACACTGCGCGAGTATGGTCTCACTCGGGAGCTGGAGGTATGGGGCCTTGTGGACGGGGAGCTGGTCAACGGGGTCATTGATCAGCTTTCTTATGAGTGTCCGGACCCGGTGCTCGAGGCCACAGCCGCGAGCTACTATGCCGATGTGGAGGCCTCGAGGGCGGCCCTGCCTGAGTACCAGATGTCATTGACAGAGTACCTGCTATCTCCGTCGCAAGGTGGGAAGAAACTATCGGACATGATGTGGAAGGATGAACAACCAGACGAGCCGGTCGAGGAACCTCCAAGCACCCAGTCCTCCGAGGCGTTCAATATCCCCCGAATCTACCTAACGGACATCAAGACACGAGCCAGCGGCTCGATACCCACCACCAAGAGCACGTCTTTCCGGCCGACGCTCCTCCAGCTCCAGATGTACTACCACATGCTGAACCGTCTCGCTACCACTGACGAAGTCACGATCGAGCTGCTGGCTTCTCGGTACAACCTCGACCCCCAGCGCACCTTTACCGACGGCTTCATCGCCGAAGTCGGCGGTCTGAACGACCAGTTCTTCGATACTTTCTCGACCCCGGAGTTTGATCCGGATTTTACTCCGTCACCAGAAGACGCCGCGCGAAGACACCCCCACAACTCACCAGGCTCCACCCCCTCCGCCAGCCAAGACTCAACCAGCATTCTCCTCGCTCATAATAACCTAACCAGCCTGTGGAGATTTATGAAGGACCAGCTGCGCCTCACCTTCCTCCCATCCCAACAATCATCTATATCCATTGCGCCGTCCATCCCCTCCGAATTCCAGCCCAGCATGCTAGAATCCTACCCTACGATCATCTCCCCGCTCCTGACAGCGCGCTACCTCTCGTCTGCCCCGACGGCTGATCTCAACTCTCGCGTCCTGGGCAGTCGGAGCTTCCTCTTCGATCTCACAACCATGTCGTCGTATCTGTCGGACCAGATGGACTGGTGGCGCGGGAAGCGAGACCCGCGCGGCGTCGAAGTCATGGAAGCGTGGAAGTGTCGCATCTGTGAATTCCGAGATGAATGTTCGTGGCGCGAGCAAAGGGAGTGGGCGATGGCGAGACGTAAGAGAGGGAGGAAGTCTCTTGACTTCGCTACTGTGTGAGATAGAACTTGCCAGGCGTTTTGGGAAGTTACCTATCATGTGCTTTTGGGTTGGGGGTTTGTTGTGCTATGCCTTTATTGGGCATGGGCTACCATTGAGCCCTGCGTGCATAACTAGAGTTGTTACGTAGATTATGAAGCGTATCTCAAAAGGGTATGCATTTAATTTGATAAGACTCGATTCCTCAAAGCGGATAGCTCCGAACTTCCTCCTCCTTCTCCAAATCTAGCCCAGCAGCCACCTGCTCCTCATGCTTCCGATCTAGATACTCCAGCAACACCTCCCCATACTTCTCCCTCCCCTTGTACCGCGAGACGTCCCCATCCCAGCTCCGAATCGCCGACGCCAGCCGCCCAGGCACATACGGTTCCCTGGCGACCTCCGTGATCGGCTCAAAGTACGTCCGGATCGTGAACACGACCGCCCCGGACCGCGGCAGCCGGCGCAGCGACTGCCTCTCCGAGCGGAAATAGTGGTGCTCGATCGCGCGGTTCTTCTCCGCCGTGTTCCAGGAGACGACGGGCGCGTCCTCGGGCCCGATGCTGCGCGACCACGCGAGCCCGTCGTCGACCTGGATGAAGTAGTTGTTCCGCAGCACGGGGTCCTCGGGCCGGATGCGGCGGAAAAAGTTCATCATCCCTTTCTCGAGCTTCGCTTTGTAGCCCGGCACGTCGCCCGAGGTGTGGATGTCTGATAGCCGCATGCCGAATTTGTCTTCCAGGCGCCAGAAGCCTGCGAGCAGGATCGCGCCGGCGAGGAGGTGGTACTCGCCGTCCGGTTTCTCGATCATCAGCGCCAGATCGTCTTGGACGAGCCGGGCGCACGTCATCATTGGGTCTTCGGCGAGGGGGCGCTGGGTGGTGTTGAATGACTCGCCGGTGATGATGTTGTCGAGGCCGGTGGCTGTTTTGCGGAACATGGAGGGGTAGCGCTCAGGGAGGTAGGAGGAGCTGTTTCTCCGTAAGATGCTGTTTGGGCGGTTTGTGGTAGGGGGATACTGCGACTTACAGCTCTTCTAGCAATTCAATCGCGCCGTCCATCGCCTCCGGCGCGGTCTTGCAGCATTTTGCGCCCCGTTCGTTGATTCGACGTGCCTTGTCTGCGTGGTATCGCAAATAGTGATTGTCCAGCTCTGAGAGGTCTGTTAGACTCTGCAGGTATCCTCGTAGACGATGTCATGGTTACCTATCCACTCATCCCATTTCATGCTTCTCAAGCCCATCGTGATGAAGTATTTCCTGTGCTCTTTAGTCTAATGTATTCCACGGCGGCTTCCCAGACACTCACGGGCCATATCGGAACGGGCGATATGGAATTGGTTTCGTTGTATGAACATCCCAGTCAGGATAAGGAGAGGCAGTTGGTCTTTTGAAGTCCGAAGGTATCCATTCTTCAACTGGAGTTAGATGTAGCCTTAGGCGTAGACGATGGTACACATACCTCCTGGCCTCCGATCGGACTTCCGAGTTCTTGATATCGAAGATGATTCCTTATTAGGATGTTGAGCTGATTGCGGGCTGTCTCTCGTCTGTGCAATACGAAAAACAGCCGTAGCAAGCCATATAAAAGACACTATAAGACATAAGGATGCTGCATGCTTGATATGCTGTTGGCTGTACTGCACTAGTTCAAGAACCATGATCTCCAATGTTGTACGGTGGCTATGAGGGACAGATGAATATCATCTGTGATGGAAAAGCCCAGAGATGCATGTTATTATAACAGAAAGACAAGCTGTTGTACAAATAAGGCCCATTCACCCACTCCGTATTCTGCGTGTATGATGGCCACTCCATCAAGCATATCGCTCCACAGCAGTAGTTGCCCTATGTGTTAATCCGATGCGACCGCTGATTCGACTGGTCCAACCCAAAGCCTATCTGTATACCGTGAATCTGGTCTACATCTTGGAATCGAGCTAGGCGTCATTCGTGCGGAGAGCTCTCTTATCTCACGGGCTTTTTGATAGGAGATGGTGATCGAGGGATTTCTTATCCAAATCAGGTAAAGTCACACCGCGATTGGTGGTGCCTGAGCCATGAGAATGTTGGTATCGGTGTCGCACCTGTCCAGGTCGCTTGCGCTATACAAACTTGGGCAACAGCTCGAGAATACATGCATCAAGACCGAAGTGATGCATGGTGTAAAAATTTTCAAAATCTAATTTGACGCTGGAGTGACATCACGTCGCTTCAGGAGACAGTATTGCCCCCAGCTGCGGCGGAAGCGAGCAGGTATTAAGGGCAGATCGGGAACCCAGATCAGTCGACCTAGCAGGCTTGTTTGAGAAGCATCGAGGAACTCCTTGCAGGACACCGTCTCCCATTCCGATTCTTCGTGGAAAAAGTCAGGCTCTAGTTCGGTGACTGCGTGACCCGGGAAGTACGAGTCGACCAAGTACGAGCATTGAGATATATCAACCTAGATCACATTAGGCCATCCACAAAGATCGAGATGTGATGCACTATCTTACATATTTGCTGAGGTCCTCCTCATTTCGATCATTCATGCCAGAAGGAATCTGCGATGTTCCTACAATGAGGCTAGAGTAGCTCGTGGCATCGGGAAACTCTCCAGGAAGAAGCCCCCGGAATTCGCTCTTGATAAATTTCGCACGCAATCCATTTGGTAGGAAATAAGATGATGGAAATCGATACCATTCCTTGCCAAAGCAAACCGAGTCTCCGGGTTGAGCCATCCCCGTTTGCGCTAGCGGTTCCAGCACCTTTAGAGGTGCATTGTATGCTGTGATCATTCCAAGAGTCCGCAATAATCCAGCATTGATAGCCACCAGAATCAAAGACATTACCACCGTCAATTTCAGTTTTGGTGATACCCGTCCGACGATGTCTTTTGGATTGCTGGACCCGATGTATGATAGGATCATGTGAAACGAGATGGCAGCGTTGAGCGCAAGAAAAGGGTATACAGGGTACATGAATCTCTCCTCCTTGTGAGGTTGGAGAGTAAAGATAGCCAGCCACATATAGAAAGGCGTGATCAAGGTGATGGTCCGCAATAGAGTCTGTATATTAGTACTCTGAGACCGGAATGCAGCCTGGAGGGTAAGTATAGGCGCGGCGGATACAGCAAATACAAACCAGATATTGAAGTTGAGGAGCAAGTTCCTGACATAAAAGGTCCAGGGTTCTGTACCGAAAATGTCGGGACCTTTACCCTCGCCTCCAAAGATGTTATAGGCGACTATGTTCCATGGCACAATGGCAAACTTCTGGAAGAATACATAGTCGACTCCAACTTCGATAGTCTATATTGGTCAGCCGGGGAATGATACGGTCTCGGAATTGTCAATAGTTGTACCAGTATAGCGAGGCATCTCACAATGCCACCGACAATGCTCTTGCAAACCGGCCAAAAAGAACCCGAAAGGAAACCAATGATGATCTCCTCAAGTAGAAGAGGGAGAATCAAAGCTCCGGCGAAAGGCCATCCCACAATTGCTCCAAGGCCAAACCACATGACGCCCCGAGCCAATTTGTGTCCCCCTCTCCAGTCCAAGAAGGATGTGAGACCAAGCATGGACGTGTACATGGTAAAACTAGATGGGAGAAATGCGGCGGACGCATGAAACATGCCCGGGCTGAAAGCGATAATGATCAAGAATAGAAGACCGATCCGGGGGTTCAGTGTCCGACATATTGCAGAGTATAATCTGGTCTCGCACGCCGCGCAGATGGCCGCCAAAACGAATCGTATCACATAGAACTCAGTTGCCTTGCTGTTGCTCGAGAAGAGAGACACTATCTTCCCTACAAGAGCATGTCCAGAGACATAGAGCCAGCTTCGAATCGAATAGACTGGGGAATACTCCCACGTCTGAAGTCCGTATCCATGGTCCAAGTAATGCGCAGGTTCCCAGAAGTTGAAGACTTCATCGCAGTCTTGAATCGGGGCAAGAGCAGCCGCAATGCAGTTGGAAATGAGAAATATATAGAGCGTGGTATTCAATGGCAGGTAGAAAGGTACTGGTCGGGAGCTTTGAGAGGCACGAGATTGTGAGCTAGAAGTGAAGTGGGTTGATGCTGTTGGGAAATTGTACATACCGGCCTTTGGTCCGAGGAGGAGGATTGCTTGACTTCACTGGCTCACTTCCCGGAGCCATGACTGATTATTGTCGAGATTATCTAGATACTCGAAGAACCCATCAGACAGATTTGCTTTGTGGTTATAGCGACATTTTGGCAGCATCATCTACAAATGGACACGATAACGATAACGAGCTTATCCGGTGGCCCCAACGGCAACTTTTGGCAGATTCAGAAAAAAAGTTCCCGCGCAGGACAATCGCCTTTTTCACGCACACATTTACCTGACATTCGCATTTGAAGTTTCAGAAGATCTGAGCATTCAGAATGGCGGATCAGAATCCCCTTAATAAATTTTCAGGCACCTCGGAGGTCTCCAACGACGGTCCTGCAGTGAAACGAACCTGCACGAATGATACGCCACCCATCGCATTGACGCCCGCGGACGATGGCAGCGATTTTTACAACACTCCCTGGACTGCAGGTACACCCGTGAATAATACTGAGAGCAAAGATACTGCAGATACAGAAATGAGCGAGTCGGTTTCTTCTTCTAAACCAGCCATGGCAATCCCGGGTTTGAGCCTCGTCAATGATAGCCTCCAAGATCTGCAACCCTTGAGCCAGGAGTCCACACCAGCCCAGAAACCGCAGGTTGAAGCTGTTGGTGATGCGGTCATTGAGGATAAGCCGCAGGAAGCAATCTCACAGCAGACTTTAGAGACACAAGACCAGGCGAACAAGGAGCGACTTTCTGGAGACGCCGTGCCGATGGAAGTGGAACAACGTTCTGAACAGCCTGCCCAGGGAGAGGCTGGAAACCAGCATATGGAAGGAACTATCACCAACACACAAGGAAATGATGAGGCAAATCAATCTGCTGCAGACGCTGCAGGGAACCGACCACTTGAGGAAGAAGAAGGCGAGCATCCCGAATGGGAGATTGACTCTTCTCCTTACGAATCGTCTTCCGACGATTCTACGACTGATTCCTCCGATGATAGCGATGAAGATGATGACGAAGACTACCCGATCCTTTCTCCCGAAGAACAGGCGCGCATTCTGATGCTCGCAGAAGCCGGTTCCGACGATGAAGGAGAAGGAAAGGGCAAATCAGGCGGTCACCTAAGAACAGCGAACGAACTACCGGAGGAAGCACCCCCGATCCCTGAAATTACTATTACGCCAGATATGAAGGTCGTGCTTCTGGGGCACGTTGAAGCAATTGTCGAAAACACCCTACTTATCGCGGCCAACGTCTCCGGAGAATACCAGGTGCTCGAGTCTGGCTCGTTGCTCTGCCTCGAGGACCGAAAAGTGGCTGGTGTGGTAACTGAAACACTAGGAAGGGTTGAAAACCCGCTGTATGCCGTTCGGTATCCTAGCGCTGCCGCTATTGAGGAGCGTGGGATTTCCAAGGGAATACATATGTACTATGTCGAACCTCATTCGACGTTCGTCTTCACTCAGCCCCTGAAAGGACTCAAGGGAAGCGATGCTTCGAACTTCCATGACGAAGAAATTGCCGAGGACGAGGTTGAATTTTCTGATGACGAAGCGGAGGCTGAATACAAGCGGAAGTTGAAGCAGAAGCGACAGGAGCGAAAGGATGCCAGGAACGAAAACGGCGGTCCAGTTCGTGGAAAGAGAGGTCTGCCTGGCCCCTCGAAACTCGGCCAAGCAGAGCTTAACTACGATGATGTACCGACAACTGAAGATGGTTACACCCCATTGGCTCGCCCAAAGAATTTACACGAAATGATGGGCCACCAGGAGGCACCTGTTGAGAGTGACGGGCATGCAGGAAGGAATCCTGCTCCGCGTGGCGGTCGCGGTCGCGGTAGAGGCTCTGATCGTGGTCGGGGAAATCGTGGACGAGGAGCAGCAGGAGGATCGAGGGATTCTCGCGATTACAACTCGTACCAGGATCGCCAGCCTTACTCCATGCAGCAGCAAAGGTCGCCAGACATTCAGACTCAGCCTTCGAACTACAGTCAGCAGCCGGCATACCCCCAGAATCAGCAAAATATCTACGGCATGCCTCAGCAATTTCCCTTCCAGCCATTCCCTCAACAGCCCCAGCAAGCATTTCCTCAAGGCTCGTTACCGGCCCAGTTCAACTTCCAAATGCCTTTTCAGCAGGCTTATCAACAGCCGAATCCATATCAAAACTTTCCTGCCATCAATCCTCTGTTCTTAGCTGCCATGCAACAGCAGCAACAACAACAGCAACAGCAGCAACAGCAGACGCCCGGTCAACCTCAGGGACAGAATCCAACAATGAACTTTGATCAGGTCAAGGCTCAGCTCGATCTCTTGCGGCATCTGAGCAACGCGAACCAAGGGCCACCACGCTCATGAAGCTTTGATACCATTTCGACTTTTTAATTTTTCCTTTCTGGCTCTTGACGGTATTCAGTTTTGCATGAGAAAATTTGCATTGGGTGGGATCTCAAAAGTTACATCATTGTTTATATAGGTGTTCTGCTGAATGTGCAGCATATTTTTACGGCCACCCTAGATGGCCACTGCCTGTCATACATGGTGCTTGTTCAATATATTACATTGCCGTTATCCTCATGGGCAGACTATCTCGTAGAACAAATACTATGGACATTTAAAACTCCTTTTGTTTCGCAGTCTTGGCCAACGCCCAAAAGTTCTCCATCTTCGCTCGAGCCAGAACGTCTTTGGCTTGCGAATCAGTCTCACAGACTCTGGCACCCAACCATTTTCTGAATGAACGAGCTTTAGCCTGGCCTTCCCAAAGAAGACTACAAGTGTTTGTGCTAAGGTCCCTCAATTCTCCCGTTTTCTCATCCTCAGCCGAAAGCCACGACGCGAGAGCTTCGCGATTGCCTTCACGCACCGCATTCGGGCCCGCGTTCTCCGTCCAGTCAATCCGATTCAACATCAGTTTCTTGTAGCTGTTGATTGAGTGAGCACCTCCTTCCACAATCACCAAGTTGAGCCGAGGATGCATGATGCAGACTCCAGTAAGAGCGTGTTGTTCAGCATTCTTGCTGACTTTAAACCGATTACGTCCGTTTGCTAGGCTATCGATCCGGTAAACTGATACATGGATGCCTTTCTCCGCGTCCTTTTCTTGTTGCTGAGCAAGCTTCTCTCGTCTCTCTTCTTTTGTTAATTTTCGTGCCTCATTGGCAGCTTCGTGCGTTTCACGCCGCTCTGCGATCTCCCGGTTCACACGTGCCTCGACCGCGGTAGGGTCCTTGACAGCCTCCTCACCCAAAACCCGCATGAGGTTCGATTTCTTGACTTTTGGTGGAGGCGCTGGCTCAAGACCTAGCCGGATCTTCGCCTGTTGCTCTTTGAGATCGGCCATCCGTCGCTGACGACGGATCTTCGCTTGTTCCTTCGGTGTCAGATACATAGGTTTTTGTGCGGGCATATGCTTATCCTGGGGAGGTTCGAGGAGTACGGGGTGTTGGACGTAGACAGTAATGATGGAATCTGGGGTGTCTATCTTGAGATTCCGCTCGTCATCGATAGCAGAGTAGTCCTCCCCTTCAACCAAACCTTCGTCCCACCACTCAATAGCTGGTGGAGCTGAAACCAAAAATGCTTTCTCGAGATCCATGTCTTCATCAATACCGGCCTGCCGAGCCCTCTCTGCAATGCGCTTCTTCATGGCCTCCAATTGGGCCTGCCGGCGTAGGGCTGCCGCCTGTTGTATGTATTTGCCCTTCTGATTGAAAATAAGTTGCCGTGAATTCCTGGGTTTCGCGATAGTTGCTTTAGGACCAAGACTCGGATCAAAATAGGGGTTGTTCTTGATTTCTTCAAGTGACGGGCCTGACAGGTCGAGTCCGGCTCGATCTTTGGTGCCAGGTAACGGCGACTCAGCATGACGGCCCCCCGCAAACTTCTGCGCACCCTGTCGACCTTTGCCACTTCGAAACTCTGTCGTATCTGCGAGAAGTGCAGGATGAAGACCAACATCTAGGCCACCTCGAGCCCGTGAAGAGCCATCGTCGTCATCAAACGCAGGAGGCGGAGGAGCAGGTGTTCGTTGCTGCGCCGCAGCATTGGCTCGCCCAGTAGCTGCTGCTACTCTCGCTTTCATTTGTTCTAATTTCGACATGGCTGAAGTAGCGGCTGGGGGCGTAGGACTCGGGCTTGGGGCAGCTGGTGTGAGGGCTGAGGAACCGCCTCTGGCAGCTTGAAGCCTAGCGCGCACGGCTTCAGCTTTGGCTCTCGCCTCTGCCACCATTTTTTCAATGTCGACCTTCCCAGAGGCCGCGCCTCCCTGTGCTGGCATTGGAGAGCCATTGTTGGAGCGAGTTCGTTTCTGCGCGTTGTTGTCTTCATCTTCGGGATGAGGCCGCTTCAGCATGTTGCCTGACACGTCCGCCATTATTCAAACCACGTAAGCGCGTTGCGCACACCCACTGCTCAAATGAGATGATGGTCTGGAAAACGACGATGCAGAGATCACACCCCGGAGACGTAGCAAGGAACTGGAGAGAAACTTGGGAGAAGACGATAACAGTGGATGATCGTAATGCGGAACAAATCAGATGGAGATCACGGGATGAGCGCTGAGTGGAATGAACATAAGGGCGGTGGCACACGGCAGAAAAAGTTCTTGGGGTCAACTTTTTCGCAGCATCAAGACCGACCAAACCCGCCTTTTAATTTCTCCAGGCCAGCAGCCAAAGAATTCGCACTGCTTGCGATTTCTGTCGCTCAAGGAGCTGCAGGGAATCATGGCGACTTTTGCACGGCCCGTGGCCTCATCAATCGCGGGGATCGATTTTGGAGTCTATTCAGATGAAGATATCAAAGGCATCTCAGTAAAGAGAATCCATAATACTCCGACCTTGGATTCCTTCAACAATCCCGTTCCTGGCGGTTTATACGATCCAGCTCTGGGTGCTTGGGGTGATCATGTGTAAGTCAGAGACTTGTGCTTGTTTCATGCTTCGTGATCTTCTGTGGATGATCGTCGCTACTAGAAACTCTTTTCTCATACTGACTCTATTAAAGCTGTGCCACTTGTCGCCAGAACGCCTGGTCTTGCACAGGCCATCCCGGACACATTGAGCTTCCCGTTCATGTTTACAACGTTACCTTCTTTGACCAACTATTTCGCTTACTCCGGGCGCAATGTGTCTACTGCCATCGGTTTCAAATGCCACGGGTTCAAGTCAATGCCTATGTCTGCAAACTTCGACTTTTGCAATACGGATTGGTCGACGAAGTCGGTGTTATAGAGTCTATGGGAACCGGCTCTGGAAGCAAGAAGAAGGCGGCGAAGGATGCAGACGATTCTGGCAGTGAGGACGAGGATGACGAGGATCTCGTCGCTCGCAGAAACGCATACGTCAAGAAAGTGATTCGGGAAGCGCACGCGGCCGGCAGATTGAATGACATCCTATCTGGTGCGAAGAATCCGATGGCAACGGAACAGAGGCGAGACTTAGTCAAGCAGTTCTTCAAGGATCTCGTCGCTATCAAAAAATGCAGCAGTTGCAGCGGGTATGTCATGTCCTTCAATTCCATCTCCAGCGCTATCCAGTGCAAATGCTGACGAAGGGTACAGTATTTCACCAGCTTACCGGAGAGATCGTTCCTCAAAGATTTTCCGAAAGCCATTGCCCGAAAAGTCCCGGCTGGCCATGGTACAAGCCGGATTCCAAGCACCTAACTCCTTAATCCTTCTCCAGCAGGCCAAGAAACTGAACATGAAGGAGAAAGAGGCAATGGCCAATGGCGTCTCTGATTCAGCCAGCGCCACATCGGAAACACATGGAGCGGAGGAAGAGGTGGCCCGTGGTAATGCCGTTGTTGCAATGGCTGAAAACAAAGACCAAGCAGATGGCGATGGTGGACAATACATGCCGTCCCCTGAGGTACACGCTGCGATAATTCTGCTCTTCGAGAAGGAGAAAGACATTTTGAACCTGATCTACAATTCTCGGCCTCTGCCGAAGAAAGAGTCCCAGGTCAGCGCAAACATGTTCTTCATCAAAAATATTCTGGTACCACCGAACAAATACCGACCTGCGGCCCCTCAAGGGCCGGGTGAGATCATGGAGGCACAGCAAAACACGCCTTTGACCCAAATCCTCAAGAACTGTGACATTATCAATCAAATCAGCAAAGAAAGACAAAATGCAGGTGCTGATTCTGTCACTCGGATGCGGGATTATCGTGATCTTCTACATGCGATAGTTCAGCTACAAGACACTGTCAATAGCCTGATTGATAGTGAGAGAGGCGCTTCTGGCGCGTCAGCAGGCCAGGCCGCCAACGGTATCAAGCAAATCCTGGAAAAGAAGGAGGGTTTGTTCAGAAAGAACATGATGGGCAAGCGTGTCAACTTCGCAGCTCGAAGTGTCATCTCTCCCGACCCCAACATTGAAACGAATGAGATTGGTGTTCCCCTGGTCTTTGCGAAGAAGCTCACGTATCCCGAGCCTGTGACCAACCACAACTTCTGGGAGATGAAACAAGCAGTCATCAATGGACCGGACAAGTATCCCGGTGCCACGGCAATTGAGAACGAATTGGGCCAAGTTACCAACCTCAAATTTAAGAGTCTTGACGAGCGTACCGCGTTGGCCAACCAGTTGCTCGCCCCGTCGAACTGGCGGATGAAGGGCTCACGTAACAAGAAGGTCTACCGACATCTTACGACAGGTGATGTTGTCTTGATGAACCGGCAACCTACACTTCACAAACCATCTATCATGGGCCATAAAGCTCGTGTTTTGGCAAATGAGAGAGTTATTCGAATGCACTATGCTAACTGCAACACCTACAACGCCGATTTCGATGGTGACGAGATGAACATGCACTTCCCCCAGAATGAACTCGCTCGTGCCGAAGCTATGATGCTTGCTGATGCCGATCACCAATATCTTGTCGCGACATCTGGTAAGCCCTTGAGAGGTCTGATTCAGGATCATATTTCCATGGGAACATGGTTTACGTGTCGTGATACTTTCTTCAACGAGGAAGATTATTATGAGCTGCTGTATAGCTGTCTTAGACCGGAGAACTCTCACACTATTACGGAGCGGATTCAACTCGTAGAGCCTACTGTGCTGAAGCCAACTCGTCTCTGGACAGGAAAGCAAGTGATCACAACGATTCTGAAGAACATCATGCCTCCAGGCAGAGCCGGACTCAACCTGAAGAGCAAGTCGTCAACTCCCGGAGATCGATGGGGCGAAGGTAATGAAGAGGGCAGCGTCATTTTCAAGGATGGTGAAATGCTATGTGGTATCCTCGATAAGAAACAAATCGGTCCTACTGCTGGCGGTCTCGTCGACGCGATTCACGAGATCTATGGTCACACGATTGCAGGAAGGTTGATCAGTATCCTCGGAAGACTTCTGACCAGATATCTGAACATGCGTGCCTTTACTTGCGGTATTGATGATCTCCGCCTGACCAAAGAAGGTGACCAGGTACGCAAGCAGATCATTAGCCAAGCCGCCAGCGCTGGACGGGACGTTGCTCTCAAGTACGTTACCCTCGATCAAACCACAGTTCCTGACCAAGACACCGAACTTCGACGACGATTGGAAGATGTACTTCGTGACGATGATAAACAGAGTGGGTTGGATAGCGTCTCGAACGCTCAGATGGCGAAACTGTCTACCGAGATCACTAAGGCTTGCCTCCCGAAGGGCCTAGCCAAACCTTTCCCCTGGAATCAGATGCAGTCTATGACAATCTCTGGGGCCAAGGGTTCAGGCGTCAATGCAAACCTGATTTCTTGCAATTTGGGACAGCAGGTTTTGGAAGGTCGACGTGTACCTGTCATGATCAGCGGTAAAACTCTACCGTCCTTCAGGGCCTTTGATACCCATCCCATGGCTGGTGGTTTCGTCTGTGGTCGTTTCTTGACCGGAATTAAACCTCAGGAGTACTACTTCCACGCCATGGCTGGTCGTGAAGGTCTTATCGATACTGCTGTCAAGACATCTAGATCTGGTTACCTCCAGCGTTGTTTGATCAAGGGTATGGAAGGTCTTAGAGCTGAATACGACACCTCTGTGCGTGAGTCTTCGGATGGTTCTATCATTCAATTCTTGTACGGAGAGGATGGTCTCGATATCACAAAGCAGGTCCACTTGAAGGATTTCGACTTCCTCACTTCGAACTACGTCTCTATCATGTCGTCTGTCAACCTGACGAGCGATTTCCACAGCCTTGAGAAGGAAGAGGTCACGAACTGGCACAAGGATGCTATGAAGAAGGTCCGCAAATCTGGCAAGGTTGATGCCATGGATCCAGTGCTTTCGCGTTATCACCCTGGCGGTAACCTTGGTAGTACATCGGAGGCCTTCTCACAGGCGCTCAAGAAGGTATGCAGCCCTTCCCTAGCGCTTCAATCCCACACATTCAATACTAAAATCTTCTTAGTACGAGGACATCAACCCGGACAAGCTTCTTCGAGATAAGAAGAAGCAAATCGACGGTCTAATTAGCAAGAAGGCGTTCAACACCTTGATGAACATGAAGTACCTTAAATCTGTCGTCGACCCTGGTGAAGCAGTCGGAATTGTTGCTGGCCAGTCAATCGGAGAACCGTCCACCCAAATGACTCTGAACACCTTCCATTTGGCTGGTCACTCTGCGAAGAACGTGACGCTGGGTATCCCACGTTTGCGTGAAATTGTCATGACTGCAAGCGCTCATATCATGACCCCTACGATGACGTTGATATTGAACGAGGAGTTGTCGAAAGAGGATTCTGAGCGGTTTGCCAAGGCTATAAGTAAACTGAGCATTGCTGAGGTCGTCGACAAGGTCCAAGTCAAGGAAAGAATCTCTTCAACCGGTTCAAGGTCGAAGGTATACGACATTGATATTACCTTCTTCCCGGTCGAGGAGTATACCAAGGAGTATGCCATCACCACCAAGGATGTACAGAGCACTCTGCAGAACAAGTTCATCCCGAAGCTTGTGAAGCTTACTAGAGGCGAGTTGAAGAAACGAAATGACGAGAAGACATTGAAGAGCTTCTCGACTGCTCAGCCTGACATTGGTGTTTCGGTGGGCGTTGTAGACGAAGGCCCGAGGGGACCAGACCGTGAGGCCGAGCCTATGGAGGACGATGTTGAAGATGATGAAGATGATGCCAAGCGGGCCCGGAGCGGCCAGAACCGGTCGAACCAGGTTTCGTACGAAGGGCCCGAGGATGAAGAAGTCGCCATGGTCAGAGAGCAAGATGATGAGGAAGAGGATGAGGACGAGGAAGAGCAAACGGGTAATCGCCATGAGTCTTCTGACGTCGAGATGGAGGATGCTTCTGATGATGAAGCGGAAGACCACACCAAAGACACCAAGTTGCGCGAGGAGGATATCAAGGGCAAGTACGGCGAGGTTACACAGTTCAAGTTCAACCCCAAGAAGGGCACAACCTGTACCGTGCAACTGCAGTACGACATCTCCACTCCCAAGCTCCTCCTCCTGCCCTTGGTTGAAGAGGCTGCTCGCAGCGCTGTCATCCAGTCCATCCCCGGCTTGGGTAACTGCACGTACGTGGAGGCGAACCCACTCAAGGGCGAGCCTGCACATGTCATCACTGAGGGTGTCAATCTTCTCGCCATGCGCGACTACCAGGACATCATCAAGCCTCACTCGCTCTACACCAACTCGATTCACCACATGCTCACACTGTATGGTGTTGAGGCTGCGCGCGCATCCATCGTCCGCGAAATGTCCGACGTTTTCGAGGGTCACAGTATCTCCGTCGACAACCGTCATCTGAACCTGATCGGTGACGTGATGACCCAGTCTGGTGGCTTCCGCGCCTTCAACCGCAACGGTCTTGTCAAGGACAGCTCGTCACCCTTGGCAAAGATGAGTTTTGAGACCACCGTTGGTTTCCTGAAGGATGCTGTGATTGAGAGGGACTTTGACAACCTCAAGAGTCCCAGTAGCAGAATCGTGGTGGGTCGTGCTGGAATGGTCGGCACGGGTGCATTCGACGTCCTTGCTCCCGTGGCATAAGTAGATGTGTGAGTGTATAGTGTGCATGGCATATTACCTTATATTATTTTCAGTTACTGTACATGTTTGCGAATTTTCTTTGTCTATTGATTGATGTCTTTTGTATTTTTGATGTGTCCAATGATTCGGGAGTTTGTGTCAGCGGAACCCAAGAAAAAGTCTTGTTCCTTTTCTGATAGCATTTACAGTATTATTAGCAGATGGATAGATCAGTCAATTCATTCTATTAGTTTGTCTATATCGTATTCGCCTGATGCGCCCTTCCCATTTCCCAACCATGCCTCTGTTGTACTGCACAAGAATATCTCGAGGACTACCGTGGTATCATATCCAAGAACCCAAATATGCAAAAAAAAAAGTCGCTTGAAGAAGTGATGGAGAAAAGTTGAATTCTGCCAAAAGAAACAGTGTATGTGCTGAAATGGATTATTGAGCATCCAACATCATGAGGTCTTCATCTATGCCGTCGTCGAATTCGTCCGCAGCGGCAGCAGCTCCACGGTGAGTAGCCCCGTTTATGGTATGTCCATTCGAAACCACTTCTCTGCGGACTCTTTCCTCTTCTAGCATCTGCTTTTCTCGATGCCGTTCTAGGTCGGCCAAGCTCCATGTGGAGATGCCCTCTTGATCTTTGGCTTTGAACGGTTGAGCCATTGTGCGCAAGAAGTTCTTCGCGGTGGCCACAGCCATATCCGTACTAAGATTCGTCTCACTTTCCAACATGGCCTGACTGATCCATTTGGGCAACTGATTGCGTTTCTTCTGGAATCGGCGGTCAGCAAGAACCATGACTCCGTAGTCATCCTTGCCACGCAAAACACGACCCAGACACTGTGCGGCGTGTCTCATAGCGTCGAATGATAAGAAGTCGTTCTCCCGAATGCGATAATTCTCGCGCAGGAACTCCAAACGAGCCTTCAGGATACGAGACTCCGTATACTGGAAGGGGACCCCAATACATAACACGGCACGACCGTAGTGGTGGTCGAAATCGATACCCTCGGAGACTTTTCCTCGAGCGACGCAGAATAGAATAGCGCCTCGGCCATTGCAGCATGCTGTTCGGTAGGTCTCTAATGCTAGCGAAGACTCTTGCGCATCGGGGGTTTCAACCAAAATTAGTTTATAGTTCCATATTGAGTCTAGAATGCCCATTCCTTGCCACATGCTGACGATAGATTCCATATAGAGATAAGATGGAAAGAACACAACGATTCCGTCCGGTGTGATGCGCGAGAATTCCAAAACAAGATTTCCATAATTGCGCACGACACCGGGGTCGTTACGGATCTGGAAGGAAGATGAGATCTGCGCTTGATCCGACCCTCGAGTCACAATCATAGGTAAGAAAGATCGGCGTGCCAGAGTCATACTGTAAGACTCCTGCAGAACAGTATCAAAATCGAGCATCTTCGGATACATCTCGAGTGGAGAGAGAGTTCCGGAAGTTATAATCACTGAGCTGAATCGGTCAAAGACCGGTTTGATCGCGATAGAAGCGTCCAAACAAGTGAAATGCAGTATCGGATTTGGGACCGTCGCTGCTTCGGATTCAAATGGCTCCAAAATCAGCAGGAAACCCTTCTCGTAGGTCGCCACTAGAGTTGCAAACGTTGCAACTTCCTGTAAAGGTTGGTAGTCCTCAATATTGATAAGTTCTAGCGTCCGTACCAATGAAGTGAGGCGTTCCGCACAAAAACGTAGAGGCTTCCGCTCAATGAATGTGAGGTCTTTGACATGCGTCAAGAATGAGGGTGGTGTTTCGGATATAGTATGGGTGACTTTCATTCGAGTTTTGAGGTATTCGATAAACCTTTTCAAAAATGCGACGAAATGTTCTGCTCGCCGTATGTTACCTGGCACAGCCTCCTTGAGCAAGTCATCTGGAAGAACAGGGTTCGCGATAAATTGTTCCTCTTCTCGAGCTTGTTCTGCTTCCCTTAATCCCTCGACAAGTTTTGAGTATTCATTTTGGAGCTTCTCCGCATCTGAGCTTTTCATCTCCTGAATCTTCCTTTCCAAGTTATTCGCTCCCTTTGTGGCTTTTCGTAACGAGTCTTCGGTGATATCAATGCTGAGAGCTTCGATACATACGTTGTCGATGTTGTGGGCCTCATCGAATACTACTATGCAATCCTTCGAAAGTTCTCGCGATACTCTCTCGGCAATTTTAGGGTCAAGGAGGTAGTGATAGGAATAAATGATGACGTTGCAATATGGCATCTAATGTATGTTAGCTGACTATAATGCCGCAGACAGTCAAGGGGATACAATACCATGCGCCTTGCTGAGAAATAAGGACATTGCTTGTGTTCTTCTCCGTATTTCAGCAGTCCGTCAAGGGTAAAGACTCCGGGAGGAACGAGGTTATGCGGTTCGAGAAGATCGAGGTTCTAACCTGCGTCAGGCTCCTTCCTAATGGCGCAGAGCACAATTATCATACCTCGTGATAAATGCACAACTCCACATCTTCGCCCCTCTCTTTCTTTTCCTTAACGAAACCAGCCGTCAGACTCCTACACCTTGCATCGACAACTGCACCACTTTTCTCTCGCTTGACGGACGGATGTAGGCAAAGGTTCTTTCGACTGGTGAGACCCAACGCCCTGAAATCCTCAGTGTAGCCCAGCTGCTGAGTGCGATACTTCATTAACTCCTTCAACTCAGCTAAGGCCTTTTCGATCTCTGACATTGTTCGAGAACAGTAGATGAGCTTCCTGTGTTCCGGGTAATGTTGCTGATATGCAACGATCAACGAGAGCAAGGTCACGGTCTTTCCCGTACCCGAAGGCATCTCGAGAACGCAATTACCCTGGGCATCGAGGGTCTTTTTGAGATCACACATGTAGGCATACTGTTCTGGATATATACGAGGATAAGGGAAAAGAACGGGAAGATCACTATTCGACGAGAAGGACCATTAGAAGAGCTTGCTCCCCAAAAGATTTTAACTTGCTATGGATACTTATGAGCGATAGACTTACTCAATGAAGAACTTCATTGTGAGAATGAAGCGCCACTTGTGGTGGTGCTGCAACTTCCGGAGAGAACTAGAGGAAATCAAGAGGCTCTTTCTGCCTATATTCTTGACACCTTCGGCAAGGCGGACCGCGTCGACTTGACTTTTTTGGGCGATCGATGACACCAGACCACGTGACTTCCTTATCGGGACTCCGATCGTCAACGGCCGCCTTTGATATGGGAAAAGAAACCAAGTGACGTTTGTCAGAGCCGTCAGGGCATGATATAAAGAACGATACGTGGCGGATTCGAATGACTCTTGGGTTTGAGATTCATATACTGTCCGCGACTGAGTCTTCTGAGGGTTTACTTATATTCCCCTCATATTCCGTTCGTTTATATTTCTCCCAGTCAAAGTGAGCCAGTTACCCCACATTGCTATGAGCAAAAAGTTCAAATCGCAGGCTTCGAGCAGCCGTGCTGCTGCCAGTGCGTTTGGGTCTTTTGGGGGATTCTCAAGTGCCTTTTCGAGTCCCGGAAGAGCACCATCCTCTCTCACATATGTGACTGAGCCGCCAGATCTTTCACGGATTGCTGATGCGCAATTAGCCATCTCTTTCAAGAACTTTCTGAAGAAGGATGAAGTTACGAGGATACGGTCGTTAGATGAAATTAAAGATTTTGTATCTAAGGTGGAGAGCCGCGGTGGCACTCTCGACGAGGGATTCCTAGATGCCTGGGTATGTCTACAAGTATGTCTTGCAGGCTGGAAATCGATGTTGATTGTGTTCTGCAGATAAAAATCTATCCCCGGGCGTCAATCGACCTTAGTCGTAGGGTAAGGCAAACAGCCCACTCAGTTCAAGGATCTATTGCCTACCTTATTGGAAAGCGCATTGCCCCCTTCTTACCCAAGGTAGTTGGCGCGTGGCTAGCAGGAGTCTATGATAATGATCGGCCGGTGCATCTTTCAGCGCTTGAGTCGTTCACACGGGTGTTTTCCACCGATCAAAAGAGGAGCGGGGTGTGGAAAGTCTACCAGAGCTCGATCCTTGAGTTTGTAGATGATGTTATTCTCCAACAGACTCCTCAGACTTTGAGTGACGAGAGAACGGTTAAACCTGACGATGCGGAAGCGAAATATGCTCGTGTAGTAGGGACGGCTCTCATGTTGTTCAATCGGATTTTAGGTGTGTTTGTAGTGACTCCCAGGAAAGATAGCAGTTCTGACAGGTGATTTCAGCAAATTCGACTCACGAAGATCTCCAGAAGGATTTGTCAACCGTCGAGACTCTCTTGCAGAGCAAAACGCTATGGTCTCTCTGCTTTCATGATGACCCCTTTGTGCGCAAGTCTGTATATGTGTTACTCCGGTCTGCAGTCTCAAAAGAACCCGAGGAGTTGGATTGGAAAATCCTCAGTGCGGCTCTAATTGGCAAATCGTTGTCCACCCCTCAATTGGGATCGGGATCAGAGTTGTCTGAGACTTTACTGCAAGTGACATCGGCACGACCACAATTATGGACAGAAGATTACTCCGGGAAGACCACTTCGTCTAAGAGGTTGCTCCAATATATCCAAAAAGGCTCTCAAGGAGGCACGGCCTCTTTCTGGGCGAACCTCTCCCAATTACTGCAAATTCTACCCTCAGAAGTTTTGGCGAGAGCCGATCCTCAGGCTCCTGGCGAAGGTAATATCGGACTGTCCAGTTCGATCTCACTGTCGGAGGCATTCCAGGCTGGTTTGAATTCAAGGGAAGAACCTCGACAAAATCATCCAGCTGGCTGGAAATCTTATGTTGAGACGGGAATATGGCTCGCACATTCACTACCCGAGATCGACAGAGACAAATTTCTTTGCGCAAGGTTATCTCCTTTGGTCCTGCAATATGTGAGAGTTGAGCAGGATGTGCCCCAATGGTCTCTTCCAGTTCAAGCAGCTGAAGCTATTTGTACCGAGTACATTCTTGCTCTGGCTAAGTATCTATACGAAGGGGAAGTACGACGGCTATGGACGGACTTGACCGATGGGCTACTTGAAGCTGTCAAACTGTCAGCTCCCGAGCAGTCGAAAGAGTTCAGGTCTTCGCAGGACGCTGTATGCGCGCGATCTGGCCGACTTTTTGCTTTGGAGGCTTCGGTTCTTGCGAGTGTAGCTGATAGCGACTGTAGAGCTCTGCTGTCGAGGGTTTTCGAAGAAACAAACTTGCCACTGCTGGACGGTTGCTTGCAAGTTCTACAATCCCGAAATGGCAAGCCGTATGCAGCAGCTGCTGTTGTTGAAGAAATGATACGCAACGTTGCAGACATCGCACGGCAGTCTCGTGACTTGCCAGAATTTGTTCAAAACGAGGCGTCCAATCTTTTGGCCTCCCCATCAGCGGATCGTCTCATCTCGATCATCTTATCTTGCCGCTCCTGGGACGGGTTCGGTTCCAGCTTCGAGAAAGTAGTCGAGCGGGTAGCGGATTCTGATCTACAGCAGTCAAATGTACAAGCTGTCCAGAAACTACTGTCAACTCTCGATTTCGCAGAAGTGCGTGATAACAAAGGTCTTGATTCCTTGATCAAACAAGCATTGGACCAGGCCTGCAGAGGCAGCCGTTTCCACTGGCCAATCGTGATCGCAGCACTACAAAATCAATCTACCCAAGGCGAATTGGTTGATTCAATTTTTCTTTCTATCATCAATACTTTATCTGACAAAAACAAGCTTTCCGATGCCCTGTTTGGACTCTCTCAGATTGCCGACTCTGTCCCGGATGCGATCAGAGGATTCCAGAGCGGAGCATATGGGTCAAAGCTAGCTGCAAAGCTCCTGTTCCTGACAGAATCTTCTGATGAAGAAGTGGCAAGTCTTGCAGAATCACTCATAGTGAGACTCAAGGAAATTGCAATCGGTGAGACAAGTGCCAAGTCGAGTGTCGAAATTTTGCAGCATAACTTCGACCATGTCAATGCGGAATCGCTCTCGTAAGTTTTGACCAACAGAATGAATGGACGTTTGATGGTTGCTGACGCTTTTCAAGGCTTGGGTCCTTACTCAGCATAGCAGAGGACCTCCTTCAGGCTGTTGACTTCGAGGATATTGGCTCAATCGCCAAAGATATTTTACCTTCTCGTCAATCCTGGGAGAGAGCCATACAGCCGTTCCTAGATCTTCCTCCCCGCTCATCAACGGCTATCACAAACCCACTCGGCGGAACATTGTATTTAGTTCACCGGGATTTATCAGACACATTCAAGGAACAGTATCGCAGTATCCCTCGTGATGCCGGTAATTGTTCATCTGCATTTCGACTCGCATATTTTACTGTTCGAATTCTGTCCTCCTTCGACATAGTGAGCAAGCTTTCGGCAGTAGAGCTGGAGACAATAGCCTACTTTATGCCACTGGTTGTGCAATTGATTGATGATGATTTGAGTATTGAGAATTGCAACGGTATCACTGGGCTATCGCATTCAGATCAACGAGACGAATACATGGAGCTCGTCCATGATGGCCGGAAGATGATCAGCCAGTGGGCGCGCTCGGAAATCCAATCCTTTGGGACGGAAGAGAGCATTTCGTCCATCATTCTTTCGTTCTGGCAAGGCAGACTAGAAGCGTTGGGTAGTACCTCTCCGGCAGACTATCGCATTGGAGAAGCATTTGTGAAGTTGATGAATAGCGTCGATTCACCTGGCAGGAATAAATCCCCTGAAGATATTACCAAGTTGTGCAGGGAAATGCGAACAGCGAACGCCATCAAATCAGCGGCTTGGGTGGCTGTCCTGCGAGACTCGATATTGACCAGCCCAACAGGCATCCGGCTTTGCAACGAATTAGTTGCAGATTCTACCGGTCTTAAGCCGCAAGATGAGAAAAAGGACGGTTAGTGAGGTCGAAAATCGAGCTTATCAACGTTTTGCTAACGCGGCTTAAGGAATTCGAAAGCTGTCCATACTCAACCTTCTTCTGGCAGGAGAAGTTGATGTTGCAGGGACTTTTCCCACTCAGCGTTTGGTCTTCCTTGTCAAGCATCTCGTAAGGTGTCTCCAGTCTGAGGAGTTGCCACTCAGTCTCAAAGCAGAAATCATCCGTACCTTGACCTTCGTCCTTCCCCATTTGAATGAGATTTATGGATCCCACTGGGAAGACTGCATCGATGTTCTGTGCGCGATATGGCACGAAGTCAACGGTGGGGACGATGCTCTACCCCTCATCCTCTCTTCCTTCAGACTGTTTGCAGCTCTCAGGTCAATAGTCGCGGATGAAGACAGCAACGATGAAGTGAAAGATGTCTGGTCGGAGCGAAAGACGGAGCTTTTCAACAATCTAGTCTCGACTCTCGGAAAGCTCGGTAAGTTCAGATGCATACAGTTAGATATGCTGATGCTAATTGACTCTCGAAAGATCATTCTACCACTTTTCATCAGCCACGGGATATCACCGCCGAAGTTCTATGCCGCCTGATCGAAGTTATTCCCGCCGAAAGTCTTGAAGACGTGAACAAGATGTTTTACCTCCTGACTGCAAACAGTCGGGCTGTCCAAAAAGCAGCCTATACGCTTCTTCATCGTTATATCCCTTCAACACAGGAGCAAGTGTCTTTCGACGTGGCTTTATCCAACTCGGTGGCAAGACTTCCTGACGAGCTCATGTCTTTGCTTCTGGAAGCGCCTACAAAAGAATCAATCGCTCTTGCCGAAGACGACGATAGGACATGGACTGGTATCAGGTCATATCTCCTGAGCTGGAACGTGGTATTTGACCACTTTGTCAATGCGGTATGTGTGAGGGCCTATCAGTGGCAGCTCCGTGCTAATCTCGATAACATAGTCTCTCACGGTACAAGAACAATATGTTTCCGGCATCAAAGAAAATGATAGCCTGGGTCCATTGTTGGAATTCATGTTTGATTTGCTTCAGCAATCCCAGGGAAAACTTGTCGATGCCTCGAAGTTTGACATTCGCTCCTTTGAGCTCGATGAGTCAGAAACTCATGAGAAAGAGATACAGTGGCTCCTCGTCCACTTGTACTTCTTGTGCTTGAAGCATCTTGGCAATTTGACTAAGAGCTGGTGGCTTGATACAACGAACCGCATCAAAGGCCCTGTGGAGGCGTGGTCCGAGAAATTTGTAAGACTTGACGTACTAGCATCCGACTACTTGTTCAGAGTGCTAACTATCCAAATCAGGTCTCGCCTCTGATCATTGAGGACTCACTCAAGGGAGTGGACGAATGGATAGCAACCCAGGACCCGAATGAGGAACGCGCTCTGTCAGTGAAGATCGCCCCCAGGACAGCGGAGATCATTGCCAGCATTCCCGTCGACGAGGATTCGCCCCCCGTCGCAATCTCGATCTCTCTCCCGCCCGCATATCCTCTGCAGCCGGCCCTTGTCGTAGGACGGAGCCGGGTGCTAGTCGATGAAAGGAAGTGGAGAAGCTGGCTTCTCACCATCCAGGGTGTGATCATGTTCTCCAACGGTAATCTTGTGGATGGTCTGATGGCATTCCGCAAGAATGTGCAGGGCGCATTGAAGGGTCAGAGCGAGTGTGCCATCTGCTACTCGGTAATCTCGACGGACATGCAGACTCCGAACAAGCGATGCGCCACCTGCAAGAACACCTTCCACTCGGTGTGTTTGTTCCGGTGGTTCAAGAGCAGTAACCAGAGCACCTGTCCTCTGTGCCGGAACAACTTTGTATATGTATGAGATATGGTTGTTAGATAGAGTAGTATAAACGGCGTATTGATCTAGAGTCGTGGAAGGTCAATGATGGCCATTAAAATATATTTTCAAGATCGACGGAAATATAGCCCTGTTTTATATCATCGTTATCTGAGAAATACTTTTTTTTGTTTTTTTTTTTTTTTTTTTTTTTTTTGGCATGGCTATTCGAAGCGATCAAAGGACAGCAGGGCGTCCACGCCGCAAGGAGGCTTGCTGTAGGCTCCAGTGGGTCAAGTATGGCGGGGAGATTGACAACCCCGCCAGTATCATCATCACCGCCCAAAAGCTTCCCTTCTCTGGCCATAGAACCTCTTCCGCCATGTCAGCCCCGCAAATCCCCAACCTGAACACCCTCCGTCGCGGTGGAGGTCGAGGACGCTTACGAGGCCGCGGAGGTACCAGTGCTGGCGAAGACGGCCATGGACTGCGCGCAACAGCAGCCAAAGACCGGGTTGTACAGGGGACAGACAATGACGCCAGTGTCTCCCGGCTGAGTGCAGTGGAAATCGGATACCTGGAGGACCCATTCGCTCGGGCGTCGACATCGCCGGGATCAGAAACGAGAAGACTGCCCATCATCAACAGAGGTAAGTGGCTGCTTTGACTGCGATAGGGACCACTACCACCCTTTCATCCCTCCATGTCTGACTCGGAGATGTCTGCGATTAGGTACATACGTCCGCACCACTGCCATCGACCGCCTCGTTGCGCGATTCCTCGGCCTCGAATCAACGAACAGCACCACCACCGAGACCAGGAAACAAATCATCTCGCTAGGCGCTGGATCAGATACGCGAGTATTCCGTGTCCTCTCCCAGCCAACGGTCCGCAACCTCGTCTACCACGAGATCGACTTCCCCGTAAACACCGCAGCGAAAATCAAGTTTATCCGCGCGGCGCCCCTCCTCCAGCGCGCACTAGGGATTAAGGGCCCCAACGACATATCCATCTCCGACACGGGGGACGCACTGCACACCCCGACCTACCACCTGCATCCGCTTGATCTCCGAACACTCGCCGCGTCCGCGTCCACATCAGCAGAGCCAGCCGCGCCTCCACCTCCCCCCTCGCTCCCCGACATCGACCCAACCCTTCCCACCCTCCTCATTTCAGAATGCTGTCTGATCTACCTGTCCCCGCGCGAAGCCGCCAACGTCGTGGACTACTTCACGAAGATGCTGTTCCCGGCGCGCGTGCCGCTAGGCTTGGTCCTGTACGAGCCTATCCGACCGGACGACGCCTTCGGGCGCACGATGGTGGCTAATCTTGCGACGCGCGGGATCCAGCTGCAGACGCTGCATGAGTATGCGTCTTTGGAGGCACAGCGGCGACGGCTACGCGAGCATGGACTCGATGCGGGCCAGGCTGCAGCGGATATCGACTTCATCTGGGAGCGGTGGGTGAGTGAGGCGGAGAAGGAGAGGGTTGCGGGGCTGGAGATGCTGGATGAGCTTGAGGAATGGCGGTTGCTTGCGCGGCATTACTGTGTTGCGTGGGGGTGGAGGAGGGGGGCAGCGGAGGATGCTGTGGGAGTGTTTGATGGTTGGAGGGATATAGAGGGACAGTCGGGGGAGTAGATTTTGGTCTGTTATGCGTGGTTGGGTTGCTACTTGTTCGATCTTCATATGGACGATAATAATGACCGTCAAGAGGCAGCGAACACGACCGGAACCATGGCCGCCAGTTAGAGAACCCGGACCTACTCCACATCTATTAGTAGGGGAGGGGGGGTTATCTAGTCCCCAACCAAGTTACCAACATATAACAAGTTAACAACCCATGGCCCCATGGTTCCTGCTTGAAGATCGTTGATATATGAGTCTCGAAGGTATTCTTTGTTCTCGTCTGATCGAAGCATCCGATTGGCCCCCTTTTTCGCGACAGGCGCAAGTTGTTGCACCGAAAACTCGAATGAGAGTTTAATGGTGTCGGCTAGTGGAACTGTCAATGTGACTGTTGATTATAATTTATAACTATTGCTCGATCATGGTGCAATACTTAGCTTCAGTGTGGGGGCCTTATGAAGCGATGATCCTTATTTTCTGATGGACATTGTCTCTTTGGAGAGAAGGTCCAGTACTCTGTAGTACTACGCTATCTAGGCTGTAGCCATCGTCAACTACTTACTACTAATATCAATGCCCCTCAGCCGCAGCCGCAGCGATACAGTGATGACTGATGAAGACAGACAAAGAGAGTTGCTCAAGGATCCAACATCACACGCACCAGGAGTCAGGAACATACCCGCTGTGATTGGCCGAGATAAAACCCTCCCTTTCCCCACTGGGACTAGTGGGGCACGAACCACCGGGGCAAGATGTTGGATAGTGCTCTAATTGGCTGCAGCTAGCGAGGTCCCCAGCTCGATTGGGAATAGCTTTCAATAGCCTCGAGGTTATCCCAATGAGGAAATCCGTGGCTTCATCAAGCAGAATCACTTACTCCGTACAGTTACGGGGGGCGTTGGACGGAGTTTCGGATTGGTGACTCCCTAGCGCAGGCGCCATACGGTTCAAGTCATCAACTCCAGTCTGGAGTTGGCCTGATTTATGGGCTAACGATGGACTAGAACTAGTTCTCGTGTTGGGCTGGTCCCCCGTCCCTATTTCCTCGCTCACCCCAGTCACTTCTCTTACTTCTCTTTTCCCCATCCATCTCGCTCCTGTCTGGTGGTGGTTCCCTTCTTTTTTCGCTCTTCGGAGTAGTCACTCGTTCTTTTTGGTATTACTGACCATAGTCTTTCGTTCCTGTCGCGTTGAGATTGATTCGGATTCGACTCGATCCCAATCGGCCCACCTCCTCCAACAACTTCAGCGAAGTCGCACTATATGAAAGGAAAAGAATTTGGAAGAATAACGTCAGAATGAAGTTTGATATGGTTACCGGCGCATCGGCGCTGCTATGGCTCATCGCGGGCGTCGAGGCATCCGGACACGCCCGCCTGCATCAATCGAGACATCAACACGGTGGTATCCACTCAGTTGCCGAAGTGGGAGCTCCACTGGAGAAGAGAGGAGGGAAATGCGAGTTTCCTACCGATGCCGGCTTGGTCGCGGTGACTCCGAACATGAAGAACGCCGGCTGGGCCATGAGTCCCGACCAGCCTTGTGAGCCCGGCCACTATTGCCCGTATGCTTGTCCTCCCGGCCAAGTATCGATGCAATGGGACCCCAAAGCCACCTCTTACTCATATCCCAAGTCCATGGTGAGTCGCATCGAAGAAAGTGTCCAAGAGCAATCAAACGATTTCTGACAATCGTGCGCTTCAGAATGGCGGTCTTTATTGCGATGATGACGGCAAGATTCAGAAGCCGTTCCCCAACAAGCCGTATTGTCAGGACGGCACAGGCTCCGTCGGCGCCCGCAACAAGTGCGGCAAACAAGTCGCCTTCTGCCAGACCGTTCTACCTGGAAACGAGGCCATGCTGATTCCCACTCTGGTGGAAGAACTGGCGACACTTGCTGTGCCTGATCTCAGCTATTGGTGTGAAACAGCCGCCCAGTGAGTGCATATGCCCAGAAGAATACGACCACTGTAGAAATCTGACTGTATTCAGCTTCTATATCAATCCCCCGGGTTACGATACCGAAACCGCTTGCGTCTGGGGTACCTCTGACAAACCGATCGGTAACTGGTCACCGTATGTTGCCGGCACGAACACCGATGGAAACGGCAATACGTTCTTGAAGATCGGTTGGAATCCGATTTACCTCGAACCCGCAACGCCTTTCCGCAATGAGATTCCCGAATTCGGTGTCGAGATCGAGTGCGAGGGCGGCGGCTGCAATGGTCTTCCATGCAAAATCGATCCGGCGGTCAACGGTGTCAACGAGATGGTCGGCAGCTCTTCCGTCGGGGCCGGCGGCGCAACATTCTGCGTGGTGACAGTCCCCAAGGGCGAAAAGGCCAATGTTGTCGTTTTCAATAAGTCTGGTGGCGGCGGCGGCGGCGGCGGTGGTGGCTCCTCGTCGACCAAGAAGCCCGAACCCACGACTAAATCCGATCCCACAACTAAGCTCGATCCCACAACTAAGCCCAGCGAGAGCAGCACCAAGACTGCCGCCCCATCCAGCACGGATTCCCCAAGCACGTCGACCGATGCGCCGTCCTCCACCTCCGACGAGCCCTCTAGCACATACTCAAGCGCAAGCTCCACCACCATTACCACCACTACACCTTCCGTGACTAGCGGTCCAAGTCAGAAAGCTAAGGGCTCCAAGAGCGAGTGGCCTTCTGGATCTGCGTCTTCTGAATCTGCGTCGTCTGACCTGCCTTACACGTACGAACCGCAGATGTTTGTTAAACAATCGGTGTCTGTTGGACCTCTTCCGGCAATGACCACTGGATCCGCGCAAGCCAGTCCTACACCGGTTCCTGAGAAAGAAAATGGAAGCGCTGCCAATGCCGCGGTGTCAGTGCTGACACTAGGAATGGGAGCCGTTGCGGCCATCATGGTGAACCTCTAGGTTTAAAAGAAGCATGGCAACTGTACACGTAAGCTGCCAGGCGTGCAGTCTTCCAAGGTCGTCACCAACTTTACTTCAGCTATGAGCTCTCCTTTCTTCTCGTCGAAGTCAACTTCGCGTTATAATTCTCCCCTTTCTTGTTCCTTGTTTTCACTTCTCTGGGATACCCCTTGGTCCTGTTCAACTGGACCACTTTTTCTTATTCGAACCATACCATTCTTCTTGACGACTGACGTTATCTGTATATTGACGACCCTTTAACTTGATTATATTCTCTTCGTCTGCTCATCAGCAGTTTTCTTTTGGTTTTGAGGGCTTTTTTCCCCCCCCTTTGAATGGATGATCTGACACGTTAGCTTGGAGCTCTTGAGTATCGTTGACGATAATGGGTGGACGGGGATTGGACATACCATACTTTTCCTTCTGGAGATATTGTTACTTGAACTGAACTTCTTTTGATAATTTTTGATAATGTCGATAATTAGCTGATCTAAAATAAGGTAGAGCAATGTGATAATCCATAATAAAACCAATCCCTTGGAAGACAGAGATGTATTGGAGTCAGCAACCTTATCGAGACTTATCAGTTGATCAACATCCGCCTTGCACCTGCACATCTCAACTCCCCCCCCCAATTCCAACATCAATCTCTCCATCAGCAACATTCAACAGCCAAGATGCCTCCTTCAGTACAAACAGTAAGTCCTCCCGTTCATACTCAGTCTTCAACAAATCATTCTTCCCCTACCTTATCATCCTCCACACCCCGGAAAGCCCCCCATTGCCTTACCCCGCATTCACCATCCTCCCATGCATCCAAGGCAACACACCTCCCCGGACAAACAAACTAAGTAACCACCATCACCACACCAGAACAAACTCACCTCAACCCTGCGCCTTCTCATCCCGCGCCTCCGCCTCCTCCAGAAGAAAGACACCGCGTCCTCCGTCATCCAGCGCCGCGAACTCGCCCACCTCCTCGACGAAGGCCGCGAATCGTCCGCCCGCATCCGCGTCGAGAATGTCATTGCCACCGACATCGCCGTCGAGGTCATGGAGATGGTCGAGCTGTACTGCGAGCTGCTCCTCGCGCGCGCCAACGTACTCGATCAGGTCGCGTTCGGCGAGAAGGGCGCCCGTGCGCGCAGTCGCGCCAAGGAAGCCCTAAAGGCCGGGCAGGGTCATCGTCAGCCTCAGCGGCAGAGCGCGAGCCCCGCACCGGCCCAGGTGGATACGAGCACGTCCTCGAAATCCTTCCTCGGCTTCTCGCTATGGGGGTCGGGGTCGGGGTCGAAGAAGCAGGCCGGGGCTTCGGCTCCTGCTGCGGATGTGGATGCGGATGCGTCGACGTTGCGAGGACGCAAGACCGAGGCGGAGGAGTCGGAAGAAGTCGCTGCCGCAGAGGCGGACCAGCGCAGTTACATTGACCCCGCGCTCGACGAGGCCGCCGCTGTCATCTTCTACGCCTGGCCGCGCTTCCCGCACGAGGTCCGCGAGCTGACCATGCTGCGCGGCATGCTTGCCGAGCGCTGGGGGAAGGAGTTCATGGCTCTGGCGCAGGACAACAAACTTGAGGACGTGCGAGTGCCGGAGCGGGTCCTGAAGGCGCTGCGCGTGAAGCCGCCGACCCAGGAACTGGTCGACAGCTACCTCCGGGAGATTGCACGGGCGTATGGGAGTTCCTGGGGGGTGGAGGATCAGGCTGAGCTCGGCGGCGCCCCAGAGTTTGTTGATGATGGCGATGGCGATGGCGATGCTGCTATCCCCTCGACCCCATCGCGGCCGACGCTCGCAGAAGCGCGTCGCGCGTCTGAAGCCTCCGAGCTGAACAAGGCAACGCCGCCGCGTGGCTTCCACACTGGAAAGAGCCCTGTCAGCGTTGCGCCGCCGGGACCCCGGTCGGATAACCCGAACCCCCGAGTCAAGGTTCCCGGGAGTGATGTCGAGTCGGAGTCGCAGATTGACGGGCAAAAGCCGCGGAAGAACAATGCTGGTGGTCCGGGTTCGATACCGGAGCTGGACGAGTTGACTCGAAGATTCGCAGCGTTGCGCCGGTAAACCTAGAAGTTGAGACATTGAGCGAGATGGGTCACGTCGGACGATTGACGAATTGAAACGCATGTTGATGTTGATACGAGGTCTACGTTATTGTCTATGGTCGAGCATACCTCAAATCCGGTAATAATGAGAAGGTTAAATTCATGAAATATTATTTGTATCTGATGCATAGATACAGTCATCTATAATCTAGCCCGAAGCGGCCATGTGCCTTCATCGCTTCGTGCATGAGAAGGCCCCCCGTGAACGCAATGAGAGAGAACAAGTCATATACACAGAGAAGCGAAGAAGAGCCCTGCGGGAAACGAAGCCGTGACGAAGCCGTGAAGGCCAGTTCTTCGGCCCAGTCCAACAGTTCATGTACAACAGACAGTTCTCGCTGCCTGGCATCGTCCAGTCAACTGGACAATTAATATGAGCAAACTTGCGAAGAGCAAAAATGACGCAAGCAAGTGAACACGAATATGGTGAGCCACAAAACGGTATAACCCCGACAGGACACCAGACTATGCATGTGCCCGAAACATATGTACAGAGCAAGGTAAGGTAAAAAAAAAAAAAAAAGTGCGAGAACAGAAACAACTCAATGGATGTCTTCTTCCTCCCCGGGAAGAAGAACCTCATGGCCAGAACCTTCGTAAACAAAGATCGCGGCTATGCATCCGAAAACAGACACGAGGGCTATCAGCCACCAGGCGAAGCCCACCATTCCGATTTCTAGACCATATCCGTACCAAGCCCCAGAGAAGATGGGGCCGATGGTGCGGAAGGCCGAAGAGACTGACTGCCCGATGCCGTGCATCGTACCGAGCACCGAAGGATGTGGTGAACAGTTGTTGAGAAGAATGATCGAGGTCGGGAGTGTAAATGTCCGCGCGGTGACCTGCAGGAAGAGGACGACGATAATGGAAAACCAGACCCATGGGCCATTGGCTTGTCCGGGAGGAGCCGTAGTGGATGGCGCAAGCGCGATATATGGCGCAAAAGCATAGGCCAGGGGGAAGAGAGAGAGAAAGTACCGGTAGCTCTTGGCCGTACCCAGACGGCCATTGATAGAAGGATAGATGGTAAATTGGAGGAGCATGCCAATTACACCAAGGATAGCGGTCGCGAATCCAACACTCTGCGGCAACATGCCCAACCCACCGGTGAAGATGAAAGGGAGTTCCTGGGCAGGACTGGCGGGGTCGCTGGAGTCATATCGCGGGGTCGAGAGGAAAAGCAGCCAGAGATTGTTGAAGGCACTGTGAACGATGTCATTATACATGCACACACGAGTCGAAAGAAGTGCAATACATACCCCATCTGGAAATCGAAGAACGCCTGGGCTAAAAGAGTGCACAGAACATTCTTCGTCCAAATGCGCCGGAAAGGCAACACACGCGCATTTCTTCTAGAGTTGGTGGCCTTTTCTTCCAGTTCGTAGCTTTCGGTAGGATCGGTTGGTCGGCTCAGCAGCGGTCCTTCCTCGTCATAGTCGGAGAAAGGGATTCTGGTATACAGGGGTGATGAGGAAGGAACAACGGCCTTCAGACCACGGGCGAACAGTTTCAACGCAAAAGCGCCCAGGCCAGGTTTTCCCTTGCATGCTTGCAACGTTTCGTCCAGTCCCATGCCGACGCAAACGGCGCAGGTTGTCAATAAGAAGGCATTGGCCAGCATTGGCAATGCATACGGATACTTTATCAGCCATTGCACACCAGCCGCACCTCCAAAGGACGAATTGGTGCCAAACAGCCTCGGATAGCTCTTGACCGGATCGGCAAGCATGCCTCCCATAACTGGAACCATGGGAATTAGCAATCATCATCTTCGAGGGGACTACCATCGGTCAACGAGTCGACTCACCTGGGCCAAACAGCGCAGCGATATTGAACCCAATGGGAAGGATCAAGAAGGCCCGAGAATGGTATTTCCTCTCCTTAACATTCTCTGCGATCATTGTCCGAACGATCCCCACTGTTCCGTTGATCGCACCACTAAACGAACGCCAAAACACGGCCTGCGCGAATGACGTCGAAAAGGCAACACCCAGGCAGGATACTGCCGTGCCTATCAACCCCACCAACAAAACAAATTTACGACCACCCCACTCAGCATCTGCCACTCGACCCCAGGGTATCGCAGTCGCGAATTGTGCGGCCGTGAAAGCACCCTGAAGAATTCCAGCTTGTGTAGACACGTCGGAGTCGGAGAGCGTTTCGTCGAAGGATTTGAGCTGGTAGAACATGTACGCTTGTAACGAGGCGATCTGCAAGAAGTCGAAGACGCGACACAGACCCAGCAACGCCAGCTGCTTCTTCCTAGGCAACGACATCCAGGTGACGGGCCCGCCGCGGGTCGCTGGACCTCCAGCAACATGTCTCTGTTGTTGTTGTTGTTGATGTTGCATAGCGTTGGCCTGTGTGATACTCTGGGAATGATTGCGGGTGTGACCTCGATGCCATCCTGACGAGGTGCTCTTCATAGCCATATTGGGGTGGTCGAAGGATGAAGGAGGAGACGAGCCCTCAGAGAGGTCGGCGAGATCGGCGAGTGAGAGGTTCGATTCTCGTCGGCGCCGTGTGTGAGGGTGATAAGCGGGAAAGGAAGGTTCGCCGCCTTGATCGTGACCGGATGTCCAAGAAGTCGCCCGGGTATGGCGAGCATCCCGATTTTTGCTGCCGCTGCTGCTGCTGTTGCTGTTGTTATTGTTCTTGATGACGATGGCAGGTTGATGTTGAGAATAATTATTACTATTATTGGTGGTGGTAAAAGCCGTCGAAGTCGGATTGGAAGCGATAGGAGTGGAGGAGGAAAGACTGGTTACGGATTGCCGCCGGCTACCTTGGGAAGCCCTTAACTGGACAGGCATGAGGATGGAGATGCTTCAGAGCGATCTGATAGGGCGCCGGCTGAGGCGAGCTGGAACTACTCCGGAGTAGGCCGATTATGAAGTCGATGGTAAGACAAGTATCGAAATAAAGAGTGAAAAGAAATAAGAACTAGTGAAGCATCTGCCTGCAGGCTGTATGCCGTATGGAGTACGTAGTGGTGAGGCTTTACAAGAGGAGGGGCCACAGAACGCAGTGCTGGGGGGTGACGACAGCTGTAAAGCACCAGAGCGCATGAACGAGAATGGTTGATTTAACAGGGGGGAAAAGAGCGCGAAGTTGATGAAAAGACTGACTGCTACAGAAGAATTAAGAAAAAAAAAAAAAAAAAAAACAACCAAAAAGGCAGAAGAGAGCGAACTTCATCCAGGAGATGAAACGGGTGTCAATCATCAAGAATTAATCTTTACTGGGCGTAAGCGGAACGGAGTCGGTAGAGGACGACGGAGTAGATAGGCGATCCTTGAGGAATACAACCGATGCCAATAATAAAAATAAGAATAATAATAATAACAAGTGTGATTCTCCATCCTCTGTTCAACTCCGAAGTGCCTCACCAGCTTCATATCCTTCTGTCCCAAGTCCAACGCCTACCTACATAGTTACCTAGGTACCTAGGTAGTACCTGTGTGGACTTCTCCAAATGCCAAGTCTGTATAGAAGTTTCATCAGCACTGTATTCTGTGACTGAGAGGATATCCATCGCAGCATACCCCACTGTGATTAATTGTTTCTGGTATCCGCCAAGAGAATGCTAGATCCACTGATCCTTGGCTTTGACTAAACTCTTTTGATATTCTAGTAATCTACACAGTACTATAGGACCCATGGAAAGGCTGGATGTACGGAATATAACAATTGGTATTTTATTCAGGAACTGGACTTCTCCACTGTAAAGTGTAATCTCCTTTGCTGGTTTGGTGGAATCCATGAGAGTATATATATGAAAGTATCCGTAGACGTTGCTCAGTGACAAGAGGTAAAAGCTCAAAAGCATCCATATTTGGGTGGAGGTCGAACTATCTGATCAGTATCTACTTTTTTTTTTCTTTTTCTTTTTCTGCAAAGTAAAAAGAAAAGAAAAAAAGATACGTATGGACTTACGTACTCAGTACTTATGTATATACTCCGTACATCCTCCAGCTGTCGCGCGGTCAACGGCAGTGCAGATCGCTTTGACAGCAACGCTGCAGACAAAGAGGGCCTTCCATACGTCAGCATCGACACACGAGTCATTTGTACGCGAGTATTTGCCCATACGACGAACGGAAAACATGGAAAAGATATATATATATATATATATATAGGTATATTTTTCGTTCGTTCGGCCCTATGTACTGTCACGGCATGACAGAACGGTTCCATATCAATCCGTCAGGTATTGTCGTGCCGGATCATTCATCATCCCTACTTTTGCATATGCAAGAATATAGATAGCATTATGAGCATAATACTGGGTATCATAGTAGAATTTTATTCACGATGTGTCAAATCATACATCACTCCCGTGCCGTTGCGTCCTTGGCTCCGACAAGGGAAAGTAGTGTGGCGGATCGTTCGGAGCATCTATCCATCGCCGCCAGTTCCACCAGGGCAATCGAGCAGCATCTGGAGAAATCTTCTGGTCATTTGTCCCGTTCGCCACTTCGGATGAAGCTCTGTCTCGTTGGCGCTGGGGTTTTCGTCGATATACCCGGAGAATCACAAAGATGCCAATCGTAACGCCGCCAACTAATAGTACAGGAACAACCCATCCAGCTTTTCCTACAAGACATGTGTCAGCTAACTCAAACGAAATCACAGTGCACAACTATGTATGGCCTATGAGCCGAACTTACCGTATGTGGCCTTGGACCCAGCCGAAGGAGAGGATGAAGGCGCTGGAGCACCCGGCTGCCCCAGGTTGTTATGCGACGCCGGGTGCTTGGGATCAACCCACGGCACGCTATTGATTCCCACGGAAGGGATAAAGGGCTGTGGCTCCTCCTCGCCAGGAAGCCCGAATGCTGGCGCATTTGCGCAGAAACTGTCCGCACAGTAACCCTGCATATCGGCCGGTGGCGTGAAGGTGAATTGCTTCCGGGACGTGCCCAGAACCGCGCCCTGCTTATCCACGGCCTCCGCGTACGACCAGAGGTAGAAGGTCTGATTGGTGTAAGTGGTCTCGAAGCCATTCTTTCTGATCTGCCGCAAGAGAGTGTACGGGCCGGTGGGGTTGTCAGAGCCGTAGAAGCGCCAGTACTTCACGCGTGTGGCGCCATTCCAGCTCACATAGAAGGTGGTCGGGGACATCGCATCGGGCGATTTGGCGTACGTCCAGAGCGCCGGCACATCGGTCGGGTTGCCCTCCCATTCGAATTTCAATGCGCGATAGTTCATGATCCTATCCTTGTCGATGTAACCCCAGAAAAGAAGGTTCCCCTGCTCATCGTGCTCGGAGATATACGCATTGTTACCCCAGCCTATGAAGGCATTGCGATTCGGCAGCACCTGGAGGTTGCCTTGGCTGGAGCTAATCATTTCTTCATCAAATGGCTTGTACTCGCGGACTTGTGTCGCTGTCTTGGCCACGTGGTCGATGAGGATGATCATCCCGGATGAAAAGTCATGCGTCTGGTTGTACCCGTTGTAGCCGTTGTTGTACAGCGATAGCAGCGTATGGGTACTGTTCTCGCTGAGCCATCGCGCATCGTGCTGCTGCGAGAAGCTAAAATTGATATTCTTGAACGATGGGTGCGCTCCGTGTAATCGCCAGAGTATCGACCCGTCCTTGCCGGAGATCTTGTAGATGCAACTCGTATGGCGCGAGGATATCAAATAATCTCCGTCCTTGTTCTTGTCGACGGAGTTGATGTGGAAGTAGTCCCATGGCGAACGCGGTTCCAGCCCAGTGCCCGATGTGTCCGTGTGGGCAGGGTAGGTGTAACTGTCCGACGGGTCAACATGATCGAGAGACCGCCACTCGAATAAGACCTTGTTCGTTTCCACATCGATCTCCTGGAAGATGCTCTCCATCAACCAGCCCATGCCCGTTCGAACATTCCAGAGGCTCATGTCGAACTGCCGCTGCTGATACACCGTCATCAACGCCGTCTCGCCGCCGTTCACCAGCTTAAATTCGTGCATGTCGCTAGAGGCGATTCCACCCCCTGGGACAACAGTCTTGACGATGCGATATCGATTGTCCATGATGACCCCATGGCCCCTACAGTATCCATTTTGCTGAACACCCTGAAAGAAACACAAGTGATTTGTGTCCTTGTAGTTGCAGACGTGCATGCCATGGGCGTTCCCCGGGCCTGAATTGCCCCAACCGCTCCATACTAAATTCTGACCGAAATATTAATCCAGCTGCACAACCACACAATCCCGGATGCGATTGCATTCCTTACCCCTTCGGTATCGTAGATATATGGCCCAGAATTATCCGCCTCGTATGGACCGAGGAAAATGTAGCCAGGACTGAGCTTATCGGGTACGTTATGTTCGACCGTGAAGACTGGCGGATATAGATCGGGCCTCTTTAAAGGGCGCCATTCATGATAAATTAGCTGTCTCTCATTTCAATTTAGATTCCGGCCATCCCCGCATGTCCATACAGCCCTTCTAACCCCAAAAAAACTTACCGATTGGAATTCTGAATCAATTTCTGCAATGGCTTGATCGGAGCATCCTAGCAGCATTATCAGAAGGCATGCCGATATGGCCTGGAAGGCCAATGAGGGAGCCCATCCTCCGGAAATGTGAGTAGGATTGATCATCATGGGTACATGTCCCTCCGGTTCGGAACCTCCGACGGGAGGAAGAAAGGAAGCAAGGAGACGACGGAGATGTTGAAACTTCGGGAAAGATAGTCGCAGATATGCAGAAAAGAGTAAAAAGAGCAGTAGGTCAAAGATATACAGGGGTATTGTTGATATACACAAAACCCTCTCCTCCGGGGAGAGATGATACACAGGCCAACGATCTGCAGAGAATCAGGAGACAATACAGAAAATCCAACACTTTTTTTGAAGGGTTTCGACAACAGGATCACAGCCTACACATTGGAACTACATATTTGGTCTAAGGCACTAACTAGATACTGCTTTGTGCCTCAAGGTAACGCCGAGAGAAGTACAGATATTGTCTCCAGGCTTCTTCCGGATCCAAGCCGATATCAGTTCGAGCAATGGGTCTTGGGACATAAATTGCCAGCTACGTATCATCATTGGCCTGGTCAAATTACGCAGGGCTCTAGGAATGGAACGATGGAAGTACATGGTTCATCATTCACATTGCCATTGCCATTGCCATGGCCCATGGGCATGCAAATATCTCCACAGTCCGCAGCGATACTCCAGCAATCCATAGTGACAAATCATTGATAACCACTGACTGTATGGAGTACGGGGCTATCTACTGACTACGGAGTACTGACTTCTTGGATCTTTATTGATTACTGATGAGTAAAGGAAGGGCAAACTCACTCTGAGAATGTATCAGCCTGCTGTGACTAAAAAGATAGGTAGAGACGGTCACTATTTTCGTGAATAATTGCATGTTTAATATATGCTGCAGGTGCGATAAACTAATTCAGCAAAAATGCATTTTGAATGTATTTATGGAAACAGATTACTTCTATCTCAGTCTCCTATATCCCTCCTCGCCCTTTATCAAAGCCCATCACGTCTGGTAAGCTTTATTCAAACATATCATATCAGCCATATTCAACACAAACAAAAAGTTGAACTTTGGTTACGGACATCATCATCAGTTACAATCTCATTACAACTCCCTTCACCAGTGTATATAATACACCCATACCATACCCGTATATAATTCCAATCCTCCCGTATCAATCTCGTAAATCTCTCCCCCATTGAAGCCGAGAAAACCACCACCTTCTCGGGAAGCGTCACTAACCCGCATACCTTCCGCATATCGCATTAGTATTACGCTGCAACGCCCATCCCTAAGCGCCAGCGCCACGCTTTTCTGGGTTTAGCCGGGGGTCACAGTGTCAGTAGCGGCCTCTGTGGCTGGGAACGTCCGCTCCACCTCGCTTCGGTAACTTGTCAGGCAATGGGGTGGAAAACTAGACTAGGGGCCAGAACAAACTACTCTACAGCAAGATAGGTCGAGGGATTCGTAAGTCTGCTGCAGAGATGTATGTGGGTGACGTACCCGAGTACGTACACTCAGGAGAGGCGCAAGCGCTGAGAATCTAGCCAGGGAGATAGAGCACCAAATGGGATGTTGATTCCAGTTGGAACTACTGCGTTCATACGTATACAGCTTCTCTTCCGGAGTCCGGGCAGTGTAGCTGTGTAGGTATGCAGATTCGGACACCATCAGCATTCGTATTCCTAATCTAAATAAACAAGCCACAAGAATTCATGATTACCGAACTAACTACGCAAGTTGATATTATCTAGACTAGGTAGATAGACAGCGAGGGGGAGCACAGGTTCGCTTCTCTTCCCAGCAAATTGCAGATGGCCATGTCCCCGGGTATCCGGCATGGCCCACATGGCACACCCGCAACATATCAATAACAATTGTTGGGATTTGGGGCTCACTACTCAGTTATGTGCCCCCTTATAAAATACATTGTGTTTGCCTCGAGAGCCCAGTTCAACCAAGACGCCACGACTGTAGCCAAGCAGACCATCTCTCGCGGCGCCTAGTTCGGCAGCAAATAGGGCTGCCAAGTCTCCCAGTCCCAGGTCTGCGTCTTGGCCAAGGCGGGTGGACGGCTTTCCGACGTTGAGAATAATTATAACTGGAGATGCTGGGCCCCCGGGGGCCCGGAATCCTGCATGATAGCGAGTGCCGAGTCTCTCCTGTGCATGCTACAGCGGCCAAGACAGCGGCAAGGCTGAACGAAAGAGGAATTGATAGGCCAAATATGGAGTAATGTGCATTCTTTATTCATTCATCTTGAAATGCCTAGCTAGGCAGCAACAATTCGCATGTACCTGTGGTCGAAAATCCTTTGAACACCCCCTTTTTTAAACAGAGTCCCAACATCGAAGGCCAAGAGGCCTTCTCCACCGTCCCGGTCATAGATGATAGATCAGAAAACAACAAATGATAGAATGAAAGATAGGTTCGTTGTGCTGCATTCGGGGGTAAGAAAAAACCGAAAGGGAGGCAACAAATTGGAAAAAAAAAGGCTAAACAAAGAGATCAGAGAAGCAGTAAAAATTAGAAAACCAAACATAAATATGTTCAAACGAAGAGATTAAAGTAATTGGATCAGGAGCTTGGAGCGTGGGTCAAATGGAAGCTCCAGCAGCAAGTTTTGTCAATGGCGCCAGCACCCATGACAAGGAGATATTGGTGAATCGGTCGAAGAATGATTACCGGGAGAAGCGCTTGAACATCATGGCTGCGGCCATTCCAGTTGCCAGCAAAGCTCCACCCATGGCGACAGCCTGAAAAGCAGCGTTCATCATCTGGCGTCGGTTACGGGTACGGCATCGGTTGAAGAAGTCTGCCATGTCATTTCCGCGGGGGAAGGGAGTGTCAGGGACATCTTCGCCCAGGAACTCGCACAGCGGTCCCCAGCCATCCTTGATCTGGTACTCAAGCAATCTCTCAGGAGGAACCAGGCTGCGGATTTCTGCAACATGGTCGAGATAGACCTGCTTGCCCTTGTTGGGGAAGTCGCCGCGGAAGAATGTTTCGAAGAACTTGTTCAGCATGGGGTAGTACATGCTGGCGGCCCAGCTGAAGTGGGAAACTAAGCGGTGCTCGGGGTCAGTGACACGCCAGTAGACGGTCTTCATGACGGAACTGCGACAGGTTAGATTCCAGGTATCCTTTCGAGTATAGACGCGGATTTACATACGCATGCCACGAATCCACATCACGGGTCGACAGAATGACCTTAGCGTTGGGGTAGGCTTCGATCAACTCCTTCGCAAAGGCACAGGCAGGCCAGTCGCAAACAGCCTGGGGAAGGTATTAGCGCAACCTGATTCTTGCTGGTGGTAGTTCAATCAGCATCATACCTGGCAATCCCCCAGCAGCTGATCCCACTCCTTTCTTCCAAACTCACCAACACCATCGTACTTGGCGGCAAGCGCATCGTGCCACATCAGACAGTCGGGGGGGTTCTCTACACTGGCGGACATCATGTGGTAGCATTTGACGTATCCCAGTCTCTCAAGGGCAATGCGAAGAGCTAACAGCAGGTCAGCCAAAGTCCACCACTACTGCAAACCCGTAAGGTGAGACATACAGGCTGTGCCAGTTCTTCCTACACCCAGAGCAAGGACCTTCATAGGCACTGTGCGGTGGCATTTTCTGCGATCAATGCAGGTATCGCTGGTGAAGATGTCTGTGGCAGGCTGAGGAGCCAGGTTATCGGCGTGTATCAACGACATTGTGTATGGATGGGAGAGTTTCGAAGTCTATGGTGTCTTTTGAGGTGTGATACAAGCAGAACTGTCTGATAACGAAAGTATACGGCAGTAGAATTGACGCTCTAAGGTAAAGGATGGACAACGGCACAACAGAAGAGCGAGAGAAGAAGGTAAACGGCCGTTTGAGAAGAAAAGCGAATGTCCAGAGTAATAAAATAGGTGATGAAGAGTCTACGGAGTGATTAATTAAAAAAGGGAGACTCTCTTCTGAAGTGCAGATCAATAATAAGAAACAGATAGGAAACTACCTAGATCAGTAGGTATCTTTTCCAGAAAAAAAATAGCTGGTGCGTAGATGCCAAGGCGTTTGTAACAGATGGAACAGTAAATGGGCGGGAATACTATTGATGATCTGACCAATCCAATTAGAATACTTACTCTGTTACAAGTGCACTGGGCCGACGGGGTTGTTCCTGGAGCAATTTACTTGCAGCCCGTCCTCAATCCTTAGTGACCTTACCCCAAGCCTCTTACTACTACTCCGTAGGTAGTAGTACCTACGGAGTAGATATTTCCTGTTCAATAATAGCGTGTGGCAACTCTGAAGCATAATTCAATTATTTTGATTTTGATTTTTCTTCGGTTTCTCGTGCTCGATCACGCTGTCTCTTGCCTCTGTTGTCGCCCTGATCCATTGAATTCTAGGGATTGAACCTTGATCTCCCCTATGTGGCTGTTCACTACTTCACTGTTTCCTCGGTTCTCTCTAGCGGCCGCCCTCTCAACCTTCCGCCCACATTCTGGGTAGTCGAACTGATACCGATGGCTGATAAGAACGTCACAGGTATCGAAGAGAGACAAAATGACGATACCTATTGGGTTTCAGTAATAACTCCGTTTTCTCTGATAGGTGTCTCATCAACACACTGATAGATAGATAGGCGCTTCAGATAATGCATGGCTGTTGGTTGATGGCTGGACGCAAATACTACACTACGTACTGCGTATGCTGCCCCCCTCCTTCTGTGACTTGATGGCGGGGCAATTGGACGGAGAAAACCACTTGAATGGGCCTCTCAGAGCAAGCAGAAGAGCCCTGCCAAAAACTCTGGGCTGCAGACTCAGAGATCGGCCGCGTAGACAACTCGCTTGCCTATCGGTAAAACGGGTTGAGGACTTGAGCTTCCTGGATTGTGTGGAAATGATCCATACGGAATTCCCGGCTCAGTAAGGAATGGCGTTTCCCAATGCTAAGTGGGTGTACTCCGTAGATTGTGGCGCTGACGCGTATCGAGCTTACGGTACGTAAACTTTGAACTCTGAAACGCAGGTACGGCCCCACATGGCTTTTCTTCAACAATCATCCGTGCTGCCGTGCATAAACCGGTATCTATCAATACATAGTACCTCGAAACGAAAGATTGCCTGTCAGGCTCTTTGGCGAGACTCTTTCGAGACTGAGGTAGAGATACTCTAGCTACTTCAGATGGTATCTGGGATTCTGGGTATCCCATTGATATTCGTAGACCTCAGTCTGACCCTCTATCTTGAACAATGCAGCCATTACGTCATTTCCTTGATAGAGTTTCCTGTGCAGGGGTCAGTCGGTTACAGAGTAGTTGTCCCTGTCACAGCACATGAAAACTCCGTGACCGCCGTCGGGACAATCCATGGCGGTCATCAATCGTAAGTTCGTAACGCCTTGTACGGATGGAAACTTGTAACCTGCCAAAACGTCAAGTTTGGGCTGACTACTCCGTAGGTACTAGATACCTAGTCTTGATAGTCCCCGCAAAAGGCCAAAATCACTGTATCCCTATTTCCTTGGTTAAGTTGACGTTTCTAGAACAGGGCCGATATTCCGGCTTAGTGGGCTGGGTCGTCTGTAGCCAGAAGCGAGATGACCTGAACTGGATGCCTGTGCTACGATTAGTTGGCCCTATGTTAGTGGTCGACACTTCGACTTGGCACATTAATCATATAATGGTTCTCTCTTACCCCTTTCTTGAATCAGGACATCTTCCAGTTCCGTGGCGAGTTCAAAGCGGATTTTTGTGCTCCGTGTGCATCCTCTGGTTGCATCTGGCATTTGTTGATCAAATGGATCATCTGTTGACTTGACAAAACCACCACGTCGACCAGGGGTTGGGCTTCTATTCTGGAAAACTAGTCATGAGCTGAAGGCCTGAATGACAAGTGGCAGTGTAGTTCTGAACCGGTGATTCCCCGCTTTCCCGCATGGTAGGTCGATCTATGCTCAAATGATATAGCGGTATGGCCATATCATGAGTTGAACATCGACTATTATGGAGTATCGATGGGCTTTGTTTGAATTCTGCTCCGCTCCATCTTCGTTGATAGTCGCCCCATCACAAATCATCCGAGTTTCATCCTCATTGAGAGCGTTCAGTATGCCGTTGATCGACCTCTTATCAACTCGGCGAACAATATGCTGTCTTCGAAAGCCGGTGGGTAAACGAACCCTCTGGGAGCCAAGAAGCTAAGACGGCCGAGTTTGACGGGTAATCTCTGGAGTGGTAACGATTGTCGGATCGCTTATGAAGTGATGGTGATCTCCGACTGACTCCCGTTTCTGCCACCAAGGCTCCAGCAGTCGGCACGTAACAGACCACGACGTCGATATCATCCCTATCCGTCCGGACTACGGAGGATTCGGCATGTGGTCCAGCGTGTGGAGCAGAAGCTTTTTCCTCAAGCAGTCAATGGCAAGCCGGAGATGCCGTACTTCGCATGCTGAGACGGCAGGGTATCTTTAACGGAATTCAATGCTGGTTGTATTCCGTAAGCATCCTCATGGTACTCTGTAGTAAAAGAACCACAGGCATGAAGGATGCTGGGAGGAAGTCTCTGGTAATCAATAGCTCCTGTAGATCCACAGGAAAAATGGTTGGACATTCTGTCCGTTCTGGTCAGCAATGTTAGCTTTCTATGGCAGCGATTTCTACGGAGTAAACTGAACTGAGAAATCAATCAATACCATATTATCAGTCTATCCAAACCAAGAGTCTTCTTCTACATCAATGAGAAGAATTCTGAGAAGACAATATGGGAAGATAATATATTGAAAGATAAAAAAAAACAACGCTGTGAGAAGGTCTATATTGTGCCTTCTTATACCGGATGCCAAGACATGTTGTCACAATACGTACTACTATCGCAATCGCGAACCTCAATCACCTCACCTGCAACGATCGTGAGGTCCGGCATGAACTCCCCATGTTTCAGACTGCATGGGCTTTAAAGCAGCTACATTGAGCTTCAGAAGTTTAAATGAGCTTAAATGCTGTGGCTTGGTGCATGCAATCGTTGTTGAATCAGTTTTGGGCCTTTGGGGCTGGCATGTCTGACCTTGGTATTCCCCGCTAGCCCTGTCGAAACATCACGGCAGTTTTTTCGGCTGTTGCTGGTGAACCTCGTGACTTTGAGGCTCAAGCTCTCATCAATCCTCTTAGGCTGTTACAGACATATAGATGCAAGGCTGGCTTGGCTGGGGCTACCTGAAATGGATATTTCAGAGACTCGGTTTCACAGGCGTGGGTATCGATGTATTCAAGAATTAGGTACAGAGAATTTTGAATAAGATGCAGATATGAACATCGCGAGAAATGCGCCCAAATATGTGACGGATAATATATCAACTCCTCATAACTCCGTGAGATGACCATACCCCGAGGTCATCCTGATGCAAAATAACGACCAGTCCAGCAAGTAAAGGAAAGGCCAAGGGCCTCTATTCGCGATGCCATGATCCTTGATGGCACGCTTTCACTCTAGCTTATCCAGGTGCTCCAGCCTTGTGAGCACAACCTGCTTGCTAGTTTCTTCGATTTCGCCTGCGAGAAAGACCTCATCGAGAATCGCATAAACCTGCGTGCATGATCCAATTAGCTTTGATTCCATGGCCTCTGTCACGACAACTCGCGATTCTTAAGGGAATCTTGGACGACCCAGCAGGAATCCGATGTATACCACACGCACCTTGTAGAAGTTGAAGACCAGGTCCAGCTCACAGACATTGCCAAAAAACTGATCCAGAACCTCGACAAAGAAATGTATAGCCTCCAGGTACGCTAGCTCATTGTCCGTTGCGTCAACGCACACACAGAAGAACAACCCTGCATATCTTCGATACACGACCTTCGTACTCCGCTTGAACTCGACGAAATTTGACTGGTATTTCTGATCTCTGGGGGCGACAAGGCGATGAACCTGATACTCAATCGATTAGTTGTCCGCTCAAATTGTATGAGGCGCATGAGATCGCAAGGCCACGAACCTCGCCCTTGAGTTTCACTTTCTCCTCATCCTAGAATAGACATTAGATCGGCTTATTGCGCTCCCTTGCTAGAGGTTAAAGATAGACTCACGCTGTAAGGCGCATACCACTTGGCCAGGCGCGTCTTACCCCTGTTTCATCCGTTAGGAACGATACGGAGTCAACCGGACGTGGCCAGGCAACTCACTGGCGGTTCTGCACTAATATAAATGATAAAACCATCCTGCTCTTATTTTTTTTTTTTTGTTTTTTTGGCCGGTATGCAAGATTTTAGAAGGCTATGTAGCGGTCAAGAACATACCAGTCAATCCATTTGGCTGAGGTTCTCCGCATCGGTATCAGGGCCTCGATTCTACATTGCCACCACTCACCGCCCATGGTGATTGTGAAAGCAGAAGCTCCCTCCCCCCAGGTATGATGCGCCTTGCGTAAAGGGATATTGCAAGCGACTACGGAGTACTACTGCTGATAGGAGATACCGCAATTAGGGTCTTGTTATATTATCTGATCTACAATGGTGATATTGAAAGGAGAAACGTTTTCTTCCTCAAGCACAAATCCATAAATCGAAATGTCTGAATTTGTATGACACTAGATACTCCTAGGTCAAGGATTTCGTGTCATGTCATTAGAGAAACATCTCATGAACATCCGAGCTCATATCTTCGAGCGTACATTCGCCTTTCACCTGCCAAAGAACCTGACAAGCTTATCAGGAAATCGGGCCTGGAGGGACTTCGAAATATTAGCACAGCTTCCTCAATGAAGGGTGATCAGACTTACTGCAGCAGGACTGTTCGGCGTTACTGGTGCCGTGGAGTCCCTAGCACTTTCACCATTCGATTCGGTATACTCATCATAGTCATCGTCGTCATCGTAATCATAATCTTCACCATAGCTATCCTCGCCCTCAGAATGAGGATAATCTCTTTCAGGGTCCCCATTATAGACAATCCACCATCCAATTCTTTCGCCCGCGGCGTACTTATCTCGAAACTTTGTCAGAGCCTCCAAAGCGGCCGGGTCCAGTGGTGAGTCCTTGGCCAGATCCTCAGGGTTCCAGCTGAGAGCAGGGGCGCGCGCTCCGGGCTCAGAAAGTGTGATCACCTTGGCAGCGACATAGGCGTAGGGCTGGCTGACGGCCATTTCGCTCGTTGTGTCTTCGGGGTCATATTGTTCGATGAATCGCAGGTCCGGCAGATGAGCTACGATATCTGGGTCCGTCTTCTTGAAGCATTCGGTAAGCAAACGATTCGTCTCTGGTTGCTGAACATATTCGGCTGTAGCGTCTTCTAAATTATGGAGAACAATGTAGACTCGAATACCAGTGAAGCCAATGCGTGGCCACCGGAAACCATGGACCATGTAGACGGGCATTGCGGGAACGGAGCTAGATTTGGTTGCTAGATTTCGCGTCTCTGGCTGGAAAGGCGAGGGTGCGATAGCCCGAGTGGAATGTAATGCAACTTCATATTATCCTTGAAGTCGAGAAACAGCCATGTTGTTGCACAAACGGTATGCAGGTGAAAAGGAAGCTTGCTACCTGTCGCATTTAATCCATCGTTTTCTGGGTGGACAGGGGAATTTGGCGCTAATTCAGAACCCCATCAATTGCCCCGAATGGACTGCCACAAATGTAATTGAAGACTCGTCTGTGTCGCTCTGCCTCTGATGACATGATATTTGACTGCTTTCCGGTCTATCTACATGTGGAAGATCTCTGATGACTATTTTTTGAAGGTTAGCTTTAGCGTATGATTATCCCATGCAGAACCCTGCCATGCAGAACCCTGGTAATACTGCATAGCTAATTCTCCGATGAATATTTAGACTAAATTAGTAGAACAAGAACACCCATATTTTTGGTATTGATATCAATTTATTGTAACCTTCCTTTTTGATTTGAAATAGAGAACGTAGACACATTGCATCGGTATCATCATGAGGTCGCTCCATATCCCTTCTGCCAACTGGCATCGAAAGTCGCTTTATCCACAGCAAACTCCCTGATATAGTCCCTTTCCAGATCATGCGCCCTTCTACCAAGCAGCACCAAACTGTGCAATGGCTGACCCATATCTACCTCGGACAATTCCTTGAGTGTACCTGCAACCAATTTCTGGTCAGGGGCTCCAACTCTGGCAGCTCCGATCGCAAGGCTGTCGGGTCCAAAGACGCCCTCCTTTCGTTCTTCCTCGGTCTCCAACATCTGACTCGCGCATTGGGCGACCGTCATATATCTGGGAGGCTCAAAGACCCTGCGTCCTCTGGCCATATTCTCCAACGATTGCTCCTTAACCTTGATATCCAAGAGCACCAGTGTGTGAAGTCCCAGCTGTACATTTTCCTTGACGCGGTCATAGTAGGATGATGGTTTCCAGGTTTCTGTGAAGAAGACCATGCTCACGGTTTGACCGAAGTTGTAGAGTTGCAGGCCTGTGCATCCGATTCCGGACATAATTGAGGCATTCGGGATGACCTTGGATTCGATTCCCATCTCGCGGGCACGGAGGACAAGGTCCGTATGTGTCGTAGCACTTTGACAGTTAGACAACGATCAATGAGTGATAAAAAGGGACAAACGTACCCAAATGGATCGCCCACTACGAGGAATGCGATATCTGTCTTATCGGCTCCAGCCAGAATGTCATCACTGCCAGTCTCAACCAACTCTCTGTCCGCTTCAATGACAGGACGCCCATAGAACGCTTCCTACTGATGCGCCAACCATACTTTAGTCAAGCCGATTTACTTTGCAGTAACAATTCAAAGATTGACTTACTAGCTTCTCTTTGCTCACAAGGAGAATGCTCGTGTAGGCCTCGAGGTAGACACGCTCGGCCCTCTTGACAACCTCCAAGCCTCTGACAGTAATGTCAGTCTCATCAGCAAGCCCAAGACCCACGAGGTACAACATTGTGAATGCGAATAGTCAACAATGAATATTATCTTTCAATCGCTGGACAAGATTCCCCGCCAGAAATTCTGTCTTGTCACCCCACCAAATGCGCCAGGCGGAACGGGGACCGGAACAATTTGATTCCCGGACATCAGGTCCCTGGCCATCTCCGTGGATCTAGATACTCCATAGTAATCGTAGATCAGTTACTTCATCTCTCGATCCTATCATCTCATGTTCTCTGGATCCTAAGATAAAAGGAAGAACCATTGTTGGAGTATTGCCTGACGTAAATTTGAATTTTACACCTTGTTTATGTGTGGTTATTCCCTTGATCAGCTCCAACATGGCCACTGATCGAACGCCCAAGTATCGGCAGGAAATCCAGCAGGTATGTCGACGATGCCCATCCAGTCAATTCCTGCCCGGTCCTCTCAATGGCCTTGGGAGAAAGAGATATTTGGACTTGAAGCACAGGGATACCGTCATGCACCCAGTTCCTGGGCTGTCTGCGACCTTTCATGGTCGTTCGTTGCGTTGCTGGGTTCGGTATAGCATGTGCTTCAAGTCCATTTTGATCAATGTCTTCGCGCCCTCTGATAGTGCTTCGTCGCAAGGCTTGGGGGATCCAAGTATTGGGTTTTCTATGCTCAACACCTGGCCAAACATCTTCTTTTGCACACATCTACCCTGAAGCATCGAATTCCTACTTTCACATATTTTCATCGTCTTCCCCTTCCTATTCTCTACCTCTACACCCCTCTCAAGTCTGAAAGAGCGATGCCGCCTGGAAACGATTTGGTACTCTCAAGTGCTTCTTTTCGTCAACCGGCAGAGCTTCAACATGATGAGGATGAGCCATCTTTTTCCGATTCAGCCATGTCCTCTGAGTCGGATGATAGTTCAGACGAGACTATAATCTCCGGATCTGTGGACCCTCCGGAATCTCAAGAAACAGAGACTCGGGGTAGTGCTGGAGAAGAAATTGACCACCCTGACCTTGACTTTGGAACCATGGCGGATTTCAAGCACAAACTTGCTGACTTTCTTCGTCAGATGATGTTCGTCTCTGGGGAGACTGCCGAACCTTCTGTCGAAACAACAACCTTGATTGAAGAAATTGTCCGCCAGCAAGTTATTGAAATAGTATGGCCTCACCTCTATACGTCCTGGTAGTTTGACTAACAATTTTCTACAGCTCGTGCGAAGCACAACGTTAGCTGCGCGCCGTGGAGTCCGCGCCATCTCTACTGATGATTTAATATTCTTGATTCGACATGACAAGGCTAAAGTGTCGCGTCTCAAAACCTTTCTCTCCTGGAAAGATGTCCGTAAGAACGTCAAAGATTCCGACGACAAAGGCGGCGCCGATGCTGCGGACTTCGCAGGGGCCGATGATCCCATTGCTGGAGGCGTTGTCGCTGGACCCCAGGATGGGCCCTCTAAGCCTAAGAACAAAAGAGCGCGCGTTGGCCTTGCGTGGGATGTGAATAGCTTCTATTCCATCCAGGTGCCCGAACGTGAAGATGAAGAAGATGAAGAAGAAGAGGAGCAGAACTACGCCACCCTTCAGCGTCTTGCAGCAGCGGATGAGCGCACAAAACATATGACTAGGGAAGAATATGTGTTCTGGTCAGAATGCCGTCAAGCATCGTTCACCTACCGCAAAAGCAAGCGTTTCCGGGAGTGGGCTGGCTTTGGTATCGTGACAGAATCGAAACCCAATGACGATATCGTTGACATCCTCGGGTTCTTGACCTTTGAGATTGTCCAGACGCTCACGGAAGAAGCTCTCAAGGTCAAGGAACGCGAGGATCGTGAGAAGATTCGGCGAGGGGGGGCTGAGAGCGGAGCAGGTGAAAACAACAAGAAGCGTAAGCGCGAGACGGGTCTTTTCGATCCTCCTGAGGAGGGACGCACGCCAGTTGAACCTAGACATATTCGTGAGGCTTATCGTAAACTTCAAGCGACCCCGAACAAGAACATTGCGATGCTTCTTCACAATGGCCGTATCCCGCCTCGGATGCCTTTGAGATTGGTAGGTTTTTCGTACCTTCGGAACTGGGCTGGTACTGACATGCATTACAGATTTGATCTCCCTAACCCACCTCTTATTCTTTTTTGCGACTCAAGGCGTTTTGTTGTCCGGCGTCATTGTTATTTTGGGAGAAGCCATGCTACGATAGATACCCACAAGCCATGATTATTGTACGATACCAGATTGCTTCAATTGACACAGGGGCCTGTCCGACTAATTTGAACCACCCTCGAATCAGAATGAAATTTCACATTTGTTATTAACTGATCCGTACGACAGATTCATGCAGTATGAGAAGAAGAAAACCCGTAATAGATCGCCTAATTAGGAGATCGAAGCTCGTGATATCATAATTCGTCTTCAGCAGAATATTGACTTTATTGATGCGTGCGGCGCCCTGCGAACTGTCAGCACATATTGCACAACCCACCTTTGCGAGAGACCTCCAGATCTCCGAGTAAGGAGACAGAAAACACTCACATTCCGCCAACTCCTCCTCACTCAATTCCCTGATACTAGTGATCGCAGGGACATCACCCTTGGCAACGCTCTTGACCGTTTCCACGGCGCGCCCAAGCATCCCCTTACGCGCGAGCGCATACGTCGCCAGCTTCGCCTCGAGCTTGATCACCCCGATGCGGGGATCCTCGGGACCGCCATCATGCACGCCGTCGCCCAGATCACCCAGCCAGGCCTGCAGCGCCGGCGAGTAGTATTTCTTCACGGTCTCCTTGTCGGCGATGATGGCGGCTCTGCCGGAGATGGAGGCCCAGGAGCCGCTCACGGGGTCCAGGAAGGACATGTTGACTTCCTGCGGGTGGGCGGTCAGGTCCATGGTCTTGTTAGAGAAGAGGTTTGTGTGGAAGATGAGGTCGATGCCGCCGTTTTCCTGGAAGATGGGGTGTGGTTGTTAGCGTTCCTTGATCGTTTTGGTTTCGTAGGTGTTGCTTGTGGGCTGGGGAGGCTGAAGGATGTGAAGTACCTTTCCTGCGAGCGCCATACAGCGCGAGGTCAAGAGGTCCTTGTTGGAGATTTGCGTGGTCAGCATGCCGAACTTGGTCTCGGTGATGAAGTTGACCAGGTCCTCGACCTTCTGCGGTAGAGGGGGGTCTTCAAAGCTCTTGGCCTTGTAGGGGTCAATGGGCTTGTTGCCGGTGCTTGTGTTGATGGTGGAGGACATTGTGGTAGTGGTTGATGAGTAGTAGTTGATGTTGCTGTTGTTGTTGTTGTTGTTGGAAGATCAGTTGGGCTTGAGAGATGGAAGGTAGCTAGACGATTGTTGGAACTGGTGGGTTATATATAACACAACGGATAAGAGTATCATCGGATAAGTATTCTGATCACAGATTCGACTGACGTATCGTGAGCTCCTTAAAGGATCAGAGGAACAGGCCCATCCGGAATGTTGGTGATGATGATGATGTTGTTGTTGCATGCAAGCTGGCCCTGGCGTAGCAGTGACGTCAAGGCAGCAATCCCAATTCTGATTTCATCGAGATTTCCCAGTGAACATTATGCATAAACATAGAGGGACTGTGATCATTGCTTTTACGGGGTGATCAATATGGTAGATCGATAAAGAATTATCTATATAACTACAATACTGATCTACATAGAAGATGGGCTAGATTACTTAGTCCTGGTTGAAGTATACAGAAAGACTTTCTGCCAGCTACAAATCACCAATACCACAGACTATTTCAGATAGCTATCCACTTCTAAATTTATTCTCATTCAGGGTGCATATCCTTACATTAGAAGTATTCCTTGTAGGCTATCTATGCAGGTTTTGCACAGTAAGAGTGCTGCACATTAGGGCACATATGTAATATATACATAAAAACCCTTAGCTATCACTCAGTTCTTCAAAGTGAACAAATAACCACAACAAAGATGCCAGGAAGCGCTCAAGCCTCAAAGGTATGGCCTCATGTTGCTCATCCTCTGGGCCAAAACAGGGTCTCTGAAGAGCAGGGGCCAAGAAGTCTCGTGCTCTTATCACAATGCCAGCCCTGGAGCGGATTGTCGTCAGGTGCCAGGTAAACACCATTACAAAGCGTGAAAGCACTAATCAGGCTCTGAAAGACACAGCCTATAAGATCAGCATCAAACGGCACGAGAAGTTTGCTTCAGTCTTGAGCAACTCGCACACTTCAAGATGTAGCCACCACATGCTTAAGGTTTCCCCATTGTGCAAGGCACAGCAAAAGCAACCAAGAGACTCTGGAAAGAAGCCGCAGCTTAACTCTCAGTGTCCCAATGAGATGTTCGTCATCAACCTAGTATGAAGAGCGCAGATGCCTCAAGACTCACTCCGTATAAGGATAGAGCTTGGGCGAAGCCATGGGGTAATTCGACATTCCAGTGATGTCCATCGCACGGTATCTGGTATTGTTGGACAGATGGCACCGTGGATGCAGGTCCCAGGAGTATATCATGATGTCGTCCGGTAGTCCGTCAATGAATAAACCATCTGTGGCCGTCAGCGAGTGCTCAAGTATAACACCAACAGAAAGAGGCTGAATCTACCTCACAATGAGATTCCATAATAGGTTGATGCAAAGAGATATCAGCCCATGAACAAGTCCTACAGCAGACAAGAGTCAGCAATTATGAACACCACAGCATTTCATCGAGGCCTTGCAAGCCTCACGGTGATCGCTCCAGCACAGGAACTATCCTAGGAGGAAGACAAGGCAAACGGACCTTCATATCCCACATATTTGAGGAGCTTCACACGATCTTCCTTCTTCAGCCAGATGGGAACAAGATCCTTCTGGCACGTCCTGCCCTCAATGACCAGGCAGCCGCCTCTTCGCCGAGGGCATTCCCAATGGCGTCGTCTGCGTTCCATGATCCTCCGGATTCTTCGGTTGCAGAATGCCTCGTCTGTCCGAAAGGAGCACTTCTCCAAGGGACATTCCAGCTTATGTTCAAATCGCTGAACCAGCCAGTCGACCTTCAGATGCACGCCGGTATAGACCATAGAGTAGAAATGACGAGAAGTGTGTTTCAGGGCCAGCGCGTCAGGATAAGAAAGATACGAAGATATTTGAAAATGAAGCTCTGTGGGTAGACCCATAAGGAAATGCTTGGGGGAATGTTGTTGCTCTTCACATGGAGACTCCATGGTGGATTGATTGATTGATTAAGGGGGGAGGGGGAATGACTGGAAGAGAAGTGCTTGCTTTGAGAAGAAGGTCCAGAAGAAGCCAAAGACACCGACTTCAGCAGCTATATGAGATAGAATAGAGAATGGGAACCTTGACTTGAGCCCAGGACAAATATATACCAAGACAACAAAGGTGTTGCCTAGATCACTGAAGCAGAGCAACGTGGCTGCACAGCCATGGACAAAATGGATAGATAATACAAGGCGTTTCAACTATTTAAAGCAAAAAGCAAAGCACAGAGCGTCAAAAAAGGCAATTGAACGACGCCCTTGAGTCCCTCTCCTTCCTGTGTTTCCTGTCAAATGGGGGGGTTTCGGACGATTGGAGGATGATAGATGATCGTCCGCTATAAGATGAGGCTTGGAGCCACCCACATCACACAGCGTCTGTACTCTGTACACAAACGATCAATGTGAAACAAGTGGAAAATAGGTACATAGTCAAGATAGAGGGGAGGATGCGAGACTGAGACAGTATGATGCAGGATATCGATCTGCATTTCCCCTCATCTCATGTCTCATGTCCCATGAATCATGATACTTCGACTCGATAAAGGGTTACCTAGTCTGGAGTAGACTATCTACTATCTATCTATCTAGTAGTAGTCCCCTAGGATGAAAGTCAGATAACTGCGGATCTCACCGCCTGCCGCTTTTGGATAATCCTATCACCACCCATTCTTCAACGCTTCGAACTACATCCATTATTATTATTCGCCTCAATTTTAGAACACCTTAGGATCTACCTTACGTCACATCTGTCTATTTTCCAGACTTCCGTATCTGTATAAGATTACCAACCTCAGAAAAGAACAGAACCCCACACTCCCCAAAAGTGCTCCCTCACAAACTTCCTCTCACCATGGCCAGCAAAGGCAACACCGCATACGGCGCGCCCTCATCAGATACCGCCTTCCGCAAGACCTGGGACCGCGAAGAATACGCAAAAAAAGCCGCCGACGAAGAGACCAAGCGCAAGGAAGAAGGCAAGGCACGCTACGAGGCAAAGCTACTCGGCAAAAAATGGCACGCGCCGGTGGATTACAGCTCCCTCGAGGCGACGACATCCCGTAAGCAGCGGCTCGATGTTGCGTCGATGGTGGGAAAGACAACAATCGTGCCGGCGGGATCGGCAGTGGGCAAGAGAGGTCGCGGCGCTGGTTTTTACTGCTCCGACTGTGATCTCACCTTCAAGGACAACCTGCAGCTCGTGGAGCATTTGAACAGCAAACAGCATCTGATCGCCACCGGGCAGAGTGGGGAGGTTGTTCGGGCTGGGCTGGAGGATGTACGACAACGGTTGCGGTTCCTGGCTCATCAGAAGCGAGTTCGGGAGGCAGAGGAACGGCGGGCGTGGCAGCTGGATCTCGGGGAACGATTGAAGGATAGGGAGGAACAGGACGCCAAAGAAAGAGAGGAGAAGAGAAGGAAGAGGAATGAAAAGCGCCGGAAGGGTGGTGAGAACGGGATCAAACAGGAGGATGATGGTTGGGAAGGTCGACTGGGCATCATCGCATGACACAAGGCGTTTGGAAATGGGTCTTTTTGATTGCATCGGAAGGAGGGACACAGTTTGCAGTATACCCAGGCGTTTTATTCGTTTTTACTTTGGACCTCAGCTATCTTTTTCACTGACATAATTCTTCTAGCTCAGACAGAGCAAGGCATCGTGTTGACTGCGTTATGATATGGCAGATCGATTCAAATATAGTATCGCCGAATACTTCAAATAAAATAAAATAAAAGTGGTTATACAAAGACCCATTGTCCATTCGCCTAACACCAGCCCAAACCAGAATCCGAATGCCATGGCATATCAATCAATACATTCAATGCCTTCCAGTGCGTGCATCGCTCGAGCACCTTCCTTCTCAAATTGAGTAACCAGTCTTTCGCATTCACGCTTGAGCTTCTCTTCGCCGTTCTTAGCGTTCCAGAAAATCCATTCTTCGACTGTCATCTTCCTCTCAGGGCTAGTAAGGTCGCCTTTCAGGATGTTGAGACCAGCTCCAACATCGGTGTTCTCTTTATCGCTCATTGATGCATAGAGGACTTCATCGATATTGACAGGAGTCCATGGGTGTACGCTCTTCAATAGCCCGGTATTTGCATTTCGCTTCGATGGCGAGGGTGTGCTAGCCGCCAGAGGAATGCGAACTGCTTTCTCTTTGGATGGCGACGATAGAGGAGCTCGTGCTACTGATCGGTTCACAGTGGGGGGTTTGTTTTCAGCATCAGAGGACTGCGGCGACAAGGAAGGCGTGCTCTTCGATGTGGAAGGAAGGGGGGACACGGTATCGTTTCGCTGGATCCCAACGTGCACCCCAGTCCGCGGTGTCTTGTTGGAATTCGGCGTCCGTGTCTCCGCAATGGATTTTGCAAATTGTTTGTCCTGCGAAATATCACTAAATCTTTCGACTGTCTTGGGTGGTACTTTAGATGAGCGGCGACGGGCAGACGACTGGCTGAGATCTGGTGTATGCTCTGGCTGTGGCTCTCGCTCTGGCGACGGCGATGGCGCGAAATCCGGCTCCTGTTCTTGCTCCGACTCGATCTCCTGCTCTGGCTGATGTTCCAACTCTTGCGCATCTTGCTCGATGAGTTGTTCGGGTACAGGCTCGTCTGGTTGTGGGGATGTCTGTTTTTTGAGGCTGTTTCTTGTTTCCGACCTCTCGCTCGCACGGCTTTCACCCTTGGAAGAGTTTGAGTCCTCGACCTGACTAGTCTTCTTGGTCTTACCTGTTGAGGACTTCTTCTTTGCTTTCTTCACCTGCGGCTCGTCGTCCGTTGGTTGGTCTTTGACATCTAGCCCTGTATTTCTCGTCGTGATCTCCACAGACAAAAAAGATTCATGTCTGCGATCAGGCTCATCATCTGCAGTGTCATTGCGTGACTTTGAGCGACGTTTAGGCTGCTCGGAAACTTTGTCTTCGGATTCCCTTGTTTCTTTTAAGGATTTTGACTTGGTTGTAGACTTAGTAGAGTTTGGTTTTTCGAGCGGTATTTCAGCTTCGATTGATCGTTTGTAGACAAATTCATCGTCATCCGAGGGTACCGGCTGCTCCATAGATTGATCAACGGCATCATAGGACGCCTTGGGAGACTCTTCAACTGTCTTCTTGGCTTTCTTCCTGGATTTGGATTTCTTCGGGAGCGGTTGTGTCTCTGCAGGAGCTGCTTCGGTCATCGCCTCAACCCTGTCGAGATTGGGCTCAATCACCGCGTCAATCTCAGAGTCTTGTGATACATGGGTTTCTAGAGCTGCCTTTGCCAGGGATGAGGTCTCTGACACCTTACGAGCTTTAGAAGATGTCTTTTTCTTAGTAGTAGTGCGGCCCTTCTTGGATTCCTCTTCGCGGGAAATCCTGTCATCCTCCTCGCGCTCACCAGTGGGGGTGGTGTCTCTCTGAACGCTCTCCTCTCGCTGAGCGGTACTGTTGCGTGATTTGGTTGCTCTCTCCTTAGCGGGCGGTTCGGAATGGCGATCGGTTTCGGGAATCACAATGTTCGACTCGTCTCTGTCCATTTCCTCGCTCGTTCTCTTCTTGCCTCTGATGGCTCGCTTCGATTTCGGCTGCTCGGGCTCGACATATTCGGCGGGGTCCACATCCATCTGGCTGTCAACGTCCACTGCGTCATCTTTCTTGGACTTGGCGCTCTTTGATTTAGACTTGGAGGACTTCTTCGTTGTTTTCGTCTTGGCCACTGGCTGAGGTATCTCATCTCCGTCCATCGGATCGTCAAGCCCGACTGTGGGTGCTTCAGAGACTGTAGACTGAGTTGAGAGGCGCGATGAAGCCTTGGAGACACGCGATTTCTTCGATCGGGATCCTTTCGATTTCTTGCCGGGGGGCTGTGCAAAGACGAAAAAAGAACAATCGGCTGAGCGTCGGTAATGTTCATCGCTGGGGAAGTCAATAGCAGCAAAGAAGGAAGGAGCGACAAGATACTGACTAGGGATCATCCTTGGGTTCCCAGCCGTCCAGGGACAGTTTACAATAAGCGCAACTGGCTAAATCATTGCTCTCCTCAGTCGGGCAGAAGTACCAACCACCTTCCACCATCTGTTTCAAGCGAGGGATATTAGATTGCAAATTCATGATCACATGGTCGCCTTGTCGTGATAAAAGATGTTATGCACGCTACCTTTTCAGACTGGCAAACCCATCCCCGCTTCCCATCGTGAGGCCACTGTTCACCAAAAGTGGCTTGTCTTGCCCGTGCTATGTTGTCGCTTGTTGGGTCCTCAATCTCCGCGGGATTCGAGCTATGTTGCTCAATGTCCATCATGATAGCCCATCCGCAGTCTTGGGAATGCTTAAGATGCTCCGTCACCGGGTTATCCTCCGCTTCCCATCCATCGAGCGCGCGCTGACACAAATAACATGTCGTATTATCCGGGTTCGTCTCATATGGATTGTAGTAGAAGCCTGCGTGCGCAAGCTATGGACTGGAAGTCAGTCACAGCACGGAAAATCGGATTATTTTATGGGAAGTAGTACATCAGCTGGTGAGGGCCTGCTATGCGGCCAGGAAATGGGCTTCACGGCTTTTGCGCTTGATGTCCGCCGTCTTTCTGGATGGAGAACCAGGTCGAAGCTGGCCAGACGGGCGGCGAAAGTCTCCATTTCATGAATCATTGTTGGAAAATATACAGACGCATTGAGAAATTGTCGTGATAGAGAATCAAGAAGTGCTGTACATTAGATACATCTAAGTTCGCAGTCGCGGTTGTAATTGTCTGCGACGGTTGCTAAGTGGGGAGTGCGCTCTGTTTACAGTCTTGTTTGGGTCAAGTAGTCAGACGCGGTTGAGGAACACGGTAACACGTGACTGGGGCTTCGTGGGTTCGCATAAGCTGAAGGATTGTAGTCTTCTCACAGAATATCAGGGGACACGAATTGTCTACACTTTGGAGATAGGAGAAGACAATCTAGATTGGTATGTCGCACTATTTGCAGGCATTGTATCTCCTCAGCAATCATATCGCATCTTCTGTTGTTTATCTACAGGCGGTGAACGTTGCTATATCGCGCTTTAAAAAGCTTTGCTTCTTGGCTTGTAGTTTTATCTAGGGCCAACTCTAATGTCTTCTAAACCCCCGATGGTCTAGTTGGATATGGCGTTCGGCTGTAATGTAAAGTGTAACCGAAAGGTCGCCGGCTCGATTCCGGCTCGGGGGACTACAAGACTTCTTTTTTTTCTCGATTCTTATTCGAAGTCCTTTCCCTTCCCTCTCGATTGTATCTTTTTATTAAAAATTTGAAAGTAATCGTTTTTCTGCTAGGCTTGGAAGCAAGGATAACAAATAAAAGGAACACAAAGTGGCCCTGGATTCCTACAAGGCACACTCCCACCGACAATCTGCTGGTATGTGACTCCAATACTCCGTACAGCGGAATAAAACATACAGCCATGCTTGCCCTTCCTCCTCGCCGCTACTGCTGCCTTCAGGCTAGTTGTTATGTCCACATACACTAGCCTCGGTATTGGCTGGCATATTTGAACTGGCAGAGACAAGACTGTCACAGGCGAGACAGGGTATGTGAGAGTGATATCTGCGTCACTGTCCACATCTCATAGAGGACAATCCCCAGATACCCCCAATCTATTACCCAGGAAGCCTTTTGGTTGTTGAGAAGCTCAGGAGCTGGATACTCTAGCGTTCTAGCCTTCTAGGTATAATGTGATCTCCATCCCTGTCCTTCATTCCTTCCAATCTGAGAAGTGCGGGGTTGCATAGACTAACATGACTAGAGGGATCTAGAAAAATGCTCTCTGGCTTTAGAGAGGCAAAAGTGATACATTTATCATGCAGATATTCTAATATGCAAACCAGCTCCGCAGCATAGAATCTAGCCTTGCCAATGTCAAAGAAATTGTCTCTTTGTAAGTGGTCAAAGAGATATCCATTACTAGCCATTGGTGAAGGGAGGCTCATTGAGCCATTTGCCGCTTGAAAAGCAAACTTGAGCGGTGCGATGAAATGGTGGTGGATCGCGGACTAGAGGCTGAGGCTTTGTGCCATATCGATGTCCATGTTAGATTCAAGAACAGCATCATCGTCAACAATGTCAATTATTCTCATGCCATAGCTTCGATTTGTGTCTTTATTTTTAACATGAATGGGATCTAGATCACCATGGCTACTTTCACTATGGACACCCCACACTTCCCATGTCTCCAAGAGTTCTATTCTCTTCTCCGTGTAGGAGATTCCAAGTTGCACTCTCCCCATACCATTCTGATGATCATACCACTTTGGAACCGGAGCCTGAGCTTCCAGGAACGGGTCTATATTGACCGACCCAAGAAATATGATTTGGTGCTTGTATCTCCTCGCCGGCATCGACGCATCGAAGTTGCTGTTCTTGACGAACAAGGACACAGTCAATTCAGAAGAAGCAGAGGCAGGGATCTCAAATTTCACTGGTTTGCGCCATGCTGCCCATTTGCATGCGCCATTATACCGCGTAACCGCCCATCGCCTCGGTAGAGGCCTGGACCCCTTCATATTCAGCAACCGCGTAGGGCATCCATCGCTCCCACACTTCCGAGTCGGTAAGGGTCTCTCTCCAAATCAGATATCTTGAACAGGCCCGAGTTTGGGTTGTATGGTAGCCTCAGACGCTCAGAGAGGCTGGATTTAACAGTCAGGATTTCTGGTCCAAATAGCTTGGGTGTCTGGTCACACATAAAACCGTCGGTCTGGCTTGTATCGAATGATTTGAGCATTGACTCCTTGCACCGTTCTATTCTGAGCGGAGGGAAGAGGGAATATGTGAGGATCTTAATAACCTGATCAGGTGCCTGCATCGACAAAGTTGGGAGTGGATGGTTTGTTTATACTCATGGCTGCTGAAAGACTATGGCTTGTAGAGACACGTGGTTTGATCTATGACCACCGAAAATACATGGGTGTGTGCAAGCGGTCAATTAGCTAGTTCGAGGCGATATATAATACTATCTTCGCAACGGTCGTCCGTATCCCTTTAGAATGTTCAGGTCATTCACTACCCCAAAACCCACACAGACCAGAGTCAGGGTCCTAGTTATACAGCTGTTTGCCTTGTAGAAAGGACAGTGATACTTCGATACGAGCTTCTGTAAGTGCATCTGCGCAAGAGTGGTGCATATCCCTTGATATGACTAGAAACCAGAGATAATCGCTTCACGTCAGTGATAGAACGACTTGTATAGTTTTCAACACACGCGGAGTAGAATAGTGATGTGCTACTTGTTTGGGACGCGTCTATACTAGAAGCTCTTTTCGTGGAGATGTCAGCTCATGGCATGGTGCCAATGTAATTTATAAGATGGTCTGGAGTGACAAAGTAAGATACCAGGCGGTATAAAGTACCTACTATGGACAACAGCATCTTCCCAGCCTGGACGGAAGACAAGCTGCTGAGCTTGGATATAGAGCCAAACAGGGGGTTTAGGTTGTCTACCTAGGTGTCCAGCCAGCCGTCATCTCTTCAACCCCTGATGGTCTAGTTGGATATGGCGTTCGGCTGTAATAGAATAATTGTAACCGAAAGGTCGCCGGCTCGATTCCGGCTCGGGGGACTACGAGATATTTTTTTTTACCCATGCCAGCTATTCAAAATCCTGAACATAGGTGCTCTGTTTATTAAAGGTCCGTCGACTACCTGCTGAATATAGATGTGTATTGCCTTGATGTTGCTCGACGCGGTAAACCCCCAACTCCATGCACAGTGTATAAAAAAGGCTTGAGGATTGGAACCAGATAGGGCCTCAAGCGTTGTGTATACTTTAGTCGGATCAAAACATACTCTCACTAGTCGAAGAGGAGAAGCATCTACGTAGTGAAATTCAAGTTGCCTTGACTCTGTGCACACTTAAATGTCTATACATGTGTCGCGGCAAGGGGGTGGGCCTCAACGAGATCGGGCTGTGATGCATCCGCATGTCTGTGCATGTAGCTAATGTCCGGCGGAATGTATCAGTGTCAATGTCTTCATTCTGCCACCTGGTCGGGGATAAGACACTCGTCTCAAGGCGTCCAATGATGTAGGATTAAAACGGAGGTCCTGCTGGGATACGTAAGTGAGGAAGAGTAAAAAAAGAGGAGAAAAACAATTCTCTGAGTCCCCCGAGCCGGAATCGAGCCGGCGACCTTTCGGTTACAATTATTCTATTACAGCCGAACGCCATATCCAACTAGACCATCAGGGGTTGAAGAGATATTTTACGACGGGGTGCTTTGGTTCATCTATAGGGTGTACTTTTTAAGCGAGAGATCATGCATGTATGGCTTATGCGTCAAATCAATGTAGACTCTCCAGACCAAATTTCACCATACTCTTCAAAAACACCCTTATAATTTGATCAAGAGGGCGTCAAACTTGAGATTGAGCAGAACCCATAGCATTCTTCGGCTCGACCGGGGGGGCAAACGCATATTGATATTCGTTTTGTTGTTGCTTGCGTTTTGCATCGAAGCCTTCGCCGAGCCGACCCACCTGTCTATCCCACGCATCGCTGCACCTCAACCCTCCGGATACACAGGCAAAAAAAAAAGAAACAAGTGACCAGAAATAGGACAGACAAAAAGAAGATCCTGATCCCCCGAGCCGGAATCGAGCCGGCGACCTTTCGGTTACAATTCCCATTACAGCCGAACGCCATATCCAACTAGACCATCAGGGGTTGTGAGGATATCTAGATAGATATCCTCTTGACCTATGTTCCTTCCGGCTGACGTGAGATTGCTCCAGTGTATGGGTGTTTTTGGGCCTTGTGGACAGATCATCTCGGTCTTGCGAGTTGCGGCATGGTCCAGGATCGACCGTGGAAAGTTCCATCTTTTGCTGGCCTAGGGTAGACCGTCCGAGTCCGACAAATGAACCGGTGCCGTGACGAAGATCATACGGAGTAGACAATGGCAATGGAGCTTGGGAGCGATTAGGGTGGTGGACTGGTGGTAGTGGTACAGACTGCAGCCTGCCGGCCAGCCGGCCTGCACAACGTAATCCGCGAAAATCCTTCGTCAAGGGTCATGATCCTGATTGACCAGCCACCGGGCATCTCAGAAGAACTTAAGCGCCAATGCGATCTTCGACGGTATGGGGTTGATTCGGTATATGTCTCATCTCTTGGGACTTGATTTTGGTGATTGAGGGGTGGTTGTCGAACTGTCCAGAGCTGCAGACATAGGTTGGCGAAATTGGTAAGAGTTAGAGAACAACAGGGGGGTAGGGGGGGGGATAAAAGCAAAAATAAACAAAAAGATAACCATTTGTCCCCCGAGCCGGAATCGAGCCGGCGACCTTTCGGTTACACTTTACGTTACAGCCGAACGCCATATCCAACTAGACCATCGGGGGTTTTCTGGTTGAGGGCTTTCAATTTATTGTGGTTACATATAAGATATTTAGTAGTGTTGCAACCAACTGACGTATCTCAATGTTTATGGCGCTTCCGTTTCATTCATTGCATAAAGAGCATAATCTTGTAGTCCAACAATGCAGCAGCTAAGCATGTCGGAGATAAAATAAACCTATCATTCCCGTCAAATGCCTATTTAGAATCATGGTGCATGTGGAATCGTTGACTGTCACTTGGTTGGCGTCATATGATCTGATATATATTTGTCTCTGACACTCTTGGTGTGTCTCAGCGGATACATTCCAATCCCTCCCTGAAATGTTTCCGTCTCGAATGTCGACATGTCGCTTGGTATGAAGTTGCTCCACTGTGTATACCTATCATACCGGAAACGCTCCCCCCAGAAGAGGTAGTAGTAAAGTCGCACTGGAAGTCTCTCGACAGCTCCAATGAACGGCATGATCAATATATGCCATACGGTGAAGGTGTATTGAGTAATGAATCCGCCAAACCGGATCCAAATATGAGTACGAGGCTGCGGTAGAATACCCACAATAGCCAGGAGCATGAGATGACCGCCTGCTTACTGAAGTATCCGAACAAAGACACAGCAACTGCCTTAACATATTTATTAACTGGGTCATAAATCCCGCTAACCAACTAACCAGGCAATACTCCAAGCCAGACCTGAAAGCGCCATGCCGACGCCATCGCTATAACGCAAAGTAAACAAAAGTAACCTGCCAAACCAAAAAACCCAGGTCCAAAAGCCAATCCAAGGATAACATCACTCCAAGAGGATGAAGCAAAGAGATGCCACGTATTCATACACGAGAGAAGGTTGTTTCAGAATCCGCAAGATCTATGTGTCTCTCGAGAGAAGCCCGCCAACATCCTGGAGCTCCACATCATGGGCTCCCTCAAGGACCGGGGCATGGTTATCTGAGTGAGAGCGATACGGAGGGACTGGATCCGCCTGATTTCCGAGGTGGAAATTGGAGCTTATTCGGCGTCCGACAGAGAAGCTACGGCTGGTCAGCCCCCCGGGCCGCGAGAAATTCTGCGGAGAGTTATGTGGTGGAGACAAATGGTTGTTTCCCACGTTTGGGATTGGGGCAGAAAGTAGGCCTCCCACATCCTGCAGAAAAGCCCTGCTACCGCTACGGTATCGGTGCGAGTCCGGACTCAACCCGTGATCGCGCGCAGTACCAGAAGGGGCATGAGAAGCGGGTGTCGAGGTGTCCGACAGGAGTCCGCCGACATCAAAAATGGAGACCTTGCTGGGTGAAGACATGGCCCCGTCGTTGGATCTATTGGGAGGGATTTTGTTGGTTTCGATGTACTCATGGGGGCTGACTTTCAGCTCCAAACTACCAGTAGTCGACGTGCCATCGTCGGATTCCATCGAATGACGACCCTTGCTGAAAGACCAGTTCGGATCCACTGTCCCCGTACGGGCTGTGAAGGGATGATAAGGGACGGCAACTGGGGCTGGGCGGGGAGCTCTGGTGTCTGACTGGCAAAGCTCAGGGTTGAGTCGAATTCCCAAATCGCCAGCAAGATCCGAGTCACTGCCCCACTGATGATGGGTGATGGTTGTACGCCGCATGGTGCTCTGATCCACACTCTCGCTCACCGAAGCGGAACCGATGTCTTTCTTGAACTTGGGCTTCTTGACACCCTTATCGCGAACGAAAGAGCCGATCACCACCGCGTTCGAAACGGCAGTGGCAGCTAGAATTTCCAGCGACGCCAAGAGGGATCGATATTGCTGCGAGCCGTTGTGCCAGATCACCGATGGGACGCGATAGCAAGTGATGCCGACCAGGATCAAAGACAAGGCGAAGAGAATTGCAAGGAACGCCTTGCGCTTTACGGGCATATGGGTCATCAGAACCAGTGGAATGGGGAAGGCGACCAGAAGAAGATCGGTGACGACATCGCATGCCCCCATTGTGATCAGGTTGGCGTAACCCAGGCGACATTGTGGTCCTGGATCTGGGATAACCTGCCAGTAATGGTCGAAGGGATGGCACTCGGCGAGCGTCGCAATCAACACTGCAATCAACGTCGACGCCAGAAAATAGTAGATGATCTGGAGAAAGATCCGAAGCGATCGGCGCCAGATCATTCCCGCAACTCGTTTCAGAAATTCACATACGGTGAATTTAGCAGTCCAGATACTGTGTGATCAAGAAGGATAGAGTTAGTATTGCCTCGAGCAGAGAAGCGACAATCGGATCCGGGGATGCCGTACAAAATAGCATAGAATATACGAGCAGCAAGAACCAACTTGCTGCCGATCTCTCTTTGATGTATATCCTCGGCCGTCAGCCCGGCGGTTTTCGTATTGTTGGTGCCATAGAGCAAGATCACATGGACCAAGGCCATTCGAATAAACAGCGGGATGATGCTGGCCATCATCACCCTATCTTCGGGAAAGAAGCGCTCTGTCCGAATATAGCGACCGCAGACACGGGTAATGATGATGGCGAGGGAGAAACCGGTGGCCCACCAGCTCACCAGCAGCGTGGGGTGAGTGTCTAATCGGGTCTGTAGATCTGGGGGAGTCTCCGCATAGATCCCCCGCGGATCCAGCATCGATAGCTGTGCATCCATAACCGCTGCGCCGCCTCCGAAGAGGGGCCAGGGACTAATAGAGGGCAAGGGCGCCTTGTTCCTGTCCCGCGGTCAACCAGCGATGAATAAATCGGGAGAATATGCCGTGTGGATTCGACGCGTCCAGATCCTATTCACATCACTGAGCTGAAGTATCATTGAGGACCACGGGTCGAACCCAGAGCACGTGCGCGCAACTCTGGGGAAACGATGTGGGGAGAGAGCAGGCGCCAGGCAGAGCAAGGTGAGTGAAATGGTACTGGAGACTGGGGAGAGTTGGAGAAATCGAAGGGACGATTGGAAGATGTTAGGTTCCAGAAAGGATTGTTTAATGAAGAAGAGATGAATGAAAGATGATGTGATTGTCTTGTGTGAATGGCACTTCCCAACAATGATGGATGATATCAGCCGTGTCTGCTCTGGGAAATCAATGACACAACAAATACGAGAGGAGACGAGACGGACTGATCTGACAATGGAGAGAAACAAAGACCACCAGAAGCGTCGGATGCACCGCCGCTTTTTTTTTTTTTTTTTTTTTTTTATATAAAGGACGTTGATCCTGCTGATATATATATGAACGAAGAAGAGCTTCGATAGACTATCTACTACCAATCCCGGCGAGGGGCCTTTAGGAAGCTAAAGGAACTGGCTGACTCTTGGGAGTTGGGAATCTGGATGGCTTGGGAAACCTGGTTGCGCGATGAGCGCCATGCAAAGAGAAGCCCTGGTGGAGATTAAGAGATCAACCCAACCGTCGACTCGAGCCATTTTATTTTACCAAGATAATCACGATCGAATCAACGGGATTGGACGATGTCGAACTTAACCTACCTAGTTAGTCCCCGCGAGGATTTTCTCTCTAACAGTCCAACTATCTAACACCTCAGGTACCAGAGTTCAAAAGGCTAGAGGAGATAAACCAGGATTCGGAAGATAACGCCTGGGGGGGAGGAGGCTGGCCCCGACAGAGCAGACGACTTTCGGTTGCTGATTGATCGGGGGTGAGAAGGGAGCTCGTGTGATGGGACAAAAGGGAGAGGAAGAGAGAGAGAGAGAGAGAGAGAGAGAGAGAGACAGAGACAGAGAGAGAGGAAGAGGAGGAGAAAACAGAAAATGGCAAGGTGAGACTCGGACCACTGGAAGAGGCCAAGTCCCAGAGGGTCAGAGTTTGGAGATAAGTTGGTGGTAACTAATTCGACCAGCCAGGAGGACGCGATAGAGTCAGGGAAGAATTGATGGCGCAGGTGATGGCGTTCTTTTGGAGACTCGAGTCCAAATCAAATCAGGCCTCCCCTCAAGCTTTCCAACCGAGGATGGATGGATTATCTCTCAAGTCTCAGTCCTGGGAATCAATCAATCCATGATGGGATATGGACTGAGAGCTTTCCCTGATCGCTCACTAATTTTCCTTGACTCGCATGATTGATAGTGAGCAAGCAAACATGATTGCGCTCGTGCTTTTCTGATGGACTGCAAGCCATTATTTGAATGACAATTAGCGGAGATAATAATATGTGGTCGATTTCTAGAGTGATGGACTAGCACATACGCATGCAGATTGGATTGCAGACGCTGACTTCCTCGTGTTATTATTCCGCAGCCGGACTGATTGCTCTTCTCCGTCGTAGGTTTGGACTTTTCTTTTGGAGTGAAGTTACCCGATACTACGGAGTAGAGTTTGGACGGTTGGACTAGTCTGACTGACTAGGTATCTTCCACTTGGTTACAACTTACTGTGTACTGCTCCGTAGATACAAGATATCTCGACCATGGGTGATACCCGCTTGGCTCATTTTGGGGCTGCGAGAATGCTTGACTCTGTAGATACTAATGCAATGCAATGTTAGGACTGCGTGGCAACCATCGAGGTCAAATCCCTACTACGTTGATTTAAATCTAGTCCGTGTCACGGTCGACTGATCCATCGCGAAACCCTGCGTCTGTGACACTGACACCACAACCCTTCTGCCAGGCCCATCACCCATTCTCCACGTGGAAAATGCTGACTGCTGTGAGTTTGTGCGATAAACCTAAGACAGATAATCAATCTGGGTGGTTGAGAGAGATGGAGAGAGTACTTCGTAGCATCATCGCCGATCGCGACCCACGAATCCGCAGGAGTAGAACAAACAAACGAACACTCGAATGTGATAGAGGCCGCGAGACAGAGATAACCTCATTGATTCGAGGATACCTAGACTCCTCTCCGAGTCCCTTGTCCTCCGGAGTCCGTACTGCTCTAGTTCTGTTGACTAGTTGGCCTTGGACGAGATAATCGATTCACTCCCAGTGCGTCTGTCTGACTCTGAGACAATCTCTCGACCCTTGCCCTGAGCTAACTGCTAAGCCCATGCAGGCATGCACAGACGGACATGACTCGTCCGGGTCGTACCTGATCTCACTTTCCAACTCTTGACTTTTCCCAAGTACCAGGGGAGATAAGAGTCCAAATGCGAGACATTTGTTGTTGTACAGGGTGGGCCGACTATCACTGCTAGTCCTAGTCCTAGATAACTAGTAGACACCTAAATAGATAGTAGTAGTTGAGCTTGAGCTTATCTGTGTTCTGGACCTTGGACTCTGGTTTCCAGGACCCTGCCATCACAGGGCCGGTTTCCTGTGAATTCGGAGGTTACCGATGGTAAGTATCAGGTGTGCGCACTTATCCCTGTCGGGTAGTCTGGCTGTGCATCGGATCCCAGCTACTGGACCAGATCGAGGAGAGGGGGGAAATGCGAAGAATCTCATAAATCTATAGGTAGGCTAGGCTATAAAAGAAAAGCTCCCCCAAAACACAGCAATGGTCGATAATCAGGCAACAACTTGACTAGCTTCGTTCTCCTTGTTCAACTCGTCTTGGACCGATGGGATTTCCATGCCTTTCAGGATCCTGTCAAGCACATCGCGCAGCTCCTGCAGGAACCGGGTGACCTCCGCCTCGGTTCCGACTGTGATGCGCAGGCAGCCCTCGCATCCGAGCTCCTTGCCTCGGAACCGCACCACGACACCGCGCTTCTCCGCCATGGCCTCGTAGGCGGCCAGGGCGACGACATTGCTGGGCTTCCCCCCTACGCTGGCGGGCTTATCCAGCATCTCCACGAGAAGGAAATTGGATGCCTGTCCGCCGAGCAGGCGGCCCACACCGGGGATCTGGGGGAGCTCTTGTACCATCCGGTCGCGCTGAGCGATGATCTGTTCCCGGTACTGGCGCATGACGGCCATGTTCTTGGGTGCCAATGCGGCGGTCGCGATCGCGCTCGTCGGGCTGGAGATGTTGTAGGGGGCCTTGAGGCTGTTCAGCAGCCGAGCAATCTCCGGACTCGCGAACGCAACTCCGAGACGGATACCCGCAAGTCCAAAAGCCTTGCTCAGCGTCTGCATGACCACCAAATTTGGCCATTCATTCACCCACTCGGCCAGACTGGACCCTTCGGGTGCAAAGTCAATGTATGCCTCGTCCACCACCACCACTCCGTTCCATGTGGGGTGCTCCAGCACCTTCTGGATATCCTCCTTCTTGATCAAGTTCGCCGTGGGGTTGCCAGGCGAGCAGATGTACACCAACTTTATCGCAGAGTCCGCTGATAATTTTTCGCTGATCAGATCTGGCTGCAGTTGGAATCCATTGTTGACGTCCAGAGGCACCTTCACAATCTCGACGTCGTTGACATCGGCGCTGACTGCATACATGCCATAGGTGGGAGGGCATGTGAGAATCTTATCCTTTCCGGGGACGCAAAAGCATCTCAAAAGGGCATCGATGGCCTCGTCGGATCCGACACCAACAAACATGTTCTCCGGGCCCAACTCCTTCGGAGTGTGGACGTGGGTATTGCGGACCTTGCAAAACAGCTTCTTCAGTTCAACCTGGTGTCTGCGACCATATGACCCTGTCAGCTCGTCCATCTGCCCGTGCGTGTGTAGAAATGCGACCGTAGAAAATATTGCGCTTACGGGTCAGGGTATCTATTCAGTCCCAGGAAATCAATGTCTGGCTTTGAAGACCCCGTGGAATCTCCAGTCACCGTAGATTCCGCTAGGGCGCCTTCGGAGTCCAGAGCAAGTCCAGGGCCGTATGCATTTTCGTTCGCATCGAGCAAGATGTTTGTCCCGTCATCTTTGTAGTCACTGAGTTGTTAGGTCCTGGAGCGGCCAAGTGAAGAGATGGTTCAAGGGATGAGCATACTCTCTTGCGCAGCGGTAAGGCTGCAATTTCAGGATATTTGGCCGCGCGCATTTGGAAAGATCGAACGGTGATGTTCTTGTAGCCATTGTGACGGTTTGAATGATGGAATGATGAGAATTTTTGAGATCTCAAGGTGGTGGGGGGAACGGCGGGGAGATGGGAAAGTTGATCACCTCCGGAACCCGGTGTCGGAATCCGTGACTCGACTCTGCGACGAATGACTCAAAGGATTCTATCCCGCTGTCGTGCACCACTCTATACCATTTCTCTTATTTATGTAATTTGATATGCATGCAGCTGATGATCGGATACGATGGATAAATATATACTGTAAGAGAACTGAAAAAGAGAGAACGCCTCAATATGCCTTAGGATTCCGAGAATGGCCGATCCATACCAACCTTGTATTGACGATGTTCAGGAAAATCCATTGAACAAGTGCTTATTCTTGCTTCGTTTCTTTTGAAGTGGTCTCTTCAGGAGTAGCGCTGGTTTTCTTACCGGACGTCCTGTACTTACTCTGTTTCTCGCTCACGTAACGCCAGGTTCTGCTCAGTCCGGAGGTGAACAAACCCTTGATACTCTGTACAGTACTGGGCCAGCGGATCGTTTTTGAAATTGATGCCTGCACCTCCTTCTTGAGGTTCTCATCATCAGCTATTCTCTGCTCGAATGGGCCGCCCTGTCTCGGGCGCACTACTTCCGAGTTGCTGTCGCTGCTATCTTCCATCATTTTGTTAAATGTGGCGCGCGGAATCTCGAATCGCGACTGATACTGGAAGTACAGCTTCTGTTTGAATGACTCGGGTAGCCGTCGCACCATATTGCCGCGCTTCACGGGGTCCATATCCTGTGTCAGTCGCACATTGGCGTTGGGATCATCGATCCAATCTTCTTCCAAGCAGCGTTTGTCGTTGAATGTGACGTTAGGAAGATTCTCGATGAGGGGCGCATATAACCGCCGGAAATGAGCCATCTGACCCGAGACGATGTTCCTAACTTTCCGAGGATCCTCAGCCGGTAATGACATACGAAGGTCGCCCATATAACTGATTCCCGCGATAGTCGTGTACAGCTCAAATTCGCTGAACTCGGCTGGCAGTAAGAGCAATGCCACCCGGACCGCCGACAGCAAGTTCATCTGGTTGGCTAGGCGCACTTTGGGATGGTCGCGCAGAATCTTCACGGGTTTTTGTAACCGTCCAGCGAGATACAACGTATCCCACTGGGTAAGATCTCTGCACAGCGTGTCGAGATTCACGACACCGTACTTAATCAGCGTGCCATTGACGGTCACATATGGATTGAAATATACGCCCGCTCCCAGTTTGTCCTGAACTTGAGACACCACGTAAGACCCACAAGAGCCTAAGCCAGAGTAATGGTCACGGTGTTGATTTAAGTTCAAGGCGTGCCAATGCTGAGAATATGACACCCCAAAGATGAAATCGATCATTTTGCCCTTGCCTTGCTGCATATTCTGGATGGCTGCTGGGGCAGACGGGTGGCATTGGCTAGAGCCAGCCGCACTGCCGGATTGCGAGAAGACGCCGGAGCCATATGCGAAGGCGTATCGAATTGGGGCTCGAAATTGCCATAGAATCTGACGCAAGGCTTCCTTGAATTCTTGGTTGATGATCATATGTTGGTTGACACCGAAGTCCTTGGACGGTAATTCCGAGAAAGCAGATATTGAAAGATCGGGGTTCTCATCCCAGTTCTGGGGTTCGGAAAGCGATGCGGAGGTCGAGAATGAAGCTGTCGAGAGCGACGGCGAGTAAAGGCCATCGCTGGCAGTACTCAATCTCGCGCTGGGGCTTCCGCTGAGAGGGGCGTGGCCTCCGGATGGTAGAAGCGTCTCAATGGACGAATTCGAGCGAGAGTCGTTTGAGAAAGAGCGTAGAGAAGGCCGCGTTCGGGGGCATCGCGGAATCGACGGATAAAACGAGCGTAGACGGGCGTAAGAACCCGGTCCAGTTCTCACAAAAAGAGTCTAGGCGCGACTTGCATTAGCGAATTTACTCAATAAAGGACAGATCACAAGGAGAATGAGAGACAGCCGTACGGTCACTTCCTGCATCGTCGGGAGTCCGGCGATGAAGTCGATAGCAGGAGGTGCAATAGTATCACAAAACAAGGAGAATTTTATCAAGTTAAATTCAAACCATTCTTTCAAGCAAGCACAGAAAAAGTGAGAGTCGAAGCTAAGTGATTTTAATTTCGAAAAGATGGAAGGGATATGGCCGAGAATCACAAGTACAGAATAATTATGGCCGACGAGGAACATCGATAATAATAATCACTGAAATCACGGGGCGGCGCCCAAGATCAGATCTGACGTACTCCGTATTCTCGGCAGCGTTCTCGGCCTGTCCAGCGCGGTGGTCCGTCAGTGGAGCCTGAGTGCCTCAGGCAGTCAAGGCTTTTTGTTTCTCTTGTTTTCGTCCCAAGGCGCCTTGGGACCTTGGCCAGGCTCATGGTTCAAGGTACAATAATGAAGGCAAGATAGGAATGTTTCTCCTTTGGTGGTGTGTTTGAATCCCCAGAAATTCTCTGCCGTGGATATACAGCCATACATGAATGCATGGGGGGAATGTGCTTCTTAGAAAGTATTGCGATAAAATAGACATCCCAGCCAAAATCAAAAATCTCTCTTTCGCCCTTACGCCATGCTGCCCATAATACGTACAAGTGGACGCACTTTTTGATGTCTTTTCCTTCTTGTCCTCTGCACCGACCTCTCTCCTCCCTCTGCCCTCAATGCCCTACCTGGTTTTCTATGTCCACATCCTCCAATGGCTGTTCCCGTATTCTGAGGGTATAAATGAAAGTTCAAATCGAGAGCAGACCCAAAAGCGTATCAGCCCAGCGCAACGAACGGGAATAATAGTGTAGAAGGCCCTATCTTCCCATCCAATAGAAAGATGTACCAAACCTCAGTTCACCGAGCTTTTAGTCCTCGCGAAGGATGGACAGTTGGCCCATGGCAATGGGAGTAACGTACTACGGGACCCCTCGAAGCAGAGTATAACCCAAACCGATGTATTGGTCAACTTCAATCGCAATTAGATTACCCAGCGATAACTGGCATAACGACCGGCAGTTTCACTCTTGCGGATAATCTTGACCACCTGACCTCGTCGCAAACCCAGATATCTCGCCACAGGGTCGGAGACCTGGATCCGGGGAAGCTGCGACTCCTTCAGTCGGTATCTTTGGAGAAGGTTCTTCTTCTCCTCGGGGCTCAGCAAGACGTGTTTGGGGACTAGTTCGTGCCGAGTGATGTTGACTAGCAGATCCTGCTCCTGGAAATGTTCACAAATACGGCCGGGAATGCCGCTCAGCAGGCGCACGGCAGATGGCGAAATAGGGGTCTGAGTAATGAAAACTCCGGTGTGGAAGTTATTCTCATCGACGAAGTGATTGAACGCGCGAACTTGCTTGGTACCAACACCAGACGAATCGGCACAGAATTCAACATAAATCGTACCGCAATCAGGTTGAGGATCGGGGTTAGCAGGTGTGGGCAGAGGTGTGTATTTGGCTTGCATAGCCGCTGTGGGGCGAGCGCTGATTTTCATCTTGGTGCGGCTGTTCAAAGGCGAAGAAGAATATGTAAGATAAGCTCATGGCAAACTCCAACGAGAATGGGGGCAGTCGCATACTCAGGATAGCCCACGGCATCGGAATACTTGTGTCTGAACTCCTCGAGGGGAATTTGGATCTCCTCTTCTGTGACTTCGTAGCCCTACAAAGAACCATATCGTGTTAGTTGAGCCGCATGACAACGCAACCTGCAACGCCGAAAAAACTCAAAGAATCACTGACTCGATCCGCCAGCATTTCGAACACTGTTCTCCAGGTTCGCCAAAGTCTGGTCATCTCGCGGTCGGCCTCCGCGGAGCTGGTATATTCTTCATCCATGGCTGAAATATTTAAGGGCTCACCCAGTCGCTATTCTGAAACGAAGATTGTAGCAGGGATGATAGGAATTGGCCGCCCAAAAAGCGCTAAGCAGGATGTCGAGCGCAGGAAAGAAAGGGCCGTCGAAAAAAAGGTTGATAGGTGACGATCTGGAAATTGATAGAGAGCGAAGTTCTCGAAAAATCGGGCGGACCTGCGCTAAAGGCGCCAATGATAAGCGCGCCGGCAACACAGAAATCAAAAGAAATGGCCAGACCAAAAGAAGACAGCGGCAGAAAAAAAAAGAGAGTGAGAGAGCGGTTGAGTTTGAGAAAGTAAAGAGAGGCACGAGTCCTTCCCCGTCTTTCCGCCTAGCTGGCATAATATTATTACTACCACCACTACTGACGCCCTATTGTTAATTTCTTATCGCTTCTGTCTTACCATCCCCTTTCCCACTCCTGGGTTCTCTCTCTCTCTCTCTCTCTCTCTCTCTTTCTCTCTCTCTTTCTCTCTCTCTTTCTCTCTCTCTGTGCGATTGATCTACCACCGATCAATCTCAGCTCATTGAGTTACTTCCCCCCCTCTCTTCCTCTTCCTTCACTTTCCCTCCAAACCCTCACCATGGCCGACAATGCCACTTCTGCCACGGAGCAGAAGGTCAGACCGACCAAGCCCAACGAGGAGACCTTCAAGGCTGATCTCGCGCAAGCCGAAAAGGAGCATGCTGCTGTTCAAGAGAAATTGGTATGTGATGCCTCATTGAAGTTATATCATTCTATTTCCCTCACTGTTTTTTGTTGATTGATACTTCGCACAGTGAGACAATTCTCATATCTGTGCTTTTCTCCTGGTCCCTTACCCCTCCTCACGAGAAACCACCCTCACATCCCTTGCCTACATCTCTCATCTTTCTGCAAGGACTTGTACTCAATGCATTGTATAACCACACGTTCAGGATTGATATTGACTGTGCGCAGAACCAAATCAAGGCCAAGATCGAGACCGCCAAGCCCAACAACAAGGACTCGCCCGCAGCCAAGAGACAACAAGAGCTTCGTGCTGAGCTCTCGTCCATCCGTCAAAAGCAGCAGGGCTTCAAGGCCTCGAGATCAAGCACCCAGGAGAAGATCAATGCTCTGGAGTCGACCCTCAAGGCCCGCATTGCGGAGCAGAACAACTCCCGTGGCCGCATGTCCTTCAAGAATGTGGAGGAGCTTGACCGTGAAATCGTGCGTCTCGAGAAGCAGGTTGATTCGGGTACCATGCGGTTGGTAGACGAGAAGAAGGCGCTCGCCGATGTCTCGACACTGCGCAAGCAGCGCAAGAACTTTGCCAGCTTGGAGGAAGCCCAGAATGTCATCAACGACCTCAAGGCGCAAATTGCCAGCTTGAAGAAGACGCTCGACAACCCTGAGGCTAAGGCCCTTAGCGACAAGTACACTGAAATCCAGAAGGAGCTGGATGCGATCAAGGCCGAGCAGGACGGCGCCTTCAAGAACCTCAATGCCCTCAGAGATGAGCGGACTAAGCTCCACGGTGAGCAGCAGCAGAAGTGGACCGCCATCCGCGAGATCAAGGATACCTACCACAAGGCCCGCAAGGCGTACAAGGAGTATGAAGATGAGGCCTGGAGAATCCGTCGGGAGAAACAGAAGGCTCAGCGTGAGGCATTTGAGCGCGAGAAGAGGAAGAAGATCGCCGACAAGAAGCTCGAAGAGGCTTCCCGGCCTGCCTATACCGACGAGATCCTTATCGCCCAGGGTCTCATCCGCCACTTCAACCCCTCCTACGATTTCTCCACTCTGGGTCTTGAGGATAAGAAGGATGACTTTTCCGCCTTCCGTGCTCAGGTTGGACGTACCGTTGACGATGCCAGCATCAAGGGCATGAAGGTTCTGAAGAAGGATGACCGTGACGAGGACTACTTCGTCGGCACTGGCAGCAAGAAGGGAAAGAAGGGCAAGAAGGGTGGCGCCAATGGCACCGCCCCAGCTCCTGCTGAGACCGCCAAGTTCAACCTCAACGTTGGTGTCATCGAGGACTTTGCCAAGGTTAAAATCGATCCTCCCATGAATCAGTCCGATGTCCCTGCTGTGGTCGAGAAGCTTGCTGCCAAGATCACCGAATGGAAGAAGGACCAGTCTTCCAAGACTGAGGAGGTAAGCCAAATTCCTCGGAGATCTTCCCGAAGTAGTAATGCCCTGAACGCTAATTGAAATTTTACAGAACATCAAGAAGGCCCAGGAAGAAATCAAGCGCCTGGAGGAGGAAGAGGCACACTCTGACAGCCAGCGTGCTACCGATCATGCCAAGAAGGTTGCGATCGAGAACAGCGGTGTCAACGGCAAAGTCTCTGCCGAGGCTGAGCTGAAGCAGGAAAACGATGCCGCCGCCGACGTGTCCGAGGAGCTCCAAAAGGCCTCCCTCGAGGACAGCGCATGAGAAGACATACTCACGATATAGACTCGGACCGTGCATATCTACACACACACACGCTTCATTGCATCAGCGGGTGCTTCTAAACGTTCTAGATCTGCAAGAGCTTTCTGAAGTTTAGCGTTCTCATTTTGCTTGTTATTCAATCCCCAATATCCATTTTACCTACATTGCCATCATGAGCGCTTGCTCCTTTTCTCCTACCTGACTGACACCACCCCTTGAAAAAAACCGGCAGATGCCACGGAATGCTGGTGCCCTTTTTGCCGTGGCTGAACTTGAGATTTATTTTTCTGGCTTTGTCTTTATATATCTATTGCAGCCTTTCGTCTGGAAAGATTGCTGGACATTTCTCCTTGTGGAATAAAATTCTCACGTGTAATTTCACATTTTTCTCCAGTTTGTTTTCCTCTTCCTTCGCAGCATATGGGAGGATAATGTTTTAAGGAATAGGATACTTCTACCTCCTTTCCTCTGTGATAGTTTCTTTTTGGACTCCAAAAGCATTTGCAGAGAAAGGCAAACCGATCGGGTTAGCGATTCATTTCAGCCTGTAAGTAACGACACGAGCGTTGGAAATACACGTTTTAAAGGGAGTGCAAATGTTCGTATGAACAGGATAGTGGTCTACCATCGGCTTAAGCAATCATGGCCAGGAGGTGCTGTGTGCTTCTTTTGCACATTTTGATTTTACCTCTAATGGCCAAGCACCTCTGCTAGAAAACCTGCAACGGCATCCAACTGTTCAGGGTCCTTGAGCCACCGCTCGCCTGGCCGTGAGCCTGGAAACAGCCTGCAGACCATCCTTGCATACCCCAGTCGAACCAGCATGTCGTGAACCAACGTAGGAGTTCGCAAACCCACCCGCGCATCAGCCTCAAGGTAACTTAACAGAATTGGTGTCTTACACGTTGAATCGGGCAGCTCGTACGATGGTGCCTTGGTTGCGGCCGGGCCGGGAATACCAGAGGTTCCAGTAAGCAGCTCCAACCCCAGATGATCCACAAAGGCCTGTCGAATTTCTTCATCATCTGCCCCTTCGTAGCGGCCCATCTCCTCCAGAAGCGGAAACCACCCGTTCAGCCCGATGAAGCCGCCAACTCGTCCCCGAGCACACAGTAACGCGCCCACTGCGACAGCCATCCCCTGTCCTAGCCCCCCGAGAACCACACGACGACTGCGACCCGCTAACCGGTTGATCTCCTCATCTACAATACGGAGCGTGTACGCCACGCTCTCCCTGAGGCCGTCCATTGCCGCGGGGCCGAGCCGTCCCCCTGGGGAGGGCGACTCGAACCAGCTCCCCGGGATGGTCTGGCAGGTGTCTGTCTGGCGGGGCTGAGCGGAGGGGAACACCCAGCGACAGGAGGGGAAGTGTTCAAAAATAGAGGCTTCCGTGGACTGGATCTGCGACATGGCGAGCCGCGCGGCTAGCTCTGGGCCGGTGCTGTGTATGTCATGGAGCAGGATGACGGTGCAGGAATGCGAGGGTGTGGATGGGAAGTAGACGTGGCGGGGCGGGAAGAGCTGGACCATGCTGGGAGAGACGTGCGGTTGCAGCTGGAAGGAGTGATGGCTTCATGCTGCAGGTTTGTAGAGGGTTTTGTTGGGAAAGGGTTAAAGTTAGTGATGGGAGTTGTTTCCAAGCGTTGATCACTACTGTGTTGGCTGCTGGGAAGGTACGTCCACCTTTGGCTTTTCTTTTCCTCCTATGTGGTTTTTCTGTCTGTCTGTCTGTCTAGTTCTGGGAGATGAATTCTATAGATCTTGATCTGCGGACTCAAAAGAGACATACATATCTAGTAGCTAACTGGTGGAGAGACGGGCGATTGTAGGTGTGGGGGAATGGTTAACCGCTCTCCCAGGCGTGGCGGTGCTCAATGGTATATACTCTTGTGGTTACTGGTCTGTGAGAAATGTTGGATGCCTACAGCCATACCTACTATCTACTACCTAACACGTTAGAATCTTGTAGAAAGAGGCCACTTCACTGTCTTGATATCAAGACTTCTTATCGCTTCTCGTCTTCTGTACAGCCACACGAAACCAAACCTGCCGAATCCGGACTTCCCGTGCCAAGTGCTTGGTTCTGAATTCCGTGATGCGCTTTTTATAACTTCTCTTCTTCTCCCCTCTTGCTTGCATTCTATGCTCACTGTTTCTCATATTGTCCTTGCGACGACCCACCTTGAACCAAGTGAGCCTTAATTTACTGTTTATCCGCCCGGGTTCCAGTCTATAACTGCCTCACCACCTATCTAAACCTACTCTATATCTCGATACTTGCCAGCTGTTAGTGCACTTGTGTTCAGCCCCATATTCATAGGTATTGACTCGGTCTGCTGACAAAGACAAAGACATTATTACCTCTCTTCCTTCGACCAAGACCACGGATTCAGTCCTTCATCCTGATCCTGAAGCATCCTGAAGCATCCTGATCCCCTATACGCAGTAATATCGTCGCTGCGCCAGCCACCACCTCACTGTCAACATGTCCTACAATAAGCCTGTAAGCATCTCCAGCCACACCATTGTCTCTTGGTCTCATCGACGATTTTCTACTATCATGCACCATATCTACAACCTTGATGACCTCCTGTGCTAATGTACTATCTCTAGGACGGCCCTCCCCCCTCATATCCTGCCCCTGTTCATGATGCAGGCCCATACAACACACCTCCCCCTGGTGGCGCGAATCATGACATGTACAATCAGCAAGGCGGCTACTACCCTCCTCCCCAGAACTATGGTCCTCCCCAACCAGACTACGGTTACGGAACTCCTCCTCCCCAAGGACAGCCGATGTACTATCCCCCGCCGCAGGGATACCCGCAACAACAGCCATATCCTCCGCAACAACAGCCGGGATACTACGCTGATGAGCGCGGCGGTGGCTCGTCGGGCGGTGGTATCTGCGCTGGTATCATGGCTGCCCTGGCATGCTGTTGCTGCTTGGATATTCTGTTCTAAGCAGTGAGGGAGACGCGAAACCAACAGCAGAGGATCGGATGGGACATGGGTCCCATCTCTACAACCGGAAAGGGGCGTTCTCACGAGCACGCTGTTTCTACATCGAAATAACCTTTCTGTCCATCATTTTCTTGACTTCATTTGCAATGGCGCTGGATCGGGTACGGAGCATCGTCAGGGTCGGGGCTCGTCATATCTCTTTTTCTTTTCTTTTTTTTTTTCTCTTTTGTGTGTATCTTTCAGTCGCTCGCTCCATTGCTCATCCTTTCGTCTGGGTGGCTCTTTCCTCAAAGTCTTGTATATTCTTTTGTCCGTGGAATCGTTTTAGATATTGCTAAACAAATAATCATTTCCGCACTCGTGGATCAAACCGTCCAACTATATAAAGGCCTCCCTCCCGGTATGAAATGAAGGTAATAAGACATGGTATTCGTAACATCATTATCTAGGTATGTAAGCAGAACACCAAGCATGATCATAACATGAAGCGCAACAAAAAAGCCAACAGGGTATCCAAAACAAACAAACCAAAAAAAAAAACACAACCCACGACTCTCCTCCCCAACCTCACCCCCCTCCCCCCCATCCCATCCATCCCCTACCGCCCATCATACGAACTCTCCCCACCATACCCATACGGATCCACCGTCCGATACGACCCCGACACCCCGCGACTCCTCCTCGACGCAGACCGCGGCGGCGGCCTCCCATCCACAGATGAATGCTCCTCAATCACCTCGACGACGTCGTCGCCGTCCGTGCGCGACGCAGACATCACCGACTCCTCCACCGACACATGGTCGCGGGGTCCATGCCGCTGGTCCTCGACCACCTCGATCGTGTCGCCGCGCCGCGACCGCCGCGACCGCCGCGTCACCCCGGACTCCGTGCCCGTCCAGGTCATCGAGGTCGCCGTCGCGGTTACGTCGTCCGCCGGTTTGTTGTTCAGCCCCAGGCCCAGGTAGGCCAGGTACAGGAGGAGGATGAAGCCTGCGACGCTGCCGAGGACGATGCCTGCGACGGTGCCCGGGGTCGGTCCGTCGTCGAGGCGGCCGTACGAGGCTGGGATGGAGACGGTTTGGTAGCGGCGGTGGAGCGCGGGAGGCATTGGGAGTGGGTGTGGGAGTGGCAGTGGGCTCATTTCTTTTTGTTTTTTTTTTTTTTTTTTTTTTTTTTTTTTTTTACGTCCTCCAGGTTCTGGTCTCGGGGCCCTGGTAAGGAGTTTCGCGGGAAGATTATGGACAAGGGAGAGATAGAGAGGATGGTTCTCTCGTTTTGATTATTTTCTTTGCGATGTTATAGGTGTGGTGGGCTGAGCGACATGAGTCTGTCTGTGAAAACGAGGGTTGACACTCTCGCTGGATGCGCGAGAGGGGGTAGGATCATTGGCATTTGAAGAGGAGGAGAATCGGAAGAGAAGAGAGGAAGAAAAGAAAGAAAAGGGAATGGTGGCAGTGACACAGTAGATGCAATGCATTTAGTAAGGGTTGGGAGATGAACGATTGGGCGGAGCGTTTGATTTAAGCGGTGGCTGGGAAGATCGATTGTTCGCTGTCACATCGGGCCATCCTATAGGAACCACAGCTTCCGGGATGACCTGCGGCATAGGTAGTTACGATCTCTGAATGTGACGATGGAGAATTAATTTGGTTTAGGTGATATGCATGCCAACAGCGCAGTATGGTCTACATGAAGATACGATGGTTTAGATTCCTTTCGCAATACACCAACTTCCAAAATCAGCTGCAAGATCCACATCAGTCGACCTGTACGCTCTCTCGCAACCTAATAAGCTCCCTTGCGTGGGCTGTACTTCGGCTGCTTCGATGCCTCCACCTCCGAAAGTGCAGTCAAGACTGGAGTGGTGTTCGCCAGCTCAAAGCTCTCCAGCTTGGCACCTGCCGACTCCAGAGCCCACAGCGTCAGCGCAATCCAGTTGGTCCCGCGGTAGTTCAGGATACCCTCCGGAACCGGGAAGCTCGTCTGGGGGCCGATATTGCTAACCAGCTTGCCGTACTGGTATCCGTTCACGTACAGCTGCACCCGGTACGCGGCGCTCGTGGTGCTGTTGCCGAAGTTCAAGTACAGCGGCACGTCCCAGCCGCGGGGGATGTCGAGATCGAATCTGGCGCTGTAGAACCCGATGCCCGGCTTGGTTAGGCCGTCAAGTGGACTGGCGGATTCCCATCTCGTGCTTGGAGGCTGGGGCTGGTGGAACCCTTGCCGCTCGGCGTACAATCCGCCTTCGTTCAGGGGGCCTCTGATCTTGTCCTGATAGTCCTCGCCACCCAGATTGCCAGTCAGCCTCCAGGTGATGGCATCGGAGTCTCGGCCGGAGAGTTTATAGGATAGGATGCCACGGGGGTTCTTCATCTCGTCTGTGCCGACAACCCAGTTCTCGTCGAGTCCCATTGTGTCAACAACGACAGTGAAAACGTAGGGCTTGCCTGACTCAACCTTAGGTAGCTTATAGGTCGAGTTGTAATCCGCGTCCGCGTTGAGCCCAGTCCAGGATCCTAGAAACGTTCTATTCAACCATATAGAGCTTCCAAATACCGAGCCACCCTGGGTGCGCACGTCGAACGTGGTTTCGCTACCGTCCGCTACAAAGTGGCCGCGGTAGATCAAGTAGCCGGCATGAAAGCCGTAATCAGATGAATACAGCGACGTCGGAGTGGTGAGAGGTCGCAAGGTGTTGGGAGTTGTCTTCAGGTCGGCAGCCGTCCACGCGGAGTCATCGTACGAAGACTGGATCTCAGGTAGGGTGTCAAGGTATCTCCAATCCAAATTCTTCAAATTAGGCAGTTGAATCTTAGGAGGACTGTATTCAACCTTGGTGGACCAAAACCCGTTCTTATCCACATTGACTTGAGTCTTTTTGCCATTGATAAACAAGTGCTTGGCTGTTTCTGGGGCTCCGATCACTTCGAGGGGGGTCGTTGCATTGAAATCGGCGGTAAGATAGAGACCAGAGCCCTTGGTGTATGCCGTTCGGACGAGATAACCAGCCTTGACAATAATGGACGACGCAGTGGTCTTTTCCGTGCTGTAGCCTGTTGACGAGCCATCCTCGTCCAGCTGTGGTACCCAGTAGTTGTACGCGGAATTTCTATCTGGAACAAGAGTTTAGTCTGATCCAGGTGATATTGAGCCGCAGCAAGACATACCAAGAAGGAGGACCTTGAGGTCATCAATCTGAACGATACGTCGCGTAGCAGATACATCCCAAGCAACCACCACAGCACCGCTGATGTTCTTCGATTCGATTCCGGACTTGGACCCTTCGACGATTTTAACGTCGGATGTCGACGAAATGGCGAACTCGTGATGTTCACCGGGTCCGCCGTACAGCACCAGTACCTTACCATCTGCAAATTTCTTCCAGGTAAACACCTCAGCAGTCGAGTAGAGGATATTGGTGCCCGCAACTTTGTAATCGGCAACATGAACCTTGGAATCGCGGCCATTCAGTGACAAGGTGCCACCAAGCTGGGGAATAGTGACTTTGCCAGCACTGGTCGGGAGGGTGAGCTTGTAAGAAGTGGACTTCTGGCTGGTGTAATCCGTGTGTCTGACAACAAAGTACGATCCAGTCCCGTTACCAAGCAGCGGAGTTACAATCAACTCGGCAGTATCGGCATATCCAGTGGTACTCAGGCTACCAGGAGTAGCCACAAGGTAGGATGGCGATGCCTTGAGAAAGTTGCCAATCAACTTGAGCTCACTGTACTTCTCCCGCGTGATGTTACGAGATTCGGTCAGAGGCGAGCCGTAATCGTAGGAGGAGTATCCTCCGGGATGACCCAGATTCCCCCAGTTTGTTCCGCCAAAGGTCTTTGCCGTGTTAGCCATTTGTTTCCACTAAAGAGACAGATGAGCCCCTACCATGTACAAGTTCAGAATGGCAGACCCGAAGCTTAGGTCGTTTTTATAGAAGACTCTTTCGAACTCGTGGTCGACAAGTGCAGCGCATGCTGCAAACCCTGGACCACCCCACGGATCGAAGGCACCTGCTTGAAACTGCGTAATGTTTAGAGACCGACAACATAGGGGATCCGGAGATGCCCACCTCAACGAGAGAGTACGGGGTGTTGGGGCTTTGCGCAAGGTGATCCTTCCGGAAATTGGTAGGCAAGCTACCTTCTGGCCACACGCTTGGATTTCCCTAGCTCATGTTAATGCTTGCTCAATCATTTGTATGTCCGGAAATGGTCCATACACAATCAAAACCAAGGCTTATGCAAGTTAGCAAAATGGCTTCCAATTGCAAAGTGATGCAACTCACGGATAGCTATCATGGCCATAAATGTCAACCTCTCCATTGCCCGTTCCAGGAGCATTGTGTCCTCCTGCATAGGCATCGTTGCTGATCATTGGGACCACAATCCCAGCGTCACGAGCCTGGTCGATGACATATTGCATGTAGTCTGGATCAGGGAATTTCTGATCACAGCAAGCGCCGCTGTACTCATTCTCAGGTTGGTATAGTATCACTGGTCCGCCGTTTGTGATTTGAGCTTTGGCGATAGTCTTGGCCACATTGGAGATGTAACTATCGAGCGGTTAGGGATAATAATGCTCTACTCGCAGAGACCGGAATCATACTTGTCGGTGGCCTTCAAGAACGCTGGATCGGCTGAGCGCAGAGTTCCATTAACCCTCTGCAACCATCCGGGGAACCCACCGCCAGAAACCTCGGCGTTGATGTAAGGGCCCGGGCGTGCAAGGAGATAGATTCCAGCCTTCTTAGCTGCGTCGAAGAATGGTTCTAGGGCAAAGTTCCCCTCGGCAGTGTATTCCCCCGGCTTTCCTTCAAGAAGCGCCCAGTCGATGTAGAATGAGACGCAGTTGAAGCCCAGTGCCTTTATTTTCTGGAGAATATCAATCCACAGCGAGGGGACCGGAAGTCTACCATACAGTTAGGGTCGATCTCGCATCTCAATGTCTTCTCGGGTAGGTGCAATACCTGAACGGATGGAATTCACCACTGAATATCATGATCCTCTCGCCATTGATGAAGAGAGACTTGTCATCCCAGGCGACCTATCGTCGATTTGAGTATGCCATACTGGAACTGAATTGGTATCTATGCCGGCTAGTCACATACATGTTTCTGCAGCAGTTCCCGCTTCGCAGGGTCCGCGTGCTCTGTGAGAGTGAAGCCATTAAGCTTGTGTCTGATGGACGCACTCGCTGCCTGTGTCGCCAACAAAGCAACCGCACAAACAGAGAGAAGCTTCATGATGTCCCTCGAGAAGAAACCCAGAAGAAAATAGGACTGAAAACCCAAAGAGAGGAGGATAGCATAAAGCCCTCTCTGGTCCGGTCGTGTCTAATATAGGAGAGGACTGGACACCCCGCACATTCTCCGGAGAATTGACATGAACTTGCTAATCCTAGCCATGCAGGACTCTCATCATTGCACCGAGGCCATCGGCATTGTTCCATTCCAGCATAGCAGACATCCAGAGAGGAGAAGCGGATCTCCGGGGAAGAGACCAGACCCGATCTGCCACGGGGGTTGTACTCTCTGTGTATGCAATGCATAATTCGTGCTAAAGAAGGCCGAGACGGAGTCAATTCGAATTAGGGAAGGCGAACGAATGCCGGAGATGTGGAATGTCATCATTGCGGACGATGCAAAAGGACGCAAAATTGGACCGCCAATCCTCCACAGCTGGTCTGAGCGAGTGCTGCGTGCTGGCAGAGTCAACTATAACAATAATGGCCAAATGCATGCACGCTGTATATATTGCGGGGCCGGCCGGGCTGTATTTTTCCTCATATCGGAGATGCCTCCGGCGATGATCCCTGGTATTGTGATGATCCAGCAACAGTTGCATCGATCCATGCTCGATTTGATATGTGACTTACACACATGCAAGGAACAGGGTGTGTATTGTTGTAAATCTCGACGAGAATCGTGTTTGTCGCTGCGATTTTTCCTCATCTGGTCTTAGCAGCCCAAGCTTTCGGATGGCTGAGATGGACACGGGACCGCGAGAGTCTGTGTGGATCATCAACTGTCAAGTGGAGATTGTGGAGTCAAAAGGCATCAGTCAGCTTCACTCATGGCGTTATACTTATATATCTATCCTGCGTCCCTGTGGATTGCGTCGGTGGATATGCTTGTGGAATTGGGGACCCTGGGCATCTAACTCCGTATGTACGATCTGCTCCATGGATATGTACCCGATTTCAAAACCCGAGACAATCCTCCCGTGCGATAGTCGATATGGATTAACTCTCTAAAGAATACAGGCAAGTGAAAACCCCTTGACTACATGTACTTGTCAACTGTAAACCGCGTTCTCAACGCTTGGCCGTAATGGTAAAACAACCACGGCACTGGCATGAATGCCAGCGTGATAAACCCCAACACACTGTTACCCCAGCCCAGTCCAAGAGTCTCATATAAAGGCGCGGCGGCCAGATCCAGAAAGGCACCAAAAGGAGATCGGATGAGGAGGTTGGCCGCGAGGGCGGACGCTGCCGTCGCCGCTCCGAAGGCATCGACGAGATAAATCTGGCCGGGGATGACGACGAATAAAGAGCCGAAGCCGATAATGAATGTCCCGATGATTGGCACTATCCAGTGTGTATGGTACTGCGCACTCCAGCCATACATGAAGCACCCCAATGGGGCAATCGGAGCAAGCCACTTCATTAAAATAAGGCGTTGTTCAGGCTGGCCCACGACTCTGCCTGGTGTCTGTCTCAAGAGCTTATCGCTAACAACAGAGAACAGAACGAGACCGAGCAACATGCCAAGCCCTAGGCCAAGGTAGGCCAATCCAGAGGTTCCGGCGTCGAATCCGTAGACCCCTTGAAATACCGAAGGGAAGGTGGTAAACAGTAAGAAGATGAGGCCGAACATAACGCCCGTGTATAGCGAGATAAACAAGACGATCGGCGAGAAGATCAACATCTTCACAGGACGTGTAAGGGCATGCAACAGCATCTGACGGGGTGTCTCCTGTTGTTTCCCTTTGGGCTTGGTTATCATGGCGTTTCCAGTCTCTTTGCGCATTCGGTCAGCTTTTCGACTCAACAAGATAGCCGCACTCGTCTCTCGCATAAAGACGACCGTAGCAATTCCAAAGACCCCGGACTGAGAGCGAACCTGGGTTAGGAAGACTGCATATCAATCATGGGGGACCATTGTATCTTACCAAAATCAGAATGATCCGGAGTGTCCAACGCCAGCCTGCATACTGAGAGACAAACCCTCCAATGATTGGCCCCAGCACCTATGCTCCGAAGCCTCCTGTCAGTATTGGAATTACCAGGGAGAGCTCCTCTCCAAGATGAGATCACATACGGGTCCTAATATTGGGCCCATGGTGAACAAGGCCATGGCCTTTCCTCGTTTCTGGGGGGCGGTGACATCCGCAACTGTCCCACCACCAATACTCATAGGACCTGATGCAGCGCATCCGCATATAAATCGAAAGACCAGGAACATGCTAACGTTAGTGCTGAAAGCGCAGCCTGCTGTGAACGCAAAATATAGAGTGTTGCAAAGGTGGTAGAGGATGAGGCGTCCGTACAGCTCCGACAGCGGTGCAAGAATGAGAGGGCCAAAGGCAAACCCAAGCACGTAGAGGCTAACTGTCATAGCCTCCACAGTCGAATCGGTGACTTTGAACTCTTCGGCCAGCTGTCCTGCCCCAGGAGCAAACATGGTGGCCGCCAGGTTTCTTGGAACTGCGAATTAGCGAGCTTTCACTATGTATGTAGGTCTTTTGGTGAGGATTTCGATACTTACGCATTCAGCGTCAAGAGGCTCACGACTATGACGTGCAGATTTCTTTTGCGAGATGACCAATTGAGCGGATTCTCGGGATCATTGGGACCGTCCCAGTCAACCTCCTTGAGCTCTGCAAATGCCTCGTCCATCTCGTTTGTGAGCAGTTGGGTCTTGTTATTCACTTGATCTGCGCTGGTAGCTGTAGAACCTTGATGAGAGTCCAACTGGGGCTCGGAAGGATTTGACATGGACATAGTTCCAACTCGAGTGAATGAATTGATTATGATAGACTCGTCTCATACGGAGAGACATCATTTAAAAAGGAACAACTTGCTTCCTTTGACTGGGGTCAAAACCCCCTTGGCCCTGCTCCGTCATGGCGGACATAAACTGTTTAGCTAGAACATTACATTGGAGAGGAGCATCGGGACGGAGCATCGGGGCGGAGCATCGGGGCGGACGAGTTGAAGAGGAGGTATAAGTATACTCCTATAGATAATAATCTATATGATTTATATCCAGTCACATTAGTAACCGAGGAGACTAAAGGTAAATGGCAGAAATTATTCCAAGGGGGCGGAGCTGACCTCCACTGACCGAAACCCATGTCCATGCCATATTACTTCCTACCTCAAGCGAACCTCATGCCAGTCTAGTAGACTAGTCCATCGAATCAAAGTTTCTGGCAATGCTCACCTGGATCTATCGCAGTGCTTGATTGACTCCTTTGAATGTCTAGAGACGAAATATGGCAGATCACGAAGAACCTCAGCTTCCAGAATGGGGGCCGGGCAAAACAGCAAGAGGCAGAGCACGCCGGCCAAGTAGCAGACGTCGAGAACGACCACTGCTTTCCTGCCTTCTTTGCAGACAAAGGAAGTGAGTATGAACATGTTTTAAAAAAAAAAAGAAAGGAATTCTGAGTGTTGAACAACAACAACATCTAGGCTCCGATGTGACCGACAGCAACCATGTGGGACCTGTACAAGCAAAGGGTTGGGCTCTACTTGCGCTTACATGTCCAAGCCGATAGATAATCCGCAGCGACGGCCAAATGTTTATGAAAGGGTCCAGCAATTAGAAAGTCTAGTAGTCGACCTGATGCAAAAAACGTCAACAAGCGACTCGCATCAAAGGCCGTCTGTAATTGCAGCGCACCCAGATTCTCCTGCAGCTTCCAGGGATCGATCATTTGCAGCTTCCCCATATGCAGATCCCTCCAAAGGCAACTCCCCAGCATCTGATTGCGGCAGCTTGCAGCACACTCAATCGAGTACCAACTACGTCAACAGCTCTCACTGGGCTGCTGTTCTTGATGGGATTGCTGAGCTGAAGAATCATCTCGACGAGAACGGAGAAGTTCAAGATGATACTTCGCTGGATGATATGTCCTTTGCTGAGCAGGGCGGTCCGCAACTACTCTATGGGTGTAGCAGGCTTGTGACGAAGGAAGAGATTCTGGAGGCAATTCCAGAGCGGCCGGTTGTCGACCGGTTGATCTCACGCTATTTCAATTCATTTGAAATGTCCCCAGGTTAGCACCACCTCCCGAAATGCCTGGTGTGGATTTAAAACTCATGAATCATCAAGCGGTACTGCATAGTGTCGAGTTTTTAAACGAGGTATTGGAGACTTCTCCCCCATCCCCCCCCCAAACCCGGCCTGCTTGAGACTGACTGGCGGCTCAATCCAGTATGAAAGATTCTGGGAAAGCCCGTCGGAGACGCCAGTAATATGGCTGGGCCTCCTGTTTACTATAATGTGCCTCGCAATCCAGTTCCAGAAATCAAGGTTGGATCCAGGGATACAAACCCCCGCATCCTTGTCGACAGAGCATGACCTTCAAGGCAAGATTGAGCTTTACCGGCAGAAGGTCGTGCAATGCCTCGTATTGGGAGAGTATGCTAAAGGGGGTCCATATGTGCTCGAGACGCTTATGCTGTATATTGCGATGGAGTTATTTCTCCGGAGTGACGCCGAGATTGGAGTATGGATCCTGCTGGGAACAATAGTCCAGCTGGCAATGCATATGGGCTACCACCGGGACCCCCGTCACTTCCCCAGCATGTCTCCCTTTACAGCTGAAATGCGGAAGCGCGTCTGGGCTACAATCGTTGAGCTTGACCTTGGACTCTCTACTCAAATGGGTCTTCCCCGACTGATTAAGCATTGGCAGACGGATACAGGGGGCCCATCAAACCTCCATGACAATGATTTTGATCGATCCACGGCTGCTATGCCGGCGTCGCGGCCCAAGAATGAACTAACACCTATGCTCTACCGTCTTGTCAAGGCAAGCATGGTGGCAGCGATTGGCTTTGTGTGGGATCTTGCGACTGACACAAGGCCATGTTCCTACACCGAGATCATGAAGATGGATAACATGCTTCAGGACGCACATAGCGCAATTCCAGCATGTCTTCAGTGGCGTTCCATGGCCCATTGCATCATGGATTCGCCGCAGATGATTATGCAGAAGGTCTTCTTGGAGATTATGTTCCACCGTGCACGAATTGTTTTGCATCAAAGAAACCTGCATCGCTGGCAAGCAACCCTGCAGAATGACTACTCCCAGCAGGCATGTTTAGATGCAGCCCTCAAACTTCTCGACTATCAGCACGTCCTCCAAGAAGAGACCCAGCCGTTCTGCCGGTTATATCAGGAGCGATGGCGAGTCTCCTCTCTTATCAACCATGATTTTCTACTTGCCACTAGCATTCTGTGCTCATATCTACAGCAAGCTCATGCACAAGGAAAAGGAGGCGCGGGCTCTGTGATTGAGGCGACTATTTGGACATCACTACAAAAAACATACGACATTTGGCTCCATTCGAGCAGCTCTTCGAAGGAGGCACAGAAGGCAGCGAAAGCCCTGAGCGTGGTTCTCGGAAACCATAGTTATACCAATAGCGACAAGGCAAATGATGAGACAAACTCACTGCTCTCGCAGGTTTCACCGCCAGCATTTCCCAATGATACCACCTGTACAGATTCTCAAGGTAAGTGTATAAATCGTACCCCTTCGCTACCGTATTCACTAGCGTTAAAACCTAACAATCGGATGCTCAGGGAGTCCTGCCCGTTTCAATATCCAATTCCCCGTCTTTGATGCAACCGTGCTAGCTAATTGGTCTCCGACATATGACGGCATTGAAAGCTTTCCAATTACGACACCCGCCTCCAGTGTCGACTGGCAGATGATAGACAGTAAGCCCTGCTGTAGTAGCCCGTTGTCGTTGCTAGCTTCGTTAACGAATTTCCGCAGCGATAAGCACCATGCAGAGTCAAGGCGGCGAATGTTCTCAGTTTCCAGAAGGCGCTTCAGGACGTCAATAATGGCATTGGTGTTTCGCCTAGACCAATATCTCAGAATGTCTATCTATTATAGAAAGTAGCCATGCAGCACTAGTATCTGAAACCCATAACGTAGAGAAGAACAGGTATCAAAGTAATAAACTTATGGTGATCAACTCCTCTGCCCTATCCTTGCCATTCCAAAAACCTTGCAGATTTTCCCGCGATAAAACATCCGGATTTGTCAAGATACAGAGAGAGCAGCCTTTCAAAAGATACCTGTCGCAGTCATAGTGCCCGAGTAACGCTCATGGTGCATGGTGTCCGAGTACTGATCCAGAATCATTGGCAAATACGTCGTCGACCATTCTTCTTGCCTATCAGCAGTATGTTATGCCTTGCAAGCCTCTCAGTATGCAGGGAGCCAGCCCAGACAGATCAAAGTCGACAATTGAATTGCCACAGCATGATAAGGCTAAGATGGGGTCATGATAATTGTTACTATGGTGAATATCACCATGAGTAAACTTAATGGCACAGTTGTCTGGCAAGGTCCTGACTGAGTGCGGATCAGGCATTGGCCTTTGATATGAAGGTCCAGCTTCTGACATATAGATCTAATACTTCCCTCATCTCTACTCATATTGATTCCAGACCGATGCTGCTTTTTTTTTGTCTGCCGCTCCCTTGGCCTGGTCACTGAGAAGTACGAACGAGTCCAGCTCCTCCTGGAAAATATAGCAGCGAGTGTGTGCTAAGGTCACTCACGGTAGAAGTGGTTGGACAGCCTTGATCTGAGCTTGGATCTTCCTCCCTAAGTAGACCAGAAACGCGTAGCAATAAGTTCTATTCGAGAAGCAATATTGGTTTCCATGTCGTCCAAGCAGACATCGAGCCTTAGCCGCTCAGGTACATGCTCAAAGCTTCCAGATCATACCAGTAAGCCGGAAGATGCCGAATCTCTAATTCAAAGGCGCCATCTTGTGTAAGGGGAATTTGGGTTTAGATACGAAGAGGTAGGTCTCTGAGATGCCGGTGATTGTCGCCAGTGATTGTGGCAGACACGCAGCCTTTGTAAGTTTGAAGGACAGGCATGCATCTATATTTCTCATTTCCAAGATACAACACTCCCCCTCGGCAGAGCAGCAAATCCACCCAGTGACGGGAAGGGTGATGATTCACTGGTGCTTGGCTCGATCTCTCGACTCTCAGAAAAGTCTGCGGACTGGCTATATCAGCCATATCTTCGATACTGTTGCTGTCTGATGGACAGTTAGGGTTCAGCTATGCCATGATGTTTTGATAAAAGTGCGCTGCCTGGCTTGTTTTTATTGGACTGTGTTCTTGATTATTCTGCTAGCAGGATTCACCGATAGTAACCAGAATAGAGTCAAAGATGGTCACATTACTAGAGAGATTGCATCAAATCAGCGATTACGGTATCACATACTTTGGAACGCTGGGGCTTAGGGGCAGTATCATGCCTACAAGTCCATCCCTCCAAATGTGTCGCTTATTCATCCCCATCCAGAAGCTCTGGAGTACCTGCAAATGAAAGAAGCGTAAATCCAATTCTTTTTTCCCAAACACCGTGTCAAAGGCTAGATACAAAGTGTCCCAAGTCAGTTGGCATGACGCTAGTTATACAGTGGTGTTGAACCGGTCCTCTTCGTCACCAGCCTTGGTCCATGTCTCCCGCTGATCCACCTGCTCCTGCTGGTCCTCGCCCAAGACGAGATTCTCTTGCATCAGCGCCTTCTCCTCTGCCTCGCTGGGTGCCGTGGCGGACATGCCTTCTCCGGTCGCCTCAGCGGCAGGTGTCACCGGTGTCGATGTTTGGGGTGTACCCTCCTGCTGCTGGTTTTGGGTGATGTTAAGTAGTTCGGGCTCGTCATTGAAGATCCGCAGAAGCATGGCGCGGCGGTCTTCTTTGGGAAGCATCAGGTTGACGGAATGCAGCGACCTCCAAAGCGGGAGGACCATACGCTCGCTGTTTGATATGTTAGTCATTTGACTTTGGGCAGAGAACGAAAGAAGATAATGTACCTGAACTTCTCCTCGGGCTCGATGTACAGGATGCAACATCCCATCTCGATGTCTCGCACACGTTCGCCAATCTCGCCAAGATCCTTCCAGCCGCCATCAGTGACCTTGGGGAACATCTCCACGAGAAGCTTGCGCAAGGTGTCCTTCTTCGTCAGGACGACAGCGCGGCCAGGCCCAACCCAGGGCTCAAGGATTCTCAGACCGTCCGTCTGGATACGCCAGCGGCAAACGTTGGGACGCTGTGCATCCTGCTTCACAAACATCTTCACACCGCAGTGCACGAACTTCATGCCATGACCCTCGTTCGCCACCAGTATGTCGCGGGCCAGAGCACTGGTGTAATAGATGGTTCGTGTGGGAACGGCCTGCGCATTACGGACCATAAAGCGATCCCGTGGGAAGCGCTCGGAGATCTCAAAGAAGTTGAAAATTGGGTCGAGTTCCTCATACTTGGGATCTAAATACTTGAATGGCTCCTCAATGGGCTGACCAGGCTTCCGCTTCTGGGGGCGCTCAGGCCGTGCCTCGGTCGAGACAGCGGGTTGAGCAGTTTCCGTAGGAAGGGGAGTCGGGGTGACATCGGAGACTTCCACATCCTCAACCTCAGGCGCAGGGCGATGGATCGGTCGATCACCGAGCACAACTTCGGTATCATCCTCCAACTTGGCCTTCTTGGCCGGAAGCTCATCTTCCATGGACTCTGCGTCTCTCTTAGCAGGGGAGACTTGGTTGGTAGCAGAGTAGGGGAGCTGGTGGGTGGCTTCAGCAACGGAGGCATTCTTCGAAAGTTCCTCCTCTACTTCTGGACCCGGGACCACCAAGTCGTCTAGCGCTTCGATCTTCTGCAAAGGCTGCCCATTGCCATGCTTCTGTCTGTAATCGAGCTCTTCTGCCAAGGCTGCGACGGTGGCCTTGGGGATGACCTTGGAGGAATCCTCTGGCTTGGCGCGAATCTCGGACTTCTTCTCGAGGACAGTGATGAAGAAACCACCAGTATCCTGCAGATGGGGGTAGATACGGATGCATCTGTCAAGAGGCAGATCTGCATTCTCTCCTGTAGGAGGGAACATGCCTTCGGCAATCCGGCCCAGGCCGTTGATGCCTTCGCGCTCCCTCTGCTCTTCAACCTCCTTCCAGTTGTTGTACATCCGGCCTTCGCGATCCATGACCTTCCACGAACGCACACCAGCGGCTCTCTTCAGGCCGGGCAATTCCTTGCTGCAGTCAAGGATCTCCACATTGGCCGCTCCGCCACACCGGGCGATCGCACTAGCGACGACGGCCTCGTTCTCCACCGGATTCATACTGCAAGTAGAGTAGACAACGCGTCCACCAACCTTCAGCATCTGCAGGGCGCGGACGAGAATTCTGACCTGCGTAGCATACAGTCCCAAAGCATTGGCTGGGCCCCATTCTCTCCAGACGCTAATGTTCTTTCTAGCAGTTCCATCGCCAGTGCAGGGAACATCGGCGAGAATACGATCGAACTTCAGGTATCTGTTCTTGTGGACCTTGCCCTCTGCATCGAGGCGCGGCGGCAGCCTGATTGAGGGGTACATAGTGGCATCATGGTTTGTGACGATCAAGTTCGGCGAGCTCAGTCGCTTCATCTGATGGACAAGCATGTGCGCGCGCTTGAAGTCGGAATCGTTGGCGATGAGAAGACCCGTTGTCCTGCCGTCATCACTGAGGCCTTCTGGCCCAATAGGCTCCGGGCCCGCAGTTCCATCCTTCACCTGCTTAGTGACCTGCTCCATCGCCTCTTCTTCTCCCGCATGGAGGAGTTCCATCAATTGCGCAGACTTGCTTCCTGGTGCAGCGCACATGTCCAGCACTGTCATACCAGGCCTGACATCGATGAGCAATGGAGGAATCATGCTCACAACCTCCTGCCGGGTGATGTTACCGACATCCGTCTCGGCGACAAGAAACTTCTGAAACGACGCAAATGGTTTGAATCGGCGAACAACATTTTTGGGAGTCGTCATCCACCATGCGAGCTGGTCCGGATACCAGGGAACAGGGCGAGGTGGCTCAACAAAGTTGCCCTCATACTTGATCGAGGTGATTTCGGGAATATAGCGGTCTTTGAGCTTTTCCTGAACAGCAAGAGCATGTCTTCAAGGCGTGTCAGAAATGCCCAACATATCATTTGGTGCTTCGCGCATAACTGCATGCGCAAAAGATGCTCGTGACGTACCCTTTGGAACCAGTGAATCGGAAGCTGTTAGGAAGATCTCTCCGAAGCGTCTCCCAGAAAGCTTCTCTCTCCTCCTCCGGGATGAAGCCCTGCTCCGTATAAAAGCGCTCAAGCTTCTCATTCGTTTTGGGGATGTCCGCATAATTTTGGCGCTGCCCGCGCCCACCACCGCCGCCGCGACCACCCTGCGACAGAGAAATGTTAGAGAGGCAACGGTTTCTTGACACAGTACGACCAATTGGGGGTAAAGATGACTAACCTTTCTACCACCACGTTTACCCATGGCGAAGAAGTATTTTCAAAATGATAAAAGCCGAGACGCAGTGATTTACTCAGCCTGCCTCTGCGCAAAAATGATTCCTCTTCATTAATGAAGCGCCGAAAAGTAAAACATCCCGCATCGGATCATTCCTCGGGCCGGAGCCGGATTATGTCATGCTCTCTACATGCATGCATTCTAACTACAACGAAGCGAAAGCACGAGATGATTGACAGTATAATCGGTTTGAGGAGGGAAGTGTCTCCTGGTTTGACGTATCAGGGCTTGCAAGCAATGGCTAATTTCGCGCATGCCTCAATGAGTGTAGGCTAAATACCGTGGAAAAAGGGGTTTCCCCCAATGCCCCTGACCATGCCCTTACAACAATCGCATAACTACCAGCTCACCTCAAGAACGCGGAAAACACAGAGAAAAGGCTCAGGCCAGTTTGCTTCCAATGTTGGGGCTTCTTGCCTGTAGATTTGATTGGTCGTTGACTGTCGTCGGCTACGCAGAATACATCCGATGCATCTTTCAGCCATGATCAAACTACAGTCATATTGAAGGAAAACTTGAAGGAAAAGAAAAATACACATTTTGAGTATATCAGTCAACAGTTGTGTACTGTACAGGACACGCTACCTCTGCAACTACCACCTCATCTATCTATTAACCACCAACAGGACAAAGGAAACATAACTGGAGAAGCGGCAGCTGCCATGAACTTGAAAACATCAAGAAAAACCAGATGGGCTGTGTTTACAAGCTGTTCCGGCTCATGTCACTGCGGATACGCTGGTAATCCAGGATGCCCTCAATGGATCCAACAGCGCTCAGAGCGATGTCCTGATCCCAGAGTTTGCGGTTGGCGAAGTCCATGACGTCCTTCTCGGTGATGCGTCCGATGATGCGCTCGACATCCTCGGGGCTAAGACGGCGGCCGGTGGTGATGATCTGGCGACCAATGTCCTCGGCGACGGCGGTGGTGCCATCGAGAGACAGGAGGATGGAAGCCTTGAGCTGAGCCTTGGCACGCTCAACCTCGGCGGGGGTGACGTTGTAGCACATGCGAGACCACTCACGGAGGGCGAAGTGAACGAGGTCGTTGAGGTTGGTCAGGTTCTCGGAGACCATGTAGATACCCCAGAGACTATGATTCAGTCAGTTTCTGAGCGCTCCATATAGCTTGCTTGAGTGCCATGAAAGAAGTGAACTTACCCAGTGTCGCTGTAGCTGGTCGAGAAGCTCATGAAGCTGTTAGCGAGATTGTGGTGGTTGATGAAGGAGCTGAGACGGCTGCCCAGGTAGGGAGAGTTGCCCATGGCACGGTCCCAGTTGCCAACGATGGCCTGGGCAACGAGGGCAGTGAAGTAGTCATCATCCTTCCAGCTGACACCCTCAACAGCAACGGCAATGTGAGCAGTAGGGAGAGTGTCATCGCGAATTCTGACCTCCGATCCGATGAACTCGGGGGTACGCTTCTGCTCAGCGGTAAGGGCGAGGGCAGCGGAGGTTGGGGGCTTGCTGGGGAGGGAACCGAAGTGCTGCTCAGCGAGCTTGACGAGCTGCTCGTGAGGGATACCACCAGCACCAACAAGAACCATGCGGTCAGCGGTGTAGTTGGTCTTGATGTAGTCGGTCAGGTTATCGCGGGAGATGGTCTGGATGTTCTCCTTGGGGCCGAGGATGGTACGGCCGAGGGGCTGGTGCTGGAAAGCAGTGGCGTGCAGGTGGTCGAAGACAACCTCCTCGAGCTGCTTGTCAACCTCCTCCTGCTCACGGAGGATCACATCTCTCTCGCGCTCGATGGCAGCGGGCTCCAGCTTGGAGTTCTGGAGGATATCGGCGAGGATGTCGACGGCCTTGGGGACATCGTTGTTGAAGGACTTGGCGTAGTAGACAGTGTTCTCCCTCTGAAACCAATGTTAGCAGACTTGTATTTCTGATAAAGGATCAGTTCAATCGTCTATCCGGGTCGTACCGATGTGTAAGCGTTGAGGTGAGCACCCATGTTCTCAATCTCGAGTTCCAATTGGTGCTGGGTTCTCTTGTTGGTGCCCTAAACTGCTATCAGCATCCAGCTTACGATCTAAAGTCTCCACCAGATATATACCTTGAACGCAAGGTGCTCGAGGAAGTGCGCGGTTCCGTTGGTTTTGTCAGTCTCTGCCCTGCTGCCGGCATCAATCCAGACGCCAACAGTGGAAGTCTGAGCCCATGGCGAGTATTCAGTCGCGATCTATGATAGATTAGCGACATTGCGAGGCCATTGAGCTCTATTTCAAATTCAATTTTCGTACCGTGAAGCCGTTAGAGAGGGTCGTCGACTGGGTGGTGGTCGGCAAGGTGACGGGAGAAGCAAAGCCACGCTTCACGGGCTGCACGGCCTTCAAGGCAGCACGACTCCGAAGAGCCTGGTTGAAGTTGAACGCTAGGCGCCGAGAGGCCATTGTGAACGACTGAAGGTGAGAGTGGAGGGAGAGGGAGGGATGGAAGAGACGGTTGCTGGAGATGGGGCAGCCCTGGAGATGCGAGGTTGAAGTTCGGGAGTCAAATTGTTCGCCAACCCGGCAGCCAATCACATGACCCGCTTTTCCAAACCAGCCTGCATTCCATCCCGACAGTTTCCTACACGCTGAACAGCAGATGTCAATATGGCATTTTTGGCGTTCTCGAGCCCAACGTCATTTGTCGAATTTCTATATATTTATTTCATTATCTTATGACAATACTAAATCTTTCTGGAGGTATCTCGAAAGGAGATATCGAATACATCGGAGTTCATACTCTCCTCGTGGTTGGCATCATAACTCCGTTCCTCCGCAATCGGGTTGAAGTCACACACATCTATCATACTCTCCTCCCGTCTCCCATAAGCAATGCTACATTGAATGGTTTCGCACAATATAAACCCTGTAACGCTATATGGAACTGAAGAAACGCTCTGGTATTTCTATTGGAAAGCCATCGGCTGTACATGAGTCTATGCTGCAAATCACTGGAAGCGGCTGGCATATTGCCTGATATTCTCCACCATCGAAATGTCCTTTGAGAATCCCAACTTGTAAGCACGCGCAGTGTCAAAGTTGGGCGTCCATGTCTGGACAATCCGATCAACATCGGCGTCATACTTCTCCTCAACGAGCTCCCGCTTTTCCTTGCCTCCAATCTCCTCCAATGCATCCAGCATCTCCTGCACGCTGACCTTCAATCCCGGTAGGTTGACAGACCGGGAATCACCAAAGGCCTCCTTGGGGATTTCTCTCGCATGCAACAAATTCTTGACAACCGTGTATGGTGAGCAGATCCACAGCTCGGTGGTCCTGCTCACCGGCAGGATGGCCTTCTTCCCATTAAATGGCTCCCGGATGATATCACTGGCGAAGCTACTGGCAGCCTGCGTGGGCGCTCCAGCTCTCACCGTCACGGTGGGTAGTCGTACGGCTCGACCGTCCAGAAATCCACGTCTCGAGTAATCATTCAGAAGCGTCTCCATGATGAGCTTCGCGGAACCGTAGGAGGACAGGGGAACGGGAGGGAAGTTGGTCTCGTCGATCACAAATCCAGCAGGCGCAAGTCCGTATACTGCCAAGGTTGAAGTGAACACGACCTTTACCCCGGGCATGGTGGCGCGTAACCTGTCCAGGATGTACCGGGTTGCGTCGAGATTCACCCGCATTCCGAGCTCAAAGTTAGCCTCGGCGCCACTGGACATGATCCCGTGTAGAAGGTAGACGGTGTCGTAGCGATTGGACTCGGTGAACAGCTCGTCGACCACGCTGGGCACTGTAAGGTCTGCCTGGATGCTCTTCACACGAGAGGCATGCTGCGCAGCAGAGGCGGGGACTGTGGGGGCGACGACATCGGTAAGAATGACTGTGGCATCAGGGGAGCTCGAAAGTAGAGCAGCAGCCAATTCCTGGCCGACGTAGCCGCCTGCGCCTGTAATAATAATAGACATGGTAAGTGTATTGTCTTGAGGTCTTCCGTGGGCGTCGAGGAAGCTAGAACAAAGAGCAAGAATTGCAGCGAGCTAACTCTAATTATTCGGTTATAGTGCAATGAATCTCTCCATCGAGCCTCCTCTAGGAAATAAAGCACATGGCCTCGATATAAATACCCTCTTCGCTTTCCCTGGGCTGCCCAATTCTGCGGGGTCAAGCGGAGAGAACTGCTCAATGACCCCCACGCCCGCCATTCAATTTCTCCGTTGATCTCAACGATGCCATCATTAGCTACCAGTGCTCTTGCGGAAAATTACCTCACGAATCCAGTTTAGCCAGTAGCCACACATACCACCACGCAAGTGTTCCGATGCGAGTGGGCGTGGACACAGCTCGTCGAGTCGGAGAACTGCCCGACTACCGAACTGATGCTGTATCATGCAACGGTCGAGCCGGCGAAAGTCCGATGGAAGGCTGCCAGCTATCAGATTTCGTCTGCGGATGCACATTTTAATATGGTGCATGAATAGAAGCACAGGTCCTACGCGCAGAACGGGCAGCGAGAGAAGACTATAAGCCATCACCTTCGTTTGATATTGAAACAGAAAATGGGTCTCGAGCGTGTTCTTCCGAAAACAACCCAGAAACCGCGAACCTGGAATATTTTTTGACTCGAACAAAAATACATTTGTCAAAAGAAACCTGGACATGGACAAGGAACAGAGTGAAGAAAAAAAAAAAAAAAAAGGAAAGGGCCATTTCAGCATATCACGGAACACTCGACGCCAGAAAAGAGCAAAAATTTATGATTAGAAACATGACAAAGAGATAAGACCCCCAAATTTTTATGCAGAACGCTTGTAGATACCAGACACTATACAGTGATCACGTTCGAAAGGCTCCAGAGTCAGCTGTTCCTTGGGCTTGATCTTCTCTTCTCTCATCTTCTGGACCTCACGGGCGAACACAACCTCGGGCTTGGCGGTACTGTCGATACAGTTGGCCTTGACGGAGACAATGACACCACCCTCGTTCTTCAGGAACATGTGAGCGTTCAGACCGACGATACGAGCCTGATCGGGCTGGGCAACATCGGCGAAGATGACATCGACCATGGGGACGAGCATACGGTAGCGGAGAGGGTGTCTGGCGTCCTCGACGATGGGGATAACGTTGGTGCGGTGAGTAGCCATGCCGATCAGGTCACGACCGGAACGGTGAGAGAATTCAACAGCGTAGACGTTTCCAGTGGGGCCGACAATATCAGCGACGTGACTGACGGAGGTACCGCTGGCGGAACCCAGGTACAGAACCTTGGAGCCAGGCTTCATGTAGATTTCATCAAGACCACCGAGGATACCGGCAGCCATCTTGGAACGGAAAGGATTCCAAACACGGTACTCGGTCTTGGTAACGGCGCCATCCTCAGTGGCGGGACCCTCGACAGCAATGCGCTTCTCACCATAGACGGACTCGCCAGGAGTCAAGTTCTTGGTGACGAGCAGATCTTCCTTACCGCCACGGGCAACAAAGACACCAGCGTGACGATGGGGCTCCTGTGATTTTCCATATTAGCAACAGCTTCCGTGATTCTCTGCATCTAGCCAGATTGGAAAGACATACAATGATGACCTTGGCACCACCCCTGGCACCGCTGGCACCGCCGCGGCCACCACCACGGCCACCACGGCCTCCACGGTCTCCAAAGCCGCCTAAAGTTGATGAAGAGATCGAGTTAGCGTGCCGTTTTTCCAAGGGGACTCAGCATGCCAGGCAAGCTTTCAGCTGTTACGAGCTGGATTTCACAAGGAGAGCCAGTTCGAATGATAACAGCACAGCAGACTAGAGCATATATGCCTGTTGACTGTCCCAGGTCGAGGAGCTGATCATGAACAAACCTCTGCCACCGCGTCCACGACCACCACCACGGCCACCGCCGCGACCACCACGGTCTCCAAAGCCGCCTAGAGTTGACGAAAAGATCAAGTTAGCGTGCCGTTTTTCCAAGGGGACTCAGCATGCCAGGCAAGCTTTCAGCTGTTACGAGCTGGATTTCACAAAGAGAGCCAGTTCGAATGATAACAGCACAGCGCACTAGAGCATATATGCCTGTTGACTGTCCCAGGTTGAGGAGCTGATCATGAACAAACCTCTGCCACCGCGACCACCACCACCCCGAGGCGCACCACGGCCACCACGGGCACCGCCGCGACCACCTCCTCTAGGAGCACCGAAACCCATTGTATGTTATAATGTGATAGTTATCGAAAGAGATTGATATCGAAGTCGTTCACAGCCGAACAAGAAGGCTGAGAAGCAAAGGTGCGGAGCTGCTGTAACAGCGCTGAGGAAAGGGCAAGAAAAAAAAGTTTTCGTAGCGTCAAGAGGACAGTGAAAACTGCTGCGATAGGATAAATCTAAATGCGGATAGAATGAAATGGCCTTCAAATAGCAGCTTCTGCGATAATTCCGCACCCGCGCTGGTTTTCAAAATTCGTCGAGGCCGTGCTGCTCGTCGTTTTGTAGCGGTCGAGAATTTTCAGACTGAGCATTTGGATCTTTCAAAAATCAGAATTGACCTAGGCCGGATAGGGATTAGTGCGCCTCTGACTGGTGTGGAAACTTTGCTATCACGTGATGCTTGCTGTCGGAATAGCGAGATCACCTGACTCCAAGGAGCCCTTTTTCAATTGGACCAAGGAAGGCACTGCTTCTACGTGACTATCATTATTTGATCGCTGATGAATGGATATTGGGAATGCATTCGTCAATAATTAGGCTAATCGTGTCAAACTCGACCAGCTGTCAATATGTCCAAATATATATACATTACAAAAGCCAATGTGCCGCGATGCCCTAGGTATCTCACTTCCCGAAGAAATAGTAATTGGCTGCATATTGCACTGTAATCACAGGCGGCATGTTCTGGCAGGTCTTGGGCGGTGCTCCTGAGGCAGTATCAACGCGATAGACACTTGAGTAGTCTCCAATGGTGCCATTGATCGTTGAGAGGTAGAGCCATGTGACAGCACCATTGGCACCCTTGACTGCGTTGGATGGCGCCGGTAGTTCAGCCTGTTTCTTTGTGTAGGCTACTCCGTATTGGCGACTCGGGGTCGTGTCGAAGTTGAACACTGGTACAGGCCCTGAGAAGAAATGGTGGCCCAGTAGATTGATGTTTGCCGGTGGGAGAGGATCCCATGGATTCTTAGGGACCTGCATCTTATATACGATGTTCGGAAGCATGGCCAGCATGTCCGGGAACTTCGCTGCGATACAGGTTGCGTTGTAGAGGCTCGCAACAGCCCCAATGGCCACTGGTTTCGAGTCTGCGGTTGAGGTCGCGCAGGTGTAGTTCTGAATGGTGTTAGATACCTTGACCAGATATGGATGATTTGATTCATCAGCATGTACTAACCTGAGTACCGCGACCAACAGCGACATATAATGGTTTCTGGCTACTGGGGGACGGTAGTCCAGAGGCGAAAGCGGGCAGGGCAATCCTGGATGTGTCGCATGACATCGAGGCAGCAAAAGCATCCTTTGCACTGTCGATGTACTTGCTCACTCTGCCATAAAACTCCCCCAGCTCGTCTGAGTAGTCATAGGTGTTGTCAAATAATGTAGGAGCTGCACCAGCTGATGCTGTCAGCCAGGCAGAGAGCAGGATAAATGGCCGCATCTTGTATTTCTTGCGAAACAGCTACTCTTTCTTGTAACGCGTATACCCAGCAACGCACTGCGTCGGTGATAGTGGAGTGGAGATGTGTCGAAGTTGCCTGTTGAGTGGAGATGGAGTTTCAATGGGAATATAGTAGGAAGCCTGTGGCGCTGATGCAACTGAGGGGGTATTTGAAATCAACTGGTAATGAATGTAAGAGAAGAGGGAGATAATGAGAGACAAGGGGCCCGCCCAGAGGAAGTATACATGAACGAAGAGAGAAAGAAACAAAGAAATGGTCCATGGACCGTGACTTGGGCGTAAGCATGTCTTTATTGCACACATACGATGCAAACGCCATGTCCATGTCGGTTCCCCAGGCATGAGCTCCTCCCGGCCTGCCACAGGATCATAAATTGCACGGATCTCTTGACTGCATCTCGTCAGAGTTGAAATATAGAAACAACCAATTTAGGTCCGAAACCTGAGTCGTAGGATCTATTAACAACCTCGAGTTAGGAAACTGCTAGACCCGCCCACCCTGGCCGTGTAGCACGGAATTCGCTCATTGGCGCCAGTGTGCGCTGGTCGAATCGCTCAGGCTTCGTCGGGAGTTTACTCGAAACGGCGTGTGCTCACTGGGCGGTACATGCTGCAGAAGAAACGCCTTCCTTGCACCCAGATTGGTGCGTCTGACTCGGTATTCCTGACGATTACCGGCTCATTGGAGCTTGCATGTGTGGATGAGATCCGGCTGGCCTTTCTTCGCGCTGATTGGTATCGAACTCTCCGACCTCCTTGGGTGTCTAATTATATCCCCGTCTCGCATGGACGGCGCTTAGGGATATTGCCAGCCTGGGTTAGCGTGAAGAGTGCCATGGAGACCAATCCTTTGCCTATCAGTGGCGATCCTTGTTGCTATTTTTCCTTCTGCATCTCTGCGATCAGACGCGCATGGGTATTAAACAGACAAACTTCAACCGGAGCGTTTGGATACTTTGGAGATATATCCTGTTGCGGGGTAATCTCCGCGGTGGAAGTGGAGGCTCACAATAGTTATTCCATATGCAGCCATCCATTGTCAACTGAGCTATACCAGTTGCGCAAAGGCTTTTACCATGGTGCTAATATGTTAAGTGTGCCATACGTTCTCAACTCTACTTGGGACATGAAGTAGACTTAACCACTACTCTTCAATAGAAGCTGTTTTGGATTATAAAGACAAATATAACGGCGTTCTTTCAACAAGGCCCGGGTGGTCTAGTGGTATGATTCTCGCTTAGGGATTAACCCAAGCATATCTGCGAGAGGTCCCGCGTTCGATCCGCGGCTCGGGCCAACACCTTATTTTTTGGTTTTTTTTTTCTTCTTCTTCTTTTTCTTCTTCTTCTTCTATCTACTATAGAAGAAGTAGGTAGTATCACAGGAACAGACCCACTCTGCACAGAGTAGATAAGCAACAATGGCCTGTGTGCATGGACCGACAATGCTGCTCATACGTCAATGATGCACTTGGCTGACCTGTAGTCGTCCCTTGAGGTGTAAACATACCCATCAACATGGGAAACAGCACATGACGGCAGGGAAGCGTGATGGCTCATCCCCACACTCTGGTCACGTAGATAAAAGATGCTCCATTCACGGGATAACAGACCCAGATCAATACATACTACATAGCCAGTGAAGCAATATATCCATAACGACGGCTAGATAACTACATCTTCCCGACTCCATAAACGCCCAGTCCAAAAATAGGGAGTCTCACATGGAAGGCCCGGTGCAGCCATTAGGTTACTTGATTGAAACCCTCTGCCTGCCAATTATCACCGTGTAGCTTCCCACCACTACCACCGTAGCCACTGCTACTTCCGGACCCGCCAGCGCCGGCCATGGCAGCAGCAGCAGCAGCACCTAGACTGGCACCGCTGTTTCTCTCAATCTCCGTGGAGCTCATCATATACAGAACCAGGAAAAGTAAGACATGAAGCGCAAAGCAATATCCCGCGAAGAGGTTCCGGCTGGTTCGGTTGGCCAGGATAATGCGCGTGAGAGAGAATACGACCCTCTCAGGTAGGCTCATGCGCTTGTATGCACGCACTGACTCGCGACCTCGGAAAGCAGCAAACGGGGAAAGGTTCGCTTCGTATGCAGTCTGGTACCGGTCCAACGAAAGACCGGAAGGCGTGTCCGCCGAAAAATGGACGGACGAACTGCTGGGCTTGTTAGCATAGGCAGAGGCAGAGGATGCTGCCCCATGGCCACGGCTATACGTGGAGACATATCGCGTTTTCTCATAGAGATTGAGATTATCCTTCTGAAGGGAAGCAACCTCCTGCCGAAGGGACTTGACTGTGCTGTACAGCTTGGACAGTTCCTCTTCCAGCTCCGCATTTTTCGTCTTGAATCGGTCTCGCTGTGCCTGTATCATGGGCAAAAGGCCTGAACCACCGCCCACGGGCTCACCGGCGCGAATAGACTCCATTGTATTGGCGGATGCTGCCGCCTGGTCGAAGCCCGAGATGATTGACGAGGTCGGTGAAACTGCCCCCCTCCGAGACGAGTGGGGATACCTTGAGCTATAGGTCCCTGCCACGGACATTGCCGAAGACGGGAAAGCATTCGCTGCCTCTTGTTGCACACGGAGTAAGTCATTCTCAAGGGTCGTGGAGAGCTGTTGAGATTTCTCCAATTCCTGCTTGGTGCTGGTTAGGTCTTCCCGAAGAAGCTCTAGTTGCCCTTGCAGATCGCGGTGTGAGACACGAAGTACAGTCAGCTCATCTGTGAGCTTCTTGTTTCGTGCCAGAAGCAGCTGCTCCAGACTGGTATTTTTAGAGCCATCCCTGGACCTCGAAGAAGAACCATTGGCAGTGGTCCCGGCGTCATTGTTGACGAGTTCCGCAACCTCGTCATCGTCGCCGTCGCCCACAGAGAACTCGATAGACTGAAGAAGGATTAGCGAGCCCGTCGTAGCGCTATGTGCTCATAGATGCAATCCATACCTTGATCATTTCCAACTCTCGACGGATATCCTCGTAGTCAGCAGTCTTTTCCAACCGCGACCGCAGTTCATCTCTCTCCGCCGCGACCTTTGACCCTTGTCTCTCAAGCTGTGAAATCTTAGACTCCCATGTGTGGCGCACCGAATCTCGGTCATACCGTGCGGCATCTAACTTGCGCAGCAGTGAAGAGTTCTCTGATTGCAGGCGAAGATAAGCGGGATCATCCTCGACCGAGGTTGCCTGTGCTGTTTGCGACGAATGCGAGACAGCCTGAGCCAGCTCAAGCCTAAGTTGTTCGTTCCGCGCCTCTACTTCAGCAAGCCGCAGGCTGGTTTTTTCTAAATCAGCAGACACAAGTTCTAGCTCCGCAGCGGCCGCCCCATGGTGGGAGCTGTCACCACCATCATCTTCTTGTCCTAATCGCTGAGATACCTCGTAGCTTGCCTTGACCTCCTTCAGCAAGCGTTCCTGATTTTCAACCTTCTCCTCCAGGGTTTTCTCTTTCGCAGCCCAGTTATTCGTCTTCTCCGCCAGGACAGCTGACCATGACGACTCAATTTCCTTGATCTTGGCTTCCTGGTTGTCCTCCAGATTCTTTCTTGCAGACCTTTCCTCCTGGAGTCGCTTCTCGGTATCATCCAGCTGGGATGTGAGACGATTAACGGATGCTTGCAATTGCTCTTTCTCGGACGTCAATTTGGGTACGGTTTGCTCAGAAAGGACGAGGGAGTCAACGGATGCTTCGAGAAGCGGATAAGGGTCAGGAGCTTCCGATAGTGACGAATATAGCTGTAGAAACGCGGATGACGAGGCTTTTCCTTGGTTGGTCAGGAGATCAATGAAGCTTTGGTACGCTGTCGCATGTTAGCCCTTGGAGCAGATATCGATACTGTTCAGACCGAGACCGACATTTTAGGAGGCTCTTGTATTCTGCGAGCTTGGAAGAGTCGTCCAACTTCCGGAAGTCCTTGGTCTTTTGCGCAAGGTCCTTTCTCTGGACCAGCGCATCTCGTTGCTGAGCGACGATATCCGAGGCGGTAGAATCTAGTTTTGCGACAGTTGTATTCAGATCGATACCTATTTTGAAATCAAGGCTTTAGTACCGGCAAGGTAAAAGATAAACAGCAAGCGATGAGTGGCGACATACTTCTCCAAGCCGCAATGGCACGCTGAAACTTGTTGGCCCCCTCTAAGTGTTGTTCGGAGGTGGCATTTTCGGACTCGTGGCCATCTTGGTTGTTAGATTCGGGAACAATGCCTTCCGTTATCGCAAAGGTATCCATGATTTGTGTCTCCAATCCCGGGAATCGCTATGGAAGGGCCAAGTCCATCAGATACCGAAAATCAAACAACGCTCTCTATCGAGCAAGGCAACAACTAAACGGGGCGGTTTATCTGTGATACGGAGACCGTTGACAGTTGACACGCGGAGCGGATTGATGGTTGTTCCGAACGCGTAAGCTGGTCTCCTCAGGCACAAGGGACCGAGGACTTAATAATTTATACATTGGTCAAGAAGCATAGGGTGAAATTTTAGAAGGCATTGTCTTCGATCACAGCTGGATACTGACTTGAAGCCCTGACTGTACCAATTATCTCATTTTCTAAACTGCAATGCGAGACTCCACGGTCATTGCTAACTAAATGAGAATCGCCGAGGTATGATTCTAGCATATACATTGATCAATGAGGCTGCAACGTGGGTGAAATACCGCTGAAAGATGAGATATGGAAATCGATTTCCCGCACAGCTGCGAGTGCAATGTCTCTTCCATTCTTTCTCACCCACGAACCCCTTCTTTATTTTCAGCCACGTTGGTCTCCTGTTCTTGGTCTGAAGATCTCTCTTGATCTTGATAATTCACCCAGCGGATCAGGCTCTCACATAATCGGTCAAGGACCCACTCTGGCTCCGACTGTACTGAAAGCATCGGACTTGATTCCCCAATCCAATCCCAATCCAGAATACCAAAATCATCCTCGTGTAGTACCATACCGTGGGGATCGGGACTAGTGAACCGAATCAAGCTCATGATCTCGACCCATTCCTCGTAGCCGTAGTGTTTCGAAGGGCTTTGGAGTGCATCCTTGGTGGTTCTCTGGATCGCGAGTGCAAGTTGCTGGGCTAAATCCGTCGCAGTCGAAACCTGAGCGAGTTCTTCAAGAGATTTCGGACGATGAGAGGATTTGTCATCCCCATGACGAGACTTTCCTGGTTCAACGTCACCATCGGTGAACCCTTCTCGTCTGTTCTCTTCCCCCTGTTCGCCAGCAAAGGAGGACATATGTAGTCTTCGAAGGAGACCTCTATAATTGGCTGCTTGGGGAAGGACGGTCCAATCCGCGGCGACATCCGTAGCTCGTTTGAACCAGGCAACGACGGTGTCGCTCAATCCTGAGATAAGAATGGTCATGGTCGGAATTGCGATGAGAGACCACACCACAAAGAAAGGTCTAGCTGCGTTGGTAGTAGGGGTGAAATCACCGTATCCAATTGTCAGAAGCGAACAGAACCCGAAGTATAAGGAATCGAAATATGTCCAATTTTCCTCAAGCCGCCAGAAAACCAGTGCACCACAACTCCACACTATGCCGAACATGATTAGGCTCATTACTAAGTTATACGTCCGACGAAAGACGGTGGTCTTGTGTTGAACGGCTCGCATGGCATCAAATCGATCTTTTTCTTCTCTCAAGATGATAAGTTTTGACCGACCTTTTAGTCCTCGAGCCCAGGAGCCGATGTTGGTCTTCATCGGATGCCTGTCCGAAGAACGGGAACGGTATTCGATCTCCGCTGGTCCTTCCAACCCACTAGTGTATGATGCATTTCGTACTGCGCCCCTATGATGGTCGGGTATTGTGGTACTGGCATGTCTGACGATTGTCTGTCGTTTTCGCTCGAAGTGCTTCCGAATAACATTCTCATATTGGACTTCTTTGGCGAATTGATTGATGCTTCCGATCACCAAGCCTAGTATGACAATGCCCACTACCGCATAGGGAAAGACTATACCTCGACCCACGGCAGAAATAGGTACAATATCGCCATATCCCAGAGTTAAGATCGTTATATCTGAGAAATATAGCGCATCTGCGAAAGATATGTCTATGAGTTCGTGAAATATTGCAGCACCTACCAAGAGCCAGGCGACAAATGAAAAAGTCTGCAAGATCAAAGTCCGCTGGTTATCAGTACGAGCAGCATATTGTGGATAATGCCCCAATACGTAGCCAAGCATGTTGATCATCAAGAGGACGCTGAGAACGAAGTGAAGGGCCGCCGAAATAACGGCACTCCAATAAGCCTGGGAATAGACCTGCCCCGGCGGCACTGGGCTTGCATAGACATTCATCGTAACAGTTGCTGCGATCAACTGGTCGACTCTCAGGTCAGAACTTGTTCAGCAGGCTAGACCACCTCACTCACTAAAATTGTCGACAATGACCAGCTGATTATCGACGCAGGAAAAGCTATTGTATAACGTATAATTCGCGTAAAGTTGCATAGTAGAAAGACATTTCCGGTCACTCCAAACGCAAGAGAAGAAGCATTCAGTGCAATGGCCCTGCGAGGGTCAGCTTCGTTGAGTCGAGCGAAAATATACGCCCAGGCGCCTCTCTTACCATCTAGGATCATGAAAGCCAACTTGTACAACGTCTCCAAATGAATCTACCTTGTCATGAATGATATTGCTCCTCCATGGCATGACCAACGCAACTATTGACATAACATTTGAGAGCGGGGCGGATGCAGCAGCGATAAGGGGAATCGCGGTGGAGGCAAACCACCAATCTTGAGGCTCATCATCGTCGGGAGGCCGTGGGTTGAATTGGCTTCGAAGCCATTGCCCCCATGATTGCTGATCGGAGTTATCAGAGGCCTGATCGGTATAGGTATTGACGGCGTCGTCGGGGTTTTCGTTCACATGGGAATCCATTTCTGTATTTGCGTCCCACTAGGGTAACCAGAAAAGTGGTGACCAGACATCTTATTCCGCGCGCTTCATCATCATGAAGATCTGAAAATGCTAGACGTCACTGGCAGTATGAGCTGCGCTCTCTTGATGAGGTAGGCTGTCGTAACAACAGCTGCAATAGTGGTCTAGAATCAATGCAGATACTTCACGTTGGTCAAATCTTCAGCAGAACCCCCAAGGCCAATTTGGAGTGATTTGAAAGGAATGTAGGATGTACCTTTGTGCGTATTTATCCATCTTCGAAAGTGGCAGCTGTGGCTTGGATGAGAAAGGGCCCAGAGGTGACAGAGGGACATGTGCGGGGAGGATCTTCCAGCAGTGATTCTAATTCGTTCCGCCCGATCCGTCATACGGTCATTTATCATTATTAGACATCTTCTGCACATTATAGTATAATAATTATACAATATTTTAAGCTTAGCGCCCTCCATTCAAGGTAGGCGGTATAATGAGGTGAGTTCAGCACCCGCCCGATTATAATACGGAGTATACTGATTAGTCTATAATAATAATACCTATAATTATTATACGAACGTAATAGGCTTAGCGCTGAATGGTTGGCTGGCTCAACGCGCTCATATTCTGTATGTTAAAAGGTATCCCATGGTTTTTTAACACTCTATTTCTCCACTAATACTTGTACATACTGTGTATAGAATAAAATTAGGGTCTCTAGATTGATCTTCTTCAGTACTACTTTATTATCTGGTTTTATACTCTTAGGTGCTAAAATAGCTCATTAAAATACTAGAAAGTATGACCTTCGCGGTATCCTTTCACCTAAGTTAGCTGGAAATATATATTTCACCATGCTAAGATAGTATTCGAAGGGACCTCAATGCGTCGTAAGCGATATCAGACATACTTGAGGGTCGGTTTCCACTGTACACAATCAGGGAATACGCATAGGACATTTGTCTTTCAACAGTAGCCAATCTCAAGGTCTTTGACAAGCCACTTTGTACCTGCTGTAGCGCCACGGCCATGGAAAATCATTGTAATAGATAGCATCCAGTCCATGTGCCGCGCGGATGATTCGAACTCCTGCGTATTCTGGCGTTTTCCCGGATGCCATTGATGCGTGGTATGCACCTCTAGAGGTGCCCATCATTAAACGAGAAGCAGAGAACGCTTATCAAGTAGTCTCGATGGGTGTGGTGGTGTGCCTTTCAATAAGTAGTGATAATGAAGACTTATGCCTGGGGCATCAATCATGTGGAGCTCCACCTGCTGACACATCAAGGTCCCCCGGTTCAGGCCCACTTTTTGAGGCATCAACTCCGCCGAGCTCCCAATGCTCGTGTTGTTTCCCCTCACGATCCATGAGTTCATGACCGGTTTGTGTTGAGCGTGCCAGAGCTGGTCTCAGTATGGTGTCCGGAGATGATGGCATTGGCCCTCGAAAAAAGAGGAAGATTACTGCTCAGAAAGCAGCTCCTTATGTGCTTCGATCTTTGTTAGACCAGGTGCCATTAACCGCCGAGGACCCGCCAGCTGATGATGTCTACATCACTTGTGTCGAGTACTGGAGTGAGTACCCGATCTTTCTGTCTTCTACTCATATGAGAGGTAATTGATTGAATGACTGAAATGCTTGTTATGTCCCAGATGATAACCTCTACATTGGCACTTCCGTTGCGGAGATCCTCCATTTCGTCTGCTTTCCGCCGGACCCGTCCGACAAGTCGCTCGAACCCTCCTTTATCCTAGCCTCCAGACTGCCTATACCATTTTCGCAGAACTCCCAATTCGCTGCAAAACATCCTGGAATCCAGCAAATTGTTCTACTTCCCTCTGTCAACAAAGCATGCGTGCTTTGCAATGGGACCGTCACCTTCTATCATCTGCCCGAGCTCAGTCCAGCCTTTGGCAATACGAAAGTCAACAATTGTCGCTGGATTGGGGGTCTAGACTTGAATGCAGATGGCAATGACAACACCAATCCGGTGGTTCTGATTGGGGCGCAAAGCAGAATGATGTTGGTGCGAATCGGCGAGGATGCTCGGCGCGTTCGGAACATCGAGTTTCCTGCTTGTCTCATGGCATCGCGAAGAGGAAGCATCGCGTGTGCGGCCGATTCATACGCTTATTCATTGCTCGAGGTGGAACATCAACAGAAGATACCTTTATTTCCCATTTCCTCATCGAATGAAGTCTTTGTATCAGGCCATGTGGAGGATATGCCTACAGCTTCGTCTCCGCCCCCGCACAGCGGAGGCGCACATGGGAGAAGCTCCAGCTCAAATACTCTGGTTGGAATGCTCCAACCAAATCCGCCGTCCTTTCAGCAGAATCGGTCACGCTCTGCGACACCCGAACTTTCTCTCGACTCCGGGACTCCACGACGGTCAATCTCGCAGGATCGGAGTCGAAACGCATCGCCACGGACATCATTCGAAAACCAGTCAGCGGAACCACAGGCTGGCGCTGTCGGGGACAAAAAGCCACTTCCAGCATTGCCGAAACAGACCGTGACGCACTTGAAACCGCACATCGTTTCTCCGACGCCATCAGAATTCTTGTTGATTACTGGAACAGAAGAGAAAGAACCAGGAGTGGGGATGTTTGTCAATCTAGATGGTGACGTTGTTCCCCGAGGCACGCTCAATTTTCACAGGTACCCTGAATCAGTTGTCATTGACAGAGGGGAAGAGAACAACCTGATGCAATCGCCTGGAGACACGCATGATGAATTTGTTCTTGCGGTCATAGAGATGGAGCAAGAAGGAAAATGCGGTAAATGGCTAGAGGTGCAACCGTGGGATGTGGATCCAAGAGAAGAAGAGAATCCCAAGAGTTGGGTAGAAATACCTTTCACCGAAGGGGTGCTGTCTTGCCCTGTGGGCATCTGCCATACATTAAGCTCTAGCCAGCTCGAAATTGATGAAGTGGGGAAATTACTACAGATGGTTCGACTGAAGACACCCTCTCTTTCTCCTCATATACCGGCGACAGACCCAAGGACTCAGGCATCGATCGAGCAGCTCCAGAAGGAGAAGGAACTCTTTGAGTCACAAGAGCTAACGGACACTGAAGGGTCCAAGAAAGGGGACGGAACATCGGAACGAGGATGGGAGGCAGAGCGTAACAACGAAGAAGCCATATTTGCCCGGGCTCTGGGTCAGACTAAGAGCAGCCTAATACTGTGGTCCGGCAATCGAATCTGGAGAGTTGTTAGGAATCCATTAACGACCCAGCTGAATGATGTTTTGCATGAAGCCCAGGGATCCAAAGACCTGATGTACGCAGATTTGAAGAGGGACATGATTATGCATGTATTTGAACAGGTCCAAGTCGCCGAACCGCGCTCAGAAGCTGAGTTTCTAGGCCTAAACTTTGTGAAACAGAAGTCAAGTCTCCTTCTCTTTGGCGATCTGATTTTCATGGGCTCAGATGCCAGGGATGAGTCGGCTATCAATACTACGGAGCGGGTGCTGATCGATGGAGGCTTGGATCCTCGAGTCATCTTGTTGTTGATCCCAAAATTGCGACATGAGGCTCTACAAGGCCCGCAGGGTATTTGGGCTCATGGCGGCCTGGCGCAGGCTGCAGAGATCTACTTACAACGCCTAGAGAAGGCAGAAAAGCAGTCCAAGGAATTGAGTGCACTTGATACCGGAGTCTTGGACATGATCAAACGCTTCCTCTTGTCGTGGCAGCAGAAGAGGGGTTATGGCAGCATCACGGACGAGATCTATGTGTTCGATAGCGTTGATGCGGCTCTCCTGCATCTGCTCCTGGAACGGGAATCCATATTGCTAGCAGAGCAGAGCCCGGTCTCATCGATCCGCTCAGAGCTAAACAAGCTTGTCGACACCTGGAAGGGTAACTTCGACCGGGCAGTAACATTATTAGAGAGTTATCACCGGCTTTACCTCCTTAGCCGGCTGTATCAAAGTCAGAAGATGTCGCGAAATGTTCTCAAGACGTGGCAAAGAATCATTGAAGGCGAGGAGGATGTGGGTGGAGAGGTGACTGGCCCAGGTGTTGAAGCTCAAATGCGCAGATACCTGGTCAAGATCAAAGACGCGCAGCTTGTTGAGGAATACGGATCGTGGCTTGCGGGACGCAACCCTGACCTTGGTATCCAAGTCTTTGCAGACAACACTAGCAGAGTCAAACTCGAGCCAGCGGATGTTGTGACTGTGCTCAAGGAGCGCGCGCCGAACGCAGTGCAGGTGTATTTGGAACACCTCGTTTTTGCGAAGAATGTAAGTTCGATGGTAGTCGTTTTACTAAACCCATCGTCGGATGCTGATTCGTGCAGTACACCCAATATGCGGATGATCTTCTTTCCTACTATCTAGATACCGTGCTGTCGGTCCTTGAAACCTCACCTGCCGCTCGAGAGTCTCTCGCAGAGTCTTACAGCACCTACCGGGCGCTGCGACCGCCCAAACCGACGTACATGAACTTCATCACGGAGAACACACCGTCGGAACCGTGGTGGCAATCACGGCTTCGGCTGCTGCAGTTGCTCGGCGGCGGAAGCAGCAGCCAATTTTCCTCGATGCCGCCCCCTTCGAAACTGACATACTCGATCCCCGCAGTCCTTGCGCGGATCGAACCCTTCCAGAACGAGCTTGTCTCGGAATCCGTCATCCTGGACGGCCTCCAAGGCCGGCACCGGGAGGCCCTCCACCTGCTGACGCACGGACTCGGCGACTACGACTCCGCAGTACGGTACTGCCTGTTCGGTGGGCCTCACAGCGCCCACTCCACCGGGCCCGCAGTCGAGCTGGCCGACAAGGCACACCAGACGGAGCTCTTCCGGTACCTTCTCGACGAATTTTTACAAATCCAAGACATCTCGGAGCGGATCGAACGGACCAGTGATCTGCTGGGGCGGTTCGCAGCGTGGTTCGACGTCACAGAAGTTCTGCGGCTCGTCCCCGATGACTGGAGCGCCGATATCCTGCGCGGGTTCCTGGCGCACGTCTTCCGGGTCCTGGTTTCGCAGACGCGGGAGGCGCGCATTGAGCGGGCGCTGAGCGCGAGCCTGAGCCTACGTGTGGGCGCGGAGTATATCTCGGGAATGGAGAAGGCAGGGGCGTGGCTTGAGGATGATTCGGGGGTAAGGAGGTTGAAAGACGCCGGTCCTGGTGCGGGTGCAGCGGACCCGGACGCCAATCTGGCTTCCGGCGCAGGGCAGGTGGTTGAGGACACGAGTGAGTTTGGGGATATGGTGGTTCCTGAACAGACCGGATCCTGAGGCATCTGTTGTTTCTTGTTCGTGGTCGGTCTATCAATGTATATTTGCAAACTATATACTACGATGTCTTAATGATAATGCTAGAGATAAAAGTACTCATGAAACAACTCCCTTCACTCAACCAATATATACAAGAAAAAAAAAAGGTATATAATAACGCATATCTCAATCCAAATCCGGCACCGGCAACCCATTGACGATGCGCACCTTGTGCCCCAGCTTATCCAGCGCCTCCCTGGAGTTCTTGGCGCGCAAGTCGGCAGTCTCCTGGTCGGTGACGAGGATGAAGTCGTAGGTGAGCAGGGCATGGTCCTCGGGGACGTTGTACTTCTTCGCGTACTCCGGGCCGGCCTTGCCCAGGTCGACGATGAGCGAGTCCTTGACGCCGAAGACAGCGTCGGAGGTTTCGTAGGGGTCGTTGCGGAGGTAGAGCGCCCTGTTGTTTTTTTTTTTTTTACTGTTGTCAGCATTTGGCTACGGCAAGAGGGAAGAATGGGGCTGCGGGAACTGAAACGGGGACGGGGACGTCGACATACGTGATCAGATGATCGTAGCCCTCCTTCTGGAACATGAAGTGCATATGCGAGGGCCGGTACGGATGGCGGTGCAGTTTCTTCAGCAGCTTGCCGACGGGCCCGTCGTGCGGGATGGGATATGGCACGGGGGTGATGGCCTTGAACCAGAAGACGCCGTCGGCGTCGCTGCGCATGATGCAGCGGCCGTCTGGCCCGTCGCGGCCGGCATACTGCACGTCGTAGTGGCCGGTCGAGTCGGTCTCCCAGATGTCGACCTTGACGTCCTTCAGGGCGTTGCCGTTGGTGTCCTTGATGGTGCAGACGACGAGGAGGGGCTTGCCCTTGGGATCGTGCGATATGAGGCCGCCCTGACTGATTTCCTCGGCTTCATGGGTGTGGAAGGGTCCCAGGACGGTGCCTTCGGTGGAGCCGGGGAGTTTGGGGTGGTCGATAGAGTCCACGAGGATGGAGAGGCCGAGGACGTCGGAGAGGAGGATGAATTCCTGTTTGGGTTGGGCGCGTTAGTTCTCTCATATCGTCTTCTTCGGCATGGCGCTGTAGCTCTCAGCTACGGGAAAAGTAGAAATACGTACCTGTCGTACATCGGAGGAGATCTGGCCCACCTCCTTGAGGAAGGTCAAGCCGGTCATCCACTCCTGTGAGCTGAGCCGAGTCTCGCGGGCGAAGTCGTGGAGATGCGTGACCAGTCGCTCAAGGACATACTTCATGCGCTCGTCCTCGCAGAGGGAATTGATCCGGATGACGTTCTCGGTGATGTTGTCGGCCGTCAGGTCTTTCATGGGAGGGATCTTGACCTGCGAGGGATCCATTGTTCACAACCGGACAACAAACACAGCGTAGACAGGAGAAACAAAAAGAGAGGAAGAGGGGGGGGGGGATATCTTGAAGGTATTGACAAAATAGAGAAAGAAAAAGGGATTCTCCAAATGCCGTGACCGGGGAGGGGAGGGGGGGGGGGCGGAGATCCCTCGATTTTATCACTCCTGGCCCTGAGCCCAGCCCATACTCCATCCACATCCCCCGCATGGAACTGGAGGTGCCGACGGATATCTAGTCGGCCATGATCGTCTAAGCAGAGGTTTGTGGGCCATCATTGGCATGGCAGGATCTCGGCAATACCCCCGCTGTATTGCTTAATGCCTTACTTCCGGAGATATCGACTTGTAACGATTGATCGTTGTTATTCGTCTCCCAGACAGTTGGAGCCATAAGGAGACCAGATCCCAGACGTTGATCTTCAGGATTGCGCTCGGAAATCCCCCCCGCGCCATCAGCCAGGATTTCCTCTTTGGGAATTCTGCCTGGAGCGGTCAGAATTATAGCCAATCATTGTCCCGGAATTACCGCCTTCGGCCTCAGGCTCGAATCCTCAGGCAGATCCGCAAATCCGTAAATCCGTAAATCCGACATCATTCTTGGATGACTACGGACTACGGAGTACGGAGATGGAGTCAATGAATGGACAGTGGATGGTATGTAGTACCAATTATTGACTATCATTTAGCGGAGAGCAAGCATGTTGATGGGTGTCTCTCACAAGTGTTGTGAGCACAGGGGCATTATTTCGCCCAGGTCCATCATTCGTCGGGTAATTGCTTATCCAGCCGGTTGAGACTGTCTACTGATATAAATATTCTTCGATTCTTCCAGTGGTATGATGAAGAGAAACTTGCTGTACAATATCAATTTATAGAATATATATGACATCACGAATATAAAACACCAGGGATATCCGCTGAATTCGCTCAAAAAAAGTACAAATCCATCAAAGGGGGAAAAACAAAAAAAAAAAAAAAAGAAAGGTAGCCACCTAATTTAAACATCGGATCCAAGACGCCCGCTCAGATCCTGCGCGAGAGTGGAAACAATTGGATTCAGGCTTTTACGAGCTTCCGCTCTCGGTCTCGGTCTCGGTCTCGGTCTCGGTCTAGATCACCGTTGAGCGGTTCGGGCCCGTTTTCTTTGACGGCAGCCGCCACGCGCGCGTGGTGGTCGACCGTGTCCATGATGGCTTGCATGAGCCGGGAATTGGCGTCCGGGTCATCGTCGTCCGGCAAGGGCTCGTTGTTGCGATTGATACCGACACGCCGGTCATGGTTGCCCATCGCACTCCCATGAATCTCACTCATCGCCCGTCGAGGGGTGGCATCCTTGAGTGCTGGTGTTCCCGTCACAGGTCCTCCGGTCGGGGCGGATTCCCTTCGGGCGTTGTAGATGCTCGCCTCTTCGCGCGGTCGGTCCTGCTCCGGCGTGTATGTCATGGAGGGGGGCGTAAGGGCGGCAGAGGCCATGGTGGTAGTGGTGGTGTTGGCGGCGGTGGCGGCGGCAGCGGTCACCGGCACCGAGGCGGGGGCGGGAGCAGGAGCGGGTGTGGGTGCCGGTGCGGCGGAAGAGTCTTTCGACTGGGTGCCTTCAACAAACTCGCGAGGAGTGCCGTCCGATCGCAACTCGCGCAGTTCTTCCTCGCGGACGTCCTTCCAGGAACACTTGGCATGCTTCTTCGTGCATCCCATGCAGGCGGTCAGGTTCTTCAAACAGTCCATGTGAAGCCGACGACACCGATCGCACGGGGGAAGGATGCGCTCCCCTCGTTGCAGTTCCTCCATGCGCGCAACCATTTCCATCTTGAACGGACCCCCGTCATCCTTTTCGAGATGGTTGGACTTGGGTGGAGGTAGTAACGAAGATGGTGTACTGGGAATTGCGACGGTCGCTGGAGTCGGGTTGTACATGTTGTAGTCAGCCGCATCCGACGCTCTCGGCCGCGGCCGGGACGACCCCCGGTTAGTTGACCCCGGGGTCTCTTCGTAGCTGCGCGACTGGCGGTCTTGCGTGGTGAAAAACTTCTTCATCAACTCCGCGCGTGTCGTCGGAGATGCGCCTTTGATCGACGTTCCATTGATGATGGTGACATTGTCGGTGTTTGAATGCGAGAACATGAACTGCGACGAAAGCGTGTTTTCTTCCGCAGGAGGCTCTCCGGGACCATGCCGGACAGCATTGACGGCGACAAACCCGGTCGAGGGTGAGTGAGCGTTGGAGGAAGGATTGCCGTTCAAAGGATTGTTGGACACCGCGCCGGCGACATCACGCCAGATGGGGCTGAGCGAGCGGGGCGGTTGCGGTTGCGGTTGCGGAAGTTGATGCTGCTGTGGTGGGAGGTGGGACTGCAGGGAAATATCGTTTTCTCGGCGCGTGACAATGGCAGTTCGACGATTTTTCAGACGATGGTTAAGCTGTCTTGCTCGAGCGGACACTACAGTGAACGCGTCAGTAAAGCGCTTGAGTCCTGTGCGCGCCAGAATTCGCGAAACAACATGCAAACCAACCTTGATCGGCAACCTGGATGATCTGCTGAAGATTCTTCTCCAGAATTTCCAGGGCTCCCAACTCCTTCTCCTCATCCTCGACAATGGGTTGCGGCGGGATCATCTTCTGCGGCATTCCAGACGCGATGAGCACAAAATCCTCCTCGCTGATCTCAACCCGACACTGCTTGGTATAGAACTGACAGACGCGCACTCCGTTGCGCGACTTTTCTAGATTGAACTGTTCCGGTTTGCTCTTGGCGAACTCCACGACATCCAGCCAGGTGATAGTGGCGTCTTTGCCGTGCGACTTGAGGACCCGAGGAGGGCCGTCGAACAGGCGCTCGAAGCGCTTGATCAGGATGGGTCCCAGAGGACATGCGCCCAGGTTACCAGCGATGCTTTCATGGCGATGAAGCACGCCGTCATATTCGCCGATCAGGTGTAGAATGGCCGGCATCGTATCATCGAGAGAGACCAGAGGCAGATTATCCGGATATTGACGCGCGAGATAGTTGATCTGGAGATGGTTTGAGTGGCTCTTGAGGATCTTGGAGGCAATGGGATGGTAATCGCCGGACGGCGACCTAGGCCGTTTGTTCGACGGCTCTGGCGCCGCTGGTGGTCTGGACTCCATCGGGATATGAATGTGAATCGATTAGAAACGAAATGGGAAAGGGCGACTGAGGGAAGGGAAAATGAAATGATGAGGTCGTGTGCAGTCGGGATCGGAGAGGGAAAAACCAAGGAGGAGGATGGGATGCTCGGGGATTTCCGAGAGAGAATTATTAGATAGTGAGGGAAAAAAAAAAGTCAAATAGCGGATCGAGTAAGACGACGGAAGTTGACGAGAGTGACGCCGATGGCGGAGCATAAGGCTCAGGTGCGGATTCAAAAATTAGCCACTGGGCAGCAAGGAATTGTTTGAGTTAGGTAATAAGGAACCCCCAAACAAACAAGGCAGTCAGGAAGGGGAGAACGGATGCAGGACACTAGAAAAGAAAAAGAAGTCACGAAAGGAGACTAGGAGAGGAAAGTGAAGAAATGGGAGATCGGAGGATGGCGGCAACTAAAGAGGTTAAAAACAGGACGGGAGATAAGACAAAGAAAGAATAATACACGAGAGCGAGAGAGAGAGAGAGAGAGAGAGAGAGAGGGAGGAAGAGAGGAGATGATGGGTGGTGGAGAGGCGGAGCTGAATAGCCGGTGTTGGGTAGTCACAGACACGGGAGTTGGAGTTGGACTAGGCTTGGAGCGTCTGGATAGCCAACAGAAACGAAGAATGAGGAATGATGTTGGAGATGCTGCGGATGGCGGAAGCCGTCCAAGATAGATAACTACAGAGTAGGGTCCTACTTCCTCGGACTTCAGCCATAGGTAGGTGTATCAGGACCCAGGGGTTTAGGACATGGGGGGGGTGCTATCGGAAATCAATCCGCAACAGGGATGTCAACAGTAGTTAAGACGCGAAGTGACCTCAGATAACTACCTACTCTCCTGCCAGTCCCTATCGCTAACCTACCTTAGATAGTAGGTAGTAGTAGATACACTCTTGAGGTACAGATCTCTCTCTCTCTCTCTCTCTCTCTTGGAGTGTGAGAGGGCGGAGTCCCGCCGGGCTATTCCGCTGGCCATTCGGTATGGCTCGGGAGACCGGAAAAGACGGGTAATTACCTTACCAGGATTAAATACCTACAAGGGAACTTTTGGAAGACAGGGAAGATCAGAAGCTTCTTTGCAGCAGAGAATAATCGACAGGATTATTATAACTTAATAAGTAGTAGTAGGCTAGTAGCCCTTATCATTATTACTATAATAATTATAATAATGATAATGCAATGAATAATAGCTATTGTAGCTAGCTAGATGATCGTCCGATCTGTGATAGTTAGATACTCCTTGCCCTTCAACTCTGGCCAGACCCCTTGCAACGGCCGATACACATAGTCTAGTCAATAGGTGGACGAACCTGGCGGCTCCAGACACGTCGGGGTCGGGATGACGCGACTGGAGCTCCTTGTTGCTGTCACATTCCGAAGAGGTTTTTTTTTTTTTAATTATTGGGTGTTGAACTTGATCGTTACTTTTCTTAATAGAAAGAGGAAAGGAGCGGGCATCTATTCGTATTTGAAAATGTTGCCCATCTTTCATCCATACGACGAAGAACCGGTTACAGGTTAGGCGGTTATCCATAGCGCTCTCTCCCTTGATATGCTGATAGATGCAATTGCGCTCCGCCGTCTGTTGTATGAAAACCGCAAGTCCCGTAATACCTTTTCAGTCACAACTTCACAAGATAGGTGGTTGCCTAAGTCTCACCGCTGTATCCAATCAGCAACCGCCCACCTGCCGCATTTCCCTCCATGACGCAGCCGTGAAGCCACTAAAGAGGTATAGCGTAAAATACACGGGTGGTATTGGTGGTGTATGCGACTCCCAGCTGTGTGACTTCGGTTACTCAAGGAGAAAAAGGGTTGTCAAGTGACTTGGGTCGAATTTTCCTACTTACTTACTTTTCCACCTGTTGTATTCCATACAGCAACCAGCATCACTATCTATCATCGACAACTAACTCTTATTGGCATTTCCCCCAAGGCCCCCAACGGTGTACAGAGCAAGGTACCACCACCACGTTTGACCCTGCTGGAAAAATCCCTCATACAGACTTGTCCCTCCCCCAACAACAACAACAACAACAACAACAAGTTGACACAGCTTGAAACCCCCGAAAAGTCCTAAGGTAAGCTCTTCTTTGGCCCCCCCCCCCCTCCCCCTTCCAGTCTTCTTCTGCCCTCCCACACCGAGTCTAGTCTAGACCAAACTGCTGTGGTGGGATCACATCACGCCCCTCTTCCCTTGCCAGCCTAGCAGTCCATGAGGTCTTAACACTGCAGACATCGTGACCGACTCCCTCCGTGCCCCCCCCAAATCCTGTCTCTCCGCCCACCCCCTCTTTTTTTTTCTATTACTTTTTTTTTTTTTTTTTTTTTTTGAATATCTTTCGGTTATCCTTATCTTTTTGTTTTAACATTATCATTACTAAGCCAGACTTCTTTCCCATCCCGACTTCTTGTCAATTAAACAAAAATTAAAAAGAATTAAAATAATAACCCCTAGGCTAGCCAAGCCATGTCCGAACGAGGTTCGTTCCGAGGAGGTCGTGGTCGCGGCGGAGGTCACGATCGATCTGGCGGCCGTGGCGGTGCCCACTCCTCCCAGCACAGAGGTGGCGGTGCGGGTGGCGGTGCGCAACAGCAGCACCAGCAGGAGAAGCCCAAGAAGGAAAACATCCTCGATCTGTCCAAGTATATGGATAAGGAGGTTAAGGTGAAGTTCAATGGCGGCAGAGAGGGTAAGTAATTGCTATCAAGGTTGTCGCCGTCTCTCTTTAAACTGACCCTTTTTTTTTTTCTTTCCCTTAGTGAGCGGAATGCTCAAGGGTTATGACCAGCTGATGAACTTGGTGCTGGATGATGTGAAGGAGAGTATGCGTGGTAAGTACTTTCCACCCTTTCCTAGTGGGATGGTTGTCTAATGCATGACCAGATGACGAGGGCAACGAAACCACCCGCTCCCTCGGTCTGATTGTCGCCCGTGGTACTCTGATTGTGCTCATCTCTCCTGCGGATGGCAGCGAGGAAATCGCCAATCCTTTCGTACAGCAAGAGGAATAGATGACATGGAAATCCAGAAAAAGAATGAACCGATTTCATCAGTAACATGCCTCCCCCGATCTCTTCCTGAAGAAGAGCCATGAGTCCTCTGAGCCACAACATACAGCTAGCGGTGTTTGATATTCCTTTTTCTCCATCAGCTCCCTTTGGACTTAGGACTTGTGCGTCACCGACGGTGTTCTTTAGGTGTATCGTGGAGGGAGCCTCGAACCCATCTTGATATGTGTCCACGAAGCCAGCCAGTCCAGTACCTACGATAAATGTAATGGATTAATAGTTCAATAACTCTACAAGCAAAGCTCCGTCCTATCTTATGCATGTACGTTTTTTATCATGGTTCACAGACCTGGATGCGTTGTAGTTCCACTATCACGAAGATGCCTCAGGCAGCACATCCAACATCTCAGCATAATCGTCGTCTCCAGCCGAACTACTCCTCCATCACCTCAAACCCAGTCAACTTACATATCTACGTTAATAGTATCAGACACCATCAGATAATGTGTGTCAATATCAACGAGTCAGTCTAGATCTTCAATAACCAACTATCAGCTAGATGCCAACCTGCGTGGCCATATCCTTACATCACCCTATTGCCTCTGTTGCTGTCGTCATGGAACCTCCACAGCCCAAAGCTAAAATCAGCGTCCCGTTCAGCGGTTCGAATCCTAATTCCATCCAAAAGAAAACCGATTGGACATGAACATGAAACTTCAAGGAATCATCCCTGTTCGATGGGAGTCTGGCTGCCGACTTGACAGTCAGCGCTTCCGACCAATTCCACCACATGGCGTCGTCATCCACCTTGAAGTGCTTTTAAGTGTTGCACAGTGCACCCGGATGGTCGGATTTGAGATGATATTGGTTTTTGGATTTCTCTATCAATCAATGTGATCCTTTTGATCGCTCAAAAGAAATAAAAGAACTTAGCGAAATGAAGTTCTTCCATCTCTGGCCCGTGGCACTCTCATTGTGCTCCGCCATCGTCATCCCCGATGAGCAGGTCCTCGGTAATATCGCAAAGATCGATACACACCACAGGGATAGCAATAGCCAGAGGGAGTCACCATCGTTCTTCGGCTCCATCCATGATGTCGCAATTGACTTCCGAAACGCCCTGGATGAAGCCCTCGACTCCGCCTCGGACGCCGCCTCGGACGCCTTCAACACCGAGCGACTGCAGACCAGCGCCTTCGAGGCCTCCTCCTGGATCACCAACTTTTTCAAGTATCCCATCGACGCAGAGAATCTGCCAAAGGACCTCAGGCAGCTGCCCCAATATCTGCATCCCCGTCGGCCCCTCCCGCCTCACCACCCGTCCTTCAACAAGACCATTTACGAGCTGATCAAATCCAGCAAGTACACCACCATCCTGGCCAAGATCATCGACGAGGACGATGAACTCGTCCAGTTCCTGAACAGCACCAAGGCAAACCACACCGTCTTCGCGCCCACCGACAAGGCCTTTGCCAAGATCCCGCATCACCACTGTAGGCATGACCATGACCATGACCATGACCATGATGATGACAACGACGACGACGACCATAAGCACCACAAGATTCCTAAGGAGGTGATCGGCAGAGCTTTCCGCTACCACACCGCACCAGGCCGCTACTCTGCTTCAGACATCTTCCACAGCCATACCATCCCGACGATTCTGAACGAGTCCACCCTGGGTCCCGACCTTCCGCAGCGGCTGGCCGTCCGCGTGGGATGGAAGGGCCTCAAGCTGAACTTCTACAGCCGCATCATTGCCGCAGACATTGTACGTCCCTTTCCTCATCATCCATGACATTGATGATAAAAACCCCTTGACCATAAGAAACCTAAAACTAACCCCAAACCAAACCAGGGCGCCACAAATGGCATCATCCACGGCATCGACGCCATCCTCCTCCCGCCCCCAGAAACGCTCACCCTCCTCACCATCATCCCCTCTGAATTCAGTACCTTCACCCTGGCCCTGCACAAGACCGGCCTCGCCGCCACCCTCAACGGCACCGCCACCCCGCACCACCACGGCGGCACCATCTTCGCCCCGTCTAACTCCGCCTTCCACCGGCTAGGCTTCAAGCTCAACGCCTTCCTCTTCTCCCCGCACGGCGAGAGATACCTCCGCGCCCTACTGCAGTACCACATCGTCGCCAACCGCACCCTCTACTCCGACGTCTTCTACACCGCAGACGGCAAGATCGAGCCCTTCGGCGTGAAGGGCTTCACCCACATTGATCTGCCCACCCGCCTGCACGGCCGCAAGCTCGCCGTCGACCTCGCCCGCTTCGGCCCCTATGCGTCTCTGAAAATCAATGGCTTCCAGCGCGTCGCCTTCGCGGATGCCCTCGCCAAGGACGGCACGGTGCATGTCGTCGACCACGTTTTGATCCCGCCCCGGAAGGTCGATGGGTCAGCGCCTAATTGGACGGGTCATGACGATGAGTTGACCGTGGAGGATCTGAAAAGTCGTCTTGGAGATTGGTTGGACGAGGAACAGGAACAACAACAGGAGAAGCAGCGAGATACAGTGGGTGTGTTGGATGATATGCTGGGACATACATTTGAGTTGTAAATCTGCCATGAGTGAATATTTGTTCAGTAGCCATCGTTTCCATTTCATAGGGTCTCAGGTCGCACATACCTGCTTTCTAGTTTTATTTAAATTCCCTCGTTGGGAGGCAGGCATCTAGATCACTGTACAAATGATACAGAAAAGCGAGCAATATACGGAGAACTCCTGGTAAATCGATGAAATCAAGTATATTTTCTATTCAATTTTGCTTGTATTGTGTATTTGTATATCAGAACACCAAATCCTTCCAGGTACATTGGACTCAATGCCACCAATAATATGCCGTGGCTTCCTCATAGCAAGAATTCCAGTCAAGCAGGCAATCGATGCTCGACTCAAGAAACCGCCGCCTTCTGCCAAGGATCATCAGCTCAGGACATGTATTCATCGTGTTATCAGTGGTACAATATCCCCCTTTCAATCGTCACTACCTTGGGACGATTGGGAAAGTGATTCAATCTGTCAATTCGTCGACATCAATATAGCAAAGCGCGTTGCGGGAAAGAGAAATAAATCGGCCGTCGTCAAAACACAATATTGCTTGCTGCCGGTCATTCTAAGGATGCCGCTCAATGCATCCTCCTTGCCGGCTTCAGCAGAGCCTGAAAGGATGACTCAAGTGCCTTTTTCAGCTCCTTGTAGCTGACAATGAAGCAACTCTGTTCGTCGCGACTCACTAATGTGATCTTTTCGTCCGATCCCGCGTCCAGTTTGTTCAAGCATGAAAGCACATGACCAAGATCGACGACAGCATCGCCCTGGGCATCCACCTGGTGAAAGACATAATCACGGAAAATCTTCAAGAAATAGCGCTCTCCATTTTCTGACCACTGTCTGTCATGCTCATATTCTGGTCGTTCGTTCACAAGATTCAATTTCGTCATCAGGCGCACAAGGCGGCCATTCTCGAGTTCCCGGCTCAAATCCGAAGTGAGTTGATCGTCCAGGTGGAGCGCTGAGTCAAAAGTCGACATTAGCTGTGACGATATGCCGGTGATGAAGATGTCGATATTCCGATCCTGGTCTTTCTGCAATCCATTAAGTAGCCAAAACACCGAATTTTTCATCTGCGGACTGTAGGCACGGGTAAAGTGCTCCATAGCTTTTGTTGGGTTATGCATAACAGTGGGGGAGTTAGCACCCAATGTAACAATAAGTTGTCCAAAATTGACCAAATCCTGACGTTGGAGGTCCGCAACTGTCCGCTGGCTATCATACTGGACGACATCCATAATTGCACAGGCGTTAAGACGGATGCGGTTCTTGCCAGTCAGAAGAATCTTGCTTGCGTCAATAATTCTCGCTGCAAGTCCATTGCTATGAATGGCCTTCAGAGCGTTGGCAATCTGAGTCATATAGCCCCACAACACTTGCTCAGGTATGTGAACATTATGGCGGCCTTGGAATCTTTGACCAGTACCAAGATGCTGTTCAGCAAGTGTTTTCGAAAGCGGATAATAATCAGTAACAAAGATCAGCGAGCTGTCCTGAAAGCTTCTGCTGGTGAATGCGTCATGGATCGTAACAACACTGCCATTGCATACACGTTTCCAGGCCTGTACGGATCGGATAGCTTTCTCGTTTGTCAAACGGAATCCTAGGAAGTTGTAAATATCCACAACCGAAGAAGACTAATGAGAGTTTGGCATTCTGCATACCTTCCAATCTTCGAAGAGCATAGAAGTTGCCATCCTTGCTGGATTGTGCTTTGTACACCCAACTCGGAAAGCCAAAAACAGTCGCGTTTTTCTGGTGATTCAGATCTAAGGGGACAAGAGAGTGAAAGTAGTCGATCTGAGCTGGTAACTGGGTGTCTGGATTCGATTAGCCTTGACATGACGCCACCGACTTGATGCCAAAACACATACTGGGTAGAGTTTGCAGTGTGGCCGCTGCTTTCTTCTGCAGTTCTTCTCGAAAGTCATTGGGAAGGAAAAGATCGTGAACGTTTCGCTGGTATCCCAATGTGTTCTGGTTATGGGGACCGATAGGAGCATACATATGGTATTGGACCTGTTGACATGATGTCAGAGGAACTGCGGAAAAAAGGAAGACAGCACGTGTATGACATGGACTGGAATACTCACTGGTTGCTGAAAGCCAGATGAACCGGGGAAGAAGGCAGCACCGCCAAGTGCTGCGCTGTCATGCGAATAGGGATTTGGCTGGACCGGGCCGACGGCACCACCAGCGGAAAGCGGAGTAGAGGCTGTCACGAAGGGATCAAACGCATTTGTAGGTGTAATAGTTCCATTCCCATTTCCTTGTAGAGCAGTCTGGAAAGAAGGGTTAGCCATGGGAAACCGCACGCGAGGCTTGCGCTTTCGACGTCTGAAGACATGACCCGATACCATAGATGGAATGGGGTTGCCTTCACTGGGAGTGGACTGTCTAGTACTAGTTGTGAACGATGAAGGGGAAGTAGAAGGCAAAGGAGAAGCATTGGGGTCAAAGTCATCAGCAAGAGCATTCAGCCCGCTATGAGTGGGAGCAGTGCCCATCGTGAAGACAGGTATCCCACCCTTTGCGCGATAGAAATCCTTGCTGTGCGAAAACATTGCGGATTCCAACGAACACCTTGTTCCTTCAGACAGATTCATATGTGCAGGCTGAAAATGTAATAGTGTGACAAAAGCAGAGAGGATGACGAGTAGGCGAGCAGACAGTGATTGTGATAGCACTCGCAAGCTGTGAAGGAAAGCGCGACTTACCATGTGTGCCACGTCAAAACCTTGAGGAACAAACTCTTGTACTTCGGCTACAGTCCAGTCGGGGTTTATGTTCTCTTGTCGAGAATTAGGAGTGCTGGTATTGGATCCTGATTTAATCAGCACAGCTGTTCATGATTCATCTGTGGAACGACTGAATCATACGTGAAGCGACACTTCTAGGTTGAAAGGGAGCTGCATTTGCAGCTTTGGGGGATATCGTAGCCATTTTCTTCATTGTTGCTGATGAAATCGTCGGTGACGAGCCATTCGATGGCAGAAGGGAAGGGGTGAAGCTGGGGGAGTCGACGTTGAACCGCTTTTTACTGCTGTGATTGATAGTTTCCGTGTAAGCTATCGTCCAGTCTACAAACGTGAATCTGACTACCCGACGCAGATGGAGGCAAGCGGCAAGGTTTCGGAGTGAGGAAATCCAACCTGTCAAACTGATATGCCGAGTTGACCTTGAGAGGGTCATGGTTGAAAGCGCACCCTTCGAGGCGATATACCAAGGTTAGATGAGCTCGCAGTTTCAATATACGCATTATGAACCAGGGATAATCGCAGCACCTTTATCTTCATACCGACATCGACCGTAGATAGTGACATTGCGACAGAGAGTGTCTTTCGCATTCTCTAAGAGGGAAGGACGCGTCGTGTCAGCTATTTCGTGCTGCATTAACCTGACCCATGTCTCTCAAGAAGAAGATAGTAAATCGATTTCGTGAAGCAGACTAACCTCTCGCCTTCATTTTTGGGGATCCCGTCCCGCGTCGAGAGTCGTCCAAAGCAGGCTTCCCAGCAGAAGCCATGGTGTGTTTCAATCCAGATTCAAGCGGGGATCAACATAGAGGAATCTCCATTGAATCAAAATAAAGGAAAGGAGGACGGCCGGATTTATCGAGGTGAGACCACATTCCTCTATTGATCGCAAGCAAAGATATTTCGTACTCGTAGCCAAGACACTTGATAGATGGAGTCGGATGCCACTAGGGCAAAACACACGGGAGACCAAGAACAGACAGATGGCCCGGAGATCCCCACCTCAAGAAGAGCTGGACCTATACGGAGTACAACCAAGCGATACCAGGCGATGGCCAACACTATTCAAAGACGATAGGCATCGAGACAATATCGACACCACGGATGGTGGAAATGGAAGGGCAGTGACTCGCAAGGCGACTCGGAGGAAGAAAGAGCCCGCGGGGGGTGGAGAGGGGAAACGTCGATTGGTACTCGACAAGTTGACCTTGACCTCTCCGATGCGCGGAGCACGGGCCAATATCCGCAGCAGGCGCGCGTTTCTGGCGCCAAGGTCCCAAACCCGGCGATGACGAAGCTTTCAAAGAGGACAGCTAGACTGTCTATCCATCAGCTGGATTGTTGAGTTCTTGCACTCTCATCGTGTATCTCGCTGCTACCATCGAATCTATCGCTAGAGATTACCTCGATTACCGTCTGGTAGTGTGCCCGAAATTTGCAGTCGCATTCGACATAGTGTCCTCCTCCTCCGCCACACGTGATAGCTTCCTACACTTCCCTCAGATCGCACCACTTCCATCCTGGGATTGTATGGATTACGACTTTCGTTGACCATGTCCTCCTCAGGGCTGGATATTTCTCAGCTGTCTGACAGCGAGAAGTCTGCTCTTGAGACCTACATTGCCGTAACAGGACAGGAGCCATCGGAGGCGATCCCATTGCTGCGCCGGTCCGAATGGAATGTGCAGGTATGCATGAGGATTGATGGACTGGATGATCAAGGCTGAGGATGCTGACACGTTGATGCAAAGATTGCCATCTCTAAGTTCTTTGACGGGGAAGCGCCGGATCCTCTAGAAGAAGCTCGTGCCGCTCTCAACAACCCGCCGCCCCCCCGACCTAGCCGTCAAACCCAGAATCTTATGAGCGATGACCTGACCGCGCGATTCTCTCCGGCAGCTCAAACTTCTGAACCGGCCCCTCATATTACCACTCAGCCCGAAGACCAGACTGCCTACCGGCCTCCTTTCTTACTTGCTCTACTATTCACTCCGTTCAACCTCATATACCGGCTACTCTGCGGCTCCTTTCGACTCTTCAGCACGTTATTCCCGTTCTTACCTCGGCTGCTGAATACCACCGTCAACCCAGCTTTGCAGAGTGCACGGCGGAATACCACCGGGCGCCGGGCTCTGGGACCCCAGGATACGGCCGCCCGGTTCATCCGAGAGTTTGAAGAGGAATACCGGTCGAACTCGATTGGATTCTTGGAAAATGGATACAATATGGCGTTGGAAAAAGCCCATCGGGATTTGAAGTTTCTCCTTGTGGTTCTTTTGTCCCCTGAGCATGACGATACGAACCGCTGGGTACGGGACACGTTGCTCTCGCCGGAGGTCACCGAGTTCGTCAATGACCCCCAGAATGATGTGCTTGTGTGGGGAGGCAACGTGCAGGACTCTGAGGCCTACCAAGTGTCTAATTCTCTCCGGTGCACCAAGTTCCCCTTTGCGGCTGCCATTGTTCATACCCCGAATGTGTCCTCGACTGCTATGTCCGTGGTCTGTAGGATCTCCGGACTGACGTCACCGTCTGAGTTCGTGGAGAAGCTCCGGACCGCTATCACACAGCACAAAGAGGCTCTGGAGCGCCTTCGGGCCTCGCGCGCCGAGCAACAAGCCTCGCGCAGCCTTCGAGAGCAACAAGATTCAGCCTACGAGCGATCGCTGGCTATTGATCGGGAGCGTGCCCGACAACGGCGGGAAGCGGAGGCCGCTCAGCAACGGGCCGAACAAGAGGCGGCCGATCGCCAAGCGGCCGAGGAGAAGCGGATCCGTGATCTTCAGCAATGGAAGCAGTGGCGGGCGCAGTCGATCCAAGACGAGCCCGGCGCGGATGTCAAGGACGCGATTCGCATCAGCATCCGGCTACCATCCGGTGAACGAGTTATTCGCAAATTCGCGCCCGAGGCCGATCTCGAGGAGCTCTACGCCTTTGTCGAGTGCTACGAGGTCTTGCAAGAGGCACAGGGGCAGGAGAAGCCGGTTGGGGCGGAGAAGCCCGACGGCTTTGCGCATCAATATGGATTCCGACTGGTGTCTCCGATGCCACGGACGGTGTATGAAGTTGCCGCTGGGGGGACTATTCGCGACAAGATTGGGCGTGGAGGAAATCTTCTCGTTGAGCCGATTGAGGATGACAGCGACGAGGAGGAACCATGATTGGACTTGGATCTGTACTACTTATACATGGACATGGACAAATAATCCTCGGCTATTGCAGACTTTGTAGTAGATGTCGCTCTACCTTTTCTCGCCTTGCACGTGCTGGTGTCGTTCGAGTAGGAAGGTAGTCTCCCCCCGTGCACCCGTCGCTCAGACCCGTCCCGTCGGGTAGATCTACGGAAGACGGGACATTAGCCGGCAACGCCATACTGAGCCAATGAGAAAGTGTGGTCAATGACAATCTACGACTGAACATCCTGGTGAGCAGAGAGATTGTATGAGGGTATCTATCTATCTATCTATCTATCCACATCTTGGGATGAGGAGCAGTTGGTCGGAAGCGCTGAGATACTTGCATCATCTCGATGGCTGATGATGCGGCATGCAGGTGCGGAGGTCTATCTTGTTCCTTTATGCTTGGCTGTTCGGATAGGGAAAAGCATCGAACTTGAATCTACCTAGGTACTCCATAGAGATCTATCTAGTAGCTATTTTGTAGTATCCTCGATCCAAATACCAAAGTCAATCAGATAGTTGAATGATGAATGCGATTGTACTGTCTTCTTGCATCGGTGATGTTGACCACGAGGAGGAAGCAAGGATGATCCTTACTGTTTGCGCACTATGACTATGACATGACCGTTGTAGATAGGTAGTTCAGGATTGTTAGTTGTTGTTAACTTGTTACACAGCATAAGACGTTGGAGACAAGACAAAACGATTGACTCTGGAATGTTAGCTGACAAGTAGTACTGTAGTACATACGGAGTACTCTGTACCAGACTACCAGTGTATACAGACTACAGAGGAGATCAGGGTTATGCTCACAGAGCGGATTAATAATAATCACCCAGTTATGCCTTCGGAGACGAGCAGATCCGAAATAGTTCAACTTGTACCGGTTCTTGTCACAGACTGTTTTGTTACAGGGTCACGGCTTCGGATGACTTGAATCCCGCCCCACACTCGGCCAGTCTACGATGCCCCTTTTGGGAAACACTGATCATGCCTCTTGGAATTACCGATACCAATATTGTCAATCTTGTCAGAGTGACAAGTGGAGGATGTGTCACTGCCCAATGCCACGTTTTTCCAGGCGGAGATTTTCTTCCTCATTCAACTTGCATCATTATTATTATTATGATTATTATGGCCACCATAGGATCGAGGTCCGTCCTGTAGGTACTAGGTACATCTACGTTACGTATCTACCGGTGGAATGAGATCATGATTGACTTCCATTTTCATAATAATTTCATTGCTTACGTTGGACTTGAAATCATTTGAATCAGAGATTGTCTCTTCGACTAAGGAGTAGTTTCATCTTGGCAGTAGTACCCTTCGGAAGTTATGACTTAGACTATGGGGATGGGGATATTCATTTTGCTCATTATGATTCATACTACCGAGTATAGGATTGTTCTCGGTATGATAATCCTCTCTTTTTCAGGGACCATCTTGATAATATCTGTACATAGTAGTCTTAGTCTTAACTACTACTACTACTCCCCCCATAGATAGAAGTATCAAATGATATCCTCCATGCCCCATACAAAGTCTCGACCTGAGTCAGGATTCGCGGTGGCTCCGATCCGGTTCCATTGCACGACTCAGCCCCATTACAATCCGAGTTAGACATACCGAGTAGGCTAGTAGGCTATGGCTATTAGACTGTCAGACTTAAGAGGATTACTCGAATTCGCTTAGTGCAAAGAAACCCCCCCCGGTTGTCTGGCTGCGATTAGTTAAATGCTAACAGCCTAACAGTAACATCATCGGACGGAGATAATCGTCGATTCTGTTCCCGGTCCTCGTCTGGGTCCGGAGTGAGCTGCGTAGACAGACCCGATTCGTTGTTCCAGACGGGGTTCAAAAAAGTTTTTATACTGTTCAATTCAACTCTGCATGGTGATTGGCAGAGACAAAGGGGACCAACAGAGATTGACTACTAGTAAGTAAAAAGCCCAGACTAAGTCCTGTTTAAGAAGCATAGAAGTTAAAAGGATACACGGGGGGGGGGGGGGGGAAGGCCCTCTACTTTATTTGATCTTCACTCTTGTCTCCATCTTGTTTTCTTAACCCCCCTCGATCCATTCATTCTTTCTTTGATTCTTATTCCCTTCGTCGCCCCTATCTTTCTCAAGTGCTCTCTTATACTCTATTCCTTTACATCTGGTGTTCCCAATCCTTATGCGTCCGAGCGTCTGGACGCCTTCTCACCCGATTCGAGACTAGATATCCATCATGTCTCTCTTAGGGACCATCAATCCTAATCTTAATCCAGAGCGTACCGTGGCTGGCCAAAAGGGTCAGGAAGAAGAAGATAGCGGCAGAGTCCAGTCCAACCATCACAAGCTTGCTAGCAGTGTGAGCACCGATGAGACCATCCTGGACCATTCAAAGGAGGTCGGCAATGAGGAATACGCAGAGGAAGAGGTCACCCGTCTGGCGCGCCAATTAACCCGTCAATCAACCAGATTCTCCGTCAGTGGCCATGTCGAGAATCCCTTCCTCGAGACCAAGGAGGATTCGACGCTGAACCCCCACAGTCCCAACTTCAAGGCCAAGAACTGGATGAAGAACCTGCTCGCGCTGTCATCACGGGATCCAGAGCGATATCCCAAGCGTGTGGCCGGGGTCTCGTTCAGAAATCTGAGCATCCACGGCTACGGCAGTCCCACCGATTACCAGAAGGATGTCTTCAACTCCGTCCTGCAGGTCGGCACCCTGGCCCGCAACATCATGGGCACCGGCAAGCAGAAGATCCAGATTTTGCGCGGCTTCGACGGTCTCGTCAAAAGCGGAGAGATGCTGGTCGTCCTCGGTCGTCCCGGCAGTGGATGTTCGACCATGCTCAAGACTATTGCCGGCGAGATGAATGGTATCTACATGGATGATAAGTCGCAGCTGAACTACCAGGGTATCTCCGCCAAGCAGATGCGCAAGCAGTTCCGCGGTGAGGCCATCTACACCGCCGAAACCGATGTGCATTTCCCACAACTGTCGGTGGGTGATACGCTGAAATTCGCGGCGCTCGCTCGTGCGCCACGGAACCGGCTGCCGGGCGTCTCCAGAGAACAGTACGCTACCCATATGCGGGATGTCGTGATGGCCATGCTGGGTTTGACGCACACAGTCAACACGCGGGTCGGTAATGATTTCGTGCGTGGTGTCAGTGGTGGTGAGCGGAAGCGTGTCAGTATCGCCGAAGTGACCCTCAGCGGCAGTCCTCTGCAGTGCTGGGACAACAGTACCCGTGGATTGGACAGTGCAAACGCTCTGGAATTCTGCAAGACTCTGAACTTGATGACCAAATATGCCGGTGCTACGGTTGCTGTGGCCATCTACCAGGCCTCTCAGAGTGCTTACGATGTCAGTACCGAAGACGAAGGGGTTATCCTATCCACTTGGTCTGATCAATGCTAATCCTGCTGCAGGTCTTCGACAAAGTGACGGTGCTCTATGAAGGACGACAGATCTACTTTGGACGCACCGACGAGGCTAGGGGATTCTTCACCAACATGGGATTTGACTGTCCTGAACGTCAGACAACAGCCGATTTCCTGACATCCCTCACAAGCCCTTCGGAGCGCTTGGTGAAGCCGGGCTTTGAAGGCAAGGTCCCGCAAACTCCCGATGAATTTGTCCAGGCCTGGAAGAATAGCGAGGCCTATGCCAGACTGATGAGAGAAATCGACGAATACGACCGCGAATATCCCATTGGTGGCGAGTCGCTCGATAAGTTCATCGAGTCTCGCAGAGCGATGCAGGCCAAGAACCAGTGAGTCGCAGCAATGTTCCACGTCGCAGTCCACGAGCTAATTTTTTTTTTTTTTTTTTTTCTCGCAGGCGCGTCAAGTCTCCTTACACCATTTCCGTCTGGCAGCAGGTCCAGCTGTGCATGACCCGTGGCTTCCAGCGTCTAAAGGGTGACTCCAGTTTGACCACGTCCCAGCTAATCGGTAACTTCATCATGGCTCTGATCATCGGAAGTGTCTTCTTCAATCTGCGGGATGACACGTCTAGTTTCTATGCTCGTGGTGCCCTGCTGTTCTTTGCCGTGCTGCTCAATGCATTCTCCAGTGCTCTCGAGGTAAGCCTTTGGTCCCCGAATCGCTCGATCACTCATCTAATCCCCTCTCCAGATTCTAACACTGTACGCACAACGTCCCATCGTCGAAAAACAATCGCGTTACGCAATGTACCACCCCTTCGCCGAAGCCATCGCCTCGATGCTCTGTGATATGCCGTACAAGATCCTCAACGCCATCATCTTCAACATCACCCTCTATTTCATGACAAACCTTCGCCGGGAACCTGGGGCGTTCTTCGTCTTCTTACTCTTTTCGTTTGTCACCACTATGAGCATGTCCATGATCTTCCGTACCATCGCCGCATCGTCTCGGACCCTCTCCCAGGCTCTAGTGCCTGCCGCCATCCTCATCTTGGGTCTAGTCATCTACACCGGCTTTACGATCCCCACAAGAAACATGCTTGGCTGGTCGCGATGGATGAACTATATCGATCCCATCGCATACGGATTCGAGAGCTTGATGGTGAACGAGTTCCACAACAGACGGTTCCTCTGCCCCGACTCTGGATTTGTCCCGTCTCGTGGTGCCTATGATAGCCAAGCTCTGCAATACAGGATTTGTGCGACGGTCGGTGCCCGCGCCGGCTCTAAATACGTCGAGGGCGACGACTATCTCAACCAGAGCTTCCAGTACTATCAAAGCCACAAGTGGAGGAATCTGGGCATCATGTTTGGTTTCATGTTCTTTTTCATGATGACCTATCTGCTTGCCACCGAATACATCTCGGAAGCCAAGTCCAAGGGTGAAGTCTTACTGTTCCGCAGAGGGCACGCTTCCTCCGCTGCTCCCCACGATGTCGAGACAAACGCTCAGGTATCCACCGCCGCGAAGACCGACGATTCCAGCGGCAAAGAGGCTACCGGTGCCATCCAGAGACAAGAGGCGATCTTCCACTGGAAGGATGTGTGTTACGATATCAAGATCAAGAAAGAGCCTCGGCGGATTCTCGACCACGTGGACGGCTGGGTCAAGCCTGGTACTTGCACTGCTCTCATGGTATTTTCACTTCGCATAGCTGAAGGAATTGACTATCCACTTGCTAACTTCGTCACCAGGGTGTTTCCGGCGCCGGTAAAACTACCCTTCTCGATGTGCTTGCCACCCGCGTGACTATGGGTGTTGTGACTGGCGAGATGTTGGTCGATGGCCGTCCTCGCGATCAGTCTTTCCAGCGTAAGACCGGATATGTGCAGCAACAGGATCTTCATCTTCACACTACCACCGTCAGGGAGGCACTGCGCTTCAGTGCTATCCTCCGGCAGCCCGCTCACGTCCCCCGCCAGGAAAAGCTCGACTATGTTGAAGAAGTCATCAAACTGCTCGGCATGGAATCCTATGCTGATGCCGTTGTCGGTGTCCCCGGAGAAGGTTGGCATTCTTAACTATCCCTTCTGGCCGCTTGATCTAACACATTCCGCCCCAGGTCTCAACGTCGAACAGCGCAAGCGTCTCACCATCGGAGTTGAACTCGCCGCCAAGCCTCAACTGCTCCTCTTTCTTGATGAGCCTACCTCCGGTCTTGACAGTCAAACCTCTTGGTCCATTCTCGATCTCATCGACACTCTCACCAAGCACGGCCAAGCGATTCTTTGCACCATTCATCAGCCCTCTGCGATGCTCTTCCAGCGTTTCGATCGTCTGTTGTTCCTTGCCAAGGGTGGTAAGACCGTGTACTTTGGAGAAATCGGAGAGAAGTCGTCGACCCTTGCCAGTTACTTTGAGAGGAATGGTGCGCCGAAGCTCTCTGCCGAAGCCAACCCCGCCGAATGGATGCTTGAGGTCATTGGCGCCGCCCCCGGATCGCATAGCGACATCGATTGGCCTGCAGTCTGGCGTGACAGCCCGGAACGCAAAGCGGTGCATGACCACCTGGAAGAATTGAAGTCGACGCTCTCGCAGAAGCCCATTGACGCCTCCAAGGCCGATCCCGGCAGCTACAACGAGTTCGCCGCTCCCTTCGCCGTCCAGCTGTGGGAGTGTCTGCTCCGTGTCTTCTCTCAGTACTGGCGGACGCCTGTGTACATCTACTCCAAGGCCGCGCTCTGCATCCTCACCGCGCTCTACATCGGTTTCTCCTTCTTCCACGCGCAAAACAGCGCGCAGGGCCTGCAGAACCAGATGTTCAGTATCTTCATGCTGATGACCATCTTCGGGAACTTGGTCCAGCAGATCATGCCCAACTTCTGCACGCAGCGCTCCCTGTACGAGGTCCGCGAGCGACCCTCCAAGACCTACTCCTGGAAGGCCTTCATGACTGCCAACATCATCGTCGAGCTGCCCTGGAACACCCTCATGGCCGTCCTCATCTTCGTCTGCTGGTACTACCCCATTGGCCTGTACCGCAACGCCGAGCCCACCGACTCCGTCCACGAGCGCGGCGCCCTCATGTTCCTCCTCGTCTGGACCTTCCTCCTCTTCACCTCCACCTTCGCCCACATGATCATCGCCGGCATCGAGCTCGCCGAAACCGGCGGCAACCTCGCCAACCTCCTCTTCTCTCTCTGCCTCATCTTCTGCGGTGTCCTCGCCTCCCCGGACGCCCTCCCGGGCTTCTGGATCTTCATGTACCGCCTCTCCCCCTTCACCTACCTCGTGTCCGGCATGCTCGCCACCGGCGTCTCCGGCACCCGCGCCGTCTGCGAGAAGGTCGAGCTCCTCCACTTCGACCCCCCAGGCAACCTGTCCTGCGCAAAGTACATGGCCGACTACATCTCCTCCCGCGGCGGCTACCTCGAGATTCCAGACGCCACCTCCAACTGCGCATTCTGCACCATCTCCGACACGGATACCTTCCTTGCCGCCGTCAGCAGCTACTACAAGGACGCCTGGCGCAACTTCGGCATCATGTGGGCCTACATCATCTTCAATATCTTTGCCGCCGTCTTCATCTACTGGCTGGCGCGTGTGCCCAAGGGCAAGCGCACCAAGGAGTGAAAGAAAGTTCTTCTTCATTCATCACCCTCCCTCTTTCAATTCTCTGAAATATTGACAATCCCTTCCCATTGAATTTTTTTAAGGGACCTGCGTCTTTTCTTGTTTATTATCTTCCTTTTTCCTTTTTTTTTTTTTTTTTCTCCTCGCTCTATATTGTTCCATTTATTTTCTATTCCCCACCCCTCCCTCCTTCATTGTTCCACGTATCTTGCGGCAATTTCTGTACTCCTGAAGATCGACATCGTACGCAAGGTTGGTTGTGCATATTTGGTTATTCTTGGACATATATTGACCGACTTTTCCCGTGGCTTTTCTTTTCTTTTTTATTTTTATTTTTTTTATTTTTCATATTCTCTACTACTCTTCTTTTGTTTAATTTTTGCTCCTGTACGGGTCTTTTGCTTTTGGATTATCCATTGCTCGAATAATAGACCGATAGATAACAATTGTCAATTTATTATCAATGATCCTGAGGAAATATAGATAGATAGATGTATTTGCTATTCGAGGAAGAAATTTTTTTCTTGGGGACAAGTTCTGCATTGGCTGTGCGAGAGATGCGTTATATTCACGGCTGTACCCGGTTATGGGGCTAGTTGCAACAAGTGAGATGATAGTACTCCGTAGACGCCAGGTGATCGACAGGAAGGAAGTCAGAGAGAGAGAGAGAGAGATTGTGCAAGGCCGTACAAATGTAGATCGTCGCCAGGACAGGTGGCGCCGGACAACTTCTATCAGCGCAGAAGCAGATATAGAAATGAGAGAAAGAAAAGAAAAAAAAAGGCTAATGACACGAAAAAAGGTCGATTAATGTACATATTAACCAAAGAGATCGACAGCGAAATTAAGAGAAAAAGAAGGGAGCAAGGCAATCTCGTCGTCAAGACCAATAGGGCTGGGTACGAGCCTACCACGTGAATGCTTCTTCGACGAAATCAACCACCGCCCCTTTGCCGATATTACTCCGCGCTGCCGCCCGGACTTCATCTGCGAACGCGCCTGGTCCGCACACTGACACGATAGTGGCACCAATACGTTTTGGGATGACTTCGTCGAGGACAACTTCAGGTCGGCAGCGACCGGGGAACATCTGCACGGTTGCGCTGGGAGAGACGATCTCGCGACTGCTCTTCGGTTTTGAGACGAAAAGCTTGACGGTGAGGATTTCGCGGCGGCCCGGAAGGCGGAGGATCTGGTCCATCCAGTCACGGACCCATGTAAGGTGTTCTGTGTTGCGGACAGACCAGATGAGATAGATCTGCTGAGTGGCTACGCGGCCCTCCGAGGCACGAATCAGAAGGTCGCGTACGAAAAGCATATGATGCGTGATGCCGGCGCCGGCGGAGAAGAGCACCGCTGTGCCGTAGCTACCCATGTTTGACGCGTGGGACGAGTACGGTCCTTCAATGTAGCCAGTCGCGTGGAGGGTCTGGCGCGGCGCGACGAGCGCCTTGTTGTACAGCTTGCGGGTCATGCCCTGCCGCGCACCGATGATGAGGGAGACAGAAGTGGGCTGTCGGTTGCCTCGCATGTAGTCATCGAGATCCAGGGCGGGTTGCTTTTCGAGGAGGGATGGGGTCATGGGACTCGAAGACGCCTCCGACGTCGAAGATGAAGTCACGGCGTTGCTTGGTTCAACCCAGGCAATAGAGAACGGATGTGACATCCATAGGGAAACGCTGGGAATGTAGGCGAAGACGTGGCCACCAGGGTTGATGCGTACACTCTTGGGCAAGTGGAAAGTCACCTTGCAGGCCTCTCCGGGCAACGCTTCAACGACCAGTTTGGTCGCACCCTTCTTGAGCGAAAAATTGAGATAGAGCAAGCGAAGAAGTCGAGCTGTTCGCTCAAACAGCCACAATGCACCGATCGCCTGGGCCCAGGGGATCTGAGGGAGTTTATCCAGGTCCAGATGCACGTAGACGCCAAGGAAGGCCAGGAAGGCAGCAAGTTGGTGGAGATGCAAAAAAGTCTCGTAGAAAGCATGGCGGACTGGTGAAGGAGAGTGGAGGCAGAGGAAGACCATCGCCACTGTTCCGACAAGACCCCAGGTAAAAAACGGCGTGGTGGTTAGCCGTTCCAGCATGCGAGAGAAATCCTCTTCATCCACGGCATTGACAGCCCATGCTATGGTGTGCACCACACTTTCCAGCACGACTATACGACCCAGCCACCGGTGAAGAAGGTTATATGTGTCGAAGCTAATGTGTAGCAGTGGAATCAAGGGGTTATTGCGGCCTGCGAGGAGAAAGAGTGGCACCATGTTCATGACGGCGAGGGTTCCCGACCGTCCGCGGAGCTCAGCAACGAGGGCTGCTTTCACGTTCACTTTGTAATCCAAGAAGCAACAGTAGGCTACCTGGCTGACCAGGTACAGCAAAATCAATATGGAATGGAACCTCGACGGCAGGGTGCCCACGTTGAGGGCCGACGAGAGTTGGATTTCTCGGTTGTGTCGCTTGCGACCCAAAGGTGCATAGAGAATGTGTTTTTTGATGTTCGCCCATAACCGTGATTCCTCCACGCTCCAGAACATTTGCTGCCTTCGACCTGCCGTCAGAGAAGTAATATGGCGAAGATATGCATGGCTGATCTGGGCGATTCGACCGCAGAAGACGAGCAGCGCTCCTATAACGACAGATCCATAGATGATACGCGTGAAGATAATATCTCGGGGGACGTTGACCCCGCCAAGGCCTCGAGAGTACTCGTAAACATAGGTGGCATTTGACCCATGACCACGAGGGGCGATGTGTTGATGAAGGGCGTCCATCGGAAATTGAGGACTATGCCGCCCAGGAAGTCAAAAGGCCGCCTGTTCTGCTAGGATACGAGCGACTTCAAGGCTGAACAAGGGCGGGGGGAGACAAAAAAAAGAATGACGAAGGGAAGAGATCCTTTGCCAGAAGGTCTCAGTGGCGGGCAATGCAATTTTGCAAGGGCCTAGACACCAGTGCCGTATGATGATGTAGGCGTTAATGATGGCTGGGGAACGGCTGGAATGCGGAGAATAGGCACGCTGTCCAGAACAACTATGAGTCTTCGAAGCGGGATTGACAGATGACAAAGGCTCTGTGTGTGATCTAGGCAGACTGATGATTCTCGATAAAGGAATGACGGCTGAGATCTTTTGTTTGTCCAGAAAAAAAGAAATCAAAAATCAAAAAAGGGCGATTGTTTCAACCGGAGAGCGAACAAAAAGAGATTCTCAAGATGATTGTTTCTAACACAACCGACGATGTCAATACCTCAGCTAAGAGTTGCAGGCTCCACGTCTTAGTCGCTGAAGCAGTGCGGATCAGAGACAGTCTCGTCTCTGAGAGCCGACAGGAAGACAAGCCTGGAAGCACAGCGGTACAAAGCACAATGACACTCACCTTCCACGTGCATGATCGTCCAACGAGGATTCCAGCAAGCTTTTTACGAGACGCTCAGCGTCATGAAATATTCAACGGCTAGTGACGTCGGATGTGTTGACAGAATGAAGATTGACGACCCTTATTTTGCAGATGCGAGCCATCCAAAGCGCTCTGAGGGAGGAAGGGATCGACAAGAACGAAGGGAGACGGGAGATGCTCAAGCAAATTCCGTCTCTGATTGAAGAAAGAAGCTGCCAAGAGAGTCTAGCAGTGGAGAGAAAAATAGATGCTACTGGGGAAGGGAATCGAAAGTCTCCTATTTGGACGCGACGATCAGAGCCAGCTGAAGGCGAAACCGTGAAATATCGAGTTATAAACACCAGAAGAAGAACTCGAGGGGGGGGACAAGAGATTCCCTGATTTTCAAGGCAAGATCCACCAGGGCAGTGAAGAAGTAAAGTGAAAATCAGGAAGAATCAGAAAAGCAGACCGGTCTGCAAATGCTCTCATTATGAAACAAACACACAGGTCAAAAGGGGATGGATGTACCCCATATACGGAGTCCTACTCGTCTTAGAGGCGAAATGGCGTGGTCTTGGAAGCAGAGTTCTTCTTCAGAGCCAAGACGGGCGTCTGCCGTGGAGCGGTGCAGGCCAAACCCTATCAGGCACCCCGCGACGCTGATGCTCTGGCTTCGACGGAGAACAGGCGAATTATCGACTTGGCTTGCCTCCGTACCTTGGAGTACCTAGTCTTTCTTTGATCCGGGAAAATCTTCATGATGGTGAAGAACACGATGATGGATATGATGATGATGATGATGATGATGAGCGGACAGCGCTCCCTTGCAGATGACGTCGGCCCAACAGCGTATCGCTGGCCATACTCTGTACATTCAGAGGGTTAATCAACCCTCCGGGTAGGCGCTGAGCTGGAGGAGGAAGCGCCCAGCGCCCCAGCCCCTCTTCAGCAGAATTCATTCACCAGTGCCCCCGAAGGCCCGTATACTCGCCACTTGGAAGTGGGCTGGCTGGCATTAGTTAGGTCGGATGATTGTGGGAACTGGGAAGAGAGAAAATAGAATAAACAAAAATAAAAAAAAAAAGACAAATCACCCATCGAGTCATCGACAATAATACATTATTATTCGATGAATGGAAGCCTGAACGTGTTTCAAACTAGATAGATCAGACTGAAACACTCGGTCCATATTGGCCCAGCGCTAGCTGATCCACTGAGGTCTGTACAGCTAGTCGGCTACAGAGTGTAGATAGACTGTAGACTTGTACTCCGTAGATAAACCACGATCGAGTAGATACTCGACTCACAGACTGTCATCTGCAGAGGCGCTTTCAGAATCACCGAGCTGCGATAACCCAATGAGAAATAGCATCGCCATGCTCTTCTGGATAGGAAATTAGAGATGAAACCCTTGAAGCCACTGTCTGCGACGGTTGAGTTGTACAGACTCCCAGGCCGGGGGAGATGAAATCATGTTGGGAATCAGCCGGGGTCACATGGGTGTCACGGGAACCATCCGGTAAAAGAGACAGACGCCTTTTAATCTATTTTCATATAGCCTGTCTCATCTTCACTTCTTATCATCCTCCTGAGTCCTGATTCTTTTGGGATCCAAGACTCCAAGACTCCAAGATCATACTAACAATTCAGCTATCTGTTCATGGCATGCCCATGCTCAGGGTTTGACCGTCTGAGCTATCAAATAGTTACCATTCAGCCGAGCTCCGGAATCTTTTTACGCAGCCCCTGAAGAGCTCTGGAATCCTACGAGAAGGTCGCTAACTTCGCTTCCATGCGATGAAGCGAGTCGCGATATTGACATATCCACCTATCCCAAACCCAAGGACCCATCGGCCATCGGTATCGGTTGGGTCGAGGGTCGAACCGGATCAACCGATGGATCCCATGTGTCCATGAGTCTCTCCCGTTATTATTATTATCCAGCCGATTTTGCACATGTGAGCAGTCATAATTCATAATATCCTCATAACCAAGGTCCAGGCCTCCTTGGTTATTGACTATTGAGCCTGGATGGAGGCGCCCAGACACCGGACATGGCAAACTAGCAATTCTCAAGACCATGGCTGAGGGGCCGGCCAGCAATGGTAGGACAAGGTAAAGGAGAAGTTAATATCGTCGGTTCCAAGAAGTCCAAGTGTGGCTCTCCATGAGATGGTAGATACTTCCTACCGGCTAATCGATCCATGTCACAAAGTTATCTATTATTATCATACCAAGATCATAAAAGCACCATAGAAGAAAAATCATCGCAGCACCCCTTTATCGTCCCATCCAACCGCCATCGACGCAAATAATATCCCCTGAAACATAGCTACTTGCTTGACTCGCCAAGAAGACGACCACGCCCTTGAAATCTTCCGGCTTTCCCCATCGGCCGGCTGGGATTCTAGCCATGATACCGGCGTTCCGGTTGGCATCGTTGATCAAGGCCACGTTCATGTCTGTGTCAATATACCCAGGGGCAATGGCGTTGACATTAATACCCTTGCTGATCCATTCGTTCGACAAGGCCTTGGTCAATTGGGCAATGCCACCTTTGGATGCTGCATATGCCGGTACGGTGATGCCACCCTGAAAAGAAAGAAGCGACGCAACGTTGATGATTGAGCCCCTGCGGCCGGAAGGGAATTCAGAGACATCCCGAGCCAGTAAGTAGGCTCCGAATTCGCGACACAAAGTAAAGACCGAGGTCAAATTCACTTCGATAACCTGTGTCGTTTCGTAGAGACTGTTAGCTTCTGGACGGTGGGAGGCTGTGCGCCGAATCTCCACTAACCTCGTCCCAATCTTCGTCTGGGAATTGTTCGCTGGGATGCCTTCTCTGGATGCCAGCACAGTTTAGAAGGATTTCCGGCTTCAGCCCCTGGCCTGTGACTGCTGGTATGATTCCCTTGACGGCTTCGCGCTTTGACAATTCTGCGACATGAATCCAAGCTTTGCGACCAATCCGATTGACAATCTCATCCCGGGTTTCTGTGTTGGATTCGTCTCGCTGGTATGGGCTGTTAGCGATTCCAGCATTCATGAAACAAGTGCACCCCCTCGATATACTCGTACCTGAACCAGAACGATATCAGCACCGGCCTCGGCCAGGGCCAAGGCCATTGCCTGACCGATCCCCCTTGTTCCACCCGTTACAATTGCGGTCTTTCCGCTGAGGGAGAATAGTGAGGTGACCGTTGCGGACATTGTGATGATGGATAACCGAGGTCTCCTCGTAAACTGACGTTGATGAGTAGGTAGGCACTGGACGAGGTTCTGCAAGAGGGATAGGTATTGTCCAATATACTCTTGTCGGTAGAGATGCAAGAGTTGATAGAGATGATTTACTTGAGAACAGCAGATGACTGGGACTGACGAAGTTCCCATCCATAAATATCAACTTGCTGTGTGCTGCGATGCTCGTTCTTTTCCCCACGCGCGGGGCAACCCAACCATGTTGCCCAAAAGGGGTATGTCCATTGCCGTCATTCGCCGCCCCCACACACCAGTCGGTGAATGAACTTTCCTGAAATGGCTAGTGGATGGCACGTGGACTGTATTACCACTGTCATGACTACTACTGAGTACCTAGGTACTGACAATACCTGAATCTGGGGTGTAATAATTCCAGCCAGATATCAAAATACTACCTATTGACCTCCCTGGCATGTCCCTTTTCCCACGGCTCAGAGACTCGAAAGCTTCACTGCGACAAGTTGACTGACCATCTTTGATGAAGCTGTCCCGAGCCGATTGCTACGGTTGCAGTCGTAAGTTGACGTGAAACGGGGCAATCATATACATGGTCGTTTGCTGAAACAGAGGCATGTCGAGGTTGAACTTGGAATCGGTCTGCTTGATGAGGACAATAAAAGCATGATATATACATGCTTGGCTTCGATTCCAAGTCAGAAATCTCGCATCATGCCATCACCGATTAAATATGGGATGATCGAATATTGTATCACTGGGTGGGAGGGACTTCTGTCAGCCTTGTAAGTGATGATTCCTGATGGGCAGACGGCAAGAGGTAGATCTCTAGCAGATCAGTATCGAATTCCAATTGCCCTTTTAAATTTCAGGATATTATCAGTGATCATCTTCATTTCACCTTCATTTCATCGTTTCATTTGTTAATGATTCTGGTGACCTCGGTGGACTTGGATAGATAGTGTGGTATGTAGGTATGTATGGTTAGTAGTATTACCTACTATGTACTCTTTCATACTCGTATATACGAAGTATGGAGTACAGCCAGCCCATTCAACCCACAAGACCCTACAAATCAGTTGGCGCCAGAAATCGCCTTAGTAGTAGTACTTTCCATCCACTTCCCCCCCCCAAAAGAGACAGGGATTTGACTCCTATCGTCCTTAGCGATTCTTTATCAGCATGTGTCCAATAATTTCCTCGTCCAAGTAATCGAACTGTAACCCCATATTCTACTGTGGGTCTGTCTAAGCAAGCATCTTCCCCAAGATTCCACGATCGTCCGGGGTTGACAAGAGCTGTTCGAACTTCCATTCCAGCCAGTGTTGACTGTTGCCTTTCTCATCTAGTCTGTGCTTTCTAGACCCTGAGCAGATGTGACATACGGCTGTATTGCAGACTGAGAAATACAACAGAGGTGGCTACTTTCCAGACACCGCAAGTCTCCTCAGCTTCGCAGCAAAACGGCTTCACATATGCACGCGTCCAGCCGCCAAGCCTCACCAGCACCACGTTCATGAGGACAATGATGCTGTTGCATCACCAAATTTCTGATTTGTGACCCGAGCTTGATGTTTTCTGGCGACAATGGATCAAGACGACCAGACTCCACAGTCGGAGAGCGCCTCCGGATCGAGGCTGAAATCTCGCTCCGACCCTTCAGCGAAGCGCGTGTCAAGAGCCTGTTTACACTGCCGACAGCGTAAATCCAAGTGTGACTTGTACGTCCCTGGTGTCTTATACGCACTGAATCGGATGTTATTTGTTTCCGATCGCTAACGGTAGAATAGAGATAGCAGTGGCAGCCCCGGGGTGCCACCATGTCAGCGGTGTCTCCGAGAGAACCGCGAATGTGTCCTTGGAGGCTCAAACCGCGGAGGACGCCGGATTCGAAAGAACAAAATGAAAAATTTCACGCCGAGCACTGACCTGGCCGCGCGTATAGAATCGTTGCTGGACACCACCAGTCCGTCCACCTCAGACAGTCGCAAAAATCCGCCCGGTGCATATTCAAATCCGGTTGTCTTCGTGCCTCCTAATCCTCCAGCGACGGTTTCCGTATCGGTGGATGACGGAGACACGGCCTCGATCGACTCGGTACCGCAAAACCCGTCGGATGCATGGCAATGCTTAACGGGCATTGCCAAACGCAGTGCGGACGACCCAACTCCCGAGACGCACACCGACTCCATGCAATCGGGTCCAGGTGGGTTCCCATCCTTGAATGCGTTCCAGAATCCTGCGACTGCCGAGTATCAATCAGCCACGGGTATCAGAACATACAGGCTGGTGCAAGCAAGGTCTCTGGACCCGGGCACAGTGTGGCAGCTGGTGGCTCGCTATGCCAAGAACTTTCATCCTTATCTTCCACTGGTGCCCCGCAAGTACTTCGACCGCAATGCTCTGGACGCCTTCGCCAACAATGAGAAACATCTCCTGACCGCCGTGCTTACCATCGCTTCGAAGGACCTGGTGGACCGGCCGGAGATCCATGAATACTGTTCCAAGTACATGCACGAACTCATCTCTGGCATCGCGGCTGGTGCCGACTGCGACGTTGAGGCTGTGGAAGCGCTTCTTCTTCTGGCAGAATGGGAACCCCAGGGTCTTCGGCCCCGGATTGAGCGGGTTGGGCGTGGAGAAGAGGACCGGGCGGCCTGGATGCATGTCGGGTTGGCCTTGCGATCGGGGTATTTCTTGGGATTAGACCGGACGTCGTTTCGAAGCGACACCTCGGGAAACACAGAGACCGAAGCCCGCAGGAGACTGGCATGGACCAGTTGCTATATCTCCGACCGACTCATATCCGTTCGGATCGGACGGGCTTTCTGGTCGCGAGGTCCAGGCCCTATGACCGGTCTTGTCAGTCAGGATTTTCCTTCCTTACTGCCCGTCAATGAGAGTGACGAAGACTATGCCAAAATCTTCCAGGCCACATTGGATCTTACGCAGCTCTACAACAACGTCCATGATGTATTGTACTCTGGAATGCGGACCAGTAATCAGATGATGCTCATGGGCGACTACGTGAAATATGTGGATGATTTTCGTCTTGCGATTCTTCGTTGGAAGTCCCGCTGGGGCTCGCTGCCCTGTATGTCCTTTCCATGCAATTGCGTGGTGTCAGATACTAACATCTCTCAGGTTCTGCGCCGATGCGAGCCACTCTGCAACTCTCGTACGAGTATCTGAGACTCTATACCAATGCATTTGCATTTCAAGCCGCGATCTCCCAGTCACTGGTATCCAAGCACAAGAACAACGATCAATCACAAAGAGAACATTTGCGCTCGACTTTCAACAACGTGGCATCGATGCAAGATGCGCGATTCATCTATGAATCTGTGGATGCCGCAAAAGCGTACCTGACCATCCTTGTAGATGAAGTGCACCCGGAGAAGCATTTGCATTTCATGCCTCTGCGGTATTACTTGTACGGCATCTACGCGGCTGTCTTTTTGTACAAGGTGGGGTTCGAACTCGCATAGTCTTGGCTTGGAAGCTCACGAGTGTTATAGGCGCGCTCATTCGGGGTCATGCCCAACTCGGAAGAAACCAAGGTACGCAACTTGGTCACTCGCACAACCGAAGTCTTGAAGCGAGCAAGTGCTGGACCAGACGATATCGGGGCCCGTTACGCACGGCTTTTGGAGCTCTTGTGGCAGGCCAAAGCTCCGGCTACCGTCTCCCCTGCGACCACACATCATAGTGATATCCTTGTGCAGAGTACCCTTGCCAACCGCCTGCCGGAGCAGAATGCTTACGTGCACTTCAGCCCTGCCAATGATTTCTCTTGGCTAGACCTTGAAGCAGTCGGGGACTTTGTTTCCGGAGACCAAATACCAGGAGCAGGCACCATGGCGTTCGATGCGTTCCAGAACCCTGATCTGTACCAGACACAAGATCGTTCGCTGGCGTGGCCGCTGGCAACCTGGTCCGGTGATATGACCAACCTTTTATTCTAAAAACTCTCGTCGGGGAATTTACACATCGGAATACCTATATAATCATCCCCCCCCCCCGCACTGAAAGTCATCAGATCCCAGATCGGTTGGTTCCAGCGTGGTTCATAGCCGTGGAATCACTGAGTCGATTGCCCACTCTGTTGTGTTACCCCCACACTTGTGAATGCGGGGCTGCGGGGCGACGAAGACTCGGGAATCTCTCCGATAAAGCAGCGTTCGAGTGGGTAACCGAGGGCTGTGAGCTCAGGAATTGCTTTGGTTTCTTTCGCAGGGCTAGCAGACGCTAGTTTGTGTGATTCACTCTACGCTCCGTCTTCTGCAGATCGCCATATCTCGATCTCTTCAATCTATTACATTCCCGACCATGGCGCAACTCAATGAGATTCGCGGCCGTCTGGCCCTGATCACAGGCGCATCTGGAGGGTAAGCAGCGCGCACCTGTCTCTTGACTATTCGCCCGCCCACTGGTATGTCGCTGACTGCATACTCTCGACCAGAATTGGAGCAGCCTGTGCTAGCCAGCTGGCGCAACGAGGCGCCCACCTTGCACTGACATACTCGACCAACCTAAACGCAACAAACGCTCTTGTGGAAGAGCTCAAATCCACCCCCGGCGGTGACGCACTCCGCATCTCGATCCACCAGGTCGACGTCGCCTCCGCAGACCAGATCCAGAACATGTTCGCACAGATCGACAAGGAGCACGGCCAGCGACCGGACATTCTGGTGTCGAACGCAGGCTACGGCAAGCGCATCCCGCAGGTATGGGATATCTCGCTGGAGGAATTTGACTACACCATCAACGTGAACCTGCGCGCCTCCTTCATCCTGGTTAAAGGCGTGGTAGACCACATGAAGGAACAGCGATGGGGGCGCATCATTTTCATGTCTTCGATTGCCGGATACGGCGGGGGAATCAATGGCTGCCGTAAGTACCATATCATCCTCCCTTTTTCCCTCAGCCAAAAAAGAGGCTGACTCTGGCATGCAAAGATTACGCTGCTTCCAAAGGCGGCATGACCGGCATGATGAGGAACCTCTCGACGCGTCTGGCGGAATACAACATCAGCGTCAACGACGTGGCGCCTGCGATGATCGGCGACACGGGCATGATCCCCAGTGCCCAGGCCATCCCCGAGGTGGCGGCGGGAATCCCTCTGCGGCGCCTGGGGGCTCCTGAGGAAGTGGCTAATGTGGTGACCATGCTCGCGACGACGGGTTACATGACGGGTCAAAGCCTGCTGCTGGCAGGCGGGTTGAAGTGAGCCCGTATATATATGTATACACACACACACACACACACACAAAAAGATACCTATATATACAACACTGAGAAATTGTTCAAACATGCCGTGATTCAATTGATTTTCATCTTATGTACATCCTTGATCTGTCCTTGCCGCGCAGGGCCATCATGCAATCGTTCTGTTCGAAAGGGTATAAACAGAGTATCTGGAAGAGGGGGAAACGAAGAAAAAAAAAACACAACATCAAACGCCTAGCTCTCAATCACAACCTTCACAACCGGTCTCCCCTCCTCATCCACCCCCTTCCCAGCCAGACTAAACGCCCGCTCCCCCTCCTCCAGCTTCACCCGATGCGTCACGACCTGCTTCTCCACATGATCCAGCTTCCCACTCGCCACCAGCTCAATCGCCGCCGGGTACGCAAGCCCATCATACCGAAACACGCCGATGATATCGACCTCGCGCAGCGCCGCCGCCCCCACCGGCAGCGTCTGCACGGGATTGCCCATGCCGATTTGCACGAGCACGGCGCCCGGCGCCGCTGCATAGATCCCCGCCTGCACGCACGCTGGCACGCCGGTGCAGTCGTACACGCGCACGAAGCCGGCGCCCACCCCCAGCGCGTTTTTCAGCGCGGCTGCGGTACGCTGCGCGCTCTGCAGGGCGTGGGCGACGTGGTCGGCGTTCGGGGCGGTGGCGGGCGGGGGTGGGTGTGCGGGATCGCCCTTGGGCAGGAGATGGGTCTGGAGGCCGAGGTTGAGCGACTCGGCGATGCGGAGGCGGGCCGGGTCGATGTCCGCGACGACGATGGAGGTGAAGGGCTGGGAGGTGGCGAGGGCGGCGGCGAGGAGGAGGCCGATGGCGCCGGCGCCGAAGATTAGGGCCGCGGAGGAGTCGCCGAGGGAGCGGGCCAGCTCGACCTCGGCGGGTGTGGGCGGGTGTGAGCGGCGGATGGCGTGCAGACAGACGGCGAGCGGCTCGACGAGGGCGCCGCCGGCGTAGGAGACGGTGTCGGGCAGCTTGTGGCACATCTCGGCCGGGTGGTTGGTGAGCTCCATGAGCGTGCCGTCGAGATGGGGGAAGCTCTTGGCGCTGCTGCGGAACTTCATGTTGGCGCAGATGTTGTAGCGGCCGGTGCGGCAGAGCGTGCAGTTGCGACAGGGGAGTCCGACCTCGAGGGCCACACGATCGCCGACCTGCAGGGTAGTCACGTCTGGTCCGACAGCGGTCACGGTACCCGAGGACTCGTGGCCCAGGCACATGGGCTCGCGCACAACGAAGTCGCCATTGCGGCCGTGGCTGTAGTAATGAAGATCTGAGCCGCAGAGACCGGTGGCGCGGATGGCGACTTGGACGTCAGAGCCTGTGGGAGGGGAGATGGATCGTGATTCCTGGTGATCACTGCGTTAGGTGCTGCCCACGTTAACATGAGGGGAAAGCGGAAGTATATACCAGACGGAGATCTTTGGCGCCGTGGAGGACGAGAGCTTGTGTGGAAGTCATGGTGATTTGATTAGGTTGTCGGTGAGTAGTGAGATGGATGTAGAAGAGAAGAGAGAGGATGTGCCTCTCATATTCTTGTTCTCATGATAAACGCCTCAGCCTGGCTTTGATCACAGCTTCCCAGCTGTTTGTCGGCCATTGAACAACGTGGGGTCAACTTCCGGATTGGCTCCGCAGCGGGATTTGACCCGGCCAGGTCAATAGCCGACAGTCGTGTAGTAGTGGGATGTCAACAGCACTTAAGAGAGAGGGCACATTCACCCCGTAGCTGATGGTTAAAGATGGGTTCATTGACTCAGTAGAGACCCAGTGGATTGGATTTCTGCCGAAAAGTATGAATAGATATTGCACTACTTTTTTCTTCGAGGAAGCAATTCGAGTCTGTATCCTCTGTATGGATGTATTCGAGTATTGTCATCGAACCGTATGTAATAACGTACCGTATGCAAACCAGGTAATAATACCCCCACGCAACATGGAGAAACCTAGCGGAAAACAAATACAGACACGAATGGAGTCTCGTAGATGTCCAGGTTGAGGTTTCTGGGTACATCATCAAGGGGATTATTTTAATCGTCTGCGGTCGAGCGTGTTTTCCTTTGTTTTCTCTTCTCTCATTGCATCTTCCTCTTCTTCTTCTTCCTCCTCCTCCTGCATACCCTCTTCTCATCCTCTCTTATATCTACATCTTCATACTTTGCGATAAGAATATAACACCCCGCTCTCCAACTCTGACATCATGCCTGCTGCACTTTTGATCGGGGCCATCACCCACGCTAGAAAGGAGTGGGAGGATCTCGCTGCCATTCTGACCCTGAAGGTGAGTTTGTGATTCATGCTACCTGATTGAGAGAGAAATTCTAACTTAAGTTTCTCAAGGAATTCCCCGAGGGCAGCCGAGATGACTTTATCCGCAATTGCAAGGACGGCCAGTATGACGATGTGCTTGTGATCTACCGGTCCAATACGTCCACAAAGGTATAGCCCGATTTCTCTGAAGGATTTGGGAATCTCCATACTAATGGTGTCAAGTTCACCGGTCCGTTCGATTCGGAGTTGCTTGCAGTTCTTCCCAGATCGGTCAAGTATATCTGCCACAATGGCGCTGGCTACGACAACATCGATATCGCCGGGTGTTCAGAAAAAGGTATGCGTGTTTCCCCTTGATGCGTAAACAGAGCGCAAGTGGAGCTGATAATTACAGGAATCGCGGTCTCCAGTACTCCAGTCGCCGTGAACCATGCCACAGCCGATGTGGGGATTTTCTTGATGATTGGTGCTCTGCGCCAGGCCTATGTGCCACTGTCTGCTCTTCGCGCCGGTTAGTTCATATACGTCGGATCTACAGGATACAAAGTTTGACAAGTGACCACAGGTCAATGGCAAGGCAAGGCAACACTGGGTCATGACCCCCAGGGCAAGGTGCTCGGTATTCTCGGAATGGGAGGGATTGGAAGGGTAAGTCCATCCCCGAGAACCGCTGCGCCAGACTGCTCTAACCCCCTGCTTAGGAAATGGCCAACCGTGCCAAGGCATTCGGAATGAAGATCCAATACCACAACAGATCGAGACTGTCGCCGGAGCTGGAGGGGGACGCCCAGTATGTCTCGTTCGATGAGCTGCTGGCCAACTCAGACGTGCTTAGCCTGAACCTGGCTCTCAACGCCCATACCCGCCACATCATCGGCGAGAAGGAGTTCCAGAAGATGAAGGATGGCGTGGTCATCGTGAACACGGCACGTGGTGCGCTGATTGATGAGAAGGCGCTGGTCGCCGCTTTGGAATCGGGCAAGGTAAGCGCTATGCACTCCATACTGATTGATATCTGATCACCAAGTCTAATGGGGTCCTGTTTTGCAGGTGATGTCTGCTGGTCTGGACGTCTATGAAAACGAGCCCGAGATCGAAGCTGGTCTCGTAAATAACCCTCGGGTGATGCTGCTGCCGCACATTGGAACCATGACATACGAAACGCAAAAGGACATGGAGCTATTGGTGCTGAACAACTTGCGCTCGGCGGTGGAGAAGGGCGAGATGATCACATTGGTGCCGGAGCAGAAGGATGTATTCAAGGGACAGAATGGTCAATAGATCGCCAGTATGATAGAGCATTTGAATTTCCTTAGAATAATGTATGTATGTCTCATGAGCTACTTCGGTACACAAATAAAGATAACCTCAGTTCCTCACTCTATGAGCACAAGTAGCCAACAGCCCGACCGCAGACTGTTTGGGCGTGGTGGTTGTGTCGCGGCAGAGCGTGACTGTATCTTCCTACCTCCATGATTCTGTTGGTGAAGACGAAGCGTAAAAATATTAACATGTTATCTTGACAACAAATGCAGAAGATACTACACCTTTGGTCAAGTAGATGATAGAGATATCTTCGTTGTCAAGGAGTCTACACGGTTATCTGCCTAAGGCAAACTGCCGGGCGGTGAGCAGGCCAGCCGCCACGGTGGGACTAGTGTTAGGGCTCGCTTAGGGCAGGCGGGCGCCAAGAGCGAAATAGCGCACCACAACGAGCGAGCATCGCGATCTCAAGATTCCAGCGGCCGACGAAAGAAAAGCGACAAAACTTCTCATCCGACATCGAGGACCACCCCGCTCGGCAATCGCATCAAGATGGTGAGTGCTTTCTGGCATACATGAAGACGACGGAAACGGCTGGGGAAAGGAATGGGGCAAAAAAAATATACAGAAGTAAAGGAACGGAGGAAAAATTCCACGCCTCGAAGAGACTATGTGTCCCGTTGCACCCCCGATGACTGCTCGACTCTTTGACTGCGTCGTTTCTATCTGGCCTGTGACTCTACCTTCTCTCGAAAAAGAAGGAATGACACGCTCCGATTCCCACCCGTGACCGTCGTTTTCAAGCCGTCTCTCTACGTTGATAAAGAATGGGAAATGGAAATGGATATATGGAATTTTTTTTGCTGATGTTGGGTCTGTTTTGCATCAGGTCCGTTACGCTGCTCAGGACATTCCGGCCGCTAAGAGCGCCCGCGCCCGGGGCTCTCACCTGCGTGTCAGCTTCAAGAACACCCGCGAGACCGCCCAGGCCATCAACGGCATGAAGCTGCAGCGCGCCCTTACCTTCCTCGAGAACGTCACCAAGAAGACCGAGGTTGTTCCCTTCCGGCGGTACGCTGGCAGCATTGGCCGCAGCGCTCAGGGTGAGTGCACGATTTCCTTTTGCATTAAATGAATCGGATCATCGAAAAATTGGAGCGATCAGCATCAAGTGGAGAAATAATTGGAAAGAGACGGACTCGGCTATGCTGAGATGATTTATGGAGCACGAGCGGATGATGCCGGTCGATTTTGGTGGAATACAAACCTCAAGGAACATCCAAATGGCTGACTCGGTTACAGGCAAGCAGTGGGGTGTCAGCAAGGCTCGCTGGCCCGTCAAGTCCGCCGAGTTCCTCATCGATCTCCTGAAGAACGCTGAGTCCAACGCCGACACCAAGGGTCTCGACACTGGCAACCTTGTTGTCAAGCACATCCAGGTCAACCAGGCTCCCAAGGGCCGGAGACGCACTTACCGTGCTCACGGTCGTGTATGTTGAAACCCCGATCCGAGCTTGGTCTTGAGCTCTCAATGGGAAGAAGAAGAAACAAAACTAATTGAACCCATAGATCAACCCCTATATGACCAACCCCTGCCACATCGAGCTTATCCTGACCGAGGGTGAGGAGACCGTCCAGAAGGGCCCCGTCGCCAACCGTGACGCCCATCTCAGCTCCCGCCAGCGTGGTGCTCAGATCCGCCGTGCCCTCACCGAGGCGTAAGCGATCTGTAGATGTCGGGGGGTTAAGGGGCAGTCGGAAAATGAATGGGAAAGCCGGAGTTTTCTGTTGTACGGAACAAATACCTGGTCACGGAAGGAATACAAAAGAATTTACATTATTCTATCTCCTGAATAAAAAAAAAAACGAAAAACATTCGAACCCCATGGGACGATGATCATAAGACAGAGCGATGTGCTCCGGGTATCTCGTGAAAGGGCCCGGTAGCGTTGAACCTTTGGAGATCAACTCTCATTCTTTTCGAGATCGAGCTTCAGCTACAGCCGTTTTTCACTGAACTCTCCGATTGGGTTTTCTGGTCCTGGTACAACGGATCCGGACTTCTCTCGCTCACATATTTTTCGAGATAATGAATATCAAGCGCTATTTCATGAATGGGATCCGGTTCTTCTTTTCCGTCATGTTTTCGAACTACCCAGACTATATCTCTACATTGTAATACTAGCAACACGAGGCATTCTCTTGATCTAACGACTCTCCCCCGTAACTGATAGCTTGCATGTATTCGTCATGTTGGATCTGCATGAACACTGATGCCTTGAGACGCGAAGCCGCCAAGAGTGGCGGTGCTGCTGTGCTTGAATGTCATTCATCAATGAGCAGAACGATTTGCGTATTGTCTGGTGAGCTTAAAAGCGATTCGACAACTGAATTGTCCTGATAGCAGTGGACTGTGCTGCGTGTGGCTTTGAGGATGACGAGTAATACTCTTAACTTCGATATGCATCCATGTAGAGCGTATCTATTCCTGCTACTTTACACAATCAGCACCACATCCTCCACTCTCGACTTACGCAGCGTGGGAATATATCTATTTCTTGACTTCTTTGTAGTCAAATGCCCCGGGATGCTTGCGTGTCATGCAGTCGTCAAATGGTTGAAAGAGCAGTCACATATATCTATACGGCCACCTCTCTATTTGGAGGGATCTGGTCCAGGCACGCCTGTCCTCCGCGTTTCTGCCTTCCGCACTGCCTAAACTACTAAGCCTACTTGAGTCGGCCAATTTTGTTTATTTCGCCCTCTGCGTTTTTTCTGCATCGTGCTTTTGATTCTGTTTCTTCTTCTTTCATCTCCCTCATACCCATCTTTATAGCGTTTTTTGTTTAATTGTTCCTGTTTGATCAAAATGAAGCGCATACTCAGCACTCTTCATAAGCGCTCGGGTGAGTTTCCCTCGGCCGATGTTGTTTACCCCGAATGCTCACAAGCCACAGGCCCCTCTCTCAACAATGCTTCGGAATACACCAGTGACTCACCGGAAGCAATTATTCTACAAGGCGTGGTATGTGTGATTCATTGGGGTCATGTTTGACCGGTCTCATAGGGCAGTAAACACTAATGCGGTGACGGTGATTACAGAAAGCCTTCTGCGAGACGGAAGAGAGTAGCGTACGTCCACAAGCGACCGACCATCTCCTGGCATCATCACCATCCTATTTTCATTGCTAATGGAACGGCCTTAGCAAGGAAGCGAGTTCGTCCACCTGCCTGCCGTCGTCGAAAGCGCAGAGTCCAGCCCCAATGCCGCCAGCGAGGCCGCCCACCGAATTCGCAAGTACCTGTCCGATCCTGCATCGACACCAGGCCGTATCCAATATAATGCCATCATGCTGATGCGCATCCTGATTGATAATCCGGGCCATACGTTCACGCGCAATATCGATGCCAAGTTTGTGGCTACGGTGAAGGATCTCCTGCGGGATGGCCGCGACATGGGCGTGCAGCACTTCCTCCGGGAGACGCTCGATACGTTGGAGTCGCAAAGACCTGACGACCTAGATCTTGCGCAGCTGTCGCAGATGTGGAAAAAGGAGAAGAGTAAACTGAGGAGGACAAATAGCGGGGTATGATTGTCTACGACGATGAGCTGGTGATGGTAACTTATATGCTGATCGTACTGCGTCGCTTAGAGCACCTGGAGATCGTCACTGTCGCGGCAATCGCAACAACAACAACCGGGACAGCAACAGCAGCCACGGCCACCAACCTTGCCCCGGCCAGGACCGTCATTACCGCCACCAGATGAACTGGCTGCTCGCGTGACGGAAGCCAAAACCTCGGCTAAGCTCCTCCTCCAAATCGTCCAGTCGACTCCTCCGGCAGAATTCAAAGGGAATGAGCTCATCCAGGAGTTTTGTAACAGATGTCAGACGGCATCGCGGGCTATTCAGAACTATATACATGCGACGGATCCTGCGCCCGACGAAGACACGCTTCTGACGTTGATCGAGACGAACGACGAGCTGTCGGTAGCCATGTCCAAGTACCAGCATGCGTTTCTGACTGCGCGGAAAGCTGCAAGCCCTTCAGGCAGTCAGTCACCTGAGTCTTCAAGTGGGGCCACCGCCTTCACCACATCCGGCGCTGTGCGTCCAGTCCCTGCGCCGCCAGTGCCACGGCGCCATGTGCAAAGTCCTTCGCCTGTAGTGTCTTCGTCGGAGCCGCTGCAGCCGCAGTCACAGCCGCCCAACACTGCAATGGCTCCTCCCCCGATTCCAGGCTCTTTTACCAGTAATAACACGGCTCCGGGTCGTTATGAGTACCGATCTGAAGATTTTCAGGTACAGAATCCATTCGCGGATGATTACAGTTCGACCAACAACACTTTGAGTGCTACAGAGAATCATCGGCCTGCAGGATTATACCAGCGCCCTGCACAGCAAGCACCTTGAGATGGCGGCTGATCTACATCATATTTTGACCATTTGGCGGCCGAAGCCTTGTTGATTGACTTGTTTCAAGTGTTGGAGAAAAGAACTTTATATCTAAGTATCTGACTGACTAGTCATTCTCACATCATGTTGTCTTCTTCCTTCAGCAACTTCCTGTGATGGATACTATGAATGATGCGATACCACTTTTGCGATTCATGAACATTGGAATATTCCCCCTGTGTTTTGATTGATTGTAGCTTGCTTTTCTTTTCTTTTGACTGCTCGTGTTCTGGTCTTTCTGCTCCTTTCCATGTGATATAAGCTGCGACTTGCGAGTGATCCATTTTGGAGGATTCTGGATTCAGGATTCAGGAATTGAACACACAACCTTCATCTTGCAGTGGATACTCTGGACTTTGGCGCCTTTTTGACCATTGGATGTCGTGCTCCACACATGGGAAGATTGGAGTCAACTCTTATGGTTATGAACTGTTTATGATAACTATGTTGAGGTTTTTCAAGCTCCAAGTCGTGAGCCATCCACGGATATTACACCAGGACCATCTAACTGACCCAGCTGCAGACTAAGAACGATAGTCTCCATCAACTACAAGTCTAGAAGTCGCACGATACGAAATTTGCCCTTTCGCTTAATGAAGATGAAACTCCCAGAGCGCCAAGCATCCCCAACTGCTCCTTAGCACGAATCCACCCGCCTATCCCCATCTCTCCTGTTTCACGCCCATCAACTTGAAACCACTCCGGCGCTTCGGTCCATCCCAATTTCTTGTTACCTGTTAGCTATCTAATTACTGGGTCAGTCTTCGGCTGGGTTCCGATTCCCTATGTTTCTCCTCGGCTGTACTATTAGGTATCCAGTGCCTCAGACCCCTATTCGAGTATCGAAGTGTGTCTCACGATGGACATCACCAGGGGTCGTTTGGAGTTGGTCGAGTTCGGCCGTTGAGCAGAGGGCTTCGGTATATAGACTCAATGGAATCTCCTGGTTCTTTTGGTTCTCCTCACTCTCTCAGCACGCAGTCTTGCTTTATTCACACTCTTTCTTGAACGTTCTAGGTCTGTGACCATTCATTCATTCTCTACCGTCTCTCGTTGATCCTTTGGTATACTGGTATACCTGATTCATTCTCTTCAATCCATTATCTTCTATTTTCATTTTTGAATTTCTACCTCAAAAGAAAACACCCCCACAACCACAATGAAGCAAACCGGAACCCTCATGGCCCTTGCTGGCCTGGTCTCCATGGTCCACGGTCACGGATTCGTTACCTCTCCTAAGGCCCGTATGCCCGGTCCGGCCATGAAAGCCGCCTGCGGTAACCAGGTGGAGATCAACCAGCAGTCGGACAACTACGGCAACATCCAGGGCGAACTCCAAGTTGCTAAAAGCCAGAGCGACTACAACGCCGAGGCATGCAACATCTGGCTCTGCAAGGGTTACAAGTTCGACGACAACAAGGACAATGTGAACTCGTACACTGCCGGCCAGAAGGTCGACTTTACCGTCGACATCCGCGCCCCCCACACCGGTGTGGCCAACGTCTCTGTCGTCGATACCACTACCAACACCGTCATCGGCGAGACTCTCAAGTCCTGGACCAACTACGCCTCGACTGCCACCGGTGTCTCGGCTGATGAGACCAACTTCAGCGTCACCATTCCCGACAACCTGGGCGGCAAGTGTTCCGAGGCCGGCGCCTGTGTCCTTCAGTGGTACTGGTTCGCCGAGTCGATCGATCAGACCTACGAGTCCTGCATTGACTTCACTGTCAGCGGCTCCGGCTCCGGCTCCGGCTCCGGCTCCACCCCTTCGGCCCCTGCGACCAGCAGCAGCGCTGCTGTGACTGCTGCTCCTACCGCTGCGCCTACCCAGGCCACCACCATGGTCACCAGCGTCAAGCAGACTTCCACCGCTGCCGCCCCCAGCGCTACTGCCCCCTCTACTTCCTTCCCCACCGATGGCAGCGCTGAAGAGAAGCTGACCTACATTGCTTCCCTGCTGCAGGGCCTGATGAAGTACCTGGGATAGATGGATTTGTTGTGGAATCATTGATGTGGGGATGTGTGTAATTAGTGATAGAGAGCACAATTGTCTGCGTCGTGTATAACTGCGAGAAATAGAACAGAAACCTATTATCATGGGTGCCTACAATGCCGAGTATTCTGATTTGCTGGGCTTCAGATTATCAGATAAGATAGTGGAAAAGCTCCGCCACCGCCAAGCCCGCCCGATTTCCTCTTGGGGGAACCCGGAGTACCTCATCTTTTGTCTCACCTGAATCAAAAAAAAAAAAAAAACCTTTTCCCCCCTCCTTCCACCACCCCCCGTCTTGTTTATTTTTTTTTTCCCATCATTCAATACCATCCTCCATCATCCACGATCAATTCACAAGATGGAGGACAGTCACTTTCGCCACAGTATCTCCAATTATCCCTCCCCCTTGAACCCGCACACGCACACCCACGTTTCTCGGGACCGCTCCACCTCCGGCTTGTCCTACAATGAAGCGACAAGCACCGCCCTCGACCCCCTCGATCAACAGCCATCACACACCTCGCAGCACCGCGGGCACACAAGCAGCGATGAAGAGGACCAGCCGCCGCCCCGATACACGCAGGAGAACGATCCCTTCCAGCTGGCTTCGAAGCTGAAGACGGCCGAGGAGATCCGGCAGATCCAACCGCAGGCCAACACGTCGCGCAAACGCAACATCACCAGCACCACGACCCCCGCCGCCAACGCCAGCGACAATGGGCGCCGCAGCACCCGCAACCCGATCTCCCGCACGCTGGCCTCGCGGCAGCTGCAGCGCTTCTACCGCACGCAGAACGAGAACATCGAGCGCATGCTCAAACCGGTGGAGGAACACGTGCGGGATGCGCGCGAGCTGAACGCCAACAACCAGCTGCGGTACCGCATCGCGGTGTACGGCTCCTTCGCGGCCAACATCATGCTCTCGGTGCTGCAGCTGTACGGCGCCATCTCCAGCGGCTCGCTCTCGCTCTTCACCACGATGGCGGACTCGATCTTCGACCCGTGCTCCAACCTCACCCTGCTCCTCTGCAACAAGGCCGTCAACCGCGTCGACCCGCGCCGCTTCCCCGCCGGCAAGGCCCGCATCGAAACCGCCGGCAACATCTGCTTCTGCTTCCTCATGACCGCCGTCTCCTTCATCCTCATCGCCTTCTCCATCCGCGACCTCGCCGCCGGCTCCGACCAGGCCACCGGCTCCTTCCACCTTCCCTCCGTCATCGCCGTGGTCGTCGCCTTCTGCACCAAACTCGCCCTCTTCCTCTACTGCTTCGCCCTCCGCAACCAGGTCTCCCAGATCCGCATCCTCTGGGAAGACCACCGCAACGACCTCCTCATCAACGGCTTCGGTATCCTCACCTCCGTCGGCGGCAGCAAGCTGCGCTGGTGGATCGATCCCATGGGCGCCGTCATTCTCTCCGTCCTCATCAGCGGCCTCTGGCTGCATACCGCCTACCACGAGTTCCTGCTCCTGATCGGCGTGACCGCCGATACCAAAATGCAGCAGCTCATCACGTATATCTGTACGTCCTCCTTCTTCCCCCCCCTCCTTCATCTCATCTCATCTCCTCTTTTTTTTTTCCCTTCAAAGGCTAATGTTGGTGGTTTAAAAAAAAAAAGCAATGACTCACTCCCCCCTCATCACCGCCATCGACACCGTCCGCGCCTATACCTCCGGCCCCCGCCTCCTCGTCGAGGTCGACATCGTCATGGATCCCGAGGACTCCCTGCGCGCCACCCACGACGTCGCCGAGGAGTTGCAGATGAAGCTCGAGTCGCTGCCGGATGTCGAGCGCGCGTACGTCCATGTCGACTACGAGACCACCCACAAGCCGGAGCATTCGCTGAAGAAGGAGCTGTAAGTTTGTAAGGTTGCTTGAGTTTGGTGTGGACTGATGGTGTGTGTGGATATGGATTTGTTTTGGGGAGGGGGGAGGGGGGGAAGTTTCCTTTTTTTTACTTTACTTCACGGTACGCTACTTGATAAATTTGAAGTATAGTACTCTCGATAATAAATCATGACCATTTACTGGGCACTGGACGGAATTGGAAAGATAAGTCGTAGTCGTGGCTGTAAAAATTGTATTTATCGGGTCTCTAGCTACCAAGATCGATTACGAAGAGAGCCAATCAGTATCCACAAAAAGATCGCAAATCACGACTGTTCAAAAAGAGCGATGGTTGAGCAGAAATTGCTCCTGTTCTCATCCTGAGGCACCAGACCTGCACCGTCGGAGGATGTGATCATGTTGGTGCTGGCCTTGGTGCTCAGCCCGTACAGATGGATGTCCGAGCAGTCCACCTCCACCATGTTCTCCTGGCAGGACTCCGTGGCCAGACACGACTGCTCGTAGTTCTCGAAGAAGCTGTACAGACCCGCGCCGTACACGAACATGTCCGACGTGTTCATGACGCGCAAGCCCCACGCCTTGCGGCAGCCGGCGGTCGTGCACTGCGCGAAAGTCGGGTCGTGCCACGAGGCTTGGGGCGTGAACGGAGTCAGCGCGTCCGGGTTGGACTGGTAGTACGGCGTCTCGGTCTGGATCAGAGCCATGAAGACGTTCTGCGCATTAGTGACCTGGTAGTTGTACAGCTGGTGATGCTCCGAGGACGTGCCGTACATCCAGACGGGCCCGGTGCTCTCCACCAGCACCCCACGACCGTTGTAGACGTTGATCTGGTTGTGGTCTGGCAGATCCAGCTCGTGGTCCGCCGTCCAAAACCAGTTATTCTCAATGTACGCGCTGGCCTGCTCGGTGATGTGCAGCAACATGAACGAAGCAATGCACTCCGGGTTCGGCTTTGTGGTCGATTCGGGAGTCTTGCTGCACTTGTCGCTCTGCAGTTCCGTGCCAGCGGAACCGCCAATGCGGAAATGCACGTCCCAAGACCCCGCGGCTCCTTGGGTGACTCCGGCCACGTTCCACTCCATGAGGATCGCACCCGGCGCAGGACCCTTGGTCTGGATGACCAGGTCAGTGATCTCCACGGAGCCCTTGTCTCCCACTTCACCAATCTGAAGAAGCGGAATGGGGTTGTGCTCGTCGGCAAACTTCTCTCCATGTGCCATGATCAAGGGCCAGATTTCACCGGTGATCTTGATGTTCTTGGGAACCTTGATGGTGTCGGTGATGATGTACGCACCATGGTCGAAGTAGACGATCTGGTCTTCGGTCGCGCTGTTCAGCACCTTTTGGATGGCCACGGTATCATCGGTCTGGCCGTCACCCTTGGCGCCGGCGGATTTGACACTGATAAACGATGACGCGGGGTAGTCGGTGTACAGAGGCTTAGATCGCTCGAAGACCTTGTCCCCGGCCAGGAGGGCGGCAGGTTTGGGTGCCTGCGGCATAACGGTCTGGAGACGGGTCTTCGTGACGGCCTGGCTCACGCACTGGCGGGCACCGTGACTGGCTCCTCCGGAAGCGATGGTGGCCGAGGACTGGGGTCCATGATGGGAGGGTTCGATCGCTTTCGAGCTCGTGGGCCTGGCAGGATCGGGAGTGCCGTTGGACTCTCCCGGCAGAGAGCTTCCTGTGACAATGGTGCCAGCCGGAACAGATGGTTTCTCAGTCAGCGATCCAGAGCCTGTCGGGACCACCGTGGGGATGGACTTGAATGGGCCAGTTTCGCCAGCGGCCTGAGTCGACTGGGCAGGATCCGCGATCGGCGGGTGTATGTTGGTCGACCATGCCTCAGCTGGAGACGTCTCGGTGGGCTCCGGGTATTCTGCAGCGCAAGCGACAACGGTTTCAACGATCGTCTCGACCACGACATGCTCCTTGGGCTGAGTGGCACGCTTGTTCAGAGTCTTGGACGGGGAATAAGCGTTGCCCTGAATCCAGCTCGCAACCACCGAGCCACCCGGCAGGATGGTCTTTCCATTCACGTCGGCGACGGCCGCCGTGGAGCCCGTGAAATCGACATTGTCGAGCACCAACACACCGCCACCAACGGGGATACTGTCTTGGGAGAAAGCAGTGATCACACCGGTGGGAGTATTGACGAGCTTACTGTCGAGGAGCAGAACGGAGCCCACGGTCTGGTTCTGGGGCACGTTGGACATGTTGAGGCCGACCTTGCAGTTGTTGATGGAGACGGATTTCAAGGTCCAGGCCCAGTTCCAGTTCATGTAGATGGCGGTGTTGCAGTTGTTGAAGACCAAGTTACGGGTGGTGAATTGCTGGTTGCCCAGGAACATGCCATAGTTACCACCGTTGAATGTCAGATCCGACATGAAGCCACCGGAGCCGTTGTCCATGAAGATGCCCTGCTGCCGGTTGGCCTCACCGCCGCCCTGGACCATCTCGAAGCGAATGTTCTGCAAGCTGGTCGCCTGACCCACCTGCCAATGGATACCGGCACCGGCTCCCTGGGGCATGGCGGTCAGATCAATGACCAAGTTGCGGATCGAGCGGAAGAAGTTGTTCTGGTTGGTGAACCAGTTGGAGCCATCGTTTTCGTAGGGGTCGGAGTCGATGACGGCCATGCCTTGGAAGCCCGGTGCGGCTTTGATGACGGGCAGGTTGACGGCATCACCAACGATCTGGGTATAGTAGTACTGGAGGATGGGCTTGGAGACGACATAGGTACCAGGCGGGAAGTAGACCAAGGCGGGCGTGGTGGTCGAGGAATCACATCCTTTCCCGCAGCGGTCACCAGAGGCGATTGCCTGATTGATAGCGACGGTATCATCGGTGACGCCGTCACCTGAGCATGATTAGCAGAAGGCCCAGTGGATCTGAAACACACATGACATACCTTTGGCGCCAAAGTCCTTCACATTGCGGAATACCTGATAGTCGGGGTTCTTGCCGAACGGCACAGCGCCCTGGCGTTTGATATTGGCTACCCAGTAGGTGCCCGCCGCGTCCCTTGCGGCGGGAGCTCGGACATAGAGAGACTGAGGGGTCGGGACTGCATTGACAACACCCAGGAACAGTAGAATGTGCGCCAACAGAAGCATGATGGAAGTGTGGGAAGCCATCTTCAAGATGACTGATGGAGGAGTGATCACTGAGCCAGCAATGATCAATGCAAGAAGCAGAGAGACAGACAATGAACTTCAGCAGCCCGCACTGAAGATCCTCTCTTCTCCCTAGCCAGGTTCTTTGTCCTTGGGGGTTCTGAATGAAGGGAGTGGGGAACAAGGGAAAGAACGAGACTGCAAGGAAGAATGAGAGAAAGGAATGAAGCAGAGAGGGAGAGGGAGAGACAGAACACAACCACACCGCCACTTGATGGAAAGAAGGATAGGAAGAAGGACAGGAAGAAAGAGAATCAGAGAGAGAAATCAGCGTGAAGGGAAAAGTGACAAAAGTGAAGGGATCCAGATGGATTCCTCAGGCTGCACCGTGTTGATACCTGAAGCAGCAGGCAGAGCAGCCGTCACAGTACGGTCAATACCGTACAATACCCGTGATCGCCCAATCACAGTATTCCTTTCTAGCAGCAGCTGCCGTTCTGTATCGAAATTACGCTCTTATAGTCCGGGAACACAATGACAGCCAATCAGCAGTGCGTGTTGGGCCGACAATCGCCCTGGACAGCCAATCACAGGCACGGAACGCGAGTCTCCGGGGGGTGCGTGAAACACGGAAACAGGGTGATGAAACAATCACAGCAGCAGATCAGCTTCGCTCTTCACCCGGATGGAAGATGGATTCTATTGAATGACGGCCGAGCGGTTAATCGAGATGAAGATGAGCCTGAAGAAATTCAAGGAACAACAAGCCTTGACTATCTAGCCCGCCACTCAGCCCATCGGGCAAGCATGGACCTGGAAGAGATACGAACCTTGAATGAGTGAGTCAAGAAGCAGAGCAGATCGGTGAGAAAGGCCTCCTGATTTCCGCCTGAAGCATCATGGGAAAAGAGATTGCTACCGTCTTCGAAAGCAAAAGACAGAGAACAACCCATGCCCTGAAGCTATATACCTGATCCCGATGATCTACGCGACAACAGGAGGGAAAAAAAAAAAAAAAAAAAAAAAAAAAAAAAAAAAACTCAGCACATGCCTCACACGAATCTCGGATTCCTTCCAGCCCAGGCTGTCACTCCCCAACCTGGCACAGCGCATGGGCATTCCATTCCAATCGAAGCGAACGGGAGGCCCTGTTCGTCTTGTCGCTGGGTCTCGGCTGGTATCTGAAATCTTACCTCCCTCCCCCGATCGGCTCGATGATTCGCCGGGACTGCCAGGGACAAGTATCTGGGATCTCAGGGCGTGTCGTCGCACATTCTTGTTGACGCCAGCCGAGCGCGTGCGGGTGGTCTCAACGCGCAGATCTTCGGGGCTCCACTGGAAGAGTCATCACTCCGTTAGATAGACACTAGGAGGTCTACCCCTGGTAGATAGTCAGGACTCAGGAGTAAGAGCTCTTTCGTCCCGTTGCTCCGAATGGTTGGAGCCATGGGACATTCTTGACGCGGGACCAAACAGGCCATGGTCTTCCGGCCACTGGGCAGTAATGTGAAGGAATCTTGAAGGTTTCGCATAGAGCGGATGGAATATGGATCATACTGTGTTTATTCATGACGGGTGGTGGCACTTTCATCAAGGAGTCTGACTGCACTGCACTATGGAGTAGTATCAATCACATCTTCATGTCCTGTTTAAGCGCACAGGCATCCCACTGTGTTATCCAAGGGGTAACACCTGCAGGTCACTTAACTATCTACTTAGCCTCCGTAGTCCGTACAGTCGTAATCTCTATTTGAATTCCAACTTCTCCCCAACTGATTAACCCCGGTGGAAAATCAGCCATTTCCAAATGTCGATCTACTCCTCCCGCAAGCCAAAGAAATATTAGAAGTCCTCCGCCTGCACTCTGTACTCTAAAAAAAAAAAAAAAAAAAAAAAATACACAGTTATCTAGAGTGAAGATATCAATCACATCGGCCCGACTCCCCTCAGCTTCTTCCTCGCCAACACAAAGAATCCAGGAGAGACCTGGTCTTCGATGAACCAAGTTTACCAAAGGCCTGATTCATCCAGAAAAAGAAATGACTGTTTGGGTCGTCCACGCTTCCTCCAGTTTAGCCAGGACTCACTGGACACGGACGAGCACACAGACTTGTTCCAATCTGATTCATTTATTGATATTGAAAATCAAAGATGTCCGTGATGACATGAGTCTCGTAACAATCCTCTAGAAGACAGATCTAATCGAATGGATGTATTTACAAAAGTCTAGTATCTATATCTATGCTTTCTATGTCCAACCTCCGGGCCGATCCGCAGCTCAACCACGGTCCCCATCTATTTACACTGTATATCAAACTCAATCCATTTGTCGCCAGGTCTACAATTTCCCCGAGGACTCGAGAGCCTCGCGGATCGCGCGTCCGAGCCGACACACTCCCTCCGCGAGCTGTTCCTCCTCCACCCATGCAAAACACAGGCGCAGGTGGTCGCAAAAGTCATTCGCGCCGTGCTCAGAGTCCCCGGGGACCTGGAAGATCTCGCCCGGCGCCACGTTCACCTGGTGCTTCTCCAGCGCGGTGCGCGCGAGATCCCTTGCACGTAGCGGGGCAGGCAGCCGCACCCAGATAAAGTAGCCGCCGGCGACCCTGGACGACTCGCGGGGTGCGGCGCCCACAGGGACAAGGTGTTCGCGCACGGCGGACATGAGACGATGGTAGCGTCGGGCATATGCGGGCAGCAGCACCTGCGCCAGATGGGTCTGGAAGGCGCCGGTCTCGAGCAGCTGCGCGACGATCGTGGATGCCATCTGGGATGGAGCTCCTCCAGATCGCGACGAACCTCTGCCGTGCCATGTTAGCTCACATCGCATTCCCATTCCCATTGTGAAACGAACGCCGAGGACGAGGGGACATACGTTTGAGAAAGACCGTAGGCAAACTTCGCCGTCCCCTCCGCCCATCCCGTCCGCATCCCCGGTCCGATCAGCTTGCTGAAGCTCCCGTTGCTGACGACATTCCCCCATTCATCCTTGGGCCCGCCGTCGAGGTAGGCATCCACGTCCACCAGGCGCGGCTCGGGCGCCTTGTGCGGCGTGGACAGGGGTGCGTTGGGATCCGCTGACCACTGCAGAAAATCGTAGACGTCATCCGTCACGATTAGAGCGTCGAAGTCGCGCGCCAGCTGCACTAGACTCTCCCGGTCGGACTGGGACATGGTCAGGGTTGAGGGATTGGAGAAGGTCGGGATGGCATAGATGACATGTTTGTAGATCTTCCCCCACGGTCTGGGGGGTTTGAGTTTCTTTTCCACCCCGATCATATCTACGCATTAGTTGGTCATGGCAGAGAAGAAAAAAAAAAAAAAAAAAAGAATCGCAAAGGATCGCAAGGCTCCGAGCATTCTACCGTACCGGTTCAGATCGATGTTCCGCATTGGCCTTCTCCTCAGCGACTTCCAGCTCACGACGGAGGAAGGCCAGATCGAGCCCCGTGGCATCCTGCGGGATGACCCTCATCCGACCCGCGAAGCCGGCGTCATCGACCATGCGTGAGGCCAGCTGGTAGGTCGGCGCGACCATCCAGACATTGCGGGTGTAGCTGGGGTCAGTGAAGACCTGGAAGATACAGGCGAGATTCTGGCTGGCGCCGCCGGTGATGCAGATGCGGTTGGAGGTGATGGGATGGCGCGGGTGGTAGAAGGAGGTCAGCCACTGGGCCACAGCCTGGCGCAGGGGCTCATAGCCCGGATCGGGACCGTAGAGCAGCGCGGGCGTCCAGATGGATGGCGTGGACAGCACGGTGGCTGAGGCATTGGCCAAAGCGGTGGTGGGTAGGAGGGCAGGGTTGGGCCAACCGCGGGAGAGATCAATGACCGAGTCCATAGGGTACGGAGTAGTTTGAGTCTGGGCTACTACTACCGTAGTATGTCCTAGGTAGGTACTAGGTTGTCTGTTAGTGTCGACTGTATGTAAAATGCAAGTCGGGTAGGTAGGGACTAGGGAGTAGTCAAAAAGTAAAGGCGCAGTGGGCGAAAGTAACAGTGGATTATAAGCCTGTAAGCCTGTAAGACTCGGGACCAATGGAGGACCACAGTTTGTCGGTACACGTCACGGCTCACGCAGCCCAGTGGGACTCTTCTGAAGTATTTTGGGATTGAATACATGGTAGATGACTATGTAGAAGTATATTTGCCGCCTAGAACTAATAATGATGATTCTAAGCATGAAGTAATTTAGATATTTTTCCATTATTTTCATGTTGGTCCTCGGTCGTCCCCAGGTCTCTGCGACAGACTTCTCATGACTACAGGGTCCTTTGTAGTGTTCAGTCCCATCAGGTAGAAAATTAGTGGAGGCAGCAGATGAATGACAATTGGATGATACAAGAGCGGTGTGGACTTATCATCTCAGTGATGGTATGCATTTTATTGCCTCTTATTGGCCACATTCTAATTTATATTCTATCTATATATTCATCTATCTACATATTCTATATATATATATCCATACTATATATCCATACTATATATGCCTTCCTGATCTCCCTCCTTGAAAACACATTGACCGACTCCATTCAATCAACCCAACAAACCCAATAAGAGCAACCTAGATAGGTCCGATCCCTAAGAAAGAACCTGAGACTTCTTCAACCACGTATGCGCCTCCTCATAAATCCTCTGCGCAACCTCCTCCCTCTTCCTCCGACTATTCCCCCCCTTCTTCCGTCCTGGCGACGCATGGGTAAACCCATGCGGACACCCCCTCGCCAACGTCCACTTATACCTGCCCACCTCAAAGTCCTCCTCCTGCTCCACCCCGACTCTCTCCTCCAACCCGGCCAACCCATGGATCATCTGCTGCGTCTCCAACCGGAGCATATCCCACTGCGCCCCAATCATATAGATCCACGGCGGCAGCTCATCCCTCCCCGCATACACCGGACTGAGCAGTGGATCCCTCCGATTCTGCCCGACACTCACATACCCCCAGTCCAGCCACCAGGAGGTCTTTTCCAGCGTATCCGCCGGACCCCCTTGGTACGGTCTCGAATCCAGCTTTTCGTTGGGTGGGTGGCTGAAATCCACGATGGGGTAGTAGATCACCGCCGCGTTGATCCGGCCTTTCAGACCGGGTAACTGCGAGGCAGACAGCGCGAGGTTGCCGCCGGCGCTGAACCCGCCGATGGCGATGCGCGAGTGGTCAATGGGGAGGGAGTCATCGGCGAGCACGCTCTTGGCTACCTCGGCAACGTCCCAGGTGGCTGTTGGGAAGGGATGGAGCGGCGCCTTGCGGTAGTTGAGGCTGACGACTAGCATTCCGGTGCGGTTGGCCCAGGCGCTGCAGAAGGGGTCGTCGATGGTGGCGTCGCCCAGCACGAAGCCGCCGCCGTGGATGTTCAGGTAGAGTGGGAGGAGTTGGCGCTGGGCGGAGTGGTAGGAGCGCGGGTAGAAGACGCGGGTTTCCAGGGTTGGACGGCAGGCGTAGCGCTTGGTGAGGGTTGGTTGGGTGCCCGGTTGAGGGGGTTTGACAAGGCGGAGGCAGAGGAAGTAGAGGGTGGCGAGGGATTTGAGCAGCCAGAGTTGGAGGAAACAGTTTAGGCGGTGGGGGAGGGATCGTCGCTCTTTGGGGAGAGGAGGGATGGGGATCTCCATCGCTATTTCGTCCTTGTCTGGATTCTCGATCATTGTGCTGGGCAGTGGTGGTGGTGAAAGGAAGAATCGAGGTGTTGGCGGAGCAGGGTCAGTCGGGCGAGGGCTGTCATGGGTGGATGAATCTGTTGGGATACAGCGAGGGTGACTAGTATGTGTTGGTCATAGCATCAGCACTACTTATCGTTCTGTTGAGCTTGTCGAGTTCTTTATTTTATGAACCCTAGGCCCACCGCACCAGGCCCTTCTCCCACCGGTCTCGATTCAGTCTCGCGAACAGGGATAGTCATAAAAGCTGAGGATGCATATAGGAACTAGCTATTAGAAGTATAGAATAGAGTACTACTGTAAGGTTAAATAGATACCTACTATGTATAATCTACAGAGTAGTACTTAGTGTCTTCTAGTATAATATAACAGTGCTAACTAGAGCTCTAAATTAGACTATAATCTAATAAAAACAAAGGAGTCTAATAGCTAATAGTAATAGACTTAACCCCTTAGAGACAGAGCGTTAGTACGTAGTATAGCCTTCCTGAATTGCGGAGGTGATAACTCTGGGCTACTTACGGCACTAAGGGCCATCTCAAGATAGAGCATGGTTCTGCCCATGCTTGCTGGGTGTTACCTGTTCCATGGAAGCTAATATTAGATAGATTATAAGCTGGTTGGGTGGAAATCAGTACATCCAGCCTGAGCGCCTGGTGGGTTCTTAGGAGCGAGCGGGCCGTTCCCGAGGATGGTGGTGCACTGGTGCTATATATATATATATATATAATCTAAAATTGCATGAGTAAGAGACGGCCCGGAATCTAATGTCTTGTAATTAAATTTCAATCAAGACTTGGTTTGCCCTTCCACGCATTGGAGAACCTTCCATGGTACCTATAGGATATAGATTCGGGAAGGGAGTGTCAGTGAGCAAAGCCAGATACCTAGCCTTGTCAAGACCATCCCGAATAGACAGCACACGAACCGACCGCGGGAGCACATCCCATAACGGCGTGATGGGGACGTGGCGACACTCATGAAAATGCATGAGATTACTCGGCCGCATATTGATGGTTTCCAGCACAGAGGAATCAGCCAATGACCCAAAGAACCGACCGAGGCTGCGGAAATTGCGCATTTTGATTGGTGTCTGGTTCCCCATGGAACAATTCCCATGCGATATTCAGCCCCCGTAGGATCGGTCGCGGCCTTCGGAGAGGGGGCGTAGAAGGCGCAGGGATTCATGAAATCATGGCCACGATGGGGCTCATGGTATGGGTTTGAATGGTGAGAACCACAGGCGATCATCAACTCGTGCAATCGGCCATGCAGAAGGTCTATGCTATGGCTATACCGTCCAGAGCGGAGATTACTGCGCTCTCCTCGCCCAAGAGCAGTATCACACGACGGATGAGATCGAGGCGTACAACTCCGAGACCCGGGGTTGGATGGGCTGCTATCTGCCTCAGCTCCGACGACCCTCCTATGCCGGCTATTGGCAGAAAATACGCAGACTGATATGTATTGGTCGTTCTAGAAGCACATCTGATGATTCTCAAGTCTTAGAACGCGATAGCACAAACTGCCGCAGGCTTCGTGGACACTCACTTGTGAATTTGATAATGTCTTAGCGCCGCAGTCGGCCCACTGAGACGGGTCTCATTGGCCCGTTACTACTTCTAGCATAAAGAAATGAATGGTGCCTTGGCTACTTACTGATTATGCCTAAGTAGGTAAGTATTGCATAATAGTCCCCCCTGTATGCGTACTTGACTCAGCCTACATACCAAAGGTACTCACCCTGACCCAGGTCAACTACATGATCTCAGGGCGGCACTGCTCACCTACTAAAATCAAAATGGTCATGTAGAAATAGATAGTTCGATAAGTAAATAAATACATACCAGGATAGGACCGTACCAAGGCACAGGAACTAGCACTGGCACTGGAACTGGAACGGGAACGACCGAATCCAGGGGATATATACCGAGTATACGGACGGGAGTACCTTACCCTGTTACCATACTATTACCAGGATGACCAGGCGCCGGTTCCGGAAAGCCAGCATTTTTGTAGGCTCAGCTGAGCATTGGGATTCTTCGTCAAAGTCTAGAGAGTAGAGTATGGAGAGGACCATGATCGCTGGAGAAGAGGTATGTCCGAAGCATGGACCTGGCCAGAATCGAATACATCCGCGGATCAATATTATGCAGGAAAGAACTCGCAGGGGATCAGATACATCAATTGCTAATAGAGTACGGAGTACCTGTACATAGACTAACTACTACTAGTTACTCTGTAGAGTGTAGTAGAGTACTAGAGTGTAGTAAAATGCTCCGGTTTCTATTCTTAGCCTACTCCCAGCGATATTAAAATGAATATTATTGCCTTCGACGAACTTCGACGACTTCTAGTGTCAACGGCCCCTGTCTGAGCCTCATGATGAAGTTGTCGTCTTGTTGAGCTTCTAGTTCTCCTAGTTCTCCTAGTCCAAGGACATACTAGTCTAGTCTACTACCCTCTGTACCCCCAGCTCTTAACTAAGACACATCCCACGTCATTATTCACTTCCACCACGCGTTGGAATTCCAACCGAAAAAAAAAAAAAAATGTCCCACTACTTGATTCTTCTTTGCTCGCTTCCATGATTCCATCATCAGGCAGATTCCACGGAGCACACCGGAGACTAACTAACTAACTCGATAGTCTATGCGCCGCCTGTCTTGCTTATGGATAATGACTGCACTATGGAGTAAAGTCAAGTACCTCCTCTGAATCCTCAGGCACCAACATTATCAGTCATATGGCGTTGGAACAGCTTCATCATTGGCGGGACTCGGGGAGGGAAGGGATTTTCTCATTACTCGAATACGGAGCATATTAATGGCGACGGAGGGAATGATCGCTTCTTCTTCTTCTTCTTATTCTTATTGATCAGGTCGAACTCTGTTTTCAGACACAGCCCTCTCGTCCCAGCTGTCCAAGGTCCAGTCCAAGACGAACGCTCCACTTGGGATGGAGACACAGGAAGAAAGTATCAACAGAAAAGAATCTCTAGTTTTGAAATAAGTAATAATAATAATAATAATAATAATAATAATAATAAATAAATAAATAAATAAATAAATCAGATCTCATCGTTTGTTCCTATTATTATTGGTATTATTACTATTCCTACTGTTGTTGGTCATCCTCTTCTTTTCTTCCTCATCCACATCCTCTCTCTCTCTCTCTCTCTCTTTCCAACTTCATCCTCAGGATCAGCATCCTCTCTGTCTTGGTTTCTTCTTCTTCTTCTTCTTCTTCTTCCAGTTAACATCCCCTCTGATCAATTCGGATGAACTACTACGTAGTCTCTCCAGTCCAAGAAAGAAAACTCTCTTGGATCCACTCACTCCTCTTCTGATCCTCTTCCTGCCGATCCATTCCCCCCCTACTCCTGTCACAAGAAGAATCGCTGGGGATTCCTTCACTCCCCATACTTCCACTTGCCTAATCCCAATCTTCTCTTTTCCTCGATTCACCTCTCTCTCTCTCTCTCTCATTCTTCGTTTCTTCCTTTCTGTCTAGATCATTGATCTTTTCCCTTTTCTTCTTTTGTATCACCTCTCTTCCTCAAATGATCGGCAAATAGTCATCAACGGATTCATTTTTACCTCCTCCCATCTCATCGCCTCGTTTCTCTCTAGTCTAGTTCGACTTCCCCCGCTGTTCTTACCCTCCGCTACGACAAAGAGGACAGAGACAACTTCCTACTGCCTACGATGTTGTCAGCTCCAGTGAGATCGGCGAGGCGGATATCCTCGCTCTTCTCTTTGGGATCCCACAAAGAGAGCCCTCCGACGCCGTCATCTCCAGTGTCCCCGAGCATACCGAAGCAATCTCCTGACCAATACCCGCAAGATGCCCAACAGCGTCCGGGAAGCAGCTCCCGCCCCGCGCGTTTAGTGTCAAACCCCATGTCCGAATATTCCGACGCTCGGAGCATCCGATCCTCAGCACCCATCGATCATCTTGACCTGGATGAACCGTTACCCCCGCCTCCGTCCCTGCTGGCCGTGAACCAGGATCTTGCGACCAGTGCCAATAGCGCCCCGGATGGTCGCCCACAGAGCAGAGGCCGGTCAGGAAGCAGACCCTCCAGTTCCGGCGGATTATTCGTCCCCGGCACTGCACCAGATTCGCGCCCAGGCACGCCCTCGAAACGTCGCAGTTGGATTCCCGGTCGAGCACGAGCCAGTTCAATCGATAATCGTCCGCAAAGTACCAGTACGCAAACTACGCAGATGCCCAGTGCCTGGATCGCTGGCTTAGACCAGAAGATTCTCTATGATATCGGGCCGTTGGTGCGAGGGGAACAGGTCGGTTTCTTAATCCTTTGCATCGTTCTGAACCAAAAAAAAAAAAGGAGAAAAAAAAAAAGAACGAAATTGGCTAATCCATCACCGACAATCATAGATCCCCGAACTGTGGAATGAAAGTGGCGACACCTTTGTCTATCTCTTCCCACAAAACACCGGGCGGTCGCCCTCCTTCAAAGTCCACTCCACCATCTTCGCGGAATCGCCATCCCTCACCTTCCTCGCTCGCGGTACCGATGCCAACAAACTCGACTCACAGACCCGTTCCATATCGCTGGGCAGTCCGACGACAGGGCCGGCGTCGCCACCCTTGACCCCACAGGATCAATACGCCGACCACGATAATGAGAGCACTGGCAGTAGGCGGATGGCTTTTGTGGAGGATGAGGGGCTGGAGGACGAGCAAGAACTGCATCTCTACCTACCGATTCCCCTGAATAGCGACGTCTCTAGCTCCGAGAATCGAACGTCGTCGGAGGATACCGAGACTCTCGTCCTGTTCCGCAACCTTTTCGCCTTCTTGCTCGGTCAGTCGTTGGTGGCCACCCCCCGATCTCCCACCCTTTTCTCCATCTTCATGGACGTTGCCAGCTTGCTATCTCGATTCGAATTCAGCAACTTTGACGGCACCAACTTCGGCGAGACGGCAACCAGCAGTTTCAGCAACTATTGCGATGAACTGCACCTGGCGGATGTCCGCAAGAGTCGGGAGAAGACCATCGAGGCCATCATCCTGGGAGAGCGCCTGCGGTTCTTCCCCCTGTATCTCGAAGGCTTTGTCCACGGAGTCGGCAAGCTGGACGAGTTGAAGCAACTCCGGAGTCCCAAATACACCCTCATCAGCCCCGTCACTCAGAAACGGATGGAACGCGGCTTCATCGATCTTGATACCCGACTCCGCATCCTGCATAGTAAACTGAACGAATTCGAATTTCCCTCGGTCTTCTCCGGCGTTGCCAATTCCACCACCTCCGCCGAGAGTAAGGTGGTGAAGTTCAAACTGTGGAAGGTCGCCTTCATGGAGTTCCGGCGGTTTACCATGCAGTACTATCGCACCAAGTACGGCTCCTGGCCCCCCAAGGCGCGGTCGAAGAAGAATCACTTCGAGGAGAGTGGACTCAATCGTCAGGTCCTGAAAGATCTGTACGACGACTTTGCCAATCTCTACGATATGCTGGTCGATCGAACGGCTCTCACCACCCGCACCGTCGACATGGCCGCGGACGGCGAAGTGTCAGCCGACCCGCATGAGACCATGACCCGGGCGCTGCGCCAGGTCCTAAGCGAGTACGACCGCGCCACACCGCCGGTCCAGCCACCCATCCCCTTCGATGTGCCGCAGTTCCCGTCGTTGGAGGCGCTACAGCTGAAGCCCGCGGATCCCAAGAAGGATGCCAAGCGCCGGGCCAAGAAGCTGAAAGACGCCGACATCAACGCCGTGCTGATGGGATCATATACCCGGGAGAGCATGCGACCCACTCCGTTCATTGAAGCCTTCATGCAATTCGAGCGGCGCAGTGCGCATGGCAAGAACCTCGAAGACCTGATCGATCACCGGTGTGGTCAGTGGATCTTCCTCTACTGCGTCATCCAGGCCCTTCCCCTGCTCGTCGTGGATGTTCAAGATGTCAAGTATACCGAGGGTGTGGAGTACCTCCTCTGCATCGCCCCTCGTGGCGGTGCCCCTTGGATTCATAACGATGGCAAGACCGCGCGCAGCTGGTTCGGTGTCGCTGGTGGAGCCGGCGTCGTCAGCTTACCGTCCGATGTCGTGGTCAACGGCGTCGAGGGCATCTACCGACGCAGTCACTGCTGGCAGGTCGCCGAGCAGTGGGCGGAGAAGGACGATATCCTGGGCCCCCCAACCATCGATGACCCGTACGACGATGAGTCCTCGCTTTCATCCCCGTACCCCGGCCAGCCATCATCTGGGGGCTCGTCGACTGAGCAACAGTTGCAGCAACCGATGTCGCTCATGGGACCTGGCGGGCTCACCCCACCGCCTGTGATTCCTCGCACGAGCTCACCTGCTGCCCGAGCACGTGCTGAGCATCGTCATTCCATCTACCCGGGTCTGGAAGCGCTCCCGTTACCAGCAGGAGTTGCGCCAGTGGATCCTCCTGCCAGACCGATCAGTCGATTTAACCCTAACATGAGCTTCGATGATATCTTGAAGCAGGTGCCGAATCAGAAGGCGAAGAAGTGATACCTCGGATAGTCTTCGTGTGTACAGAGTCTGGGAGAGTTCCTCCCTGTAATTCATTTTTTTAATTTCTTTCTTCTGTTTGTGTGTGTGTGTGTGTGACAGAGCATTATTGATTCACTCCATCTGATCTTGCATTACTACCCGTCATGTTGTTACCTGGCCATCACATCTTTCCTTTGCAGACCTCGTCTGCCATCATTTTCCTTCTTGCTCTTCCTTCTTTCCATTAATCATTCATGGGTGCACACATTTACAAGGACCCAATGGAGGGCCGGCGCATTATAAAAAAAACCATGGGAACAGCATCTCGGGGCCGGACACTGGTCATTGTGTCTTCTGCTTTTCATTTCTTTGGGTCCATTTTTCCAATTCCCTTGTTTTCCTACAAACCGGCTGGGGCAGACGGCCTACCTCGATGTCACTATAGCATGACCGGATAGAGATAATAGGTCCCAATAATGGACTGGCAATCGAAGACCGAGAGACTGTCGTTGGGGGGACGTGCCTTGTCTGTGGCCATAGTACTCAGGCAACAACACCTCCCATCTATCTTCCTTCTCCCTTCTTCCTTCTTCCATCTTCCATCTTCCATCTTCCATCTTCCATCTTCCATCTTCATAAACCACATCGATTATCATCCACAAGACCCTCGTTTCATCATCAATAGACCTTCCCTTGTCGCATAGAGTATCAGAGATGCTCGGACTCGATTGTAGATATTACCATGCTCTCCACGCCCTCGCCGTATCCCGCAAATCAGTCACAGGGAGTGACAGGGGACCCAAACCCATCTGTCGCACCGGCTATTTAACGATTGCTTGTTTCTTCATCAGAATCAACCCAAGTGAGCATTTCCCAGTCCAGACCGCGTGGCGGATGAGGTGTCTCACTCTGACAGCCGCCAGTGGCCGATCTGATTCGACCAGCATGCAGCTAAAGGGCCGCCGGCCGACTCTTAAACGATCGTCCTCGTATCGCGTTCTGCGGCTGAGCTCTTAAAGTCGTAAGTGTTTCCGACTAAAATTTTTTTTTCTCCAACCATTTGTTTTAACTACTCTGTTCAGCGGTTGTTGATACTGGGGTGTCTAGGTTTCTACTGTTTTTTCGTTGTTTTATCTGCAATATATCTAAGGGATAATATTTGGGGTGGAAACTGAACATGAGGAGATAATTGTTGATCATGTCCCGCTCACGCTCCAGCGTCGCTAGTGACAGCCACGATCGGCTAGAACCTCAGCTACTGCGCGCAGCGGAGCACGACGACGTCGAAACCCTGCGACAGACGGTCGCGCTGGCTCGCGAGAATGGCCAGCTCAGCGATAACTTCCTGCGCGTCGGGCTCATGCGCGCCTGCGAGCGCGGTTCCGTCGCTGCGACACAGTATCTCCTGAGTCAGGGTGCGAGAACCGACGTGGCCGGCCATCGGCTCTCGCCGCTGTTGCGCGCCGTCGAGCGTAACCACGTACGGATTGTACAGCTGCTTCTCGACTACGGCGCCTCGCCGGCCACGGCGGATAAGAAGGGCCGCACGGCGTTGATGACCGCCGCGTGGCGGAACCACTGGCACGTCCTGCAGCTGCTGATCGCGCGCGGGGCCGACGTCAACGCAAAGGATCTCCGGCGTAGGAATGTCCTGCACAACCTGGCGGCGGACAAGCAGTGCGACTGGGGGGAGGATGTGCTGGAACTGCTGCTGGGGACGGGGTGCGCGCTGAGCGGGGTCATGGGCCAGGACGAGCTGGGCCGCACGCCGCTGCACTGGGCCTGCGCGACGGGCAAGCTGCGCTTCGCGGAGCTGCTGCTGATGCCGCGCGCGCACGGCCCCGTTGCGGACGTGGACGCCGTCGAAGCGCGGGGCAAGACGGCGCTGCACATCGCCGCGGCGCATGACCGCGACGACATCGTGCAGCTGTTGCTGCGTCACGGCGCGGACATCGAGGCGCGCAGCGACGGCGGGTGGACCCCACTGCACAATGCCTGCGACCGGGGCTGCGTGGTGAACGTGCGGCTGCTGCTGCAGGCCGGGGCGCGTGTCAACGCGCAGCTGCTGAATGGGGTCACGCCGCTGCATCTGGCGGCGCAGGCGGGCCACCGCGACATTGTCGAGTGCCTGCTCGAGCGCCCGGAGATCAAGCGGCGCGTCCGCGACAATTTCGGCAGCACGCCGTTCCTGCGGGCGGCGCAATTCAAGCGCAAGGACATCGTGCTGCTGCTGGCGCCGTTCAACAACATCGAGGCTTTGTCGGCGGATGCCCGCGGCGCGTGCGAGGGCTTCGAGGCGACCGTGGTCGACTTTGGCAACTTCCACAACGAGAACCGGGTGAAGAAGACCTCCGTGTTTAACCTGCTGTACGGGCGCGACGCTGAGAATCCGCGCAAGCAGGCCTTCAGCACTGCCCCTGCGGACAGCAAGGCCACCGAATTCCGCTGGATCCACCTGCCAGCCAACAACATGGCCTGGGTCGAGGCGCTGCTGACCAAGTCGTTCATCGAGGAAGGGGCGCACGACGTGGAGGGGTTCAAGGGGCTGGAGAAGTCGTTCAATTACCAGCATCGCGGCCAGCGCACGCATTCCCACTTCATGCGCCCGCTCTGTCAGAGCACTCCTCGGGCGCGACATTTCCGCGATGAAGACCGCGCGAAGGACACGCCGAGGTCGGAGGTCGCCGAGCTGCCCACAATAGTTGTCAATGGACAACAGCGGGACACCAAATCGGCTGATGATTCCAAGTCCAAGAAGTCGAAGGCGTACGGGTACAAGCTTGAGCAAACGGACTCCTACTGTCAGGATGACGGGCTCAGCAGCTCCCAGGGCAAAAAGGGGAAGAGTACGCCCAAACGGACCACGGGGAAGGCCTCGAGCAAGACCGACACGAAGAACGGGAGTAAGAATCCCCACGACGAGAAGCACCGCGCCCCCTTGTCTTTGTGCAAAGACCACCCGCTCACACCCTCCTGCAACGTCTGTGTGTTCATGCCGTACTTGCATTTCGAGACCGCGGAGCGACGGCAGAAGATGCAGGAGGCGATCCAGCGGGCGGAGATGCTCAGTTTCCAGAGTCCGGGCATCTCCCGGTCATCGACCCGCGATGAGATGCTTATCAGCGCGCATCTTGCATCCTCAACGACCTCGCTGCACGTCCGACGCACGCTTGACCAGTTCTTCTACCCGAACATCGACACCCAGAGCCGCGATCAGGACCAGGTGATCTACCGTTACCAGACCAAGGGACAGGGGCGGGAGAGGTTCCGGTCGGACCCCAAGATCTTCATGGTGGACCAGCTGTGGATGTGGATCCTGGGGACCAACCTGATTGTCACCAGTTTCGCGCAGCGGTGGGAGCAGCCGAAGAATGATCCGCTCAACGTCCTGGACGGCATCATCGAGGACATCAACTCCAAGACCCGCGAGCCAGTGCGATCTATCTACGACCTGGCGATCATCATCACGAACCGCTGCTCGGGGGTCTTTGACCGGCACCGCATGGGGGACGAGGAGTACCAATTCCTAGACATGTTCGAGTCCTCGATCGGCATCGCCACGGACCGCGAGACGCTGCTCTTCACGATGTTCAACCGCGCGTCCGCGCAGGCGTCGGACTGGCTCAAGAACCACCGCAAGCTCAGCCGGTTTGCGCGCAACGCGCAACTGCAGGACGGCGCCCACCGGCCCAAGGAGTTCTGGTGGGAGGAGGACGAGAAGGACGAGGACGAGCAGCCGCTGTTCGTGGACAATCTGCTGGACATCGGACAGGAGACGGATCTACTCGCCGAGGCCAAGGACATTCGTGACGAGCTCAACATGATTCGCCACGTGCTGCAGCACCAGCAGCACGTGCTGGCCGACTTCCAGGAGGTGATCTGCGAGATCTACCAGGGCCAGCACCGCTCGCAGTACGAGGTCAAGAAGCGCTTCAAGGAGCAGCAGCGCACCATCGACATGCATCTCAAGGACATCGACCGCATGGACAAACAGGCGGAGCGCATCTACGACTCCATCACGGACCTGCTCGACTTGAAGCAGAAACACGCCAACGCCTTCGAGGCTCGCTTCGCGCGCGACCAAGCCGCGGGGACCACCCGCCAGGGAAAGACCATCATGGTCTTCACGGTCGTCACCATTATCTTCTTGCCGCTCTCGTTCATTGCCTCGCTCTTCACCATCAACCTGCAGGAGTTCCCGCGCGGGCCCGACGGCCAGGAGTTTCTGTCACTCTCGTACGTGGCCAAGTACATCTTTGGCATTGGCTTTGCCATTTCGATTCCTTTGATCTTTCTGGCGCTCTCCGTGGACGAGATCGGCGATGGGTGCCGCGAAGGCTTGAGGCATCTGCGCCGGTGGCTCTCGGACCGGCGACGGCGGCACCGGGAGGGAAACCACGACGATGACGGGCCGACGGTCGAAATGGAGAAAATCATCAGCATCACCACGACGCGTCGCAGTATAGAGGCGGAGTTTGCCGGGACTCTGTTGCCTGTGTCGACCAGGGGGACAGGACGCGCTTGATTCATACTATATGCAGGATACGGAGCATACGGACCGCTTAACGATTGACGAATAACGCACCTAAATATTCTACTTTAATCATTGCTTGTTTTCTTCGTTATTTACACTTTCCAACTTCCATGGATCTGTTATCTCAGTTAGCCAGCGTTGACTCGTTTGCACTACACATTTTTGATTCACATTGGCAATGCCAGTCTCTTTCCTCCTCACATGGACCCTTTCTATCCACGGGATTGTCATTATCGGCTCCAGATCCACAGATCCCTTATGACTCTTCACCTCATCTTTGTGGGTATCGGGATTCTATCCGCCACTTCCCGCTCGGGACGAGAACGGGACTATCTCATCTTCCTAGCTTTGACGGAAGCATCTATCGAATTTTACAAGCTCAGATGTCTTCTTCGCAAAGATCAAGACACCATCTTCGTACCCAATCGCGTATCTACTATGTCCTGTACAGACTCAAGATACAAGACCGGCCGAATTCTCCCGACCGAAGCCTGACACGTGCCTCGGAGGCAGCCGGAGGGCGTCGATCTGCCCTTGTGGATAAGCTTGCGTATCAGTACTCCATCCAGCCTTACGCAGTACAGTACAGAACGCACTCGCTCTCGGTGAGATGGAAGTCCGCCCGACAAATGGTTTCTTTGCCTCACTTCTTATCTTTGGCATTCCTTTCATAGTATCAGCTTCGGGATCCGAATCTTGCCGTTGGGTTTGGCTGAGGGGATGAGGTCATCATGTGTTCAGACCCGCCGGGCAACAATCCACAATCACTAAGTTGTGGTTGCTTGTTTAAATAGAGAGAGCGCCTAGGGAGACCTGCGCTGAGCTTTTACGATGCCGATTGGCCTTGACACGATCCGTTGGACTAGGCGTGGCTGGATTGACGCGCCAGAATGAGACCGAGAACGGCACTGTTGGACTCAGTCCTATACCTAGGGCGACGAAGGGTACCATGCACGCTTCGGAGCAACGGAGGAAGTATACATACTCACACACGAACACTAGCCACGCAAGCCGAGCATTCCACCGCCCTACCCGACTCGGAAACGGGAAAGGAGCGCGTCGTGATCCTGGGCTCGGGCTGGGGCGGCTATACGCTCTCGCGGCGGCTGTCGTCCAGCAAGTTCTCGCCGCTCATCATCTCGCCTCGCTCGTACTTTGTCTTCACGCCGCTGCTGACGGATGCGGCGGGCGGCTCGCTGGATTTCTCGAACATCGTGGAACCCGTGCGCGACCCCAGGGCGCACGTCGACTTCATCCAGGCCGCGGCGCGGGCGGTCGATCTCGTGAACAAGCGGATTCTCTGCGAGGCGACAGTTGTCAAGAGCGGTGTTACTGAGTCGCCGCGGACGGAGGAGGCGGCGGCTGAGAGCAGTAGTACTAACCAGTCCGAGGGTCAGAGTCAGAAAATGACTCGGTACCAGCCGGAGTCGGCGGCGCGCCGCTGGGAGGAAGGTGAGATGTTTGAGATCCCATACGACAAGCTGGTGGTGGCCGTGGGCGCGGTCAGCCGCACATTCGGCACGCCGGGCGTGCGCGAGAACGCCATGTTCTTCAAGGACATCGGGGACGCGCGGCGGGTGAAGCGGCGGGTGCGCGAGTGCTTCGAGCTGGCGGTGCTCCCGACGACGACGCGGGAGATGCGGGACCAGCTGCTGCATTTTGCGATCGTGGGCGCCGGGCCGACGGGCACGGAGCTGGCGGCGTCGCTGCGCGACTTCATCTACCGCGACATGATCACGTTGTACCCCCAACTACACGGGGTGCCGCGGATTACGCTATACGATGTGGCGCCGACGGTGCTGTCGATGTTCGACGAGACTCTGTCGCAGTATGCGATGGAGACGATGCAGAAGGAGGGGATCGCGATCAAGACCTCGCATCATGTGGAGAGTCTGCGCTGGGGGCCGCCTGGCGCGCAGCCGCCGTACGAGATGGATCCCAAGCGTTGTCTGACGCTCAAGACCAAGGAGGAGGGCGAGGTGGGCGTGGGCATGTGCGTCTGGGTGACGGGGAACGCGATGAACAAGTTTGTCCGGAACGCGCTGCAGGACGTCAAGGCTCTTCCTGCGTCGGCGGTGGTCAAGGACGCCGATACCAACACGAACCCCAGCAACAGCGACAGCAGCAATGCCTGGCACGTCAAAAAAGCCAAAAACGGCGCGCTGCTGGTCGACGGCCAGCTGCGCGTGCAACTCCAGAGCGACGACGGCCGCACCGCCGTGCTCCAGGACGTCTTTGCGCTCGGCGACAACTCCATGCCGGAGACCGGGGCGCCGCCTGCTACAGCGCAGGCAACGTTCCAGGAGGCCAAGTGGCTTGCCATGCATCTCAACCAGGGCGACCTACAGCAGTCGGGGCCGTTCTCATTCCGCAACCTGGGGACGCTGGCGTACCTCGGCAACGCGCGGGCGCTGATGCAGCTGCCGCACGAGAACGGGAAGCAGTCCAAGTACCTGCCGACGGGGCTGACAGGGCGCATGGCGTGGATCGTGTGGAATTCGGCGTACCTGACGATGAGCATCAGCTGGCGGAACCGGCTGCGGGTGGCGTTTCGGTGGTTGTTGAACAATGTGTTTGGGCGGGATGTATCTAGATATTGATGTAGTAGTAGCGGCCCTGGTAGAAGGAAATTGCATTGCCAATGTTATTCCATCGTCCATCCGACCAGCCGAGGTCAACTCGTGCCGTGAAGAACCTCTCCACTCGCTCTCCCCGCATTCTCCACAAAGTCAAATACATCCACTTGCCGAAGGGATTCCAGACAATCCGGACGAAACAGTCAATTGAATATCGACAAGCAGCAAGAAAAAAAAAATGAGCTACAAAGAAATCTCGCAGCGCAAGCTCGCCGAGCTGGACGCGCAAATCCCCGCGGAATGGCGCCTCCACCCCTCGCAGATCCCACCAGGCATGCTCTCGCCGGCTGAGTCCGTCACGAACGTGCAGCACGACCGCATCAGCGTGATGCACATCCCGCGCAGCTGCGGCCTGCTCAGCGCGCGCGAGCTCGCCCTCACCGAGACCCACGACGTGCGCAGCCTGCTGCACGCCCTCGCCACCCAGCAAACCACCGCCGAGGAAGTCACCACGGCGTTCAGCAAGCGCGCCGCCATCGCGCACCAGCTCACCCGCTGCCTCACGGAGCCGCTCTTCGCGCGCGCCCTCACGCGCGCGCGCCAACTCGACGCCCACCTCCAACGCACCGGCCAGCCGGTCGGTCCACTGCACGGCCTCCCCGTCTCCGTCAAGGACAGCTTCCACGTGCACGGGGTGGACGCGAGCATCGGGCTCGCGGCGCTGGCGCACCAGCCCTCGGCCGCCGACGCGCCCCTCGTCGCGCTCCTCACCTCACTCGGGGCCATCGTGCTCGCCAAGACCAACGTCCCGCAGACGCTCGGCGCGCTCGACTCGGCCAACAACCTCTTCGGCCGCACGCTCAACCCGCTCAACCGGCAGCTGACGGCGGGCGGGTCCTCGGGCGGCGAGGGCGTGCTCGTCGCCATGCGCGGCGTCATGGTCGGCTTCGGCACCGACATCGGCGGCAGCATCCGCGTGCCCGCGCTCTGCAACGGCGTCTATGGCTTCAAGCCCAGCGTCGGCCGCGTGCCGTACGGCGGCCAGGAGAGCGGCCAGCTCGCCGGCAAGGCGCGCATCGCGCTGCAGGCCGTCGCGGGGCCCTTGGCCCGCTCCGTCGCCGACCTCGGCGCCGTCCTGGAACACATCGTCCCGCGCGCCGAGCTGTTCGGCGAGGACTGCATCCCGGGCTTCTGGGGGCCGTTCCCGCGTCCGGCTCCAATTTCCTCCTTCTCCTCCTGTCCCACTACGGGAGTGGGACAGGGACAGGGACAGGCGGGTAAGTTGCGGGTGGGCGTGCTCCGCTCCGACGGGCTGGTGGAGCCGCTGCCGCCGATCGCGCGCGTGCTCGACGAGGTGGCGGCGGTGCTGCGGCGCACGCCGGGCGTCGAGGTGGTCGAGGTGCCGGTGCCTGCGGCGCTTTCGAAATGCCAGGGCGTGGCGGGCCGCCTGATGGGGGTGGACGACGGGGGCCCGATGGTGGATCTGCTGACGGCGACGGACGAGCCGCTGATCCCGTGGCTGCGCGGGCGCATGCGGCTGGCGCGCGGGCGCGCGCTGAGCATCGAGCAGCTGGCGGGGCTGCAGGCGCAGCGGACGGCGCTGGAGCGGGAGATGCTGGGGATGTGGACGGGGGGTGAGGGGTCGGGGGCGGGGGCGGAGCGGGTGCTGGATGCGATCATGTTGCCTGCGGCGCCGCATCCGGTGCCGGAGCTGGATCGGTGGAATGCGGTCGGGTATGCGTCGAGTTTCGTGCTGCTGGATTATCCGGCCGGGGTGATTCCGGTGCGGAAGTTTGGGGAGCGGGATTTGGAGCTGGGCGTGGAGATGGCGGCGCCGGTGCGCGGGAGCTGGGATAAGGCGAATCGTGCGCTGTGTACGGTTCCCTTCCTTTTTTTTTATTTTTTTTTCCCCCTTTACTCCCGTCTATGTGTAGACTTGCTAACTGGTGGGTAGGGACCGAGAAAACCGTGGACCGCCGGGTGTATCTGGACTCGCCGCTGGGCATCCAGGTGGTGACGCCCAAGCAGCACGACTACGACCTCTTCCGGGCTATGGAGATCATCGACCGGGCGGTGCGCGCGGAGGGGACCTGGGAGCCCAGTGCTAGATTATAGATATTCTCCCGAAAAAAAAAGCTCTGTCCATATGTCATGACCGTCTTCTATTAGGGTATCGTATCTATCTACCATCCACCACACACCAAAGATTTTCATAATTTGCCCTTCAAGAGAGCGCCCCCATCTGTCACGATCACCGCGCCGTTCAGATGACTCGCCGCCCGGCTGGACAGGAAGACCACCAGGCCGGCGATATCTTCTGGCCGCCCCAGTCGGCGGTTGGGCGAGTGCTCCTCCAGCTGCTTGAGGCCGCCCCGGGCCTCGATCAGCCCGTTGGCCATCTTGGACGGGTAGACACCCGGGGCGATGGCGTTGCACAGGATGCCGCGCGGGCCCAGCTCGACGGCCAGGTTCTTGGCCAGATGGATGACGGCGGCCTTGGAGGCCGAGTAGGCGGGGGTGCCATTGTTGCCCACGGCGCCGACCCCAATGCCAGCGACGGAGCCGGTGACGATAACGCGCGAGGGGGCGTCACGGGTGGCCTTAGCCGTGAGCAGGGGGGCGAATCTTTTTTTTTCCCCCCAATCAATCATCAATAAACCGCCCTTGTAAGAATGGACACCACTGTACTGTCCCACTCACTTCTGCACCACGTAAAACACACTCTTCACGTTCAGATCCATGACCTTGGCAAAGGCCGGCTCCGGATACTTCTCGAAGCGCTCGCCCCAGGATGCGCCGGCGTTGGCGAAGAGGATGTCAACGTGGTCGGTGGTCTTCTGGACCTCGGCGACCAGGCGGTCCAGGTCGTCCATGCTCGCGTTGTCGGCGGGGACGGCAATGGCGACAGCACCGGGGCGTTTGTTGGGGAGGGCATTCAGGGCGGCGACGGCTTCCTCGCAGGCTTTGGCTTTCCGGGAGGTGATGTAGACCTTGGAACAGCCTGCCTGGAGGAGACTGCGATCAGTTCGTTAGCCGGTTGTTCGTGACTCGTGGGGGAGAGGAGACATAGTAGACATACCCGCTGGCAGCGTGGAGACCGAGACCCCGCGACCCCCCAGTGACCACGGCGACTTTGCCATCGAGGGAGAAGATGGAGCCAAAGTCTTGGAGCCGGACTTGCTCTTCGGCGGACATTGTGTGTTTTTTTTTCTCTTTCTTTTCTCGGAGAGTTGGTGATTGATTTGGGGGGGTTGTTCATGATGATAGACCGGATGGACTTTATATAGTGGCTGTTCTGGTTAGCTTTCCCCACGTTTGAACCGACTGGGGCCGAGGTTCGGCAGGTTTGATGATCGTATCGAATTGTTCGATCTTGGAGGTTGACGAGCATAAGTCATCATGAGGTTGATAGTGATGATAGGAACTGTCAGAATATCGCGAATGATGAGGAGATTCGATGAAGTGAAGTGAAAGAGATGCGATGAGTCTGGGTGCCTAGATGCCTGGATACCTGGATGCCTGGGTCATCAGTGTAGCCTCAGGCTGCACCTCCATATATCCATCGATGATCCATCTCTCGATCCTCTCGATCCTCTCCTCAACTAACCAATCCTCCATCCATCGGTCTTCCTACCAATGATGCAACACTGACAAGCACCGCATCCAATCAGTAAGCCCAAAGCGCCCATAATCTGCTCATTTGTGCTCAGGATCCCAAGGTCCTCTCACGTCAATTGCCTCAAACCCGCTCATCGGCAGCATGGGGACCTTTGCAGTCAATCCAGTCATAGATAGATAGATAGTAGCATTAGCCCCCATCTCTCACTCCTTATTCCTCATCTCTCTATCTCTCTTCTCTTCTCTTCTCTTCTCTTCTAATTCTCTATCCAGTCAACCCGGAAACAGCAAGCTATCATGGCCACCAAGTACACCCTCCCACCGCTTCCCTACGCCTACGAGGTCTGTCTCTTCTCTCTCTCTCCCTCTATCACCAGCACCATCACCAACTAACAAAACCCAGGCCCTCGAACCCATCATCTCCAAACAGATCATGGAACTCCACCACCAAAAACACCACCAAACCTACATCACGAACCTCAACGCCGCGCTCGCCGCGCAGACCACCGCCCTGCAGGCCAACGACGTCCCGCAGCTCATCGCCCTGCAGCAGAAGATCAAGTTCAACGGCGGCGGCCACATCAACCACTCGCTCTTCTGGAAGAACCTCGCGCCGCCCGGCGACCCGCAGACGCGCCTCGACGCCGCCGCGCCCGCCCTCAAGGCCGCCATCGAGCAGCGCTGGGGCTCCGTGCAGGGCTTCACCGAGGCGTTCGGCGCTACCCTGCTGGCCATCCAGGGTAGTGGCTGGGGGTGGTTGGTGAGTAGCGGGCCGCGGGGGAAGTTGGACATCACCACGACCAAGGACCAGGATCCGGTGACGGGGGCTACGCCGGTGTTTGGGGTGGATATGTGGGAGCATGCGTACTATCTGCAGGTAAGTTTTTTTTTTTTATTTCCCCTTGGGTGTTGATGGGACTGGAGATTGGGGAGGGGCGCATGGCTAATCATGAGGGATGGATGGATAGTACTATAACAACAAGGCCGCCTACGTCGAGGGCATCTGGAAGATCATCAACTGGGCCACCGCCGAGGAACGATACAAGAATGGCGTCGAGGGACCGTCGATCCTCAAGTTGTAGCCGTAGCTGTAGCTGTAGCTGCTCTTGCTATGAATCTGAATATGAATATGAAGTACGATGATCAATATGCAAAGAATAACCCCATCCCTAACTCCCACACAAACAACTTCACACCTCTCAATCATACCCAACCACCCCCATCCCCATCCCCATCCCCATTCGCAACATCATCCTTCCCTCTGCCACCACCGTCACCGTCCGCCCCACAATCCCCTTCTCCGAGACCCCCAGATCCAGCTTCTCGGGCAACTCAAATGCCATCTCCGATTCGATCGCTGTCATGCCCTGCTTCCGCGAGTAAGACGGCCGGAGCCGGAATTGATGGAGAGGCGGCGCAGTCAGTGCAGAAGTAAGATCGCCATGGCGTCTGCCATTCATCATTCAGCAATCCGTCGGGCAGGAGTAGAAGAAGAAGAAGACCTACTCGATTCGGAGGTCGATGCTCTCGCAATCATGGAATGCGGCCCGAGTCAATGGATCCTCGATGCGGAAGATGGCGGTTGTACGGTCGCCCTCGTAGAAGAAGAGCGTGTAAGGGTTTATGTTCATATTCAGGTTCATGTGGTTGGTGGTGGAAGCGGAGGGAAACATGACTGCGATGCGGCCGCCGGAGCTGGGGCGGGAGGAATTGCCACACATGATGATAGATAGGTGATAGAGAGAGAGAGAGAGAGGGATTATTGACATATATACATCCATCTGCTGTCTCCAGGAGAGAGAAACTATTTATACCCGGAATGAGCAGGATTGAGCGAATATCAGTCCCCAAGGTTGCTCAAATGTGCTCATGTGGGTCGGGGAGGAATGTCATTCATCATAGGCAGAGACTCCTGGGGCATAATTATTATAGGGATATGAATGGATAGATAGAGAGGCAGATATATAGATAGATAGATATTGATAAATATATAAAAATACTGCCTATCCTCCCTCTCACGTATAGCTCAGACCGATGAGCAGATCGATGAGCAGATCTAGGAATGATGAACCCGGATGGGATGCGCTTCAGTGTTGAACACAAACTGGTTGCCGTCTCCCCGTTGGACTTGCCATGCATCCTCTGCTGCCATTAGCTCTGAAGGGATGCTAGGAACCCTCCCCCCCCCCCCAAAGAGACATACCTTCGGAGTGCGTCAGATACGCATACTTCAACACCTCCGCAAACAGGAAGCTCTCCTGGTTATCGTAGCGACCCCCTCCGTTCTCTGCGTTGACATTGGTCAGGCCAGCGTATCCAGAGCCCGTGCGGCACGTCTTGTTGATCGCCACAAATGCCGTCCACACCCAGTCGCGGTACTACAGGAATCAGCAGGGGGGAAAACCTCCTCTCGATCAGGAATCCAAAGGACCAACCTCGCTCCGGCCAGTCACGCGCCACGCATAGTAGAAGCTCTCGATCACCTCCGGTCGCAGAATGTACGCACCATTCTGGACATAGAAGCCGGCGCGCTCATACAACTCCTTCTGGTCGGCCGGGACCGAGTTTGCATCCCAGCCGAAACTCTCGGGGCCGATCCCCGTCAGCGTTTGGCTGTACGTTTCATGGCAAGCATCGACCAGCGCCAACCCAAAGTCGATCAAGTCGCGGCGGTCCAGCACCGTCCCGCCCAGCAAGAAGTTCCCGCCGTCGAAACAGGCCAGGTGCTGCGAGCTGAGTCCGTAGCGACCGCCGTCGTAGGTCGCCAGGAAGGTTAGATCCGGGCGAGACGCCGGGTGAGAGGCGAGATGTTCGATGCTCGACTCCGCGGCGGCCACCCAGCGGTCTCTGTAAAGTGCAAACCGCGTGGGATCGTACACGTACATCTTGATCAGATACTCATAGTAAGAGTCGTCGCCACCGTTCCAGCTGACGTGACCGTCGGTGAACTGGCCGGTCTTGATGTCGATGTTGCTCCCGATGAGGCCCGGGAACGGTTCAGCCGAGCTGGGCTGCGGGTGCAGCAGATAGGATTCGGCCTTTTGGCTGAGTTGCGCATACTCGGGGTCTCCCGTCAGATCGGACAGGCGGGTCCATTCCAGAACCAGTGTGCCGGTCACCGCCAGGCCGTTGGTTTTGGCGCCGTCGTGGCCATGAGAGGTGATGTTGATGTTGTTGTACGGCACGCCCGACGGAGTATCAAAGGCGAATTTGAGAATGTCACCGAGGTTCTTCGACTGCTTCAGGAGGATGTCCACTTTGGAAGTATCCTTGACGAGGTCGGCGGCGGGGCCTTTGAGCAGGTCGTAGCCGGACAGCATGCCCCCGAGATAGCGGATGGTCGTTTCAAACAGACTGACGGTATCCGAGGTCTTGGAATAGTCGATGGTGGCGATGTGATCGAGGATCTCATGGACAATGGTCGCGTTCCGCATCACAATGGCCGTGGACAGGGCGTCAACGGCCGATGCGCCCCAGCCGTTTCTACGATCTCTGGTCAGACAGACATCCCATGTTCCGTTCGACATAAAAGCTCGACAGGGTCATACCTGGAATTGCCGTAGCCATTGGAGATGGGGTGCAGCTCGTCGTGAGGAAAGGCATATTTCTTGTAGCCATCCCAGGCATGCGAAAAGGCCTCTTTGACGGCGGCTGCACGAGACGACGCTCTGTCATCCTGCAACACCGGCTGCTCGGCTTGCGGCAAGGCCAAGGAGGAGCCTGCGAGGGCCCAAGCGAGGGACAGCGAGGGCAGATGCATGATGATGATGATGATGATCCAGGCCGACGGGATAACTTCAGGGGCAACAACAATGGAAAAAAAAGAAAGAAAAAAGAAAGAAAGATAAAACGAATGACAGGCTGGGCGAGCAGGCGAGATTTATGTTTTTAAAAGAGTGAAGAAAGTGGAATCAATCAATCATTCTGGATGAAAGCGAGGAATGAGAGAGAGGAAAGAGGGGGGAGGAAAGGGAGGGGAGTCGCGTGTTGAGGGAGAGTGACGAGCAAACCGGAGGTGCATGATGCATCTTATTATTTATGATGATGATGATGAATCTGGAGATGATGATCATCACCTTCATTTGATCATTCAACTATCATTAATTGATTCATTAGTGTTGGACTGTTGGAGGGCGATCAAAGCTCGGAGATATACATCGTTAGTTGGTGATAGTGGGAGTCTTGATCGATCGACTAACTATAGAGTATAGACTAACAGTAGTAGTGTTAGTCTCTGGGTCTCTCGTCATCTTCAAAGACCTCATGTCCTGGTACACCACAGATATCCCGATCGCTTTTGAATCCGACTATTCTATATTCTATCTATAGTCTGTCTACCTATCTTGAAATGTTGACATGTTTCTGATGCAGGGGAACTCCAGGTACCAGGTACCGTATCATATCATATCATATCATATCATCCATACCGTTACTGTTTCAGTATGTATTGGGCAGTACCAGTCATACCTGTATATACATCCATGTATCCCATAGGTATCCTATATCTATCTATCTATATATCTCCCCCAACATAACCAGATCGATGGATAGTCACCGGTTACACTCCCAGTTCTGTTATAATCTTCTTATGTTCTCAATCCTAATCCTCTTATAATCCTGGAAGGTCATTGTGATTCATCAGCTGGTCCGATCACTACTGACTCGCAGCTGACCGTCTCTCCCAGATGACTCTCCGTAATCGGCTCATTGATACTGCCTCAACATTACAGAGTATAGACTCTCTCTCTCTCTCTCTCTCTCTCTCTCTCTCTCTCTCTAGACAACACTCTATAGACACAGATCCAGACACAGACCCTCGTAGAATATCATCTTCCACTCTTATACCCTAGAAATATCTACTACCCTCTGTGTTGTTCACACCAACGCAGCTCTGCAGCGCTCAAGCGGGTTCCCAATGCGGGGCACCCGAATCCGCCCAAAAGAATATTTCTTTCTTGCGATGATTCACAGCCTCCAGTATTCTCTCTCAACCATCTTCATCTTCCCTCCTTCTCTCTTCCCTCATCCCAGGGATTGGGATTCATCTTTCATCTTTCATCCATCCATCATCATCATCATCGAATTAGATCTAACTCTTGTATCAACCTCCCAACTCTCACACTCTCACACTCTCACCATGGCCACTCCCTTCCTCGTCTCCCTCAACCCCTCCTCTCCCTCCGGCCTCCCTCTCGCCCAGATCGCCTACTTCGGTCGCGTCCTCATCAAAGTCTCCTCTCTCGCTCAGGCTGAGGAATTCCTGCGTCAGAACTTTCGTCTTCTCGATGTCTACGTCGATGCCACCGAGATCGCTTCCGCCGGCGACATTGTCGATATCCTCAATGCCGGTGCCGCCAAAGTCTTCGTGTCCCTCGACCAATTGACCACCCTCTCCCAAGAGCAATCCGTTCCCTCGTCACGGCTCGTCGTCTACACCTCATCGGACAGTCAAGTCAACGCCTTCAAGACCTGGGTGGGTGAGGATGCCGAGAGAAAGGATGCGGGTGTTTGCACCGATTCCTCCGCCGTCAAGGCCCTGGCCGACAAGCTGAGCTTGGACCTGGAGGCTCAGAACCTCTACCGCACCTACTCCAACAACACCACAGCAGTCACCGAAGAGGCGCTGAAGGAAACATTGAAGCACGGTGCCGTCAGCATCGTCACCTCCGACGCCCTGACCCTCGATCACAAGAACCCCGACGGCAAGATCCCCGCCGCCGCTCTCGTGGCCGCCCGCGCGGTTGCCGACCAGAGCAACGGACTATACGCGACCTCGGTGACGGATGAGCGCGGTACATGTCTGGGCCTCGTCTGGAGCAGCGACGAGAGCATCGCCGAGGCTCTGCGCACCGGAACCGGCGTCTACCAGAGCCGCAAGCGCGGCCTGTGGTACAAGGGCCAGTCCAGCGGCGACGTGCAGCAGCTGGTTCGTCTGGGTTTCGACTGCGACAGCGATTGCCTGGTCTTTGTCGTGCGACAGATCGGCCGCGGCTTCTGCCACCTGGGCACCGCCAGCTGCTTCGGTCCTTACAACGGTCTCTCGCGTCTGCAGAAGACCCTGCAGGCCCGCAAGGCCGACGCCCCCGCCGGCTCCTACACTGCCCGCCTGTTCAACGAGCCCAAGCTGGCGCAGGCGAAGATCATGGAGGAGGCCGACGAGCTGTGCCGCGCGACCACCAAGGAGGACATCGCCTTTGAGGCCGCCGATCTGCTCTACTTTGCGCTGACCCGCTGCGTCGCGGCCGGCGTCAGCCTGGAAGACATCGAGCGGAACCTGGATCTGAAGAGCTTGAAGGTGAAGCGAAGAAAGGGCGATGCCAAGGGCCCCTGGGCCGAAAAGGCCGGTCTAGCCCCCGCCGAGCAAGCGAAACCCGCGGCCCCGACGGAGACCGCGAAGAGCCAGCCCGTCGCGGCGGTTCCGGATGACTCTCGCATGGAGATGACCCGCGTGTTCACCGCCTCCACGCCCGTTGACGTCGTCAAGGATTACCTGAAGCGTCCCTCGCAAAAGTCCAACGACGCCATCGTGGGTCTCGTCCGCCCCATCATCCAGGACGTCCGCGAGGGCGGCGACGCCGCCGTGCTCAAGTACACCCACAAGTTCGAAAAGGCCACCTCGCTGACCTCCCCCGTGATCCGCGCTCCTTTCCCGCCGGAGCTCATGCAGCTGTCGCCCGAGACCCGCGACGCGATCGATGTCAGCTTGGCCAACATCGAGAAGTTCCACGCCGCCCAGCAAGACAGCACCGCGGTCCTCCAGGTCGAGACCATGCCCGGTGTCGTCTGCTCGCGGTTCTCCCGTCCCATTGAGCGGGTCGGTCTCTACATCCCCGGCGGCACCGCCGTGCTGCCCTCCACTGCCATGATGCTGGGTGTCCCCGCCAGGGTGGCGGGCTGCCAGAAGATCGTCTTTGCCTCCCCGCCCCGTGCCGACGGCAGCATCTCCCCCGAGATCGTCTACGTCGCCCACCAGGTCGGCGCGGAGAGCATTGTTCTTGCCGGAGGTGCCCAGGCAGTGGCCGCCATGGCGTACGGCACGGAGAGCGTCAGCAAGGTGGACAAGATCCTGGGTCCCGGCAACCAGTTTGTCACGGCGGCCAAGATGCTGGTCGCCAACGACACCTCAGCCGGTGTCAGCATCGACATGCCGGCGGGCCCCAGTGAGGTGCTGGTGATCGCGGACCGGGACGCCAACCCGGCCTTTGTGGCATCGGATCTGCTGAGCCAGGCCGAGCACGGCGTCGACTCGCAGGTGATCCTCATCGCGATCGATCTGGACGAGAAGCAGCTCCAGGCGATCGAGGACGAGGTGGACGCGCAGGCGCGGGCCCTGCCCCGGATGGACATTGTACGCGGCTCCCTGGCGCACTCGGTCACCTTTGTGGTGCGGGACCTGGACGAGGCGATGGCGCTGAGCAACGATTACGCCCCCGAGCATCTGATCCTGCAGGTGCAGAACGCCGAGGCGGTGGTAGAGAAGGTGCAGAACGCCGGCAGTGTGTTTATCGGCCAGTGGACCCCGGAGAGTGTGGGTGATTACTCTGCGGGTGTCAACCACTCTTTGCGTAAGTTCCTCGTCTTTCATCGGGATCCTCATACGGCTTGTCCAGTATAGCTAACATGTCGCAGCAACCTACGGCTACGCCAAGCAGTACTCCGGAGTCAACCTAAGCTCGTTCCTCAAGCACATCACCAGCTCGAACCTGACGGCGGAGGGCCTGCTGGGCCTGTCTCGCACGGTGGAGCAATTGGCGGCTGTGGAGGGACTGGATGCGCACAAGCGTGCTGTGAGCATCAGAGTGGCGGCGATGAAGCAGAACCCGCGTAACTAGAGCTGGAGCTGGGACTGGGACTGCATGACTTTTTTTTTTTTTGACTTTTTGCCATGACGACGAGATGCACAAGGGGAAAAGAAAAGTGTAATTGATGAGATGAAGTTAATTGAATGGAAAGAAGACATTCGGATTAGTAGCAATGATAAATGATTTGGTATTGCAATGGATAACTTTCGGATCCACGCCTGAACGCCTTGACCTCTATATAAAGGAAAAAAAAAACTTTTGTCCGGGCCCCAAAACGAAATACACACACACCCAGAGACAGAGAGAGAGGTATCATCATCATCAAACTATAGGCGAATCACTTCTTGCGCTCGCGGATCTTCCACTTGATCCCGTGCTTGTTTGTCCCTCCGACGGAGTTATCCATGCGGCCTCGCTGCCAGTCCAGCTCGCGCTCGGCAGCCGTGAGGTCGGCAAACTGCTTCCGGAGCGCCTGGAGCTTGTTCTCGCGGGCCTCGGCGGCGCGTTTCTTCATCTTGCGGGCGCGCCGGGCCTCGACGAGCGCCTGCCGCTCGGCCTCGAGCTGTTTCGGCGTCTTCCTCTGCGCCGTCTTCTGCCCTTGTTCCTGTCCATCGGTATCATCCCCAGCCTCATCCCGCTCGTTCTCCCTCAGCCTCCGCTTCTTCAGCACCCGCTGCTCCCGCTGGTCATCCGCAAAGACCAACTTCCGCCTCCCATTCCCACTCTGCTTCTTCTTTTTGCCGCTGCTGCCCCCCTCCTCATCCCCAAAGTCAAACCCACCAAACTCATCATCATAATCCTCCTCGGAGTCGCCATCTTCACTCCCACCCTTCTCCCCCTCCCCAAGAACCTCCCTCATCCCCTCCTGCAACCGCACCTCCCCCTCCACCTTCTCCATCTCCCGCCTCACCCGCTCCGCCGTCGTCCGCAGATACCCCGCATCCTGCGTCTTCAGCAGCTTGATCGCGTCATGGCCCAGCCCGCGCTTCGCAGCCGAGTCGCGCGCCCCGGCCCCGTGCTTCCCGCGCACGCGGCTCTCCGCCGCCATCATCCCGAAGGCGAATTCATCCGGGTTGCGCGCCGACGCGAGTTCCTGCAGACGCTTGATTTTGGTCTTTTTGGCGTTGTAGTCTTGGGCGCGGAGGGTGTAGTCCTACAAGCCATGGGGATGTTAGTTGGTGGGATCTTGGGGGAGAGAGAGAGAGAGAGAAATGGAATGGGGGAAGACGAATAGAGAGAAGAAACGGACTTTGTGTTTTTCGAGAATACCCCATTTTTCGCGGCCTTGGAGTTGGCCTCGTTCGCGGTGTTGCCGTCTTTGGACGGCGTTGCGCATGGACGACATTTTGGTGATTTGGTTTTGTTTTTTTGTTTTTTTGTTTTCTTTTTCTGCTCTCTTATTGAAATAGATGTGTATAGTGTAGAGTGTAGAGTGTAAGGTGGTGGTGGATTGAGCGGAGTTTTGAGGTGAGTTGGTTGAGTTGCGTACGGAGTAGAAAAAAAAATAAGTGATGTCGGGCTCGGCGGAGAATGAAAGAAGTTGAGTGAGATGACCGGAAGGTGAAAAGACCTTTTGCTTTTGCTCCGTCAAAGCACAGCACCACCACCACCACCACCACCACACCCACTGGCTGGCTACCACAATCCACTGTCTCTGTTTCTCTGTTTCTAACATCTGATCCCCGAATACATTCAGACTGATCTCAATTGAACTCCTGGTTTCATCCCTCCCCACCAGAGCAAAACATGTCCTCCTCACCACCACCACCAACAACAACAACATCATCATCATCATCACCAGACTCCCCCCTCCCCCCCAGCAATAAACCCGCCTACAACCTCCGCAATCCGCTACCCTTATCCGCGTCCCAAGAGCAAGAGGTCAAGAGACTATACTACAAGCGTGTACGCGCGCACTGCGCCCCGGAGATCAAAGGTACCCTACCCTACCTCGCCCGCTTCCCCCAGTCCCAGTCCCAGTCCCAGTCCCAGTCCCAGCCCGACGGGACAACAAGCTAACAGACGACGACGAACGCGCAGCATTCGCCGAATGTGCTGTCAACCGCACCGTCACGGCGACGTGGGTATGTCGGGTGCAGCGGCTGGCCATGAACTCGTGTATGCTGGAGCATGCGAAGCCCGAGGAGGAGGACCGGGCGCGGGAGGAGTGGTTTGCCACGGTTGAGGAGCGGCGGCGGGCCAAGGAGGAGGATCTGGTCAAGGTGGAGAAGCGGCGGGAGGAGGTCATTCGGATGATGAGGGAGGATGAGGCGCGGAGGGGGAAGATGATGCGGTGATGCCGTACTATTATTATCTCCTTCCTCTTTCCTCTGGGTCTCTTGGGGGTGTGTGTTTGATTATGGGGATGGGGAGATGGATGAATGGGAGATGGGTGAAGAGGATGGATTGAGGGCGTACATAGGATGGGCGTTTCTTTGAACTTTTCTTTCTTTCTTTCTTTTTCCTGCATGCTTGCTTGCTTGCATCCGTTGCGTGATGGAATTATGGTTATGTACAATAGCTTTTGTTTGAAGCGCTGGCATCGGGGATCGTGACACCAATGCATATGCAAATCAATGGGAAATCTCCGCCCTTAACTATCATGGAAATTCCATATCAGAGAAGAAGAGAGAGAGAGAGAGAAGAAACGCCAGAAACGCCCATGCCCTAGTCCCAGTCCCAGTCCCAGTCAAGACGCCCCGTTTAAACATCCGTCATCGCCTTGTCCTCATCCTCCCCATCCCCCTCCCCCATGGCCGTATCCTCGCCGAAGATATCCTCCATCTTCCCATCCCCATCATCATCGTCCTCATCCCCTTCTGCTTCCTCCTCCTTCACCCCAGCTCCAGCCTCCCCACCCTTCCCCTCCCGCTCCGCAGCACCCGCCTGGTCTCCCTCCCCCTCCGTCTCCACCTCCTCCTCCCCCTCACTCTCCCACTCATCCTTCATATCCCACCCCGTCCCCGTCAAACAGAACCTCTCCGGCGGCAGCCGCATGCCACCCATGATGACACTCTGGTTCACCTGCGCAGCACTCTTCGCCTGCGCCGCCGCAGAGTCAAACCCCCTCGCCGCGCCCGGCAACGCCACCCGGTTCCTCTCCGCCGCCACATCCAACAGAAACTCCTTCGGCAGGCCCGTCTGGAACTGGTAGTGCAGCCGCGACGCAATGCTCAGCCGCAGCGCAGGCAGCGACACGCTGTTCACCTCCACGGGGCCGCGGCCCGCTCCGCCGCCGCCGTCGCCCACCGCCCCCGCGTAACCCTCCGTTGCCAGGTGCACCGCGTCCTGCAGCACGCCCGACGTGTACCGGTACGCGAAGTCGAGCAGTTGCAGCGGCACGCGCTCTTGGTACGCCGTCACGCCGAGCGAGGCGAGGAGCATGTGGATCAACCGGACGTCGCGCGGGCGCCGCGACTTGCCGCTGTCTTTGAGTGAGGTGGAGGGGATTTGGGCCGGTTGGGCCGTGTTGTTGGAGGAGGAGGAGGGCATGGTTGTGTTGTTCGTGGTGTTGTTGGTGTTGGGGGCGTGAGCGGGTTGCGAGGAGGTCGTGGCGATCGGGTTGGTGGAGGAGGGTTCGGCGGGTGGTGTGAGTGGCTGGTTTGATGACGAGGCCGGGGCCTGTGTTTGAGCTGGCGATGCCATGGTGTGTTGGTGGTGAGGTGAGGTGAGAGAGAGAGAGGGGTGATGAAGTGCTGGGGGGATGAGAGAGCTGGAGAATGGGTGTGAAGCTATAGATGGTCGAGGATGGCGGTGTGTCACGTTGTCTGCAGTGCAGCGGTTCACTTCAGAAGATGGGGACCATGCAATTCAATGTCTCTGATCGCCGGATATCATGAACAATAATGTCGTCGAGATGGAATGAATCCCCATTCATGTTGTCTGCTGGATTTCTTCGACTCCGAGGCGGCGCTAGACCGCATTCGGAAATCTCCTCTCCTCTCTTCTCCATCGACCATATCAAAGACGCAAAATTCAAGTTACCAACAGCACGATTCCTGGCTCTAAAAATGTATATTCTAACGCTCTATCTACCGGCCTTCGTCTAATATGCAGCTTGACAGGCTGAACAGCAAGCAGCAAAGACGCGCCAATCGACCTCTCCTGCGCCAGACCGTCCAGCAATGCTCCACCGAATAACAAACAAATTAAACATGACTATACAATGGTTCAGAACGCCGCTCATGCAGATGACTGGGTTGAAAACAGGCTGTGCAAGGTATATGGTGTGTCGAGTGACAGATTGTCTTACTCGCCGATGGTGGGTATCATTTAAGCGTGGCCGGGGCGACGCGAAACAGCTTCCAATATATCCAGAATCGTTTCCTGCAAAGATGTCTCACGCAGGACGGACGACTTCAGACGAGGCTTTCTGCCTCGACTGCGTCGGCTTGGAGCCGATGGTCTCATCCTCTGCATCTTCATCGTCGACAAGACTCTGGCCGTCTGCCACGAAGTCGGTCCTGTGCTCGGACATTACGATTCCGTCCATCGAGAGTTCTGAAATCATACTGGCGCCCAGGTCACCCTCCTCGTCATCGAGGATATCACTGCCCTCCTCGCCCTCACTCAATTCGCCGTCATACTCCTCCTCATCGTCGTCTTCCTCTTCGTCTTCGTCCTCTTCTTCCTCGTCCTCCTCCTCCTCGATCTCATCTTCCTCGTCTTCCTCATCCTCCTCACTGTCCGTGTCCGAGAGAAAATCAAGCTCTGGAGGAGGCTCCCTCCAGTAGGTAAAATCCGTGTAGTTCTCACCTCCAGGCTGGACCAGCAGGCTGACCGGTGGAAAGAAATGATCTAACAGCTCCCGCATGGTGACGTAGCTGCTCTTGTACTTGTTCAGACTGAGCAGATCCAGAGAAACCTCGGCGTTCGAATTGATGGTAAAGATCCGAGTCGAAGGGATGTTCACCGATCGGTAACTCAGTGCATCCGTCAGACGGTTGCCGAACCCAGCGTAGAAAGGGTTCTCCTTGCCGTGAAAGAGACCCAGGATGTCCCGCAAACACGCCATCTTGAACACCTCCGGCTTCCGCAGATAGATCTCCCGCCGGAGCGCCGCGATCGTTCTGTCAGGACTCATGATGACCGGTCCTTTCGGTAACCTGTATCCATCCTGACAAACTCCGTAGATGTACGTGCGGGTGGTGTCCGCTTGCCCAACAGATCGGCTGGTGAGATACATGATGTTGTAGCCGTTATTGACGATGTCCGTGTATAACTTGGCCACTCCAGCATGTGTCCAATCCCGACCGATCATATTCAGAACGTGACCCAAGGCATCAGACCTAAGCTTTTGTCAGTATGGTCAAGGACAAAGAAAAAAAAAAAAAAAAACAGCAAGAGAAGACGGTGATAACTAACTTCGTGATGGTTCCATCGATATCTGATATCACGATCGGCGTGTTGCTGTCCCACAGATACATGGTCGCTGTGCAGGTGGCTCTGTTGACGCTGAAGGACATCGGATTCGCCCCAGCTTTCAGGTTCAAAGCCTTGAGCTGGTCGCTGGTCAGACGCAGGGTCTTCGCATAATTCCGGGTCTGATCTGCCGGCGTTGTGTCGGGAGTTGGGGATTGCGGAGGAGTAGGGAAGCCTGGCTGCACATCAGACTGGGCCCGATGGTGGCGAGTTGTGAACGACGACGGGTCGGACATGGGACGATCCGTGTCGCTATGATACCCAGGGTCGGAGACGGCGTTCTCGCTCATGGCAGAACTAGGTCTCATCGCATTGAAGGTGGCCCGGCGGTTCGCGGCCTCCTTGGCTTCTTCACTGCTGTAGATCCACAGGTTCCCGTGCTCGTCGGCTCCGATGAGGGCACCAATATCGTAACTTCCCTCCAGCTCCTCCGCAAGAATCTTGCGGGCAACGAGTTCAGCACGTAGGGCATCCTCCTCGTTGCTCTTATATCCAGTCATATCGAGCATGAGATCGCCCGTCTCATTGACATGAGTTGGGATGTTCGACGACGACAGTCTCTTGGAAAGAGATAGTGCGCGTGAGACGGCCTCCTCTGGGCTGAGCAAAGGAGGACTGCGCGGGCGTTGGGTGTGACTAGGATCCTCGCTGGTGGTTGGGCTCGGAGGCTGCGCTCCGAGAGCGAAATCACCCATGCCAGAAGTGTTGGGGTGTTTCTTGGTGGTCAAAACACCCTCGGATGCTGCCCGGTCAATAAGGCCCGGTCCGTCTCCAAACGAACTATGGCGAACCCGGCTCATGTTGGACTCTTCTAGCGAGCGCGACAAAGGGGTGATGGCACCTGGATTCAAATGAGCAACAACCTCTGGATCCAGGATTCAGGAGGACAGATCGTACCTAGATCCGTACACGCCCTCGTCTCTCTCGAAAGCATGGGTATATCTGCAGCGGCCTTTGCATCCGGCGACTGTCCGATTCCCGCGGATTTTTCGAGATCCAGGAATTCCGGTTCCTGGAGGGACGTTGGGAGATCTTCCTCGCTGCCGGCTCTAGGACTACCCGCCGGTGATACCAGCGGCGATGTCTGCAGCGAAGCCGGGATCTCGTCTGATGTTTCAAAGACGAAAAACGCCTCTCCACCTTCTCCCAGCTTCATCGCATAATCCTGCTTGACACCATTGACTTGGAATTCCACCTAGCAGACAACTCAGTCCTGCCTGGATAGTATCGCTTGAACAATGTATAGGTACCTTCTTCTCATATGGACGGAGCAGCGAAAACTTGCCGAATCGTACGTGGAACGGCGAACAGGCGAGTGTCCCTGTTAGTCGTCATGAGTAAATAGTACACCACGGGAGTTCACGGAGAGCACCGAGAAACGTACCATCTTCCTGCTCAATAACGATGACATCAATTGCTCCGCTCAAGGTAGCTGGATTGATCGAATTCCACGTCTTCGACACCGAACCGCTGATGCTGCGGACGTACTGCATCCCGAAACGTGGACGTGGAAAACGCCTGGAGTTATTGTGTGAAAAAAAGGCAAAGAGTATCTAGGTGAAATCTAATGGCCGACAATAATTGCGATAAAAACAAGTCAAAGAGACTTCCGAGACGGAGATTGAGAAGTTGGCAGCAGGCAGTTCGGAGAGTTGCAGGAATTGCCGCCTACATATGGCCCATGTGACAGTGCCCAAGACAACGCTCCAACTGTGACATACCCAGCTGGGGGAGGAGGGGGGGGGAGGAACGAACGTAATGCCGCTAGGAGAACAATAGACACTAGAGTCTAGACAAAGACTCAGTGAAGGAACAAGGAGCGAGATCTAAATAAAGATCGGAGAATGAAGCAAATAATGGCGAAGGATAAAGAGAGAAGAGTTGGGATGGATAGATGGATGGGATGGATGGGATGGATGTATGTACCTCCGATAAGCGTTTCCCACGACAAGAGATAAAGCACTACTCCATAGTCCACACTGAGTATCTACTACGATCTAGTCTACCACTCACTCTAGAAAGTTGTTGACGGTTGGGGGAATCCTGTAGGATCAGTCAGCAGTCCGCCTGGATGGTCACTCTAAACAAAAAAAGTCACTTGGAAATTCCTCAACCGCTCAACAGTCAACACGCACTGAGTGCCTTGATGCCTTGGTGCCTCAGTGCCTCAGTGCCTCAGTCCTCAGTCCTTAGTCCCAAACAGGAAAGTTCCTCGGCTTCTCACAGGGCATAGGGGGCATAGGGGCTGCGCTAGTCCGTTTATGGCATTGCCTGTCTTCACTGCTCGTTCGGGAAGGGATCGTCATGCCAAGACTTTGTCGCTCGGAATTCTAAAAGAATGATGACTAAGGAGCAGATCTATCAGCTGACCTCACCTGACCCTCCCCTCATCGGGTTAGATCCTCGTCCCCAAGAGCTGATCTAACGCAGACTTGCTTTTTATTATTATTGCGGTGGAAAGAGACTAAGAGAGGTTCGCAGTGGGCGACAGAAGAAGGAAGCGTTAAGAAAAGAAAGAGAGACTAGGTTTTCTCTCCATCGGACGATCTCCTTCTGCCCCTCTCTCTTCCTCTTTCTCGCTCTCTCTCTCTCTTTTTTTTTTGAAAATCCATCAGCGAAACCCCAGTCTCCATGGGTAGTATCCAATGCTGGGATGTATGAGCCGTTGTATCTTTCCTTTGACGCCTACCCTAGCGTGGTTCCTCCTGTGAGGGTACGAGGCGTCATGGCTCTCTTCCTGGCTGTTACGATTCTATGGGCGCTGATATGGTGAGTCGGATTCGTTCTCTTCCCCCGTCCTTGAATCTGACATATCTATTTCACACAAGGTTACTCTATCGTGCATGGCAAGTCTGTCAGACCCCCAATGATGTGTTGGTTGAAAAACTCGGCCTGGACATCCCTCCGCCGCCGGAGGTGACGCTGGAGGAGATCACCGCCCGTGAGATTCGAATCGCTTGGAAACAGCCGGACTTTCACAACTCCATACACAGGCACATCATCCAAGTCAACGGCTCCAAAGGTACCTTGTGCTGCGCATAGTCTTTACCGCTTAAAATCGTCATGATGAAGACTAATTGGTGATAGTGGGGGAATCAAAACGAGCAGAAACCGTGGTGGAAATCTCGAATCTAGTCCCGGGCAGCATCTATCACGTGTGCGTCTTTTCCGTCAGCGCAGCCAATTTCCAAACTCCTAGCGCAATCATCCACGTGCGAACGAAACCTCTTCCCTTGTCTCCGTCTCAGCAAAATGCTCCGGTCGGTCCCCCCACAATCCGGGCTTCGATTCCGCGACCCGCCGCCGGGTTGGTGGCTCCTTCAGCCCCCATGATGGCTCGTGAGCTCAGTGGCGGGCAGTTGCAAGTAAAGCGCTCCTCGGCCGGACGTAGGCAGTCTCCTGCCGCGAGCGGAGTGGACCTCTCTCACGGCCAATCCGAAGAAACTCAGAGAAACACGACGACCAGTGATATCAATCAAAGCGTGGAGCGACTGGCTGAGAGGTTGAAGACGCTGCAGCAGGAGAACGAGAATGTGGAGAAGCAGGCTGCGGAGGAAGAAGAGGAACACGTCGCGCTTCTGAAAGAACTTGAGAAACAACGTGACGAGTTGAGGAAGCGGGTCAAGGAGAAGGATGAGGCCAGTGGCGACCTGAAAAAGCATGTCAACAAGCTGGAAAGCGTCAATCGCACGGTACAAAACGAAAAGGCGAAGCGTGAAAGACTCCTGCAGCAGAAAGAAACCGAGCGGAACAAGCGCAGGGAGGACATCATCCGGTGGCGAGAAGAGATGGTGCGGATGACTGCCGAAGTCACCCAGATCAACGAGGAAAAGGCACAGGTGGAAGACGAAGGGAAGAGGAGCGCGGACGAAATTCGCGAGAAGATTGCCAAGGAGCAGGCGGAGATGAAGGTGCTCGACGATGAGATCCAGGACAAAGGGGGGCGAGTCAAGAAGCTGGAGGAGGAGCGCAAGCGTCAGCAGGGAGGAGACAGTGAGGATGGAAGGGAGTTGGACCGCATCGACAACGAGCGAGCCAGACAGTGGGAGATCAAGTTGAACAATCTGAATGCACGATATGCCTCGATGGTGAATCTGCATGCACAGGTTAGTGCTTTGATTACGTCGTCCATATTCAACCGGGAAAACACTGACTTGTCCAAGGCTCAACAGCAATACCAAGACGCACAGGAGCGTCTCAAATGGTTGACAACCCAGCGTCCTGGCAGCAGCGGGCCGTTTGCCCTGCCCACCCTGGATATGGATCTGTCGAACACAGCAACTATCCGCCCGCGCCGCCATCGCAGTTCGCTCAACAGCAATGTCTCGTCTCCTATGAATTTCCCCAGTCTCGAGCCATCGTTCCCCGGTGGTGTCAACTTCAACCCACCGTCTACCAACTCGCCCACATTCGCCCCCATCCCCGCATTCTTCAACATCAATAATGGAATGACATTACCGGGCTTGTCAGATTCTTTTGATGCCATGCGCGGTGAACTAGATCTCTCCTTCGGTAATCCGCAAATGAGTCCTCGCGCCGATGCTCTACTCCCCTCCGATCTGCTCGGAGACGAAGAGTCTCCTGAACCCCCTCGTCCCATTATTCGTCCCCGGTTCTCGAATCTCGACATGTCCGATCCGCCTCTCGAAAGCTTCTCGCGGGGCCCATCATCCCCAGAGTCTGCAGCGAGCAAGCCAGCAAGTATCTTCGCCAGCCCCCATGAGGATCTGAACGAGCCCCGACCGCAATCGGTACATGTGGTGGAGGTTGATGACGCGCCCAAGAGTGCTTCCAGGAGACTCTCTGGTCTGTTTGGCTTCCATCGCCCTCGTGGTAAGACATTGGCCGATGAACCACCTTTGCTGGGCACTCTGAAAGCAGGGCAGAGCCAATCTTTCCCGCGTAATCTAGACGAGATGGATCCGATTGGCGCTAGGCGCCGTCGATTAAGCCACACAGGCAACTGGGCCAACCCCATCTCGTTGCTTCCTAGAAGCAACACCGCCGGCGTCACCGCAGACAGCTCTTCGGACCATTTGCCGTCTCGGCGGACAGCCATCTCGAGTATTTTCAGTCCCAGTCGATTTGGGTTTGGTGGTGGTGGTGGTGGTGCCAATGGTGGTGCCAGTGGCGGCGGGAGTAGCCTCCTTAAGTCGAGCGAGCCCTCTGACCTCAGCAGTGGGTATAACCAGTTTAGTCCGCGACACGACCCTATCGATCCAGCATCGATCCTCGGTACTGTCCGACGAGGTTCGCTCTCCCCTAGACCCTCGTCGACTTTCTCCTTTGAGAATCAGCTTCCTCATCCTTCCACAGATCATCGTCTCTTTGGCTGGGGCTCGGCCGAAAAGGGTCACCGCAGTCCTCTAGGCTTCGATTGGGCTTCTCCATCCACCTGGTCCAGGGCTCATTCGCGTCGCCCATCGATCCAGTATGGATCCTCGGGGCACTTGCCTTTGGGGCTCACGGGTGAACCTGATTTTCCTCAGGAGTCCTTTGAAAGACAAGGCCGCCCATTGCAAGCGCCCATCGGCACACGGCCTTCTTCCTCCCACCGCCCGGTTACGCCCAAGTTAAACCCCGCAGCGCCGTCTTTCAAGACCATCTTTATCCGGAAGTCCGACAAGGATAAGGACAAAGAGAGAGGCAGGGACCGAGACGCTGACGTTCCTTTTGACTTCCATATGGAGGAAGGATCTCCGTCGGAGTCGCGTATCTCAAGAGACTCTCGCCCTCGATCTTTGTCTGTCTTTACTGGTGACTCGTACGAATCGTTGGAGCGGATGCCCTCGGCCGCTTCTGCAGATAACAGTACTTCGAAAGAATCCTTCATTCGGAAGATTACCCGAAAGGGCAGCTCGAGCAAGTTTAGTTCGTGGAAGGATCGTTCAGGCTTCTTCTCGAAGAAGGGCGATTCGTCCCAGGGTGACATCGACGAGGACGCGAACAGCGAGGCACAACTTGCCAAGAGTATTGACAGCACCATCTCCAGTGTTCCCTCCGTGGACCGATCGACTAGGAGCAGTCTCGGGTTTTTCAGTCGGAAGTCTAAGAAATCCGATAAAGCGGCTAGTGAGACGAGTGAAAGACCTAGCGAACTAGCCAGCGAAATGGGCGACGAGGAGCTCCCTGAGGATACCCATGAATCTTGATCTGGATTACTTCCTCTTTCCCATCCTATTTTTACCTCATACAGACTTGCATGAATCCCTTGTTGGCACTGCAGGCCGTATGCATTCCTTTCTATCTTGTTTTCCTTGCATATCCATGATGAGAACCAGCGCCTGTCCTTCTGAAGGTTTTCCTTTTCCATTACTTATGTTCAAAGCCATTCACCTGGTATATAGCCATTTCGTATATGAGAAATCGTATAGGTGACAAGTGAAAGGTCCCCCTTTCACTAGTATAGTACCAGATTGAATAAATAATTCATTCAACTATTCCCACATCATGTCCAGGTAAACTGATCGATTGCATTCATCCTGGGTCGCGAAGGTGAATCATGGCCCATCTCAGAAATATAGCGGTCCGCTCGGCGGGGGGCACAACTGATGAAGATTTTATTCCCACCTGTACTGCCCCCCTCCACACAGCGTGTAGACTACTACGTGAGCGATACCATCAGGATGGCAAATTCAAAGTATCTATATTCTTCTCCTAGCTACTAGCATCGTATACATAGGATGAAAATCGCTAATCAAATGCAAGATACGAATACGTCAAAGCATTCGAGCAGCCCGACGTCCTGCTCCCAAATACCTGGATCGTGGTCCGCATCGATGGCCGCGGATTCCACAAGTCAGTATACTCCCAAACCCAGCTCTTCTTCTTGAATCATCCCACTGAGAATGTATCCAGACTCTCCGATCGCTATGAGTTCATCAAACCCAACGACCGCCGCGCGCTGGACCTGATGAACGCCGCCGCCGTGGAAGTCATGAAGGAACTGCCGGACCTGTGCATCGCATACGGCGTCAGCGATGAGTACAGGTGCGCTTTCCATCTCGCTTCCCCGCCATTCTGTCTCGAAGAGGCCCTCGTGCTAACACAGCCCCCTCCCCCCCGCCAGCTTCGTCTTCCATCCCAGCTGCCAGCTCTTTGAGCGCCGCAGCGCGTGAGTGTTACTCCGCCATCGCATATCGAGAGCGTATCCGACCCTTCGAGCTGAAGCTGACTCGTGCGAGCAGGAAACTCGTCACAACGATTGTGTCTACGTTCACGGCACATTATATCTATCAGTGGGGGTCGTATTTTCCCTCGATGCCGCTGCAGGCGCCGCATCTGCCCTCGTTCGATGGCAGGGCGGTCCTGTACCCGACGACCAGGATCTTGCGCGATTATATGAGCTGGAGGCAGGTGGACTGTGAGTTCCGGGCGCTGACTATGATAACGCTTGCTTGTTGTATGTTTGGGGGGGCGTTATGCTGATGGTGTGTCCTCAGGTCATATCAACAACCTCTACAATACGACGTTTTGGACAATGGTTCAGAAGGGAGGGATGAGTAATACGGATGCTGAGAAGGAGTTGCAGGTATTTCTGCTCTACTGGAGTCCCTCGTACGTGTCTTGCTGTGCTGACTGATGGGGTTTTTGATACAGGGCACGGTCTCGTCTGATAAGAATGAGATCCTCTTCAAGAGGTTCGGCATCAACTACAATAATGAGGATGAGATGTACAAGAAAGGAAGCGTGCTCTATCGTCAGGTAAGGAGTCAGAGCTGTTCATTTTCCGGCTTGAGAATGTGGCTGCTAACCTACCGCCATGCAGTACCAACTCGAAGACCCCAAGCCGACATCCGACTCGAAGTCGGGCACTCTGGGGGATGACGGTGAGCCTGCGCTCGTGCAAGAGGCAAGCATGTCTAGGTCACAGCAGGACAAAGTGCGTAAACTCCGACGGAAGGCACAGGTGGTAGTCGACCATGTGGATATCATCAAGGATGAGTTCTGGGAGAGACGGCCGTGGATACTCTCTGGGAAGCCCGGCAAGCTGCCGACAGAGGTTTGATCTAAAATAACGATATATGGACCATGAGAAAAAAAAATCGATATGAAATGATTGACAAGAACTTTTATCAAACCGCCGTAGCAGTGCCAAATGGGTATCTAATCTGATGGAAACCAAAATCTATATGTAAGGAAGTATGTCGTTGTCGATAGACGGGTTCAATCACGGGGTTGACTTTCTGCTCTCTTTGGATTTTTTCGATTTCGCCTTTACGCCGTCGTCGGATGAGGAGGCCTCTCTCTTCCTTGCCTTCTTCTCCTCTTTCGACTCCTTCGACTCCTTCCGCTTCTTCTTGGGGATATCTGTCGAATCGGTCTGCTCCTGTTCCGTCGACGAGGGGGTGGGATATTCATCTTCCGGCTTCTTCGCCTTCTCTTCCTTCTTCTGCTTCTTCTTGTCCTTGCGAGACACGCTCCTGTCCTCACTGGCACTGCTATCCTCCATCTTCCTCATCTCCTTCTCCTTCTTCCGTCTCCTCTTCTCCTCCTTCCTCTGCCGCCGCTCCTCCTTGCTCTCGGCCTTGGTCTCACCAGAGCCCTCCTTCATCTTGCGCTTCTTCCTCTTCTCCTCCTTCCGGCGCGCCTTCGCCTCGTCATCATCCGCCTCCTCCTCGCTCTCCTCCCCCCTCTTCCTCTTCGACTTGGATTTCTTCGTACCCTCCTCCTTCACCACAATCTTCGCCTTCTCCCCGATCGTCCCCGCAATCACTTCCCCCCGCACGAAGAACCGATACAGCTCACTCGTCAACGCATTCGGCGCAGAGACAGCCCCCGCGCCCGCACCCGCATCCCCCTGCCCCACGCCCTTCAGCGCATCCTCAAACCCGCGCAGCCACCACTGATTCGTCGGGTCCTTGGTCGTCTTCTTGCCCACGCCTTGGTTGCCGGAGCGCCGCGCCACGAGGATCGGGCGTGTGAGACCCAGGCCGCCGCCTTGCGGGCGGTCCGGGTTCAGCGGGTTGCCTGGTCCGGACCAGCCGTGACGGATGAGGTAGGCGTGTGCGTCCATTTGAATATGGAGATAAGGTGATGCGATGTTGGTAGATGTGATGGGGTTGCTGAAGCGCTTGGGTGGGCGCTTGGTTGGGTTTTATCCGGTATTAGAGCGGCATGTAGATTTTTATTTTTTTGGGAGGGGGCCGGCGGTTCGTCAGGGTTGTTGGGTTTCGAGGGCGCTAATATGTGTTGGTGGTTGGAGAGGAAAGAGGAGAGTAAATCAGGGGTATTGAAGAGCTGTGCTCGTGTAATAGAGATATGTAGAATTAAAAAAAAAAAAAAAAAACAAAAGGATATGGAAGTATGGCGAGACCATCGAGAACAAGTCGCCTGTCGGGGAACGAAAGGAAGGAAAAAGTTTGGATGAAATTGCGGATTGGAATGAATCTCCATCCATTCTACACTTGGAATACGTAGTACTTAGGTAGTTACTTTCCTGCTTTCTTCAACAAGCAGTCGCGTGGTCTAATGGTTATGATTTCTCGTTCACATCAGTTGAACTAGTTCCGAGAAGGTTCCCGGTTCGATCCCGGGCGCGACTACTTTTTTGTTTTTTTTTTGGGGAGTCATTTGTTGCCCCTACGTCTAGAAGTAATAGGGCAATATATTCTTTTATTTTTGGATTTTTTTTTTGTTTTTCTATTTTTCCATTCGTCATTGCTGGAAGCAAGTTGGTTTGCACAATCACAGACCATATCTTACTTAACCTGAAATTGCTCCAGTGGATTAATTATTTGCCCTGTCTGAAACCATGGAGTGGATTTGTGCTGGGTGGATATATATTTAGGGGGTTATATGTGCGAGAAATGCATGGCCTGGAAATTGGAACACCTCATCTAGCAAATGCATACATACATACTCCTGTAGTCCCACAGGCATGCTCTATCTCAACATATGATAGGATGGGAATTACTAATTTCGCATACTCACAGCTACATACATGGATTAAAGCTGGGGATAGTATACACACCACTCAGTGGGCGCCCTGTATGCACATAGATAGTAAATGATCTGGCCTAGGACTTGATGCAGACATGTTGAGTGCATCCAGAGGTAGTATATATATCTGTAAATCTAATCTACCAGGCTAGTAAGGCTTGAACCGCTCCTTCTCCCGCTTCTTCTCCTTCGGCCGCGACGCCTTGACCGAAGTCGAGTCTGACAGGCCGTCTCCACCATCCTCTGGTTTCCACGCACGCACGAATCCATCCTCGCCGCCAGTGAATACTGTCCGGCCCTACAACAGACGGGGTCAGTCAGCCCGAACAACCAAGAAGAAAGGAAACAAAGCAGAAAAGAGATGAAGGACACACCTGCTCATCGAGGTAGATAGAGCGAACAACCTCCTCACCGTGGGCACCCGGGAGGCGCCAGAGATTGGCCTGGTCGAGTCTCCACGGGTCGGGGATAAGGGGAACAAGATCGAGTCGGTTTCCACTGGAAATAGAAGAAGGGTTAGCCGCCAATGCGATGGGTTGCCGGGGAGGGGTGGAGATATACAGTTTATTGCCGGCGGCAATGTACGCCCCCTGGCTGCTGACGCACACCTGGGCGATGTACTCGCAGCCGAGGGGTTCTCTGAGGTCCCCAAAATGGATCGGCTTGGGCTCCGCCGTCTGCTGGTCGGGATCCGTGGCCGGGTGGACGGAGAAGTCCTCGTCATGGCTGAGGGCGAAAATGGTGCGCTCGCTCAAGAATCCCGCGTGGTGGACGGACCCGTGGTTGATGACCTGCACCAGCGCATCGTCCTCGTCCGTGATGGTGGTGTCGTAGATATTGACGAGACCGTCCGTGCTTCCGGAGAGCAGGATATTGTCCCGGGTGGGATGGTATTGGAGCTGGGGGTTGTTAACAATGCCGCTGCACATATTCCCGCTGCCTGAAGGCAGGGTCAGAGCACAGAAATACGCACATCGGTCACGTCATCATTGTGGCTCTCGATGTACTGGAGCCGATGGGTGCCCGGCGATCTGATATCCCTATACCGTCAGTTAGCAGCCCAACGTAGATGTACCAGCAGCAGCAGCAGCAGCAGCAACCGCAGCAACACCATGGTCACTAACTCACCAGAACGCAACCACAGCCTGCGAAGAAACAAGCTCCGTGCCCGCAACAACGGTGTTTGTCCCGGAACAGCAAGCCACTGACAGCACGGGGGCGTTCCTAACTATTCACCACCCAAAAAGCAATTGTCCTTAGCAAACTGCCTTCCAACATCCAACATTGAGACGAAAAAAAAAAAAAAAAAAGCAAAGCAAGAAACACAAACTCCAAAGCCAACACAGCAACCAACTCACCCGTCTCCATCTCCACAACAGCTGCACCCCTCCCTTTTCTCGCATCCCACACCTTAACCTTCCCATCCCGCCCCCCAGTCACCAGCAGCTGCTGATCCTTCCCAGCGCCATACGTCCGCAGCGCCGTCACACCCCCCGCCCCATGCGTCTGGGCTGCAAGAACCGTGACGCGGTCAAGACTCGCGGCGTCAAAGACTCGCAGCGAGTCATCCGATGAGATAGCCGCCAGCGACCCCGAGGACGTGGACGTGATGGCGTAGATGTAGTTCCCGGGGCTCAGGGATAGCGATGATGATGCCGTGGCTGTGAGCGGGTGCATGGTCTTTCTTTTTTTTTTTTTTTTTTTTGTTATTCGGTAGTTGAACTGTTGATGTAATGTGGCTACCTAATTCCCTTTCTTAGTGATGATGATGATGATGATGATGATGATGATGATGATGATGATGATGGACAGACGCGCGCGCCTGGGCTATTAGACGCTATTGTATGTATGATGATGTTGGTTGGGATTTCTTCGAGCCGCTACTGTGTTGGTTGGTTTGTTGGCGGCTGATAGTCAGGAATCTGACTCGACTCTCGAGAATAAGGGAATCTTGCTGATCAGACTAGAGTGGATCTATGATGGCCTTTATTGGTGGTTCTTCAAACTCCAGTTGGTGATGGTGATAGTGATGAAGTGGGCGGAAAATTTGATTTTCTCTTCTTTTTTATTTTCTTTGGGTTTTCCTCCCCTCCACCATCACCAAAGCCGTAATTGATGCAATACAGATAATTCGAGGACCAAGTAATTTAGAATGATGAACTGGAGTAGATGAAGAAAAAAAAAAACACACACACAATTTGATAAATACCTATAGAGACAGCAATACCTTTTCATCGCCTGCCTGCCCTGGTCTCTCCAATGGTTCTTACCACCGGACCCTTGTACGGATACAATCTGCACACACACTCGAATGACCATATCACTTCAATCCCTGTCTTTATTATTATCCCAGGTCATGTAGGTAGTCGGTATCCCGTCAGATCCATGCTATCATGTATTCTAATCAGATACCGAGCATCCATGTCGGTACCTTTGCTGATCTCCCAGTTCCATCACCAGTAGCCACCTCATCTGTCACTTGATCACTTGATCGAGCAACTTCCAAGGCTATGCCGAGTCTGCCCTGCAAGAACTCAAGAGGAATCTTTGACTTTTGGACTGGCCTCCTGCTTCCTCGGCGCAGTTGTAAAGTGAGGACGGAGGACCTGTGAATTCCCCCGTATGGTTAGTTTTACTTACTGTCTTTAGTATGGCCTCCCAATACACCATCTTATAATCACACCAGAACCATCCTCTCACTATTCTAACAAGCAATCAATCGAAAGAAAAAAAAATAAAAGAATCAGAATAGAAAACCCATCCTTCATCTCTCATTGCCTGCGTTATCCACATCCCTTCTCTTGGTCGTCAGTCACGTTATTCCCACCCCCGCAGTCTAGACGAAAGTTCCATTTCGAACCGTTCAACCGGAAAAGGTCCCTCCAGGATCTCTTTTAACATATCAGATCCCGGTGGGAAGTCGTGTTCAACCGAAGGCTCCCCGGCCCCCCTCATGTTTGCAAGAACGCTCTGTCTAAAGTGCCAGCGCAAGAGGTTATCTGAGACGCGATTTGGGTCGGCAGGATTTCAACACACAGGGTCAAGGGTTCTTCCATCCACTCCCATATCATTAGGAATAAAAGAAGTGATCTTATAATTGTCCTTTAGATAAATTAGCACAGCATCTGTTATATCCTTATAGAGTAGGTAAAATCACTTACATCTGGGTTCATCAAAACTGAGTAGTCATTAAATAGTTGATGTAGGCTTGCTAGAAACCCATTTTGAATAGAGTTGATGGGTGCAGAATGGTTTCCCAAGTGCGCATTAGTGATCCATTGGCTGAAATTGTTTGCAATCCAATATCTTTCCTTCTCAAGCAGGGATATATGGGCTGCTTCCCAGCCTTTCCATTTATCTAGATGAGCGCGACGGTTATTAACCCCAGAGAAAGCACAGGCGCGGTGCAGTAAGTGGGCGCGGTACAATGACCAACACAATATTGAGCATGTTGATCAAGTTGGCTTGAGTCATTGAGCCATTTTGGAATAGCCCACCTAGCATGTCACCCGTCGAACTGTCGAAAAAATGGACATTTCGCCCATCATCCGACAGTGACCCTGAGAGTGCCCGCTGGGGGCGGCGGCGGCCCAAAGACAAAGGCTCCCCTTGCGATGGGGGCCGGCCACACATTCGTCAACACGACGAAAAACAGCCTGAGGGCGGCCCCCACAGACACAAAGGGGGAGAGAGGGAGAAGGAGCCGCGGCAGTAGCAGTAGCGGGCGCGGCAGGGGCAGGGGCAGGCACAGTAACAGGGGCGGCAGCGGCAGCAGCCTCCTCCTTCGCAAAGACCATTAGCAATAACACCCAAGCTCGCAAGCCTATGCTTACCTTGGATAGGTCTGAGGGGACCAGCATCAAAGGGGACATTGGAGTAAATGCATGCAAAGACATCTTTCAGTAATTACTCATGACATTATAACAACTTCTCACCCAAACATCACAAAGTCGTGGAGGATGGGGAGAATACAGAAGATAGAGAGAAGAAGGGTTTATATACTCTCCAGAAATTACTAATGCCCTAAACCCTACTCTCTATAGACTTAATGTGATGAGGCTATTAAGGGATTATTAGGACCATCATGAGAAGATTTAAATAGTGATGAAGGCATCACATTTAAGGGGATGCACCCATGACCAAGCCCTCATGAGAAGACAAAGGAACACAGGTTCCTGAAGGAAGGGGGTAGCAGACCTTTTCCCTTGTTCTTGGTTTTCCCTCCGCGAAAGGGGTTTTTACTGAACAAGGGTTTTTACAGGTGCACCCACTGCGAATAAGGAACTGTGGACAGCCCTTAGGGGCTAAAGGCAAGTGTATATTAGACTCATTCAGTAACTGACAGCCAATCTTGCAGCTTTCAAATCTTGAGACGACAAGATCCAAATATTAAGGAGAGGGGACTGTGTCCTGGAAGTGATCGACTTGGGGATTGGAGAGAGAGGTGTTGAGACGAGGAGGATCGGAGGGTGGGAGGGGGGAAAGGATGGAGTGAGAGTTGTGCAGTGCCCAACCAGGCCGTTTGAAATTTGAGAGGAGCTAAATTCGGCGGCAGAGGAGGCCATTTTTGGCGTCGCCTTGGTTGTGAGTTGAAATGAAGACAATACTTACTGATGTTGAGTGCCAACATCACATCAGGATGATGACTAAACAATGCTTAGCGGGTGCAGAATAGTGGTGCAAAATATGTGGTGGGACGTTGAAGCAGTGGCTTACCGCTGGGAATTACAGGTGGAAATGCGGCCGTTTATGGCCTCAGCAGCGGTCATTTTCAGCATCGATTTCCCAGGTCCTCACATTCTATATGTAATTTTGCTAGCCCAAACAGGCGCTTTGATAGTTCATATCTGTCGGTCTCTTCACGGAGGAATGACCAGTATCCTGCCAACAGGCTGATCCTGTTTCTGCATGCCATGAAGCAGCTAAGAGGCTAGGAGCAATGACGTGGTACTTTGTATGGCCTCCCAACCTGTCGATGGCTTGATGAAAGACAGGACAATTGTGTATCTCTTAGGCGGATAGGGTCTGGAATGATTGACCTCGACTAGAGTGTAAAGGGAAGTATGATCCAACAGTTTCCGAGACATCATCCATGGAACTCAAATGTCTGGTCCACGGCCTGTGCGGAGTGCGGGTATGTCCTTTCTAGCCTGACATAAGCACAAGCAAGATCAGCTGAAGCCTGAGGACTGATTCCTGTCTCACAGTTAAGAAGGGAAAAAAAAAACAGAAATTGAGGATAAATTCTCGGGAGTCGGGATTAGGAGCTTCTTAGTCCACTGGGCTGGAGAAATTCAGGTCAATAGATGACCTGGTCGTATAATTGGTCAATTACCTGGAGAGTTTAATCAGATTGTCAAGCCTGTGTGGAGCCACAGGGGAAGAACGGCGAATAGACACGGTCGTATCACTTGACTTACCAGGCGAAAATGCCAAATGCATCTAGTTACATATGCACAGCCGCAAAAACTGCATGTTGCGAGTGGCCCAATACGTTAGGCTAGGGTGCCCCAGTCGCCCATCAGGGCGAGTTCCGAGGGCGGGCTCATACCTGCAGGCTGCAGCATGATCGATGTTTAGTAGTATTGTTGAGGAGATGTCTAGGAGCAGTTAGTGGATGTAACCCTGCCAGTGCAGGACGCGAGGGACTCAGGCAATCCAATACTGAGTTCAACCCGGAAGGATACGGCTCCTATAGCTAGAAAGAGCGTCTGTTCCTGTGAGATCGACTGGCTGGAAGGACAGCGAGCCCGCAAGTATGCAAATTGCAACAAGCTCCGGTGGATATTCAGAGGATTTAAACTTTGCAAGAGAATGTGTCTCATGTTGGCCGCGCTGTGTTCATCGGTGTAGATTGCCCTGGGCTTGTTTCTGCCTGCAGTTTCTTGCGTCCAAGCCACCTGGACATCGTGCAAGGAATTGTCTGTGATATGTGAAATCGGCCCAATGACACGCCATTTACGTGTCCTGGGAAGTGGGTGATCATGGTCAATCAGTAGTTTGGCACCACGAGTTTTGTTTGCCATGCATTTGTTGTCAATTTCCGGCCTATGGTGGCGCTTCAAGGTATCGAACTGTCCGATATTCAGCTCACACTTCGCATACTATGTATGCTGGCTGAATGGCGGAAACTAAAAGAGGAAAATTCACACAACTAAACGGAGCGACCCCACAAGGCTCATGACTAGGACCACTAGAGATATTGGCCTTTCCATGACTCGCGGTCGGTACCAGACATCGATGATGTTGAAGGCGCCTATTCGCGATTCGTGATGCGATACCAAACTTCAGAGATGGGGCAAATGCCCAAGGACGAGTTCGAATTTCAATGGACCATTTGTGGTTAGGTTAGCTGGACAGATCGTGCAGTCCAGGCTGATATGGTTGCACTTCGCAGGTGGGCTAGAGAGAGTCTAGATGAGGAATATGAAACAGAACGCATCCGAAGGACCGAGGAACAGATGAAATTGTGGATTTTCATGAAGTTAGAAAGATGGGTGTTGTTAAGTTGGCGAATTGGGGGACATATGGGAGATATACCCATCGTGATTCTGTATGGATGCTGATGGCGCGCTAGGTTCGGGCGTAGTCGGCCGACGGGATACTGCAGCTGAAAACTCAGACTCTCGATTCGACGGGACTGGAAGGCAGAAGCCAGTGTATTTACACAGTCCATAGTCCGTAGTCCGTTACCCTTAGTACCAAATAGTGTAGATACCAACCAGGAGGAAGAGGAGGAATAGGAGTAACTCTGAGCGACAGTGGAAAAGGACGAGGTGGTGGTGGTGGTGGTGCGTGGCCCTTGGCACCGAACCCGTGGCCTTTCCCACGCCGCCAGTCACCGCTAACCCGCCGTGGCCACATCCCCGTTTCTTCTCTTCGTTGTTTATCGTCGCGCATTCGAACAGCAACCCACCCCCAAAAAAATAAATTAAAAAAAATGGATGTCGCTCTCGAGTTTCTCGATCCTCTCGTTCTGGATAAGGCCTATGCCTGGCTACTGCCCTCCAATCCTCTCCTCACCGACTCGACGTCGCAATGGCCGCGCGACAACATCTATCGCCAGATCATCTCGATTCTCCTTATCACGCAACTCGGCGCAACCTCCCTCTACCTCTTCTTTAGCGCTCTGTCCTATTACTTCATCTTTGACAGACGACTTGAGTACCATCCGCGCTTCTTACAGAATCAAATTCGCCAGGAGATCATATCGTCGCTTACCGCCGTTCCCTTCATCAACATTTTGACACTGCCCTGGTTCCTGGCTGAGGTCCGTGGCAAAAGCTTGCTGTACGCTTCAGTGAGCCACTATGGCTGGCCATGGCTGGTGGTTTCGGCGCTGCTGTACATGGCGTTCAACGACATCGCTATCTACTGGATTCATCGGCTAGAGCACCACCCCAGCGTGTACAAGTACATTCACAAGCCACATCACAAATGGATCGGTCAGTCTGTGGCAGAACCCCCCATTTATCGGCAGGGCGGCAATGCTAACGGTCTTCTAGTCCCCACACCCTGGGCTGCACTGGCCTTCCACCCGCTCGATGGATATGTGCAGTCTCTACCGTATCAGTGAGTACCTCAATCTTCGGTCTCGACGAGTCTTCGGGGCTAACCTCTCCAAAGCGCATTCGTCTTCATCTGCCCCATGCAGCGATACCTATACCTAGTCCTCTTCGTCGCGGTCCAGATCTGGACCATTCTCATTCACGACGGCGACATGATTACTGGCCATTGGACGGAGAAATTCATCAACAGCCCCGCGCATCACACACTGCACCACATGTACTTCACCGTTAACTACGGACAATACTTCACCTGGGCTGATACCTATTTTGGCTCGCACCGGGCCCCAGAGCCTGCACTGGACCCACTCCACGACGCCCTCAAGGTGATGCGCGCGAAGGGGCTTGTGGATGAGCAGGGTAACCCCATCCAAAAGCCTAAGGCCGAGTAGAGGGCCTTCAATGACCCGGTGGCAGATGGAGCTTTTTGGTATATACGCATATGGTGATTGGACGACGAGTCTTTTCTCCGGTACAAAAATATCCAGCAATACGTAATGTTAATAGGTATGTATCAACGCAAGTGTTATTCTGGTTTCAGTGCTCTTTTCGCAGATAGAATTGTGTTTTCTTGGGAATGTCTTACAGTCAACCAGGACGTCCTGGCGGCTTTTGTACATATATATCGTTTTCATGTATTATTGAACGTTCTTCCATTGCTTTGATCCCTGGTACTCCATACAGTATCCATTATCCACCAGCCAGCCATGGGTGATACCTCACATTTGACAGGGGTCAGTAATCATTATCGGCCGCATCCAAAGTCACCTAAGAACACGTAGCATGGAGTTAGTTCACGGGGAGAACCGCGCCTGGAGATGGGGACTCTAACCTCTCTTGGCCCGATGGTGGATACAACAAGGTTAGCTGTGAGATTCCGAGGCATAATTGTCCAATATTGATGGGGGACACGAGACAAGGCTACTGTACCTACCACATAGTGCTCGGCTGCTTGCTGCACAATGTAACTATTTGCTAACTAGTCTAGACCTGTCAGAGGAAGGAAAACGTGGGTAAAAATGAGCTTGGCCAGGGAAACAATGTCCGAGCTTATCGCTTTTTCCCTGACGGATATTGTTTTTAGCATTCTGATAGACAAAACACTAATCAGCTAAAATGTGAGATGAGTGAGTCTTGGCCCTCCTAGGTGCCATTTGGTTCGAGTCGCATAATCAATTACTAAGATAGACGAATATTGTCATGACTCATATATGGTGTACACAGCTCACATGAGCAGTCCGGACTGCTCATATGAGCCATACCCCGTACATGTGACCGCCAAGACCATTAATAAGCATTTACGGCTCGCGCGACCTATATAATAAATTACTATTCTATCTGAAATTCTAGTACAGTAAATATTTTAAATACTTATTTAAGTACTTAGTAACTACTTCATAATTAATTTATTAATTATAGAGGCAGCTAAGACTTAACCCTATAAATATGGCATCAGTTTGATCAAGCTCTATACCAAATGATAGTCTATTTAACTAGCCAGAAGATACAACACAAAGTAATGAAGTATGGTTAATATAAGTACTTTTTAAGCAGTTGCTAACTGATTGCTAACTACTTAGGATCAACATCTACTAATTCCTCTCACTAATGCAAAAACCTCTGCTCTTATAACATTAAAGACTAAGTATATTAATGATCTCCCTGAGTATCCTACTAGCCATATTCTTAGTTATACATATATCATTCCAGTTACACAATATACACAGAATGAAGCAGAGCAAATGATACAGGAGGTATGAAAAGACTAACTTATATAGTACTTTTTAACTGCTTATAAACTGCTTATAAACTGCTTAGATTTAATATGCTTGGAAGCAGACCTTTAGCCAGAGAAAACACAGTGTCTATTCATCTTTCCTATTATATTTAGTAAAAAAATAGACATGGAAGTACTTAGGTATTCTAGCTTGTGAATATCTTAGTCCCTCTCTTCTTTCTTATCATCATACCTCAGTGAATGAGAGTATTTGGAAAAGAATTCAAGAATCTCAGGGATTAATCCAGATTCTTAAGTCTAATGTTCAGAAGCGGAATGCCTATAGGTAAGTAGTTTATAAGTACTTCTTAACTACTTGCTAACTGCTTAATAGCTACTATCGCTCCAAACTTAGCTTATTTAAGAGGGGATTAGGTTGTATATCATAGCTCCCATTATGCAAGCTAATATTTAAAAGATATTAATAACTAGTATAGTTCAAGCACTTCCTAAGTATTTACTAAGTACTTACTGACTACTTTAGAATATTTTTGGAAATCATACACCTTATATTGGGTGTGTAAATGAAACAGCTAATACTATAATAAAATATTATTATAGAGTAGTTTAAGAACATACTTCTATTAATTTTGATTTCTTGGAGAAGCTTTTTAATGAGGATATTATACCTCAGTCTGAAGAATGTGGTGTCTTTGAGCCACTGGCATCCCAGTGAAAGTTCTGTGGTAAGTACTTATCAAGTACTTAGTAACTCCTATGGGAGTACTTTCTAACTAGTTTAGATTGTGATCATCCACAGGGCTCTGGATGCCTAAAGTATACTCCTTGTAATGTTATCTTTAATGCTTTAGTCCCTATGGATATTTCCTAATGTCCATATATCCTATTTACCTCACATGGTGTTCATCAGCATCCTCTACCCCCACCTACCAAGCCTCCTGAATGTATTCTGCAGGCAGTAAGGCAGATTATCCAGGAGATCTAGGACCCCAGCTTAACAACTGGTAAGTAGTTCCTAAGTACTTATATAGTACTTACTAAGTACTTAATAGCTTAATTTCTTCGAAATCCTCAGCTTGAAGCCTTCTGTAAGAAGCATAATGCTTCTATATTAGCAGATATTCATAAGAGTTTCTGTAACAAAGATCAAATTGCTGCAGTTATTCAGAAGCAATGGCTTCTTTCATATCTAAATAGATAGGATATAAATGGTCTGATATTTCTCCAAGGGATTGATCTGTATATGAAGGTAAGTACTTTACAAGTAGCCTTAAAGTGATTTCTAAGTACTTACAGCTCTTAGACATATATCCAGAGGACATTCCATGATTTATAAGGAACTATAGTTCTTTGCACATATAAAGAGCAGATTTAACTGCTTGTGACACTATCTTCTTTTAAAGTAGATATATCTTTTAAATATATCCACTTAAAAGAGATAAATGAGGTCCTTTTTGCAATATTTCTGCCTGATCAGTCAAAAAGTAAGTACTTCCTAAGTAGTTAGAGAGCACTTGCTAAGTACTCCTCTTAGTTATTACCTTATTTTGTGTCTTTACAAGCTTTGATTCTGTCAAATGATATTATCTACTATTCAAAAGGGTTTTCTCCTTAGTAGAAAGTATTCTGGGACGGTTGATATCCTTTGATCATCTCCATAGTACTGGGATATATAGGATTATAATAGATATGGACTTAAAACAATACACTAGTAAGTAATTAAATACTACTTATAAACTACTTACTAAGTACTTAGGCCTTGGGCAATATCTCTCTAAGGTTGATCCTCTATATTAGGATGTGACATGGCAGTTAGAGCATATTTTACTATTCTATTGTGTCCATTTCCAATGTTCAATCCTAAAGGCTATTAGTACAAGAAGCTAGGGGAGCCCTCTTTGGAGCTATATAATAAGTCTTCTAGACTGTCCATCTGAAGAGGACTATGATAAACTACTAGAACTTTTAATCAGTTATGAATTACTTGCCAACTGCTTGGGAAATACCTACTAACTGCTTTTAGAATATGAAAGTCCAAATGTTCAAAATTAGGCACAACAGAAGAAGAGCTAAGTGATTAAAGCAGGCTTAAATAGAGCATGCTCTTAAATTCAGCCTTATTATTTTGATTTATTATAAAATTATACTAATGCTGTTGAGCAATCACATTAGAAGTTATATGCTTTAGGGAAATACCTTACATTAGTAGAAGCAGTCAAGAAGTAAGTACTTTCTAAACACTTAGGAACTACTTATTAAGTACTAAACTTTAATCTAGTTCAGCAAAGCTTGATCAGGAAGATATCTTACAATATAAGAACTTTTCTGAGTTGAATATTCACTACTCATATCAAACATTAAATATGGAGGCAAATTACATCTGTTATATAAGTTAAGAAAGTATATTAATATTTGCTAAGTACTTGCTAAGTAGTTTTAAAGTAGTTGCTAACTACTTTCTTAGGGAGCCAGAAACACCGCCGGTCAGACTCCTCAGGTATTACTGAAACACGAAGTACATCAGAATCAAGAAGGGGTAATACCCATGTTAATTCCTAATAATCTCCATCCCAGATAAGGGGGTCAAGGTAAGTACTTCCTAACTACTTAGGAAGTGCCTGCCAGCTACTTACTAAGTACTTAGACCTAGCCATTCCCTTCGCCGTGTTGCCTCAATGAATATAATAAATCTAGAGTAGAGATGACAGGAGCTTGAATTGAAGAAGCTTGAAATTAAAATAAAGAAACAGGAGGAAGAAATTTGCTTATAGCAGCTTGAGAATGAAAGATTAGAACTGGATCTTATGGAGTGGCGAATGCGAATTAGAGAGACTTCTTAATATAGATTAAGTAGTTTCTAAGTACTTCTAAAGCAGTTCAAAAGTAATTAGAGTTAAATATTCCTCTATAATAATAATATCATATTTAATTTAGCACTCCTAGTGATTGGGTTAAGTACTTAGCAAGTAGTTATTAAGTACTTAGGAATATTAAGCTACAGTACACTAGATATAGTGATTGGGTTAAGTACTTGGCAAGTAGTTGTTAAGTACTTAGGAATATTAAGCTACAGTACACTAGATATAGTGATTGGGTTAAGTACTTAGCAAGTAGTTATCAAGTACTTATTAAGTACTTAAGTATATTAAGTTATAGTGCACCTTGGATATATTAAGATTATATATCTTGGTCATTAATTCAGTACTGATATATCAAACTTATAATATATTCTTTCTGAGTACTTTCTAAGTAGTTATAAGGTATTTTAAAGCTATATTTTATAGTGAATTCACCTCTCTCATGCCTCATGATCATTATTCATTATCCTAATATAAGAACTAGCTAAGTAGTTGCCAAGTGCTTTAAAACTAATTACTACTTAGCCTTAGTCTTAACTGTGTCCTCCGCCTCCTTAGTATTCTTAGCTTCTTTAGTCTCTTTAGATCTCTTACTATATCCTGGCTGATGTTCTTCTTCCTCCTCAGCTTTAATACTAAGACTAGAAAGAGTAGACAGTATACTATCTTCATTACTTTCTTCACCTAATTCCTCCTCTGTCTCCTTTTCAGTCTCCTCCATACCTTTATTATTGCATAGAATACGTGGTCTCTGAGCTCGTGATGGAGTAGGCGTAGGAGTAGAATGGGCAGGAGT